AAGGGCATGGAAACAAGTTATGTGAGGAAAGGGTGTTGACAACCAGTGACCTAGTTGGGGGTGGGCTCTCTCCCTGACTGGGGAGGGGTGTCAACAAGCAGAGGCTGTGCCACCATCCGTTCTAGCTCTGGGTTCTCTGCACTGACCAGAGGTTGAACTAGATGGGCTTCAGGAACCTGTCAGACTCTTATGACTTTGCATCTGTGCTATGGCATCAAACCCACCAATGTCACACCTGTTCACATCTGGAAACATTTTCGGGCACTAATAAATGCCTCACTATGCCAAGAGAAAGAGGAGCTGATGCAAGGGACAATTAACAGCACACAACACCCAGGCCAGGGAAATGGCCGTGATGGGCTGGTAAGGACAACAGGCAGCCTCCTCTTGTGAAAGGGCAAGTGGCCAGCTCTTCTCATCCCTTGCAAAGCTGATGGCTCTTGCTCACCTCTCCACCCGACATTGTCCTGGTTGGCACAGGTGCACTTTGCTCACCTCCTGCTGTGCAAGGCATCCCAAATTTAGCTGGGGCTGAGCTTGAAGAAGTAACAGGATTATGACACCTGGCGCCTGCAGCCAGAGAAGGTGGGGGCTGTAGCCTGCGCTTGACTTTCCTTTATTGGATCTAGCTGATGAGATGAGGTCTCCAAGACTGACCAGCTGATCAGCCAAGCCAGTCAGTCAGCTCCTGCTTCTCTTGCAATATCGGGGGCGTATCTGCATTGATGCAGGATGAACACAGGGAGGGGTGGCATGCACGGCGCTTGGGTTGTCTTCACAGCAGGAGCGATGGCGTCATCTGCGGCACTTGCCAGTGCCATGAACTTGGAGGATTTGGAGGACAAGGCCTGGTCTGTTGGTAACCGGGCCAGGAACAGCCAGTCACCTTCATGGCTGATGAGGGATGTGAGCCCAGGTCTAGGCTACTGTTGAGCTTCCTAAATTGTAGGAGGAAAGACACTTTCACCAGCCCCAGAGCCCAAAGACACAAGAGCACATCAAGACCACTGTCTGGATCAACCGCAAACCTCAGATTTTTGCCCATGTTATCCATGGTGCCAATATAAAATTCCCCCATTGCTCATTTCTAATAATGTCAAAAGCACATTGCCCCAAGTAATACTTTAGATCAGGAAGGCAGTGTGTGTTTGTGTGGTTGAATTTTGAAGCATCCCCCAGTGAGGTGTCCAGACCTATTTTTTGCAAATAAAACTTCAGCTCCTTATTCAGGGTGCTCCCTCTGCTTGTTGAATGCTTCAGTCCCATCAAACTGTGCCTAAGATCACAGCAGTAGTCATGACTAAGGTTTGCATCGAAAAGATTGGTGAGCCTTGCGCCCTAATAGTTTGGGTCCCACTGAAATGAAGTATTGAAAGGTTGGCCTTCCCTAAGTTGTCCCGTTCATTTAAACGAGAACTAAGCACAACTATGATAGGGACGCGGGTGGTGCTGTGGGTTAAACCACAGAGCCTAGGGCTTGCCAATCAAGTCGGCGGTTTGAATCCCTGCGACGGGGTGAGCTCCCGTTCCTCGGTCCCTGCTCCTGCCAACTTAGCAGTTCGAAAGCACGTCAAAGTGCAAGTAGATAAATAGGTACCGCTCCGGCGGGAAGGTAAACGGCGTTTCCGTGCGCTGCTCTGGTTCGCCAGAAGCGGCTTAGTCATGCTGGCCACATGCTGGCCGCTGTATGCCGGCTCCCTCAGCCAGTAAAGCAAGATGAGCGCCGCAACCCCAGCGTCGGTCACGACTGGACCTAATGGTCAGGGGTCCCTTTACCTTTAAGCACAACTAACTTAAGTCTGAGCCTTCACTGCCAGAGCTAGCTAGGGAAAAATTCCAGTGGGCAGGAAGCCCAGTGTCTCAAGTCCTCCCTCCCTCCCAGATTATGCAAAACAAGCATTATGCTGCAAATCTGCGTATACAAAACTCAGCATTTTGGGACAGTTGCTCTAAAAGCAGACAACACCTAGCCCCCACTTCAACCACTTGGAAGATGGGGAGAAAGAGAGCAGCTCTGCCTACCAAGACTCTCAGCCTTAAATAATGTGTGTTACCTTAAGCTTTACAATAGTTGGCAAGATGAATCATTTGCCTCTGACCGGCATGTTGTTTAAAATGAAGATTTCAATACCTCTGGGAACTGTGCACATGTAGATTTGCCAACTGAGGAAAACTTTGATGAGCACCTGGTAAAGTGGGCATGAAAATTGTGCCATTATCAGTCATTACAGCAGCACCTGCCTCTTTTTGATGCTACAGACTAGTGTAGCTTCTTCTCTGGGAGCAGTATTCTTTATGCTTACATAAATAAACATGGCAGTATCTTAGAAAGTCTGAGGAGGACCAGAAATAAGGAGTGGCAGGGGGAGCAGGAGAAGTAAAGAAAAATAGGACTCAAGCACTCAGCAACCTTGTTACCCCCATACTGTCAGAGTAAGTTATGCAAAATTTGCTTACACAGCAAAACCTATTACACTGACAGTACTACACCGAGATGGCCTGAAAAGTTAATGGGCACGAATTGGCAGGGGGGGTACTGAAAAGCAACTGGTTTTCAAACTTCTGCTGGTTAAGCATTACTTGGTCCGAGAGTTCAGTATTTCTCTGCACATTCAGAGTCCAGTTTCAGTCCCCAGTAGATAACGTTGACTCTGCGGTGTGAATCTCACAACCACCCACCTCAAAAGGTGACAGGCCATTAGGTGAACTGCTTCTTTCAAGCTCTAGGAGCTTTCAGATGGGAACTTGAATCTTATATCAGATGCATGAAGCAGTTAAAGAGCAAAGCAAGGAGTGAGCTGCATGCCATGAGGCTTCGCCCAAAGGTCAGGCATAAAGCTAAACAGAGAGCATTGGGTGACTTGGCTGGAGATGAAACCTGATCGGTTTAGAAGCCTACACAAGCCCTTAAGGATTGCAGACCCTCACAAGCCATGCCTGCCCGACCCATCTGACTTGGAGGGCAGATTCTTCTGCACAGGTGTGCAGAATCACATTTAAGCCCATTTTCTGTAACCCTAGTGTCAGCTTTAAGGCAGGTCCGCATCAAGATAGCAAATGGGCCAAAAAATCTGCATCACAATTTTTTTACATTTCTCTCTATGGTTTGATCCTGGAATTTGATTTTTTGTCTTCTAGGAACAAATAGAAACTGCATTCAAGGCCTCCCTTACAGAGGGGTTGATCTCACACAATTATGTAACCACATGGCTGCTGCAGCCAGGATTTGGCAGAACACTAGACAACCTGGGTAGCTTGGAGCAAACTGTCTCCATAGGAAAGTCTGGCCACACCTGTGCAGATTCCCATTTAAGAGCAAAGTGTGGATTCCAGGACACTTATGGGTGTTTTATCTCCTGTGCATTTTTAACCTGCTTGGGAGGTAAGCTACCTCTCAACTCCTGTGCTTGGGTGGAAGACACCCCCCACCAATACGACAGCAACGGCTCCCCAGCTCAGCTCCCTGGGTTTGTTTCTTCCACATATCCCAACAAAGTTTCTTTCCAGGATTATATTAAAGTACACAATGGGAAGAGGAAGTGGTTTACGATACTCCCATTTGCAACTCAGAATTGACAAGAGAGCAGCCATCTAGTTATGAAATAGGAGTGTCTTGCAGTTGGCTTAATACCACCTTAAGCCACCTAAATAAATGTTAAATATGCCAGTGCTTTTCTCCTAATTGATATTCTGACCCTCATATGCAGACTGGAAACAGGGTGGGGAGATCTTTATATTCATGGGGGAACAGTAGCGGCAAGTGTACAGCCAAACAGCTTTGCCAGTTCTTAACCAAGATGTCTCTTTCCAAGTAAAGTCTGGGGGTGGGGGGCAGTGGGAGAGAAAGGAGGAACACAGCATCCCAACCGTGAACAAAAATGGTGGGCATGCATCACCATTTTTAGCATCCCTCGCAACTGGCTTTAACTGCCGTCTCTGTGCAGTGTAACTGCTGTTAAAACGGCTGATTAATACGGGGACACCAGCATACTCCTTAAGCCTCAGAACAGAATGTTCTTGCTTGGAGCACTTTTGTATTCAGGTGACGCACAAAGACACCAACTGCAAATTGAATGGGTGGAAACGCTGCAGGAATCTGTTGTGGAGAGGACAGACTTCACACTCGCTGGAGCCACCAAAGCAGCAGTAGCAGAGGGGACTGCTCAAAAGGACCCCACTGCCTCAGATGCTACACACACACACCAGTCACTGGCAGGCATTAATGAGCTAGCCAGAAGGCCTCAAGCCTGTCCTAAGTTGTAACTGTTTTAGAGGAAGTGAAATCCGTAAAAGGAGAGGGAAACCACGCCAACACATTCAGGCAGATCAAGGAGATTTGTAATTTCAAAGATGAAATTGACTGGACTGTCCACATGCTTCTACTAGTGGACAAGAACAGCAACTGGCAAGAGTGGGAGTTGACAGTGGATGAGGGCCATTTGGTAGAACTTTTCCAAGCAGAAGTGACCCAGTAGCATACAGGGGAAGAGTCCTCTGGCTCAGTAGAGTATTCTCAGGACACATCTAGCTGATGTTGTAGAACTTGGCCCCCACCTACTGGCAGCAGCAAACACCCGAAACAGAATCCTCTGCTCCCCCCACCCTTTAAAGGAAAGGGATGCACAACAAGAACTATTTTAAAAGCTGCATTTAATTGGAACCTCCCTTTCACTGCTCTTTTATTCTTACACAAAAAGCAATTAAGAAAATGGTTACAGGAGATCGAATGAAGCATTTGTACACACATCATTGTCAACAAAAATCATTCAATCTAGGGGCGGGTCCACCCCAAACCACAAAACACTCAAGGCATGTAAAAAGAAAAGAAAGGAGTTTCTAGGCAGATGGACAATATCAAAATGGGACTTCAAAAGAGATGAAGATGCCCTCTCAATTGTGACTTCATCTTAACTACTCAACGGGAGTAGGGGAGAGGGCCTTAAAGCCCCCACTCCCAGTTTCAGAGGAAGGCCCACCCTGTGAAGTCTGCCTTTCCTTTGCTATGGAGAAAAGGGGAGAAAACTGGCACTCCCCATATCAACTGCAGTGCATGCGACGTCCAGCTTCAGAGAAAGAAATCTACGGAAATAATCCATTTGCTTCTTTAACTCTACTGACAAGACTTTTCCGTGATGGGAGATACATGTGGCCATGGAAAACTTGTGTCTCTTAGATGAGGTTAAAAATCTAATTCTGTAAGAAGAACTTAAAATGAACAAAAACCACTGTCCCACCCCAGAGGGCAAGGCAGGTAGAGCTGCATCTAAACACAGAAGGGGCCTTGCCACCGTTGCTACCACCATGGCTAGACCTGGCAGTTTCACAGGACTTTCCCAAACTTTAGGATGGTGGTGCAGACCTCACTTTGTGGGATGGGGGGAAGAGACTCAGCACTAGTGTCCTGATGGGCAAGTTCTGCTACTGAAGTACACCAGTCAGTCATCAAAAAAGGATTCTGACAAGAGTCACACACCTCTCTAAGTACAGAGTAAGGAGGGGAAAGAGGAACACACACTCCTCATGTGCTCCTGGCTGGGTTTCAGAAGTCTCCCCTCCAGCTCCTGGCTCCAGATTGGCAAGAAAAAACTGTATAGAAAAACCATTCTTCAGTTCTGTGGTGGGGGTGGTGGGGGAGCAGGGGGCATGCCAAACGGTGGCAAGGCTGGCACTCCAACCCCCATCATGGTGACAAAATTAGTAGGGTCCATGGGAGGCGGAGGAGGGGGAGGGGCGTACATCATGCCCGCGGAGCCAGGCGGCGGGGGCGGGGGAGGAGGCGGGGCCCCGGGCGGAAGCGGAGGCTGGACCCCTGGAGGCAAAGGCACCATGGAGGGGCTGCCTTGCATCTGTGGGGCCCCCGTAGAAGTTGCCACCGCCGCCGCTCCCTGCTGCTGCTGCCATGGAGGGATGGCCCCGGTGCCAGCGCTCGTGGTGGTGGTGGTCGTCGTATCTAGGATTTAAAACACCAAGTGGTCACCCCAAGAGCTCAGAGCCAAGCTGCTCCCCCCCCGCCCCGCATCAAGCAGGGAAATGGCCGGTCCGACCTTCTCCAAAGAGGAAAAAGACCCAGCCCATCAATAATCAACCCATAGCTAGGATACTGCTCCAATCCCCACTGACCAAGGTGATTCCCTCCTGATTTAAGATATGCTAGCTTTTCTGCCAACTTTCCCCCCAAAATTTGGCCAAGGCAAGGAGAAGTCAGGCCCTGGAGGGAGGGGTGACCAATTGAGGAACCTCCTGAGGAGCCAAGCTCAGATAAACATGTAGCTGCAAATCAAGGGGGAAAGAGGCTTCTTGCAGGTGCTGAAGGCCAGGCTAGAGATCAACAACTTCCCCCAAGTGCAAGCAAGGCACAGGAAGAGAGAGGGAAGAACTGGCCGGTGGCCACCAACCCACGTTTAGCTTGCCCAGAGGCAGGTCACAGAGGTGCAAAATTAAAAGAAGTGCTCTTACTCACTTTGCTGCCATGGCAAGGGAGTACTGCTGCTGGGAGGCGGGGGTGGAGGCTGCTGCTGCTGCTGCCATGGGGGAAGAGGACCAGAGGGAGGCGGGGGAGGCTGACCACTGGGTGGAGGGGGCGGAGGGGGCATCATACCCATCGGAGGCGGCATCATACCTGCAAGGTCAGAGCCAGAAAGACAGTTAAGTAGAACCGGGTAACACCCACACACATGCTTTGTGTGCCCCCACCTCAATTTGAAAAAGAAACAAACAGGTTGCTCACCTTTTCCTTGGAGGCGATAGACCCCAGAGCCCACTGGCGCATTGCCCAGGTACTGATCTTAAGGGAATGAGAGACCATAGCTTTAGCAACAGTTGGAATTGATGAGCTCCACCAGCCCAGGTCATCATGACAAAGTCAGCCACCAGCAAAAATAAACGAGACTGGGCTATGGAAGGGCAAGGCTCATCAGCCCATGAGGCTGTACTGAGGTTGACCCTACCCATTCCCAAGATCGCCAAGGCTCACCCCCCTCTTCAGTAGGCTCCCCGTGGTGTTCTGGATTGTACTTACCCATGTGATGGGGCCCGGGGGGACCGTGAGGATGTGGTCCCTGGTTCATTGGTGGGTTGTGAGGCTGCATCCAAGGTGGAGGACCATTGGGGTTGTGCTGCATTGGGTGACCCCCATGTCCTCCCATATTTGACATGTGGTGGGGGAAATTGTGAGGGCCACCGGGCCCTCCAGGTCCCCCTCCTCCTCCTCCACCGCCTCCACCTCCGCCACCACCATGCATGCCATGGAAGGGCCTGTTTTCAGAGGGACCAGAGTTCATCCATGGCGGGCGGTTCTAGGAGAGAGATGGAAACGAGCAGTTATTCCAATGAGGTAAGAACAAGCGAGGAAGATCACAGGCCATGTACACTCTGCACTAGAAGTGAATTGCCCATCGGTCAGTGCAAAGTATCAAAATCCTAACCCCTGTCCAAGGGGAATATCTGCTCACCCCTCACCACAGGATTATGAAATTTCAGCAAGCAGTGCTCAAGTGTTTTAAAACTTACCTTTGCAGCCATGCTGCAAATTAACGACACCCTCACCCGTCCAAGGATGTTACACTTTTTACTTCCACATAACACAAACAGTCTTCCTGGACCACAACAAACTCTTCTGATGTCCTGCCAGGCACACTGGCTCAATTCAATCCTATTATTCCTTTTCGAAAGACTTGAAGAATCTACTCCCGTGACTTCCAATCTGCCCTCACCAAGACCTTCTACCTAGAGAAGCCCATGACTACTCACAGGAGGTGGCTGGTTGTTTCCTGGCCCCGAAGGTCTTGGACCACTTGGCAGTGGTGGATTGGAAGGTCCCGAAGATGATCCCACCGATGCTGGGACAGGAGCTTCTCCCAACTCAGCCATCAAAGACAGGTATTCCTTGTCCATGCGTGCTTTATCCTGGGCTGACTGGGGGTCTCCAGGCCTGGAAGGAGAAAGACAGTTACTGGAGGCTCTGTGCCAGACAGAGGCCAAGATTCCAACTGCAATATCGAAAACACCCAAGTCCTGAGTTGGACAGTAATCCTCCCCTCCTGGCCAATTATGGGTATCTTCACTTCTACCAGAAGCTATTTAAGGCACCCATAGAATTGTAGAGTTGGAAGAGACCACAAGGGTCATCTAATTCAACCCCCTGCACTGCAGTAATCTTTTTGCTTAACGTGGGGATTGAACCCACGGCCCTGAGATTAAGAGTCTCATGCTCTACCGAATGAGCTATTCCAGGGATAAAACACCCACATTAAATCTTCACACTTCAGAGGAAGCAGATGTTCACACCTTGTCACAGGCATGATGCCCTGCTCCTTGCTCTGGAGCACAAGCAGTGCAATTTTCAGGCCTTCCCAGCTGAGGCTTACCGGGCAAATTTGCAATCTGATGCAATGTGGCCAGCTCCTCCACACTTGGTACACACAGTGGTGTTGGTGATGCTGCGAGTCTCAGTGTTTTGCCATGGACGCAGAATTCTGAAGTGGGACAGTAATAAGAAAAGATTGGTAACTGACCCGAGTTCCTTTCCAGTGGGTGAAATTGGGCACTGACCAATACGCACCTATTGTCATCTTCACGCAGTGTCCCATTGAGGCGGGCCAGTTCCCGCAGCTGCATCTTGCGCAGATCATTCTGGTCCTCTGGAGTTTCAATGCCTTGCTTCAGAATGTTACGGATCTAGTAGAGGAGAGGAGTGCATGTTGCTCTATCATTAAGACTGGATCACTGGTCGGATTGGATTACTATGGTCCTTCCAGGGGGCATGCAGGAAACTTCCAAAACACCCACCAATGCATGAGACAGGGAGGATCACACAGTGTTTTGTTGCTTGGCCCTCTGTGTCCTTTACCTGTTCCACTGCCTTCTTCACATTCTCCATGGTGTTAGCTGTGACCAAAGCATGAAGTGGCTCATCCTCACCAGGCAGCATCTGGCCATCTTTCCGGCCCACCTTCCCTTCTTTCACAGACCCTTTGCCTCTGATCATAATCTTAGCGTTGCACTCCTTCTCAATGTTCTTCAATGTGTTCCCTCTAGAATGGGGAGAACCCAAATCCAAGAGTTGAAATCAACAGCCAACACTCTGAGTGTCTTCAAAAGAAAAAAGGCACTCCCACCACTAACAGCTTCAGAAACAAACAAACAACTAGGAGGCTATCTTGCAATCTTGAAGGCAGGGGGAATAAATTTCAGTGATAAGGAAACAACATAGCTAAAGGAACCTAATCCTATTGCTACTGTACAAGGTTTACAAAACAGGTTCCAAGGATCAGCCTTGCCTCATAATTAAAGTCTTAATCATTCAGAAAATATTGTGGGGAGAAGCAGAAAATTTACAGTATGCTTGCTGAATTTACTAAGGATCAGCAGTGACACATTAAACTAGACATTTTATCTGATCAGAGGAAAAACTTCACGAGCTAAAGCAATTCTCACATATCCAACATTCTACATCACCACCTCTTGACATCAAGACCATTTCCCAAAACCTTCCAGTGATTCTGGATTTGTCACTTCTCAACTCTTAATTATCCACCCTCCATGGAAGAAACACATGCTCTTACCTGGGTCCAATCAGAAGCCCAACGAAGTTAATCTCAGGATATTCATCCTGTGGGATCATCACCTTATCACTCACTCGAGTTGCTGGAGGTCTGCGAAGGATTACACAGCAAGTGTCATGCGTGGTTGTCCCCAACAACAAACCCCTGCCAAGCTCAAACTGACAACCCTTGAAAACAATTCAAAACAAAGAGGCCCTGGGATAGCACCAGTTGAGAGGCCATAATCAGTTCATTTATTTTATTAAAAATGCTATTACTACTTGTTTTTAAAAAACCCTCAAAGTGGTTATTGAGCAAATGATTCTACAATGGCTGCTAATTTTGATAAAATACAAACCAGACCACCTAAGATTTTCAGACACCCTGTTGAGAGTGCCCCCACCTTTCAGGATCTGGTGAGTGAGAATGCAGAGCAGGGTCTCCTCAGCTGCACTGCCTCACCTTCTGAGCTCTCCTCTTTGTTAATTTGTCAGATATCCAGATGTGTTTAGGTGACTGCCGAAGACCTTTCAATTCTTTACTTTAACGGTATTTGACTGACTATAATGTCATTTGCTGAGTCTTCTTAAGAAATATCTTTTACTCAGTTTTGATTTATGTGAAATGCTGCTAAGCAAGCTCAAAGTGACTGTGAGGCAAGCTAGACCCATTTCAAGTAATAGGCTGGGCAAGAAAGAAGCTACCCCTAACCCCAAACTTGTCTTTCTCCCCCAGTTTACTTGTAATCAGCTGGTGGCTTGAAGTCTGGGTTGAGCGCCACCATCTCTGTTATCAGGTTGTGCCTCTCCTCTTCCAGTTTCTTGCGTGTACGGAATTCACGGGTGTTCAAACGCTTCCCCTCACTATTGTAAATCGGTTCAGGGGAAGGAGACCTGCAGAGGAACAATCTCCAGTTATTTCTCATGCAACTGAACCCTTGAGGCTATTTATTAAGTACAGGCTTCCCCTCAACTCTAGCACAATTTAGAAAAATAAAATGAAATAAGAGACCACAGGAAAGGAAGGTGTAAACTCACTCATGCCCATTAATGCCTCATGGACAAGGCGGCTGTAGCAAACCACTGCCTGCTACCAGGAAGAAAAAAACTGGGGTATTTTATTGGGTAAGGAGGGGTGCAGAAAAGGGAGTGGGGTCACACACAGCCATGACAACAGCTCTGCCATGAGTGTGCCTGTTGTTAAAAAAGGGGAGGGGGGCAGGGAAGATGGAGAAAGTTGATTCACACAAAGAACAAACTTTCCAACTTCATTATTCCATGGAGGCAAACAATTAGAAAGAACCCTGGTGCAGGAGGTAAATCAATAAAGAATTATTCATGTTAACCCTGGACTTTTTAACATCAGAAAAGTAACAAGACAGGTTAAGCTTCTATCAAACCCTTTCTGGCAATACAAATTATGTCTATTTCACTGGCACCACGTGGACGGGTCAAGGCTTCTGTCCTGGCTTTACCTCCATTTTGCTGGCTGCATCAAGGCCGACTGAACCTGTTTACTGTGTTTAAGAGTTAGAGAACTGGGGTGGGTACAAGTTCAACAAGCCCACCCTTCTCATGCCACAGTCTGGGCCTGTAAACCGCTAGAGACAGACCTGCTTTCTCCATGTAGTTTAGATGCCCAGAGGTTCTAACAAATAAAAATGTTATAACTAAAATTAAAAAGAGTCAGTTTGATTTATCACAGCTGCGCTTGCGGTAAAAAAGCCACACTCTTAGAATTCTGCTTAAGTTTATGGATCTTTTTCCAAACATATTGAAATAAAAATTTAGAGTTAGCTGCAAGAAGGGAAGAGATATTGGTCATGTTATCAAAAAAATACATCCTTGAAGTAATCAGAAACCTAAACCTTGGGATTTTAGTTAGACAATCTTTCTTTCTAGTTGGTTAAAGGATTGATTAGAGCCAGTTGATCCCAATGTCTTCTCAGCCTGAAGTGAATCATCAACACAAGAATATGAAATAAAAAGGTCAGATTTTGTAAGGAGTGATCACATCTAAATTACACCTCCGTTTCTAGGACCTGAGAAGGCTTAACAGTCCCAAAGCAATGTGAACAATTTTATCTCCCCCAGTCAGCATTCACTAATAAGTTTAAAATAAACCCATTCACTAGCTGAGTAGATCCTTTTAAACACAAAGACATGGGTAATTAATAAATTGATGGTTCCAAGATTAAACCTTCAGGAAAAGTTTAACGCTGAATGTATCTAATAGCTTCATGCCTTTAGTAAAAGCTGTCTTTCTGCAAGCAAGTGAGGTAATTCACTTTTACTATATGTTAATGGCATCATGTATTTTAGCCAGTATGGTCTCAGTTCAAGAACATCTTATGTATACATGACAGTAACTGCAGCCCCCACTCCCACCCCACATTCTGTATTAACCTTCTGTTACATTAAGACCCAACACCTCATGTTACTCTTCTAAAGCACAAAAATAAGGCATATAAATCTGCTCCCACCAAGAATGAGTTCACCTGTCAAGTTTAACCCAAAGCCCATTATGGGAGTCCAAAAGGTATTCCTCAGCTGTACTTTTAAAACTAAAATAGGCAATATCAGGCCCCAAGAACTAGAGCTGAAAGCTCTTTTCTTTTGCAAGGCATCCAAAACTACTAGCAGCCTCACCATGTTTATTTACGGTCCCAAATAACTGTTTCAGTTGGGCCAAATTTAAGGGGAAAGTGTATTCCACTTCAAGAACAAGAATTAGTTTACAAGTTGTGCAACATGCTATAACACAACAATTTCCTGATTATACCTTCTGATAAAGAAATTAATGTTTACAAGCCAATTTAAAAACGAATCAAACACAGAAGTTATTTTGTTGGATGACACTGAAAGCCCAACAAAACCACAGGTGTCCAATTCGGCATACTGCAGGTGCAGTACTGCTTGGGCCCCAAATCCCAAGATATTGGCCAATGCTGTGTAGTAGCTGCTACCAAAGAAATTGGTTAGTACCCATCTGGTTTAAAAACCATGCTCAGCCACCACTTGTAAAGTACTGTAAAATCAGCTGTCAGAAAAAGTTTCCAGGCTGCTCAGACTCAGTGACTGTGCTGAGGATTCCTCAGTGTGAACCTGCGAGAAAAACCTCTGGACACTTGCCCAAGACCAGCACTGAACAGGTTAAAATTAGTTGGCCACCATGTATGTATCTTTTTCTTAGGTCGGGTTAAATAATTGCAAACTACAGACTTAGAAATCCTCAAGCAAGGATGGAACCTTTATCCCTTTCTGGTTTTACCTTCCCTAGCAAGTAAGATCTCAGCTACCATCTCTGACAAATTAGACCACTGAAGACATTTCATTAGGAAGAAATTGCATTGAACTGACATTATGATGCCACCAAAAAATTATTGAAAAAGGTAAAAAATGTTACTGTCAGCTGGTTAAAACTGTTTCCCAACCTGTCCTCAGGGTTAGGGGGGATGCCCAGGTCTCCTGTGCGCAGTTTACGAGTCAGGTCTTCTATCTGCAGTTGCACTGGAAGAAACCAGGTTAGGAAAGAAAAAAGGATGGAAAAAAAGACAATGTTACCAAAAAACATCTCAAATCTCAACATCAAAGCATGAAGAACTGGAGAATTTGCAAGGGATGACTGATACTTCATCAATATAAAGATCAGGAGACCCTACAATGTTATTTCAGTCAAATATGTTCATCAGGATTCCAGAACAGTCCCTCATTATTTCTAGCAAGTATTCAAAAAACATTACACATCAGGAAGCAAAGCATTCATCTGAGAGTTAGCAAAAAATAAAATAAAATATCTAATCTTTGTGAATCTTATTTCCAGCCTACTGAAAGATAATCATCCCAACTTTCTATAATTGGCATTGGACAAAGACTTCTAGTAGGAAGCATGGCCATCACCAATGCTCACTTCTTTTAAAACATCAGAACCATCTTGCTTTGTTATGAATGCATTGGTCAATCTAAGATGGAACTTTGAAACTGCACAGATCATACCCGATTAGCAGACGTTGTCTCTTTCTTGAGATTCTGTCATATTGGCCATGCTTCTGCATGTATTATGTAACCCTTTGCTAACTAGCAAACACTAAACACTGAACTGCATAATTAAAGGAAAGCATGCTTTAATTTTCTGGTTATCCAATACTGCACAAAGACAACCGAACACCCAGTACTAACAGATATCAAACATGTACCAGTCGATTTTTACACCCAGAATAAAAAAAATATTTACTCTGGTTCATCCAACATAGCGCAAGGATTAGTATTTGCTCAACTAGTGAAGAGTATCAAAGGCAGAGCAGCAACTGGTTTGGGATTCAGAACCGAAGCCCCTTGTTGAAGCAGCTTTGTTCAAGTCTCCCAGACATCGGTCAGGCTACAATGGAGGAAATGGTTTGTAGACTGCGAGCCAAATCACTACTAAGCAAAGGTACACCCACACCCATATTAATAAGAGACTCCTTATACATGTAACAGAACATAGAAGATGCAGATAATCCAGGCCTGACAAAACCTATCTCCAGGGCGCAGCAGGCCTGGTGAGAGAAGGCTACTCAACACCACACAACCCAGCTTCTCATGAATTGCTGAGATCTTAGAGGAGGCCTCTATTTCATGCTGAGCTTTGGAGGTGGAAAAGGGTTTCTGTATACAGGAGAGGGAGGGCTGCTCTCCATGTTGCACTGAGCTTTGGGAAAAACAAAAGCAGCCACTTCTGCTTGCTCCAAAGCCTAATATGATGAGACACCATCAATCCCTCTTTCCATAGGTCTCTGGCACACAAAGGGGGGGGGGCAAGCACAAATAATGCTGGCTATGGAGCCATGTCAAATTGGGAGATTCCCCTGAAATAACTGAGAGTAACTTTGGAAGATGCTATAAAGAGGCAAAACACAAGCCAATGAATTGAAGCTGGATTTGAGTCAGTAAGCTGAAGCTGAATCCTCAAGAAGAAGCAGACCCATACTTTGGGGTCAGGTAAACTGCTGGATTGTCACTGGAGGTTCAGGTGGCCTTGGTGGCTAGGAATGCCTAATTCCAGCTTTGGCTGGTGCACAGCTATGACCCCTTTTAGGCTGAGATGAATTAACCACTGCACTCCATGCTCTAATAACTTCCAGACTGAATTATTGCAATGCACTCTACTGTGTCTGCCCCCTTAAAGATGACTAAGAAACTTCAACTGGTCCAAAATGCAGTGACCATATTGCTGGCTAGAGTTCCATTTAGAATGCACATAATCCCTCCCTTTAAAGAGCTGAATTGGTTGCCCAATTCAAGGTGCTCACATTAGCATTTTAAAGCCTTAAAGAGTTTTGGCCCCCAAATTCTGCAAGACCACCTCCTTCCCTAAAGATGCTCTCAGGTGTTGTGTTCAGCAAACGGAGGCCCTCTTGGTAGTTCCACCACCCTCAGAAGTTCAGACATGATGGCCCTGATGAGGTCGTTCTCTGTAGCAGCCCCTAAGTTGTGGAATTTCCTTCTCAGAGATGTATCTGGCACCTTCACTGTATATCTTTTGTCGTCCCCTGAAAATGCACCTCTTTACCCTGGCCTTTGACGCCCAAGATAAAATAATAGAATGAGCCCTAAATACATTTAATTGTAAACTATCTTAACTGATTTTAATATTGTATTTTTATATTATTGTGACATCCCTTAAAATTAAATCCAACAATGCCAGAAAATGCAACTAGCTGTCAGTTTCTCCAGCCACAATCTTACAAATGAGATATTAGGTGGTTGAGCTTTGTACATACATCAAAATATAATGCATTCCATGCGTGAGCCAAAACCAACAGAAAAATTGGTACTAAAAGATTTCCTTCATTATTTTAGGCATTGGCAAACCTTATCTAATCAATAATTGAAAAGATCTAGATTCTTCAGTTGATGTTAAACATGAAAACAAATGTGGGGCTGAAACACTATTGGACATTAAATATTATGTTATGGAGACATGAGAGAACTGAAGGAACAAATACGTTATTTACTGGTGATCACACAATATTATGAACATCATTTGTGTGTCACCAAGGCTTCTCAATGTGGATTATAACTGAGAAAGCCTGCAGTCCTTAGCAAATACATTTCCAAAAATGCAGAAAACAGCCTAAAGTTCATCAGCCAATTTTTCTCCTCCAGGCCAGGCAGTGTCTAGCTCTACTGTAGAATCTCTCTCAAACTTTGTTCCCACTTATTCATCTTAAGTAAGTAACATGAAAAACCTTCAACAAGCTCTAATCTCGTTACGTCTTCATGTTTGATCTCCTTGAAGTAAACATAATTTGAAAAGGTTCAAGCAAATCAATCACCTGTTGAAATCAATAGAGTTGACCACGGCGAAGTTCAGAACATGTTGGAACTTATTTCCAGAGCTTGTTCACAAGCAAAGCTTTGGTTTTTCAAAAATTGTTTTTCCTTTATTGAAATGCTGTAATACTACGTTTTTTTGACACTGGTATTTCATCTCTCACATTAATGGTATATTAATGGTATATTCTCTTTCACATAGAAGGAGCCTTCCTCACTCCCTTATTACAGATGTGCATGTACCTTTGTGATAGTATTTAGACTCAATAAAGGTCACACGTTCCTCTGCCTCTTTACCTAGTTTTGTTGTGGACTACAAGGCCCATTTTCACCATACCAGTTAGTTAAGCAAGTGGAGCACTCGTATCTTCGCATAGACTGAGAATTCTGACCCAATTCTATCCATTTACAGACAGAGCTGTTTGTTAGCAGAGTCTGACAGAGCTGCTCAATTACCTATCAGAATTTATTTTTAATGCATTTCTAAACCAAATGGTTCAACAGCAGGGCTGCTCTCTTTGATCATTTCAAGCCAACCATTCTTTCGCCCACATCGATTCTCTACCAGATCTGTAAGAACTATTAAATTAGTACCAAGTTACTGTTAATAAGAATATAAGGTAGGGATCAGGTAGTGTAGCTTGGTTAAGCAAAGCCTAAGTAGAGGTAAATTAAAAATAAAAAAACAACTTCAGAAATGTTAAGAAAACTGACTCTTCAGGAATGCAGTGCAGAGCACTAGGTAACAACCAGCTTTTCCAACTTGCATTAAGTGGCACACCTTTTCAATACAGAAACTTTGACCAACTCAAGAGAGAATATTCTGCACTGTATAAACATTGACTTAACCTTGAAAATTGTGCAAGCCTTTAGAGCAGTAAAGCAGCTCTCAGCAGTATTATGGATAGCTATACATTATATATCAAAATTCTCAGTGATTTATGCATAAGAAAGGAGTTAAAGCTTATTGTGAAATCCTAATGAGATGAACAGTTATTAAATGGCCTTATGTTCAGGGGGAAACCTTGGTTTATTGAGAAGGCAAGGACTGTACCATGTAATGTAACACCAGAGCACACTAGAATGATTTCAGTCGGAGTACTGATCAACAGTCACAAATAAACAGTCACACCACATTTCTCAATACAAATAATGCAAATAACATTCTCTGTTCCACATACAATACAGTATCATTTGTCACTCCCCAGTTTTCACAGTTAACAGTTCCAACATCATGATTCCCACAGAACCAAACAGTGTCTCTTTCCCAGCAATTGTGTACGTGAGTACAGATCCACAAACTAACCTAGCGAAGCCCACTCATCAAAAACCAGAAGTTAGGGGGCTCTCCCTGCTTTTGAGTGGCATCAACGATCTTCACCACCTTGGAGTATCAATTTTAGCTTTAAAGAATTAGCATAGCAACATAAGAGAAAGTCAGAAGGGAACCATGGTTATGTTAGTTTACAATATTCCACTGCAAAAGAGGTACTTGCTTCCAACAATACAGCTTGAAAAGGGACTCTTAGTGTTCTCTGTTAGCAGGGAGTCTGTGAAGCTAATAAGAGACCCTCCTGATTAGATTTTAATGGCCAATTAAGTAAATGTCAGCAAGTTTCATTCCCCAGCACCTCAAAGGACTTTAGCTTTTCTACTGTGCCTGTGGAGGACACTCTTTCACCCAAACAGTACAAGGAGCTAGGATGGCGCACAATTCACTCTGAGCAGAGACATGAATATTCATCTATTTTAAGAAATGAAAACAAGGCTGGAACAACTTGAGCCCTTAAAAGCACAATTTTTAAATGCCTCAGACGCACACAACCAAAAATAGTGTCTGGATCAGTACTGACATGAACAAATGAAAACAGGAAAAGAACGAGTATTTACCTATATAAGCTCTCTCTTGTTCACGGGTAAGCCCAGGAGGGATAACTGTGGGCATTCCAGGGATGACAGTCTTCTGGTCCATGGTATCTTGATTCCATCTGCTCCTCTTCCTCTTTTTATTGGGAAAATCTGCAGACAGATAGGTTTCTTTAAAGGAACAGTTAATATGTGTCAAAATTCAATTTGGCTTTAAGATAGCCTTAGTTAGCATTGTTCAAGTTCCCCACCATGGCATATTATTATTATTATTATTACCCCACCCTTTACTATCAGATCCCAGGGTGGGTTACAGCAATTTAAAATTCAATATTAAAAACAATTTTAACAGAACAAATTAGTCCTGTGAGTATAGGGTGGTATACAAATTTTATTATTCTTATTAATAATAATAATACTAATAATAAGTAGTAGAAGTCGTGGAAATAGTGACAAGGTCCTGAAAGCATATCACAAGCGCCCACAGCGTAACAAAACCATCTCTATTCTTTCAATGATCAAGCTCCCACACAGATAAAATGGACAATGGGGTCTCTTGCAATCTGGGAGCCAACTCTTTAGTTCCTTTGGATTTCAAAGTCATTTCAGTTTAGGCATGCTGTGTCTCTTGAGCAAGCCTTTTCTTCTTTTTATAACTTGGCTAATGCCTGTGGCTTTTAGGTGAGCATGCAGTTAATTAATCTTACTAAAGACTCCAAAAAGAAAGCAAGAATTGCATGCCCTTTCAACATTAATACACAATTCAAAGTCAAACTGCGAAGTACAGTAATATATTCTCAAGAGATGAAACTGTTGCGAAGGTAAGAAAAAATTATTGGTAAGATAGTTCAAAAAGGGATACAGAAACACCACACAAAGTAGCCTTGCCCCCCAGATTATGGACACAATGCTACTACAGTACTATTTAGTTCTAGATCAGCAAACATTTGGAACATGAGCGCCTACTACTTATTTCTCCACATACCCTGGTACATATCTCAAATAATCTGCTTAATTATTAAACAGTATTTGCACCAAATGAAGCACTGCAAAATTACATGAATGACAGTTCCTTCAGATGTGTAACATTTTCCACAGAATTACAATCTACTTACAAGACTTTTTGTCTTATTCCAAAATTTTGAAAATGATTTTTCCTGGAGAACATTAAAATCAGGGTAAAATTAACTGCCCTTAAAAATGATATGAGTTAGAAAAACAGAAGCTTTATTACGCAATTCTTTAACAGTCCTACAAATAGGCTGCATTTTGTCCATCCTTATCCACAGGGAAATGTCAGCTATTTCAAAGGCACCAACACACCAGATTACACAGCTCCCTTAAACCCTGTCCACTGTTTAACTAGAAACCTCTCTCAAACCCTAACAAGCACATTATATTTGTTTTTATAACACACTGATTCTTCTCCCCCACCCCCCATTTTAACCTCACAACAATCCTGAGAGGTAGGTTGATCAGTCCAAGGCCACCCAGTGAGCTTGGAAATTTGAAACTTGGGTGTTCCCAGTCCTATTATTATTAACAGTAATAAAGCCACACCAGCATTTTATTATTCGTTCCTCTTTCATTCAATCCACTCCAACAATCCTTCTCTAGCTCCCTGTGTTTAATGTCACGCTTACTAGAATCATGTTTGTAAACATAACACGAAGGAAATGAGATGAAGGGGAGTTCAAAATCCCTCTATCTGGCTTCATCGGTGACATCTGGTTAAGTTCTCTGATGTGCAGCTAGCTCTTTATGAGTTAAACTTGGTTTTTTTCTTTTAAATTGAGTTATTACATTTGACCAGAAACCCTAACCTATGCTTGTAACAGGAACATGAAAATCCCTAAAATAAGGAGCACTGAAACTACCATTAGAAGCTGCAGAGGAACCACGTGGCAATCCTACCCCGAAGGGCCACGTCGCCTGTTTTACACACAGCGCGGTGTGGCGGCTCAGGAGAGTGTCTTTTTGGAGACCGGCGATCAGCCTCTGGGCCCCGCTCCTCCTCGGGAGAGATCTCGGGACAGTCACTTTCTCACACCCCTCTAGCCAAACCTCGCAGGGTTGCTGCGATGGCAAAGGATGCCTCTCGAGCCAGTCTCTCCCCCTGTGCGTTTGACCTGCTTCGCGGGGCTATAGCATGGAGACAGGGGAGGAAGTATCCTCCACTCCATTCTCAACCTAGCCTACTTCAAAGAGAAAAAGGGCCTCTTGGACAGCGAGGCATTCATACAAACAGCAATCAAGTAATGGTAATAAAACGTTAGGCGGCGCTGGCGGCCGCCTGCCATTCCTCCCTCCGACTTGCCTTGGTTCCCGGCCCCGGCCTGTCCGCCCTCGTCCTGCTGCTGGAGGTGGTGGAGGTGCTGCGGGCCTTGCGGCGGGGGCTGCTGCTGCTCCAGGCCCAGCGGAGGCTGCGGCGGGGGCGAAGGGAAGCGGTACTGGCTATACTGGGCCTGTTGAGCCTGCTGCTGCTGCTGGGCCGGCGGCGGCGGCGGCGGGGGCTGCTGCTGCTGGGGAGGCGGCTGGGGCTGCTGCGGTGGTGGTGGCGGCGGCGGAGGAGGCGGCGGCGGTGGCGGCGGGAGGGCGGCGAAGGGGAAGGCGGCGGCCGCCATGAGGCTGGGGATGGCGGGCTGAGGCTGGGCCTGCGCGGGGCCCGGCGGTGGCGGTGGAGGCGGGGGCCCTTGCATGACCAGGCCCGGCGGAGGCAGCGGGTAGCCGGCCTTGCCCGGCGGCGGGGGCGGGTGGAGCTTCCCCAGCGGCGTCGCGTTCGCTCCAGTCGCCATAGACGGAGAGACACACGCAATGGCGCCCGCCGCGATTTCGCGAACCTTCCACGCCAAAGTCTCCCCTCACAAAGGCGGGAGGCGGCGATTGGTCGCAGGACCCGTCCTTCGCGCTCCCGTGCACCACCCCGTTGGGCAAGGTTCGTGTCGCTCAGCCCGCGGCGTGAGGCGATTGGAAGAAGGGCGCGTTCGCGGGAAAGGGATTGGCAGGAAGGCAACGGAAAGGCAGGTCTGAAGTGGATTGGATGTGTCGGTTGTCGCTCAGCTATAAACCGCGCCGCCGTGGTCATGGATTGGCTGTGAAGCACGGTGGGCGGGAAACGTAGCTGAAAAGTGTGAGACTCGAAACTGCGAGGAACTCTGATTGGTTGTACTTGAACACCCCCCCCCGCCTCTCGGGTTACTACGCTTTCTGCGTTTGCGGGAAGGACGTTAAGAAGGGATGACGTCAAGGAGCTCGTTATCTGTCATTGGATAACAGTTTAAGGTGGCCGGGGTGGGGTGAACCTTTGGTTCAGAGAGTTTATTAGCAAGGACCTGAAATGGCTCACTTGCCCAGCGCAGAGGCTTTTCGGAAAAGCAGGAGTTTGAGCCTGCGGGGTCCTCAAAGGATTCTGGGAGGCTCGCCTTTTAAGTCAAGGCCAAAGATAGAGGCCCATTTCAGTTCAAGGGCCACACGTTATCTCATGGAAAAGCTCTCGGGGGCCACATTCGAGTAGTGGGCGGGGCTAGAGGGGAAAGTATGGTCGTGGCTTGATTTTAAAAAACCCACCTTCATTCAGTGGCCTATGATATGTCTGTATTTGTATTTATTGCAGGAGTGGGGAACTTCCAGTCCAAGAGCCCCACGGGGCCCACTAGGCTGTTTTGGGGACACCCAACTGCCCTGCACCTCACGTCATTCATGCCTTCCATGATGTCATACATGCCCATGTGGGAAAGGACAGTGCTTCAAAGGAAGAATTGGGAGCTTTAAACTGTGTTCCCAGTTGCTCCCAGTGCTTGCAGGAAGGGAGCGCATCTGGCTCCAGGAGGGGAAACTGGTTCCCATTTGATGGGAACAGTTTTTTACTGTTCACATGGGGAGGTTTGCAAAGGATGGGGCTGGGAGGTTTGATAGGTGGGTGGGGGAAGACCCACCTGTCAATCATATGGCCATTTTATTTATAATCCTATTTATACACTGCTATTCATTTAAAAAAGAAGAGCATTTTACAACAATGGCACATGAAACCATACAATAAAAACCATATTTAAAAAGTTAAAGTTAGAAATCCACTAACTTATGCAAAGGTGTATTCTTAATTGCCTGCATAAACCTGAAGGCACAAAAAAGTGGGCATTCAGAACTTGAAACAGATGTCTGCTGAATCTCTGTTGGCAGAGAATTCCACAGTATTGGGCCGTTTCTTATTGTTGGCAGATGAGACTTACCAATTCAGACATGAACTGATAGTATGCAGATAAAGGCCCCCCATCTGTGCCAATGGGTCAGTGATATGCAAATGGCTGCAGCCAATTGTAAGGGATCTCCTAAATCTCTGGGATGTGATTTACATGTAAGCCGCCCAGAGTGGCTGGGGAAACCCAGCCAGATGGGCAGGGTATAAATGATAAAATTGTTATGTGTCCCGTGCCAGCCTTACTACTGATCACCTGAGCAGGGGCTGCCTCTTGACATTTTTTGGCAACACACTCAGATGGTGTGGGTGATATCATGGCCACCCCTAGGCTGGCAGACCTGCATGTTCATTACCCCTGTGGGGGTTTCTGGCAGGTTTTTTAAAATGTCATAATCAGTGTGCAGGGTTTGTTCAGGAAAGTGCTTCTCAGCACTTTTACACTTGGGTCCTCCCCAAATCAGGTGGTGGAGAACTTCCGTTCTGTGGGCTAGTCTCGATCCATCAGGGGGTCCAATTTGGCCAGTGAGGCCTGTCCCTCCCAAACCACCTGTCAATCATCAGACATCACTGATGGGACAGCCAAGGGGTATGGTTCAGTCCTGCTGGGAGCTCCTTCACTGGCACATTTATTGCAGGAAACATGCTGGTGAAGCAGACCCCTCTCCCAACCCATGGGTTAACTATGACAAGTGCGAATGATGGGCCACTGTCCATGGCCACTGAAGAGTCACTTCTAGCCAAGACACAGCTGGGATTAGGAAGAAGGGCTTTTGCAGTGGGGGTGGGAATGCTACCCCATGGCTGTAGAAATTAAGAACGGTACCCCAAACTTAATTCCAGGTGACGGTTCTGATCACTCCATTCCCTTGGGATCATGCTGCTGACTGAGTTATTCCATGCACCAGTGAGGAAGACTGGGGTGGTTTTTTTTGTTTTTTTTTGGGAGGAGTGTGTGTGTTCTTGCCGCTGAGTCCTTGTGGTGTGTGTTGCCAGCTGGAAGTGTAAATGTGTGTGTATGCGTGCTTGGCTGGCTGTCCCTGTGCCTTCCAGCACTTCTGTGTCATGGGAGGGAAGACAGCAACAAGAGGAAACAACCAGAGGCAATGTCTGCACCAGGAAGATAAGATTTGGTGCCTAGCACTGCAATAACTTTTGACTTGATCTTGATGCCGTGACTTCCTGTAACTAAAGTAGGGGGGGAAAGGGGGGGCGAGGTGGGCCTGTGGTGGGGGGTGGAGGAGAGAGTGCCAGGAGGGGCTTGCCCAGCTGCTCAACTTTTCTGCCCCCTCAGATGGAAAGAGGGTGCCCCTCCCTTAGAGAGAATACAGTCTGCCTCTTTGTTTGCAAGCAATGTGGATGTGTGTTTGTGCGGATGCACATATGTGCATGGATGGGTGGATGGAGGGAGCAGTGCGTGCCTGGGTGCTGATTCCAGCTTCACCCCTCTGCTGTAGCGTGTGCAAGGAATGGGAGCTGGAACCAGGGGGTGGGGGGACATTGAGCCACATTCCTCCTCCTCCTCTGGGGGATACACATGTGGGAATTTGCACTGGGAATCTCCAAGTGTTCTCTGCCGTGGCTCTGATTTGTCACTTGTGTCCTTCAGCCTCCACCCCTGGACCTATGGCAGCAGATCAAGCAAGTTCACAGGTGAGGGAATCACCCCCAACATCAGAGTAAGTTAAAACTGGCATTCCCCTACCCCTAGTGCCAGTCCCCAGCTAATCAAGCTCTGCAAACACATAGCAAATGAAAAGGGAGGGAACTGAGTTATTTTTTAACTTTTTAAATTATTTGTTAGCTTATATCTTACCTTTCCCCACATAACAGGGTGCTTATGACAGATTACAATACCAATCCCATACTAAGAAACACACAGAGAGAAGCCATGTCTTCTTTTTTAGCCCTCCCAACCTCTTAACCAACTGCATCAGCATCACAGAAAGAGAATGGGAGGAAGTCCCTGCTCTTTCAGTGAATTAAAAAGGTAAAGGTAAAGGACCCCTGACAGTTAAGTCCAGTTGCGAAAAACTCTGGAGTTGTGGCACTCATCTCGCTTTACTGGCCAAAGGAGCCGACGTTTGTCCACAGACAGTTTTTCTGGGTCTAGATTGGCCTAAAACACCACACCAAAGACTCCCAATTCAAAATTTAACAAAGTCAGATCCATTAATTCCACACATCCACTGGGGAGTAAAATACCACAATTTAATATCAAACCCTTACGTTAAATAGCAATTTTCTTTTCAAGTTTGGGTTTTCTCCCCTCTGTTCTCAGACAATAAATTCCAGCTTTAGCAATTAAAAACCACAGAGATATTGGCATCCTGGGAAGAAAAGTTCTTGGCATCCAAGTTAAAGTGGAGTTGCGGTCAGCCCTGATGATCCACAGTTGTGATTCCGATGGGGAGTCTCTTCTGGGCTTCAAAGGCAGCAAAGAAGGGCCACCAAAACACACACAAACCTCCCTTGAAGTGACTCGTGCAGCCTTCCTCTGCTGCCAAGGCAAGCTGAATCAGCATGCCTGGCAGGAGGACCACAGCAGCAGCACTCAGTAGTCATTCAGCCAACCTACCGCCAGGGCAGGACACCCATAACACGTGGCCCAGCTGGGGCTTCACCACCTGCCTCAGAGTGAACATCCATGCTACTAAAAGGAGGCCAAAACCCCAGACAGTACATTAAATGTGTGACTGCACTTTAAAGTGAACAGCTGAGGATCAGGATCCTTTTCCCCAGCCATCCTGCCACACCATCCTGCAGGCAGCTATTTACCCTGTGAGAGAAGCTGCTATTCCCCCAAGAAGTGGCTGGGGACCATTTTCATCAGGGCTGTGGTTCATGGGGAAAAGATTCAGGCCTCCTCCTCCTTGCATTCCAGATAGCAACTATAGGTAAGGCCATGACATGCTGGACGAAAGACACCCCACATAACATGACATGCAAGTTTGCATTTGATTACACCCCCTATAAAAAAAAACAGGCCATCAAGCAATGCAAGAAGCAGACATTTATCATACTGTCTGGTTTGGGCCCCCATAGTGTAAACTTTCTCAAAACTGGCTTGCATTGCATTCTCTCTAAAGGCCCCTGGGAACTGTAGTTTTTTGCAAAGGTGTGGATTCCACTAGAGGTTCCACAGCCCCTTTCACAGTCCTCCATGGGGATTAATTACAGTGATGGACAGAACTGGCCTGGAGCACCTGAGAGGATCTGTTGGGCGATGAGCTCAGGTGCCACCTAAGCCACCACTGTCTCACCCAAAACAACGACCATCCATGCAGGGAGGCAGTTACTCTTCCTACCTAGTCAATCAACAAGCATGACACCCACACACCCACCCACACACACACACACACACACACCAAACGCCCATATACACCCCACCTCTTTCATCATCATCACTCAGCCCTGCCCATCTTCAGCATCTGTCCACTCAGTTGTCCAGCCACAAAACAAATGTTGCCCGACCCCCCAAGTCAATGGGGACAGGCCAGAATCTCAAAGTGCCCTGAAAGACCTTTAAATTAAAGCTCAAGTGCTAAAGGAAGGGGGGTGGGCTCCCCCACCCAACAAACGATTGTCTTCACACGGCAGCAGATTTTGGCACCCCTCCGCAGCATCACGGGAGCGCAACTCCTAAAGGGAAGGAGGGAAGCATTCAAGCAGGCACAAGGTGTCAGCCAGGAAAGATTGCAAATTCTTCCAAATGGCTAGTGGTCAAATTATTGCAAAAGTTTCTCAGGAGATGCTGGCCCAAGTCAGGAGGAAAGAGCTCCTCCCATCCTTGTGCACAGCAGGTTCTCAGGAAGACGACGACGGGCAAAGAGCATTTCTGGAGCCAAACCGAGGTTGCGTCCAGTGTATGGGGCAGCAGAGTGGGGGCTCTTCTGATTTCCAACCCGTCTTTGCCACACACACATGCTGGCAATCATCTCTGCCATCAGCAGGCATGGCTTGCAGCCCTGTGTCTCCAACAATAGTGCATCCCCACAAGGCTGAGCTGACCACCTCCCAGAGGCTGGAGGCTTTGGAAGGAGGTCATCAGTAGCTGCTCTCGTGACCCGTCAGGATGTAGAGGTTGCTCTGCGTTGTGGGGTTGTCTGTAGGGATGCTCTCCAGGATGATGTCTCTGGCAGGGAAGAGAGAGAGGAGGCAAGAAGAATGAGCAGCACAGCCCATGTACAGGCATGTGCCAGGCAGGCAATGGAAGGGCTGGCACAGCCAGGGCATTGGCAAGAAGTACGCAGGTGGCGCTGTGGGTTAAACCGCAGAGATTGCGGATAAAAGCAAACACCAGCCGTGGTCAAAACAAGCCAAGACAATGTCCAACCATGCGTTGTTTGACGAAACCAGAGCTCGTTTCCAACCACAACCTGCGGTTCAAACAGAACGACAGGAGGCTGCAAAACTAAACTCTGCTGGCGTCCTGGCTGCACCAGGAGGAGGAAGGGAGAGGCGGAGAAAGGCTATTCCAGCTCCTCTACAGAGCACCGGACTGCAGTTTGGTGTGGATTGTGAACACACCCACTCAGCCAAAAAGCAACGTATGTGGATTGGAGGGCAACAGGAAGGTGGGAAATGGAGAAATGTTGAGGTTTCCTCCTCAGAGGCATTTCCTCACCTGTGAGCTCCCAAGACCCGGAACACTCTGGACTCATCCGTCACCTCCTGCGTCACCTGTTACAGAAGGAAGGGACAACTGAGTGGGAAATCCCCATGTCAGGTGGCACATTTATCAAACCCATAATACCCTTTAACTTCTTAAAAAAGGAAAAAGAATTAACCCACTGCTCCTATTAATTACCTCACATTTTCTACTCTATTAATGATGATGATTAAAATTAACTGTATTTATATCCCACCCATCTTCCAAGGAGCTCAGGGTTGCTGCACATAATCCCCAACCCACCACTTTATCCTCACAACCACCTCCTATGAGAACTCAAAGCCATCCAAGTGGGTTTCATGGCTGAGTGAGGATTTGAACCCAGGCCTGCCCATCTCTAGTCCAACAAACCACTAAGCCATGCAGCAGAAAGGCACCACTTAAACCATGAAAGGTGGCGGTCAGAGATAGGAAGATGCCTTATACTGCGTCAGACTGTTAGTCCATTTAACTCAGTCTGGTCCCACACTGGCAGCATTCCAGGGTTTGACCTGGGATGTGTTGCATGCAAAGGAAATGCTCTGCCACTGAGCTAAGGACCCTCCTGAATGGGTGGATATAGGATTTTTATCTATCCAAGCTGCTCCAGCGAGTGGTACTGATGTAATGTGTTTTGCATGCATCATTTGAGTGTCTGAGAGAGCGTGAGACAGGAAGTCTGAGTACTGTTGGAAGTTAGTTTCACTTCTGAAAGTGTTGCTGTTCTGTACTGGTGCTCAAAGAGCACAGACATGCTGATGGATTCTCTGTACGTATAGACTGTAAAATAAAGTAATTTTAGAACTACGATTGACTCTTTCTTCTGCAATGACATGCCAGAAGACGAGCGTGCTCCTCTCAGAAGGGAGGGGTCGCTTATGGGTCTCTCTGGACTGAGGGTAATTTACAGCCAGGGAGGACCACCAGAGAGACACCCCGGAGTCTTGGGAAGTTGGCGGCCTTCCCGGGCGTGTTTCCAACAGGGTATACATAGAATTGTAGAATTGGAAGGGACCACAAGGATCATCTAGTGCAACCCCCTGCAATGCAGGAATCTTTGGTCCCATGTGGTGCTCAAACCCACAACCCTGAGATTAAGAGTCTGATGCTCTACCAGCTGAGCTATCCTCTGTACGTCAAATGTCACAGACGGAAGCCACACAGTCCAGGAAAAATAGCACCTCACCACCGCCCAACGGAGCTTAACTCGTGTTTTCTCTGATGGTCCTGTTGTCAGGCTGGTGGTTCGATGCCCACAGGCCCCTCTGCCCCAGGCTGGCCGGACTCACCTCACTGGATTCCAGGCTTCGGCCTTGCATGCCGTGTTTCCAGAAGGCCAGGACACTGTCCTGAAGGCACACTGCAAGAATGGGGAGACCACAAGTGAGCAAACAGGCCCCCCTCAGAGGTTAGCTGTCACAGCAAGAGCCTCTGAACTCAGGAATCAGGAACCCCACCTCCCAAATCCAATACAGTGGTACCTCTGGTTGCAAACGGGATCCGTTCCGGAGGCCCATTCACAACCCGAAAGGAACGCAACCCACGTCTGCACGTGCGCAGGTTGCGATTCGCCACTTCTGCGCATGCATGTGATGTCATTTTGTATGTCTGCATGCGCCAGTGGCGGAACCCGAAGTAACCCTTTCCGGTACTTCTGGGTCGCCGTGGGACGCAACCTGAAAACGCTCAACCTAAAGCAAACGTAACATGAGGTATGACTGTACTGCCAGAGGGAAGGCACTCGAGGATCCACGACCCGTTTGGGAGGCCTCAAACCCCACCCGACACACCCCATCCAGGGACCCTCACCTACCAATGGTCTCGATAGGGAAGTGGAACGTGAGTTCTGGAGGAAGGGCTCCCTGAGGGGCGCCGTGGAGGTTCACCACCCTCACACAACCTGAGGGAACGAGAGAAGGAGGAGCAGCGTTGGCCAAAGGGCAAAGAGGCAAGCGAGGGGAGGGGCAGGCAGACCGCGGGGAGACCAAGGCCAAGGGAGCAGGTCAAACTGGGGAAAGACTTACGCTCAAAACACACCAGGACAGTGTCTCGGTCCATCTGCGTCACGTGGCTGGCCATGACCAAGGGCCGACCTGCAAGGAAAGAGGCATGGGAGGCTAGTCTAGGGCTGGCCCTCGCAGCAGGGGCGGGGGAAGCTGGGGGCCACATTCAGCGGAATGGGAGGAGGAGCAAGAGGGGCGAGATGTCAGTGGGAAAAGAGGAGGTGGTTGGCATGCAGACTGCCCCAGGCTCAGTCTCCATCGACCTCTCCTTACAGGACAGGGAATGTCCCCTGCATGAAACCATGAAGAGCCACTGCTAGTCCGTGCAGTCAGTACTGAGCCAGATGGAGCAATGGATTTCTCAGCATAAGGCGGTTTCCTACGTTCCTTTTTTTTTTTTTTGCCAATTATTTTTGATTGCTTTTCAAAAAATTTAATGAATTTAACATCACATTAATTCAAATTCAATACAAATTTAAAAGTGACTTCCCACCCTGCCATCTTGATGGTTCACTTCCCACCCTCGTTAGCTGCTCAATATTAAATATGTTTCCAAATTCCATTTCAAAAATGATACTTTAGCATTTTATCTTTGATTCCCCCCCCTTTCAATTTTCTTCCTCTTTATTACCCATCGGCTGTTCATTTCTGGTTCCTGCTAGACTTTTGCTTAACTATAACATATTCCCTAATGTCAAGAAGAATTACTCTTCACTTTGTCAGCCCACAAATCCTTACTTTTAAATCAGTAATTCCCCCCCCCCCATTAAAATCAATCTCTCCTGCTATTTTCCATAACCCAACATTTGACTGGTCCTAATAAGCACAGACTGCTTTCCTATTCAGTTCAGTCCCTTGTTCGGAAGCTTGAGGACTAGAATCTTATTTTATTTTTAGGGAAAGGGCAGACCAGCTCAATAGTAGAGCATCTGCTTTGCGTGCAGAAGCTCCCAAGGCTCAGTCCCCCCTGGCATCTCCTTGTAGGGCCTAAAACCTTGGACAGCTCCTGCTATAGTCACTGCAGGCAATTCTGAGCCAGATGGAAGATTCTCTTTATATGGCAGCTTTTGCTGGCAGCTGGGTCACCTCCTGAGCCATGGGCCTTGGCAGCTGCCAGGCAATGCAATCTCTGGCACCAGTCCAGCCAGCTGCCGTCTGGTTACTTTGCCTTTGACCACCTATTGTCAAATCTGCCCCACAGAACCGAACTCTTCACATGCATCCTGGGTGATCCTGGGCCTGTCATCATCTCTCAGCCTAACCCACCTCACAGGGTTGTTGTGAGGATAAAACGGTTGGAAGGGGAACCATGTCTGCTGCGCTGAGCTCTTTAGTGGAAAGTCAAGATTAAAAACTTAATTTTATTCAACACACACAAAAATTCTACTCGCAAACTTAGTTAGGCAGGTGCCAACAGGGTCACCATGCTCGGATGAATGCTGAGGCATATACAGAAGTTCAAAACAACTTTTTAAAAGGCCAGAGGGGGCAAACCCCATACAGCCCTGAGCGTAGTCAATGGTTTCCAGGAACCATTAAATGCTGAATGTGTGTTAGAAATGGAAAAGTTGGTGTTGGTGGGGGGGGGCATTAGGCCTGCTTGAGACTCCAACATCTTCTCCACGAAGGGGACTGCCCTGGAAACTTAGTGGCTGGAACCTTAAACAGGATCAGTCCCGTTAGAGGAGCCAGGATATCCTCCAACATTTGGGGTTGGGTCCATTGTAACAACAAACAACTCAGGCCTATGGGGTGCATCTGTGGCAGAGATTATTTTATTTTATTATGTGTTTATTTATTCCTGTACACCTGGCTTTTGTCCTTCGCCCTTCCTTAAGAAAAAAAATATGTAAGAAGAGTCCTGTAGGATCTGGCCAATGGGGGCCCCATCTAGTCTAGCATCCTGTTCTAACAGCAGCCAACCAGACACCTGTATAGTGGACGCTCAGGTTGCGAACGTGATCTGTGCGGGATGCACGTTGGCAACCCGCAGCATTCACAACCCGCATCTGCGCAGGTTGCGATTCGGCGCATGTGGGACCGCCAAAACCCAGAAGTAACCCGTTCCAGTACTTCCGGGTTTCGGCGGTCTGTAACCTGAAAAACGCAACCTTAAGCGTCTGTAACCTGAGGTATGACTGTATTGGGAAACGCACAAGCAGGATTGAGCCCAAGAGCTGTCTGCCCTCCTGTGGGTTCCCTGATAAGGGGAGCAGAAGGGGGAGGCCTAACAGTACTAAGCAGCAGCTCTTAAAGGGGCCGTGCCCCACCCCTCCCTGACTCCATGCCGGTTTCCCTCTCTCTTACCTGAAGGGCTTGAGGTGCTGAGGCCAGTGCTGAGGGAGAGGGTGCTGAAATGCAGCTCCGCCCCTGGCTGGTCGGTGCCGGTCACCCCCAAGCACACTTGCGGGTATTCCTCCGTCTCCACAACCAGCAGCTCAAAGAGGGTCAGGGGGACGGGCAGCGCCACAGAGACGTGCTGGAGAGGAGAGAGAGGATGCAGGAACCAGGTCTGACACTGCCCAACCATGCCCTCCTTGCCTGCTCCCTTGGGTGCTCTTTGGAATGCCAGAGGGGGAGGGGGAGGGTCCCTCCTCCCATCCTGCACCCCCATTCCTGGCCCTGCACCCCCTTACCTTCAGCAGCATGAACTTCTGCAAAGGCTCGTACCACTGCAGGAGGGCCAGGCTGGAGGGGAGTGCAGCACAGAGGAAGGTACTACCAGAATAAGGATTTCGCACTGAAATACAGAAGAACCGGGGGGGGGGTCAACCTCCCCAAAGTCCCCCTTTCCCCCTGAAGAGCCTCCTGATGCCTCTTTGGTCAAGGCCTCCTGCCCAGCAGCAGCTGACAGCAGAAAAGGGGTTTGCTTCTCATGGCGCCTCTCCCTGTCTCTTGAGAAAAACTAATTCAGAGTGCAATTCTCTGTCCTTTCAAGAAGAAATGCAGCAGAGCATGGAGTAGTTGAGCAGCTCAGAGACAGGGCTGCCGGCAAGGAAGTTGCTGTGCCATGTTGTGGGTTTTGCCTGTTGTCATGCCCTCTACACTTGGGCACTTGGGCAGTGCCATTTTAGCAGTGTGTTTATCTTTCAAAATAAAACAGCTGCATTTTAATTTGCGCTAAAACACTACCCCGCTTGCGTTATTAACTTCAGCGAACAAAAAGCCTTCCGGTTTAACATGTTGTGTGAAGGGCTCTCCATGTTCACACAGGCTCCAAAAGGCTGCAAAATTGCAGCTGGTTGCATGTGACTGTTGCTGGGCCTGCAACAATGCTGCTCTGAATCTGGAAGGCACAACACCCCACAATTCCTCCAGGGCATAATTTAGCCGAATTTCACTCACATATGGCCTTGGGCTTTTCACTTGGCTTGTTTTTTAGGGAAATGCAAGTGAGTGCTGGGGAGAGCTGCAAATTTGACTGCTAATGGGGGAGGCATTGATTACTATTTTCTCATCATGCCGTGTTTCTCGTCAAATTCCGCACACCCACAAGAGTCACCCCGTTTTCATTTTCCAATGGATGAGGAAGCCATTAATCACCCACTTCCCCCTTTCAATGCGGCTTACTCCAATTCCACCCAACTGCATTTCTCAAAAAAGCACAACACTCCAGGAGGCTGGCATAACGCAGGGCTACAACGTCGCCTCCACCATAAGACCAGAGTTGAAAAGCTGCTACCTTTTTGGCTTTGGGGTGCAGAATACTGGTGTGACCCAAATATCAGTCAAATTTTGAATATCCAATTCTCCACTGAACAGCATGGGGTTGTTGTGAGGGGAGAACGGGGAAGAAGAAAATTACACTGAGGTCCAGTGCCAAGGGCCTTCTGGCGGTTCCCTCACTGCGAGAAGCCAAGTTACAGGGAACCAGGCAGAGGGCCTTCTCGGTAGTGGCGCCTGCCCCACCAGATGTCAAAGAGAAAAACAACTACCAGACTTTTAGAAGACATCTGAAGGCAGCCCTGTTTAGGGAAGCTTTTAATGTTTAATGGACTATTGTATTTTAATATTCTGTTGGAAGCCGCCCAGGGTGGCAGGGTATTAATAATAATAATAATAATAATAATTATAATAATAATTATAATAATAATAATAATATTACATATGACTTCATGAGCTCCTTGGAGGAAAGATGGGATATAAAAACTCCCTCTCCCCCTCATCTCCTCCAACCTCCATGTCCCCAAAACTCCTCCTTCCCTCACACAGCCACCAACTGTCATTTCCCAACAGGCCTGCCCCTCTCCAGAAAACTCACCCACACGGCACTTCAAGCATCCTTTGGTGTCAGCTATCTTGGCTGAGAGGGCAAACTTCCTGTCAAGAGAAAGGAACAGATTTAGGCCTGGGTGTGTGTGTGTGTGTGTGTGTGTGTGTGGTGGGGGGCGAATTTCACCGGGTCAGAGGCAAAGAGGAGAGGGTCCTCCCCGCCAAGTCTGTCCTTAACTGAAAAGTCTGTCTGAGACTGAGCAGGGGACCGTCTTCTGTTTGCAAAGCAGGAACTCTAATACAGAGCTATAGTCCTTCCCCCCCCAAAATGAAGTAAGACTCCAGTCCTCATGAGGCCCAATAAAGGAATTATTAAGAAGGGACTCAGGAAGCTGCTTTTATAGGAAATCAAACCCACTGGGTCCACCAGCCTCAATACCACTGGCATTGCCTGGTTGTGGCCCTTCCGGGGGGGCTTTCAGGTGGGAGTCACTTGAAGTCACCAGGGAGGGTCCTCTTCTTGGGCATCACATAGGCTGGCTTAGGAATGTACAGGCTGCCTCTTAAGCCCAGGGGCATCCAGAAACCACAGGGTGGAGATCTGGGGCTCTGCACAGCTCCTTGCTCCCATGGGCCCTCTGCCTGCCCAACATCTTTCCCAGGACCCCACAGCCAACCCTTCCCAGCTTCAGTTCCAGTCGCAAGCAGCTCCCTGGGAAGCAGCTTGGAGAAATCAGCCATACCTCCAACACTAGGATCGGATATGGGGGGGGGCGCGGAGAAGAGAATTTACTACTCTCCTCTCTTTGAAGTGGGGCAGGGGATGGGGGGGTCCCTCCCTCCCCGCCTCTCCCCACCTGGGGATGATCCGCTCTGTCAGCCGGTTGGTGGCGATGGAGAGGGGGACCTGCCGCTTCTGCAGCTGGCGCCGCTGCTCAAAGAGACCCACAAGGTTGTGGGAAGAGAGCTGGGAGGACTTCCCTGCAAAGGCAGAAGCGGGAAAATCGGGAGGATCATTTGCCGGAGCAAAATGGAAGTTTAAGCAGGTGCCATTTTTTTATATTCAGATACCTTCTGGACTCTTCAATCCTATAGCCACACACCCGATTGCCCCTCTAAACCCAACGTGTGAAGCTCACCCCCAGTCCCCTTAAATCGACCCAGATACCTGATGGGCAAGGCAAAAAGAGGGGAAATGAGGGGGGTGGTTCTAGCTCTGTCTCTGGACACTCACCAGCTAAGGTCAGTAGCACATTGTTCATACAGTAGAGCCAAGAACACCTGTGTGGAAGGAGCTGGGGGAGGGGAGCAGGCGGGGGCGGGGGGGGGCAGGATGAATGGCACAAAGCAGGAGAGAGAGGGAGAAGTGGCGAGAGAGAGATCAGTCGCTTGTTGAGCCATCGCTGCATTTTCGTGGCATGAAACGAGTGTGTCCAAGTTAGATACAAGGAACTTAATGAAGATTGAATAGTGTTTATATATATAGATATTTTAAAGGAGCCACCCAAAAACAATAAAAAATTTCAATGATCGTAAGAAAAGAGCCTGTAGGGATAAGAAACCTCAGCATCTTGACAGACACTCTCGTGGGCATCTCTGAGCGATGAATGAAAGGGCCTCCTGAGTTGACCGCCACCAAACGCACCCACCCACCTGCCCTTCCTGTTGCGATCCACGGGGGATGTCCACCTCTGGTGGTGGTCATGGTAAAGGCCTAAGCAAGGAGAGGCCAGAAGTTCCTTGTTCTCCTGGCAGGCAGGGCAAGGGTCAAGTGAGGGCTTAGCTTTGCCCCAGACCTGCCACTCCACATTCTGAAGCTCCTTGTCCGAGTTCTCTTTCTTTCACCCCAGAGCTTTCCTCACGAAAACCAGCTCTTTAAACCTGAACCACAACAAACAGCAATTTGGGTTTTCCATGGATTGCTGTTTGCTCCAACTCAGCAGTAAAGAGCAGGTTTTTTGTGGGGGAAGCTCTGGAGCAAAAATAAGAGCATTTGGAAACAAAGCTGTGAAGCATGGGTCATGCCTGGAAAGTGCAGAGGGAAGGTAGCTCTTGGCCCTTTGGAGGGAGATCAAGACAACTGCAATTCAGGACCACGGACAGCACCACTGCAGCTGAGGCCATGCATCCATGTTGCCTCAGCCAGCAGCCCCTTGACCAATGCCTTCCACTGAGCATTGGTGCTGAGCAGAGGTGTGCTTTTTTTTACTGGTGCTGCTCAATTTCTAACTGGGTAATTTGGCATCATTTTAATGTCAGGTGATAAGACAGGTGGGCAGGCCCAAACTTGGTCCCATGGGATGTGTGGAAACAAGGATCCACCCTGCTTCCCATGGTGTTGAGAACCCTCCACCCCAGCTCCTCCCTCTCCAGGATCCTCACCTTCTCCATCGTGTCCTCATGGAGCTCATGGAGATTGAGTGTGTAGATGCCTTCTTCAGCTCCCACCACTAGGTAGAGATCTACGGGTGGGGGGGAGAAGAGGGGGAGGTCAGATCACCAGCGGCCAATCTCTGGTGCCAAGCTTCCACAGGAAACATGTGTGGGTTCTACCTCGTGTTTCTGGGTGGATCCACGTCGTAGCCGAGTTGATTTTCAGCGGACAGCCGTTGAAGACTTTGGAGAAACAGGCCCCCATCTTGGAAAAGAGAAGACACAGAAAGCTGGAGGGGGGAGTTGGAGACCCACTTCCAGGGCTCCTGTACTGAGACCTACAAAATTCCTTGGCTGTGAACTCCCTGCCCCATCCTCCTCTCCTGGCTCCAGTTTGCTGATGCATGTACCACCCTCCCCTGCCCAGTGAAGAGGACTTACGTGGACTTTAGGAGTGGGAGGCAACCCATGACACAGTAGCCTCTGCAAGAGAGGAGGGGTGAAGAAGAAGTGGGGGAAGTCACCAGAGAAAGAAAGAAAGAAAGAAAGAAAGAGAAAGAAAAGGTGTAGTTATTTGAAGATGCCAACATATTGGGTTAACTCCAGACCCCTTCCCCTCAATAGGATTGCAACCTTCAACCCCGTACCAGTAGCAGGTGGGGCAGGGCACTCCTCATGAGAAACAGGAGCGTTGGGGGCTTTTTCGCAAGAGTGTCAAAGAGCCATTCCAGACATGTCCTGCTACTTCCCAAGCCCCACCTTTCCCTCTTACTGCACCCCACAAAATGCCTATACAGTGGTACCTCGGGTTACATACGCTTCAGGTTACATACGCTTCAGGTTACAGACTCTGCTAACCCAGAAATATTACCTTGGGTTAAGAACCTTCCTTCAGGATGAGAACAGAAATTGTGCTCCGGCGGTGCGGCAGCAGCAGGAGGCCCCATTAGCTAAAGTGGTGCTTCAGGTTAAGAACAGTTTCAGGTTAAGAACAGACCTCCGGAACGAATTAAGTACGTAACCAGAGGTACCACTGTATTTGGAGGGGCAAACCTAGTGGCCCATCCTGCTGGCCCTCTCTCCGAAGGTTTTAGCCAGCTAGGTCACTGTCAGGGAACTGCCATCAGTGCCGGAGGGAGAGAGCAAAAGCCAGAGGGATTCCAGAGAGCGTCCAGGGATTGGGAGAAGCAGCCCATCTTCTGGGGAAGAGAATCAGCGTAGCACCAGTGGAGAAGGGGGGCAGATGGGGGAAGCGGCGAGGCGGTCCCATGACTCCTTGCCTGGGACCAGCGGGGAGAGTAGGGGTCCTCCGTTGCCCATGCCCTCCTTGCGCAGAAGGCTTTCGCGCAGAGAGAGTAGGAGGAGACTAGGCGTCAAAGAGCTTCTTTGCTGGAAGAAGTTTAAGAAACGCCCACTGACGGATTCTGCCAGCGATTGAGTCAGCCACGGGTGAGTGGCTGTCCGGACAGAAAAGGTTCACTTAGGCAACCCAGCCAGGTGTTTGCACCCAGCCGGGGAGATAAGCACTGGCTTACACACGAGCAACCCCTAGAACCCTTACAGCCACGTTCCGTAAGACCACTGTTTCCTCCACCAGAAACAGGCTTTAACAGTTGATTTATCTGCTCTGATCCCAGGCTTCCTTGCTTGGAGATTTTGGGGTGCTTCTGTCCCCACCCGCCCCCACTTACAGTGGCCTCTTCCTTCCTCTTCATGGTAGCCCACTCTGTGGAGAGGAGAGAGTCCACAGGCTTGGGGGAGCCTGTCCGTGAGGTATCTGAAGGATCGCTCAGATCTGCGTTGTCTGTGGGGGAAAGACAAGCACCGCCGTCACACCAGCACAAATTAAAAGATTTAAGAAGGGGTCAGAAATGGAGCCCCTCTCTGCTGCATTCCACTAGCCCACCCAACTGCACAGATGCCATCCTGGATGGCTGCTTAACCCTTTCCCTGCCGAGCCCCCTCCTACTACTCCGTTTCTGTACCGGCTTGGTTTTAATTGCCAACCATTTCATTTTATCTATTCCACTCCCTGCTGCCAGATTTGCTTTCTTTCTACTATGCCGTTTTATTGCATGGTTTTATCTTTTTACTGTATGTAATTTATTGGTTTATCAGATTTGATTCTCAGCTGCCATGAAGCTTTGTGTTTTTGTTGTTGTTGTTGTTGTTGTTTTAAAAAAGTAGGATATAAATCCATTTTAAAAAATACATGCAATGAAGCCCCCAGCTTTGACCCCCCGCCCAACAACCTACTAAGCATCCTTTAGGAATCCTGTAAAAGGGCGAGGGGAGCAGCCGCAGAAAACAATGCATTTTTAAAAGGGTGGTAGGGAAAGAGTTAAACACTACTATTGCCCCCCTCCCAAGACACATACATTCACTGCCTCTCCTCCTCCTCTCAGAATTATGGCTTCTGGAGGCTGCTTTTAATTAAAAAACACACCCAAAACATTTGGGTGTGTGATGCGCCGGAATGCAGAAGCAAAATAGGAAGCTGAAATCCGGGTCTGTGTTTAACATCCTGCCGTGGGTGTCATGGAACTCCCTGGAGGCGGGCAAGGAAGAAGTGGGCAAGCAGATGGTGGTAGGAAGCTTCTGCCCCACTTGGCTCCCATTCTGGCCATAGAAGAGGAGCAGAAGGCCCCCCCAACCCACCTCCTCCTCCCCTTCTCCACCAGCCCACCTGGTAGAAGGGAAGTTGGTAAGAGAAGAGCTGTGAAAGCCTGCGGGAAAGTGGAAGCATCGGGAGGGAAACCCGGTGTCCGTCCCCCTCCAATTTCCCCCATTCTCCCCCCATTCCTTTAAAAAAAATGTGTGGCGAAATGGTTCCCCCTTTCCCAGTTTTTCATTCCCCCACACCCCAGGCCTTCACATCTCTAGCTCAGAGGCTAGTAGCCTGTTTTTCCATGTTCGCTGCAGATGACAGAATGAGCAGTCTGGTATTATTATTATTTTTAAAGTCTCTGGTTAATAACTACCTTTAGTGGCTTTATTTACTATAGCAGAAAAACAAGGGGGGGGAGTCCACCTGTGGCATCTCACAAAGCAATCCTACGCATGTTTACACACAAGTAAGTTCCACCAGGAGTAATCAAGCATTCATAGGATTGTAGCCTATTTGATCTTAGGAGGATGTGACGAAGCAGGGTTTAATCCTTATTGCCACCCTAACTAAGTTATTGTCACCTGAGCCTTCAGAGCACCAGATTAAACCCTGCTTCACAGCTGGTCTTGGAAAAGGTTGAATTCATTCAAACGGAGCATAATTCAAGATGGTGTGAAAATTCAGCACCTGGAAGAATCCCAGCTTTCAAGGAGGTGAAAAAGCAGGGAACAAGTTTCTGCTCAAGGTGCCTAATATATGCTTGACAGCATGTGGGCAATTCCTGGTGAAATATCACAAGGGGCTGAATAAGATATCCAGTGAGGAAGAGGTGCAGCTTCCCCTTTCCAGCACTGGCAAAACCTGGAATGAATCATGTAGAATGAGGAGAAGTGGCTCCATTTCCATCATTTATATGTGTCACAGACTTTGGTTTCCTCGGTGCAAAACCTGAGCCGCTTTGGGCAAATTTGGGCTCTGGGCATCGGAAAACGGGATAAACTAGATAGCCCTTTGGTGAAGAACCAACTGAGCTCAGAAGAAACCAGCTTGCACCAGAAGCCAGTTCTGTGCACAGGGCCTACTGGCCAGCGCTTGTGCCGTCTCCATCACCCCCCCCCCACTCCCCAGCGTGCTTTCTCACAGCTCTTTTCTGTGGATTTCCGCTTTCAGAACACAAATCCCCTCTCCTAGAAGGGGGAAGACTCCAAACCCATTTTGGGGCCCATCTGTGTTCACCGCAACCCACGTGGCTCCACTTCTTCCTCACCTGGCAGGCTCTGGCTTCTCTGACACTCAGGGGCTGGGAAGTCAAGGCCCTCCTCGAGCTCCCAGGGAGCCTTATAGGCCAGCTCCAGGTTGAGAAAATCCCACAGGGGCCCCCTTTTGATGGTGCTCATGTCCCCCTCCCCAGTGCTGCTGGGCCGCTGTTCCTCATGGACCTGAATAAAGCAAGGGAAAGGGCTTCTTAGTGAGGGAGACTGAGGGTGGGGAGGTTGTGGGGGGGTAATGGGATAGATGCAATGAAGAACAGTACCTTCTCTGTGGTGCCTGCTGGGCGAATGGTGAGGCTCCTGCAGGAGACAAAGGACTCATCAGAACAGAAGCGGGGGGGATATTGCCTTGAAAGGGGAATATTTGCGGCTCGGTGTGAGCCCACACAGACCAGGACTTGGCTCCAGAACCTAACTGCCAAAGCTCCACAATAAGCAAGGAACAGAGTGCCTGCGCATGTGCAGAGAGACTCGTTCTTCAGTTGCCAGCCTAAAAACTTCACAGTAGAGAGGGGGCTGAGTTTGCCTGTCTGGAGCTGGAGTGCCAGAGCCGCAGGATGGGGCCTGGCTGGAAGGGCAGCTCCACCTCTTCTGTCTCTGCCTGCCGGAGCTGAGACAATAACAGAGGACCAGAGGCGTACAAAGAGCCTGGAGTCATAGAAAGGCAGCAGCTCCCAAAGTTCTCCTCCTCCACCACCACCCAAGCATCAGCATACCTTTCCTCTAGTGCTTCTTCCACCGACTGAAGGAGGCTCCTAAAGAGGAGAAAAACAGCACCAAAAGTACCATCAGGAAATCTCACACCTGTGCAGCAGTCCTGCCTCCTTCTTGCTCCTCCCCTGCCCCAAATATGTTAACCTCATTTCTAACTCCCTAAATTCCACCCCCTTCCTTGTAGGAAGGCGGCCCTTTTTCTGGTTGTCCCCTTAATAGCAGCAAAGCAGGCAGAATTCAACAGGCCCTGCTTTCCCCATCTCTGCTGGGGGAGAAAAAGCGGCCGCTCTTAAGCTCTTCCTCCCAGCAAGAAGGAAAAGGTGGCCATCCTGTTTCACAAAGGTGGGGAGGGATGAGAAACAGGGGCTCCCACCCACCTCCCATCACCCTACCCGTCTCCCAGGCTCCTTACTCTCCATCTCCTAAGACCATCCAGTTCTCCTCTTCCTCCTCCTTCTGCAAAACACACAAAAATTACTGTTAAATCTTAAGGCTAGAATAATTTTATGCACACACACTCCCCAAAAATACCCAGTGAAAGAAGGAACAGGGAGTGAGCAATGGCGGCGGTGGGGGGTGGGGTGGGTGGCAAGAAGCATCTTACCTTCCTGAGGGCCTGGAAAGTCACCAACAGTCAAGAGTAGGCAATATCGGGTGAGGTGGGGCAATCACCCAGCTGGGATAGCTCAGCTGGTAGAGAATGAGACTCATAATCTCAGGGTTGTGAGTTCAAGCCCCAGGTTGGGTAAAATATTCCTGCATTTGTGGGTGACCCTTGTGGTGCCTTCCAGCTCTATGATTCGATGGATGAATTTTGCCACCCCCACCCCCCGTCAGCATTTCCGTTGTGAATTTCCCTCCTCAAACGCACCCTGGGACCAAAGCAAGCAATCCATTCACTCTTTTGCCCCTCCGAAACATATACACACACACTCTTACCAGACTGCACCAAGGCTCTGTTTCTTTCCTCAGCGGGGGCCCGAATTTGACCTGATTAACTGCAAAAGAACAAACATCAGGCATTTTGCTCAGAAGCAGGACTTCCCCACCACCACCAAGGCCCAAATGGCTTCATGCTATTCACCCAAGAAAACACTCCCTATACCCTACCCAGCCACTGGAGGGCAAAGAGGGGGTGTCCCTGCAGGATACCCCACAGGAGCTCAGGACTTCGGGGGAGGGGCAGAGGCACTTTCCGGACCTCCTGGAAGGCAGGCTGCTGATGCTTACTGGGAAGGAGAGGTGGCCGTGAGAGTGGCACAGTGCAAACACACCAGCAGAAACACCAGACTGGCCCTGCCATGGAGTTTGCACCATCCCAACCTGACTGCCACCTCTTCGTCCTGCTCCAATGCGGTCAGGTAAACACTTCTGCTCAGTTCCACATCATCCTAAGCTCCTGGTACACCTTTCACCCACCATCTCCAGAAGGGACTTTCACCAACATCGCCTGCCCCAAACAGCTTTCCACTTCCACTAGGGGGCTTCCCATGCCATGGGAGAGTCTGGAGAGAAATCAGGCTGATTTAAAGCCCCACCGGAGAAAGAAATCAGGGTCCAAACGTGTGGGCAGGGGGAGCCGGGGGAGAGGAGGAACTTACACTGGATCTCTGCAAGGGTCCCTTCGACTGGCCCGTGTGGCCGATGGGAACGGATTTTGTCAGGAAAAACTTCATAAGCCTGAGTAGTTTAAAGAGAGAAAGTCAACCATGCCTAAGAACTCAGTCGGAACAAAGAGCCTCCAGGGCAGCTTTCACCCATCTGGTGCTTTCTGTATGCTTTGGACTACAATTCCCATCAGCCTCAGCCAATGCATGGGAGAGCATGTGCTCCACATGCAGAGGTCCCTGGTTCAATCCCTGCTGCCACCTCCAGGAAGGGCTGGGAAAAGACCCCAGAGAGAGCCACTGCCAGGCAGGGCTGGGAACACTGGGCTAGACAGGCCAGTTTGGTGTGATGCAGTGGGAAGAAGATTCCCATGTCTCTCTTTCTAAACAGAGGTGTTTAGGACCAGAACATAAAAGATAACAGCTCTGGCCTCATGGTAGCCCCCAACTGCCCACACTCTGCCCATGGGGTGGTAACTCTTGCCACCTCCTTTATCTGCTGGTTTCATAATGATGTTAGCTTCATTAGAGAGCTCTTTGAGACAGTCACGTTGTGACTTCGATAAATTGTCTGGAATTCTAGGACCCTTCTTTTCTAATTTTATACAGACGCAGGTTTCATCGCATGTATATTGTAATTTCAGCTTGTTAAGAAATTGAACTGCATCCTTCTCATATTAATTCTTACAGGTCTGGCTGATGAAGAATTGATCAAGATTGGCTGGTGAAGCATTGAACAAAACAGATTGGTTATCCGGAAGCTCTGTTCCAGCGATTTGGTGACAGATTATGTATATATCGAACTTTTGAATTATTCTACCGTGACTGGTGAAGAAGATTTAGAGACTTTAGTTGTAATTTCTGATCATTTATATTAGTTTCTAAATAATGTTTAGTGCCATTGTTTTTGGCCATAGTGTTGAGTTATTTTGTTCAGCAGCATATACTGTGGCAGTGAGTCCCGCAAGTTAATTATATGCATTGCATGAAAAAAATCGGAGGTCGGATTTGGAAAATCTCTGGGAGGTCCCCCTTCGACAGTGCAGACTGTTGCAACTCTATCAACATTCCTGCTGGGCCTCTGTTGAGCAACCTCCTAGCAAAGGGGAGCCGCCACCCCCCACCCCCCAAAAGGCAGCCTATGACTCCACCGTGGAAGAGCTCTTATTCTTAGGAGGTTTCTCTTCCTATTTAGCCAAAATAAGCTTCTTGGCAGCTTCTACTCTTTAGCTCTCGAGAGAGAACAAATCTGCTCAGTCAATGGCTTGGGTCTATGGCAGATTCCCCTCTCCCTTCTGCCACAGCTTGTGGGGACCATACCTCTAAGTCTCCATCATCCACCAGGGCAGCCGCTGCCAAATCCGGGTTCGTGGCTTTATCCAGTAGCTCAATGACTAAGACGCGAGCCAATGGCTGGCTAACGAAAGGATGCTGGTGGAGAGGAAGACAAGGTGAGAGGAGAAGGGGATTCAAGGTTTCCCCCAAATGCCCGCCAAGCACAGGGCTGGCAGGCGGCATTCTTGGGCAGCTGCTGCAGCCCATCCTGGCACCTCTCCTGGGCAGCTGGATCCAGATTTTAATTCCCACAATGCCCCAGAGAAGGACAACACCAGGGCACTGTGGGAAATTAAATTAAAACTGTGGCTCTCACAGCAACTAAAGTGTCTGCCCTAAGGACAACAGAAGAGCCCTGCAGCAGCTGGATCAGGCCACCAGGAGGGGGAGCAGCTAGTCCAGCATTCTGTTCCCACAGTGGCCAAGCACATGCCACAGTGGGAAGCTGCCAAACAGGACCCGAGTGCAACCGTAGGGCTGCCATACGTCCGGAATTTCCAGGACATAGCCAGGATTCGGGATAAAATGTCTGGGGAAAGTCGGGCGCGTGGCTGCCCATATCAGAAGTGTTGATTTTTGGCAATTTTCCTAAAAAAAAGACAGGTAAAAATAATAATTTTGTTTGGAGATTTCGCTTTAAAAAAGCACAATTTTGGGCATTTTTTAAAAATACACTCCTGTAATTCTCTGGAAGGAAGTACCTATCTCTAAGGATGGAGTTGTCGTTCTCCACCCTCTCCAAGCCCACCCACCCCAACTTCCATCTTGAGTCACCTGCAGGAGTTTTTCTGCCACGGGACGCTTTTTGGGGTTCTTGGTTAAGGAGAGTTTGAGGAAATGGTGGAAATCTGCCGACCTGGAAGGGAGAAAGGGAAGATAAGACAAGCTAAAAAGTCGAGTGTCTAACTAAATAACCGGAAGGCAGGGCGTGAGAACAACAGCAGCCCTATCCCAGAAATGCCCCCAGCAGCTGGTATTCAACAGCAAACTCCATCACAGCCTGAAACCATCACTACTGGTTACTACTAGTTACTTTCTCACAGTAGCCAGATGATCAAAGAAGCCCTCCAGCTGGATAAAGCACAACAGCCACAGAACTCTCCACCTTAAGAGTTCCAGCATCTGTCATTCAGGTGCAGCCGCCCCCCTCCCACCCCCAACTGAGGACCAGTGGTGGAGGAAGCCGCTCAGGCGCCTAGGGCGGCATGCCCAGAGGTGGGGGCGCCGTCCATAGGGATGGCGCACACCGTGGGGCCTCTGGAGTCTGCCTGCCTCCTCCCACTCAGCCGCCCTACAGCTGGGGTGGAGGCAGTGGAAGGACCATTTGGGCAAGGCAGCGCCTGCACACATCCAAGCCACTGCGTCTCTCCCAGGAGAGACACGCGGCTTGAACGTGCTGCAGGCCCTGCGGCGAGTGCCGCCCGGCATTTTGTCACCCCCCTCAGTGGTGACACCCGGGGCAGACCGCACCTGCCGCACCCCCCTTCCTCCGCCACTGCTGAGGACAACCGGCAGCCAACCAGAGAAGTCAACCTGCCAGTCAGAGTTGGATGGATGGAGAAATAGCTTGACTCTGTGAAAGGCAGCTTCTTCTAGTCCTCCACCCACTGTACCTTCTCAATAACACTGAGAAGGGAGGCTAAGAGAGAAAACAAGTGGTTCGAGGATACAGATTTGTAGCCAAGCAGGAATCTGAACCCAGTCCACCGACCTGTCCATTGTGACACTGCATTTCATTGGCATAAGGTGGTCAGATCCAGCCTTCTTTACACACAACCGAAACCCAGGAGAGGGAGCAGGTCTGCCCTCCTGCACAGCCCTGCTGCTCAGTCACTCACCAGCAGGCCTTGTCTTTTAGCTTGGGGGGCTGGAAGCTGCTTTTCGACATCAGCATCAAGGCCCTGAAGGGAAAGACAAAACAAGGATCGTCTTTCCTGCTTCGATCCTCCTGCGTGTTTTAAAAAAGGCACAATACCTGCCTCTGTTGTCCCAAATTTGTCCCCACCTCACCCCCCCCCCCAAATTTGCTGATTATGCCTGATGTTCAAACATACTAACCCATGGGTAAGCAAACTAAGGCCCAGGGGCCGGATCCAGCCCAATCGCCTTCTAAATCCGGGCCGCAGACAGTCTGGGAATCAGCGTGTTTTTACATGAGTAGAATGTGTCCTTTTATTTAAAATGCATCTCTGGGTTATTTGTGGGGCCTGCCTGGTGTTTTTACAGGAGTAGAATGTGTGCTTTTATTTAAAATGCATCTCTGGGTTCTTTGTGGGGCATAGGAATTCGTTCATATTTTTTTCCAAAATATAGTCCGTCCGCCCCCCACAAGGTCTGAGGGACAGTGGACTGGCCCCCCACTGAAAAAGTTTGCTGACCCCTGTGCTAACCGCTAGGAGGGTCACTCAAGAAATCTGGGCCTGGTTTTCTGCACCGTTTTGGGTCCAGTTTACCCCCCCCACACACACAGTTGCCTTTGAAAAAGAAAAGGGCTACTACATACAGGTTCCGACCATGCTTCTCTCCTGCACGCAAACTTACTCTGCTGAGTAGGTCAGGTCTGAGATTGTTATTAGTGGGGCACCAATGTCAACAGACAGCCGGCACGCCACACAAAACACACACCGCTCTGAGAGCAGGCAAAGCCAGTCTTACTGGAGAGGCCTCCGTGTGGCATTTCCTGTTGCTTAATCCCCCCGCCCACCAGAAGCCTGCGTGTTTGTGTGTGCGCGCGCTTTGTGCGCCTGTCCTCACAGGATCTACATGCAGGCTGTTTCTTAGCAGAGGTGTGGTTAGCGACACCACTCACGCTTCTCCCAGAAACCTGGAGCTGGGTGGTTGTGACCGAGGCTGGGACCTCACAGGAGACAGTGGGGGCAGCTCCCCTTTCCCTCCCCACACTTGCCTAAAGCTGCTTCAGGTGGGTGTGGGGCCTCGAAGCTCTGTAGAGCCACCACCCTCTTGGACGGCCAGGAAAAGGACTCAAGTCACCGGCTGCAACCCCCTCTGCAGCCGAAGGCAGTCAGCCGGGTACCTAATTATTTCCTTTGCTATTTTTATGTTATTTCCACCCGCTTCATCTCTATAAATAAAAATATTGACAAGCTGGAACATGTGCAGAGGATGGTGACCAAGACGATAAAAGGTCTGGAAACCAAGCCTTAAGACTGAGGAATGGCCATGGGAAGTGGGTATGTTTAAAGGAGACACAGAGGAGATATGATTGCCATCGTCACATGGAGCAAGCTTTTCCTTCTGCTCTGGGTTCTAGGACCCAAATGGATTCAAGTTACAAGAAAGGAGATTCCAAATCAACATCAGGAAGAACTTTCTGACAGTAAGAGCTAATCGACAGTGGAACAGACTCCTACTAAATGTGGTGGATGCTCCTTCCTTAGAGGTTTCTAAGCAGAAGTTGGGTGGCCATCTGTTATGCATAATCTAGTTGAGATTCCTGCACTGCAGGGGGCTGGACCAGATGACCCCCTCGGGGCTCCTTTCCAGCACCACAATTCTTGCAGTGTTTCCCGCAAGGGTAACCGTTTTTGCACCCACGTTTTTTGTTTTTTAAAGAAAGGAATACTTCAAGGGATTTGCTTGCACACATGCTTTCCTGAAAACAGCATCCACAGTGGCTTGATCGGCAGATTCTGCTTCTCCTTGACAGTGTTAAAGGCAGGATACGAGCAGCGGCTGAGGAAAAGGGCCCTCGCGAACAGATGGCGCTGCCAGATTCTCTTCAATGCCAACGTGCCATCTGTTCCTCTGGCACCAGGCTGGATGTCAGGGAGGCAGGGAGACAGTAGGGTCAGGGTTAGGATAACTTGGCTGCTGGAGTCCATGCCCTGGGAACCTTGAGGCTGGACTACTGCAAGCCACTCTACCTGGGGCTGCCCTTTGGCCAAAAGCTAAACTGCTGATGGGGGCAGACGGCTTGGTAGCATGGGAAACCTCCACTAAAACCCCTGCACTGGCTGCTCCTGTTGCAGCCAGGTGAGGCTTGAGGCTCTTCTTTTGATGTAACAAACCCCTGAGCAACTTGGGCCCAGGATACCATAAGGACTACCTGAACCCCTGCATCCCAGCTCCATCACTGAGATCATCCAGAGGTGAACTGCTAGCCAGAGCCTCAGCCGGTCCTCACTGGGAGAAGGGCTTTTAGTGCTGCGTTATGGAATGCTCGAGCAGAGATGCGGCGGGCACCCTCTCGCTTTTGACTTCCAGGATCCTCCTGAATACCTTTTCATGTAGACAGACCTCTGCAGCTCATGGGCCAGCCATTTTAAATATCCTTTTGTGCCATTTCTAAAGGTGATTTCTATTTCATTGTACAGTTGTACCTCGGAAGTTTAACGCCTTGCGAGTCAAACGTTTTGGCTCCCGAACACCGCAAACCTGGAAGTGAGTACAGTGGTACCTCAGGTTAAGTACTTAATTCGTTCCAGAGGTCCGTTCTTAAGCTGAAACTGTTCTTAACCTGAAGCACCACTTTAGCTAATGGGGCCTCTTGCTGCTGCCGCGCCACCAGAGCACGATTTCTGTTCTCATCCTGAAGCAAAGTTCTTAACCCAAGGTATTATTTCTGGGTTAGCGGAGTCTGTAACCTGAAGCGTATGTAACCTGAAGCGTATGTAACCCGAGGTACCACTGTTTGCAAACGTTCTTTGGAACCCGAATATCCGACGCAAGTTCCGCAGCTTCCGATTGGCTGCAGGAGCTTCCTGCAGCCAATCAGAAGCCGTGCCTTGGTTTCTGAACATTTTGGAAGTCGAATGGACTTCCGGAACGGATTCCATTCAACTTCCAAGGTACGACTGTATACATATTCACAGAAACACAGTACTGTACAGTTGGGAGGGTCCTCCAAGAGTCATTTAGTCCAGCCTTGTGGCAATGCAGGGATAACAGCTAAAGCATCCCTGACAGGTGGCCATCCAACCTCTGTTTAAATACCTCCAAGGAAGGTGAGTCCACCACTTTCCAAGGGAGTCCGTTCCACTGTCAAAAGGCTCTTATTGTTGTTGGCTGCCCTGATATTTTATGATGCGGCCATATAGAAAGATTTCATTAAATACAGGCAACTCCCCATTTACACACATTCAACTGAGGCTTAACTTTTGAGCTCACCTCATGGGGTGCAGGTCGAAGAGGGGCGGCTGCAGCTCCGCCAGCTCAATGGCCGTGATGCCGAGGGCCCAGATATCGCACAGGTGGTTGTAGCCTCCTTTCTTCTCCACCGCAGCCACCTCTGGCGCCATCCTGGGAGGACGAGAAGGGGCACAGCTGAGCCAAACACCCCCCCTGGGAAAGGGTGGCCTGCACGGACCTGAAGCTACAGCTGTCCAAGGAGAGAAGGGCCCGTCTTCCCCTGGTCCTCCCTGCAACTGCCGACCTGTGAGGAGAGCTCTGCCCACTAGGCAACACCACCCCTCCGCCAGCCAAGGCTATGAAGGCGCTTCACATACACCAACCCTGCAGGGATGGTCAGAACCACCATCCCATGCTGCAGGCCGAAGGACTGAGGCAGCGAGTGTTCAAGGCCACTGGGTACGTTTGTGGCCACAGCTCACCCTCCAGACAGAGAGGGTGCAGAGGAAGGAACAGAGCACTGCCCCCCACCCACATTACCAATAGGGGGTCCCAATGAACGAGTTCCGCTTCGCCACAGATGCCGTCAGCTCTGCAGAGACCCCAAAATCCGCTGTGGGAAGGAAGGAGGTGGTTTGAGAAAGGAGAAGGGCAAACATTCCTTACTCAGGTGGTGGGCCAGAGCGATCCAGGCTCCACAGGAGGAGGGTTGTGGGCCAGGCCCTACACCACCCCCCCAAATAAAACCCTTCAAATATCCCTGGGCCCACAGCCCTCAACCCACCAAGAATATTTTCATTTATTGATTTATGTCCTACATTTGTAAGGCTGCACAGCAGCCTACGTTCTCCAGGTATCTCACAGAAACCGAACGAACAAAATACAATATTAACAAATGCCAAACTGGGGGGTTGAAGCTGGCATGCCACACCCCAGCTCTGCTCCTGAGCCACCGCCACACCCCTAGAAAAGATGACGAGATACAGCCAGAGTCCCTGCTTTAAATAAATACCGTACTTTTCCATGTATAAGACGAAGGGGCTTTTTTTACTTTGAAATAAGGTTAAAAATCTGGGGGTGTCTTATACATGGATAGCGCATATGCCCATTTTCTAAATTTGGGGTCCCCAAAAGTCGGGGGCATCTTATACATGGGGGCATCTTATACAGAGAAAAATAAGGTAAATCGATCTGGAGCAAAGCCAGAGGGATGTGAACAGGTAGACCAAAGCCACCCCTGCAGTCCCCAGTCTGGAGGTCCCCGCTAAGTGCAGAAACCTGGGGCACACCCAGTCAAGGCATGGTCACTATGGATGGTCTAGAGAAGGGGAACCCACAGATGAAGATATTTAGAGGAAGATTTTGGGAGTGGCAGCTGGAAGTAGGAAAGGCTTGCCACAAGAAAGCAAGCCGAGAAGAGGAACTGACCGAGTTTCACGTCTCCGCTGGCCGTAAGCAGGATGTTGGCCCCCTGGAAAAGAGACAGAAGAAAGGAAAGAGAAGTGCAGCTATTGTTGCCAAAGCAGAATGGGGTGGGGGTGGGGAGACAGACTGCTCCCCTCCCTTCCCACCCAGCCTTGCCTTCCTCCTCCGAGGCTGACAAAAGCAACCCCAAAGGGCAACTGAGCCCAGGTGACTGAGCCTAGGTTAGCCAAGCCCTGGATTCTGCAGGGAAATCATACCTTTATGTCCCTGTGCATCTTCCCTTTGGTGTGCAGGTGGTGAAGGCCCTGAAAAGAGGCAGCAAAGAGAAGAATCAAGCTAGGCCTGGCTGTGCTGAAGACGAAGCAAGATCTAAGTGTTGCTGTTAGCCAAGGCGCAAACTGCAAGCTCAGATTTACACTGGGTGGGCAGACGGTACCCCGCCTACTGGAGGAAGCTGGATTCTCACATTTCGAGAGAAGGAGTGGGGGGGACTTATCTCTATCCACCTTCACACCATTCAGCGCAGGATTTAGGGCAGTGTGGGTAGTTCCCCTGCACAGGGTGCTGAGCCCAGGGGCGCCAAATTGAGAAGATCCCTAATGGAGGAGGTCCATTTGGGGGTACCAAAGTCTGCCCCTGCACCGTGCCGGACCCTCCAAGTGTCCCTGTTTCCCAGGGACAGTCCCAGATTTACAGAAGAACTCCCCTGGTTTCTGATTTGATCCCGGAATATCCCACTTTTCCTTAGGATGCCCTTATTTTCATTGGAGAAATGTTGGAGGGTATGGAGTTATGCAATCCCTGAGCCAAGAAGATAAGTAGCGATGCAACCTTTAGAGGAAATCTGCAGGCAGCCCTGTATAGGGAAGTTTTTTAAATGTTTTGTTATGTTTTTATATACAGTATGTTGGAAGCCGCCCACCCAGAGTGTCTGGGGCAACCCAGTCAAATGGGCGGGGTATAAATAATAAAATTCCTATCATTACGCTATAGGACATCCCTATTTTCATTGGATTAGTGTTGGCGGGTACACGCATAATTTGGTAAATCTCAGTTTTATGTTTTGCACCCATCTTCTTTCTTCCAAACTAAAAACTCCCCAGACGTTGCAGCCTTTCGTTGTAGAGATTCAGTCCAGACACACAAAGAGCTAGTGACCTACATTCCACTCCCTGCCATTGTAGCAGTTTCTCTCAGCTGCAGGAAGGCAGGAAAAGAACAGAGCAGCCAGCAGGAAAATGGGGCTTCCTGTCAAAGGTGTGGAGCGTCCGTCTGTATGATGCCGCAGAGTCACAGAGCAGGAGGGAAATGAGGGCAGAAGCCACGGGACTTGGTTTGGATAAAGAGAAGTGGAAAGCCTGTGAGGGGGATCTTTCCCAGAAAGCCTCTTCCTAATCCTGGATTGCTGAAAAGCCAGCTGTGGTGTACACAGTGAAGAAATCGGGGACACACACACACACACACAAAAACCACTCCGTACATGCTCAAGGGACCTCTTAAATCAGGGGTTAGCAAACTTTTTCAGCAGAGGGCCGATCCACTGTCCTCAGACCTTGTGGGGGGCCAGACTATATTTTGAAGGGGGAAAAAAGAACAAATTCCTATGCCCCACAAATAACCCAGAGATGCATTTTAAATAAAAGGACACCTTCTACTCATGTAAAAACACACTGATTCCCAGACCGTCCGCAGGCCGGATTTAGAAGGCGATTGGGCCAGATCCGGCCCCCGGGCCTTAATGTGCCTACCCATGTCTTACACCACGCGTGTTTCTTATGCTGCAGATCCAAACCTAGCAGCAAGTTCCAATTAAGCTCTGAAGGCGCCTCTCTTGACAACCCTACATTTTTGCAACCACACCTGAGCTGGGAGGGGAGACGGAATAACCAGGCAGAGACTGACTCCTGCCCCGGGTGCAGACACGGGGCACTCTGACACTTCACACACACCTGCTCACTCTGGCTTCTGTTGGCACCGAATAAAAAGAAAGCAGGCTGCCCACACCCACCTGGCACGGGTCTGAACGTGCTGCAAGCTCAGCCCCGCCCACCCACTCACCTGGAGGGTCTCCCGGCAGACGTAGGCGATCTGCTTCTCCGAGAGGGGACCAGTGGCTGGAGGCGAGAAGCAGAAAAGGTGGGTCAATTGCATCTCAGGTCGCCTGCCACCCCAATGCTAACAAAAGCAGGTTTTTGCCTATGTAGACTTGGCAATTGGGTTTCCCCGAGCAAAAAGCAGGCGGGCTTTGCTTATTAAGGTGAAATTTAAAGCTAGGAGAGAGAATTGTGTCTGGGAATGAGGGAGATGGCTGTTTTGACTCGGGGGGGCGCAGGGGTGCTCCTCAATTACACAGCCCTGCTTAGGAGAGATGGGCTTATGGCCTTGTCTGCTTGGGCTTCTGCCTCTGAAACACGTGGCTTGGCTTCCTTTCATGAGCCGTCTCAAGCGACGGCCCAGCAGGGCTCACCACTCTCTGCCTTCAGGACCTGGGAGGGGTCTGGTTAGTGGTTGGGCCCCAGAGTGTGTGGGGGTGGGGTTGGCATCTTTGGTTTAAACTCTTGCAGGATGAAGGGTAAGAATGCCAGGTGCCAACCCTAGGAAATGAACAGTCCACAGTGCCCTCCTCCGAGAGGGGAGGAAGCAGGTGTTATTGTGTCTGTCTGTTCGTCTACTCCCCCCACCGCGTTAATTGTTTTCCTAGGCCCCACTTCCTCTCAGAATCTCCTCAGGTCAAACCTCCCTGGAAGGCATGGCAGAACCGTTGTGCCACCAGGAGCTTCTTTCCACGCTTTATGCCATCTCTTAAAAATTCTGCTGGACGTGGAGACGGGAGGCTGAGCAGAGGCTGCTCTCCACCTTGTAAGTAAACTAACTGCAGGGAGCCAAAAGGGGAAGTAAAACCCACCAGAAGCAAAGTACCGGTTACGACAGACCGGCGGCAGGATGCTTTCCTATTTTGTCAAGGGGTGTGTGTGTGTTCTCCTCATGTCTGCGACGACAACAACGGCAGGCAGAATAGAAAGCAGGGGGGAAGGGGAGCAGAGACCGGTTTCCGAGGGACAAACTGGACCCTAATGCAGACACCAACACCTCCAGGAGTTCTCCTTCTGGACCTCATGGCAGGGGGGCTGATTTTTATCAAGGGGAGAGGAGCAGGGGAAGACACAGGGGTGGGGTTTTTTTTGGGGGGGACAAGGAAAATGAAAGAAGAGGAGTGCCAAGGGACACCCTGAGCCTCTGCTCGACTTGGGTCCTCATGCCCAGCCAGAGAGTTGTGCAAAAACGGTGGGCTGGATCCAACGTCAGCTCTGCTCAGAGTAGATCTGTTGAAACGAATCAGCAACTTGGGTCTGTCCATTTCAACATGTCTGCTCTGAGTAGAACTGCGTGGATGCAACCCATTTTTCCCAACGGTGAAGCTCCAGGAATACACCCACTCTGTGAGCACAATATTGTCCACACCAGGTGCAGGGAGCCTTTTTCAACCTGAGGGCCACATTCCCTCCTAAGCATACTCCCCTGCCTCCAAAGCCACCCAGGAAGGGGGAAGCAAGGGGGCGTGGCCAGGGAGGGGCGCCATTCAAGAGAGGGAGTAGTTGATATACAGCCCACAGACTGGCATTTTCTCCATCCCTGGGGCTACAGTCTGGCTGAGCCCGAGCTACTTTGCCAGCCCTCCCTAGAGATGCTGCTGGGGATTCATCCTGGGGCATTTTGTGAGCAAAGCTGGTGCTCAGTCACTCAGCAAGGACCCTTCTCCTAGACCCTGGGGTTGGTGCTCAACTCTCTCTCTTTCAAAGAACACAATAAAAGTTGGGGGAGGGGGAGAGTCCGAAGGGAAGGGCATCTAAGTGTGGAAAAGATAGAGAAAGACAAAATGCCCAGGTCATGTGCCTCGCCAGTGTCCTTCCTTCCTTCAGCCCATCTCCAGTTCTGCAAGGCAATGCAAGCCTGGGAGGGGCCAGGTATCAGCAGCAAGAACATCTACTCTGCATGCAGAAGGTCCCAAGTTTAAGCCTTGCTGGCATCTCCAGTTCAGAGGAGGACAATGGAGCAAAACAGGTAGAAACTCACTGTGGTAGATCTCCTGAAGGGATCCCCCTCCACAGTATTCCATACAGATCCACAGGCGCTCATTCCTAAAGGGAGAAGAAAGAAGCTTGTGGGAATGGCCCCCCTCCTCAGCTCCCAAAGCAGCTCCTCTTTCTCCCACCTGCCACCCTTTGAAGGGGCGCCCAAAGGAATATCTTGCCCTGAGGCAACAAGAAAACTGATCTCCTGAAGGGCTCCCCTGGAATATTCCACTCAGATCCCATAAGCATCCATTCCCAAGACACACGCAAAAATGAAACGTCACCACAGAGCCAGCTAATTCCATCCACAAGGCCTGAAATATTTCTCTTTGGGCAAGGAATTCTGGATGAGTTCAGTTTCTACACTCTGAGGGCCGCCTCCTGCTTAATTTCAACTCAAGCATATCCTATAAAATACGTGGTTGATTTTTCTGCCTCTGACAGCCCTAGATAGGAAAATAAAGTCCTCCACAGGTGCATTCTTCATTTGGAAAGAAGGCAATTCCATCCCACCAAGTCTGACTCCATCCATGCCAAATACCAGGGACTAAGTGTCAAGCATCAAACCTGCCACCCCACAATTCTGACTACGCTTTCACAACCATATCACTACACCTCAACGGCCCTACCCTCCTGATTCCAGTCCTTTTCCCAAAGCGTCCGAGCCTCTCACCTGAGGTAGCTGCCGAAATAGGCCACCACGTTGGGGTGGCGGCAATCCCGGAGCGTGGTGATCTCCTGCTGGATGGATCCGATGTCATCCCCTGAGGAGAGGAAGCAGGACAAACTGTTTCCTTTGCTCCAAAAGGGCCTCTCTGTCACTACCGCCCTTTATCTGACAGTATCAAATTCCAAAGTGTTCTAAAAATCCACTTGGTGTGCGTGACACACCTGGGGAGCTGGCTCCCAGTACCTCTGTTTCAGACATTACAGGTAGGTAATGTCAGATTTAAAAATAAATGAATAAAAGCATGTTAAGGTGTAATTTTAACACCTTTTTTTTAATGGCAGGTATATTAAATGTCTCTTTTAATAAGCATCCTGCTGTAGCACAATTAGACGTACTGCTGGATGTGTTTAATGGTTCTTGTACTTGCTTTACTTGGTGGGTGCAGTTGTTTTGAATTGTTTTTAAATGTTATACGTTAATTTGGATCTTGTACCTGTACAGTGGTCCCTCGGGTTAAGTACTTAATTCGTTCTGGAGGTCTGTTCTTAACCTGAAACTGTTCTTAACCTGAAGCACCACTTTAGCTAATGGGACCTCCCGCTGCTGCCGCGCCGCCGGAGAACGATTTCTGTTCTTATCCTGAAGCAAAGTTCTTAACCTGAAGTAATATTTCTGGGTTAGTGGAGTCTGTAACCTGAAGCGTATGTAACCCGAGGTACCACTGTATTTGTATTTGTGGGCTGGGGTAAAACATTATCAGGTATCTTGACAGACGGGAGACATGCCACACCCCCCAAATTTCTGTTGTAGACCGCCTCTTTCTGTGACACCTGTATGATGCTTTTGGGTGGTCCTTGGCTAAGGGGCTGGGCAAGTCTTCAAAAGTTCTCGCACACCTTTTTTCTGGGGCGTCACCTCCTAACAAAACGGGGAGGGACTTCTGTTGCAACAGGAAAAATGGATCCTGCCTCCATCCATTCTTCTGTGACCAATAATGGATGCAGGGGACACAGAGACTCTTGACAGAGAGTGGCGCTTAAATGCCAACCCCATTTTTTTCTATAAGTCTTGCACACTGCCTCTGACCCAGCACATTTCCCAAACCATCCAACAAGTTCTGAAAGAAGACTTGTGAAGTCCCACCTTGCTGAAGAAGCAGCCAGCCCACCCCACCCCAGCTTACCTGGATCAAGCTTCACTATCTTAATGGCGGCCAGTTCCCCAGTCTCCGTGTCACGGGCCTGCAGGGGGCAAGGAGAGGAGGGGGGATAATCAGTCAAAAAGCGCCATTCGCCAAGAGGGGTCTGAACCCGCCCTTGCCCACAGCCTTAGGCAATTCCTGAGCCACCCGCCAACTGCTGCACTAGTTAGTGGCCTGAAACACAAACATGTCACAGCTAGCGCACCTCCTGGTGTGAACAAGCGGGACACCCCACCCCGCAAACAGCTTTGTTCTTCCACACAGAATTCACAGGAAATCCTCCCCCCCCGCCCACCTCAGTTTTCCAAATTCCCATTGTCACGGTCATGACGCCAAAAAGTGAGGGCTGGTTGGAGATCTGCCTGCGTAAAACAATAATAAAATATAATAGTGTGTTCCAAGAAGGATCACCATTGAAAACAGCACCCCAGCCACACTCCGTAATTAACTAGAACAGGATCACACCAACAGGGCTATAAACCTTTTAAGGATACCTTTACTGGTGGGAGCGAAAGAAAGTAGGCCGGGATGACACCTCTATGGAAGGCCCCATCTCTTGTTTCTGCCACTCGGACTGATCTTTTGATTTGCAGAAGATATAACCAGTCCGTATATTTTTACAAGGTTCCTTTAATCATTACAATATCAGCTTTTAAAGCCCCTGCTAGAATGATAACAGAATTCTATTAAGACTCCTAGCAAGGCCCAGCTGGTTCCTGACCACGTGCAGAGTGCATATGTCTTGACACTGAATAACCACAGCCATTTAAGGAGTCATGGGCTGGAGGTCAAAGGGCAAGAAGAGCATGCCCACCAAAGCCCCCTCTTTCGGAAGGAGCTCAGTCCTTTTAATCATCCTGTTGGCAGTGAGGCAACTTCCTGCCATCCTGGCTGAGCTGGGCTCCCCTAGCAGAAAGGGAGTGGCGCACGTCAAAAATTCTCGTGACAAGCCGGGGAGGAAAGAGACAGGGTGACCCCCTCTCTCTTGGACAAAGGCGGCTTCCTCCTCACAAAACAGGTGGCAAAAAAAAAAGCCATCAGCCACTCGGAAGAGAGGCGGGAAGCCATGTTTCTAAAGGGACCCTCGTGATCTTAAAAGGCTCTTTGGGATTTCCACATCCTCTGCCTAGTCTGTTTAGTTTTGAAACAAAACTACCATTGAGAGAGAAGCCAGCCTGGTCTTGACAAAGAGAGGTGAGACAAGACATTGCTGGGGTGTAACTTGGCGTCCTCTGCCAGAGGTGGCTGCCTCACTCTGCCCCGCTTTGCCCAATGGCAGGGCTAGCCAGCCTTGCCCTCGTGAACCACTGAGGCCACATCTGAACTCAGCCCCGGAACACAAAGTTGCAGCATCCTCTGTGCATGCACAGAGCGCCTTTGCCACCAAGGATCACCGCAACTGGGGCCACAAGGGTCATCTAGTCCAATGCAGGAATCTTTTGCCCAATGTGGGGCTCAAACCCACAACTCAGGCTCTATCGCAAGGTTTCCCAAACTTGGGTCTCCAGCTGCTTGTGGACTACAATTCCCATCATCCCTGACCACTGGTTACTTCTCCCTCTCCTAATCTGCCCACTCCCACCCTTCTTTCCATCTCTCCAGGACACCATTCAGAGGACCCCTTGTTGCATTTGAGTTGTGGATGGGGCTCAGGCATCCCCACCAGGGCTCCTAGCCTGTTCCTACAGCCCACCTCCGAGCTGTAAACAGAACCAAGAAGTCCTGGCTCCCAGCTGGAAGCCATTCTGGCCTCAAGAATCTCAGGAAATGCCATGCTGGGGTCAGAACAATGTGCCTGACTCCAGGGCGCAAGGCAGGCTGCTGGATCAAGGCAGGGCTTGAATTTGGCAGGAGGGGAAGTGTAGCAGGAGCGCTGCTTCTCTCCAGGCTCCTGGGGGCCTACAGGAATGGAAAGACACCCCACCTCCCGCCCACAGCAGCTTCTGAGGCAGGCTACCAGGAATCCAGTGTGAAGGTCAGAAATGGGACTCTGGGTGCAGCAATACCAAACCTAGGACAATGGCTTAGGCCCATTCAGGATCAGGCGTCCCCCTCCCTTGCAGCCGAAGGTAACTGAGTTTGGGGCAGGAGGACAGCCAGTGTGGCACCGTCTTAGATTCCTGCATTGTAGGGGGTTGGACTAGATGACCCTTGGGTCCCTCTTCTAACACTACGATTGTATGATTCCTAAAGGTCCTGGTTCAAGTCCCAACTCAACAGTCACGCTCACCCAGGCGAGTCACTATCTTTTATCCTGACCTACCTTAGAGCAGGGCTGTGGAAATTAAAAGAAGGGAGCAGGGGAAGGAAGAATCCTGTACTGACTGGAGCTACCTGGAGCAATACCTCAAGTACTGTCTCTCTCCACATGAACCTACCTGGACCCTGAGATCATCATCTGAGGCCCTTTTCATGTGCCTCCTTCACAAGCAGTTTGGAGGGTGGCAACATGAGAATGGGCCTTTTCTGCAGTGGCTCCCCGTTTGTGGAATGCTCTCCCCAGGGAGGTTCGCCTGGCACCTTCATTGTACACCTTCAGGCGCCAGGAGAAAACGTTCCTCTTCAGCCAGGCCTTTGGCTGATTGACGTCCAATGCCCTTTTAAAATGTGTTGTGGAAGATGGGGTTATTGGGCTGTCTTTGTTCTTATTTTTATTATGTATTCTATCTTTTTTATATTGTAATTTCATGTTGCAAACCTCCCAGAGATCTACAGGTATAGGGCGATATGCAAATTTATTAACGATGATAGTATTAGGCACATCAATACATATCAAAGGGGGGGGGAATATTTCTGCAGAGTTTAGAATGTGGTTTGACATGTGGTAACCCACAGCTGTCTAGTCCCACAAACCCTTTCTACAGCTGCCACCCAGATCTATCTGACTTGGTTGCCATAGAAGGGTAAGTAGGTGGACGAACAATGCTGCCACTCAGCAAGGGGTTGAGCTAGATGACCTCTTTTTTTTAATAATAATATTTATTAAAATTTCACAAGGAAAAAAACCACATTAATGAAGAAAAAATTAACAATAAAAAGAAAAAATACAAAGTAAAAAAGGAAAAAACAATTAAAAACAATTTCATCTTTTCCTCACTTCTTTTACATTTACTTGTTTCTCGGACCTCCTCTTACCCCCCTCTTTTGTATTCTAATTAAATATGTTAATCCAACAATTCCTTTCCCTCCTTTTTAATCCTAATCTTTAATCTTGATATAATATAACTTAAAATTTTAGATTTTAGATATTAAAACCAATTTTTCCATATTCTTTTAGCCTGTACAGCTAGAAACCCCTTAACTTCAATCCAACATCATTCTAACATTCATTAATTTTGCAATATTTCTGTAAATAGTCTTTGAATTTCTTCCAATCTTCTTCCACCGACTCTTCTCCCTGGTCACGGATTCTGCCAGTCATTTCCGCCAATTCCATGTATTCCATCATTTTCATCTGCCATTCCTCCAGTGTGGGTAGATCTTGTGTCTTCCAATACTTTGCGATGAGTATTCTTGCTGCTGTTGTAGCATACATAAAGAAAGTTCTGTCCTTTTTTAACACCGATTGGCCGACTATGCCCAGGAGAAAGGCCTCTGGTTTCTTCAAGAAGGTATATTTAAATACCTTTTTAGTTCATTATATATCATCTCCCAGAAAGCCTTAATCTTTGGGCACGTCCACCAAAGGTGAAAAAATGTACCTTCAGTTTCTTTACATTTCCAACATTTATTATCAGGCAAATGGTAGATTTTTGCAAGCTTGACTGGGGTTATGTACCACCTGTATATCATTTTCATAATATTTTCTTTTAAGGCATTACATGCCGTAAATTTCATACCTGTGGTCCACAACTGTTCCCAGTCAGCAAACATAATATTATGTCCAACGTCTTGTGCCCATTTAATCATAGCAGATTTCACCGTTTCATCCTGAGTGTTCCATTTCAACAGCAAGTTATACATCTTTGACAAAGTTTTAGTTTTGGGTTCTAACAATTCAGTTTCTAATTTTGATTTTTCCACCTGGAAGCCGATTCTCTTATCCAAATTGTATGCCTCCATTATCTGATAATAATGAAGCCAGTCTCGCACTTTGTTTTTTAGTTTTTCAAAACTCTGCAATTTCAATCTGTCTCCATCTTGTTCCAAAATTTCCCAATATTTCAGCCAATTGACCTCCATATTGAGCTTTTTCAAGGCTTTCGCTTCCATCGGTGACAGCCACCTTGGAGTTTTGTTTTCCTGAGCTAGATGACCTCTGGCTCCCTCACCACCTCCATTAAGGGATCACAACATTATCCAATGGGATGTCCAGACAAGAAGGGCATCATGTGGGGAGAGGGGGGAAGGCAGCCTTCACACAACTGGCACCACTCCAGATGTTTTGGAGTTATACCCCCCATCAGCCCCAGCAAGCAGGGATGGGAGTTGTAGTCCAAAACAGCTGGAGACCATCAGGTCAGTCAGGGCCTGTTGTCCCAAATACCTGTGAGGAGCTTGAAGGAGGCATCCCAACGTCCTGATAATTTTTGTTAATACAGTGGGACCTCGGGTTAAGTACTTAATTCGTTCTGGAGGTCCGTACTTAACCTGAAACTGTTCTTAACCTGAAGCACCACTTTAGCTGGGGGCCTCCTGCTGCCGCCGCGCCGCCGGAGCACAATTTCTGTTCTCATCCTGAAGCAAAGTTCTTAACCTGAAGCACTATTTCTGGGTTAGCGGAGTCTGTAACCTGAAGCGTATGTAACCTGAAGCGTATGTAACCTGAGGTACCACTGTACTACAGTGGTAGTATTCGCCGCTACCGCGCATGTGCATGATGTCATTTTGAGCATCTGCGCATGTGCGAGCGGCGAAACCCGGAAGTAACGCGCTCAACCCGAAGCGCATTCAACTCGAGGTATGACTGTACTGATAATGTCATCCTCATCATCCCACTCACTATTTTGCAAATGAACAGAAGGCAGCTCACATAAAATCAGCATGACACACACACACAAAAGGCAGACCAACAGCCAACTTTACAACAAAATAAACAACAGCTAAAACAACCAGCCATTAAAAACAGCAGCCGACTCATCACCAAAGAATATTTTTGTTATGACTGCTAGGGCATACTACGGACTGCCAAAACACGGGCAAGTCAACGTGACGCCCCCTAGATGTTTTATAGACTACAACTCCCATCAGCCTGCGTGCCCAACAATCTGGGGTGATGGGAGTCCAACAATCCCTTGAGGGCCCCACAAGAGCTCAGAAGTGAAGCCCACCGTCCTCCTTGCAGTGTCCAATAACCTCTTCCATGATGCTATGCAAAGAAACTGTACACAATCTGATATATATATATATATATGTCAAATAACTAATAGGAATTAAACAGGAAAGTATGAGAGCTAAAGGGTTTGAGGACTAGCAACCTGCGGGAGCTTATTGGCAAGGTTTCTGTCCATGAGCAGCCCAGTTTTAAGCAGGTCTCTCAAGTCTGCTGGATTGCTGGACATGTGACCGCCCCGATGCCACCACTGAAGGCAGCAAATCTCTGCCAGCTGCAACACAGCCACCAACCTGGAAGAGAAGCATTTCCCCCCCCAATCCCAAAGCAATTTGTACTGCAACAAAAACTGAATTATAACCATTGTATAAATGGGAGGGGTACAGAATGCAAAGAGATGCTTACAGTCAGATGACATGCAGGGAGTAAAAGCCTGGGTGCTGGATCAGACCGAAGGGGGAACCTCAAATCCAGCACCCCAACTCCCTCTGGGAAGTGGAACAAGCAAGCCATCTCCTGCCAGGGCAGCACCAGTCCTGAGCAGCAGCCAGCGCCAGGCACGTGCCTCTGCCATCAGCACTGATTAGGCCAAGTCCCTTCCTTTTAAAGCTCACAGAAGTGGCGATGGGGGGAAATCCCATTGCTCAGTTATGTGCAGCGGAATAAATATTCTACTAGGTGGAAGGAGGCGCCCAGCTCCCACTCTCCTGGCTGAAGGGGGGTGTGCAAAAGACGCAGGAGGACAGACACCCGGCCTGGATGGGCCTCCCTCAGCAAGAGCCACCAAAACTCCCAGGAGGCTTACTCCTGCTCCCTGTCCTTACATCACCCTCTGACTTGGGGGGCGACTGGGTGAGCCGGCATCTAGAAGGGGACTGTGTCTCCGGGGAGCAACAGCATCCTTGGAAGGTAGGCTCACTCTCTACTCCAAGAGCACCCAGCTTGATCTCTCCGTCTTGATCTTGCCAGTCTCCCTGCCAGCCAATAGCAGCCCGCTTGGTCCTCTGGGACCCCAAGGCCATCAGCTGGGTGGCAGTCCAGTCAGGCCAGCGTCCCGCAACGGCCAAAGGGGGGGGGGGTTGAGGATGGTGGTGGAGGTGCAGCAGGAGCTCCAAAGGGAGGGGGGCGTCCCGACAGGGAGCGCCTCCCCCCTTGCTGACATCCTACCCAAGACGCACCTACAGGCTTCCGACCCACGAACCTGACATGAACACCGGACCCCGACCCCCCAAGTCAACCCCGCACGCCGAGTCTCCCACGAAAAGGGCTTACCCCGCTCTCGGGGGTTTGGAGGGGGACACCCAGACAGGAACCCAGGCGTCCGGGTCCCGCGGCCCCCACCCGGGCCAGAAGTCCCCGACGCTGGGGGTGGAGTCTCCCCTTCAGGGAGAGAAGGACGACCCAGGCGTCCCGGTGCCTCCCCCCGCCCCGGGCGCCGCGCACCCCTGCGCGCTTTCTCCCTCCCAAGGAACCCAGGCGTCCGGTTCCCCCCCTCCCCCTTCCCCTTCCCCGCCTGGCGCACCTTGTAGACATCGCCGTAGGTGCCGGAGCCGATGCGCTGGACCAGCTCGTAGCGCCGGCGCGGGTCCTGCAAGGAGACGTCGCGCAAAGCGCCGCTCATCCTCCCGCCCTCCCTGCCCGGCCGCCGGAGCCCGAGCCGGGGCCGGCGCGGAACAGCAGCAGCAGCAGCAGCGGCGGGAGCAGGAGCTGCCCGGGCGGCAGCGGAGGAGGAGGAGGAGGAAGAGAAGGCGCCGCCTTCGGGGCGGGGCGGAGAAGCGGCCTCTGGGGAGGGCAGGAAGGAGGCGCCGCCCGCTTCCCCCGAGACGACGTTTCCCAGAGTCGCGGCAAGGGGGCGCCCTCGCTCCCGGACTCGGGCGCCTCGGGGCATGTGCAGAGCGCCACCGGGAGGTCTTGCTCCTCAGCAAAACAAAACTGTAGACCCCTCTTCGCCAACAGGGTGCTGCTGGTGGGAGCCCGAAACCTCTGAAGGGCGCCAAGTTGGCAAAGGCTATACTATATACCGTAAATGCACACCCGCGCGCACATAGACCTTCGGGGCCCCAGCGGAGCCTCTCCGGCTGCAGGCACCTGTTTAAGGAAATCTTGCCCAGCTGATCATATGAATTATGACTGCTTAATCAATTCATCAGGGGAATTATCATTCATTTGCATATGAATTAAGATAGCTTTGACAGGAAAAACGAAGCAAGCATAATTTTATAAACCTCTTATCATGTTACCGCCTTTCCTCTAAACCAAAAGGTGTCAAATGCTGCAACCTTTCCTCATAGGGCAGGGGCTGCACCCCTTTGATCGTTTGGGTTCTGAACATTTTCCAACACTACAATTTCCTTTTTTGAAGTGAGGTGACCGTGCGCAGTATCTCAAACGCCGCTGAACCATAGATTTGTATAAGGGCATTACGATCCCCAGAATTTTATTTTCAATTCCTTTCCTAATAATCCCTTGCATGGAATCTGCCTTTCTCACTGCCACCGCACTCAAGGTTGGCATCTTCATAAAGCTAACTATCAGAACCCCAAGGTCTCGCCCCTTGTTCTATTCTCCTGCATTGTAATGAGAACACTGAATACCAGCAACTAGGGCTCAGTGATATATTGATATATCATCCAAAACCCGTTTGAAGTCCATATTGTGATATCAGTTTCATAAATTTTGACCTAGGAATATATTGCAAACCATGGGGTGTGTGCTATGCAAAAATCACAATGTCGGGGAAAACATGAAGCCAGGCAATGCCTCAGCACATTTCTGTTCTTATTTCAGACATCGTGATCTATATAGCAGTATTTAGCTGGTGATATATGGAAATGTTGAAAACCAGATATCGCCCAGCCCTGTTCAGGGCAAACACATAGTGGAAGGATTCAGGGGTCGCTCTAGCAGGTCCAGCTATCCAGACTTCATGTTTCTCTATGCACTGGACCATTCTTTTTGAAAAATGGGGGTGTTCAGAGGCCTGGTTCCAGCTCCTGGCATAGGGAGCTATGTAAAGGCGTTTATGGCACTCCTTTCTTGCCCCTGGCAGTTGATGACACAGGCCGCCCAGACTCCAGGCTCTTTCCTCCAGAAGCAGTGACAGATGGACTCCTCCTCATGGTCTGCTCTGTATGGTGAAGATGCCAGCCCACAGACTCAGATCTCTTCGTGGTGCATGTGGGAAGAAGCGTCCTCTTCCAAGCAAGCACTTTCCATCTGCAGCTCTTCTGACAAACTGGGAACTCAGCCTGTTCTGGGCAGGGTTGCCCCCCACATCAAAGATCAGGATGGTAGCATGGGTTTGCAACTAGATCAGGGGTCAGCATACTTTTTCAGCAGGGGGTCAGTCCACTGTCCCTCAGACCTTGTGGGGGGCCAGACTATATTTTGAAAATTAAAAAAAGAATGAATTCCTATGCTCCACAAATAACCCAGAGATGCATTTTAAATAAAAGCACACCTTCTACTCATGTAAAAACACCAGGCAGGCCCCACAAATAACCCAAAGATGCATTTTAAATAAAAGGACACATTCTACTCATTTAAAAACACGCTGATTCCTGGACCATCCGCGGGTTGGATTTAGAAGGCAATTGGGCCGGATCCGGCCCCCGGGTCTTAGTTTGCCTACCCATGGTCTAGATCCACCTGCATGGGTGGCTGATGGCTAAGTGATCCCCATATGCCTTGCATTTTACCAGCTTGGGCTGCTGTGCCAGCCCTGGGCTTTCATAAGGAAGCACACACAAGAGGCCAGAGCAGGGACAGAGTTTGGTCTTTCAATTTTCAGCGGCACCCTGTGCAAGGCCAAAATTCACACACACACCCTCCGCCTCTTGCCTTCCGTTCTGTGGTAGTTGTGACGTCCTGCGGCACCCCCTTTGGCTCAGCCTCCATTGTGGGGAAACCGGTCACACTGCTGTAAATCTGCCTCTGGCTAGAGTTATTTATGCTCTGGTAATGTGAAAATAAGAAATGGGAGGGAGGGCAAATTTTGACCTCAAGGCGCCATATTACCAAAGTGCACCCATGCCAGTTAACTGGGGTTATTTGGCCTATTATAAATTGGAGGATGTTTTTGGTAAGACAAGGCTTGCATTTATCTTTGCTTAGATGCCGAGAGGCAGAAAATGCCCCAGCAATGACCTGCTGTATTGCAGTCTTCATACAGCGTTGGGCATAGAAAACTAGATCCATTGGGTTTCTGCCTGTCTGGTTTAAAAGTCCAAAATTGGCTGTGGGCAGGAAGTGGCTACTGTGGGGCAGTACTACCAAATAGCCAGAAGATGGCAGTGTCAGGTAAAACAGAGTTGAAGAGCACTAGAGATTGAGCCATTCCTTTTTTAAAAATAAAAACCAGTATATGACAATTTTGTACGAAAATAGCATTCAAAAAGCTGTGTAGACGTAAAAAACAAACCATCAACAAGTAAAAGCAGCAGGAACAATAACAATTCAATTATCAGAAAAATGAAGATCGGGGCAATACACAATTTAATATTTTTTTAAAAAAAATACTAGTGATACTGATGAAACTGAGGAGGGAAAGTTTTTCTGCTTTGTTTTAATACACTTTCCTTTCAACTATCCAATATCAAGTGTGCATTTAGGACAATTTACCGCTACCTGCGAAAGAGATGGAACAACTACGTGCAAAGAGAGAGAAAAACTTACAAAACTTGTCTTAGCTGTACGACAGTAAAGAATAACCTTGGCATGGGGCAATCAAAAAATACAGGCAAGGTTTGGGTTCATTCAACAGTGTGTGAGTGCAAAACGCCACTGAAATACGAAGTTAAAAGGGGCCAGATAATTTTGGAGAGCAGCGCCGGTTTTTAGCCCTTCGTCTCCAGACGATGCTGCTCAAGACACCGGCTGATGAAACACTGCAATTAAATAGCTACAAGCAGCAACCACTTTTCGCGCAAAACGAAGACCAAGCTACGAAGATGCTGCTGCAGTTCTGTACTTTTCCTTCCGTGCTCTATCTGCAGTTCTCAATTCCATCAGGCGGGGCGGGAGGAAGAGAGGGAGGGGAAAGCGCCCGAAGTAAACCCGCAGATCAGACTACCTATGCTAGTCTACCACTACAAATCTATGGGAGAAGCGCTTGCGGTCCTTCCTCCGCTTTCCCCCTCTATGGTTAGCCCTTGGAACCGCCTCCTCCTCCTCCTCCTCTCCTCTCCTCTCTGAACTGCTTTCTCTATGGTTGCCCTCGCTCTCCTTTCAAGGCTCCTCAGCAATTCATAGGCCGCGCCAGGCTGCCCATCTCATCCGGGTCCTTTGGAGGCGCAGACGCAGTACGGCCTAGCGGGAGTGGTGGCGGCGGCGACGGGCAGAGGGGAGGCCCCAGGCAGAGACGCTCAGTTCGGCAGCCGCTGGGAGGATGGCGGCGGAAGGGCCCGAGGCTCCCGCCAGTCCCGGCGGGGAGGGCCTCCCGGGGGCCGAGGCTGGTGAGAGGGGGGCGGGTCGGAGAGGTGTCCGTTGGTCACGCCTGCGTTGGTCACGGCCGGGGGTGGGGAGGACGGGGCTCCAAAGCGTGGACGGAGAGGGGGTCGACACTACGTACTAGAACCCCAAACCCAGCACGCGAACAAAGTCCTTTGTCCCCAAGTGCCTCTCTACCCCAGCGCGCAGTTTCCAACGGGGGCACTCCGGTTTCCCCCTGGGAAGTTCACTATGCACGACATGGCGTGTGCTGCCCCTCGCAGGTACACTGCTTCTGTCCATGGGGGCTTCGTTCCTGGCTGACATGCGAGAGTGGACCTGGCAGCCACCGCACGTGGGCATAGAGAGATACATGAGATCCTTTTAGGGGAGGAATGTAATAATGGAGCCTAATTTGCTTTCTATGAGATGTCCTGCTGCCGTCTGCCAAGTCAGACTTTTGGTCTGTCTGCCCTAGAATTGTCCACTACTAGCAGGCAGTGGCTCTTGAATGTTTTGGTAGAAGTTTCTCCTGGCCCACCTACCCAACGACCTTCTTTATCTTCAGGACTGAGACTGCGGAGCCCTGCTCTGGATTCTCCCCTGAATAGAAAAGCTTTTCCCTGTCTCTTGGTTAGAGGTGACTTACCACAGGCAAAATTGTTCATTTTCAAGCCTGAGTGAAGAAAAGTCCAAAAGGGAACTGTTGGAGTGGCTATTGGAGAATGCATTTTCCATTCATATATGCATTTGTTGAAAATATTTGGCAGGGAGAGAGAATTAATGTGCACAGCAGAGAGAGCAAAGTGCTGCTTGCAGAATCAAGGCAGGAGGTTTGTTGCTTAGCCAGGAAATGCCAGGGTGGTTGGGGCATTCCTTGCCCTTCCCATGGCCCATCTTCAGAACAGCACAGTTAGCCTTTGTTAAGCGAGGGGCAACAGAACTAGGTTTCAGAGAGAACTGGAAGAATTCTCATTACCTTTTGTTGTTCCTAAATCCAATAGGTCCTGACCAAGATGTGCTTCCTAAGCCAGCGAGTAACGGGGCCCCAAACCCAGATGAGGCAACGCCAGCGCAAGAGTGCAACGGGGTCAGTGTAGAATCCACTGCTCTGGCCCTGCGACCTGAGCCTGCCAAGGAGGAAGCCCCTCAGCCCTCTGCTCCCGACGTGGTCATGCACATGGCAATCAACCCCCCCATGGAGGAGCTCTCCATCACATATCCGCTGGAGTTTGAGCGGTACTGGAGAGCGGCACAAGAGAACCCTCTAGACTTCACTGCATGGACTGAGCTGCTGCAGTATGTAGAGCAAGAGGTAAGCTGAGGGGTCCACCTGCAAGCTTGGATTGAATTGTGTGGTTAACTGTTGAAGCGCAAGTTAATTGTCCCTAATTGGAGTGAGGCTTACCCGATGAAAGATAACAGCTTTAATAAGGCAGGTGCCTCCTTTTCCTTCACATTTACAGTAGCCTGCTGTGTTTTGTGTGCCTAGCTTCACTTCTTTCCTCTTTCCCACTTGGGCAGAATCACATCTATGCAGCCCGCAAAGCCTTTGACAGCTTCTTCCTGCGGTACCCTTATTGCTACGGCTACTGGAAGAAATACGCAGACATGGAGCGGCGCTTTGACTTCATCAAGGAGACCGAGGAGGTGAGGAGGGGCCGGAGGGGATTCCGCACCTCTGCCCCCCCTTCTGTTCCTTTTGTGTGTGTGTGTCCCTGGGACGCACCCGGTTCAGACCACCGCTAGCCAGACATAGGGGAGCTGCACGCTCCTTAAAGGTGCTGCAGAGTAAGCAGGCTCCAGGTATCTCCTGCAAGTGAGCCAAGCCACCTCACACAACAGGATAAGGCAAAAAGCCTGCGTGTCTGGTGTCTTCTTAGCTTCAGTTGGGGTAGGTGGACTCTGCAGGGATGAGTTAAGCTTTGCATTCACTCTCTCCAGAAGGACAAAAGCTCCTACCTCAACATGATGTTCCTGGTTTTGTCAGCCCCTAGTGCTTCAGAGGAAAGGAGGGAATCCAAGATCTTAAGGGTGAAGGATTGGAGGCAAGGGGTTGATGGGGAGCAGGGAATAAAAACTCTTCCTGGCCTCTCCTCCCCCAGTTCTCTACAAATGAATAAGTATTTACAAATCATTTCTCTGCTACTGTTGTTGCTCCTCAGGTGTTCCAGCGAGGCCTGCAGTCCATTCCCCTCAGCATGGACCTGTGGATCCATTACATCTCCTTTCTGCAGTCCAGCTTGGATATGAACCTTCCAGATTCAGCTCAGAAAATCTGCGGGTAGGTCGTGTCAGAGGGAGGAAGGGACTTCCTGTTGTAACCCTGTGTGTGAAAGAGAGAGAGAGAAGTGATAATTTGGAAGCCTGATTCTCCTTACAAGACTCAGGATGCTGAGTGCCATGGCCCCTTTTGTGCAATATTGAGAAATACATAGCAAGCAGGTCTCCAAATCTTACTGGCCAAACAAATTGTGTCCTTGCCTCCTTACCACGTGTGTATACTGAGTTCCAGGAGCACCTCCAGGGCCAGCATAACTGAGCAGGCAAGGTACTCATGATATTCTGTTAGCTGGAAAAGTAGAATATGGGTGGGGGTGGAATGGAGTTTCCTAGAGGACGACTCTGCGATATTCTGTCATGGCTCCTATTTGCAAATACTGATCACATCTCCCTGTGCCTGTGCTCTGGTCCTCGCAGCACCTTTGAGTCGGCAGTGGCGGCCGCAGGGGTGGATTTCCGTTCGGACAAACTTTGGGAGATGTACGTGGAGTGGCAGAGGGAGCAAGGGGACCTGAAGGCCATCACCGCCATCTATGACCGAGTGCTGGCCACCCCCACCCAGCTGTACAGCCACCACTGGGAAAAGTAAGTCTTGTGGGAGGCTACCGGGGGGGGGGGGCGGCTTCCACACTTTGTTCAAGAGCTGCAATGTGAGTGTCAGAGCTTCAGGCTCCCAAGTGAGGTGTTGGTTTGTGTGAGAAGGAAACTCGCTAAACATGCCCACAGGAGGCAGGGGCAGCTGCAGCACTTCAGGATGGGGAGTCCTGGATGTAGCGATGCACCCCACCTGCATAACACCCCAAGGAGAGAAATTCCAAAGAAGGAACCCTGTCCATGTTTTGCTATTGATACAGTCATCCTTGATTTATGCTTTTGTCCTTCTTCCTTTCAATTTGCTGAGAGTAGCAGACAGGGTTCTCTCTCCCCCGCTTCTCTGCCCATTATCCTCAGAACAACCCTATGAGGTAGGCTAGGCCATGGGAGAGAGCGACTGGCTCCAGGTCACCCTGTGAGGCTTTTGAGGAATTTGAATCAGGCTTTCACTGCTCTTGGTACCAGCCCTCTCCACTGCACCAAGTGGTTGCTTCACACTTTGCACAACTCAACCTGTCCATCAAGATGGATGTATTTCAAACTTTTATCAGCATTTGAAGTCATGGAATCGGAAAGCACCTTAGGAATCGCTATGCAACATGGCACTTTCATTCTCTATGTTCACAGTAGCCCTGTGAGGTAGGCTGTGTTGTGCCGCGAAATGATTTCTCAGTGGCCACACCCATTTAGCTTCATTGGCTGAGTGTGTCTTCCACATGCACAGCTGGCACTGCCAAAATATACCCATAATACAGATTAGGGGATGGGGTGGAGGGCGAGAGGCCACCCAGACACTCCCCGCCTCCCAGGTCCCATCTCCTGAGAGAGCTCATGTAACCGAGGTGGGGGGAATAAGGCAGTCCCTCAGCCAGGAATGCCTGAGAGAATGATCTGCAGGCTCTGCTTTTTCCTGAGCAAAGCTATGAAGGTGCTGGCTTATAAAGTGGTGTTATCTGCAGTGGGTGCACCCAAAATTCAGTTAAAGGTTGTGAAAAGACTTGCAGACGTGACTGTCCTTTAGAAACTAGATATTTGTGGATGTGATTGGATATCTCTGATATTTTGTAAGGGAAGTTTCTTACTGTGTTGTAAATAAATATTGAAAATGTAATTCACGTGACGGGCTTAGGTATGTTGTTCTGTTGCCCTTCCCCACTCTTCCCCCTTCCAACTCTGCCTTAGGGGTACGATCCTGCTGACTTCCCTTAACAGTCTTGTGGTAAAGGTTTTACTGAGATAACATCTATGGCATCGTCAACTTAAGGTCTTGAATCAGTGCTTAGTATTATTAGCTGCTGTGGGGCACCATTCTGTTGTTGGCACAGTACCAGACCACTGTCCCCTCCCCAGTTCTCTGCAGCATCCAAACTCCCCCTTTGCTCCAGAGTGGGCACCCTGCCTTGCCTTGCCTGCTCCACCTTTCTCTCAAAGAACAGGATTGTCTTTCTCTTCCCTTAACGCAGGTTCAAGGAGCACGTGACCAGCCATCCCCCCAGAGAGATTCTCTCCACGGAGGAGCTGCTGTGGCTGCAGTCGAAGATGGCCTCTGAGACAGTGGCCAAGGCCACCGAAATGGAGGCCGAGGAGGCTCCGCCTGGAGAGGACGTCCCACTGAAGACAGAAGCCAAGCAGGAGATGGTGGAAGGGAGCCAAGTGCTGGTGGGTACCAGTGTGGCTGGCTGCTCTGCTTTCTCTGGTACTTGGGTGGGCCTTCCTGGGCTCTGCATACTGATTACAGTATTCAATGAAAGAGAAAGAGTGGGTAGAAAGAGAGCTTCCATCCTTAGAGGCAGTATACCATTTAAGTGTCTGGTGCTGGGAACAAAATGGCTGCTGTGGTTCACGTCTCGCGTCTTGTTCGTGAGCTTCCCATGTGCATTTAGGCTCTCTTAAGGCTCTTTCTTGAGTGCTTCCATGCCTTGCGTGACCAGGGGCTGAGCTGTGCTCTTGGATTTCAGGGACCTCTGGACCAGGACAGGATCCGGGAGCTCGTGATTTCTATTCGCCAGCATATCTACACCCAGAATGAGAGCGAAGTCAGCAAGCGCTGGAATTTTGAGGAAGGGGTTTGTATAGCTGAGCCGCTGTTTGGTCAGTGCTTTCTGTCTAGGGCTTTAACTTTTTCTAAGAACCTGGCTAGCAGCTGTCAGTCTCTCTGCTGTGGTTATGTGGGAGAAGCAGCTCTGCTCAGTTCTTCCCTGCTTCTAAAAAACAAGCCACTTGGCTTCTTGCCTTTAAGGCTGCGGAATGAGCCTGAGAAGCTTCAAAAGCCAGGCCTGCCTGTGTTGCCTCCTTGGGCCTTTCTCCTGTTAGCTTGGGGTTCACTTGCTTGACAGCCAGACACTGTGAGGCTCCTCCCCCTGCCTTGTGAGGTTTATGCTTGGAAAAGTTGTCCAGGGCTCATGCAAAGCCAAAAGGGGTGACGGATGGCAGAGTGCTTCTGTAGGCCTGAATTGCCAAATAGGCTGCATATGGCGGAGCTGGGGGATGGATCCTGTGCCCTGCCAGTGTGACATAGAGCTTTTACTTTGAGGCTGAAGTGCTGATGTGCACCGATGCCAGTGCTCTCCATTCCTTGCCTGTCTTGCGTCAGCCAGAAAAAGTGTGCGAGGTCCCCCTCTCTCTGGACCTCAGCCCCAGCAGGATTGGGGAATTTATCTCCCTGCTTTCCTTTTGCCTCTCCCGTTGAGCTCCTTCCCCCTCCCCTCCTTTTGTTTTAGATCAAGAGGCCCTACTTCCACGTAAAGCCACTGGAGAGAGCCCAGCTGCGGAACTGGCGGGACTACCTGGACTTTGAGATTGCCAGCGGCTCGCACGAGCGCACCATCGTGCTCTTTGAGCGCTGCGTCATTGCCTGCGCCCTGTATGAGGAGTTCTGGATCAAGGTGTGTGTTGGCAAGATGTGCTTCCTCCCCTGAATGCCCCTGGACTGCCCCATGCAGAGGAAGGAAGCGGCTCCTTCTCTGCCCTTCAGGCAGTCCCAGAGGCTGTGGTTTAAACTCCTCCCTTTATGAACAGCCTCTTGTTTCGTTAGGCCTCCTCCTCCAGAAAGTGCATATTGTCTCGCTGAGGGTGTCCCCATGGTGGGCTCTAGTTAGATGGATAAAATACTGGTGTCTGCCCAGATTACAGAATGGTCCCCACACAGGAGAAGGAGGCAAGCAACAGCTTTGCCATGATGGGGCAAAAAATTAGCACTGGCTTTTTCAGAAACACAGTGACAGAACGTGATCTCTTTGGGTTAAGCTCCTTCTGACCAGAGCTGCCATCGCAGGTGTGCATCCAAGCTGCTTTTCATACCACCCTCTGCTTCTTCTGTTCCCTTTTCCCCTCCATCCAGTACACAAGGTACCTCGAGAACCACAGTGTAGCTGGGGCCAGGAACGTCTTCCAGCGAGCTTGCTGCTATCACCTCCCTCGGAAGCCCAACATCCACCTCCTCTGGGCAGCCTTTGAGGAGAAACAAGGTGAGGAGAATAAGGTGCACTGCCTTGCCAGCCCCCTCAGTTTTCTAGCCCAAGGAGCTGCTCGTCCCATGCTGCTAAAATCTTCTGTTGATCAGCCGTAAGCTGCCTAGGCCAGGGGTTGCCTTTCAGGGTTCACAGAATTCTTCACCAGCCAAACATTTCTACTGAACTTGAAAAGATTGAAATATTAATTTTTTTGTCAATGTCCAGATGGTGTGCCATGAAAGAGACATTGTAAGTGTAAACATTTCCACTTGCACAACAGGACTCCTCGCACACATGTTCCCCTCAAAATCTGCTCTAGGCAGTTGGGGGAACCCCTAGAACAGAAGGAAGGGGTGTGGGGAGAAGTCCTGTTGCACAAGCGGAAATCTTTGTGCTGGTGGGACACTGCTTTGGATGCAACCCATTGTAGGATATTTGTTGAGATTCCCAGAGGCAGCTGACATAGGCAGGGTGGGGGGTGAATGGTACACAGTTCGCTCCCTTCAACTCCAGGGGAACTGGGCCAGGAGGGGCCAGGGCAGTGGGGAAGATCTCCGAATGGCCAGGAGGATGCCTGCTCGTTGTCCTTGCTGAAGTTGTCACGGATTTTTGGAGGATAGTAATTTGAACTCGGCTCTTCTAAGCTCTCAGCACAGCGAATGCAGGTGTTTTCACTCTGTCCACCCCCCCACCCCCCATGCAGGAGAGGTGGAGGAAGCCCGGCGCATCTTGAAGTCTTTTGAGGACTGTGTGCCTGGGCTGGCCATGGTGCGTTTGCGGCGGGTGAGCCTGGAGCGCCGGCTGGGGAACATGGAAGCGGCAGAGGCCCTCCTGATGGAAGCCATCCGGGAGAACGAGGGGATGCCTGTCTCTTCCTTCTATTCTGTCAAACTAGCCCGGCAGGTTTTGAAAGTGCAGAAGAACCTGATCAAAGCCCGGAAGATACTCTTGGAGGCACTGGAGAAGGATCCGGTAAAAAATACTGGGCGTTTGCTAAGGGGGAGTGGGGAGATGGGGACCTTGAAGGTCGGCATCCAAAAGTGAGGGACTGGTATAGTTTTCAACTTCTCTGATTCCACTTTGCACAGCATTTCAGAGATTTGAGATAGATTTGAGTGTGGCTTTCTAGAAGTCTGGTTGTCAGTGTTGCGCATGGTCATGTGTGCGCACCCTCCTTGGGGGTTCCTGGCACCTCCTAGAGCCACCAAGAGAAGTGTGGTGGGGCTTATTACCGCATGTCTGCCATTGCTGTATGTGTAAACAGCTGCCTCTTCCTGCATTATTCCTCTTTGAGGTGGGAAGTGCAGATCAGCCCTGAATGTATCTAATCTTTCTTGAAAATGTTAAAAGTTTCAGCCCACTCAGTCATGCACAAAGTTCTGGAGCTTCATAGCTGAAGCTTCCTCCTTGCATCATTCAAGTGTGAAATAAAGCAATCCCTTTGAACAGCAGTGAACTGCTTGCATCCTACAGGAGGCATTACTTGGAAACGCAGCTCAATAAAGGCATTTCTTAAGGAAGCTGATGAGAGTTTGGTTAGATAGCTACCTCTAAAATGCTCTATTATCAAGAGTGGATACCAAGGGGAAAACATGGTGTTCTAATTGCAGGTCTCTTCTGGATTCTATCCAGAAGAGCCAGTCCCTTAGTTGACATTAATTCAAGGTGAAAGCAAAGCTCAGTTCTGCTTGCCTTTGCCTATCCTGGCTGTCTTAAGAGGAATAAAAAAGCATTTTCTACAGGATCCCAAATTTTTTCCTTGGGACCACCTAGATAGACTTACCGTAATGCTGGCCAATTTTTGCCAACCCTTTATTTTGAGCTGCAGGTTTTCCTTTGCGCTGAACACAAAGACAGAGATGGCCTGGATTCTTTCCTTCCAAGTTTTGTCCCCAACTTTTCTGAGTGATGTTTTCTGCTGCATTTTCCTTTGATGCAGGACAATGCCAAGCTCTACGCCAATCTGTTAGAAATGGAGTTCAGTGCTGACGTCCGGCAAAATGAGGGCAACACCATGAGTAGCTTCGACCGAGCCCTGACCAGCGGTCTCCCTCTGGAGACCAAGATTATATTCTCCCAGCGGAGGGTGGAGTTTCTTGAGGACTTTGGGTCCAGCATCAACAGGTAACAAAGAGAGGAGTACAGTGAAAGGGGGCCAGACTTGCAGGCCATGTGCCAACAGAGCTTTTTTCTCTCCCAATATTTCTTCTCCTTTTTGCATTGGCAGCTTACTGACATCGTACGACGAGCATCAGAAACTACTGAACCAGCAAGTGATGAGGAAGAGGCTCCTGGAGAATGGGTGAGGAACTCCTTGGCCACTGAGGTCCTTGGCCTTTGTTTGGCCTCTGTTGTCTGTTTAGGAGGAGGAGGTGACCAACACAGTCTTCCTCACTGAGGCTGTGGACCTCTGCACGTGTACTTTAGGGGGACCTTTGTTGAAATTGGTACAATGTACTTCGTACGATGGATTAAGTTTGGGCTGCATGTCTACTGTGAAAGCTAGTCTGGCACAGGACCCTGCTTCCAATCTCCCCTCTGCCTTGAACTCACAAGATGACCTAAGGCCAGCCACAGTTCTCTGCCTCGGTTCCCTCACTTGCAGTATGGGGATAACAGTACTGGTCTCTCCTAGAGCTCTGTTGTGCCGATAATTCATATGATTTAAATGATTCAGAAGTACTGTGTTTTCCCTACATGACACTTTCCCTCACTCAGGGGTTCAGGGTTTCTTTCCTTTTTAAAATGGTTAACTTAAAAAAAACAACCTGACCGTCATGCAAAAAACCCTGCGGTGTTGAAGGAGATCAGGGTGGAGATTGTGCACCAGGGCATCTTATCTTATTTGTGTTTTTGTCACAGGCCCACCCCACTTAGCTTTATTTGCCAATTCTGTTCCCTCAAACTTCCTTCTTGCTCTTCTGCAAAATAAAAACCCAGGCTTTATAGAAGCTCACCATTGTGTGAGCTTTGTATTGTCCGTTTAACTGTTCAAGGTTTCTTCCCACTGCTTTAAGGCATGCCAAGGTTTTCTATAGACTTGGGCCCCTCCCTCATAACGAGTGGATTTAGTGATGTTTCCTGGCTGAGACATCTCTCTGTGCACCTTCTTTACAATCTTAAAAGCCATTGGTTATTTCTCTCCCCCCCCCCTTAAGATCTTAGGGGGAGGGTGTCTGTGGCATCATAGACATTAGTGTTAGTTATGTTGCTGTGACCCAGCATGAGGTCCTGAAATACCAGCTGGACACCAGTCCCCTAATGCACGTATTACATTCCTGACTGCCACTGCTAAGCCAGGCCTCTAGGGCAGCCAGAGATGCCCACTCCCTTCCAGGATGCTGACTGCCCTTTTTTAAACTTCCGTGCAGTGCTGAGGAGGCCGATGAAAAAAGGATGAGACTTGAGGATGCTGCTGCAGCTGCAGGAGGCGGCAGCCTTGCAGTTGCAACAACAGGCATCACCCCTTTGATGGCAGCAGATGTGAGCAACAGCAGCACAACAGGAGCTTATAACTATAACACTTGGTACCAGGTGAGTTGCAAGAGACTTCTATAGACATAGCAGAGGTGGCTGAAACAGACTCTTGGGACCAGTTCCTAGTTAGCTTGACAGGTAATACACACATTACTGAGGTAGCTTTTTGATTTGAGCCAGCTAGGTGGTTTGCACAACCCAGTTGAACAGAGTTAATTTGGGCCAGTTTGAGTAGACAGCTTAGCTTAGGCCTGTTGAGCCAAGCATTCTGTGTGAACAAGCCTTCCATGGAACTTTTTGCTGTTGGGGCGGAAGGAAGGCTGTCCACAAAATAAATAATGTAATTTATTTAAAGCCGCTTGGCAAAATTGAAATAAATAAATTTATTTGCTTCATTTTTTATCTACTCTGTTTGCAGAACTATAGTGGCTATGGGTACCAGAACACATGGAACTACAATCAGTATTACCAACAGACCTGAAACTGATTGGCCCAAGATGCCCACAGCATCCATGAGACTGAGTGGCAGCTGCAGCTTTTTGGCCCACAGATAGAAGCAACATGAAGTCCAGGCATGACCTGTAGCTGCTGCTGCTGCTGCTGCCGCCTCTCTGAGCAGCTGTAGAGAAACTTAACTGTCTCCATCTGAAAAACTGATTCTCCCTCCCCACAAAAGCTTTGTATGTACTGAGCTGGCCCACCACCTATTACGAGCCACAATTTTCGTGTTTCCACGATTCAGGGGAATATGTTGACACTTCTTAGATGTGGAGGATCTGAAATCACATATTCCATGCAGAGCTGTTGTTGTTTACCACACAAGGGAGGTTGCCACAGTCCTCCTTGGAGACCCTTTGGATGATGGAGTGACCAAGGACTACGTCTTGTCTGCCGCGGGATTCTCTTAGCAGGCTTTACGAGGCCGAATTGGTGTCTGTTAAAATGAGTCCTCCTTTTTTTGTAAACTTTTTCTCCTGTACATTTCATGTGGTGTTAACTGTACATAAACAGGAATTCATTACCATGTCTTTACCATCCTCCATTTTCCTGCGAGAGGGGAGTGCTCAGGGGGTTATTCTAGTATGGGTTGGCATAGTGCTTAGCCAAATTTGTGGCTTTTCTTTTATTTCTACTTGTAATACATGTTCTGCTCGCCTGGTTACTTTATTTAACAGTGTAGGAGCAGGCAATGATTGCTGCAGTCTTCTCATTCAAACTCAACTCTGCAGCTAGATGGGCTCGAACTGTTTATTCAACAACCCCCCTTGGAACAGGAATTGTGTACAAGGGATCATTTGCTCTGGAAGAAGACTAAGTTTGACAATTGGTTCTAAAACCTACTTGCTCACCTTAGAAGAATAAAGCCAGGCAGAATAATCCAGCAAAATCAGGTTCTTTAGCAAAAGTGCTCTTCCCTAACAAGGAACTCTATGGCAGGCATCTAGAAGTTCCACTTGGCCGAAAGTAGAAAATGTTTAGGCTATGCTTGCTCAGCACACTTGAAAGAGCCGTTTGTTTCCTGCAGTACAAATGCAAACCTCTAGGCCTAAATAATCCCCCCCCCCCGCTCATTATTCCCACCCTACTGATCAACATTATTAGAAAAGTGGACCTTACAAGAAGATAGAAAACTAGTGAGAATATCTCTCATTTATTTAAAAGCCTTTGTCCAACAGCCACTTTTTTAATTCCTGCTCAAAAAATCCCTTGACGCGAATCATGCAGGAAACTTCATTCACTTGGGTGACTGCTGTCCGCCCAGACAGCTGTGTGATGAATTCCTTCACTTCATTTTCAAGGGCCTGGGGGGAAATGAAAAAAAGGACAGAAAGTAGCATGATTAACCCACCTCAATTTCCTAATCACTGGCTAAGAACAGTACAGCCACCACTGTTGTAGTTGTTAAACAATCCTCAACTCTCTGCTACCAATAAGATCACAGCCACTTGCTCCGGATTAACCTGGAACTATCCATAGATAGGGACGCGGGTGGCGCTGTGGGTTAAACCACAGAGCCTAGGACTTGCTGATCAGAAGGTCGGCAGTTCGAATCCCCGCGATGGGGTGAGCTCCCGTTGCTCGGTCCCGGCTCCTGCCAACCTAGCAGTTCGAAAGCACGTCAAAGTGCAAGTAGATAAATAGGTACCGCTCCGGCGGGAAGGTAAACGGCGTTTCCATGCGTTGCTCTGGTTCTCCAGAAGCGGCTTAGTCATGCTGGCCACATGACCCAGAAGCTGTACGCCAGCTCTCTCGGCCAATAAAGCGAGATGAGCGCCGCAACCCCAAGAGTCGGCCATAACTGGACCTAACGGTCAGGGGTCCCTTTACCTTTTTATCCATAGAAAATCCACTTATTTTGTCATCCTAGTATAAGAAAAACCAACAGGGTGCAGTATGCAATGTGAATAACACCTACCCAAATATCGCCTTCAATCTTTCTGATGACCGTCATCTTCCTGCACCCTCTGAAGGTAGTATCTGTGTAAACTGGGATATTGTGCATTCGCGACCTCCTTACAAAATAAGGAAGGTCAGGAGGTGGGTCTAGTGTAGGAGAAAGCAAAATGTGTGGATCTACAGATGGTCACATTTATATATCTAAATCAAAGCACAAAGCAGAGAGCTGGGTATACTTGCCTCCCCTTCCTCCTCCAACCCTCCACTAATTTTATAAACATTCCTAATTTGTGTAATTAATTAAAGCCACAAAACATCTTGAGGTTCTAGCAAGAGAATAAGGGAAAGGGGTGATGTGAATCAGAAGCAGGTAGAAGTACTGACTTAAAAGGTTTATACCTTGTGCAATAAATGAACTGTCACGTACAGGCACCTACTAGTGCCAGACTTGCTTATCTCCAGTGACAGAATGGTGTGATGTGCTTTCTGCTGCCTTCTGTATCTAGTTCAAACTTTACTTCCTAGGGTGCCGAAAGGATACTACATGTACAAACTCCTTCAGGGACCCCTTCCCTTCAAAAGCTAAGGGTGGGCAACTGCATCTCGCTATCTCCCTCACCTATCACAGGTCAAGTTTGGCAGGTGGATGCAGCTGTATATGAAGTCAGTCCATCTTGTTCACTACTGTCTACACTGAGTTGCTCTCCGGGATTTCAGTAAGAACTCTCCCAGGCCTACCTGGAGATACCACCGGGAATTGAACCTTGAACTGTCTGCAGTTAAAGAAGATGCTCTACCAGTGAGCTATGACCCTTTCTCTGACATCAAGATGACTTTTGACCACACGGTTCTTGCTGAGACCTTTGCAAACCAGACTAAACAGCCTGATCTGTGGTGCCTGCAAACCCTCATTCAGCTTAGCCAGGTCTTCACCAACCCCACACATGATGCCATAAATGATGCCAGGGACAGGGCAGTTGGACCTGGTTGGGCCAAAATGGTCTCGTGAGTCGAATTGGGCCCTTACCTAAGACTCTGAACTATTTAGAGCAATCAAATTACCCCTTCCCCTGTATTTTACCTTGAGGTGGGCTCCATCCAGAAGGGGTGGGATAACTGTCATGTTTCGGGGGTACTGGTACTCGAGAGGGAGGTATAAGTCTCTCCACAAACCTATATTCATTAGTAGATTCAATAATCCCTGGATATTTCTGTTCTGTAGAGCTGGTTTCTGCTGAAGCTTGTCTCTGAAACAGAAAAACGTTAGTCAACTTACAAGAATTTTGCTTGGGAATATCGTTACCATTTTTCTGCTATAATAATGGCAAAGATAAATTTGTCAGAGAGAAATCACTTCAGCTATGGAGAATGAGAATCATATGCTAATGGGGAACTAAAACTAAATGTTCCTAAAACATTTTTTATAAGTCTTATTGAACCATTTTGACCAGACAGAATAGGCACAATGTTTGAAGGAGATCTTGCAAGGCCACCTAATTCAACCCCCTGCTTGATGGGGAAATCCAGAACTAGAACATCACTCAACAGCTTGCCCTAAAAGATGGCTTCCTAGCCTCTGTTTGAAGACCTTCAGCAAGGAAGCACCCACCCTGTAGGGGAAATGCAAAAGACCATTGTAATTTTGAGGAGTTAGATGACATGTCTCCTTCCCTTTTACATCCCCGGTTTAAGGTTTGCTGATTCATGATAGTATAATTTGTTTTTCACACACGTGTGTCAGGAGTTTCCTGGGTCCCCTGTGTTCTAAGTGCTGATTGGCTAGTGGGGAGGATACCCAGTTGCAGTGAATTGAGTTGGAGACTCTCAGCTGCTCCACATTAGTCACACCCGGTGTCCCGGGCTGGTCATGAGTGATGCCTGCTAACCAGGTGCAATCAATCAAATCAAAGTTGGCTATAAAAGCTGTAGGCTGAAGGGGCTCAGTGAGCTTCTTCACAGATTGAGGTACCAGATGCTGTGAGTGTGTTGGCCGGGGTCTCTCTTGCTGCTCTACCTGGAGTTCTGGGCAGCTGAAGGGGAGATTGTGTGTGACTCCTGTCTGGTATGCTATAATTTGTGTTCTGTATGCCTGCTGCTATCTGTTAACCTTACGCAAATAAAGCATTGCTTATTCTTCATCCACTTATTGGCTCCAGATCCGGAAAGAACCCTGCCCTTGGCTGAACAAAACCTGACCCTCCTCTAGGCAATACCGGTAGTTTACATTGCTACAGCCACTCACTGCAGATGGAGACTGGAAAAACAAGGTTAATTTTGGAACAGTCAATTAGAAGCTGGTTTGGGAGAATCAGCCCAGCACACTCCAAATTTATATGATGTGGGGCCATGCATGGATTCTGTCTGGGGGCTAGTACTGCTAGTGTTTGCTATTTCTCTCCATCACTATATACATTTGAAGCATATTATTTTAAAAACTTCCAATGGTTCCACAGTCACTCTGCTAAATGCAACTGACCTGAGTTCAATCACAAAATTCAACTTGAGCCACTCTGCCTAACAAGCACCCCAGAAGAATAAAAAATGAGGCAAGGAAGAGATAGGAAGATGTCCACGTCTACCATCCTGACCTCCTTGTAGAGTAAACAAATAAGGATAATAGTCTATGAAGTATTGGTCAGGAGCCTACACCCCACCAGATGTTGCTGGCTTACAATTCCCATTAGTCCATTCTAATAGCCTAGCTATTTGGGACTGAGGAGAGCAGGGCTCCCACTGCGAAGACCCTACTCAGTATCCCAGATGATGTCAAATAAAATAAAAATCACTACCCTCACCGCTCATTTTTTACACAATACAGAGCAAACACGGATTTGCAAAGCCCTTTTCTTTTGGAGAGGAAGCTCTACCCACTGTATTTCTGTCCGTGCCCTGAAGCAGCGGCGGCGGCGGCGCCCGTCTCGCAACCCAATCCCTAGCCGCTTCCTTCCTTGTCCCCCCGCCCCCTCCCTCCCTCTAGTTGTGCTCGAGTCCCCTTACCGTGTGAGCCGCCGCCAAGAGTCGCTGCCGCCATCCTCCCAGCAACGGCCCCTTCCGCAGCCCAACTCTGGCCAAGGCGAAAGCCAAAGTCGCCATCCTGAGAGGAGGAGGAGAAGCGCGGATTGATGGCGTCAACGCGACTCTACCATAGAGAGGGCACGGCGCCACCATAGAGACAAAATGACGGTGCCAGCCCGGCCGCGCGAGAACACCAAGCCGAACCAACCATAGAGACGCCAACGCCCACACCGACCCCCCACCCGACCCCACTGCGCCTGCGCCCTGGTAGTCCCGCCCCATTTCCTGCCTCTTTCCTTTTCCCTCGTCTGCGTGCGCGGAGCGGCGGCGACTCTTCGGCTCTCCCGGCTCCATCTTGGATCGGCGACTGAGGGTGAGACGGGAAGGGAGGGTAATCAAAAGGAAAATGGTGGGGGTGGGGTCCCCCGGACTCCTGGGTCCCCTTGAGACGGACCTCAATTCCAGGCCTCCTATTTGGAGAGGGGGGAATTGGGGAAGGGCAGGGAGTGGAGCCCGCATGCGACCTACTCGGAAGTAGACTCCATGAAGTGAATGAGCGCGGCTGACTTCTGGCCCTTGGCCCAATGGGCCTACTCGGAGCAGGACTGGCCCTGGCTGCACGCGGCTCGCAGGGCCCCGTGAAGCACGTGGAGATGGAGCGGGACGCTTGTTCCAGCGTAGCCTCGGCTTCCGCGGGGGCCGTAGAGAAGCACCCCGTGTCAGTCCGTACGGAAAACCCGGCCAGCAACTCTCTTCTCACGCTAAGACTGAGAGGCGACCGGCTGCGCAGGCAGGCAAAGGCCATGGAGCCAGTTTTAAAAGCCTGAGGAGCAAACGAAGCTGGGGGTGGGTTTGCCTTGTTGCCATTCTTATATCACCCCCTATGTGTGAATTCTGCTTCCTAAAGAAGGGGCATGACAGGTCACCGAGGCAAAAACGGGGTGAGGGAATGGAAGCGAGGAGAGAAGGTTACTTGAATGGCACATCCTTTGCCTGAAGTAAAAAGTAGGGACTAGGAATGATCCAGATGAGTTTTGCCGGAGGCTTCAAGGAGATAAGGAAGGTTGCTGTACAGAGGCATCGCAGGAGACCTTTATTTATGCAGTGACTAGATTTTCCTGTTGCCCCATAATCAACGTTCCCTGGGCATTATACTTATTTATATTCTGCCTCTCCCCCCTGACAGGGGACTCAAGGCATCTTACAGACAAAATAGAAACAACGAAAACATAGGCAGTGCATAACCGGTTGTAATCCCTCTTCTCGTGGAGGTAGAGTGGGGTTGGGGTATGTGTAAGTGAGGTTAAGGACATAACGATTGGGCGTGGGTAATTAAATACAGTACTTGGGGTTTTTTGTATTAGTATTTTTTTTTGTAAGGGAGTGATAAGAGCCAGGACTCCCGAGTGCTTTTTATGTGACTGGGGGAATACACTGTCTAAATGAACTCCTGGCTATTCCTGGAGAACACAGTGGAGGAATGGGATTAAGAGTCTGAACCTCCTGGGTCCTGTTTTAAGATAGAAAGATAAATGGAGGGGTAGCAGGGTGTGGGGAAGCGATGAAAGAGCTTAATAAGGTAGAAAGCAGATAGGAATTGCAGGGAGAAGGGAGGGTGGGTGGGGAGTAGGTCAGGATGCTGGTATTCATATTGTTAAGCCTGGTTGCTAATGTGTGGGAAGGAATACAAGAGAGATGATTTCAGAACTGTAATATTTGGTCACATCACCGCTATACATTTAAAGCACATTTATGCCACGTTAACAGACATGGCTCCCCACAAATAAACATGGGAACGGTAGAATTACAGTTCCTGTTAATATACTGCAGTTCCCAGGACTTTAGAGGGGGAGGCATGGCTGTTAACATGGCAATGCTGTGCCTTGTGTGTGTGTGTGTGTGTGTGTGTGTGAGAGAGAGAGAGAGAGAGAGAGAGAGACCAGGATTCTCTGAAAGAGAGAGAGAGAGAGACCAGGATTCTCTGAAAGAGAATTAGGGATGGCTACCTTCTCACTTTGCAATGGGTAGGTCAAGACATCTCTGTTTCTGTGTGTGGAGCTGTTTGTGGCCCAGCAGATGGCACTGTGTGTTGTTCAAATGGGGGGCGGCGATAATCTTTGAGAGGAACTGTGTTCAGGTTGGCATTTCCTAGTGGACTCTGTTCCCTGCACCATATTTGGAAGGATACACACAGACAATTTTGTGAGTCCCTGAAACAAAGAATTTAGGGGCCTTCCAGCAGTATCCTGATGGAAGCTAAGTTGTTGTCATGATGAGCACCAATAGCAGGCTGAATGGAGAGGCTTGTGAGCCACATCTCATGTTCTGAGTTTGTTCTTGAACAGCAGCATTACCTTGAGGTCTGCTTTACAGAATGGAGAGAGAGTTTCCTAGTCTAAAAGATAGGTGGGGAAATGCCAGTGGTACTAGCTTAAGAAGTAAGAAGAGCCTGCTGGATCCGGCCAATAACTCATCTGGTCCAGCACCCTGTTCTTTCCGTGGCCCACCAGATGCCTGTGGGAAATGAGCAAGCAGGATTTGAGCACAATAGCCGTCTCCTCTTCTGTGGTTTCCAGCAACTGGTATTCAGAAGCATTGCTGCCTCCAACTGTGGAGGGCAGAGCAGAGCCGTTGTGGCTTGTGGCCATCAATAGACCTCTTTTTCATGAATTTGTCTAATCCTCAGGAGGAAATGCTATACTTTTGCGCCCTAATCTGATTGCTGTTCTCCTCAGCACAGGTGGAACCATGCAACTCTTTATTCGTGCTCAGAATCTGCACACCCTTGAGGTGTCCGGGCAGGAAACAGTAGCTCACCTTAAGGTAAGGAACAGTTAACTTGTTGTGCTATTTACTAAATTATTTTCCCACTTTCCCACCTATTGGTGTTCAAGGCAGCTAATAGCAATATTCAAAAAAATATGAAGAAAATCTGGCTAATTTCCTATTACTGGAGAAGAAAAGACCTCCCCCCCCCCCTTAGCAGCCTTTGCGAAGAGTGCTGTACCTCACCAGGTTCACTGTACTTGGTTTGTTGCATAGCGATAGTGAGTGTTGCTTCTGCTATTCTCTAGTCGCTGTATTTGGAGTTGGGAAGGGATTACCCCCCTGTATAGATTGGTCTGAGGCTCTTAACACTTGTATCTATAGTTTTGCCACCTTTCATTATAGCTTAACTTTGTTTGCAGAAGTCACTTGGAGCTTTGGCTATTTCTTAGCGGCCCAGCAGCCATCTGCTTGTGTTACCAGTTGCTGGGGGTGGTGAAGGGGATATTTTGGGTCAGACTTTCAGGTCCTTCCAGCTCATTCTAGGCTTGGGTGGCCTTAGGACCAGGTCTGTGGTCTGAAGGCAGCAACCCTAGGCTGAGTGAGTGAGGCCTATCTGGGTCTGGTCAGTGCCTGGATGAGAGAACACCTTGAGGTCCATTGAAGACACAGATGACACAGTGTGTAGTGGCTTCTCTTCCTTGCAGCTTGGGAAAGAGGCTGAGACAAGCAGGGCTTTATTGTTACTCTCCCCGCCCCCCATAATCAATGTTACATTTTGGTGGACATTTTAAATCATTTTTTATACTTTTAATAGTTGATTGTAAGCTGCCTGGAGACTGTCCTTCGTTAGCTAACAAATAAAAAGCATGGCCCCTGCAAACACATTCAACGGAACCTTGATACAGCTGGGAGTGTTGGTAGAAGCGAAGCAGAGTGGTGGTGCTTAACCCTTCCCCTCCCTGCTGCTTTTTCTACTGCTATTTTTCCCTTGCTTCGTTTCAGACATGCCCTTACAAAAATTCACCAGGGCTTTCTTAGGGGAGGGTTGGGCACACACCCTGCCCCATCTCTGCTGCCTTTTCCTTGAGGGAGTGGAAAGTTCACACACAAGGGCTACTGAGGAGTTGGCTGTCAATGGGTCCTTCCAGCTCAATTCCGTTTTCCTTGTCCGTGGCCTTTGTGTCATCCTCCCTGCTGTTGCAGTTAGAGCGGTGGGGTGTTTCGGTGACTCATCTCTCCCTTCCCCTCCCCAGGCCCACATCGAGTCCTTGGAGGGCATTGTGCCTGAGGATCAGGTGATCCTCCTTGGTGGAACCCCCCTGGAAGATGATGCGGTCATTGGGCAGTGTGGCATCAGTGACCTCACAACACTGGAGGTTGCTGCACGCATGCTGGGTGGTAAGTATGGAGCCCCCAGAACTATTTGTGGCGGGGTGGGGGGACAGGTACCAAAGTGATGGCAGTTGGGTTGAGGCTTGTTGGGTTGCTAGAAGGCCAGCAACTGCATTGCCGCAGGTGATCAGAAGTCAGGATTCTGCCCTGCGTAAAGAATGTGGAGAGTAAACTTTCAAACAATAGCCTAGCCAGCGGGTGGGTTTTAGCCCTCCTGTGAAGGGCTATGCCAGCTTCTTCTCCCTGGACCCAAATATAATCTCATCAACAAAGGTCCTGGTTGACAAGATTTTCTTTAGCCCACACGCCTCTGGTCACTTCTGTCAGCTGTGGTGGTGCCTCCAGTGGCCTCCCTGATACCTTTTTGTGTTTCTCTCCTCTTCAGGTAAGGTCCATGGCTCCCTGGCTCGTGCTGGCAAAGTGAGAGGCCAGACCCCAAAGGTAAGTTCTGTTTTTGTTTTCTGCTGTGTGGAGGACTCGGAGCCGCAAAGCCCCATCAGCATAAGAGTGCCTGGACTGCAGTCCAGGCAGAAATCCATGAAGTATAGTTTACCCCGGCATGCTCTTGAGCTGGCAGCTGCTGAATTTGGCCCAGTCCATAACTTAAGTGCCCAAATGTCTTCAGGCAGGATTGGGCTGGGTGGAGAGCTGTCAACTGCCCGGCTTTCAGGGTGTGGTTCTGGGAGTTACGTATCAGGGGCTAGACTTTGCATAGTGGAAATTGAGGCTACAGGGCAGGGTGAATGGCGGTGGGCTGAATTCCTTGCTGAAATTCAGGTGGATCTTTTACTGATGCCTGTTCGGTTTTGTTCTCCCAGGTTGCTAAGCAAGAGAAGAAGAAGAAGAAGACTGGCCGTGCCAAGAGGCGCATGCAATACAACCGCCGCTTTGTCAACATTGTGCCAGGCTTTGGCAAGAAGAAGGGCCCCAATGCCAACTCCTAAGCAGCACCCAGTTACCTAATAAATCTGATCTTAGCTTGGACCTGGTGTTGGTGGGTGTTTTTCTTGCTTATTGGGAACAGGGGCTTTGTTTCACTTGAGCCCGAGGACTGCAGTCGATTCAGAGAAAGTGGGGCAATCAAAGTTGCAAAGTGGTGTAGGAAAGCTGAAAATAATGCCAGTGTACTTTACATCTGGCAACCCATGTGCCCCTTTGGTTGCAGATAGTACATAGGTAAAGGGACCCCTGACCGTTGGGTCCAGTCATGGACGACTCTGCAGTTGTAGCGCCCATCTTGTACAGCTTCCTGGTCATGTGGCCAACATGACTAATCCGCTTCTGGCGAACCAGAGCAGCGCACAGAAACGCCATTTACCTTCCTGCCAGAGTGGTACCTATTTATCTACTTGCACTTTGACATGCTTTTGAACCGCTAGGTTGGCAGGAGCAGGGACCAAGCAACAGGAGCTCATCCCATTGTGGTGATTCGAATTGCCAAGCTTCTGATTGGCAAGCCCTAGGCTCTGTGGTTTAGACTACAGCACCACCCGCGTCCCCTAGTACATGGGTAGATGAGTCTAAAAATCTCAGGGCACAAATTTTCAGCCAATAGTATTGTATTTATTAACTCTGAAAATATACTCCATTCTGACCAAACTAAGCCTCCATTTAGCTATTTTAAAAAATTGTATATCAGGTTCAAGATTGTGGTCTACCCACTTCAAAAACATTCAAGAACCCACCCATCACAGCACAGCTGAGTGGAGAGGACTGCGAAGCAAGTAGAAAAGTGCTCAATGTCCTCTTTCCAATCACTCGGGGATTACTAAATCAGTCTTGGGAGAGGGAAGTTCCTTTTTCAGGGTCAGAGTTTTTAGAGGGAAATACTGTCACTTCATAAAAATAAGAAGTAAGCATATATGCATTTAAAATGGGCAAGCTCTCCATTGCCCCTCCATGATGGCATATTTCCACGGCTGGTTTTTATATGTAGCGCATTAGCCTCTACTATTTGACAAATCACTTCCACTAGGAGCTCACAAAGCAAGAAAGTAATGGAGGGGGAGGGCCAATGGCCAACACAGTGGTGTATTTTTAAGTCGGTCATTGGAGAGGGCTCACAGGATGGACTGCTTTCATACAGAAAATATTTCCAACACAAGTATCATGGAGAAGGATTCTGGCTTGTCCTTGCCATGCTTTTTTTTTCCTGCCAAGGGATGTTTTACTGGAGGGGAGACAGGAACCTGGCCATGGTCCAAAGTGGACAGCCACAGGTTGACCACTGTAGTAGCATGGTAGTACTAAAAATGCTGCTCTTGAAGAAGGGGAACGCAGATTATATTACCTGCTCTACTACCTCTGCTTGATGGCATGTGTTTAGCTATTTAAGATGGGCTTGAGTCGGTGGGTTCAGAAATTGCAAGGAAACGCATGTTGCCAATTAAGCTCAAGCTGGACCTGGAAATGCTGCCAGCTGCTCCTCCCTCTCCCAATTGCTCCAGTCGTCCCTGTTGCCCACCCACTGGTGTTGCCTATTTCTCTCTGTAAATTTCTACAGTGTTGATTCTTCACTACCACACTTTACCCCCATTCCTTTGAGGTCTCTGGAAGTTACATTCTTCTGCTTACTGCTCCATGTCTGCAGGCATAAACATTCAAGTGCAACATTAAGCTGAACTGTTGACAACAAATTAACTGGTGCACAATTATTTTTATTCTATATTGTTCAAAGAGCTGAAGGAGCTGCCACGCCCCCCCCCAAGAGCTTGTCCAGCCCCTGCTCCCAGCTCACATTTTTGGACCCTGTGAAAATTGCTCTTCGCATATTGTAACTAGCTCAGGATTTTGGCACACACCTGCACAGTACCTGTTGGGTATTGGAGAAGGCAGGGAGGCCAAACTGCAGGTGGAGGTTTTGTGTCCCCTGCCCCCATCCTCCCTGCAGCAGAGATCTACTACAAGGAGCAACAGTCCCATTAAGGAGGAGGAAATTGATAAGTGACCCCCTCCTTACCCTGGTTGTAAATCAGAAGGCAGTTAAGTAGATGGGGCATGCTGAACGTCCTGCTTGGTGGGGTAACATGCCACTCGCCTTATGAACCAGCCTCCACCATTAAGAACAATATACGACCCACTTAAAAAATCAGGTATGCTTATATCTCAAACCAGCGTGGCTAACTTCTCGCATTTCAAAGCAGCGTAGCACAGCGGCAACTAAACGCCAACCATTCTGGATATGAGCGCTATAAAAATATTATATGGATATTAGACAGCCTCTGCGCTCAGAAGCACTTTTAAGCTTACAAGCGCCACGATACACTAGATCTATTTTTATTACCGAAAAATCAGGGGAAAGCGCGAACGCAGTCCCCCACTACCACAAATTATGCAGTCGAGTTTCCCGCATTTGGGGAAATCGCAGGGGTCAGCACACCCGCAGTGCAATGGATGAGCCTCACCCTGGGAAAACCACCTTCATGATCATGGTGTCTCCCCTGCCAGGTAAGTATGAGTTGAGAACGCTCAAGCACCTCCTGGGCACTCTTTGGCTCTGCTATGTACGATATGGTGACCTCTTCAAAGTAGGTGCAATAAACCGCTCTGGTAGAACAGCAATGCCTCCATATCCAATATCGGTAGATTTATGTCTTCAGATGCCCTAAAGTCCCCGGTCTGTTCTCCGGTTTTCCTCCCACAATGCACTGTTGTGGCTAGATTTACATACGTGCGTGCGTCTGCGCGGAAACCAGTTTTCAAGGAACGCGCGCAACAGCCTTCGGGGGCTCGGCGCTCTCCGGCCCGAGAATGAACGGAAACTTCCGATTCGCAGCAAGGTATTAACGCGGAAACCCTTTACACAGGCTGCTGCCGGAAATTCCCGAACGCGCTCGGCGTTCCTCGGCTGCCTCTTCTCCGACATGGATTCCGCGGGTTCGAGTCCCGCGCCGGACCTTCCCTGCGGGCACTGCCAGGCCGGGCGAGCCCCTTACACTTGCCCGCGGTGCCACCTCCGCTTCTGCTCCGTGCCCTGCTACCGGGACCACGGCTCCTGCGCCCAGGACTTCCAGAGCCGCGAGCTGGAGCTAAGCCTCCGGGGCCTTCGGGGGGACAAAGCTTCCCAGCGCCGCCTGAGAGAGGCCCTCCTGCGGCTGCAGGAGCTACGCGAGCCTGGGGATGAGGACCTTTCGCTAGGCCTCAACCCCGACGTGGAGCAAGAGGAGGTGCTGTGGGAGCAGCTGAGCCCCGGCCAGAGGAAGCACTTCCAGCGGCTGCTGAGCAGCGGACAGATCTCGGGACTCCTGCCTGCCTGGGAGCCTTGGTGGCTGGGAGGCAGGAGATGCGATGGCACTGCCCTGATCCAGGAGCTCCAGGGGGACTCCAGGGATGCTCAGGAGCCGGAGCCCCACCGGCACCCAGAGGCTTCTTTGCAACAGCCACCACTTACCACCCACACAGAAGAGGCTTCTCCCACCGGCATCCGGAGGCTTCGACAGCAAGCAGTGCCCACTTTGCCGTCCTCCATCCCTCCGCTGGCCTCCCTGACTCGTACTCCTACCTCACCTCTGGTCCGCTTCCAGCTGCCCAATGTTCTCTATGCCTATGCCTACGCCTTGGCGCTGTACAATGGAGAGGCAGACGAGGCAGAGATGCTCCCTGAGTTTTGCGAGACGGTCCTTGACGTTTCTGGGGCTCTAGGGGCCAAGCAGGTTTTCCATTCTACAGCCGAGGCCCTACAAGCCGCCCTCCAGGCCCTGGCAATGGGGCAATACCCGGAATGCCTGCTGGGCAATGCCAAGGTGATGGTGGCCGTGGCCCAGATTTTAATGGGGGAGTGCCAGGCCCAGCAAAAGGGATTCAGCCTGGCTGCCCTCGCCCACATGGCCCGACTGCTGAGCAAAGGGAAGAGGCGGCTGCCTGCCCAGGACCGAGCCAGAATCTCTGGGGCCCAGAAGAAGTGTGAGTTCTTGCTCTCCTGGGTGAATGAGAATGAGGTGACTCTGAGTCTCCTGGCCTTGGAGGTGCAGCAGGAATACCACGCCCACCTAGACATGGTCAAGGAGGTGGGGGCTGTCAGCCAGGAACTGGAGCGGATGTGGGGGGCCAAAGTGCCTCCTCCTAAGAAGCCCCTGATAGAAGAACTGGACTGAATTCAGGAACTTTGACAGCTGTCAGATGCTCACCAGCTGGCCTGGGAGGGAGTTGGGGGGAGAGTCCTCCTGCTGAAACCAGATTAGGCTTTGGAGCAGGAAATTGAATACTCTGTAAACTGGATCACATATTGGATTAGACAAGATTAGCCCCTTTTCTGTCTCACTTCACGTTAACACCTTGAAATGGAGCGAGGCTTGGGTTTCAAGAGGCACTTGTGGGGGCTGCTTGTGTAATAAATTGGTGAACTTTCTTGCTGCTTTTGTTCCATTTTTTAATCAGTGGCCCAATCCTATGTGTGGTTAGTTGGGATAAGGACGGTCCCACTGTATCTAGCAGAGCTTACATTCTAGTAAATACATTGAGTAGCCACCCTCCAGACTGCCCTGATTGAAGAATCTTACAAAGTGTGAATGGATATTGAACTCAGCGAGCCTTACTTCTGAGAACATGCTTTAGGATTAAGGCAAACCTAGCGGAAGTATTAACAGCCAACGGGTTTAGAGGTTAATAATCTGGAGTCAGCATATTAAAACACAAAGGTGTGTTCCGTGTTGTAAAATAATGAGTGAACATGTGATCTGTTGATCTGAGGGAAATTAACCGTCCGTCACTGTCGTTACTGAAATTACAGCATTTTGGCAACTTTCTTGTATCCAACCGTGATACGGAGAAAATACCCTCTTGGTAATATCTGTGTGGACTCTGCATTCACTGTTGATGTCCTCAAAGAAGTGTGGAGCAGCAGCTTTGCCAAAATTACATTCCAAACCCCACAGAGGTTTGAATATATTATTTATTAAAATAAGTTACATTTGCTCATTTCTCCCACCCCTTTCAAAAATGAAGGAAATAACCCCCCTAATTTCCCACCCAGCCAGGGAAATCCAGTTTAATCCTTAACCCACCAGCATCTACAGACAACTTTGGTGTGCTCCAATTCCTTCTACTGCCCTGTTATGCTTCCATTGACTCTTTAGCAAATGGTGTGTGTGTGTGTGTATGTGTAAACGACAGAGAAAAAAGGTTACTCTCTGTTCCATGCACACATGAAGCGCCCAACTAGACCTAAATTAAGATTCTGCATAAATTTGAAATTCTGCAGACTTGACTGCAAACATTCCCCTAGCCTAGCCGAAATGGTTAAACCTGACAAAAACTCAGAAAGTTCCCTGGTGTTAATTTGCTGTTCAAGAAACATTTGGCTTTCAAAAGCTGCTTTAATAAACTGAACCTCTGCTGTGTTACCAAAATCAGTGCTTACTAAAATCTAGTCCCCAAAATCCAAGCTTGATTAGAAATCATTCCAAATCCAGATTGAGAGTTTTTATGTCACTTTCTGAATGTCTAGTGACATCCATAGTCAAAAAGCGGAGTTAGCTATTTTTCCCCATCCCAAAATAAATTCAGTTCTGTTTAATATGTCAGGTTTCTCAGTACAGCTTCCTTAACTTCCTATAAACAGGAATCTGCCTTTTCCACAGGTTAGTAGCACTGGTCACAGAAATTGTGCATGCCAAAGATCTCAGATTTTTTTTTAAAAAAAGTTTCCTTAATTAACTGAAAATGCTTCTAGTCCTTATTGCTCCAAAACGAGTTGCGGTGGAATCTCAGAGGCCAGAGCAGCACTTCCAGTTGGTTGCAGCTTGCCAAATGTCTTTGATGTAGCTCAATGGTCTGCTGCATTGCAGAAACAGAATAAATATGTGAAGATCGACAAAGTAATTCCAGTCGTGTAATCTGGGCTCTTGCTGTCTGCACAGAAAAAGGATTTTTTAAAAACCAGCAACACAGAGTTTGCCCACATCATCTTTGTGGGTTAATTTTTTGCAAATTCAGGCTTGACAAAAGAAGGCGATTTCTAGATCGAAATGTCCTGACGGGCAATAGATAGGAAGCAAGAGAGCCTCTCATTTCCTGAAAGAAGCAGGCCATGTTGCCTGAGTGGGTCTTGGAAACAAAGCTGCAGCAGGCTGAGGACGCCCCCTCCCCACAGCTCCTGGAGGTGGGGAGGGGGGTTGTGACCCCACAGTGACAACCATGGCACCTATTCCTCTTCTTGATTGAGCCTGTGTGGGCATGGGCTTCTCCAGGCAGGCAGAAAGGGTGGGTTTCCATTGTGGTGAGCAGGGTGAGAGCTGAGTTGTCAAATGATGGCTCAGTAGAGGTAGGGGAAGATCCGGTAAGGGACGCGGCGGCAATACTCCTGCCAAGCGAGGCCATACTTCCTCAGGCACTGGTGCTCGTCCCGGGCTTCCCGGTGAATCAGAAGCATGGTGAAGTAGAGGACATAGAAGTAAGGCAGGATGTGGGTCAGGCCTGAGGAGAGGAAACAGAATGGGGAAGCCATTGGGGAGGGTGGGCTATTGGGACACAGAGGAACCACTTCAGATTTCAGTGCAAGGAGGCACAGAGAAACCCATTTAGGGGTGGGGAAGAGAAAAAAGGGGTCTCTCGGCACCAGCAGCCTTTTCTCTCTCTTTCCCCCTCGCCCCAAACCCAGCTTCTAAGATCCAGCCTGATCAGTTTGGGCGGGGAAACCCTGAAAGCTTCCAAACTATTTTGTAACATTTAGGCTGGCCTAACGGAGGTGGCGCTGCGGGTTAAACCACAGAGCCTAGGAAGGTCGGCTGTTCGAATCCCTGCAACGGGATGAGCTCCCGTTGCTCAGTCCCTGCTCCTGCCAACCTAGCAGTTCGAAAGCACGTCAAAGTACAAGTAGATCAATAGGTACCGCTCCGGCGGGAAGGTAAACGGCGTTTCCATGCGTTGCTCTGGTTCGCCAGAAGCGGCTTAGTCATGCTGGCCACATGACCCAGAAGCTGTACGCCAGCGCCGCAACCCCAGAGTCGGTCACAACTCGACCTAATGGTCAGGGGTCCCTTTACCTTTACCTAACAGAGGTATTGCTGTAATCTTAATTGCTGGATCTTAATGCTTTATCTTTAACTCCTGTGTAACATACATATAGTGTTTCAAATGAAATGCCATTCTTTGCCTGGTGGGTTACTGCGAGGAATGGGGGCCAGTGCAGGGGTCCCCACTGGGCACCGCTGGACTACAACTCCCATCTGCCCCGGCAGCAGCCAGCATGGCCAATGGTCAGGAATGAGGATGTGGGAGCCCAACTGCAGGCTCCCACTCCCTGGGTTAAGCCTTGAAAGGCTGGAAGATGATGGGAAAGCTCTTTCTGGGATTTAGCAGGGCATAACATGAAATTATAAAGGGTATATTTAATTTTCTTCGTGTTTTGCTTGTTTCTCTCCAAAGTGAGGATTTTGAGAGCCTCCCAGTGGTTACTCAAAAGGCCATGAGAGTCATGGACATTGGAAAACGGGCACTGCTTAACTCTGCACCCTCAGAATTTGCGTCGACATATATAGGTTCTCTCTTTCTTTAAACAAGCACAGCAGCTCTGTCTATCTGAGGGGATGCTGTCTCCCCGTCCTCCTTTCTGTGTCTTTGGCAACTTGGCACACACTATGTGCAAGGTCATGTAATTGCTTGTAATGGTGTTGTGTGACCCTGGTGAGTGGGCCGGGCACTGAGATTCTCTTCCTACAGAGTGTGGTCTGGATACTGACGGAGGGGGAGAGAGGCTCCCGCTTACCGCAGGGCAAGGACCACGCAAAAGCCATGATGAGGTCTCCTAAGTAGTTGGGGTGCCGCACAAACCCCCACCAGCCGGACACCAGCAGGCGCCGTCCTGTGGCCGTGGGGATGGTTCGCAGCCCTGAAAGGAAACAACATTTCTCTTGTGAGAACAAAGGGGTTCACAAGAGGTTCACAAGGCATGCAGGTCCTGCAAAAGCAGGCCAGCCACGCTCTGTTTTCACAACAGGGAGGAAAACAGGGATGCCCAAAGACGACGCCCATGCACCCACTCCTCTTCAGAAGCGATGGCGTTTGGATTTTAAATGCAGGCGCTTCTCTGAGGCACTTGCCCGCGTGAGCCGCGGCTATACATTTTAAGAAAAGGAACATTAGAGGCCAAAGGTTGTGAAGGCGCAGGGCACAGCTTGTGTGTCTCCCAGCAGGGTCCAAACAGGCCACAAGCCACAAAAGAGGACAAACCAGCAACTTTGGGGTCGGCAGGATTCCGGCGAAAGGCATTCTTCTGGGAGTTGGCGCCACGGAAAATGGAGTAGCCCAGGCCTGCAGGGTTGAGAAGGGGGTGGGGGAAGAGTGAGATGGCATGAATGGGCAGAGCACGCGAGAGAGAAAGAGTGGGTGGACAGACAGAGAGTTTGAGCTCTGGGGTGACTGAAGGGACAGGGCTATGAAGAAAAATAATTAACACATGCACATTTCCATAGATATGTTTCAAGCCACATTAATTTTGCTTTTCTTTCTCTTAGCACTCTATGCACAGCCTCTCCCTTGGCCCTCCCAAACTCAGGAAATAATTGTTTCTGGGTAGCAGGCATCATCCACACCTCAGCTTAGGCACTGGGTAGGGGCACTCTGCAAAGAGGGGCTGCCTATCTTTGACACAGTGGAAATTTTGAATATTGCCTGTTTGTTTTTAAATGTACAAAGTCCCCACTGTTTACTATCAATTAAGGCTTTATATCCCTTACCATTCTGGAAGCTTAGTTAAGAGCAAGTTGGTTACGTTATTAGACCCCTGACACGAAAAGAAAATAAAGTTGCTGAAGCTTGGAGGGGAAGAAAATATATTCTGTGCATGCTCAGAGGCCCTGTTTGCCGCCCAACTCACCATTTAACAGGGTGATGCCCCCAGCCATGGGCAGGCTCAGCTTCTGCGGGTGGGTGACGAGGAAATATGACTGGAGGGTGTACAAAAAGGGCACCCACGTCAAGTCCCCGAAAGCCAACATGAAGCCGAAACCGTCATGGACGATGTCCATCGTGGTGAGAACAGCCTCCTTTGGGAAGGAAGAAAATTTGCCTTTTTAAATCTGGCCCAGGAAAATCCACCAGCTCTCAGTCCCCACTAAACAAACCCACTGTGAGCCACACACTGGGGAGCGGGTGCATTTCAGAGAAGTGGCTACAGTCAAACAGGTTCAGGTGATTTGAGGAAGCAGGTACTAGGGAGGAAAAGTAAGCCTTCCTCTCCCCCAGGGGCACACCCCAAATTCAGAAGGAGAAACATGAGCAGAATTGAGGTCCACTAGGATGAAAACAGCCCGACACGCACACGTTGTGTCAGTTTCTCTTTTTGTGTTCTTTGTTTACAGCCAAACAGGCAAAAGAAGGTTTATTGAGCCCCTGGGAGGCTTGACGGAAATCAGCACTAGGGAAGAGGAGCAGTTTGGAAACCACTGCTTTTGCTTCTGTTCCTTTTTTAAAAGACAAAAGCAAGTTTCTAGTCCTTATGGAAGGAAGTGCAGGAAATCACCAAAAAAACACATACATGGGTGTCATTTGTAAACTCAGCCTGGCAGTTCCTGTGATGCATCTCCGTGGCAGAAACTGAAGAATTAAGGCTCCTTGCAAAACTCAGGCCAGCAGGCCAGCCAGTTCAGATCCCACCCTCTGCCAGACTTGCCTCGTGCCATAAGGCATCCACCACGTAGAGAAGCTGGAAGCCATTAACGAGGATCATTGCCAAGGAAGGGCTTCCTCTCAGCTCCGTCTCCTTCACCAACATGGCCATGTTAATCAGGGCCTACGAGAGAGCAGGGAAGCAGCGGGTGGCAGAGGGGGAAAAGCAGTATTATCCTCATCACCATTAGCTACAGCTTGTGGAATACGGTACCCCTCAACTGTCCTGTTTTAAGCAGGACACCCCAGAATTCTGTAATTCTGGCTTCTGATTGGCTCCTGGGATGTCCCATTTTAGCTCCTGCGAGAGCATGGCCCCAAAAGACGTGAAAACAATCTGAAGGCCACCCGGTTAAGGAAGGTTGCTGCCAGCTCTATGGCAGGGATGGGCAACCTTCGGCCCTCTAGATATTGCTGAACTACAACTCCTGTCATCATTGGCCATTGCTGGGGCTGATGGGAGTTGTAGTTCAGCAGCATCTGGAGGGTCAAAGGTTCCCCACACCTGCTCTACAGGCGGATTTGAACCCGCGTCTCCGCAGTCCGCACCCAGCACTCCAACCGCAACACCATACTGGATCCCAGTTGTGTCGGCTGCCTGATCCCCAGCGATCCGGACCCTCCAGTATGGGGGGAGGGGCGCTCCTTGGCGCTGCCACACCAACACAAAGGGGTTGCTCCCCAACCCTGCCTTCTGCTACCAGCCCAGGGATGCCTACCCATCCAAGGAGACCCGGGCGCAGCTCACAGAAGAACTTCAGGTCAAAGGTATAGATCCGTGGGTTCAATTCGTGGCCCATGAAGAAGTCGTAAATGGGGTTTCCTGTGGGATGGGGAAAGAGGCAAGCAGGAGAAATTGCCGTCAAAAACACTTTGAGGAGGTGGTTCTGACACACCCCTCTAGGCAGCTGCACCCCCGTGAAGCAGGGAAGTGTTGGCAGAACGTTGTGCCCAAATTTTCAGCATACAGTGGTACCTCGGGTTAAGAACTTAATTCGTTCTGGAGGTCCATTCTTAACCTGAAACTGTTCTTAACCTGAGGTACCACTTAGCTAATGGGGCCTCCTGCTGCCGCCGTGTGATTTCTGTTCTGATCCTGAAGCAAAGTTCTTAACCTGAGGTACTATTTTTGGGTTAGCGGAGTCTGTGACCTGAGGTACCACTGTATATGCTCAGAAACCAGAGGAAGAACACACAGCCTCCCAGAATGCTCTGCAGCTGATCTTATAGTCACCACGTCTCAATGTAAAAGAGCCAGACTAGGACCTGAGAGACCAGGGTTCAAATCCCCACTCAGCCATGAAGCTCCCTGGGTGATCTTAGCCCTTTGCATTCCCAAAGACCTTTCCGGCCTATTTGCATTTTCCCGTGTGTTCATAACGATGCAAATTACATGTACAAAGAGGTAATTGCCAACTGGGAATAACAATTTGCGTCCCCTGGGTATTTTATCATTTTTTACACGTAGCGATTTTTATACCGTTGCCGTATAATAATAATACCAGCAAGAATAATACTACATATGTGGTGGACGTTTTTCCGCAAAAACTCCTGCCTCTAGAAATGAATGAGCCTTAAAAGGACTGCAGGCCTCTCTGTTATTTTTGCTAAATGACGTATCATCCCCGGGAGACGGTCCTTATCCGATTTTGCGAGCCAATTCACGTGAGGAGATAACGGCTTCAGTCATTCTCCCCTTCCTTTTCCGTCCTGCCACCCCACCACCAGCTTGCACCAGACATGGGACATTTGATGGGTTTTGGCCATGCCCATCAAGTTGCTAGTCCCTGCCGAGGTGGAGTTGGCAAAGGAGGCCAGAAGGAGCCCGGTGTCAGGGTTCGCACCTCACCTGAGTTCCCGCCTGGGGCCAGGGCTGCCTCTGGGGCAAGCAAGGCCTTGAGGTACAGGAGGGCGCTGAGTCCAAAGGCCACGAGGGAGGCAGAGAAGGCCAACTGCAGGAAATGGTCGTGGATGTAGCTGAGGCGCAGTCCAGCCGCCAGGCCGGCTCCAACCACCAGCGCTGTGACCACCATGGCATGGCACCCTGAGAAATGTGGGGCAGGGGGAGAAAGAGGGTGGGGCAAACAAACAATGACCAGACATCAATTTATCATCCCTCCTGCCTCCCCCCCCCCCCGGCCTTCCTAAGCCGATACCGATATGGCTAAGCTTGGGGAGAATCACAAGGTGGCGTTTAATAAAATGTTCTCAGTCTTGAAACACTGGGATACGCTGAAAAGCCACTTAGCACCACACCCATCCCCATTGCTGAGAGCCACCAGCAGCACCCCTGGCGGCTCTCTCACCTCTGGGGGACCTTTCCTAAGGGTGGGGGGCACTTACCATTAATCCGGTACTGGAGCCGGGTCTTGTCTCGCAGGGGGGTCCCTTCTGTGAGCTGTTGAAAACACACACAGACGCAGAAAGCTGTGGTGGAGTCTATGTTGCCAGGGCTGCCTGGAAGCGGGGTGCTTTCTTTATATCAGGGTTTCCCAAACTTGGGTCTCCAGCTGTTGTTAATATTGGCAAAACCTATTTGGTATTTCGCAACTTTCTGACTTGGGACGCGGGTGGCGCTGTGGGTTAAACCACAGAGCCTAGGACTTGCCGATCAGAAGGTTGGCAGTTCGTTGCCGGTCCCTGCTCCTGCCAACCTAGCAGTTCGAAAGCACGTCCAAGTGCAAGTAGATAAATAGGTACCGCTCCGGCAGGAAGGTAAACGGCGTTTCCGTGCGCTGCTCTGGTTCGCCAGAAGCGGCTTAGTCCTGCTGGCCACATGACCCGGAAGCTGTACGCCGGCTCCCTCGGCCAATAAAGCGAGATGAGCGCCGCAACCCCAGAGTCGGCCACGACTGGACCAATGGTCAGGGGTCCTTTACCTATCTTTCTGACTAGTTGCAGGACCTTAGCCAGACCTAGCAGAGTACACACAGAATCCACGGAAGCAATTGGCAACTTGGCTGCAAACAGGATAGACGAAGCAGGAACCAGGAACTTGTAGTTAGGTGTTTATTATATGCAGTGGACTATTTACAGGATCAGAACACAGATCTTTTGCTAGCTCTCTCTTACACGACTCACAACTCCTACACTGACACACAGAGCTCTGAACACTGAGCTCTGAATACTGAACTAACACATTCCAGTTAGTAAACCATTAATTATCACTCCCTACAAAGAGCTTGACCAATCAGGGAGCTCTCCCCATGTTTCTGTTATCACCAGGCAGACTTACTCCTTCAGATTGCCTTCTGGCTGTCTACCAAACCTTAACTGACTCTGTGTGAGTAGCTGCACGTACACAGTTTCCCAACGGTTCAGACTACAATTCCCAGCATCCCTGGCCACTGGTCCTGCCAGCTAGGGATGATGGGAGTTGTAGTCCGACAACAGCTGGAGACCCACATTTGGGAAACTCTGCTTTATATGGAGCCAGGAGGAAGCCTCTCTGGTGGGAGAGGAATGCTCAAAATGTGCTTTGGGAAAATAAAAAGACAGAGGGCTGCTTTGGCCTTTCCCCACGACTCAAGGGTCCCTCTGTCGCCAAGGGCAGCCGCTGTTTTGTGATGTCACTTCCCCATTTCTGCCATTTTACTAGTAGGATCAGCTAGCCTTTCTCCCCATTGCTCAGATGAGGAAAACTGAGGCCAGGCTGCAGAACCTTACTGCAGCGCAGGCAAGAAGGAGTCCGTGGCAGAAGCCAGGGAAAATCCCTTGAGAGTGTGGAGGTCTCCTTACCTTCCCCATCGGGAGCATATATAAGAAAGCTTGCAATCCAACCCAGACCAAGACTAGGGCAAAGTCCCGGGGGTCCCACAGGGAGCGGAGGGTGGGCAAAGGATAGGGGATGTTCAACAGGCTGGCCTGCTCCGTTCTGCAAGTCAACAGGAGGTAGAAGACAGTGGTGGGCATCAGGACGATAAGGAGGGCAGCCCCTGCGATGAAAAAAGATGGAGCGGTCAGAAAGGGGAAGAGACAGAACCCAGGAGTCCTGCATCCCCTGCTCACACCATTCCCAAGCCTCCCTAATAGAGGATTCCTGGGGAGGGATGAGAGAAAGGTATTGTTACAAAAGTTGAGTGCCTCCCCCTCTCTCTGCCGAGCGGTAGCCAGAGTCCATGGGATTCCAGGCACTCACCCAGGCTCCCTTTGGAGACTGTTGTAGCTTTAAGAAATATGGTTTATTCATCTATTTACACCTTCAGTCAGCATGGAGGGAGTCCAGATCTTAAAGCATGGTCATCTCAAGAGGGGTTTGTCCCCCACAGCAGGGCAGCCCTGGAGTCCAAGACATCTCTCCCAGCCAGCCTTCAGCCAGCCTGCCCAAGATGGATCCCAGTCTTTCTTCTCTCCCCCTTCTTCTTCCCAGCACACCTTGCTAAAAATTATCTTTTCTTGTCATACAACACCAAGTTATCCTTGCAACCTTCCGAACTCCCAGTCTCTGTTCACACCTCAGGGCAAGGGGGGGGGCGGAGAGAAAAACAGTTCTCTTGCATTGACAATGGCCCTCAATGACCCTGTATTGTTTCTTAACGGCCCAAAGCTTGGCCAGGTCATTTGGCATAGGATAGCTCAGGAATTCCTCCGCAGCCTGTATCTCATCCCCAAATAATAAAAATCCTACCATTTACTAATTTCTAAGGTTTAGCCCCTGCACCTAATCTATAACAGTATTCTTCTGCCTGCAAACACACACCCCGAGCTCAGCCTTTCCCCCTCACCTAGGACGCCGCCAAATTCCAGCTCTCTGGTGCGGGGGACCTTCAGTCGATCCATTGTCCTCTTGAGCAGGTCCTGGGCCAGAAACCTCCTCTTGCAAGTTTCCCCGGTCTTCAGCAACCACACACAGACCTAGAGAAAGAATCCATGAAGACCAAACAGAGTCCCTTGAGACAAGCCTCTGAATATCCCCCCATGTGTGTTTCGATGGTCGAGCTGATTTGGATCACCTGTTAACAGAAGCCACATTCTTTCTAACTGACTGTGCCTTACATGCAAGGCTGCCTGGCCATGGAGTAATTCCACCCAGGTCCCCTTCTTTTTTTAGACATTAATCACCAGGAGGGCACAGCCAACAAAAGCTGGCCAGCTGGAGGCTGGGATTCCAGCGGAAGGGCATGCTTGTCAGACTGTCATGTCTGTCCCATTAGACATCTGCCACTAGTCTACCTCACAGGGCTGTTGTAAGGTATGTGCAGCATTTTGAACCCTTTGGAACAGACCTCCAGTTGATACAAAGTGCTACTGGTTCGTGAGCACCTCTCATAGGAATACAGGATGCTGCCTTTGGCAGAGTCAGGCCGTTGTCCCATTGAGTTCAGTATTGCCTCCACTGGCTGGCAGCATCTCTCCAGACTCTTTCCCAGGCAACCATCATAACCGGGAAGGATGTTTCGTATTCTAAACTAGTGCTTGGCAAGTCCACCTTCCCTTTCCCAGAAAACCTGCAACTCAGGATAAATATTTGGGTGCAATTATTTCAAACAGCAGGTGCAAAGTGTACCCCCTACCCCACCTCTTGGGGTCATGAGCCCAAGAGTGTGTCAAGCTCCTCACTTAAGTCTCCGGCTGCACAAAATTGGAGTTGGCGCTTGCCAAGGTTGAGCTTCACCACCCATTTCTGGCACCAAAGCACACCTCTCAAAGTTACGATCAAGTGCCTCTGAGCATATTGGGAGTGCTTGCTCTCTCACCACTAAGCCCTCCAGACACATCTGGACATTGTTAGAACAAGGGAAACGTGAGCCCCAGCACACACCCATCCTATTCCTCACCTTTCCTCCTAGGAGTCCACTGTGGTATTTTTGTGTGTGTGACTAGCCCAAGGTCATCCAAAGAGTTTCATGGCCAATTAGGGATTTGAATTTAGGCCTTCATGGTCTAGGTTTGCCAACACACCACACATTTAAAGCATCCCTGCCCAAGGATCCCGGAAACTGCAGTTTGCCCCTCACAGAGCTACAATTCCCAGCACCCTTAACAAATTACAATTTCCAAGCTTAGTTGGCATGTCTTTAAATGCCTTACAACACACTGGTTCTCAACTGAAGCCTCATCCCTGTGAAATTGTTGATTTACTGCTTCCAGAAGGAATCGGCCTTTCTCCTCCTCTCCTTTAGAGTCCTGTCAGTTTCGTAATTTAGCATTAAGAACATGCTAACTGCTTTGTAGTCTCTGTCTCAAATTCTCAGTCCAGTTCCCTGTCTCCAGCAGAGAAAGCAACCCTCCAACAAAGAATCTTCCGGATCCAACAGCCTGTGGCAGATTTGTCCTCATAAGCGAGAGAACTGCCAACCTTTGAAATACATGGCTTTTGTATGTATTTTGAAAAACATGGCCTTTGTGTGTATCTTCAAGAACTATTAAACAACCTGACAAGGTGCATGCTTGAAATCTGTGCCATTTGCATCACCCCCAAAGTGTCTGCACCCCCAAATAGAGCCACAGCAGGCACCATAATCTTCCAACAGCTTGACTTCACCCACCCCCAAAAAAGGCACACACGCCCATTGTTTCCTGAAACAGACTGAGGCCAACAACATTATGAGGTAATTCAAGGTACAGTGGTACCTCAGGTTACATACACTTCAGGTTACATACACTTCAGGTTACAGACGCCGCTAACCCAGAAATAGTACCTCGGGTTAAGAACTTTGCTTCAGGATGAGAACAGAAATTTTGCTCCGGCGGCGCGGCAGCAGCGGGAGGCCCCATTAGCTAAAGTGGTGCTTCAGGTTAAGAACAGTTTCAGGTTAAGAACGGACCTCCGGAACGAATTAAGTACTTAACCCGAGGTACCACTGTACTTTGGCAGTCAAAATTTGTGGCGCTTCTGAGGAGGACAGTTCTGCTGCTGACCGCAATACATTTCAAAAGAGAGAGATGTCAGATGCCTTGCAGGTCTGGATGCAGGATCCAACCCTCATAGGAAGCTGCCATACTGGATCAGTCCCCATCTTGCCTGCCCAGAAGCCACCCTCAAATGTGTGTGAAAGAGACAGAGAGAGAGAGATTGAACCTGGCTGGGGTGGGTGCGGGGACCTTTTCCGTGCAAAACATGCGCCCTCCCATTTGAGCTACCGCCACCTTTCCGCTAAAAGAAAGGAGCAATGTCCCAGTCCTCATGTTTCTGTAGAAAATTCGTCTTTTCTGTAGAAAAGGCAGCTGCCTCATTCTCCGCCGGTCCTTGCTGCGCCTAAGCTCCGCATCCACCGACGGCGCTGCAGTTCCAGACGGGGCCCTTTCCCAGCCCGGCGGAAGCGTTGCTGGCGAGGATGCCAATCTCAGGTTGGGCTGGCCCTTTCGGGAAGGTCCCTAAATCCACCCTCCCCCGCGGGGACCACAGTCCCCTGCCTGGCTTGGGTGCATCCCGAGAGGGACCCGCGCATGTCTGCCCCACCCACCGGCCCTCCAGATCCCGCCAGCAACAGCGGCGGCATCCTCTGGCATGGGAGAGGGGACACACCGGAGGAAGGCTTACCTGGAGGCGCCTGGATGCGGGAGGCGCTCACCTGTCCCGGCCACCTGCCCGCCCGCATCAGCCCGGCATCAGCGGCGCCACCCTCTGCCCATCCTGTCCCTATCCCGGAGCAGCCAATCGCGCCCGAGGGAGGAGGGCGCGGAGCCTATCAGGCGAGAGGAGGCGGGCCCGCCTCACTGCTCATCCCGTCCCGTCCAGCCCTGTTCGTGCATCCAGGCGCCCGCAGGAAAGGAATGAAATCGTGGTGGTGAAAAGGGAGAGGACAGAAGAGGGGGGCGGGACGGTGGTGTCCCAATCCTTCGCTTTCGCCGTCCTGGGTTCCCTTGGTGGTGGAAGAATGCGCTAATGAGAAGGAAAAGAGAGTGCCTGGGCATACGCAGAGTGCAAAACGCCTCCTGCTCTAATGCATTGGAGTTCAGTGGAGAAATGAACAACTGGGGGTGGGGGGTGGGGACGGACCAAAACGGAAATAAACACCAGGACGCGTCGAGATGGCTTTTAAATCTCGCCTGTTGTTTCTGAAATGAAAAAAATATACTGCCTTCAAGTCTCCGTTAAGCCACAGGAATTTTATTTATTTATATCCCACCTTTTTTACGCGAGGCAGTGTGCATGACTCGGCTCTTCTGTTGTAAGTGGCCTTTTAATTAAGGCGCTGCTTGGAGTCTGGCATCTCAACAACACCTGCTTTCTGCAAAACCAGCTCATCCACAATGATGTGATGGTGGCTGTGGCTGTTTGTCCACCTGGGGGCGCTGCAGCATAACCATGGTATTATCTCCTTCGCTGGCCTCATAGGCACCAACTCCTTGTAACCGAGGTCCCTTCGACCTCCCCTCCCCAAAAATAATAATAATTGAGGGGGCCGCCCCTCCCCCATTTGATGCGCATTGCCATTCAAATGGTGTGTGACTGCCATGTGTTATAGAAAAGGTGTGGGTTTGTTTTCCCTTTGGCTGCTCAGATTTGGCAAGTCGGTTTTTCGGATAGGGATATAGACCATATCCGTGAGTACCAAGCTTCCGCGATCAAGCCCAAAGCAGTGTGCCATCGCAAGGCAATCTCCATTCAAAGTAGCTGCAGGGAGAAATATTAGGAGATCTTTATGGAAGACCCACATAGACCATGTGTCCATTATTCTCAGGACAGCGAGTTTGTGAGAGGGTGCTGTGTGTGTCAAATTGATCAGGCCTGAGACACACAAGTACCTTTGCTTTGCAAAGGGAATGCAAAGAGACAAAGATGAACAACTAAACCTCAATCTGGGGGGGTTTCCTTTGCAAGGGAATGTATGGGGAAAAAATCCAGACCAAAAATGAAAGTTCAAGACTTTATTACCTAGCAAAATATTTAAAAAGTGAGGTGTTTTCTCCCTTGTGGAGATTGACTCTGGGAAAAAGGGAGAGAGAATCTGGAATGAAGCTATTACCCTACCTAATACAAACCCTAAATTCATACACTCAGGAGTACACACACCAAGGAATCCGAGTAAGGGTTCTGTAACAACCAAAAATAGGGGGAAAGTGAGGCCTGCAGATATGTGTTGACTCTTCAGAATTCTGCTGTTTAAGTCTTTTCTGAATTATAATCCTTTCTTCACATTGTAATATTTTCCCCAGTTGGCTTCTCCCACTCGGTCTTCTCTGCCCCAAATTGCCTTCCTGGTGTTGGCACTGAAACAGAACTGCCTTCATAGACACATGGCAAAGGAAATTCCACCCCACAGGATGTAGAAAACGGTGCTGAGCTGCGGAAGCAGGCCTTTTCCCTTTGCCCAAATTATCCATGATTGTCTCAATATTTGTCCTTATCACATGCTCTGGAACTTCCATTTGTGTAGGTTCAAAGTTAGGGCCAACCCTGCTTCTTTGCTTCTTAGTTGTCTGTAAGCAAAACCCGATCACTCGCAAACACACACATACATACACGTGTTAACTGTTCTGTTCAGGTTGCCAGGTCACCTTGGATTGGTTTCAAGGCTGAATTACTCGGCAAAGCTAATGATCAATGTAACTGGATTAAGGACACAGTTTTACTGATAATGAAAGGAGAGATGTTTTAAAAGCATTTATGTATGAATACATCATCAGCATAAGTATCTCTAACAAACGTTATTTATTTCATTAAATGTATACACGTCTTTTAAAAAAAACCTTGTTCAAACTATGTTATGTATTTTTGTGTTTTTATACTTAAGCCACCCTGTGATCCTCAGAGGAAGGGCGGTATATAAATTTAATAGGTAAATAAAATAAATAAATAAATAGTAGGTTACTTAACTTGCTAGGTTGCCAAATCCACAAGTTGGTTCTAAAACTTCTGCTTCTTAGGGTTATCAACTTACTAAAACCATGTTTAAAGATACAAAATGCATTTTAATCATCACACACCCACACCCCAAACTACTGAGGGTGGAGGAACTACCAAGAACTGATAGATAGCATCTCTAGGAAAGGATGTTTCTCACATACTTTGGACCCAAGTCGTTTAGGACTTAGTAAGCAAAGGGAGAGGGAATTGGAATGGGCAGTTTTGACAGCAGGGAGTAGACTCACTTCCAGGACTGTCCCTGGAAAATCGGGACATTTGGAGGGTCTGCAATCACACAGCATTTGCCTCTCTGTGTGTGTGTGTTTGGATTGTTTTGCTTACACATGCCAGAAGCAAAAAAAGAAAAAGCCAGCTTGGGGGTGTGAGTTACGAAACGTCAGCAATTTGGCCTTTGCTACTTGAATACACAGAGATTATGGGCCTACCAAATGGATGTTCCCACACATGCGAAAAGGACAACAATGAGGCATTTTTTTTATAACGGGAACACAGATTTTGGTGCTGCTGTGCAGCTTGATGGCATCCCGCATCCTCCATCCCAATCCCCATATTGGGTCATAACATGTTATTGGCCACACTTGCTCTGGAGGAACCAGGACAAGGAGAGATGCAGGAAATCAGGGCTGGTCTGAATGCACAGGAGATTGGCCACAGCTCCACTCAGCCTTGAGTCTTTGTCCTGCATCAGACTCTGGAAGTCAGAAAGCCCACAGTCGCACAGCAAGGACAACTCACTCAGGTCCAATGACTGCAGCTGCACCAGTGGCTGAAATGTAGAGTGGGAGAGGGTCACTATGGGGTTCCCATGGAGGCTAAGGCTGCGCAAGGATTTCAAGCTGAGGAATGCCTCCTCAGGAATGATGGGCAGGAGGTTGTCAGAGAGATTCAGAGTCTGGAGAGACACCAGACCCTGGAAAAGTCCCTCAGGAAGGGCCCGAAGGCCATTGGAGCTGAGATTCAGGACTCTAAGGTTCTCCAAATGCTGGAAGATGTCCACACAGTTCTCTGTTTTCCAGATGTTTCCCAGGTCGTTATGGGAAATATCTAGTTCTCTGAGCTGCCTGGGGCCTCTCTCAGCCCTGAAGCACTTTGCCAGCTGATTGCCTGAGAGATTCAGGAAACGCAAGGTGGGGTTTTTCCCTAGTTGACCCCAGAGACTCCCTAAGTCACTCAGGCGGTTGGAGGAGAAGTCAAGGTGGGTCAGGTTGCTGCTAAGACGTTCAAGACCCCAGGCATCCCCAATCCTGTTTTGCCCCAGCATCAGGCGCAGAAGGGATGGGAGTTTCCCTGCTGGGACCCTCACGAGAGCATTGTCCTGGAGGTCAAGGGTTTGCAAGGAGTTCAGCCCCACCAGAGCATTGTGTTGAACAATCCCAAGGTGGTTTGACTTCAGGATGAGGTGCTGGAGTGGGGATGACCTCAGGGGTCGAAGGGCTTCTGTGTACAGCTCCCCAAGCAGATTGTGGGACAGGTCGAGAATACGCAATTGGCTCAGCCCAGAAAAGGCCCCATCCTTGATCTCAGTAATCTGGTTGGATCTCAACAGCAGGATGTTGAGGTCTGGGAGTCCTGAGAAGACAGATGGGCCCAATTCCCTGAGGAAGCCATTGGACATGTCAAAGGAGTAAACTCCGCTGCCACGGAGGCCAAGAAAGGTACTAGGCGAGATGCCCTTGAGGTTACGGAAACCAAACCCGCTGCCGAGGGCGGCTGAGTGCTGCATCTTGAGGTTATGGATTCGAGTGCCATTTAGTCGTGTGATGAACTTCTGAGCTTCCATCGCGTTCCATGAGTTCGAAGAGACGTCCAGAGTTCCCAGCACGATGCTGAAGAAAGGGTTGGTGCAGGCATTGGGGTTAAGCAGTCGGTTGGATGAGAGGTCAAGCAAGGCCAAATGGTGCCCCCTGAGGTGCTGTAGGTCTTCCCCACAGATCTCCCCAATTTGGTTGAGCTTCAGCTGAAGGACGCTCAGCTTCCTCAGGCCCTGGAAAGTTGGATCAGGCCTCAGCCTATGGATGCGGTTTCCGGAAAGATCCAGCCTCTTCAGCGATACCAAATCCTGGAAATAACCTCTTTCCAGTACTTCTTCGTCAAAACCATTGAAATCCAAGAGCAACACCTCAAGCTGGGTGAGGCCGCGGAAAGCAGCTGGGTGCAAGGTCAAGTTCTTGTTGCCACCAAGATCCAGGATCCTGACACTGGGCACATTCTGAAACGCCCTTTCTCCGACATAGAGGGATCCTCCCAGTTGCTTCCCAAGAGACAGCATCCTCAGGGACGGCATTTGGGAGAAGGAGGAATCCGAGATGTTGGATAAGAAGTTGAAGTTCAGCAAGAGGACCTGAAGGGAGCTGTCCGTTTCAGGGACTTCCTTGTGTCTTTGAGCTTGGCAATTGGCCACCAGCAGAGAATTCACTTGGGTATGGTAGCAGCGGGGATGGCTGTCAACAGTGGACCCCAAAACCAGCAAGAAGATGATCCTACTAAAAGGAGCTGGCAATTAAGAGAGAAGAAAGGGGACATTTGTTAGTTCCCTGTTCATTTTCCTAGCACAGCTTGTCCTGTAAAACTAACTTTCCTAAAGTTTAATGGGGCAAGAAGAAGCTTTGACAGTTGACTGATCAGAGAGATGGCATAATTTGGCTGCTGATAGTCACAGATTTAAATGCCACCTCTGCAACAAACACACAAAGTGGTCCAATATTGTCTCATTTGATGGGCAGCAGGAAGAGCTCTTCAGGGTGTTCCTGTGCTGAGGCCGCTCCCAGCATTGCTTGTCCAAGAACCCTTTAACTGGAAATGTGAGGATTTTATAATTTATTTTCAGGTATATTCTGCCTTTCCTCTTAAGGAGCTCAAGGCAGCAATCATGGTTCTCCCCTTTCTCATTTCTTCCCTGCAACACCCCAAGTGGCCCAAGATCACCAAATAAGTTCCATGGCTGAGTGGGGATTTGAACCCTGGACTCACAGACACTAGCCCAACAGCCACTGCACCAAACTGGCTACACAGTATCCCAAACTGAAGAATCTTGGGCATGCAAAGCACGGGATCTAGCAATAGAGTTGCGGACTGACCAGCAAAAGGACAGGCCATATTTTAGTCACCTTTTAACACCCTCTTGATGTGCAGAAAACTGCAATAAAGGTTCCCTCCTCCCACACAGTAAAGAGATAAGTCATGGCCATCTGCTGATGTCTGCAGTTCAAGCTGTTGGCCTTGTGAATAGTAATAATAACAATAACAATAACAACAACAACAACAACAATAATAATTGTATCCCACCCATCTGACTGGGTTTCCCCAGCCACTCCGGGTGGCTTCCATCATATATAAAAATATAATAAAACCTTAAACCTTAAAAAAGTCCTTATACAGGGCTGCCTTCAGATGTCTTATAAAAATCAGATAGTTGTTTATTTCCTTGACATCTGATGGGAGGGCTTTCCACAGGGTGGGCACCACTACTGAGAAGGCCCTCTGCCTGGTTCCCTCTAACTTCACTTCTTGCCAGAAGGCCACCAGAAGACCCTCCGAGCTGAACCTGAGTGTCCGGGCTGAACAATGGGGGTGGAGACGCTTCTTCAGGTATACTGGACTGAGGCCGTTTAGGGCTTTAAAGGTCAGCACCAACACTTTGAATTGTGCTCGGAAATGTACTGGGAGTCAATGCAGGTCTTTCAGGACCAGTGTGGAAAAAGTTTTGCATCCCACAAATGCCACGGAGTAATGGGCCTTCCCCATCTTAAAGCTCTTCACTAACCTGAAGGTTGATGACTCACCTGGCAGGGGAGAATTATTGAATTGCTAGAAAGAGGACCGGTCATATTGAGGGACTCAAACCCCACTTTATCTTCTGTCACTCACCTTTTGGAGCCCTCCAAAGTGGGCGACTTTGGTGAAATCTCGGCATGGTGTTGAAGCTGGTGCAAAATGAGACTCTCTCTCTCTCTCTGCTGCTGCTGCTTATGGGTTGGCACAGTCCTTGCCCCATATAAACACCACCCGAGCAGTTCCCTTTCTGGGCCCCACGTCAACAGCCTGTGTTGACTCAAATGTGATTTGGAAAGATGCATAATGGGGAAATACTGGGGAAATTCCCTGAGGGCCCTTCAGCAGATATTACTGTTCCCACCCCCCTGCCACCGCCTGCTGCCATGCTAGCTCATGCACAACATTTCCTAGGTGCACAGATCCTTAAAGATTGCTAAAACCAAGTCTACCCAAGAATAACTGCAGGCAGGCTTCCTGCACTTTGTATCATTGGGTGAAAGTGGAAATTTCAGGCAAGGTACCTTGTCGCCCTGCGGGAATGTCCTCTCCAGAGCAGCGAATCATTTCCATTTGCAGTTTTGTCATCTTGCATTTAAGGCCAGAGTGGCGAACTCTCTGCCTTCTGTGCCACATACGCCCCCCGAAAGCAATTTCACCCAGCTGCCCGTTTCCCTACCAACTTTTTGAGAAGGGGTGGTTAAAAAAATTATTCACAGTTGCATTTGCAAGGCAGGGCGGGCAGGGAGAGCAACATGTTTCAAGAAGGGGGGAAATGAAGGGCCTAAGCTTTCAACATTGCGTGTCCCTTTCAGCTTGTGCATGTCACATGCATGTAATGTAGGACTGTAGTCCTCCGTATGAAATCCCTGAACTCAGCCCAGAACTGAGTTCAGCAGTTTGGAGAAGCAGTGGCATAGGAGAGCCGAAAATATTGCCAATATATTTCACATCTGGCAACCCATGTGCCCCTTGGGTTTCAGTTAGTACATGGGTAGATGAGTCTAAAAAGCCTGGGACACAAATTTTGACAGCCCTCTAGTGGCTATGGTGACTCATTTACCAGATACAGTACAGTGGTACCTCGAATTAAGTACTTAATTCATTCCGGAGGTCTGTTCTTAACCTGAAACTGTTCTTAACCTGAAGCACTACTTTAGCTAATGGGGCCTCCTGCTGCCACCACGCCACCAGAGCACGATTTCTGTTCTCATCCTGAAGCAAAGTTCTTAACCCGAGGTACTATTTCTGGGTCAGCGGAGTCTGTAACCTGAAGAGTATGTAACCTGAGGTACCACTGAATAATGTATTTAGCATTAACTCTGGAAGTGTATACCTGATTCTGACTAAACTAAGTCTACTGATGTATATTTTGTTCTAGGAGGCTTAGTTTGGTCAAAATCCAGAGGAAGGGAGAGACCCACGCATGCCACCTTGAGCTCCTTGGAAGGAGGAAGTGGGATATAAATGGAATCACAATAATGAACAAATCTGGTTGGCCACAGAGACAGGATGCTGGACTGGATGAGCCTTTGGCCTGTCCCAGCTGCTGCTGCAGGACCTTTCTCATGCTCTCATGAAATCATGCAAAAAGGAGCAACTGACACGGTTTAATTTTATCCAGAGCTACAGTTTCCTGGCTGCTGCAGAAACAAAATAGCCTTCACCAGTGAATACGGTTTAAGTTATTCTTTATTTATCACAACCACATTGACATATTTTGAGGTCTCACCTGCCAGACATTCCCGTTCTCCCCCTACCTGGCAGGGAACAAGAGCTGCCTCCCCCCGGTCCAGCCCCCTCCTCGTGCCCTAGCCGCGCTCACAGATGACCTCAATGACACTCTGCTCCATGGGCACGGGGTCAAGGCAGCGGTGGGCTGTGCTGCCCACAATCTCGTCCAGCAAGAAGTGCACCAGGTTCTCATCAGAGACAAAGCGCCACAGATAGAGTTGCAGGTAGTAACAGTCCACCTGGATCTGCTGCAGGCCAAAGCGGCCAAAAGTTCGCAGGCGGACACACTCCAGGAACGTCTTCAGGCTGATCTTGATGATGCCGGTAAGCACAGAGACCTGAGTGGAAGAAGAGGATTAAAAAATGGACAGCAGACTGACGATCCAAAAATCTGCTCGCCCTGCCCCCCAAATGGATGTTTTCCTGATACTTTCCCCGGGGGGTGTTCATTGAAATCATTGTATGGACAACTGCTCAGTCTGCCTCTCTTCAGCCAGGCCTTTGGTTAAGTCAATGGGTGCCTCCCTTCCCCTTACATGGCCATTTTGTGTTTTTATTCTATGATTTTCATTTAAATTGCACTTGCTTTATTGGTAATGTTCTGCAACCTACCTGGCCTAGGAGTGACAACAAAACAGGCAAATGCCATTGCCTGTGGCTTCGCCCTCCTGCCCCAATCACACATTGCTGTGTCAATTTTGAAGATTACAAACAGAAAAACTAATAGAGAGGGGAACACCTAAGACCCAAGAGTAAAGGCACTTATGTGGCTGCTCTTACCAGCCAAGCTTAACCATCCATCCTGGTCAGGTCTTACTAAGGACCTTCATCATGGATGTTCATCACAAGCTTCTTAATAAAGGCTTGATTCACCTCTGTCCTGGTGGCAGCCAAACGCTGCTCAGAAACTGAAAGAGGATGGGAGATTCATTCAGCAAAAGTGCCAAGATGACCACAAGCTCCGATTCTGGGCTCCACTGAGAATCAGGCAATTTGGGAGGGGATAAGCAGATTGGAGCTCCATGAACTATTAGACTTTTAACACTGAGAGGGAGAACCCAAACGGACGCCTCCCCTACATATTGTGAAAATTACGGTTCTCTCCTGATCTGAGTGGTGTAATCGAATGACGTTCAGGCTGCAACTGCAGCCCTAGTGAAAGATATATACATATATATCTAGCAATAACCAAAGAAAAGGAACCTGCTACCCTTTCTAGAGATCACTCCCATCATCTGTTGGCAAGGGCAATGGCTCCTCTCTCCCTGTGGGGTGCATGCACATCTCCCCAAGAGGCAGATCCAGGCACCCCTGTAGAGAGGCCACCAACCTCACGTGCTTTGGCTGGAGGAAGCACAACAGAGCACGCCACTGCAGGCTCCTCACCTTGTTGAACTCCGCAGGGCTGAAGATGTCAATGCGCTCAGAGAAAAGCTTCTGGATATTGCTCAGCAGGTTGGTATCCATGGGAGCGCTTGGGGAGAGAAGAGAAGAGATGAGGCTCACACAGAGTGGCTGACAGCTTGTGGGGCTAAGGGCCGTGCCCAAGAGATTAGCACACCATCCCCCACCCCTGAACTGCCCTGCTGGAGAGGGGTTTGGATGGACATCTCTTTCCCTCCACCCAGGCCCGTGGCACACAATAACTATGCGAGGTATCCATGGCAGGCAAGTCAGCGTCAATTCTTGCGAACCAGAAACTCTTAGGAGCCAATTTGCAAGGTTGCACTAGATACACACAGTGCCCCGCCTGCTCCTTTGTGATTTAGGGATGATTCAAACTCCCCGTCCAGCAGGAAGGACAGGGCCTGCCTCCCCAGCTCACCTGGGCGTGTAACTTGGCGCGTAGCGGCTCTGCTGCCGGGAGCTGCTGTAGACGGAGAAGGTTCTTTTGCTGGAGTCACTGCTCTGGGCTTTGCGCACACCTTCCTCATAGAGAAGCCCAACCTGCGTGGGGAGATTAACGTGTGAGGCAGTTACTCGAATGGAGAGGGAGCCTCTGCACAGGTTCACTCTCTTTCAAGTGAGGACCCCTGGCACCCCACGCCTACCCTGTAACAAGCAGCATATGACACCACTGTCAAAACAGCTGCACTGGCTGCCCATTTACTATTTGTATTAATTTACAGAGCCCTGACCAACTTAGGTCTAGGGTGCCTCAGGGACCGACAAAGCTCTTCTATTTCAGCTCGATCACTGAGAACATCCGCAGGAGCATGGCTGGTCATTCCCCGAGTTGGTGAGGCTCATTTGACATCAACAAAAAAAGAGCCTTCGGTGTCATTGGCCCAGTCCTGTGGAACGCTCCACCACTAGAGATTCAGCAGATGCCTTCTGTGCCAACGCTTGCTGAAAACTTTTCTATTCTGCCAAACCTATGTAACCTGTTAAGTATACATTTTTCCATGGCGATTACCCGATTTAAAATTTTAATGGGCTTTCCGTATAGATACATTGGAAACTGATATTTTCAAGGTATCATTATAAATAAACAAATAGATAAAAAGGAACAAACCCCCAAATTCCAACCCCCTCTTCCTCATATGGTGCCCTCTCTTTCCATTTACAGGCAAGGTAAGAAGCTGGAACCGGGTGGTTTTCTGAAATCCCTCCCCCCCCCCTTTCCCCTCCGCCCCGCTCACTTGAACATCAATGGAGGTGGCATCCTCCACCACACGCTTCATGACGGCACGGACATTGCGTGGTTCAATGGTGGTGATCCAATCCCGCGTCTCGACGCTTTTGCGCAGCATCTGAGAGATGACCAGGCCTTGCACCTTCACGTAGTGGTTCAGCAGCTTCTGGGCGGCTTGCCGGGCTTCAGCACACAGGCCAGTGACAGGGGTGACGGGAGAGTGGTCCTGGTCCAGAGGCAAGGCAGAGCAGGAGGAGGATGAAAAGGGTGGCACTTGGCAGCTTGATGTGGGGCTCTGGAAAACTCAAGGGGCTTTTAGATACGTAAGGAGGCCTCGCCACAAGAACCAGTCCGCTAAGAACAAAACTGGACATGGAGGGTGGGAAAAGCTGAGAGGGACTGGCTTGCCCAATGTCATCCAACGGGCTCCCAGCAGAGGCAGGATTTGAACCAGGGACTTCCTGGCTCAAAGCTCGCGCTGTTAACTGCTACACCGTACCAATACTAAACAGGCTATATTTGGATAGGCTTTGCTGGTTTCTGAATGGTTTGAGATTTACATCTTTCTGAACCACATCTGGAGAAATGAAATACGGTATATGTTTTATGGGAGGCAAGAAATGTAGGGGTTTCCTGGGGTGGTGGGGAAGCAGCAGGTGCACCCTATGCAGTGACCGAAAGACTGAGGAGTGACTGGAAAGCTAATTGACACAGTCATCAAAGAAGTGGCACTGAGGACCAGAGCCATAAATGGAGTTTACACATTTCATTCTCAGCCAACGCATGTGGAATGCAGGGGTCACAATACTTACATTTCAAGCTTCTTCCAAAGTGACAAAATCCAATTCTAATGCATTTCTAATAAATAGTATTTACTCTGCATAGGATTAATTCCCTTGAAAGAGACTCTGGCCCTGTGATATGGGGGCGGGGGGAAACCCCACCTCCACCCCACACCTGAATACACCAAGCAACATACTCAACAGGGAAGGACCCCTCCAAAAGCCAGAAGCAAGCTAGCCAGGATTTCTCCTTTGGGGCTGCCCCCTGGCTGAGAAAGTTCCATGAGTCACACATACTGCAATCCTTATTCTGCAATAAGGAAACCAGCGAGCTCTGCTACACACACACACAGATGATGCAAATGGGACAGTATGTACAGTTCTGGCTTCCGCTATTTCGTTATATATTATGTTATAAATGTTTTTTTAAAAGACCTGTTTACGGAGCTTGCGTAATGCTTTTCCCCCCTTCTTGTTTGGTAGCTGGCTTCTAAAAGAAAACTGGCAGGTCTAAAATGTGCTTCTTTGTATATATAAAGAGGGAACAAATCCCTATGTTTGTTTCATAGTTGTGTGGAATAATGGCACAGCTGAGGCCTTATTCAGATCTCAATGAACTCGGTTCTGAGCAGAGGAAAGGAAACACAGCCCCCTTCTGCCCCCCACCCTGGCCATTTAAGTCTCCCAAGCCTGAAATGACTCCCAGCATCCTCTCTTCCCACGTGTGACACACCTGCACCAGAAACTGTTCATCTGTCAACGTGAGGATGTAGCTGATGGTGGAGGTCTCGTAGTCCAGGCAGAGGCGGGAGAGGAGTAGCAGCAGGGTGGGGGGCGTGGAGCCCCCCTTGTCGCCCGTGCTCTCACAGAACTGCCGGGCTGTCTGGCAGATGGACTTGATGAAGCTGACAATGAGGCCTTCGCGGACACCCTGGCTGCAGAATTCCCCCTAGGAAAAAGCAAGGAGAGGCACAGGGGAAAGTTAGAGGCATCGAGGCAAAAAGTCTCAGCCACCCAGCCTTGACATGAGCCACAGTTTGATTCCAGGGCCAGCACTGCAGGGAGTTGGTGGAACCAAGGGGCTCTTTAACCCTTCCTTTTCTGGCAAGAACAGGGACGGAGGCTCTGCCTGAGTTCGGCCCTCGGGTCCCTCAACGACTCACTGGGTCAGCCAAGACACTGACAAACGGGAGGGATGCCTGAAGTGGAGGATGTTGGCAAAGCCCATTGCTCATAGGCGGTGAGAAAGCTTTAAGCCTTTGCTTTTCTTAAGAGAGAAATCACATAGCAGGACTGGAGCTATGTGGGGCAGTTCAAGTACGGGGCCACCAGCCGCTGAACTGTCAGGTAGCCACTACAGCTGTTCACAATGGGGAAGAAGGGTTAAGGAACCCTTACCTCATTTCAGACATTTCATAGAATTGTATGGCTGGAAGGGACCCCAAAGGTCATTAGTCCAACTCCCAGCAATGCAGGGATCTTTCAGAGATGCAAGTGGCTGAGGGGCATAATGAGAAGGGATTCATGAGGACTAGCAGCTATGGGGCCCCATCATGAAGCAGGCAGAGGCTTCAGGCTGGCAGCTGCATATCCCAAAATGTAAACTAAAGAGACAGAGGCTGAGTACACCCAGCTCTGCCTTAACCCCTGGAAGGGAGATATCCCGGGGTGCTTCTCCCACAATCAGAGAGGTCCATCCTACAAAAGCAGGACCCAAGGAGGAGTTTCTTATGGGGTTTCTGGTGGCAGTGGAAGGTTCTTGTCGTGAAGCCTACAGAGGGTTTGGCTCTCATACAATTTGTGTCGCCATGGGTAATTCTACATATGTAATTCTACATATGCGCACCCATGCATTTTTATTTATTGTGATGTATCAAGTCTCCAGGCTCCAGCAAGCAACTTTCTCTCTGAAAAGTCTAACAAAATCTCTTTCTCTCTACCCTTACCTTGAAATAAGGCTTGTTAGAGAAAGTGATGTCCTTGGCAGTGAAGAGGTGGACGTAGGTGAGCACAGACTTGATCTGGTTGAGGATGGAGGCTGAGATGGTGCCCAGCAGCTCTGCCAGGTTGGGGCTGTCCTTCCCCATGAGCCGAGGAGCGGCCAAGGACTGGCGCACGTCTGTCAAGCAGTCCAGGTAGAAGCTCTGCAGGGCCTGTAGGTACTGGCGGATGCGCTCCTTGGCTGCCCGCACCACAATTTCTGTGCCCTCCGCCGCTGACCGTGAGGCGGGCAAGAGCTTGACCAAAGCCTGCAAGCGGCGGTGGAAGCGGTCCAGGGCCCGCACCAGCAGGGAGTTATCGCCCACGCCCCGCTCCAGCTGGATGCGCCTCTCCACCAGGGCAAAGTAGCGCTCCATCAGGCCGTCCACAAAGGCCACCAGCTTGTCATGGGCCATGCTGGCAATCTCACGGGCCCCCTCCCGGCTGACAAACAGCTCTTGGTATGAGGCAATCACCAGGCACATGTTGCTGACAAAGTTGTTGCAGCCACGGTCGGTGAACTCCAGGATGTCGGTGGCCGGGGTGGCCAGCTGCCCCTCGCCCAGCTCCGCCTCCAGGGCTCGCAGCTCAGCTTCCAGGCGGCAGCAGGCATGAGAGAGGAACTCGTCGCACAGCTCCTCGGCGGGCTCACCCAGCTGCAGCAGCAGCTCCACACACTCCGCTAAGTTCTTGGCGCAAGAGCCCCCATCCCTGAGGAGGCAGGAGGGAAGGCTCTGAGGGCTAAGCTGCAGATTTTAAACTGGCTCCTGCTCTTAAGTGACATTTTCATTCCACCCTTCCTCCCAAGAGTCCTGGGCAACACAGAAGATTTCCCCCCAGAAATTTCATAAATGCAGAACGATCCTACAAGGCTGAGAGATAGTGAGGGGGGCCAGTATGCCCAGCATGCTTCAGGGCTGCATTGAGCAGGGTGGTGGTGTACTGAACCCCAGCTCCTCATTAGGCACTCCAACTATGGCACCACATTGGCTCCCTGCAGCCATGCTCTTCCCCCCAGGGAACTGTAGGGCTCTGGGGAATCCTTTCCAACCTCAGGATTCCTCGAAAGGAAACCATGTCAGTTAAGCTAATCTAAATATGCACAGCAGAATCACAGAGCAGCCACCATTCTTTGCCGAGTCTTCTGGCTCACAGCCTCTACTGCTTCAGTCCCCAAGACCTCCCCAAACACAGCCCCATTTGTAGCAAACAGTCAAGTGCAACAGCTCCCCTGATGTCTTCTGTTGCCTACCTGAATTTCTCACGCAGCTTCTGAGCGAGGTCAGCCATGATCTTCTGGCAGTCATCCTGGATGCCCCGGAAGGAAGGCATATGTTGGTACTGGTGGAGGATGGAGCGGGCCTTGCTGTAGTATCGCACAGCCTGCCCATAGGCCTCCATCTCCACACATTTGGTCAGGCGGGCCGGCAGCTCAAACAGGAACTGCAGCTTGCGTAGGAGCGCGTGAACACCTGGGGTCAAGAGAGAGGGAGGAAGTCAGAGCAGGGCAGGCAAGCTGCTTTGCAGCCCCAAACCCCAACTGGTGCCACCCCACCTTCCAGCACTCAACAAGCTCCTCCTGGAGATGCCGGGGATTTAACAGGTAGCCTCCGACATGCAAAGTGGATGTTCTGCCACTGAACTGGTGCCCCCTCCCCATCAGCTCCGACGGGCTCCTGACACCCTTGTCGCACACTAGCAGCAATCAGAGAAGTGGTATCGCACCGGATAGTTTGGTGATCTGCTCATGTTGATCCTGCAAGGTGCTGCTGATGCTCGCACTGAACTCCGTGATGACGGCCATGTTTGCTGCCAAGCAGTCCATCTCATCCTCCATCTTCTTGAAATCATTCTTCATCTTACGGATTGTGTCTGAAGAATGGAACGTGAGAATGTTAGGAAGAGTCTGCTTCAAAAGCATTTTCTTCCATTGGCACTAACAGAAGCTGTCTGTTTAAGCTGATTGGCTGCGCAGAGGGTGGGGCTGAGATGGGGAGGAAGCTGAGGGCTGAGTGGGGAAGTTCTGTGGGTTGCAGGTTTCCCACACCTGATCTAAATAATAATAAACTGGAAGAGGGAGGTGAACCACAAATATAACTTTTCCAGGACCTTCCCCCCCCAAGCCTTCCAGTTACCTGTTGCCGAGATGAATTTGTTGTAATTTTCATAGACTAGAGTCTGCATGTCACTGTCCAAGGATCGGATCTGCTTCACCATGTCTGTCTCGCAGTCCATCAGCTGGGCCAGGGGGCATTCTTTTCGCAGCTGTCACACACAACAGAGATGGGTGCTGTCAGCAGCAAACTGAACTTGGCCAATGCTCCTCTGGCTATCCTTGTGAACACTCCTCCGCCCCCCGCCCCCGTTTAATCATTGAGCCCTTGCTTTGTGTACAGAAGGCCTTAGGTTCAAAAGGATCACTGGCTGCAGGGCTAAGATCTGGGCTAAACAGAGCAAGAGTCTGACTTCTGGATAAGGCAGGTCAATAGGTGACTGAGCTGCTGCAAGTGAAATGCAACACACTACCGTTATGCATGCTTGTTTGGGTTATTCATTTTTTAAAAAGAAGATTATTATTTTTTTTACTCCCCAATATTGCAGTTGGTGAGACAGAGGCTGAGGGAGTGGCTTGCCAACACCAAGGAACACATAATAATAAATAATAATAAACTTTTTATTTATACCCTGCCCTTCCCGGTTCAAAAACCGGGCTCATAGTGAATTCAGGGTGGAAGTGAGAGCCAAAACAGGGGAGGATAAGCCTATCAGCCCAGAACCTGCTTGGGGGCTTCCCTTTGGTTGGCCACTGTGAGAATAGGACTAGATGGGCCAGTGGCCTTATGCTCTCCTTATCCTCTTATGGATTTGCTGATTCATAGCTTAGTCTCTTTACCACAGCACAACACCAGGTCTGGCATCCTTTGGAGATGGCACTCTGCAGATTACCAGAGGCACTCTGTTCTCAGGTCCAATGCTTCAGTAATAGCAGACTGCCTTCTTCACCATGAGGAACCCTGCGATCTTTTGCGCGGAGTGAAATCTGGATCTGTGAACATGCTAACCCTTCGAGGGAAAAGGCACTCTGCTCATGCCCAGAGACACTCAGCTCAAGGTGCTCAGCATTTTGGGAAAGCAAAGCAGCATTTCCCGGAACAAGTGAGTTTTGGGACGGGCCAGCTCGAGACGGGACGGTGGAGCCAGCCCAGGGAGGGTTGCCATGGAGACAACATGGGTGTTGCTAGGCGCGGAGAGTGTATCTGCCCGTCCGTGCCCCCCCTCACCTTGGTGAGGAAGACTTCCGGGTCGAAGTGGGGGCCGTTGATGTCGGTGGGGCCCCCGAGATCCCCCCTGGCCGGTCCCGCCAAGGCCTCCCCAGACGGGTCCGGCAGCCCGTAGTAGAGCTTCAGCATCCCGTGCGGCCTCCGCTTGCCGCCCGCGCCCTCGGGGCCCCGCTCCGCCTGAGGCGCCGACATGACCCGCTGCGTATGAGTGCGTGTTTGGCCGTGGAGTGGGGGTTGGGGGGAGGATGGGGAGACCGGAGAGGGGAGGGCGGCACCGGTCAACGGCAACAACTTCCACTTCCGGGAACAATAAAGTTTTGTTGCGACCGGGCCCAGGGAAGGGCTTCCCGTCTCTATGGAGACCGGACGCTCAATAAAGTTTTGTTGAAGCACTTCCGCTTCCGGCTCTTCCTCCAGCTGGTGCAGCTGCTTAAAGGAAAAAGCAATCCTGCCGCTGCCTGACGACGTTGTCAGCGCTCGGCGGCTTCCCGAGCCGGCCCGTGGAAAAGAGGAAAGAGCCTTCCCCCCCAAAAAACCCCCACACCCCCTGAGGCACACAGGGAGCGCCCAGCCTAGCAGCACAGGGACAACCCCTTGAAAACGCTTCTCTCGCCCCCCGGGAGGCCCCCCTCCACTGAACAAGACTCAGAAGGGGGGACTGGCAGGGTCTCGGGGTCCCCCCCCTTAAGGAGCATACTCTTCACTCTCCCCCAAGGGAACTAACCTCCCCCAGGGCACTGAGGCAGGTACATTGAAGTCAGATCTCGGCTTCTGTGCATGGAGGGAGGGGAAGAGGAGGTGCTGCCTGGTCACAAAAGGGCTAGGGGTCAGGCTGCCCTAGTGCCAGAGACCCACCCCGCATTGTATAATCTGGAGGATGGTTCTGCCCGTCTTCTGGAAAGTGAGGCTTGAGGAAAGCAGCCTGGCATGCTGAGAGTTTGCTGGGGTCGAGGATTCCAGCTTCCTGGGACTTTGCAAGGTTGCCCACCCCCTCTTCCTTATTCTTCATCAACTTGGCTTTCCAAAGGGACCTTGCTGCACCCCAGCACTCTCTTGCCCGTGGCTGCCTTTTCCCAGGCCAAGAGTTCTGGAACCTCTGGGTCTCTATGACTTCAGCAGGCCAGGATCTGCATCTGTCAGAGGCTGGGCTGTCTGAATGTGCTTTGCCTTCCTCAGGGTTCTAAATCAATGAAGCAGCCAACTGCAGAGGGGCATAGAGAGGATGAGCTGGAAGGATCCATTCATAACTATCACCTTCCCAAGCAAAGTCATCTACACCATTGGCTCTATCCTTATGCTCATCATTCACACAGGTGTTCTCATTGGTGACCTGTATCACTTCTTCGTCTCCCAAAGGGGGGACCTCATGAGCTTCCATTTTACCGTAGTGCTATTGGTAAAAAGCTCTATCTCTCTCCCTGTCTCTCTCTCACACATTTCCTCTATTTTGCAGGCAGTCATTTCAAAGAGGCTTACACAAGAAAAACTCCCTGGTGGTGCTTGCGACTGTAGAAAATGGATGAGTTCTGGTGCATAAGTACCAAACCCATCAAGATGGACATTGACACACTGTCTGTTCATAAATAATTGGCATTAATTTGTGTTTTCAAATCTCAAAAGTCACTGTTTATCAAAAAGGTTGTTGTAGAGGTGGAGTAAAGGTAAAGGGACCCCTGACCATTAGGTCCAGTCGTGACCGACTCTGGGGTTGCGGCGCTCATCTCGCTTTATTGGCCGAGGGAGCTGGTGTACAGCTTCTGGGCCATGTGGCCAGCATGACTAAGCAGCTTCTGGCGAACCAAAGCAGCGCACGGAAACGCCGTTTACCTTCCCGCCGGAGCGGTACCTATTTATATACTTGCACTTTGACGTGCTTTCGAACTGCTAGTTGGCAAGAGCAGGGACTGAGCAACAGGAGCTCACCCTGTCACGGGGATTCGAACCGCCGACCTTCTGATTGGCAAGTCCTAGGCTCTGTGGTTTAACCCACAGTGCCACCCGCATCCCAGGGTAGAGGTGGAGTAGGGCAACTTAAATGATCAAGGGCATGCAGCACCTCCCCTAGAATGAAAGGTCACTACGCTTGAGTCTTTTTAGTTTAGGTTTAAAAGCACTGAAGAGGGACATGATAGAGGTGTGTCAAATTGTACATGATGTAGAGAAAGTGGACAGTGGAGTTTCTCTCTCCTGCAATACAAGAACCCAGTGGGATCATCCAGTGAAGACTGAATATGAGAAGCCCAGGAGCTCAGGGTGGTACCCACACTTCTCCTTCTTGCCATTTAACCCCCATAACAACCTTGTGAGGTAGATTAGACTGAGAGGAAGTGACTGGCTTGAACCCTGGCCTCCAGGGTTCTAGTCCAGCACTCTAGCCAGTACACCACACTGGCTCTCATGTTACGGGTGAATGAGAGAATTAACTACCGTAAGATGTAGGTGATGGCACACACCTGGACAGTTTTAAAAGGGGACAAGACAAATTCGAGGAGGATAAGATGGTCAGTTAGAAGTGATAGCACTTCAGTTGTAGACTGCTCTGCCAAAACAGACAAGCTCCTTTGTCATATTTCCAGCAGCATCAACTCTTTCTTTCAAAAATTAAATCCTGAAAACTGTTTTAAAATATTCTTAGTGTTACTTGAGTTTGAGGTTGATGTTTTTAATTCTGTTGGTGGCATTTTGTTACTCTTCATTATATATTCTTGCCTTTACTATTTATATCTTAAATGTTTCTATTGTTTTTGGGCAGTCTATAAAAATAGTGCTAAGAAAATAAATACATAAAATATTGCCAGTCACCCACTGTAGGTCTCGCCCTTCCTTCTACCTGTCTCTGTTTCAAACATCCTGACTTGGTGGTCATGGGTGCACTTAATTTTATGCACTGCTGAATCTGCATTCAGCATTGCAAATAGAAAACCAGGAAGGTTAACCTTGACTCTAAATTAATGAAAAAAATTCTTGAATATGACCAGCGTGCTGAGACTCACTCCAGATTAAATGGATGTGGAGAGATTTGGGGTATGTGGTCTAGGATTCTAAGCTAACTTTTCCACAAATGTAGTGGGGGTTTGCAATAAGCATCTATAAAAGTGTCCCATTTGCCCCCTTCCATCTTAATCCCCCAGAGAGAAGCGCATCAGAGTATAGAGATGATTCCCCTCTCCCACTTTTCCATCATTGAAGACAAATCACTTCTGCTCCTTCTGTTTGGTTTCTGCAGTCCTCACATACAACCAGCTTCTACTGGGCACTGCTGGCAGCGATCTACACTTTACAAGCAGACGACGATGTGCTGATGTACATTGCCATGACATCTTTCGGTAAGGCAAGTTGGGGAACTAGAGGGATGGGGACCCACCACATATTCTGGGGCTCCCTTCAAGCCCAGTGATGTGAGCTTTCTGGGAAAGATTGAATTGGAATCTTTTGTGCAAATTAGGGCAATTTCCATAGAGCAGGGTTTTTATTATTATTTTGCCATCATAATGTTTTATGAGGCTATAAAAAGTGATCTAACTTAGCAGGTTTATTTTGCTTTTATTTAGTAAACAAAGCAAAAAACACTAAAATCGTCCACGGGTGCTTAATACTTACTGGCATCTGTTGATTTCTACTAATAAGCTCATGAGACAGAGCTCATAGAAAAATGCACACTGGAAAACCTGCCCCAGCTCTAGCCACTGAACCAGGACAAAAGGAATCCACTCACAGTGTCCCCATCTCCAAGTCAGAAGAGCCACCTCCAAAAGAACCAAACCCTGAGAGGAGGAGGAATGTGGCTAGAGCTGAGAGGGATGGGTCTTCAGCTGGGGTTATCAGTGGTGGAAAGAGGTGGGCCCAGTTAGGAATGTCACATTTGCTGCAAAGGAGAAGGTGCCGCCTCATGTCGCACCAGAAGCCAACTCTGGCCCTGGGGTAGCAAGGTTTTCCCTGATGCTTCCCAGACATAAGGCCCAGTCCTCTAGCCCAAACACCCTACTGAATGGCTCAACTTCTGTGAGGGCTTCCCCTGACCTCCCAGGCTGCTGCCAGCCATTCTACATTTTGTCATACCCAGAAACGCATAAACTTGCTTGCTTCAAAGCAGTGGGTCCCTCCCACCCCCATTGTGTGTTGGAGAAGTGGAGTCACTTTTTTCCATCAGCGCTTTCAGCTCTCCTGCCACAACGTACTTTTCCGCATGATGTTAACGGTTTGTGAATGAGTCTCCTCTGCCAAAGCAGCGAAGAGACTGGAAGCTTCTGCTTTTGCTTTGAAATGTAGGATCAAAGCCATGGTTTATGGTGCTGCCACTATCAAGTTGTTGGTTTGTGGTCCTGGCTTATTAACACACCAGAGGAAGGGCTTCAGCTCAGTGTCAGGGCACCTGCCTCACATGCAGAAGGTTACAGGTTCAGTCCTCGGAAGCATCTCTGTGTAGGGCTGGGAAAGTCCCTCATCTGAAACCCTGGAGAGCTATTACAAATCAGTGGATTGGGGACAGTACTCAGCTGGCTGGATCAATGGCCTAACTCTGTATGAGGCAGCTTCTCAGGTTACAGTCTAAGCTAACCAGATTTCTGCCAAACTGAGAAGCAGCAAGGAATTCTAAATAGTTTGAAAGTGGGTACTTCAAATTTCCTCATGGGAGCCATGCCAGCGGAGGGAAAGGGGAAATATGCAAGCCCATGGCTTATTACCATAGAGCTAAACCATGGTTTAGCGCTACATTCCCAATGGGCCTGCATGTCTGTAGCACACAAGGAACTGTGAAAGAACTCATCGGCCTAGGTTGTGTGGAGGATGTCAGACTTCAGATGTCCATCTTTCAATTGGGAAAAAGCAGTGTTTGTACTGAAATGATTACTGATGCCTTCCTCTCCTTTCTGCCCAGCCCTGAACTTTGCCGCCTTCCTTGCCCGCTTCAGCATGGAGTATGCCACCATTGATTACAGAGAGGAACAGTACTAAGCAGCGATTCTCAAAAGGGGGGGGGGGGCATTCCCCAGGTTTGTTCCAGTTTGCCTCCAAGGAAGAAGGGAGGGAGCAAATACAGTTTCGGGTTAACCAAGAGAGTTTAATGGAACACCAACAAACAAACAGGTCTATTGCTTCAGGTGTAATAAAGTCTTGTATTTTCACCAAGAGAGAATTGAGGTGGTCAGTGAGCCACACAGTCACGTTGCTGGGGCAATGCCAGTCAGACACCTCCAAATAACCTTTCCTTGCTGCAAGGGATCATGGGAAGGCTTGTGTGCCCCACTCCCTTTCCAAACTGCTATGAATGGGGCCAGCACCTCTCAGTTGAAGAGCAGGGTCTGAGGATCACCCAGCTGCTACCAGCCTTGCAGCATGAGATCTGGGGGGTGGATGAGCAGAGAGAGATGGTGCTTGGGATTGCAAGGCCAACTCAGTCCTTTATATAATGGTACACAGGCATCACATCTGCCACAGTAAACTTAACATGGAACCCACGATCCCAGCCACTGCACTGTTAAAGCAGGAAAAACAAACCCCACTTGTGCTGCCAGCTTTCAGTTAGATTTCTGCTATTTCAGCGTTCTGCTGAGCTGACAATGAGCCATTTATCCATGTCTCCATTACTGCCAGAGTATTGTGGTAAGGGGGATTCTGCTCCCTCCTCCCTAGTGTTCTCCCCAGCTGCAAACGCCCTGTTGAGAGGTGCACACTTGGCAGGGCAAAGATGGGCTGTGCAAGAAGCAGGCACCTGCTCCTTGGGGCTACAGCTGTGCTAAGGAAAGCTATTGGGGATGGTGCAGACCCTTGTGCTGGAAAAACAACTGCCTTAGGTAAAGTGCTTGGGCCCCCACGCAGCAGCCCTGCCAGGACCAAAAGGAGATCCAAGTAGGGCTTCCCTATGTTCATGGAATTCAGGTAGCCCACAGCAAAGGACCGAGGCGGGTCTGAAGCAGCAGAAGCCTATTACTAAAACCCCCTCCCACCCCAAATTGGGCAAAGGGAGGAAACTCCTCCCCACCCCCACTTGGTCCCACTCTTTTACCAACACTGTTACAGAGCACTGGGAGGGAGCAGGGGTGCGTGGGGAGTGCTTGGTTTCCATAGTTCCTTTATGAACATCAAAGCTGAGAAAAACAAAAGAGAGTATCTCAGCTGCTAGTAAAAGCTGAGCGAAGAGGTTGGGCTTTTCACTTCGGTAAAAAGAAAGCCAATGAAACTTTGGGGGTTGGTGTGTGTGTGTGTGTGTGACGGGGGGGGGAGCGAGAGAGCTCCTCTGCTGACTCAGCAGCTGTCATTTCACATCAGTGAACGGAGGAAGACTGGGGGTACTCCATTGAGTGGTAGTCAGAAAAAGTAGATGCAGACCACTGAACTGTTATTCCTCTCTGTAGTGTCATGGGGAGAGGCCCAGGAAAAGCGAGCCTCTCCCGCCTGTGACCATCCCGGCATTTGGATGCAGCAGGAAAGGGGTGGGGTGCTCTCTGGGGCCCCCCAAAAATGCAAAAAGAGTTCCCAGCTCCAGCTTGAGTTTGCAGAAGACAGAAGGAAGAGGGCGACTCCATCACCAGAGTCTCTTTGTCCAAGCTGTCAGGAGTGGCCGTGGTCACCTGCTTCTTCCTGGGAGGGGCTGAGATCGCAACCAAAGAGCTATTCTAGGACTCTCCTCAGTCCAACTTTCTCCAGCAGCGGGCAGGGGAGCCCAGAACAGAGAAGGGAGCCCAGCAGGGAAGAGGCTGCCCCCCCCACTCACTCCTGCCCAACCCGGATGTGTGGGTTGAACTTGGGGTCCAAGTTGGGGTCGTGGTCGGCAGAGGCCCGTCCCACCTTCATCATGATGATGACAAGGGTGAGGAAACCAATTCCACCAATTAGGAGGAGGATGACGAACCTCTGCATCATGGAGCGGGGCTGCTTCCTAGAGCTGAAGCGGTTCCTGACAGCAAGAGGAAGGAGAGAAAGTGTTAGCAAGAGCTCCTTCCAAGCAGGGAAGAGGCGAAATCCAAACTGGTGAACTGTGAGCTCCTTCTAGACATTAGCTGAGCTGCTGTGAGGACACAGCTGAGGAAGAAAGCCTTAGGGACAGTATAGTAAGGAACAAGGCATTTTCTGAAAGGAGTTCCTTAATAAGTAGGCTAAAGAAGTAAGTGCCTGCTTTCAGTGGCACAATCCAAGGTGGGGGGAAAGCAATTGGAAGGTTGAACATATTTCGATTTAAACATTTTATAAGCTCAAATAAAAAGGTAAAGGAGGGAAGCTTGGAAAGTTTGGGGCGAGAGACAGACCTTGTGCCTCCCAGCCTGCTAGGTGGATTTCAGCCCTCTCCACTTTACAAGGAGGAGTCAATTCAGAACAGGGATGATGAGACAGAGAGAAATATTTGGAATCAAGGCTAAACAGAGCTCAGTCTATGAGGCTCAATTTGGCTTCCTGCACAACATCATAGCCCAAATGATGTGTTTGAAAATGTGAAGGCAGTACTTCTCTGAAGGTAGAAACAAACAAAAAGAGGAGTGTGTATGTGCCCACATTTGCATACACACCACAGCCCAGCTTCCTGCCCCTCCCTACTGGGACTTAGGCTTCCCGGCCTTCCTTCAGTATAAGCCCAGACTCTTCCTGTATCTGGGGTCTCTACCATTCTCATGCCAGCCTGTATAGAAGCCTTCCACATTCCACATCAGCCCCATGGGAACAGGAGGCCCCCGTGTCTCTGGCCAGCCCCACTCTGAATGGCTGCAGCTTCTTCCAAACTTACTTGAGCAGCTGGGCAAGCCAGCCAAGCGCTGGCCGCCGCCGATACTTGTCTTCGTCAAAGTCCACGTGAGCCTCGGAAGCCCTGCTGCCCCCGCCTTCCCGGGTGTCATACACTTTCCGTGGCGAGGAGGCTGCCAGAAAAGGAGCGGATAACAGCATAGAGAAAATGGGTTGGAAAAGGCCACCCACCCCCACGAAAAAGGCCTAACCCACTTTACAAACCCTGATATGCCATGGACCTCCTGCATGCCAGGCATGGGCATCGCTCTCCTCCTTGTTGCTTGTGTTGCCCTCCATGCCAGAAAACAGTTTGGCTCCAACTTGCCACTTGCCTGGGGACTGCAGAACTGAAGAGCAGCACCCTCTGGCTCCTGCCACTGATCAAGGGGCGCTACTGGGGTGAGGTTGCCCTCCTGACTCCCAAGGAGACAAGGAGAAGCTCAACAAAAGAGCAGCAGCAGGGAGACCCCTGAAGAAGGCGGGTGTGTATCCAACTATGTGTGGTCTGTTCTGTACAAAGTTCTTCCTTTTGTCCATCTTAAATATCTGCCCACCAACTGGCAGCATCAGTAGGATGGGAGAACTCTCCTTTCCCTGCTTCCCACAATCCAATTTGCCCCATTTGCCAATTTCATTTCATTTGCCAGCTTCACATCTGAGAGGAATGGGCCACAAGCAGCAAGGCAGAAAGCAAAAAGGCATGAGGTCCCATTCTCTTCCTCAGCCCACGTTCCATCATGGGGGAGATAGTATTGTCCCCCCCCCCCAGGCACCCTTCCCTGGATGAAAGGCCCCCCACCTGTGTGCCTACCTGCGTTAATGGTGACGGGGTCATTGGACAAAGCATTCATGCTGATGACCGTGTGCTGATGCTCCTGCACTGCCCCGTTGTTCATGCTTTGCTGTTGTTGGGAGGAGGGGAAGCTTGCGCTTGGACTGTAAGAGAAGGCCGAATGGGGGCTCTGCTGCACAGCCTCCTCTGAGTTGAGGACTGGATATGGGGCGAGAAAGAGAGGAGAGGTCACTGAGGCAAGGCTTGGTTCATGCGCTTGAGACACTTCTTCACAAGTTTAGGCCAGAGACCCAGGGTCACCAGGGCCACGCCCCTTCCCTCAAGGGGCAAGGTCTTCAGTGTGAGGCCATGGCAATTCCTTTCCACCAAATACAGAGATTCTGGCTGCTATGAGGGTAACCCCCCTCCCCAACTTTCCTGTTTGCAGTGCTCATGGGAGAGAGGGGTAGGAAATCTCCCAATGGGAATGGAATTGCGAAATGCAGCCCCCTCCCCAGTTAGTTCCTAAACACAGTTGTCTCCCTGAGTGGGGCACCTTGAATGCTCTGCGCTCACAAAGCCTCCAGAGAAAAGGAGTTGTGTTATCATGCCAGGAGACCCTGCCAGAGGGGGTGAGAGGGGTGGGACCAGCAGCCAAGAGACAGAACAGCTGTCATGGTGCCTGGCTCCTCCTACTCTGGCAATACTCACCGGTGAAGCTGGACCAATCTGTGTAGTCTGCGGTGTCGTGAGGCTCCGCTTCCTGGACTGTCTCCATTTCATCAATCTGAGCAGAATGAAAGCAAAAGTCAGATGTAAGGCTAATTAGGAAAATCCACAGCAGGCAGAAGAAACACGCAGGTGGGTGCAGAAAGTCCTCTGGCCCTGGAATCTGTGCCTTCAGTGCAGCAGGCCTGGCTAAGGTTCATCTTCCAGCTTGCAGAGATGCCCTGAAGCTGACCCTTCACTTCCATGGATACGTCTGTCTGTCCAAGGATACAAACACCCTGGATTTACCCAAGTGGGAACCGTTTGCACATGCTGAAACACAGAACTGGATCCCTAGTCCAGTCCCCGAGAGGGGAAAGGAAAAAGGGAACTGCCATCTGGGAATCTGCTTGATGAGGAGCCCACTGCAGATTCCCCCTCCCCATCAAGGGTGTTTTGCTGACTAGTGCATCACTTTCTTTCCTCCTCACAAGACAAACCCAGAAGCTAAAAACAGCAAGAACTTCTCTACCTGGCAGCAGGCTCTAGGCAAATCATAGCTATGCTCTATTGGCCTCGGTGACAGATACTGGACCAGATGGGCCACTGTCCTGATCCAACCCAGCTTTTCTTATGCTTCCAATTAGCCCTCCTTAGAATAAAGCAAAAACCAAAAATGCTGGAATTGCCTCTTACCAGCGGGAGCCCAAGGCCAGCCCGAGCCCAATTCACCATCGACAGCTTCTCTCGCAGTACTGATGCTACTGGACTGACAAGGTTGGCTGGTGGAAAGACGGGGCCCTGACAGTTGGGACACTGGTAGCCGGCTGGGGCAGTATTCTTCGGCAGCTGGTTGGCCATCTCGTTGAGGCAAGACCAGTGAAAGAGATCTACAGGAATGGGGATGGGGGATCTGTTAGGGCAAACCTTCACATGGGGACAGATAGGGCAGAACCACACCATACAGCAAAAGCATATCCAAAGCACGTGACTTCCCACAAAGAATACTGAGAACTGTAGTTTCCCCCTCCCAGTAGCCTTAACCAACTACAGGTTTCTGGCAGACTTGGAGTAGGATGCATCTCCCACAAACACCCCACCCTCTTTCCACAATCAACATTTTCCTGCCTCTCTATTTGCATGAAGCCAACTTTAAAGTTGCTGCAGTGGCATTTCAAGGTCCAGGGAAAGGGGGCATTTTCTGGATGGCCTCAGGAAGACGATTTGCTAGGTTTAGCAGAGTTACTGCTTGCAGAGCCTAGACCTAGCTTCATGGATGGATGTCACACCTGAGAGCATAGAGAACTTTTACTGACCATAGCAGACCAGCCGGACTGTCTCTTTAGTGGAGAGAAGTGTATTGCACAGCCGACAGTTGGGATTGTAATCACTGTCCTGAAGCCACTGCAGGTATGACTGGACAATGCACTAGAAGAAGAAAAAGAGAGGCAAATGCTTGGCAAGAGGGAATTAGGCTCAGGATATGTGTGGTTGCACCAGAGTTTTAGGATATTGGTAACAATGATAACGATAACAATAACAAAGATTTCTAAAGATGCTCAGGTCTAGTAAGATCCCCAAAGGAAAACACAGCCTACTTTTGTGTGTCTGAGAGGTCTGAACTTGGTGCAGAGTAGGTGTTACTAAGAGGGTGCTTAGGAAATTGTCGAACTGAAGGAAGGAGACAGTCACATAACTGAATCAGAACCAACCCTATTTCTTTATTATGTACAGGTAAATCACATATGGTGATATCATTTGTACAACTGCAGCTTTACACAGATTGACAAAAAGTTAAAAAAATAAAAGGGGGCAGGAGAGCTGGGGAAAAACCTCGGAACGACTGACTGAGATCATATGGACTGGCTCTTTTGGCCCTAGTAGCTGTTGATACAGAGGTGGTTCTATGTTCTTCCCTCTACCAACTTTCCAAGCTCCAGTAAAAAAAGCCAATGAAGTCTGATGATAAGGGCAACAAAAAGTCACCCTTCTGCATCAAATGTTTGAACAGCATAGAAATCAATGCCCAGGAGGCACTTCATCACACTTCTGAAAAGGTAGCATAGAGCAACAATTGAGGGAAGGGGAGATGGTGCCGTGGCCCTCGAGCTACAACTCCCACCATCCCCGTGTGCCCCTGGTGCATAGGTGTCAACGTACAGATTTGAAAATAAGGGACCAGCAGCCTTGAAAATAAAGGATCAGCAGCCAAAATAAGAGATTTTAGTCAACCAGCTGAAATACAAAGTTAAAAGGGACCTGATAATTTTGGAGAGCAGCACCGGTTTTTAGCCCTTCGTTTCCAGAGGTTGCTGCTCAAGACACCAGCTGATGAAACACTGCAATTAAATAACTACAAGCAGCAACCACTTTTCGCGCAAAACGAAGTCCAAGCTACAAAGATGGTGCTGCAGTTCTGTATCTTTTCTCTCATGCTCCATCTGTAGTTCTCAGTTCCATCAGGCGGGGCGGGAGGATTGGGGGGGAATAGTGCCCAAAGTAAACCCAGATCAGAGTATCTATGCTAATCTACCACTACAAATCTATGGGAGAAGCGCTTGCGGTCCTTCCTCCGCTTTCCTCCTCTATGGTTAGCCCTTGGAACACCTGCCCGCGCCTCCGCCTCCTCTCTCTGAACCGCTTTCTCTATGATTGCCCTCGCTCTCCTCTCAAGGCTCCTCAGTCCTGGCGCGGAGGGGCTCCCGGGGGCCGAGGCTGGTGAGAGGAGGCCGGAGGGGGGCAGGCCAGGCAGCCAAGCAACACAGTTGGAGCCTCCCTCCTCCCTGGCCGGCAGGGAGGGAGGGAGGGAGGGAGGGAGAGGAGCTGCGTCCTTTGAAACCTGGGAAATTTAAGGGACATCATCAGTAAGGGACAGCAGCTGGACACGGCGCTGGGATAAGGGAGTTTCCCGCCAAATAAGGGACAATTGACAGCTATGCCCTGGTGGGAGTTATAGCCCAAAATCTTGAATGATGCAGGTTCCTCTCACACCCCATCACAAAGGCAAATACTTTTCAACATTCTGCTTTCGTGTTTCTAACAAGAGCAGGAAAAGGGAGAAAGATGAGAACCTAAAATCCCCATTTCCCCCTTTTCCAAGGTTACATTGCCTCCTGGCAAAAGGTAACTCTCTAGCCCAGTCTCAACCCTGCACCCTTAATCCAGTGGCCCCATTTACCTTAGCATGATTAGCAACAATGCAGTTCTCACAGACGTTCACCCGGTGCTCAAAACAGAACAGATTGGTGACTTTCCTCTTGGGGCATTTACAAAGCCCCATGATGGCAAATACAGTGCCAACTCAGGACCAAAGAAAGCTAGGCAAGGAAAGAAAGAAAGAGGGATTACTGCCTTGCCTGGATGAAGGCTTTCCAACCCAACCTAGATACCAGATTAGCAAAACACAATCTCCACCCAAGTCTTCATCATTAGCTCCAATTCCTGCACGTTCCTCAATAGCAGAGTCCAGAATCTACACTGCCCTCATCTGAATGCTCCCACAACATTTGCACTCTCCCCTCCATCTCCCACCCCAAAACACAGCAGGTAACACTGAGGAGCATGGCGCTGCAAAAGCAGAGAAAGCTAGACCTGTTGATTTTCCTGATCTTTCAGGCAACTGTTACTGCTCTATGGAGGAGCTATACCAGAATCAGCCCACGGAGAGAGCAATACTCTGCCCACACAAATACAGTACTGTACTACCCAAGTTAGTCCCAGGCGCACTGGAGATATCTCTACGAAAGCACCCTCAAGATTGGGATGTTTAAAAATCACAGCAGCTTTTCTCTCCCCCCACCCACATGCCAATCGTCATCTCTTCCAACCAAGCATCCCAGCCGCCGCCCCGCCCGGATCCAGCGACGCTCACGCCCCGCGAAGAACCCAGGAGCAGTGATCGCCCCACTGCCGCTCCTCTTTCAGAAGGGGATCCGGGCGCCCTGCTCTGCAGCCCCGCCCTGCCAGGAACCCAGGAGTCCTGCCCTGCACCAGGAAAGGAACCCAGGCGTCCGAGTGACGCGATCCCTCGGCGCCCTAGCCCTTATTTACCGGCCCCGCGCGACGGTCCGCCGATACTCACGGATTCCCCTCACAGATTCCGGGGAAGAGGCGTGGCCATGACGGAAAGGAAGGCGGAGGAGGAGGGAGGGGGGACGACGATGCCTTCGCCAGTTGGCCCTGTTGCCACGTCTCTTCCGGGGAGGACGCGCTCTGATGGCATCATCCCCAGCGTCACGCGAGCGGCGCTAACCTCGCGAGAGCGTCGCGCGGGGCGGCTGCGGCGGCCTCTCCCAAGATGGCGCTAGAGCGGCGACTGGCTTCCCTTGCCGCGCCTCTTCCCTTACGCTACTTCCGCCGAAGCAGTGGCGGGCGAATTCAACGGCGAAGAGGATCTTGAAGGGAAGCCGCCCGCAGGCCGCAATGGCGGGAGGAGGCCGCGCAGGGCCCAGAAGGGCTCGCTCCGCTGGGGAGGCCCGGGCAGGTGAGCGGGGAGGGGTCACGTTACCAGAGGGCCGTTATCAGCAGGGGCGGTGGGGGGCAAAGAGAGGAAGAGGCGCCCATTTTGTGGGGGGCGGCAGTCGGTCAGGCCGTTTCCGTCTCTCCTTCAGCGCCCCTAGCCCCGCTCTTCCCTCCCTGTGGGGCGACCTTCAGGCCCCCTCGGCTGTGGGGTCCCGTTGGCTGGCGGCCTGGCTGCGCACGAAGGGGCCCCGCCTGGGATCCTGCCCCCAGGACGTGCGTCTGTCTTGCCCGAGCCCAGCCCGCCTGGGGTGGCCGCTGTTGGTGCGGCGGCGGGAACGAGCAACATCCAGAGCTGCCGCCCAGGGGGATCGCGGGAGATCTTGGCGGATCCCCCCGGGGTTCGCTCCTGCTGAGCGCCCCTCTCTCTCGGTCCCTTTCTCGCAGGTGCTGTTAATGCTGATGCTGCTTCTCCCTCGCGGCGGCGCCGGTCGGAGAGGATCGCGTCGCCCTCGGCTCAGCCCGTGTCGCAGGGGAAGCCGAGCCCGGTGGCGAGCAAAGTGCCAGGCGGCAAACTGGTGGGTGGAAACGTTTCTCCTGTTTTCCTGACTAGGCTGCGAGTAGGACAGGAAACGCCTCAGCCTGTGTGTTTTCCCTGGGTGCGCTCCTCCTGCTTGAACTTTGCTGCTGCTACTACCCGTGTGCTTTTTTGACAGCTGATGTGCCTAGGGAATTGTTAGCAAAAGGCTGGTGTTGGGGTTCTTTTGGACAGAAGGAGCATAACACTTTCTACTAAGGTTCTTTTTCAGCACTCACTCCAATTGTTACTTGTCTTCTCCACAGACATCTGGACCATTTGCAATGCGGCCGGTCACTGTGAAAAAGATCATGCCACGAAATCGGCAGGTACGTAGAGTTTCAGAGGCCTCGTGCCATTTTCCGCTAGTGCAGAGAGCCATCCATGGATTTTCTCTCCCCCCCACCGACCTTTAGCCTCTAACTTTTAGCCCCAGTTAAAGCCCAAACTGAAACGTAGTATCCCCTTCAGATTAATTTTTTGTACTTACATGCCACTCTAGGGTGACCAGATGCAAAGATAGTTAAATCAAGTTTTCTGTTTTGAAATTCACAAATTTCCTTAGTAGTTAACTGGTTGCTCTAAGAATTGGACTATAACTCAACATCTTTTGAAGAATTGTACTGAAAGAAGACATGCTGAAGCTTCTGATGGAGGTTGGAAAAGCTGCTACCACCAAAAAACTCCCTGCTGCTTGTAGTTGTGTGATACTCTGTCCTTCACACCTGCTCACCACTTCTTCTTTTCATCTACACTTTGCTCTTAAAGAACAAGTAAATCCAAATACTGGCAAAATGTTAATGCTATAGTGCATCTACCTTAATTTGAAGATCAGGAGGGGACATGCAGACCCTGGATCAGACCCTGAATGCAGTGTTGGTCTGGGCCAGTTAACTGAATCTGAATCCTGCCAAGAAAGATGCCCTGTGGAAGAATGGTTCCATGTCTAAGAAATAGTTCTGTTACCTGTTCTGGATGAGATTGCACTCCCTCTGAAGCAGGGAGGCAACCGCCTCAGGCGGCATGATCCACAGGAGCAGCAGTTCTGGCAGCAGAATGCATTTTCATTTGGGTTTTCTTTTCCTTTTTCCAAACCAGATAAAAGAAACAGCCTTAATTCCTCGTCGGAGTCCAAGGGTAAGTCTCAAGCATCAGGTTCTGTGATTAACAGAAAGGCCACGCCTTTCCATCAGGGCTGTGAACTTTAACTTGCCAATGTTGGAGCAGGGATGCTGTAAATGACAGACACACTTGTTCCTATTATAATTATTATTTTAAGCCTCTTTGATTCTGGTGTGTCGCTGCACAAGGAAATGAAAAAAGAGCTATTTAAAGATGATCCCAACCCGCAATGTGATGGGTTGTTAATTTACAAATGAATATGGATATATTTGATACCTGAAAGGCACATAACATTGTTACTTTGGCTATATGCAAATAGGCTTAACTTAATTTATTCCAAGACAGGTAGTTAATCATTTGGCATTCTTGCTGGAGTATTCTTTTCTTTTTCTTTTTTCTTTTTTTTAATATTAATTTTTATTGAATGATTTTATGTTAAAAAAAAATACAGCCATACTACCACTAAATATAATTAAGAAATAAAAATTACATACATCAATATTTAGTTTGTTATTTGTTATTTACCATCTTATTTCCTCCCAAACATTGCATACAAAAAGACTCATATAAAGTATTCTTTTCAGCATTATTCAGCATAGCGTGCTAAGTCTGCCACCTGCAGAAGCCTTTCCTATTGAAGGTTAAGCTTGCATCTTCTCTTACAGAATTCATTAAAAGAAGACAAGGAAAACATTCCTCTGAGAGCCATAGAGGTTGAAAACATTCCTCTGAGAACCACAGAGGTTGAAATTAATGCCAAGGTGGAACTGAAGCCTTCTCCCCTGCACAGCTCTTTGCATCCTGAGGCCGAGGCCTTACCGGCAGGCACTGACCTCCTGCCCCCAGTCAGTGCTGATGACGAGCAAGAACTGGCCAGGCCAAAAAGAGTACGCCGGTCTTACAGCCGCCTGGAGAACCCCTTAAGCCACAGTTTCCTGGGGAGGCGACAAGAGTCTCCCAGCTCCGGCCTGTCGGACACTTCCACACCTACCCATGGCCCAGTCAAGCGGCAAACACTTTTTGGCTTTGATAAGCTTCTGGTTCCAGGTGAGCTCGCCAACATCTCTCCTGTGAACACAGCTGTTCCCCAGAAGTCAACAGTGGCAGAACCTGGAGCCATCAATGAGAGAGACACAGACATCCCAGGTATCTCATTTGTCAGGGAAAAACGAAGGAAGAAGAAGATGCCACAATTTGATGTAAGTATAACATTTCAGATGGAGTGTGGGAAGCATGAAAGGGGGACATAGCATGGACATTAAAGTCTGCACCAACTGGGCCCCTGGGGCTCCACTGCTGAAAAGAAAAGAGTCGCCTAACATCACTGCAATGTCAAGTGATTGACATGTGGGGGTCCCCACTCATCTGTCAAATTGGGCTTCCCAGGGATTGGAGAGATAAAGATCTGGCCTTGTGGCTGAAAAATATTTCCCTACACCTGTGATAAGTGTAACATGGTCTTGTTGTAAGGCTCTCCACTAGATAATACACAGGAAGCCTTATTGAGCACTTTAAAGTGCTATATCTAGTTATTTGCTATTGAAGTTGCACCATGGAGGGCTAGAAATGGCCACGCCCTGACAATCCTGGAAGCAATGTTAGAAACTCAGATATATAAGCTAATCACTAAATGGCACCTTAAATCTAGGTTATAGTCACCACAGTGACTATAGGCATCTTTGCCTCCCACCCCAGTGAAATTTGTTATTATTCATTTCTATACTGCTTTATATTTCAAAGAAAAAACCTCAGCAGTTTACAACACACTAAAACATCAAATAAAAAATCAAGAATAAAACAAATTCAAGTTTCAAGGAAAATATTTCAGATCCTTTTGTTTTCCCCGTATTTATTCACTGACTTAATTTATATAGCTGCCCCAGAGCAAAAGTGCTGTAGGAAGCCATGGTAGTGTAGTGGTTAGAGTGTCGGACTAGGACCTGGGAGGTCAGGGTTCAAATCCCCACTCAGTCATGAAGCTCACTAGGTGACCTTGGACCAGTCATAGCTTCTTAATCTACATCACAGGGTCATTGTAGGAATTCACTAGGGGTGGGTGAACCTTGTACTACTTCGGGGGGAAAGGTGGAGTGTAAATGCAATAAATAAGCTCTTCTGCTTACCTGCTTAAGAAAGGTGAAGAGCCATCCTGATGGGAGATGTCAGTCGCCAACCTGGCATCCTGAGATTTCCACAGTTGCAATTGGACACATGCCAGTCGCAAAACACCTAGGGAATTTCAAACATTGCCTGAAGGGCACGTGTGTGGAGACAGGAAACGGTTGGCCATATTTGCTAATGCCTTGAAAGCTGCTTCTACTGAGCAGCATTGCCCAATGGTTAGCACCCTGCTTAGATGTTTTCCCATCCCCATATCTAGCAGAATAATTGTAGGCTCATGTTCTTAATTTGCAGAGCCCTTCCAGTGGTAGAGTTCAGTCTTACTTGTCTCAGAACTTGGGTCACCTTGGCAGGGAATTTTGGGATTTTAACAAGTACAGCTTCCTATTTTCAAAAAAGGGTGACAAGCACAGTTCCACAGGGCCCTATAATATGCATAAACAATAACATAGGTTTGCTTAATTTTTATAATATTTGAATCTTTTTTTTAACCACACACAGTTCATACATTTCAAATACGCTTAACTCTCTAGAGCGCAGAATCTCATTTCTCCCTTTAGCGCTTTTGTGCTGCTAAACTGTTGGCCTTTCTGGCACTTTGTTGCCCCAAGACCAGGCATGTCCAAAGTCTGTTTCAGGGACCTAATCTGGCCTGTGTGGCAGTTTATTTCCTGGGGTAAAATCCTTAAAAAAATCTCAACAGCTTTAATCATAAAAAAGGATCAACAATTTCAACCCTAAAAAAAGCTCAACAACTTCAATCCTAAAAAAAGGTTGGTTTCACTTCATCAGTTCTGGCCCTCTTTGAAAAAAGTTTGGACACCACTGACTCTTATTTTGTAGGGTCACCAAAGTGAAGCCACCCTTTTAGCTGAAGCCTCTCTGTTCCTTTTCAGGTATCACAGCTGGATGAATGGGCAGCCCAGATGAACGCGGAGTTTGAAGAAGCAGAGAGATTTGACCTCCTTGTGGAATAAAGGCTCCTCTTTCACTGGAGCGCTGCCTGTCTGCTCCTTGAGTGCTCTTTGTTCACAGATTTTGGGCTTGTCCTGTGGAGCTCTTCCGGTTCTCCAAACCCAGAAAGCAGTACATCTCTTTGCTGCCGGGTGGACTTGGTGGCAAATTGCAAACTGGATAATGATGTTGTACAGGTCCAGCTGCTGGGTGATGACTTTCCCTTGAGTTCTGACACTGGCGGAGGCAAGGACGACAGCTTTTGGCTGCATCCCATGTAATGCTTGCTAAATAGCCTGTCTTGTGCATTTGAAACATCACATCTGCATGATCTGCCTATGTTTATTCTGTTTTCATTCTGTATTTTTAAAAGGCTGTTTATCCTTTTCTTCATAGGTTGGCAGGTAAATAATAATTACTTGGACTATTCAAAATGTGCTAAGGTATCATTGCACCACCAGAACATTGCTGTATTTTTAAATTCAGTGGGTTTTTCTAAAAAACATATATATTCTGTGTTGGCTTTCTAGACTCTAGATATTTGTAATTCCTACTTTGGAGCATAGAGTGAAATACCAACTCTTCTTGATTTTTAGGGGCGATACATTTTATTACTATTTTTTTTGCAGTGAAATGTCACCAACAGAGTGACATTAATCCATGGTTGGTAATTCTTATCATGTACTTGTTAATGGTGAGGTGGGGTGGTTGCCTGAGGCTCTTTCACTGGTTTTCTCTGGCTGTGTTTCTGTTTCTCAGTGCACTTGTTTAAGAGTAAGTACAGAAGGATTAATGGGCATTCCCTCACTTCATGCTGACATTTCCCTGTTGGAAAAAGAACTCCCCCATGTACACCTGCTCCATTGGTTGGTTTGGAGAGTTTCTTCATGGTGACGCAGTGTGTTGTATAAGCTAGCAGAAATGTCAAAAAGCACAAATTACTGGGAGGGTTGGGCAGTGAGGGAAGCGTGCCGTGTTTGGGTTCAAAACATTTTATAGCAATAATATGTTTAATAAAAAAAAAATACTTTCATGTTCATCCATTCCTGGTTTTCCTTTGTAGTTCTGCTGGCTGGTCTTGTCCAGAGTGTTTATATTGATGTGTCCATAATAAATGACTTTTAAATCATGATAAATCTGAGATACTGGAGAGCAGCTACCTATAAATGCTTCCCCTGTTGTCCCACCAATAGACAAGGGATGGATCAAGATCCTGGCATCTACATAGGGTGGGCTTAGCTGTTGACTAAGTTGTGAGAAGCATTTTTGTGAAATGTCTAAAATTGCCAAATAGGACCTGAGAGAGCTTCCTCTCCTGGATGTTGGATTTGTCATACTAATTGATAAATCCTGCAAACGGTGCTGTTTTAATGGATGGAGCAGTTAGGGGAAGGGGAGAGCTCTGGCGATTGGGTGCTGCTGTACAGATTACAGTAATTTCTCTTTGGCTTTAACCTGCTCTGCGTCTTTGCTACCCATTGAGTTCCTGCCAGTCACAGAGGAGCAACCACATAGCAAGGCCACGTGTGACCTTGCCAGTGTCACTGCTCGAGGGCAGAGGAGCCGCACTATCGATCTTTGCTTATTGCTGGCGACAAGAGGCGGGGGGAGCTCCTGCTTGGCCTAAAGCTTTCCGAGTTGCCTCCAGGGGGTTATTGCAGGAGGCAGTCTTAACCCTCGGAGAAGATCTGAAAGTCATGTTGATGGCAAATGTCTCAACCAAGACTGCAGAAAGTTTGCTCTGTAAATGTCTACGGGTGATACATAAATGTGGCATCAAATAACTCCAACATTTAATTACGGGATTGTACTCCCTCCTCACATGCCACAATGCATCAATATTGTATTAATACAGTAGCTTAGAGGCCAGGAAAAGCGCTCTCGGGTATACACATATTTATGTACTGGTGCTTTTGGGTGCTTCGTTGGCTTGGCTGAGCCTAGATCGTTCCTCCGGCAGTCTCACGTGTACCATAATCCCCTCTCACAACAATAGTGTGCAGGAATGGGTGCCACTGGTTGCTTTAAAAAAAATAAATAATCACTGTTGATTTTCTGTGTCTAAATGGCCAGTCTGTGTGCTGGTGTGCGCTGTTACAGGCTAAGCCTTGTGCAAACTTCAGCTGAGATACAGAAAGCCGGTGCAGTGGTTTCACAGCAGCTGAACATCCTTGTTGCTCATCCTTGCCTATGATGAGCTGGACTTAAGGTGTGGCTCCAAAATCTATTCCTCAGCGACCAAGTGCCAAAGATGACACACAGAAGCAGAGATTAGTAAAACAAGACCATAAGGTTATTTACAGACATAATGTTGGGATGGCATATGGGGCCCAGGATCCTGCTGTGGGGCAGCCAGAGTGCTGGCCAATGTCTTGTTCTCCCAGGCCAGTGGATAGCAACTGGAAGTAGTTACCATAGCTGGCCAACAGAGAAAGGTCACCCCAGCATGTGCATTTCTGGTAGGCCCTGTACCCACCCAAGGCCCCTTATACCCTCCAATATTTCTCAAATTAAAGGCAAAGTGGGACATTCTGGGATCAAATCAGAAACGGACAGCTTCTGTAAATCTGGGACTGTCCCTGGAAAATAGGGACATTTGGAAGGTCTGTCTTATGTGGTAGGTAATAATCTTGTTTAGCTATGATTCCATGAATCTATGAGCAGGGCGGGAGAGGGGTGAGGCAAAGCATATGTCACAACAGCTCGGCCTGCTTCTCTCTGCTTGATGAGATGCTCCAGTGCCCATCATATTGACATTTCCCACTTCTGCTCCACTGAGCCAGGCGGGGTGGTTAAATAATCGAGTCAGGCAGGGAGAGACTTGGCAGTTGGTGCAACAGAGTGAGCCCAGCGGAGCCCAGTTTTCCAGGATGAGCGCCTCGGCCATCCGCCGAAAGTCCTACAAGAGAGCCCAAGAGGAAGCCGGGCTGTTCTCCCCCGTCCACTGGGAGGGCGACAAGGGCAGCAACGGAGACGTTCCGGCTGGGAAGCTGCAGGTCATGGAAAAGTTCTTCACGCCTGTCCGGCAGACCAAGGAGAACAAGGGGGCCTCCTCCTCTTCCTCCACCGACTTGGGGCTCAGGGACTGCAGCAGCTGCCACCAGCAGTGGGCCGAGAGCCGGAGCGGCCACTTCTCCACGCTCTCGTCATCCTCAGCCTCCTCCACCTCGGCCTCCTCCTCAGCCTCCAGCTCGGCCTCGTGGTCCTCTGAAGCCAGCCTGGACAAAGAGGCCTTCTTGCTGACCAGCCCTCGCTACCACCCCCAGCACTCGCAGTCCTGCGTGGACCTTTCAGGAGAAGCCAGGGCCTTCCGCCGCAGTCGGGAAGAAGAAATGGCGGAGTTTGAGGAGGAGGAAGCTCCCGGCTCCTTCAGCCGCTTGAGGAAAGGACAGAGCAAGAGTGCCGACCGGCTGGGCAACCGCCACGGCCTGCAGTCGCAGCCTGGCCAACCCGACGGCGTGGACAGACACCTCTACAAGGCTGCCAGCCTGGAGCGCAGCCTTGCCTTCAGCGAGCAGGCGGAAATCCTGGCCCCGCGACAGCCCCACTATGCCGGGGCTCCAGCGCCAAGCAAAGGCATCTTGAAAAACGGGACGGTGGCCGGTGGTGACTGGCTGCGGAAGGCCAAGTCCATTGAAACCATCACTGTGCGGTCCGTAGGGAAGGAGCCTCCGTCTGCCCCCGGGCCTGCTAGGCCTCTCCAGAGGGAGAAGCAGCCCCCAAACAGCTTGGATCTGAGCGCCCCCAAAAAGCCCCCCGTCACAGAAAGGATGAAGCTGGTGGAGGAGAAGCTCCGCTTCTCAGAGTTCCTGAACGAGATCACCCAGCAGGTGATGAGCCCCTCCAGCCTCAGTTCGCTGGGCTGGAAGCCCCCAGAGCCCTCCCTGGCCAGCAAGGCCCCCAGCACCGACGGGTCAGACTCAAAAGGCTCCAGCAGCAAAGGCAGCTCCCCAGGGTCCTTGCTGGAGATGGCTGAGGCGAAAGCAGAGGCAGCGGCAAGGAGGAGGACGGGGCAGGCCGAGGCCAAGGCGGACGCCCTTCCCAGCCCCCACAGCCGACCCCAAGCCAGCCTGGCCTTTGGCAGGGCCACAGATGAGGCCAGTACCAGTCCGGAACTGGCGCCCTTCACTCACTTGCCAGCTAAGCTGGGGAGTTTGCCTAAGCTGCCAGGAGAGGCAGCCAAGCGGCCGAAGAAGCCCAGCGAGGCCAAAGGTGGACACGGGCAGGAGGCCAAGAGGCTGGAACAGCCCCTCAAGAAAGCAGAGAAGGGCCTTCCCACCGGAGGGACAGCCGAGAAAGCCAACCCTCTGGAAGAGCACGAGGGTGTAGCCGCGAAGAAGAGGATGCACAACAGCAAGGTATGGGGGCCTGGCAGGGGCCTGTGGGGTTTCCTCCTCGGAGTGCCTTTCCCTGCCATCCTGCTGCCCCACACCATTAACAAAACCCAGGTGAGCTGCCAAAGGCTCACACCTTCTAGGCGGCCCATTAAATCTCAATGATGGAAAAGCACTCTGTACGTGTTCAGTCAGGCCACAGGGTCTGATAACCTGAGGTCGAGCCGCACAATTTAGGAGGGACTTGAACTTGTATTTCCTGTGCATTTTCAAAGGCCACACACTATGTTTTTCATTTGGCTAACTAGAGAGCACAAACCTTTAGTGGCACGTGGCCTTACCTGGCTATGTTCTGATCCCTTTTCATAAACCTATGGGGAGGCCGCACTTGGAATATGGCGCCCAGTTCTAGCCATCGCATCCCAAAATGAATACTTGGGAAGGTGCAGAAATGAGTGACTAAAATGATTAGAGTGTTTCAGGAAGACCCATTTGTGAAAGGCTAATTTTTTGGGTGGGGGATGAGGAAGAGAAGACTACAGGTGGGGGAACATGATGGAGACTTTAAAAATCATAAAGGTCTCTACAATATCCTTTTTGATGTGAAGCAATCAGTATTCTGCATGTAGCTGTATTGGATAACCACTCTATAACGTTGGCTCATTGGTCCCAGAGTTCCCAGATTTGGGGCAGGGCATGTCCAAGTTGGGAAGATGCAATCCTATTTCTCCTCTAATGCATAGGAAAATGTTTCTGGAGTTGGGGACACTGACTCATCTGGTAGGTGTGTGTGTTTAAACCTGTTGTCACAATCTTAAGTGGTAGTATCTTTGCTTTAGAGAATAATTTAAAAATGAAAGTATGGAGATTAATTTTCCCTTTTTTTTATCTCCAGGAGCTGCTGGCAGAGGCAGAACAACCTGTGTGAGTATGCAAATCAGCAGTTGGTTGACCCAGGGTCTTCCTCCAGGGATCATCTTCCAGCACCTATCCTCTCCCTTCATGGGGCAGCAGTAGCAAAGCAGGGAGCCAGTGGTAAAAGTTCTACCTGCTTTGCGGTTGCCCTGGCTGCTGCTCCCTTTCTTGCTGCTGCTGCTTGCTTAAGACACTGCAGCTACAGGTATCAAACCGCCTACCACCTGCAGAGATTTTGATCCTCTGCTGCTGTTCGCTAGAATTGCTTCTCCATCTCATGTACACACTCCCTACTGTCATTACAGGCCCTCACAGGAGCAGGAGCCAGCATCCCCAGCGCAGAAGGAGGAAGCAGATGCCAAACCCAGAACGGCTCAGCGAGACCTGCAGAAAACCTGGGACGAGCTGGACGCTCTAAAAGAAAAATTCAGCAGGTGACGCGTCAAAAGCACGGCGGTCAGGGCTCATCCTGTATTCAGGATTTGTGAAAGAGCTTTTTCCAGGCCAACCTGCATGTAGCGGGGAGGAGTTTGCTCTCAAAGCCCCGCCCTTTGGGGGAGGAGCAAAAGATGCTTCAATTGGATTAATGCAACCAATTGATATATTAATATATAGAGTAATTTTGTGCAGGACTTTGGCTCAGAGTTTTTCCTGTCATGACTGTATTTCCTTCCTTTCAGGCTTCAGGAAGACTATTCCAACACACGCCTCACTAACCAGCTGCTGGAAGACAGACTTCAGATTATTGTAAGGGAAACGTTAAAAAACCGAATGAATAAATTTGGTTCTCGCCATTATATTATACATACTGGCAAAAAGCAAAAATACATCGCCACTGGGAACTATACCGCTGTGCTATGTCAAAACATGCATGAAGTTATCAAGATGATGGTTCCTTTTTTAGCAGCCACACGTCCAGCTGTTAGTGAGAAAAAGATTCTCACCACCCTGCCTCTTTAGAGTAGCAGCTCCTAAAAGTATGGGAGACGAGTTATATGGTCAAACTAATGGATCTTGTTGGAAGAAGAGAAGGAATATAATTATTTTTTTGAAAAGCGGAGCTTTTTTTCTTCTTATTCTGGAACCAGTAAGTTCAGAGCACAACCCAGTGCCCTATGAATAAGGTTGTAAAAAGAGAAGACAACATTGAGCCCCACTGAAATAGATGCACAGCAAGACTCACTTAGGCCCATTTATCTTTGTGGGTCTATTCTAGATGGATCCACCCCAATATGTTTAAATACATAGCTGTTTTTGCTTTTTTATTATTATATTTTATTCCCTCTGCATCCCTGTCCCCCTTACAGTAACTGGCCCCTAGGCTTGTCGCAAGAAACATACTTAAATTACCGTACTTATTTAATTAAGTTACACTTTGCAACACCAATTAGAGTGTATTCTATTTGTATTATTATGCCTTGCTGCTCTCTCTGTCTCTCTCTCTTTCTGGCCTCCTTTGCTGACTTGCCTCCCCGCCCCATGCTTTCCTCACAACAGGCTCAGAGCATGGCTGAAGAAAAGCAAACTTTGAACCAGCGGATCAATGAGTTGCTGGAGAGGCTGATCAGTGCCCAAAACACAATTTGCACCTTGGAGAAAATTAACGTGAGTACTTTGATCAACGTACTTTTTTTGGGGGGGGGGTGAGGAGAGAAAGGTAGAACAACAGAATAATGGAGGAGAACTTGAATCATGGGAGGTCCAATTTCCTCTGCCCCACTACTCTAGCGGGGGAAATTCAGAGTGCGAGACTATTCCCAACAAAAGGCTCTTGAAATTCTACTTCAAGACCTCTAAAGGAGGAGAGCCCAGCACCCCACAGGTTAGGTTGATCTCACTTATCCATCAAGAGGTTTCTCCTACTGCCCTCTTGCTCCTCTTTTGAAACCTCCTTAGATCTAGTCCTGCCCTCTCTCTGGGGCAGCGGAGAAAAGAAGCAGCCTTTTCCCACTGCTGTGTGTGATGGTGCTGCTGGCAAGAGCCCTTCCAATATTGTTGCCCCAGTCTTCTCTTATCCAGTTCCTTCAACTTTTCCTCATTTTCCATACAGGCAGCTCCCTGTTTATGCAGGTCTTACGTTCCAAGACACCGCACACATCTGTGAAATCGCATATAATTGAAACCCATTGAAAACCCCCGCAAACAAACCACTCCATCCCTATCCCACCCTTTTAGTGATATTTCAGTGACTTCAGGATTCAGCGTGATGCATTTATACACGGTTGTACACATCTTGAATGTGCATAAACCGCTCTCCTCCAAATCTGTTCCACTTTACAGGGGCAAACATATTTAAAGCATATCCTCAAGCTACAAGACCTGCTGGGATTTTTTTGGGAGGGAAGGCTATTACCTAAATGGTCCGAATGGTCTTTGCTCTCTCTCCACTCACAGATCTCAGGGCTGCTGGCAAAGCCTAGCCTGGAAAAGCAGCGGCGCAGTGGGAAGGACGAGTCTCCCTCCGACAGCCTCTGCTCTCTGCACGTTCTGGATGTCGCGCCCCCTCCTGCTTTCATGGATGGCGCCTCTGATACGCAAACCACCCCGAACCAGTCCGACTCAGCCACTGAAACCAGCAAGCTGGGCTGCAGCTCCGAATCGGACACAGCAGCCGGGCCTAGCGAGGAGAGGAGCCTCCTGCTGAAGTATGAGGCGGCCCTGGTGGCACCGTCCCCAGAAGGGCTAAAGAGACACAGCAAGAGCCACACCCGGGCCACAGCCTTCATCCCCTGGAAGCAGAAGTCCACCACGTTCTCAACGCAAGACACGAATTCGACAGAAAGCGAGTGCAGCGGGGAGGAGGAAGCAGCCCCGCTTTGCCCCCTCCCAGCCCCGCGCTTCCTATATTTGAGGCAGGAGGCCCTGGTGGCCCCGCCGGGGCCCAGCAGCCATTTCCCAGCCTTGCCCACACTGCAGCCAGAGGTCTTTGAAGCAGCCCACCTGCCTTCCCCCACCAACCTGCCGCCCAGTGGGAAGCTTGAGGAGATGGTGCCAGAAATGAGCAGCTCTGAGAGCTCTGAGGATGGCGAGGTCTCCTGGAGCCCTGGCTTGGTGGAGAAGACATCAGGAGGACCCCACCTGGATTACCAGTCGGCCCAAAAAATGCTTGACGGCCTGCTGCAGAAGAGCCGCCGGGGGAATGAACCACCCAAAGCGGGCAGGTTGGAAGGCTTCCGCTTAGCTGGTGCCACAGAGGGGAACGGAGCAGGCCGGGGCCTCCCTCACTACCACCAGCAGCAGCACCAGCAACACAGGATCCGTTACTACCAAGAGTTCCCGAGTCCTGAGGAGGGAAAGAGCTACCCATGCCCCCTGGGCACCACGGGGGCAGTGGTGGGGCTAGAGGCCAGCGATGCTGCACAAGATTCTACATCCCTCTGAGATGGGATGAAAAGAAGCCGCTCCCTTAGCCATGCCATACTTCCCACCCCCTGCAATCCACGGGACTGTCTTTCCTTACTCAGTGGTGAAGAAAAAGCACTCTGCACGTGACTCAGATGAACTTTCTCCTTTAGGCTTATCTTCATATGAATCAGGTCCTGAACCAGGTCCTGAGCTAAGCTCCTGGACCCCATGGGAACCTTGGCCAGCCCCTTTCCCACCTCTCCTCCAGGTGTAACTTTTGGTTGTAATTCAATCCCCGTTTTGATTTAAAAAGCATCAGCAGCAGCTAGCTTATATTAAATCTCTGTCTTGTAGTTTGGAAAGTTTATTTTAGTGAAGAGGAAATCTGATGATGTGCTTCTTCTTTCGTAACAAATGGGGTGCAAGTTTATTTACAGCGTGAAGCACGTCACACTGAAGTTCAGACACATGAGAAGCAGTCACCTAAAGGACAATTCACTATTTGCATTCAGAAGTGTGTGTTGTTGTTGTTTAAAGATAATTCCTGTAAGGCAGAGCTTTCCAAACTTTTTATGTTGGTGACACTCTTTTTAGACATGCATCATTTCGCGACACAGTAATTCAGCTTTACAATGGTACCTCGGGTAACGAACTTAATTCATTCCAGAGGTCTGTTCTTAACCTGAAACTGTTCTTAACCTCACGGGGCTTCCCACTGCCACCACACCACCGGCGTGCAATTTCCATTCTCATCCTGGGGCAAAGTTCTCAACCCAAGGTACTACTTTCGGGTTAGCGGAGTTTGTAACCCGAAATGTTTGTAATCTTGAGCTACCACTGTACTAGCAAACTGGAGGTTAAATGAACGCATTCATGTGACACATCTACACACTGCAGCTGAAATGCTAATATGTCACTACACACAGTTTAGAAAGCTCTGCCGTAAGGGCTTAGTATGGCAAAGAGTGATCTAATTTTCTAACCAGGCTTTTACCTGTAAGCATTGTATCAGGCCAGCACTGTTCTTGTGGGTTTTCGCTGGGTGGTTGTTAGCTTTTGAAGCCTATGAACTAGAAAATGTATAAGCAACTAGAATTCTAAACAGGTCATATGGGTTTACCATTCATCTTCAACATTTTCCCACCTCCTTGATCAAAAGAATGATGGCTCAAAATAATGCCTTCTTGGGGAAGGTACAATTCGGAATAACAGGATTTAAACTAAAATTAAGTGACAACTTAATTTTAATTTTCTATTGTGGAAATCCTGGTGGAGTATTTTTCTTTTATTTTCATCCCTCAGATGTGCACAGAACCGGCAAACTATGCGACGACAAACAATACTGGGCAGCAATCTGATAAGCATGTGTGGAGCACTTAAGATTGCTTTTGTTTCTTTTCTGCTGTGCTTCTCGTAAATATACATAATTGTTTGGAAAGGAAATCTGACTTTAATGTAAATAAATTTATCAACACAAGCATATTAAAATTAAATCAAAATCAGTTAAAGGCTGGGTTTTTAATTAATATACTGGAGAGAGAGAAATATATGACTTCTGAGCATAGTGTCATGTTTTATTGTTTATTATAGCAAGCCTTCACGTGCTAGAAGCCAGAGGATGCCACTCGTATCCCTAAGCACAGCAAAGTTTGTCCACAGGCATAAGCTACACAAGCATAGTGGAGCCTCCACATCCAGAGGCTTTCTACCTCTCAGTAAACGAGTTGTTCCTCACCTGGTTCTTCCCCTGCCCTCCAAGAATAGGATAGAGGCGGTGAAGAAGGATGTCGGTGTCTCCCATCCCTCTTCCCACCTCTGGCAAGGGTGCCCACCTCATTCTCCGGGAACAGAATTGTCTCACCCGAGCCCTCCTCGAGTCCTCTCCTCCCACTCGGTGGTTTACGACGTCCCCGAGGGCACTCACTGAGATCTCCCGAGAAGGGCGCTCGAGGTGTAATAAGAAACAGACGCCGATTCTGCCTTAAAAATAAAAATATCCCACTCCCCTGTCTCACTCAATGGAGGCGGTGGGGTAGACTGCTGCAGCACATGGGGGCTGCCTCTGGGCAGATGCAGCGTGCTCATGGAGCTGGAGCCTTGGAGCGCAGCGTCCGCCCGCTCTTGAAGTCCTGCCATCGCCTGCAGGTGGACTGCGCTGAGCCATGGAGGCTCCAAGCAGCCCTTCCAAAAGAGAGACTCTGGGAGAGGGAGGTGGCCGGTTTGGAGTGTGCTGCTTAGGAGATTCCCCCGTTGGTGTGTGTGTGTGGCGCCCTCTGCACATGCTCTACGGTACCTAAGGAACCGGAGCTCCGCGACGGCGCCCGCTTGCAGCTGCTCCTCCGGGATCGCTGCCCTCTGGAGAAAGGCGCTGCGGGATAAGGTCGGGTGGAAGTGCGCCATCTTGAAGCTGCAGGGGGCGCCGCCACCGAGGGCACTAAAGACGCCATCTTGCGAGAGGCACCAGAGGCGGAAGTGAATCCTCACAACTGGAAAGGCTCAGGCTGCTCTTGTGTGCAGTCCTCTGGGTGTAGTCCTGGCGAAGTCAACAGAAAGAGCACTTTCCCAAGAGTACCCTTTAGCCTGGCCAGGAATGGGGGAGAGATTTGAATCAGTTTGCAGACCAGCCTCACCCATGAGCTGTGCTTTTCTTCAAGAGGTCCTCAAGGGCACCTCTTTTCTGTTGTTAAAAAGTGTGGCAGTTACTGCAACAACTTCATACTGAGTACCAGCACCTATTTTTCTAGAAAGAAAGCACTGCCCATGAGCATACCTTCCAACATTTCTCTAATAAAAATAGGGAAATATTATTTAATAAACATAAACATAAACTTTATTATTTATACCTCGCCTATCTGACTGGTTTGCCCCAGCCATTCTGGGTGGCTTCCAACATATCTAAAAACATAATAAAACATTTTAACTACTTAAAAAAAACTTCCTTGTACAGGGCCACCTTCAGATGTTATCCTCCAACACGTCTCCAATGAAAATAGGGAAGTCCTAAGGAAAAGCGGGACATTTCTGATTTGATCCCAGAATGTCCTGCTTTTCCTTAGTTTAGGATGCCCCTATTTACACTGAAGAAATATTGGAGGGTATGGAGTTATCCAACCCCCTGAGCCGTCAGAAGGCAATCCTGTATAGGGAAGTTTTTTTTTATGTTTAATGTTTAGTTATGTTTTTATATATGTTGGAAGCTGCCCACAGTGCTGGAGTGACCCCATAAGATGTGTGGGGTATGAATAGTAAAATTATCATAATGGAATGGGATGTCCCTATTTTCATCGGAGAAATGTTGGAGGGGATGTAGAAGTATCTGTGTAATTAATATGTTCCTGCCCCCATGGGTGCTTTCCCTTGCATACACTGCATTGGCCCTTTGATTGTAATCGATTCTTATTGTCAACCAAAACACCTATCCCGAAGTAATTGTCTTTTTAATTAGTGGTTTCTTTTCCAATAACAACCATGTAAATAAAGCTTTCCCACGGTAGCCAAACACCTGCCCCTTACGTAATCCCTTGCTCTTTTTAGGAGCCTGTGAAAAGAGTAGAGGCCCAGGAGAAATTAAAGAGTAGCTGTGTGGATGTTTTTGTGTGTAGACATTGTGTGTGTCTGTGTGTGTGTGTGTGTGTGTAGATGCATATATAGTCAGTCAACACACAATAAACAGATTCAGGCCTCTTTTGCAATTTGGGATGCTGCAATTTCTTCAAGCTCCTTCAAAATCTGTTGCATGTTAGGGCATCACAGGGATGAATTAAAGGATTCCTGCAATCCAGAAAGCCTCTTTCTTATTAGAAAGCCTGTCCCATCTTTGCCCATGCAGATATTTGGAACCTGTTCTGTGCCTGGTAAGTCTTTTTTTTTCTCCCCCAGTTGCCCCCTATACCAGCACTGCTTTTACCTGCCCAGAAGGGAAATTTTAATCATATCGTGCACCGATTAATTCCCCTGGATCTGAAAGCTTTTCTCCTTGTTCTGCGGCAAAAATCCACTCTTACTTGCTGAATTGGATCTTATCAGATGTACAGAAAATCCGAAGAGAGATTTTGCTTAGCAAGCTTCTGATTCAGTGGGTAAGATCAGATTTTCCAAAGGCATAGCCATGGAACAACAAAAGGAGCTCTCATACACCTGGGGAATTTATTGGTATAAAATCCCATCAAAATACAGAGCAAGCAAAAGTGTGAATGAGCCCTTAGTTTATGCAATTCAAGTGGATAAACTTTTTAATAAACAACAATTTTTGGAAAGGGGAGTTAGGAAACTGATGGGAAAATACACTAAAAAGTGTGGAATTCAGAAAAAGACATATAACTTCTGAACAAACAGAACCTCCCTGCAATCAAATCAGAATAAAAACTTGATAAAGACAGGATCTTATTGGACCTTAACACAAGCTTTGTGCAGGCATATCTGGATGAATGTGCAAGAAATAGTAATGGGAGGGGAGACTAAAATGACCACTAGAAGTGGCAGGTTGTTTTCCTCTGTCTGAAAAAACAAGTGGGAGTTGTTGGGTTATTCAGTGTTTAGATTTCTGACTTAGATTTGGGGAAAAAATAATAGGTTGGGTTTTTTAAATATTGAGATTATTGTTTCGTTTCAGATTCAATTACAAGGCTTTAGCGTTCAAAACTGCTTGGAAACTTCAAAACAGCTAACTGCTCGTCTTGGGTAAGCTTTGACTCCAAAGGGCTTTCCCATAAGTTGGCCTACGTGGAGAGAAATCCAGAAAAGTAGGTAACCTCGCCTGTTGTATCCAATTGCACAGTGATCCTCAACTTTTGTTATGGCATTCAATGATGTCTTGGAGTCTATCGGAGGAGTTGGCCGCTTCCAGATCTTGCAAATCACCTTCTTGCTGATCTCCGTCTGCCTCATTGGTTGCCACAACTTCCTGCAGAACTTCACTGCCGCCATTCCAGACCACCATTGCAAGCCTGTGCTGCCCACCAACCAGACCTTGCCCTCTAGCTACACCCAAAGCACAGCAGAAGGGGTTTTGCTGAAGGCACCTGTTCCCATAGACCAGAATTGGAAGCCGGAGAAGTGTCTCCAGTTTGCCATGAGTTGGTGGCGTCTATTGAGCCCAAATGCGACTGTGGAGGTTGGAGACTCTGCCACACAGGTGCACACCGAACTCTGCACAGGTGGATGGGTCTATGATGTGAGTGTGTTCGAGTCTACCATTGTGACGGAGGTGAGCTTTCTTCATCATCAACAAGAAATGAAAGATGGGAAGGCAGTTTTAAAACACAGAGTGGCAGGGATATAAATTAAACATTCCAATAACAAATGAAGTAACTCGTTTGGGGTTGTTTGGCTTAGATTTAATTTTTAAAAGAGAATATACAGTATTTATCATATTAAGATCATGTCTAACTAGGGAAGAATTAGTATTAGACCCTGCAGTAGTACCTTTTGGCTATTTACGGTAAACCCTGCCATTTTACAATAAGATCTGAAAAGGGCCTCTTGTTTCTAATGCGTTTGTTATGTTCGCATTCTGCTTTTCCTCAAAGGGGCTCAAGGCAATGGGGGTTCCGTTTTATCTTCACAACAACCCTGTGAGGTAGGTTAGGCTGAGAGATGGCAACTGGTCAGAATTCTCTGCTCTGTTTAATTCCCACAATAATCCTGTGGGGTAGATTATGCTGAGTGATATTGGATGGAGTCAGGATTTGAACCCTGGTCTCCCAGATCCTGCTCCATTACTCTAACCTACACAGTTTCTGTTTTGCAATGGATAGCTTGGGATGTGGTTTGGATGGTGAAATTAACACATGGCTGTTGAGAAGGGTCAACGGGAAGATAAATGATTTATTTTAAAATGGAGTTTGTTATACTGTATTGTGGAATGAATAGGTACAAGATGGCATGCATGTAGCCTTGTGCTTTGAGTTTTTAATATTAAAAGATATTAATCTTTAAAAATACAGATTTTATGCAGCTAGCATTGATTATTCATTTGCAGTAGGAAGATTAAAGGAATAAGACTCACATGATGCTAAGTCAAATGTGTGTGTGTGTGTGTGTATTGCAGCCACAGAGAGAAAATTGACACAGTTCTCCTCTCTCTCCCTTCCAGTGGAATTTGGTGTGTGACCTACAGAACCTGAGAGATGTAGCCCAGTCACTCTACATGGCTGGTGTGCTGGTTGGGGCTGGGGTGTTTGGAGTCTTATCGGACAGGTGGGTGGTTGTTGTGATGAATGTTAGGTTAGTAGGGTTGCCAGACCTCCAGGTTTGACCTGAAGTCTCCGGATGAGGGGATGGGGATTGTAGTCCAAAAACAGCTGGAGACCCAAGGAAACTAAGACCCAGCTAGATCCTGTCCCCATAACTCACCACCAGGCAATATATTAATTAATGCATCCTACTTCTCCTTTTTTGGGGGTGGGGACAGGTTTGGCAGGCGCAAACCTCTGATCTGGTCATATCTGCAAATTGCCATCGCTGGCACCATCACAGCATTCCTGCCCAGCTTCAGCAGCTACTGCGCCTTCCGCTTCCTGGCTGGCATGACATTTTCAGGAATCATGCTAAATTCTCTGTCCTTGAGTAAGTAGTTTGGTTTGCTCCAATTCAAATTTAAAGTGTGGATTTTGCAGGGAAAGCTCAACAACTCTTGGCAATGACAATGGGTAGATCACAGGCAGCCTTTTGGGAGTCCAACTAGATTTCAATGTGTGTTTGTGGGGGGGGGGGTGTGACAATAAATTTTCCACACCGGGTGCCACCTGACCTTGCTACGCCACTAGGCCTATGCCTGGAATGAGTAGAGAAGTGTGGATAAGCCTCAGACAAGGCACTATAGATACAAATGTCCTTTCAGCTTTATATCAGCAGTCAGCCTATGGTGCCTGGGGTTTTCTGCATGGAAGCCAAACGGTTGCATGTGCCCATAAAAAAATGTTCATCCTGGTTTTTACTGCAAGTCCCTTTAACAGTTTCTTTTGCTTCTCTCCTAGTTCTGGAGTGGATGCCCAACAAGGGCCGGACAGTGGCAGGTGCCCTCTTAGGTTATTTTGTCACCTTTGGGCAGATCGTCTTGGCAGGAGTTGCATACGGAGTCAGAAACTGGCGCTGGCTCCAACTCTCCGTCTCGGCACCATTTTTCATCATTTTTGTCTGTTCATGGTAGGGGGTGATAGTGCCAAATACGACCGTGGTATGGCTTCGGTGTCTCTTTTCCGCTCTTGTAGATGTGGCAGCCATTTTGTGTTAGGCCAAGACCTTATGGCCGCCATGTCTGATGTTCAGGCAGTGTGTGCTGTGCCTTATGTAGACAAAATGGCACCATCCACACCTAGGAGGATGTGTCAACAGACTTGGTTGGCAGAAGAACAAAACAAAGTATATAGTGTGTATGTATGTGTGCTGGGGAGCAGGGGGAGGACCACCAAAACAGGCCAGTGAGGCCATGGAATGCAGAGTGCATTATGGAAGAGAGGAGTAGATGTTCCACCTGGGAGGATGGAGCGGAGTGGCTGGAAATGTGAACAACACTCCGTTACACAAGCTTTTTTCTTTTTCTTCTAATCATCCCCCTTGTTAATAATATCTATCTATCTCTGTCTTGTCAGGAAACTTCCAGAATCACCACGCTGGCTCCTGCTTCATAACAAGGCACAGGTAGCAGTCCAGAATCTGAGGAAAGTTGCCGCAATAAATGGCAAAAGCAAGGAGGGAGAGAAAATTAACAAAGAGGTTAGCCATGAGATCAACCAATGCTTTAGTTTTTTGTAATAATAATAATTTCTATAATAGGAGATGAGCAAATATGATATAATAACATAATATGTTCAGTTTTGCTTTTAGTATTTAAAGCCCTAGGTGCCACGAGTCCCATGAAGACTTTGTGGAGAGGCTGGTCAAATGAAGAAGAGGAGTGGGGGCAGATTGGAGAGTTGCAGGGGTCCAACTCAGGGGAAGGTCCCAGCAACAGGCACCTGGTATTTTTGCTTTTAGGCAGATGTTGAAAACATATCTTTTTCAGAGGGCTTTCCCTGAAGGGTGACTCAGACGTTTTATATAATCAGTGTAATTTGATGTAAAGTGGCAGCTGCCAGTGCAGCAAACTGAGGCTTGCTTCTCATAGACCGACCCTTAGCAACGCCCTCTGGGCAAGAGGGAGCAGTAGAGGCTCTAGACAGCTGGGTTTAGCTATTTCATTGTTTTTATATTTTGCTGGAAGCTGCCCAGAGTGTCTGGGAAAACCCAGCCGGATGGGCAGGATATTATTATTAGGCTAGGACAGAAGGTGACAGGTATGTTGGGGTTCAACTTGAGACCACCAAAGCCTCAATCTGCACTCTTTCTTCTGGATTAAGGCCCCTCCCTAGGCCTGCCACATTCCTTCCACTCATTTTCCACCGTCTTGCACAGGTATTGCATTCCCACATGCAGATGGAAGCTGCAAGTCTGAAATCCCGGCGCACTGTCTTTGACCTGTTTCGCAGTCCAGTCTTGCGGAGGGTCACCTGCTGCCTCATGGTTGTCTGGTGAGTGCAAGAGGACCTCTGTTGTTTTTATCTGAAGAGGGAAACGGTAATTGAATAGAGGAGACAAGTCAAGGATTGCCCTTTCTTTCCTCTTATGCTTTGAGCCTCTTCTCAGAACACAGAAGTATGATGGCAACTCAAGAACATATGAGGTGGTTTATGCGTTAAATACTACTAATCATAGTAATTTTGTATTGTGCCTATTACATTGTAATAAGCAGGTAGAGGCTGTGGAGCTGCTGTTTTTTAAAGGGCCGCATTTAGAACAGCTTAGGTGCTTTGTAAGTGCTGAGTTGTAGCAGCAGCAGCAGCAGCAATGATCACTCATTAGTAGCAGTAGTAATAATAATAGTTTGTGCATAATATGCATTGCTGACACCCAGCCAGATGGTTGGGATATAAATAATAAAAATATAATTATTAATAATAATTATTAGTTATTATCCATCATTGCAGAAATCCAGCCTTTAAATTTGCAACTTAAGCTTGCTTCCCACTCTACCTAGGTTTTCCAGTTCCTTTTCTTATTACGGCTTGGCGATGGACGTGCAAAAATTTGGCCTGAACATCTTTGTGGTGCAGGTGTTGTTTGGAGCGATCGACCTTCCCGTTGTGCTGCTGTCCACCCTTACCATGGTCTTCATCGGGCGCCGCCTTACCATGGCTGGCTTCCTATCCCTCGCTGGGCTCCTGGTGTTCGTCAACATGTTTGTGCCAGACGGCAAGTTGCTTTATGGGTTCTTGACCTGCATCTGCTTGGGTCACTGATGCTCCATGCTATGAGTTCTCATCAAAACATCAGAAAGAGTCTGGCTGCTGGGTCAGGCCAGTGGCTTATCAAAGCCAACCTCCTGTTCTCACAGTAGCCAACCAGATGCCTAAGGGAAGCCCCAAAGTAGCAAAACCTCACCGAGAGCCAGTGTGGTGTAGTCGTTAAGAGCGGCAGTCTCGTAATCTGGTGAACCAGGTTAAATTCCCCGCTCCTCCACATGCAACTGCTGGGTGACCTTGGACTAGTCACACTTCTCTGAAGTCTCTCAGCCTCACTCACCTCACAGAGTGCTTGTTGTGGGAGAGGAAGGGAAAGGAGATTGTTATCCGCTTTGAGACTCCTTCGGGTAGTGATAAAGCGGGATATCAAATCCAAACTCTTCTTCTCTTCTACATGTGATCCACAGTGAGTGACATTCTGATGCACACAGCCTCCAACGCTGGAGGTAAAACACAGCTATGGCTAGTAGCCACCGATAGCCTCCAGGAATTTGTCTAATCTGTTTTCGCATGAATATTGTGCTCAGTCCATCCTATCAACCTGTGAGCTGTACTGCTGTCACCCTTGGTATCAGCCATGCAGTGTTGCGGCTTGAGCAGGGGCCGCCAACCCAGTTTCATTAGGCACACATGCACCTGTATAGCTCTTCCTTGGTCCCATAGGGTCCCTGCCCCCTGCTGAAATTAGGCTTGAAAGACCCTTCCATGGTAGCCTATAAAACAGGTTGCAGTGTCTGTTTGTTTGTGTGTGTGTGGGTGTGCTTGTGGTGCCCAGAGTAGTCTCTCAGGGTGGCAAATATGCCCACAGACTCCCAGGGTGCACCGCGGCTGAAGGGGGAACCAAACTCTATTCAGTCCTAGACCACCGCTCTCGCTTACTGTGTGACCTCAGGCTACACACCCTCAATCTAACCTACCCCACATGGTTATTGTGAAGTTAAAATGGGTGGGGGTGGGGGGCTTTAATTGAGTTCCTTGGAGGAAAGGCAGCATATACTGTAGTAAGATAGGAAGATTCCTCAAACTGAGCCCAGGCCATTGGTCCATCTAGCTCAGGGGTACAGAAACGTTTTCAGACGTAGGAACACAGTCTCTTCTGAGCATCCTCTTGTGGAGCTATATACTAGTGATGGACAGGGCCAGAGCCCAAAGTGGTTGGAGCAGTCACTGAGAAATTTGCCCTTGTACAGTAGGTTTGCTAGCTTCTTCAACCACACACCTCTCTCTCCATCCAGGAAAAATAAAACATTATTAGAGCCCAAGGTCACATCCCAGCCAGGCAAAGGGAGGTGGTTGTGTGTCCTTCCAGTGCTAGTTTTACTCAGAGCAGACCTACTGAAATGAATGCCGCTAAGGTAGTCAGGTTCACTAACTTTAGTGGGTCTGCTCTGAATAGGACTAGCCCAATGAATTTTAATAGCTTTATAGCTTGTTGTAAAGGAGCAATATGTGATTTACACTGGTGGGGGGGGAGTATTATTTTTCTGTTTTCTTTTGTGTGAGTACATGAGGGGTGTGTGTGTGTGTGTGTGGGTGTGTGTGACTGCCTGTTCGATAGGTCAAAAAGACAGTTTGTTGTATTTATATTGTGACGGCCTATGGCTGTAAACAACAAGGTTTTGTTCATTCTATATATTTCTCCTTCCTGCAGAACTGCAAACGTTGCGTACAGTGCAGGCAGCACTAGGGAAAGGGTGCCTCGCCAGTTCCTTTATTGGTGCATATCTGTATTCTGGGGAGCTCTACCCAACAGAGATCAGGTGAGCAGCTAGTATCATCTAAACCAGGGTTTCCCAAACTTGGGTCTCCAGCTGTTTTTGGACTACAACTCCCATCATCTGCAGAACCAGTGGTCAGGGATGATTTCTGCCAGATAAACGGCCACAGGGTTCAAGCAGCTGGTGTTTAGAGTCTTATAAACACCAGCGTTTCTTCTTGCCAGGCAAACAGGCATGGGATTTGTGTCCATGCAAGCTCGTCTCGGAGCCATGGTTGCGCCCCTGGTCTACGTGCTTAGGGATTCCTTTCCTGTCCTGCCACCAATTATATTTGGAGCTGCTCCCCTCCTTGCGGGGGTCTCTGCCTGCTTCCTGATGGAGACGAGACATTTACCCCTCCTGGAAACCATCGCAGAGATGGAACGCAGGTAAGTTTTCTTTCCCATCCCTAATAGGAGTTGAAAAACGATTAGGATGAGACCCTGACCCAAAGAGTATTTTTATGCCATTTAGCATGTATGGAGTGGAGGAGGGGGAGACCATTTTCAGTTTGAGCACCACATTATTCTATGATCAACCTATTTGGGGGGGGGCACTTGTCAGCAGTCGGCAAGGCCAAAAACAAAAGTGAGCAGAGCAATGGATGCAAATTTCACCTTTATACAGTAGGGTGGTTTCAGTAACCTGCTGTTGTGGTGAAGGACAGATAATTAATTAATAGCACACTGTCCATAACATGAAAATTATCATGGCGCTAATCAATATTCTGGTGTTTGTGTTCCTTTAGGTCTAGAAATGTATCTTCGATGGAAACAGTAGAAGAAATTTGCCTCCAGCAAGTAGAGAGATCTCTTTTCAAAGAATCCGTTTAGCACAGCAATAGCGCTCTCTCTCTCTCTCTCTCTCTCCCCGTGAGAAAGAATCCCTTGACAAACCACACATTTCTGGAAAAAGTGACTCAAGACTGGAAAAGGGTAGCATTAAAACCAAGCATCTTCCTTGGAGAGAAGACTGGAGAAACAGGAGGCTGATACTTACGTAGTTCAGGGATCGCCAACTTTTTTAGAACTGTGGGCACAGTTAGATTTTTGAGTGAAAGCTTGGGACCACCCCCTCTGGTGGGATATAAATGTAATGATGATGATGGGAAAGTCTGGTGTAAGATTCAGTTAATCCAAAATTAAATGACTTCTTTTTACTCCACTTAATTTGTAGAATTCACTTGTTCATTGAAATGTTCTTTAGCTGGAAGCTTCCCCCGTGTGAGACTCAAGAACTTTTTTGTTTGTAAGCGCAGACATCAAATTAGATTTAAAAACCTGCAGAAAGGTTATATGACCCGCACTCTTTATTGATTTGTTTGGGGTGGAGACTATACAGCTTTAGCCCAAACTTTTTAGTGCATCTCCCTCAACACTTTCCTAACCAACAAAAAGTGTGTGATGTGTTTTTTAAGTGGAATTGTTGTACCCAAACACTTTAAGAAGAAACACTGTGTCAATAATAAAGCCCTGTGGTGCCATGCAGGTCAGACTTTGGGAAAGAGGTCCACGATCCCCATAACAGACTGAGCAGGAGGGCTCCAAAAAGGAGAGTGGGCAATTCACCTCATTCAAAAGTAAATGAAATAATACACATTACCATCTAAATAGCACTCTCCGCAGTCTAGAAGTCCATTAAGGACAAGATTCTTAATTACCCAACTGCACCACTGCTGCCATTTATTTTTTTAAACAAATCCTTATCTTTATTACATTTTAAAACCACTTAAAAAGAGAAAGAAAACATGTATTGCTGCTGTCAAAATATTATACACTTCAAAGAAACAAACTGACACAACGTAAGATTGGCAGTGATAAAAATACTAAACGAAAAAATAAGTAAATGAAACAAAGCCATGCATTTCCCCCCTAAAACCCAAAAGCCGATAAATCAAGACCTCTACATATCCAAAACATATCTATCGGGCAGATAAGTTTGTAGGTACTAGGACCCTCGTACCTACAGGACCGCCTCTCCTGGTATCTCCCACGAAGGACCTTAAGGTCCCTAAATAACAACACTTTGGAAGTCCCAAGTCCCAAGGAGGTTAGATTGGCCTCAACCAGGGCCAGAGCCTTTTCAGCTCTGGCCCCAGCCTGGTGGAACGCCCTACCACAGGAGATCAGGGCCCTGTGGGATTTGACATCTTTCTGCAAGGCCTGCAAGATGGAGCTGTTACGCCTGGCCTTTGGACTGGACTCAGTCTAACCTGCCCTCTCATTTTTATTTTTATGGAATCCCTTATATGGGATTTTGTATATAAATTTTCCCTCGGCTCTTTTTGCTGGCCCATGTAGGACCAGCATGGATAGTTGGCCCCGGTGAATATTTGATGTTTTCTCCCCTTATGGCTTTGATCTATGGGCTACCACTAAAACGAGGCTGCATTTTAAGCTGTATTCTGATTTTTATTTCAATCAACTGTTTTGTTTTTTTTAAAATGTTTTTACTGTATTCATATTCAGTGTTAGCCACCCTGAGCCCAGTCTTGGCCGGGGAGGGTGGGGTATAAATAATTTATTATTATTACTATTATTATTACTATTATGTTCCCAATGTGAGAATAATCCCACCGTACTACATTTCAGGGTTGTTGTGGACCACTCTCACAGCCTCAGCCCAATCGGCAACGTCCCTTCATCAGCCACCATTCATTAATTGATTAAGTCAAAATATAGCATTAAAGACAGAGAAGGCTTTACCATCTCAAAGTAATGGGAGGTATCAGAATGATACCGATGATGACCTGTTATTTAATTTGGCAGGGAATAAAAATACTTGCGTTTATAAAGAACAAGGGCTCTGTTTATTCTGGCGCAGAAGGGGCGGGGCGAAGGAAGGAATTACACGGCGCAAGCCAATCAAAGCCATGCAAAAGAACCCTTCTTTATAAAGCAACCGTCCTTTCTTCACTCCGCAAAGCGTCGAAGGGTATCCCGGCGTTCTTAGCCACTCTAGGCGTTCCAAGCAACAGCAGCAGCAACGACGACGACACATCTCTATGCTCCTCTGCAACCTCCTCCCATTCGTGTAGAACTGGCATGCGCCCATTCAGGAGTTGAAGCTCCGCCCCCTCCCGCTCTTTCCTGCTCTTTCCCTCTTCTTGCAGGCGAGGAAAGTGGCGCCGTAAATAACCGAATAGCTGCGCGCTCCCCGCCTACCCCGCCAAGAAAAGTGGCGGGAAAGGAGGTCTGCGATGGCGGCGCTGGTAGTTGAGGACGTGTTGGCTGAGCTGAGGCTCTTCGGGCTGGACTTGGAGGAGGGTGAAGACGGGGCTGCCCTAACCGACAAATGTGAGCCGCGTATAGAACGGCGAAGGCGATAAATTGGGGGGGGGTATTTACTAGGAAGGGCGCTAGTTCTCATTGAGGAGCTTTTTATTTGGAGGGGGCTTAATTTGGGATAAGCAGGCGGTTGCCTATGTGGGGAAGAGCGGTGGACTTGGGGGGATTTCTGGGGGATGGAAGAAGCGTGGAGAGAAAGTGGGGAAAGAAGATATGGGGAAAAGAGGGAGGCGGATTCAGAGAGATGGGCAGTTTTAAAAATGAGACTTGCCTGGATCGGGCCAGAAGATCCGTCTAGCCGAGGATCCTATTTCCAGGAGTGAGCTGCTGTATATTCCTCTGGGAAAGCAGGGCCTGAAGGAAACGGTTGTTTATTTTCTGTACCTGGTCTTCAAAGGTAGACTGTCCCTGAATGTGGAAGCTCAGTGTGACTCTCGTAGCTGCTGTCTACAGGAGAATGTGGCTGTGAGCTTTGCCTGTTTGAAATGCTGCCCCTTAATAAATTGTTTTTGGCTGGCTTTAATATCGTTGTAACCCAGCCCTGGGGCCTTATGGTGAAGGGTTGCCTTCCTGAATCAGACGACGGGAATTAGGGTTGAACTGTTAATGTGCTTTAAATCTTACATTCAAACAAATCCAGGAAATTTGCCAGGAAATTATTTTTATTGTAATACTTGTAACTATTTTTTTGACATTTCAATGAAATACAATGTAAAAGATTTCAATTATTTAGATTTTAAGAAAAACAACAAAGGTGCTAAAAGTTATAAATATATTTTTAAACTTTGATTTTAGATTTCACTAGTATGGTTTCTATTGCCCATTTTGGACTGGATTGTGTGTATTCTGTTCATTGATTACATGAGACAATTTCAAAAACTGGAAAGTTTTCTGCAGAAAAATCTAATGGTGGAAATTTTTCATCGCACTTCACTGAGGTGGATCTCACTGTCTGTTAGAGGGATGTCCTTGAGGAACTGATAAACTACCGCTGTTTAATAACTCCTCTCTCTCTTTCTCTCTTGTAGTGGTGGAACTTTGCACGTTGTACAGGTTGAAAGAAAACGAGATTGCAAATAAAATAATTGCTTTTGCTGTAACGAAGCAATTCATTAAGCTTACGGCAGAGTTCCTGCACATCTTTGAACATGAAGTAAGTGAGCTTTTGGAAGGAATTGCGGTAGATAGATGTTTTGATTTGCCTATTTGAGGTAGATCCACTATAAAGGCAGTTCCGCTATGGTGCATTCAGTGGATAGAACGATATATGGAGCATAGGCGGCAGCCCCTACCCTCTGAAACTCCCTGCCTATTGATGTTAGGCAGTCTCCTGGGCTGTACTGTTTTTGGCACTGGCTAAAAACTTTTAGAATGCCATCTTGCATGCAATTTAACCGTGTACAGTGGTACCTCGGGTTACATACGCTTCAGGTTACAGACTCCGCTAACCGAGAAATAGTACCTCAGGTTAAGACCATTGCTTCAGGATGAGAACAGAAATTGTGCTCTGGCGGCGCTAAAGTGGCACTTCAGGTTAAGAACAGTTTCAGGTTAAGAACGGAGCTCTGGAAAGAATTAAGTACTTAACCCGAGGTACCACTGTATGTTCATTTTAAAACAGCAGATTTTGCTTTTTGATACATTTCATGTCAATTTGTTTTTAATGTTTTATGTTATGACTGTTTTGCTAGAGGTTGCCGCCCCTGCCCACTTTGCTCGCCTACCCACCCCCCTTACTGATACCCTTTAGAGCTTGATGTTAGAGGTGCAGAGCAGAAAGGCAGGGAAGACTACAAAAGGCTTTGACCATCTCATGCTGTCACTGCCCCCTGGTTGATTAGGAAGAGTCATCACAGCACACGAAGGATGAAGGGAGCCAGGATCTGCTGGGAAGCAGTGGCAAAAGCAGTGGATCCTTAAGCGGGGCGGGGGGCGGGGAAGTGGCCAGTAGCAGTGCTGGCCAGCCTATGGATCCAGTCCCTTGAGTCAGGGTCAGCGTTCGAAATTTGCCAAGTGCCAGGCGCATGGGGAAAAGGTTCTTGCTCAGAGAGAGATGTTCTTTCCATTTCTTCTCTGTTCAGAACAGAAGGGAGGGTGTCATCCAATGAAATGTGGGCATGTTTAATGGGACTTCCAAGAGGATCAAGCAGTCTTTTCATCATTGCTGATGTTTCGGACAATATTTACGGGTGCCATAGCAGGTACTGATGCACATAGCAGTACCCATGTCTGCCTTGTTGATCCCGGCTAAGCCAAAAGTGCTGTGATGATGGGAGGTGTTAGCTTCCCTGGGGTTTCGACTGCTCGTGCTCTTCTTTCAGGTGCTGCACAAGCGATCCACGAAACCGCAGAAGAGGAAGGAGAGCCAGTACCCTAGAATCAGAGATGTCAACAGCATTCAAGAACTGTATCCTCCCAAGCAGCTGAGCATGACTCAAACGGAGAGGTCCTTTTGAACATGGCAGCAAAACGCCCTAGCGGTAAAACTAATCAAATGCAAGCTTTGTCTCTCTGTACCCCACTGTTGTCTTCTAATGTTTGGGTGAGAGAAAAAATCTAATTTTAAAAATGGGGTGAATTGGAGCAATTTTCCCTTTTTGTGGTGGCTGCTATTATGGGGTTCAGCCCTTGACTCTGATTTCAGTGTTCTGCCTTGAAGTAGGCACACTAATACTGAAGAGGAGAAGCATCTAAACATGTGCAAAGCGCATTTCACCAGCGTAACCTATGTTGCACACCCATGTAGTCTTCTCCACCTTGTGCAATAGCACCCCATGGGTCGTGGACCACATATGCCATCATGCTTTGTCACTGGCTGTTCCTGGGTGGGACCGATGGGGGTCAGACAACCAGTGAGCAACGATGGCTCTTGTGTAATTTTAGCTCATGCATTTTCGGTGTGCGTTTGGCTCCCTTGACTCTTCTTAGTCTCGATGTAGAGGAGGAGGAAGAAAACCTTCTAGATACCTACACGTCACCATCAAAAGTAAGTATGTGGAAGGGAGGAAATTTTGAAGAACATGTATAGGAACGAGCTCACAACGCATCTTGCACACGTTAGCTGATGCAGGAACATTGCAACTTAGAAAGCTGTGCGCACCTGTGACCTTCTGCATTCAAAGACAGTGCCTTGCCTCTGTGCTATCTTTATATCACATCAGACTATTTCTCTATCTAGTCCAATGTTTATCCTCTCTGGCTTGTGGGAACTCTCTTAAGCTGTCAGGCAGAGACCTGCTTTTGTGCTGGGACAAATTTTGTATGGTATATTTGTATTTGCATTTTATATTGATTTGTATCAATAAGAGCACTACTGGGGCAAGGCAAGGGCACATCTAGAAATCCAGCACCCAGGGCTGTATCCAACTAAGTTCTACTTAGAGTAGACCCAATGAAATTAATGGGCTCAAGTTAGTTGTGCTCATTAATTTCATTGGGTGTCCTCTGAGTAGAGCTAACATGGGGTGCAAACTTCTCTCACAGTGGCCAACCGGATATCTATAGCAAGCAGAACCTGAGTGCAACAGCACCAACAATTGGCAGCAAAAGACATACTGCCTCTGACTGTGGAAGGAGAACTTAGAGTAGCTATTGTGACTAGTAGCCACTGATTGGCTGCATAGAATCACAAAATTGCAGAGTTGGAAGGGATCAACTTCAGCAGTGCAGGAATCTTTTGCCCAACGTGGGGCTTGAACCCACGACCCTGAGAGTGAGTCTCATGCTCTACCAACCTGAGCTATACCGACTCAATAATTTGTCTACCCCTCTTTTGGCCCTTGCTGCCTTTCACTGGAGCAAATTTCCTAGTTTGTGTGCTGTGCAAAGGACTTCCGTTGTGTGTCCTGAATTTTCTTCACCTGGGACTGGGAGACACCTTCCTCTGAGACCCTGGAGAGCTACTGCCAATCAGAGCAGAAAACAGCCGGCCAGATGTTTTTAGTTTAGTCTTTAAAAAAAAAAAAGGCAAGGAAGGTGAGAAAACACAAACGATGTACAGTGTAGAGCCAGTTTTTCTCCCCCTCTCATATAACACTAGAGCCCAGTGATGCTGGATGATGGGAGATTCAGGACAGAAAGCAGGTAGACTTGTGAATTATCCCCCACCTAAAACACTGCAGAGCTTCTGCCAGCCAGTGTAGACAGTACTAGGCTACATGGACCAATGTTCTAACTCCTGTGCTTCCAACAAGGCTCTCTGTGAGGCTGAGCTGCTCTACCCTTTACTGTCTTGCAGGGATCTCAGAAGCGGGTGATAACCACACCGGAAAACCCGCGTTCCAAGCGGACTCTCTCCAACTGCAGTCCCCGCCTGGCCTTCTCCCCCAGCAGCTTCTCGCCCAGGTATGCCTTGACGCAGCCCGTAAATGTGTGGCCCACCTCTTTCTTTGATTAGCCAGCGTTGCTTTTCTGAAGGACTCAGAACCTGCCTCTTGTTCAGAGATGTCAAAGTGTCCTTAAAGAAGAGGGCCCATTCCGGCTGCTGCACAAATGCATTGCAGCTGAAAATGGACCCATTTCTGGTGGAGCTTTGAGGTGCAGCAAACCAAGTTTTGGTACAGTGGCTCAGTAACTGCTGCTTTCACTTTGCTGGTTGACCGTGATGCATGTCTAGCTGTGCCGATCCTTGGGTTGATTTGCCACATGCTGAATTTGCCGGAGGTCCTCTTGGTGTGCCAACTTGGCTGGGTGAATTGGGATTTTTTTGTTTTGTTTTAGATGCTGGATTTATTACAGGGAAAGGCCTTGCTAGAAAAATAATGTGTGTTTTCTAAACTAGTTTTTAGTATTGCGTGTGAATAAGAGGGCAATCCTAACCCTAATCCTAGCTGCAGCCCTAAAACTCGTAGCTGCATATCTGCACCACAGGCATTAAACTGCTGGTTTAAGAGCCCATATCTCTGCTGCAGAAATCACTGGGAAATGTCGCTGGGTGGAGGCTTACTGTGTGTAGGGGGGCTGGGTGCATGCATGGGAGCCACACCCCCAATATCGCCTCTGTACTGGTTGCACCTTGACTTTCATGCCAAAAACGTTCAAAAATTGGAGTGGCTGTGTCTAGCGTGCAGGGAGAGTTGGTTCGCGCACTTCCAGTCACATTCAGGCTGGGCACCTGAACAGTGCTGCTCTAAATTGAAGATAAAACCTGATAACTTTAAAGTCCATCGAATTCAGTGGGACCACTCTGAGCCTGACTTAATTGGCCGCAACCAAGCCATGGTTCAGAGCTTCCAACAACATACTGAGGAAACAATGGCTCTGAGCTTGTTGTCTTCTTTTTTGTGTGTTCTTTACCACCTGCTTTAATGCTTCAGGTGCTGCGGCCTTCAGAGACAGAACAGTGGTTTGTCCCTTCAGATGTGATACTAAGTTCTAGTTGGCGCAAACTCAAACCATAGCTCCTGGTCTTGGCCTGTTAGTCAGTCACAAACCATGGTGCATCTGTTTAGACACTTAAATACAGTGCAAGCTGCTGTTAAAGACAGATTTTCCGTTCTACTTTTTGTTTCATTCCTTTTCTGCAGTATCATACCAGAGGGGGAAAAAATGCCTCACATCTCATACCCCTACTAAGGTTTTTGTTGATTACTCAGGGGGATGCGGGTGGTGCTGTGGGTTAAACCACAGAGCCTAGGACTTGCCGATCAGAAGGTCGGCGGTTCGAATCCCCGCGACGGGGTGAGCTCCCGTTGCTCGGTCCCTGCTCCTGCCAACCTAGCAGTTTGAAAGCACGTCAAAGTGCAAGTAGATAAATAGGTACCGCTCCGGCGGGAAGGTAAACGGTGTTTCTGTGCTGTGCTCTGGTTCGCCAGAAGCGGCTTAGTCATGCTGGCCACATGACCTGGAAGCTGTACTCCGGCTCTCTTGGCCAATAAAGTGAGATGAGCGCTGCAACCCCAGAGTCGGCCATGACTGGACCTAGTGGTCAGGGGTCCCTTTACCTTTTACCAGATTAAAGACCCAGTTGCAATTGGATAAAACTATTTAACACTGGGCAATGCTTGTAAAATATTGATCTTGAAATCAAGGAAGTGACCAGGTTTTCCTGAATTTTTAAAAATTGTTTCTCTTCTTCCCCTTGCTTGCCGCCCCTCAAGGGCTACCCCTTCACAGAAGTATGGTTCTCGAAGCAACCGCGGAGAGGTTGTCACCTCCTTCGGCTCTGTGCAGGGAACCTCCTGGAGGGGAAATGGCGGCTTGGGCACCTCTGTGAACCTCTTCCATTCTCCCCAAGATTCCCTCACCAAGCCCTACAAATTCATGTTCCAGGAACTTGTGGATAACCGTGAAGGTAATTTTTAGAAAATCCTCTATCTGTTTCTACCTGTATATTGAAAACCTACTGGACATGATCCAGCTAGTGCAGAATGTGATTGCGGGTGCACTGACAGGTACTTGCAGAACTCCTGGTTTTTTTAGGATCTGCGCTAACTGCCTGCATGTCACCAGGCCAGCTTAAGGTGTAGTCTGGAACTATACTTGATGATCTAACAATGTTGATAGTTTTTACTTGGACTTTGTTGTTTTAATTCAAGTGCAGCTACTCTTTCTGCATGCCTACTTTACAGTTTTCATCTTTTAATTTTTTTAAAAAATTGAGTTTTGGGCAAATACAAACAAGACTCAACATAAACAAATTACAGAAAACAAAGAAAGCAAAAAAATAACAAGAGGAAATAAAAATAAAAAGAAAGGAAAAACAAAAGCATGAACAAAAATGAAGTGAAATTAACTATACAATACTATTTCAAAACATCAATCCTCAAACAAAATACTTTCCCTTTTGGAATAGATCTCTTTTGTTATTCTGTTTATTTTCGTTTTCATCTTTTAATTTTTGCGTGTTGTTACAATTGTTCTCTCTGTTTTATATACAATATAAAGTGAAATAGTAATAAAAATGTTTCAATAATACAAATAATAATAAATAAATAAATAATAAAATTTTATTTATATCTCGCCCTCAATCAATCTTTATCTGCCTCTTTCCCTCCCTCTAAAAATGAAATAAGTGCTTTCCTGCAAGATGGAAGACCTTGGTGCGGCACTGAAGGAGCACTACAAAATAGAAGAATTTTCTTCTTTGATCATCCCTGTGCAGGTAACCTCTGTGCTAATATCTTACGGGTGCTAGAACTTAATTATTTACATGGGTGAGTGTATCTAAAGTTGTCCAGTGGGGTTTGTGATCATTCTGCACATGCTCAGAGAAACAGTTGCTTTAAACTAGCAGTGGAGAATCTCAGGTTTCCAAGCCTCCATGTCACTGCCAGGCCTCTCCATTTGGCCAGTGAGGCAGTTTCTGCCAAGCCCATGCCCTTAACACTCTACATTGGATGTCTGTTGTGGGGCAGGTAAAGACGTGGCTGGGCTGAACGGGAGTTTGTGAACACCGTGGCTTTCCTGATCGCTGGCCCCACTCAGTGCTTTGCAAAAGTGCCATCAGTTAGCTTATCATTACCATGCTGGTCCTGTTTGGGGAGGAAAGGATTGCTATCCTTCCAATTTGTGAACCAGATTAGACTTTATTGGGTTATATCAGACTAATTTCTCCTTAATGTAGGCCCATGAAGTTATACCGCTTTCCCCCTCTCTATTCACAACAGCCCTATAGTGTTGGCTAGATCTGATGGACTCTAAGGCAACCGCTTGGTAGCATGGAGATATGCTGTGCTCAGGATTTTAGTGCTTTAAAAAAAATGTTCCTTCGTTTGTTTGTTTTTGAATGATGCTGGGAAAGGAGCCAGTCACTGTCCTGGGCCAAATCGGCTGCGATTCCAACGGGAAGCTGAACGCCAAGTCCGTCATCTTGGAAGGGGATCAGGAGCACTCCTCCGGAGGCCTGGTACCTGTGGATGTATCTGAGCTCCAGGAGTACTCGCTCTTCCCAGGACAGGTGAGGCATTTGGGAAGTGGGGTGTGTGTGTGTGTGTGTTCATGATAATTTATTAATTTATGAACCACCTTTTCACAGAGGACAAAAGTAGTCATGATAGATAAAACAGAAAAAGTACACAGTCAAGCTGAACAGTTTCCACATAAATTATAATCCGATCTGAAACAAAGATACCAAAAATCTATGTCAGTAATGGCAACTAACCCCCCACCCCAGCCAACCAAACACCCTAAACATTACCCAGCACAAGAGTTTGTTCAGCCACCTCAGCTTTTGTAGCTGGAGTCAGTCTGGGCCCTTCCCTCCCAGGCCAGGTGGGAACAGGCCTGCAAGGCAGGGAGCAGATCTTCCAGGACTCACAGCCAAGATGACAGTGGAGATGAAACGTAGCCATTGTGGCTAGTAGCCATTCAAAGCCTTATTGCGCATGAATTTGTCTTTCAGAAGACTTGCCTGCCTTGAGAAAAGTAAATAAATTGTGAACGCATTCCTTGCTTTTGCCACCGTCTCTTTCCTGCAGTGAAAATAAACAAAAGTTGACGTTGATTGCCTGTCTTATTTCCCCCTTACATCTTCCAGGTTGTGGTTATGGAAGGCATGAACAGTACTGGGGAGAGGCTGGTTGCGTCCAAGCTGTATGAGGTGATAACTTTTTTTATTTTTCAATGCATTTCCCTACCACATTTCATGACCTTGAAGTCAGGTTATTCTGTTCTCACAACCACATTATTTGCAGAGGCTTGGTACAGAGGGGGGGGGGGGAGTTGCAAGCACTATGGAGATATGGATCTTTTCTCTCTTTGTAAAGGAAGATGGAAGCACATTTAACTCCCCCCCCCTTATTTTCCTCTCCCCCCCCCTCAGGGCGTACCGCTTCCTTTTTATCAGCCTGTGGATCAAACGGAAGGTGAGTTAGACCCAGTGCTTCAAAGAGAGGGGCTTGCCCTCAACCTTGCCCAAAACAGGGGTGGGAAAGCTTTTCAACCTGAGGGCCACATTACCTCATGGGCAACAGTCTGGGGGCCGCATGCCAGCAGCCAGCCCCCACGTGATACTTACAACCAGAAGCAGGCTCCAGAAGCAGCTTCTCAGCTGGAAAAGTTGAGGAGTCAGGGAGGTAACAGGAGGTGTTTCTGAGAGCTACCTTGAGCCTCCTTCAGAGGGCAGATCTCCACCCTCTAGCCTGCTGGGACCCTCCCAGGGATCAGGGATCTCTTGGGGTTCAGAATCTGCTATCCCCATCCCACGGAGACCCTCGCCACAGTCCTCCAGCTCTAACTCCCCAAATTCATCACCATTTTGTTTGTATGCCGCCTTTCCAAAGTTAAAACCATGCGCAAGGCAGTTTACAGCATGAAAAGATTCACATAATTACCGGAAGTAGTCATAAACAATAAATAAAACACATCAAAAAGTACACCACAGTAAGATCTAAAAATATACAAAAAAATGTCAGTAACAGCAACAAAAGATCTCCTAATGATACCCCAGCCTGAGACTCTGTTCAGCAACCTCAGCTTCTGTAGCTGGAGTCAGTCCAGGCCCCACCCTCCTGGGCCAGGTGGAAAAATGTCATTCTGCTTCAGGGTCTGTTCCCTTTTTCCATGACACCTCCATGACAGTCCTGCATCTCCCAACATTCAGCTTCAAGTGCATGGCATCCCCTAAAAGGGTAGGGAAACAGTTTCACTTCTCTTTATGAACTGGATAGGTATATGCCTATCCATTTAGAGTACCTCGCTGAAATTCTCATTGGCGTCTTGCGTTTGGCTCCTGAGATTATCACCAGCCTTTCACCCTCCCTCCCTCCTCCCTCCCGCCCACCTTCTTGCACGCAACCCTAAGGACTAGAAACTTGTAATTTAATTTGTCCCCCTCTCCCACAAATGGAAGATAAAACTTTGTATCCAGTACCTAATTCTGCTCTTGTATGGAATTCATAGCTCAGGATCTGTTCACTGTAGGAACTTGGTTGGTTAGTAATGGAAGTGAAGTTCCTGTTTTCAAAGCCCGTTAACTGTTTCAGGTCCAGAGCTGCAGATGGTCCTCGTTGCCTGTGGTCCTTATACCACCTCGGACAGCATCACCTACGACCCCATGTTGGACCTGATAGACGTTATTAATAGAGACAAGCCAGATGTTTGCATTCTGGTAAGGGCTGAGCGTCTGTGGTTGCTTTATAGAAGGGCGGGGGACCCATTTTCAGCCTGAGGGTTTCATTCGCTCGTGGGCAAACTTCCAGGAGCCACATAACAATAGTAGCCAAGGGGTGGGCAAGGTGGACAGCCAATGGCGTCGTTTCTCTTCCATTTGACCAGCCTGAATCAACACAGGGCCTACATGCTGGCGAGACGAAATGTGTTGCCCTTGGCAGTGCTATGGGGGAGGTTCTAGAAAACTCCACTCGTAGAGAGACTCTGCCGCTATGGACAGACACAACTAGAATCAGTTGCACATGTTGTTTCGAACTGCCCCTGGTATCAGACAATTTGATCTAAGTTCATTAATCGGTTGGTTGTTAGCAGGGAGAGGCATTCAAGCGAATGCAAGGTAGCCTTCCTTATGTTTACTCAGGATGGGGCTAAGACAGAGATAGTAGCTAGGGTTCTGCTACACGCCATGAGGATTCGTGAATGCTATACAACACTAACTTAAGCGTTAGATGCAGGGTTTTATTTCTCTTTCTTAATTGGTTTTTTTGTATTAAACCGTACTGGAATCTTGTACATATGCCAATAAGGGTTTGAGAATCTGGTGGCAAAAATCGGGCAGAGCAATGCGTAAAGCTCTTAAGGTTACATTTCAGCCAAGCAAAACAATCAAGGAGGATGCGGCTTCGAGAAGCGTCCTGAGGGTCAAATGAAGAGGCGGGGGGTTGCATTTGGCCCCCGGGCCCTAACCTCTGCTTTGTATAGGTTATCAATAAGTGGCTAGTTGCCCATCTTTGTCGTCCTCAGTAGCCAAGGATGAGTAGTTGAAATAAATGAAATAGCAATAAACAACGGTTGTTGGTTGTGATACTGTTCTAATGACAGAGGGGGAAGGCAGAATAATGAAAGTCATCAATGCATGGGAAGTCAATGTCATGCTTATCGCATCTGGTAAAAGTTAGAATTTTGGGGGGGAGGAAGGAAGTTTTCCTGTGACTCTAGCCCTAGAATTGAAAACATAGCCTTGTCCTGCTACGTTTTTATTAATTGACGGGGCTCTTAAGGGACCTTGATAGGTTTTTCAGAAATGTTGGTGGCGGTTAATTAGGGCCTTGTCGTCCCCTCTTTGATGACCTTCATTTCCTTTGATTGTTTTGCAGCTCGGGCCTTTCCTTGATGCAAAACACAAGCAAGTTGAGGTAAGTTCAGTAAATGGGGAATGGATTTGAAAGTTCATGATTCTTTTTTTCTTCTTCTTTTCTGTTTTCTTTAGAAACCCTGCTGACTGTGTGTCCCACACTTTCCTTTTTGGAAACCAGTTGTGTATGATTCTTAAAGCAAACATCTAGTCCTTAACACAGTATTTTCCTAACTAATGACAAATAGTATTTTGTGTGTGTGCACACGCACGCGCAGGTTACCTTTTCCTTAGATTAAAATCAGATGCACATTTTGTTCACAAACTCCATAGATCTACTCCAGAGATATCCAAGGGAGAGTTTTTTCATTTATTTGGGAGACATCCAGGGCCATAGTTTGGAAAGCAGGACTTGCAGGAGAAATGTTTCTCTCAAGGAACTTCCCAGCTTCTCATTTAATTTTCAGATTTCATTCAAAAAGCAGCAATCTAGAAGTCTTCCTTGGCAGGGGCATAAAAGAGGTCAGCTGTGGTGTAGTGGTTAGAGCGCCACACTAGAGCCTGGGAGAGACCAGGGTTCAGATTTCCCACTCACCCACAAAAGCCTGCTTGGTCAATCTCTGTCTTTTAGCCTGGTCTACCTCACAAGATAAGATGTAGACAGGGAGAACCATGTCCACTTCCTTGAGACTCCTTGGAGGGAAGGTGGATTATAAAGGTAGCAGTAGTAATAATAATAAAAATATGCAGCCAGCACTCTTCCCCAAGTCTCTAGGAAACAAAGAAATGCAAGGTTAATTGTACAGTGCTACCTTGGTTCCTGAACGGCTTAGTTGCCGAATGTTTTGGCTCCCAAACGTCACAAACCCAGAAGTGAGTATTCCGGTTTGTGAACGTTTTTTGGAAGCCGAACATCCGATGCGGCTTCCGCTTGAGTGCAGGAAGCTCCTGCAGCCAATCGGAAGCCATGCCTTGGTTTTCAAATGGTTTCGGGAGTTGAACGTACTCCCGGAATGGATTAAGTTCGAGAACCAAGGTACCACGGTATTTTAAAAATTAATTTGCTCCTCCCTACTAACATTTAATTAATTAATTAATTAACATTTCTTAGCCACTTTCTGCCATAAGGTGTCTGGCAATGGAATCCATAACAATGGAATCATACTCTATCTATCTATCTATCTATCTATCTATCTATCTATCTATCATCTATCTATCTATTTTAAAAAGCCAAGTAACACAGTTCCAAACAGAATAGTGTAGATTAAACAAATGAAGCAGGATTCTAAGGAGAGGTGAGGGTGGGAAATCCCTTAACTGTCCAGGGCCAGGGTATGAAACTGCTATGAAGGTGCCAGACACACCTCTGTAGATAGGTAGTCCCACCATTGGGGGCTGCCACAGAGAAAGCCCTGTCTTGAGCCGCCATTCTCTGCACTTCCGAGGGTGTTGGAACTAACAAGAGGGCCCATCCCTCTGATCACCCAAAATGGGAGACTGTAAGGATGGAGGTGGTCTTTCAGATATTTGAGGTCTAACCGCGAACTCCTTATCCTGTGTGGATCTTGCCGATCTGGGGTCTCTGGCATGAAAAGATCTTCCCCCTCGTCTGTGGTTGGATCCTCCTTAACTGGTAACACTGGGGATTGGACTTGGGACGTTCTGCATGTGAAGCAAACGTTCTGCCACTGAGTTCCTGTTCTTCCTCTGCTTTTTCTTCTCTCCCAAGGACTCTCAGCTCACTGCCTCGTTTGAAGACATCTTCAAGAGGTGCATGAAGATGATAGTCGAAGGGACAAGGAGGTGAGAACAAGAACGTGAGAAGAGCCCGTGGCCCATCTAGCTCAGCCTCCTGTATCTCGCAGGGGCTCATCAGATGCCTCTGGGAAGCCCAAAAGCAGGACAAAACGCAACGGCGCTCTCCTCACTTGTGGCTCAAAGCAGCTGGCATGCTGTGAGAGACTGCCTCCGACAGCGGTTATAGGACATAGCCCCCATGGCTAATAGTGAGAAGCAGGGTCCAATGGGAAAGGAATTGTTCACACGGTAAATAATTATCTTCTGGAACTCACTGCCACTAGATTTAAGATGGCCCCTAGCTTCAGTAGAGGGTAAGACCTGGAAGAATGGTGGCACCAGGGACCCATCACCGTCTCTTGGCCACAGAAACCAAGTGGTTCGGAGGCAGTGAGAGCTGTTGCCTTCGGGCTTCCCTTGTGGGCTTTCTTGAAGCAACTTGTCAGCTGACAGCTCCCAGGATTCTTTGGGGGAAGCCGTTAAAGCAGTATAAGAGCGTTTTAAGTGTATAGTGCAGAGGAGGCCTTAGCTCTTCTGTTTCCCAACAGTGCTGGATCGCACCTTGTCATCGTTCCTTCGCTGAGAGACGTCCACCATCACTGCATCTATCCCCAGCCGCCTTTGACTTGCGAGCTCTCGAAAGAAGACAAACAGGTGCTTCCTACAATCCAAAGGCAGTGCCTTTGTTTAAAGGTTTTGAATCCGTACGTGCATAGCTGGAATATCTGTATTTTGGCCTGCCTGGTGGAGCTTAGAGGTTGGTGGCTTTCAAAGCCTGGTAGGAACCCTGAAGTTTCTCAGATGCTCTGTGAGGCCTGAAATCAGCCTTGTCCGTCTGAAGACATCAATTTTAGCCGGAGTGCCTTCCATCAGCTTCGGCTGGTGGCTCAGCTACGCCCCTCTCTGGACAGGGATAGCTTCACTACTGTTGTCTATGCTCTGGTCACCTCAAGGGTAGATTACTGCAATGTGTTATACGTAGAGCTGCCTCTGAAGATGGTTCAGAAACTTCAGCTGGTGCAGAATTCAGCGGGCAGGTTGCTCACCAGAGCAAGACGGTTTGAGCATATTACACCAATCCTGGTTCGACTGCACTGGCTACCAGTTAGCTTCTGGGCCCAATTCAAAGTGCTGGTTTTGGCCTATAAAGCCTTAAATGGCTCAGGACCGCAATACCTCAAGGCCTGCCTCTTTACATATGAACCTGCCTGGACCCTGAGATCATCTTCTGAGGCCCTTCATGTGCCTCCTTCTTGAGAGGTCCAAAGGGTGGCAGCACAAGAATGTGCCTTCTCTGCAGTGGCTCCCCGTCTATGGAATGCTCTCCTCAGGGAAATTCGCCTGGCGCCTTCATTATACACCTTTAGGCACCAGGTGAAAACATTCCCTTTTAAACCAGGCCTTTGGTTGATTTGATTTACATCCTATGTCCTTTTAAAGTTGGGGGGGAGGGGTTATTGGGTTTTTATTTTTATTAATGGATTTTGTGGTTTTTATATTTTGATTTTGTTCTGTATTTTGATTTTGATGATGGTGATGATGCAGGTCTCTGCCCCAAGGGACTCAATCTGAAAATAAACATAGAAGCACAGAGGAAGGAGACTGAAACAGAGACAAACAGGGGAAGAACCTGTGATTAACTCAGTTACATGTGCTTAAAGCTTAGCTGCAGTAGGGTATACCTTACACCAGGCTTCCTCAACCTTGGCCCTCCAGATGTTTTGAGACTACAATCCCCAGCATCCCTGACCACTGGTCCTGCTAGCTAGGGATCATGGGAGTTGTAGGCCAAAAACATCTGGAGGGCCGAGGTTGAGGAAGCCTGCCTTACACCTTTACCTGAGAGGTCTACATAGGAACCTGGTACTTAGTCGGGCTATTGGGGTCCATCTAGCTCCATATTGTCTACACTGACTGGCAGCAGCGCTCCAGAGTTTCAGGCAGCGAATCTTCCCCAGCCTTACCTGGAGAAGCTAGGCAAAGCTGATGCTCTGGCATTAAATTAAGAACTTTCCTGCTTCAAATGAGTCCCCTCACATGTTCAGTAAATTGGGGGGGGGGGGCTAGCAAGGGTGTTCCTGCTGGCCACGCCCCTCCCTTCACTAAACACATGAAGGATTTTTTTTCTCCTTTTAACACTCCTTGTGTGGGTGCATTCTGCATGTGCAGCATTTAGCTGGATCCCGTGTAAAAGCTCCATCTCCCAGAAGGGGGAGCTCCCAGCTGAAGAAAAGGCACCGTGTTTGCACTGCTGTTTGCTGTGCTCTTCTGGGCAAAGCCTGGTGTTTTCCTCTCGCTCCTGATGGGAGTTTGGAGGTGCTTTTAGTGAACTCTCAGGTTTGGTATGGGGTAGTGGGGAGACCTGGAAGCCTGTATGGCTTTTCCCCACAAAGAAAAAAGTGTGTTCATCGGAGCTGATGAGCTCTTTGCTGTGCTCTGAAAAGTCTTCTGTTTAGACCAGTTCTTGGGTCTCCAGCTGTTTTTGGTCTACGATTCCCATCATCACCTACCTGGCAATGATAGGTAAATGTGATTTGCATTTAATTATGTAGTTTTATGCTCTACCATGTAATTATGTAGTTTTATGCTGACCCACTGAGATCAATTGACACGGGTCCATTCATTGCAGTAGGTCTATGATTGGCCTTCTCTGGGGTTTCAGACAGGGGGCATTCCCTGTACTACCTGGGGAGATGCTAGGGATTGAACCTGGGACCCCCTGAATGCAAGGCAGATGCTCTGCCACTGATCTACCGCCCTTCCCAATCTTTGCCCATCCAGCCCAGTATTGTGTACTCGAACCAGAATCTAAGGGCCTTACTCTTCCCTCCCACAAGGGCCCTCGGACTCCTTCCCTGAGCTTGGAGAAAGAAGAGAAACAGGGTGTAGCTGAAGGGCGAGGCAAGGCTGTGGTTCTCTCTTCACTCATGGAGGCAGGTTGCCTCTGAAAATCCAGCTGCTGAGAATTGCAAGTGTGTGTGTGTGTGTGTGTGTGTGTGTGTGTGTGTGTGTGTGTTGTGTGTGTGTTGAGAGTTGTGCTGCACTCAGCTCCTGTGTTCAGGCACCTGGTTGGCCACTGTGAGAATAGGCTTATGTTCTAAGGCTCTGGATAGAGATGGAGAATCTTAGGCAGCAAAGGGCTTCTCAGCTATCCCAGAGTCCAGCTGCGTGTGTGTTTTGGTTATAGCGCTTTCCGAGGAAGCATAGAGTGCATTCCCAATCGGAGCCCCTTGGCAGGAAGTCCTGCGTCATTTACTCTGCAGCAGAAATATGGGGGTTTCCCTGGAGCAGCTTAAGCTTTTTCCACCAGGAACCAAATTTGTCTGTGGCCTTTCTGAATGTGTCCCTTCCTTACACACCTCCTTACTTGCCTTATTTGCTTATTGAAGGATTTTTTCCCTACTCTTGGCATAAGAGCGTCTGACGTGCACTGCAGCAGGATGAGGCCAAAGGCCCACTATAGTCCCAGCATCCTATTCTTATAGCAGCCTATCAGATGCCTCTGGAAAAAACGCCCAAGCAGGAGCTGCCCGCTTGTGATTCTCAGCAGTCAGATACTTCAGGACATACTGTCGCCAGCAGTGGAAGTTGAACATGGCCACAGAGAGCCTTATCCTCCATGAATCCTCCTTTAAAAAAATAAAATAAAATAAATTTTTAAAATTGAAACTTTTCAATCTAGAATACAATAAAAGCCAAACTAATCTAAATAAAAATAAAAGAGAAAGCAGGAAACAAAGCGAAAAAGGAAGGAAGGGTGGGAAGCAAAGAGAAAAATTAGAAAAGGGGGAGGAGGAAGAAGGAAATAAGCCCTCTATGAGAGTTGTATCTTAACCCTTGTCACACACATAGGGCAGTGTGTGTAGGCTTCTAACACACACTATTTTCAAAACAGCCTTGTGAGACTAGGCAGAGAGAATGTTGTTGGCCCAAGTCCAACAAGGAAATTTCATGACCTAATGGGAATTTGTACCCAGGTCTTCCCCAGCCTTTGTCTGACATTATAACAACTACACCACAGTGGATAAACGAGGATTATCCCCATTTCTTCCCCCTTGGTGGTATTGGATACTGATGTGGCAGATGAAGAAATACTGTATTTACCCAAATGTAATGCGTGAAAATTAGGGCACGCATAAGGTTTGATGGTGCATTTACACCAACAAATACTTTTTCAAGATTTTGAAAATTGAGGTGCGTGTTAGATTCGATGCCGCATTACATTCGAGTAAATATGGTAACTGAGGGGAGTTAATAGCAAAACACTTGTAGCAATCTATAAGGTAGAGTCTACGTTGGTCCCATTTTACAGATTTTTAGTGTGTGTGGGGGGGTGGGAAGTGGACCAAAGCCATGAAAACAATTCTCTTGAGGCTACCTGAAAATGTATGATTCTGACCTGGTATTCAAACTCTGAGAATCCCTGGGCTGTGCTGAGTCTCTTCTCTCTGTGCCCCCCTCAAAGTAGTGATGAAAGAGCTTTGTAACTGCCTCATATCTTTAGGCCCTGACTCTTATCCTGCCTTAAAAATAAAAATAAAATCTGCCGTGCTTTCTACTTGAATGCCCAGTTTGGGAGCTGTTTGGTCAACCCGAACAAACCCTCTCTCCCCTTTTCTCCAATTCTAGAGAGTTCTCTTCGTTTCTGACCCCTGCACCTTGGAGATCAACGGTGTGGTTTTTGGCTTGACTTCTGTGGACCTGGTCTTTCACATGGGCTCAGAAGAAATTAGCAGGTATGTTCAAAGCAGGGGTGTAGATTCGCAGAACTGTAGAGTTGGTAGGGGACACCAAGGGACATCTAGTCCAACCCCTTGCAATGCAGGATGCTCTTAAACTCTAAAACCATGAGGTGGGTGTATTTTTTTCCCCAGCCTGAGGGCCGTATTGCATCTTGGCCAACCTTCCAGGGGCCCACACGACAGTGCTGGGTGGAGCCAGAGGCAAAAGTGGATTGAGCAAAAAAAATGTAAATTTTACACTCCCTTTTCTATCCCCCATCTGTACAGATAAAAGGCACTGCCATAGCTCATGGACACATTCCAGTGAGGCCAAAACCCTCAAGGAGGGTGTGGAGCAGGCCCAGTGAGGCCGTGGGGAGAGTCCTAAGGGGACTGAGAGAGGCCTGCAGTCACCCCCCAGGCATAAGTCTTCCCACCCCCGTTCTAAAACCTTAAATCTCCAACATTAAAATGAAGGGATTATTAATCACCCCCAAACACATCCATTTGCTGGCTGAGATTGCATTCATACTGGGAGGTACTGTGGTTTGGTCTGGATTTAGCTCCTTGGTGTGGTCATTGTTCCTTGAGCAATTTTCTGCTTCTTTTTAAAAGGATATCTGCTGATCTTCAGACAGCTGTGAGCGTGGAAGATGTGATAATGGCAGGGGGGTGGGGGAAATGACACAGCATGAATCAGGCGTGATTCAGAATCCCAAAAGTGTAATCGGTCTGTGAGCGACAGAAATGTCAGCCCTGGGCTGTGGAATCACATGGCTTGATGTCACACAAAATTCCCTCTTAAGTTGCTAATGCCTTTCAAAGTGCAGTCCACATTTCTGCTGTAAACCCTTTGGAGGGTGTGTGTGTGTGTGTGTGCGTGTGTGCGCGCGTGCGCACATGCACATGCTTACATTACAGTGAAACCGTGTTATTAATTTTGATAGGGCTACAGGCTGTGTGTAACTTCTGTATGGGATGAGCTTTTTGTATTTACATTAAATATATTTATTGATACTTATCAAAAGATAAATATAATACATCAAAATACAGTGGTACCTCGGGTTAAGTACGTAATTCGTTCCAGAGGTCTGTTCTTAACCTGAAACTGTTCTTAACCTGAAGCACCACTTTAACTAATGCTGCTGCCGCACCGCTGGAGCATGATTTCTGTTTTCATCCTGAAGCAAAGTTCTTAACCTGAAGCACTATTTCTGGGTTAGCAGAGTTAGCTTTAAAAATATAATCTAAAAAGAAGCAGAAGAAAAAAGAGAAAACAAGAAAATAAAGACAGACAGACAGACAGACAGACATTGAGTTCTCTGTCCTCTAAATATAGTACTATTTTCTGTAAGCCAATATTTTTTTTTCAGTCTTTGAATCCAGATGGATTCATTACAAGTTCATTTTCTCTATCATGCCAAAAAGTCCAGAAGAAGTTTTCAGTCCTTAATAAACTGAAGCTCAATCCAGCTAAGACTGAGGCATTGTTAGTGGGGGTTCCCCAGACCAGATGGCTGGGAGATTGCCTGCTCTTGATGGGGTTACACTCCCTCTGAAGGAGAGGGTACATACCTTGGAAGTGTATTCCTGGATCCTTTGCTGTCACTTGAGGCTCAGGTGGCCTCAGTGGCACAGAGTGCCTTCCATCAGTTGTGGCTGGTGGTCCAGCTGCAGCCCTTAGGCTGCCCCTGTCCAGATAACTGCTGCTGTTTATGTTCTGGTAACCTCAAGGTGAGATTATTGCAGTGCGTTACATGTGGGGCTGCCCCTGAAGACAGTTTGGAAAATTCAGCTGGCATGGAATTTGGCAGCCAGGCTGCTCGCTGGGACAAGACAATTTGAGCATATTTCACCAATTCTGGCCCAAATGCACTGGCTGCTAATTAGTTTCCAGGCCCACTTCAAATTGCTGCTGGTTTTGACCTATAAAGCCTAAAACGGTTGAGGACCACAATACCTCAAGGACTGCCTCTCCCCATATGAACCTACTCAGATGCTGAGATCATTCTGTGAGGCCCTTCTTCATGTGCCTCCTCCAGGAGCAGTTTGGAGGGTGGCAACGCAAGAACAGGCCTTCTCTGCAGTTGCTCCCCATTTGTGGAATGCTCTCCCCAGGGAGGTTTGGCTGGCAAACCTTTTAGGTGCCAGGTGAAGAGCTGGAGAGGTCCCCTGCCTGAAAATCTGGAGAGCAGTACAGTGGTACCTCAGGTTAAGTACTTAATTCATTCCGGAGGTCTGTTTTTAACCTGAAACTGTTCTTAACCTGAAGCACCACTTTAACTAATGGAGCCTCCTGCTGCTGCCGCACCGCCGGAGCACAATTTCTGTTCTCATCCTGAAGCAAAGTTCTTAACCCGAGGTACTATTTCTGGGTTAGCGGAGTCTGTAACCTGAAGCGTATGTAACCCGAGGTACCACTGTATAGGCAATACCGAGGGAGCAATGGTCTGGCTCCCTACATCCCAAATATTCTGCTCCTGAATGTATGCAGAGTTCCTTCTGTCTTAGCCAATGAATCAATCATCTGGATGGGTTGATCTCCAGACAAGATAAGAAAGAAAGAAAGTAAGTAAGTAAGTCTGTCTCACTTCAAAGTGAAGTTCCTGAGAAAATCTCTTGACAAGTGGCGTGCCTCAGATGTCGGCTGGTGCCAGCAGCCCATGGCCTGTCATTAAGTAAATCAAGCATCGCAGTCATCCTCTGCCTTGAGAGTTTGTGTCACATCCTCTCTTTTCCCTTCACCATGTGTTTTTCTTCTTTTCTTCCTCTTTTATGGGGAGACAGCTCCCCGTTTCTCAGCGCCATCGTCATCTGTTGATGGTGTCACACATCTCTGAGCAAAAAGCGTGCTGCGACTCGAAGTCATGCTTTTAGCCTTGTGGCACCAGTTCTCCGGAATTCTCTTCCCTCAGCAGGGAAACAAGCCCCGACATTATGATTCTGACGGTCACTGAAAATCTTTATTTCATATGAGGTCTGAACCAGTGGTGACTGACCAGGAAGGAGACCTTCAGGTGTAGTGGATAACTCGACAAAGGTGTCTTTTCGGTGTGAAAGAAGCAGATTCCATGCTAGGGATAATTAAGAAAGGGGCTGAAACTAAAACCGCCTATATCACGCGATTAATGCACACCTGCGGTGCAACTGCACTTGGAATTTAAAAGAGGATTAGACAAATTAATGGTGGATAAGTTTATGTTCTACCTTGATACGCTTCTGAACACTAGTTGTAAGGAATCACAAGCGGGGAGAGCATAGTGTACTCGTGCCCTGTTTTTGGTCTTCCCACTGGGATTTCTGGTTCGTCACTATGAGAACAGGATAAGGCACCAGGTGGGCCTGATCCTGCAGCTAGGCTCTTTCCATTCATTTCTCCCAAAGTGGCCTGTTCTTTTGTTTCCTGAAGTTTTTAACTTCTGGGTTTTTATGCTTCAATACTGTTCATGACCTGTATTTTTTAATATTCTATTTCTGTACACTAGTTAGATGTCCTCTGGAAGTATAGTGGGTTAAAATTTTTGAATCTCTCTCTTTCTCCAGCCCAGGCCTTCTCTCCTTCACAGTGTCATCTTCTGTCATGTTACTTTATAACAAGAGAACAGGCCTTTTCTGTGGTGGTTCCCTTAGTGTGGAACGCTCCCCCCCTGGCGCCACCATTGCAATATCTTTAGGCGCCAGGCCAGAACATTCCTCTTTACCCAGGCTTATGGCTATTAAATAATCTATGACCAGTGGGAGAGAGGACTGTTATTTTGATGACTATTTTATTATTAGGCTGTCTGTCTGTATGTTTTTTATTATTTTTTTATCACTGGTGTTCTGTAATGTGCTTTAAACATTGTACACCCCCCAGGGATCTCTTTGATAAAGGGCGGTATATAAATCGAATTAATAATAATATCCTGGGAAAGAGGGGTTGATTATGAAGCCACTCTCAGAACTGTAGCTCTGTGAGGGGAATAAGGGTCTCCTGGCGATTCTCAGCTGCCTTAATAAACGACAGTTCCCAGGATTCTTTGGTGAGGTGTGTGGAAACCGTAACTCTTTAAAGTGGTGTCACACCACTTTAAATGCATAGTGGAGATTGGGGTGGGGGAGTTTGTAGATTGTAGGAGTTTGTCTCCCTGTCCCATGTTGTAGAGAGGGAAGGGGCAAACAGATGTCACCTCACACTTCCTCCTTCAAAGGAAACTACCTCAAACACTTCCCTCACTGGAGGAGAAAGGCCAAAACATGCCAAAAATATGTTAATTGAATTAGTCCAGTTAGACACTCTCTTGGGAGCTTCAAATTCTGCTGCCTTTCCTCCACTTCCCATAACAGGGAAACCAATTCCTTAAACTTGCCCTGAAATACCAGGAAAACCGGCAGTTGGCTCTTATAACTGTCTTCTCAGTGCTGACTTTATTATTTTTAGATCTCCAGGGGCTGTTCATTTTGGGGGAAAGAGGATTGCTCTTCTCCAGAATAAAGTCAGGAAAGCAATGTTGTATCTCGGGGGGGGGGCTGCATTTCTCTCCTCTCTCTTTCCATCCTATACCTCCCCTTCCCCTGATGAATATTAGGATCTAATGATTCAATAATATTGAAGGATCGCCTCACCTCATCTGTGCCCACACAGCCTGCTTCAGTTTGCAGAAGTGGCACTTTTGCAAATGCCACATAATATTCGTTCCACATCTGCAAGAAATCAACCCTTCAGTGTGGCAGCACCTAATCTCTGGAACTCCCTGCCCCTTGATATTAGCCAGTTACCTTTGCTGTATTGTTTTCAGTGCCTGCTAAAAAATTTTTTTGTTTAGGCAAGCCTACCCAGATGTGTAATTTTGTCATGCAATTTTAATACAGTGGTACCTTGGGTTAAGTACTTAATTCGTTCCGGAGGTCCGTTCTTAACCTGAAACTGTTCTTAACCTGAAGCACCACTTTAGCTAATGGGGCCTCCTGCTGCTGCCGCGCCGCCGGAGAACGATTTCTGTTCTCATTCTGAAGCAAAGTTCTTAACCCGAGGTAATATTTCTGGGTTAGCGGAGTCTGTAACCTGAAGCGTATGTAACCTGAAGCTTATGTAACCCGAGGTACCACTATATGTGGTTTTGATAAGTATAATTTTTAAATTACTGATTTTTAAAGAAGTTTAAAATTTGTAATGTTTGCTTTCATTGGTATGTTTTGAAGAAAACTTTAGATTGTCTTTTGTAAGTCGCTTAGAGGTCTTTTTTGTTGTTTAATTAGGCGGTATATAAATCTTGTGAAATGAAAATAATATATATATTCTCACAGTGAGTTGGTACACAGAAGGGCAGGCGGGCTTCTCAGCTGCTGCACAGAAGAGTGGTTTTGTGGCAGGAGCAAGTTCCTCTCTGCCCCCACAGATTTATGACTTGTCATGCTGCTGAAATTCCCCCACTTCTGCACAACTGTTAGAGAAAAGGTGGAGGAACTCTGGACCCTTAGCTAGGCCTGCCAAATGGTCCCTAATTTGGCCCACAAGTGCATTTTCTTCCATACCGCACCCACCTTCCCTTCACCTTGCGTCAGCTGTGGGGCAGATCAGGACACAGCTCCCATCAGCATGGGCAGTGGTCAGAAATTATGGGAGTTGGATGAAAAGCTATTAATTTAAGGTACCGGTAATACTTTATTGCCTTTTCACCTTGCCCTGTATTTTGGGATCACATGGACTAGAAACCAGCAGAATGAAAGGTGCCGTGAGCAATCTCTCGCCTGCCAGGGAAGGCGTTTGCTCCTGTCCTGTTGTTCTTCCACCCAGTTCTCTCCCTTATTATATCGGGGAGGGACTTGTTGGGTTGCCTTTGTTTTTCTTTTGCCCATTGCATACAAAACACTGATGACGTGTTGTTGTTTATGTCTCTGTGTGTGTGTGTTTCATGCCTGACTTTCGCACTCCCTTATGTCAAGGTTTCTGTGTTTTGGTGAGTCGCCGTGCCTTCAGACAACAGAGAGCTTTTAATTTATGAGTATTAGCTGGGACTCCACGGCAGGAGGGGGGAGGGGACAAAAACATGATGCGTTAAGCTGGTTTTGTGGGTGATTTAACAGCGACTGCCAAAAAACCCTCTCAACTGCAGCAGAGTTTCGAATATTACAATAGGCTGGCAGAGGGCCAGCTCTGACATAATGTACCGTATTTTTCGCTCTATAAGACGCACCAGACCACAAGACGCACCTAGTTTTTGGAGGAGGAAAACAAGAAAAAAAATATTCTGAATCTCAGAAGCCAGAACAGCAAGAGGGATCGCTGTGCAGTGAAAGCAGCAATCCCTCTTGCTGTTCTGGCTTCTGGGATAGCTGTGCAGCCTGCATTCGCTCCATAAGACGCACACACATTTCCCCTTACTTTTTAGGCGGGAAAAAGTCTTATAGAGCAAAAAATACAGTAATGAAAGTACATGAGTCTTTCCCTTGCACACATACATGGACCACACCAGCAGAGTAAAATTTGAACGCAGAGGCCTCTTTTCTGTTTTTCCCCCCTGCTTTGCTAGTTATAAAATCCACTTGCCGTATGTGTGTCCTTCATCTCAGGGAGTGGGGGAACCTGGGGGAACCTCCAGATGTTGTTGGACTCTAAATCCCATCAGCCCCAGCCAGTGTAGCTGATGGGAATTGTAGTCCAATAACCTCTGGAGGGCCTCATGTGTTTCCCCATCCTTCCTATCCCTGCAGTATCTTAGGAGAGTTGGGCTTGCTCAGCCATGAAGCTCCACTGGGTGATCTTGAGCCAGCCAGCCAGCCACCTTTTCTTCATCCTGGCCTACCTCACGGGGTGTTTGTGAAGATAACTGGGGGGTAGAGGACCTCCACATACATCTCCTTGAACTCTTCAGCTTTTAATGTTTGATGTTTTGCTGGCTTTTTTATTATTATGTTGGAAACTGCCCAGAGTGCCTAGGGCAACCAAGTCAGATGGTTGAGGTATGAATATGACGATGATGACGACAGAGAGCAGAATACACATTTTAATGTATTTTTAATCTTTTGTTGGAAGCTGCCCAGAGTGGCTGGGGAAGGGTTTCTTTCTTTCTTTCTTTCTTTCTTTCTTTCTTTCTTTCTTTCTTTGTGTGTTTGTGTGGCTGGCCAGTCAGCTGAAAGATTGATTTGGCATCTTTAAAAATGCTTCTGTTCAGAACCACAAGCCTAAATCAATCTCAAGTTTCTTTCCCTGATAAATTGTGGCGGGAGTCCATAGGGCAGTGCCTGATGTATTTATGAAAGCATTTTTATAGCCCACCTTTTAGCTATATAAATACTAATGGCTGCTTACAGAAAATTTGCTAAAGCCTATTTTAGCTGAATTTTTCAAAAGCTGTTTAAAAATCCTGCTTAGAATAGCAGAACTGGCAGATAAACACGCCAAAAAAATAGCAAAAAAGAAAAAGAAAAAAAAGAATGTAGGCCTTCCCTTCTCTGGCTTAATCTCAAGATCCTTGAATCTGTCTCCTGAGAATAGGAAGCCTGGAGCCTTTGCATATTCAAGCTGGGCCAGAGCTGGGGAACTTAAGACCTAGCAGCTGAAACCAGCCCCCCAGGCCTCTAGTTGACCCTCGGACAACAGACCCTCCAAGCTGCAGCCCCTCTTCCCAAAGCACATCCCTTACTGGAATGTTTCGCTTGAGCGTACCTCCTCCCTCCTGTTCTCTTTTCCTCATGTGCCGTATCTTGTTTGTTAGCCTGAAGGCAGGGATTTTCTTACAAGCTACTCTGAAACACTTTTTGGTGAAAAGGCTGGGTGCTAACACTGCAGATAAATAATAAGACATCTTTGCTAAATTTTGCAGATGTTGTTTTTGTTTGTTTGTCTGTCTTTGTTTTTTGTTTTTACACTTGTGCAGTATATGAATTTTATGGAACAAGTAAGTGCCGTATTTTTCGCCCTATAGGACACACTTTTTCCCCTCCAAAAATGAAGGGGAAATGTGTGTGCGTCCTATGGGGCGAATGCAGGCTTCGCTGAAGCCTGGAGAGTGAGAGGGTCGGTGCGCCCCGACCCCTCTCGCTCTCCAGGCTTCGCGCAGCTCTCCGCAAGCCGTGGGAGCCCGGCGCTGTGCTCCCACGGCTTGCGGAGAGCTGCCTGTTCTGGCGGCTGGGGTCGGGGGAAGCTCGGGCTTCCCCCGCCCCAGCCCCGCGCCTGGGGGGGGGGAAATAATTCCCCCCCTTGATTTCCCCCCCAAAAAACTAGGTGCGCCTTATGGGCCAGTGCGTCCTATGGGGCGAAAAATACGGTATTTTCCCAAGAGGGGACGGGTGGGAATATTCCTAACAGAAGCAGCTTCCGCTGGGAATAAGCCTGCTGATGTTTCCAAAATGCCAGGGAACTGACTTGTGTTGTATTTTGAGGAGTGTGTGTGTGTGTGTGTGTGTGTGTGTGTGTGTGCGTAATGACTGAAGTTTATTATCCTGTACATCAGGTGCAAAGGGAGTCTTTGGCTTCCAGATGCTGCCAAACTACAACTCCCATCATCCCTGGTCCATTGGCCATGCTTGCTGGGGCTAATGGGAGTTGTAGTTCAGCAACATGGGGCGGGGGGCAAAGGTTCCACACCCTTGCTGTTGTATGTAGCAGCCTAAATTTCCTGCTGGTGGCTGACTTGATGTTGCCTGGTATGTCTGGGTTGGATTTAAGAGGGTCAGGTTTAAACCTTTTAATTTTAATTAAGGTTTAATGTGTTGAAGCCATTTAAGGATGAAATCTTTACATCAGCCAGTCATTTCTAAGAAGTTGATGATAATTAATCCCACTTGGCAAAATAGGCTTCTAAGCAATTTTACAAAATATGAAAACCCATCAACACAGAAATTAAAATACAAATAATTAAGGTATGCAACTAAGCAGTCCTATTATTAAATCTTCCATCTCCCCCACCCATTTTATCCTCATGACAAGTCAGGACTTATTTTAGGCTGAAAGGGAGTCTGTTTTAGAGAAGCAGATCTGGGAGGGGGGCTCGGTACTGGTTCTATTTTTAATACATATTTTCACACCCTCTTTTTAATTTTGCCACCTTCCTCTCTCTTTTCCTTCTGTCCCAGTTCTTCCAGTGTCTTGGACCGTTTTTCCCGAACTCTGAAGCACATCCTGACTCAGAGGAGGTAAGCTCCTTTTGTTGCAGCAAAACAAACCCTCCCTGCTCCCAGGTATCTTTTGTGGCAACACTTGACCTGATTTCTTCCTTCGGCAGCATAAGGCCTCTTGCTTTGCCTGCCAAAAGTCCTGGGTTCAAATCACAGCAACTCCATTGGTCCATCTAGTTCAGTATTGTCTGCACCGATTGGCAGCTGCTCTCCAGGATTTCAGGCAGAGTCTTTCCCATCCCTACGAGGAAAAGCTGGTGGGGATTGAACCCGGGACTTTCTGCTTGCAAAGCAGGGCCTCTGCCACTGAGCTATGGCATTGCCCCTTAAAATAAAGTTGGTTCATTGCATGATTACGTGTAGTATTGTAAAGAAGCGCAACATCTGTAGTGGAGATGAGAGGAAGGGAAAAACCAGAGGCTGGGGTAGCGAGTTAGCTGGGATCTTTCCAGGCTCGACATTATTGCCATTTGTATTTTGTCCTTCCAAGCTGTATGTGTCCTGAACCCCTGGCCTACTTGGCGGCAAGTCCAGAGAGTCTGGGGGGTCAAGCCATGCAAGCCAAGTCCAAAGTCCAAAGGTCAGGACTAAACATCAGGAAGAACTTTCTGGCAGTAAGAGCTGTTCAACAGGGGAAGAGACTCCCACGAGAGGTGGTGGACTCTCCTTCCTTGGTGGTTTTCAACTCTACAGCTCTGTAATTCTATTATATTTGTCAAACTCCCTTTATCTTCCTCCCCTTCGCAACACTTTGGAAACATGGAGATAACACCCCTTGGAACACGGTGCCTTTAAGGTGCTGAATTTAGAGACTGCAGAAACACACACATGCAAACTGAAATTGGCAGCAGTGTTGAAAAGCGCAGCTTGGCATCCTGTTGGTACCCAAGGGGGAGAGGAACAGCTGCTGGGCGTGTCAATGTATGCGAGGGAGCGGGTTGCAGAATGGGAGGGGTAACGCGATCTTTCCTTCTCTCTTTAATTCCTGAGCAGTTACTATCCACTCTACCCTCCCGCGGAAGAGATGAACATTGATTACGAACATTTCTACCAATACGCAGCCCTGCCTGTTACGCCGGACGTACTGATCACTCCGTCGGAACTGAGATACTTTATCAAGGTTGGGGGGAAATGAAGCTGTCTGGGCGCAGGGCGATGGAGGGGGGGGACACATTCCAAGCTGTCTTACGCACATTAGCTCAGTGTTGTCCACACAAATTGGCAGCGGCTGTCCAGGGTTTTGAGCAAGAGAGTATCCCCCAGCTCTGCCTGGAGAAGCTGGGGACTGAGCCCAGGGAACTTCATGCCAAGCAATTGATCTAACCACTGAGCTACAGCTCTAAAAATAAAGTAAGATTCCAGTCCTCATGGAACTGACTAAAGGACCGATTTATATAGAAACATAGGGGACTGGGTCTAGCTCAGTATTGCTTGCAATGATTGGCAACAGCTCTCTAGGATTTTACTCAGGAGATATTCCGAGTCTTCCTTGGAAATGCCAGGACCTGCAATCAAAGCGAATGCTCTGCCACTTCCCTTCCCTCTAATTCCAGCATTGGGATTCGACCTCCGGTCCACAGGTTCTTGAACACAGCCACACCACTTCACTGCAAGGATCTCTGCATGCTGCCCTGTTGAGCAGGAGTTGGGGTGGAGAATAGATGGCAGAGGAAGGCTTAGAGGGGGAGAAATACAGATGAGTTCACTGAAGACCCATTGATAAAACGCTATTATACCATTCATGTTCAGAGGCAGTCTATTTTAGAGGGCAAACTGCTTACTTATCCTGCCCTCCCAAGGACAGCAAACAACAAAATGCCGGTGGGGGGCGGCAATTACATTAAGAAAAACATTGAAAACCTTTAAGCCACATACACTCAGTTGGATAGCAACATTAATAATGAGTGGAGCAGGCCCGCTTCAGCAAGGAGGCCACCCCACAAACAGAACCACCACCAAAAAGGCCCTGTTTGGGTTGCCACCAATCAGGCACCACCAACATGGCCTCCTTTGCTGATCGCAGGTCCCAGAATGGTTGATACTGAGAGAGATGCCCTTTAAGATCAATAAAGGGTAGTCATTGCTGCCATACCCAGCTAGTGAGTGCTGAGAAACATCTGGCTGCCCCCATTTTTTGGAACTGGGATGCTGCACTAGATAGATTTTTCTGATCTGGCAAGACAGTTCCTACACCCATATTAGGGAGATTAAAATCAGTATGTCCTAATGATACCTTCCCATCTGACTCGAGAGCCTGTTTCTTGTTTTTAATGTCTCTTCCCCCCTCCCTTTGTTTCCTGCCCATCCCTAGGATGTCCTTGGGTGTGTCTGTGTGAACCCAGGCCGGCTAACAAAAGGCCAGGTAGGGGGCACCTATGGGCGTTTGTGCATCCAGCAGAAGGTCTCCAAGGACCAGGAGGAGCGGAAGAGCCCTTGCATCGCTGCTCAGGTCGTGAGAATCTAACTTGCATCCATCTCCTCAACCCACCAGCAGAGAGGACTGCAGAGGTTTTGCTGGAGCGGGACCAAAACACAGTTTAGGGACGAGACTGAAGAGACAGAGCGGGTTTCTCCTCCAATGTCTAGGAGTCTCTCAGGGCTGCAGCTGTTTGGGAATCTGCCTTCCACCTTTGCTGCCAACACAGCTGGAGAGAATCTCTTCTGTTCCAATTTCCCCAAGTTTGGGCGGGGAAGAATGGATTTGCCTACGCTAATGTCCTTTTGACAAAACACTTTCTACTTTGAGAAGACAGATAAAAAGTTAGCTATATTCATTGGTGTGCAGCATTTTTTTGGGTGGTGGGGGAGCAACATGTCTCCCTCTGTGCTTCAAAGCTGATATCCTTTGAGGTGTCTTAACTCCCTCCCCCACCCCTCTCAAACACTCCAATCCTGCAAAGTTGGTGGGGAAACTGACCTCTAGTTTGGAAAACTGAAAGTTCAGGTCTTGCGTGCAGCTGGGGTGCAGACATTTAAAACAAAAAAACGCAATTCTCCTGCAGTTTCTTAATATCTAGTCTTGGATATATTCAGTGGTTGCTGTTGCCCATTGGGACCAGTGTGGTGGAAAGTAGAGAGGCCAGGGACAGGTTGAACCATCTAGCACTGGTTTTGTCCCCATTCTTCTTTGCTGAGTTGTACAAGGTGCACCAGCCTGAGAGGTGGGGCAAAGAGATTGAATTATGAGTCCCTGGTTCCTCTCAGGTTGCCTTAGGCTTAGCTTTGGCCCTGCCTGCAATATGTGAGGGGTCATAAGTGATCTACTTCAGAGGCTTATTTTGAAAGGGTTCCTGAGTGCGATATGCATATAGGGTGTTATGAACTTGAGCTCCAGAGCACACTACGGATGCCATCTCTCATAACACAAGGACCCAGCGGGTGCCTTCCAATGTAGCTGAATGTTAGAAGATTTTTGACAGACAAAAGAAAATGCATCTTCACACAGTGCTGAGTTGGATTGTGGAAGTTGCTCCCTCTTGATGAAGTGATGGCCATCAGCTTGTGATAGCTTTGAAAGGAGTTCTGGAGGATAAGCATATGAAGTGGCTACTAGCCACTATGTCGGAGGCAGTATATCTCTGGATACCAACAGTGCTCTTATGTTCCCATGACAATATTTTCATAACGTAGCTCCATTGTTCTTCAAACAGTATTTATAAATGGATGCTTCAGTGTTCCTGACGCAGGTGGGCCCTGATTGATGGGTGGCTGTGGCACCTAGGAGATAGCTCAGTCGGTAGAGCATGAGATTCTGAATCTCAGGGTTGTGGGTTCAAGTCCCACATAGGGCAAAATATTCCTACATTGCAGGGGATTGGACTACATGACCCTAGTGGTCCCTTCCAACTCTATAATTCTCTGCTTCTGTGTCCATTAAGGAGATCAAAGAATCGTAGAATTGCAGCGTTGGAAGGGACCCTGAGAATCATCTAGTCTAACCCCCTGCAATGCAGGAATATGCAGCTGTCCTATAAGGGGATTGAACCTGCAACCTTGGTGTTCTCAGCACTACGCTCCAACCCAGGCTTCCTCAACCTCGGCCCTCCAGATGTTTTTTGGCCTACAACTCCCATGATCCCTAGCTAGCAGGACCAGTGGTCAGCGATGCTGGGAATTGTAGTCTCAGAACATCTGGAGGGCCGAGGTTGAGGAAGCCTGTTCTAACCAATTGAACTATGGTGTTTTCGTTTTTTCAATAAGGCAGACCGACAAAGAGCTTAAGAAAGATATAAGCTAAGTATTCCTCCTGCTTTGCACTGAACCTGTGATGTGTTTCGTTAAACCTATTAACACACACATTCTTGGGAAAACGGGGGGGGGTTGGAGGAACACTGCCTTCCATGCTAATGACCCAGTACCACCCGCCTATAAAACCACACTGCTCCATAAAAGCAAAGTGCAGAGCAGCTAATAAAAGAAACGTGATAATACTTAGATCTAGAGCTTAGAGCACTCGGTGTTGGCAACCCAGCCTCCTCCTCCCGCCCCCAGCCATAGATCAGTGCTTCTTCTGGAAGTAAACTTTGCCTTTTGGCTCTTGCTATGTGTGTTGGTTGGTTCTATGTAGTTCACTTTGCATTATTGGGCAGCGAGTGGGTTGGGGGGAGAATGGAGGGACCTTTCCCCAGGCCACAGCCCCCTTGGCAAACCTGCTTTATACCCTCCTGGCTGAAATGTGCTCTTAACCTTTGAGGCTGCCTCTTTGCTTGCCTGGGTGCAGGATAGATAGGGGGAATGTACAGAATCTACCTCACCGTGCAGAGATGAAATTGACATTATTTGCCTCTGGCCCACCCACCCCCGGCATGTGGCACCCGGAAGGTTGCCTCATTGGGTGTGCAGCCCTCAGGCTGAAAAGGGTTCCCCACCCCAGTTCTGGAGGGTCGCAGGTCGCCCATTCCTGGTCTTGACAGTGTTTTAAGGGCTTCTCATTGAGACAATCCTGTAATTATTCTCTCCTGCCCATCCTATGTCTTGGTGTGAGCCTGCCGAAGGGCGTGGAGTGTGTTTGTAGCTGAGTGTCTCTTCTAATTCACTTGCTAGGTTAGCTGGTTAGGCTACTGCAGTAACTAGAAATAGCACCCACAACAACTTTCATGAAGGCTTTAAAGTTGGTTTTGTTCCATTTGTGGGGAGAGGGTCAAGCCAATACTTTCTGGGGTAAGGAGGACAATGATTCTGAGAAGGCATTTGAAGGAAGAGATCGGAAGGCGATAATTCAAGGTGTTTCTATATGAATAGGTTGTTGGCGGGGGGATGATGACTTCTATTTCTTTCTTTTTATTTGCATATCACCTTTTCCTTCAAGGATATTAAGGTGGTGTGCATGGTTCTCTCCCCATCTGAATCCTCCAAACACTCCTGTGCTGTCCTGGCACAGCCATTAGGTGGGGTGAGGCCGCTGCCTCAGGCGGTGGAAACCCCTATGGCAGCATTCATGTGCCTCCACTGTGACACTCAGAACATGTGTCCCTCAGAACATCTGACTTGCTGTCAGTTCGAATCCTCCCTGATCATTGACTGTCCTGTCCTGGGAGCTGATGGGACGAGTTGCAGCCTAAGGCCCCAGGTTGGGGAAGGCCACTGCAATGTATTCTTATTTAGCCGCTTGAGGTTCAGTCCAAAATGCTGTATATAACATATGATACTCCCCATGCCTTCAGTCATGCATACCTCAGACTTGAGGCTGGCTCCGCTTCCCCCCACCCCCCACCCCAAGCCTATCATGATCGCTTCGTTCAGGAATGACCACCTGCTGCCACCCACCCCCCAGCACCATGGCTGGTTCTCAGAAGCATTTTGTCCGCCCTCCTCTGCTGGCAGTGCACCCCCAATTGTTACCAGTGCTTTAAATGACCCCACAAATCGACTTGTGATAAAATTATGCTCCTAGGAAGCTGCCTTATACTCAGCTGTACCATTGACCCTTCTAGCTCAGAAATATCCACGTCAAGGGCTGCCAATCTTTTTTAGGCCTGTGGGAACATTTGGATTGTTGAGTGACTGCATACTCCTCAAGTGTCCCAATTTAACTGGCACATCCCAAATTGACAGATGTGGTGGTGAGCAGCAGCAGTGGTGGAGGCCGAGCAGCCACAGCAGATATCTTGTGGGTGCCAGGGCCCCATGGAGTTGGCGCCTATGCCCAACCCATTCAGACTTTTTGAAATAAGCCCACCACAAGTATGAGGGGATGGGATTGAGCCCTCCCCCAGTCTTGAGGGGTCAGGCCCCACCTGGCCTCGCGGTGGTGGAGGGCCTCGCCGGGCGTTGCAGCTTCCTCCCAACATGTGTGACATCATGTGTATGTTGCCCGTTTGATGTCACATGACGAGCCTCCCCCCCCCCATGGATGGGTGGAATTCAGTGCCTCAAGATACCTCCTTTCATCCGAGGATCACGGGGCAGTTTACATTTGCATTAAAATGCTGGTGGATTTTCATGTGAACCTTTCCTTTAAAAAATTCTCAAGCTGATGTGAGAATGTGGAGAATTGACCTTAAGACTGAGAAACTTAGACCAGAATTGACAGATGTGACCATCCTTGACTGAAAGCAATAGGTGGCTTCCTCTGAAAGTTTCCACTGGGGTGTACCTTTCTCCTTTTCTGTGCCCTCCCAAAAAAACTCCAAAGCTAGAAATCTGGAGTCTTTTGTGGAAGGGGGAGAGGTTCAGCTAAGGAGCCAGCATTTTGAGTGTACAAGAAGTCTTGCACCCAAAGAGACAATACTGTACTGCCCCCGTTTCCTCAAGATCCTCACCTTTCCTTTTCCTTCCCCTCCCTCCCTTCTGGGGATTCTCTTGCCTGCTGTCTCTGAAGCCAACCGCCTTAAATTCCTTTCTAAGAAAGTCATTCTCCCCTTTTAAGCCAGGGCTGCTTTGCATTATTTTACTTCCGAGTTTTGGGAAATAGGATTGAGTTCTGAAAGTAGGAGCTCTATTGCTGAAGCGGAAAGATCTGCATGTTTTCTGGTCAGCGAAAACGCCCTCCTCCCCAGACAAATCTCAGTTTTGTGTGGGGTGCTTGTGAGGAACAGGTCTCATGGCCAAGCCATCCATTTTGCATGCAAAAGTTCTCAGCGTCAACCCAGGTTGTTTCTCCCGCTAAAAAAATGGGGGAAACCGCAAGCTTAATATGATTCAACTGTGATGCAGCAGTAAAAAGAGCTAATGCAATTCTAGACTGCGTCAACTGAAGTCTAGTGTTTCAGATCAAGTAAAGTAATAGAACTGCTGACTTCGTCAGACCCCACCTGGAGTCCTGTGTCCAGTTCTGGGCACCACAGTTTAAGAAGGGTATTGGATTCATCCAGGTCTCCACTTTCGCGTGCCTTATCTGAGTGCGCCCCCCATACCCGATGTTTTACTGCTGAATCACAACAAACAGCAATCTGCAGAAAACCTGAATTGCTGTTTCAATTCAATTCAATCAACCTTTATTGGCATACAGAGAAGACAGGAATATATGAATCAAAACATGAAACTGGCATCTGTTCACAGAAGAAGATGCTTTGAGATAAAACTATACAGACATAATAAGGTTTTAAAAAAACCACTCGTGTTCTACGACAACATAGTTTCAAGGCATTGCTCAGAAATTGCTGTTTGTTCCAATTCAGCATTGGGGGGGGGGGATGAAAATGAAAAAAAGCTCAGATACGGCACTTTAAAATGCAGATCCGTGCCTAGAAAGCATTGGTGGGGGGAAGTTAAGTGTGGACCGGCCCACTGGCAAGTTGGAACACGTGCAGAAGAGGGCAACCAAGATGCTCAATGGCCTAGATACCAAGTCTTATGAGGAACAGTTGAGGGAGTTGGGGATGTTTAGCCTGGAGAAGAGGAGAGACTTAGAGGCGATATGATAACCATCTTCAAATCCCTGATGGGCTGTCACATGGAAGATGGAGCAAGCTCATTTTCTGCAGCTCCAGAGGGATTCAAATTACAAGAAAGGATATTCCGTCTAAACCTCTGGAAGAGCTTTTCTGATGGGTAAGAGCCATTCCACAGTAGAATGGGCTCCCTCAGAAGGTGGACTCTTCCTTTGATGGTGATATTGGCAGATATTGGGGTCTCAAATTCCATCAGCACCCTGTGCGACGTCATGTTGGATGCATTGAAGATGGGTGTGTGTAGCTTCCCCAAATTGGCTTCGTGGCCCAAATGTGGAGGACTGGTGGGTCAAATTTAGCCTGTGGGCTTGGGGGGTCTCCACTCCTCTTGTAGAGGGAGAGAATCTTGTATGGCAACTTGAGCTCCTTGGAGAAAAGGCGGGACACAAATGAAATCAATAAATTTATAAGAGGGAAATGCAGAGGGCCATTGTGGATTTTCCACCTGAGGCAAGAAAAAGTTGCTTTCAGTCAGCGATAGCTCATCTCACTGAGCATTTGGTCTCTCTCTATTGATGTGTGCAATACAGGTTGTGACTGTCACTGAAGACGTGCCTCCAAAGAGAACCTTTCCCTGTCATAAATGCTGATAACCTGAGGTAATATCAGCAATGGCAGAAGCTCAGCCCAGGCTTAATCTGTTAGGGCTGACCTTTGGCCTAGGCCAATCTGAATGCTTCACCCCTCACTGCCTGGGATAAAATTTCCAGTCCCAGCCACAGCTAGTAAAGGGAAAGGAGGAAATATTCTCCGCATTTTTGCTGCCAATTGTGTTTTTTTAAAAAGCAAAACAAAACTGATTGCATTTCTCCAGAAATGTTGCTGCAGGGTGTGGGGGTTGGGTTGTGGGGCGAACGGGGGGGGGGGGGGTGTAGGCTGTCCTTTGTTACGGGGATATTTGTTTTAGATTTCAGCTGAAATGCATTTCACAATAGGGAAAACTCAGCCTCTGGCCGCCCGCCAGATAGCAGAGCTGATGACATTTATTTATTTCTTCGCAGAATGAATCACGCATGGGAAAAAAGAGTTTATGTGTGTAAAGATACGGAGTAGGCCCTCCCTCTTCCTGTGTGACGTTCCCCATCAACCAGAAAATACTTAGATTTCCTGGGTTCTTTTTCTGGAAGTGGGTGGGTGGTTTCTTGGTAGGACTAGGACCAGGGAGACCAGGGTTCAAATCCCCACTAAACCATAAAAGTTCTTCAAGCCTGTGACCTCAGCCTAATCTGCCTCACAGGGTTGTGAGGATAAAATGGCGTGAGGCGGGGAGAGAACCTTGCACACCGCCTTGGAGGAAAGCAGAGGCAATATAAATACCGTAAGTGGGAGAGTTCAGTCAGTAAAGCATGAGACTCCTAATCTCAGGGTCATGGGTTTGAGCCCCACATTCCTGCATTGCAGGGGGTTGGACTAGATGACCCTCGTGATCCTTTCCAACTCCACAATTTTATACTTTTAAATAATAAATATAAAATAAACACATTGTTCCTTTGGTGTTGAGTCTCCATCTTTGGACAATGGGTTCTTTCCAGGTAAATTGTACTCAAAGTAGATTCACTGACCTGAGTTAAGTCATGTCCATAAGTCTACTCTGAGTAGGATTAACATGGGCTGCAACCTATTGTTACTCATGTGCAAGTGCACACCTGTATGTATGTCCTCCCCACCCCCCGGCTGGAAATTCAAACCAGCTGTTGTAGGGAAAAGTAAAGGGATATAATCTTTGAGCCCCAGCACTTGAGGAGCCTGTTTCTCAGAGGCAGAGCAGCTGTAGACAATACTGAGCTAAATGGACCAAATGTTCACTCAATATAAAGCAGCCTGCTATCCTATCATACCCCAAGTGTCACAGAAAAAACATAACATCCCAGGTTGGGGGGGGGGGGGCACGAAGGGGCCTCAGCCCCTAGCAGTTGGCTCCTATGGGTCTGATTTGATCCCAGATTGTCCTGCTTTTCCTTAGGACGTTCTTATTTTCATCAGAGAAATGTTGGAGGGTATAGAGTTATCTGATTCCCGAGCCAACGAGATAAGTAACTGAAGGCAGTTGCATCTGAAGGCAGCCCTGTATAGGGAAGTTTTTTAATGTACAATTTTTTATTATGTTTCAGATATTTTGAAAGCTGCCCAGAGTAGCTGGGGCAACCCAGTCAGATGGGCGGGGTGTAAATAATAAAAATATTATCATCATTATGGTGGAATAGGACGTCCCTATTTTCATCGGAGAAATGTTGGAGGGTATGAAGGAGGCAGGCAGGCGCGAACTGAGGTTGGTGAGGCAGGGCCTGCTTTGCCCTAATGGACGAGCAGCTGTGAGCTTGAACTGCCTCTCATCCCTCCGCTCCAGGCGGTTTATCCCAAGCCTCTCATTCCAGCCCCTAAACTTTACAGGCCAAAGTGAGCTCCCTTTCTCTCAGCACCCACCATGCAGGCCCTGGAACAGTTTCCCCACAGTCACAGGGTGTGTCCTTGGTGGAAAAGGTATTTGCCAACGCCAAATGCATATGGAAGCGCAAGAGATCTTGGAAGGAGCTCCCTTCTCTTCCTGGGCTAATCCACAAGGCCTCGCCGTGCCTTTTACCTCCCAAGACTGGCCACACCACCTCTTTGTTTTGCAAGTTTCCTCTAATCCAGTTTGTTGTTTCTCGTCAGGTGGTCTGAAAATCCAAGATTTGGACAACGTTCAAGGGAAGATTTACTCTCTCTTTTTGTCACTTTATTTCTAGTTCACTTAAGCTGCTTCTTTCCGTTCCGTCGCTTCCTTGTTTCTGTTCTGTTGATTCCCCAATCCCCGCCCCACCTATGGAGAAAGGACCTCAGCTCAGTGGTAGAGAGCATTAGCTACGCACGCAGAAAGTTAGTAGAGCATGAGACTTTTAATCTCAGAGTCATGGGTTTGTGCCCCATGCAGGGCAAATGATTCCTGCATTGCAGGGGGTTGGACTAGATGACCCATGGTCCCCCCAACTCTACAATTCTGTGATTCTAAGGACACAGGCTCCATCCTCGTCACCCCTGGGACTGCCCCATGCCTGAAACCCCAGAGAGCCACTTCCAGTCAAAGTAGACAATACTGATCTAGATAGACCAATCGCCTGACTCAGTGGTTAAGATAGTTGCATATATTCTATCATTAGGCTCATCCTTCCTGAATTTGTCTTATACCCTTCTAAAGCCATCTAAGTGGCTAGTGCAGGGGTCTGCAACCTTTAAGACAAAAAGAGCCACTTGGACCCGTTTCCGAATGAAAAAAAACTGGGAGCCGCAAAACTCGTCATTATAAAAATAACTTTTTTGTCACTTTTTTTTAATTTCTTTGTTTGACCCCTCAGAATTACTCCTCCTCATAGAAATAAACGTTAAATTAACAAGTTACCTTTTTGTGTGTGTGTGTTCTTCACTCCCCTTCAAAACAGTGACCAGCGTACATGCCCCCTTTCAATGCAGTGACCAACGTACATGCCCCTTACAATGTAGCGGGCGGGAAGGTGACGTCGGGACGGTGCGTGACTAACGCACGCACCGCCCCCATGTGACGTCACAGCCAGTACAGTGCCCGCCAGAGTGGGGAGTGTTGGGGCGCACAATCCGCCTCCTCCCCTCGCTAGTATCCGCCCCGGAGCCGCGGCAAAGGTGTAAAAGAGCCACATGCGGCTCCGGAGCCGCGGGTTGCAGACCCCTGGGCTAGTGTGTGGCCGTCACATCAAGTATTGTTGCTCTATCGGTTTTATTATTTATTCATTTATTATATTTATATGTCGCCTTTATTCTCCAAGGATCTCAAGGTGATCTACGTGGTTCTCTTCCCCTCAAAACCATTTTATCCTCTCAGCAACCCTGTGAGGTAGCTTAGGCTAAGAGATAGTGACCAGCCCATGGTCCCCCAGTGCTCTGATCCTGAAGTGTCTGCAACTCCCTGCAGTTGAGTGGCACAAATATTTTACTTTTCCTGCCTCTGCCTACACCTGGATGAGTTTTCTTGCCTAAGCCTGGTAACTTTTCTTACCGCTGTCTTGCTCTCCTCGTGAAAAAAAGGCCACCTTTGCTTTCTAATTGGCCTTTCATTTCCCACCCTTCCCAAGCAGAACTGATAAAAATCTGCCCCACCTCGAGGCGTGTTGCATCTGACTTGTGTCAGAAAAGGAATCTTTGTCACATTCCTCCAGCTCCGAATAACAGTCTGTTTCGCCTTGAGATGCAGTGCTTTGCAGAAGACGTTAATCTTCTCCCGAGTCTGAAGGATTCCACGTTGACAGATTATTAAAAATTATAGGCTTGGCTTGCTTTTAGGGAGAGGAAAGTTCAGACCAAGTATGGATTCAACTTGCAAGTTCTGATGGCCTATCCTGTGGAAGCGGAAATGGAGGCGGGGGCTCCCCTTGTTGCACCCTTAAATTGCAACTAAGCTCTCCATCTCTGCTCAGGATAAATGGTTTGTTATTTAAAGTCCTCCTGGGTAAAAGCAGAAAGCAAATTATAAATGATCCATGAAATAAACGGAACAGATGGTGAAATTACATATTTCACTTGAACAGTTTAGGGTTTGATGCAAGAGCGTAGAAGCTATCAGACGGCAGATTTCCTCAACAGCAGGCATGGAAAAGCAGGCAACGTTTCATATTGAACAGTCCTGCAAAACACTAAGCTAAGTGCAGCCTACTAGCTATGTATGGTGTCCTGCCAGTGCCTCTATAAACTTGTTTTCCTACACTTATCTGAGATTGCAAAATGAGGGGGAGGGGTAACATAGGGGAAGGGTGTAACACAGACGCAAAGCCACCAGCATGTGGAAGATCCCAGGGTGAGTCACTAGCATCTTTTGGTAGAGCTGGGAAAGACACTCTCTCTGTAAACTTACAGAGTCTCTACACTACCGGTCAGTGTAGACCATGGGTAGGCAAACTAAGGCCTGGGGGCCAGATCCGGCCCAATCGCCTTCTCAGTCCGGCCCGTGGACAGTCTGGGAATCAGTGTGTTTTTACATGAGTAGAATGTGCCCTTTTATTTAAGATGCATCTCTGGGTTGTTTGTGGGGCATAAGAATTCGTTCATTCCGCCCCCGCCCCCCAAATATAGTCAGCCCCCAACAAGCTCTGAGGGACAGCGGACTGGCCCCTTGCTGAAAAAGTTTGCTGACCCCTGGTGTAGACAGCACTGAGCTAAATGGACCAATGGCTGGACTCAGGGCTCACGCATGCTTCCGCTTGTCCAGCTGCTTTCACCCACAAAAAACCTGCTCTTTACAGCTGAATCGGAGCAAACATCAGACAGGTTTTCTATGAGTTGACATTGCACATATAAGTGAAGATAATGTACAAAAACGTATCATATTGGGATAAACGGCTTTGCAGAAATGTGTGCATTACGCAACACTGCATACAAAAAATGTGTATATTAGGAGAAATTTGAACCCAGCTGCTGAGGATTTTTTATGAGAACTTAAAAAACATATACTGTATATGTTGTGGAATTGTGGAGTATTGAACTTAAGAGTAGAAACCGAAACTGACGTATTTGCCCATCCCGACTCAAAGAGCAGAGGTTTAAAGTGCGTTGTCCAAAATGCCAGTATTTTATTATGCTAGTTCATGCTGCTAAGCTATTTCAGCCAGCTTCCATCCAGGTTGCTTAAGTTTCCTCTTCAGGTGGTTTGGGCAGAAGCACCAATATAATTTTTCTCTTTTCCCTTGGGGGAAAAAGATACAGAGAAGAGGAGAAGCTCATTATCTGGATCAGTCAGAAGAATTATGCAGAGACAGAAATTAATTTAAGCAGTGGTTTCAATTAATATACACACTTACACGAGTGCAGGCTCCATTTAAGACAAGGAGACGTTCTGAGTAAGCATGCAAAGGATTGCATTGCAAATTGATATTTCCTCCTTCCCCGTAGGTATTGAATTAAAACTTAAATAGTATCATATTGTCTGGTGACTCATGATATTCTCTGTGTTTTCGTCTGTTATTGTTCGCTGGTCTGGGCTCCCTTTTGGAAGGTTAAGCTTGAGTGCAAACATTGAAATGAAATGGAATTTGATTGTGCGCTGGGTCTTTCAGTGACCATGATAGATAGTGTTCATACTCCTGCCCTTGGGGATTGATAATCAAATATGGACATTTCGGAACTGCAACAAAATGTTGCAGAGTGGAGTCCCCTTGTTCAGAGTTCCAGCCAGCCAGTTTCCCATGCCTCTTTACATGCTGCTCCATTCCATCCCCCCTCCTCTCCTGTATTCTATCCACGCACACCCCCCAAATATGCTCTCACTGAGCATGCTTAGTCATCATTTGGGGTCCCCTGCCCCACTTTAGGGTGGTTCCCCTCCCCTCCTTTAACAAAAAATGTACTACAACTGTGGGATTTCCCCTAGCCTGCTGCTACTTCCCTCTTATGAATGGGAACTTCCATTTTGGCTACATAAAAAGGGTGTTGCTGGATCATGCCAAAGGCCCATCTACTCCAGCATCCTGTTCTCATAGTGGCCAATTAGATGCCCCATATAGGAAGCCCAGAAGCGGCACTCTTCCCGCTTATGATCCCCATTCTTACAGTGGAGGGAAAACATAACCATTGTGGCTAATAGCCACTGATCGCCTAATATCCACCTTGAATTTGTCTAATCATCTTTTAAAGCCACTCAATTGATGGCCATCACTGCCTCTGGTGGGAGCAGATTCCCAGGTTCCATCATAAATAGAAGGAAAAACACAAACAAGATTAGCAAACCACACCTCCCTGTTAGACAGAGCCTCTCTTTAACCGTGGGAGCAAATTCCACAGTTGTGTGAAGAATAACTTTCTTTTGTCTGTCCTGATTCTGCAGAAGGACCCATGCTTAGAGGACTGAGTTCACACAGTTAGTCAATAGGATATTGCCATCCTGCCCTGCTACGTCTCATCCAGTGTGTGTAGTTGCTGAGCTAGACGGAGCGTGAGCCTGACCCAACAGGGTCATTTTAGGTAGTTTAGGAAATTGTAATGAGGAAGGGAAATTTTGAAATGCAATTAAACATTGACCCTCCCTGCTGAAAAGGAAGACAGCAGGAGAAACCACAGAGAGCAGGCAATCTAGTGGAAATCCACCTATTGCTCATGGCCGGGCCTGTTTATCAACATTCACATTGACTCCCTCTATTGTACTGACACACCAAGAAGAGGAGATGGCAGCGAACCAGCAGCAGGTCAATGCATTAACCACAGGTTTAAAACGTGAGGCATTTTAATTACAACTCTCTCACTTTCTCCTTTACTCCCTGTGAATATGTGCATTAACAGCCTCTTAATCGGTTTCAGGCGGCTGATTAAGCAGGCAAAAAGCAATTTTAATTCCACCTTCCCTCCTCCCGCCATCTGGGTAAACAGTGTGGGAAATATGCAAAGATTAGGGGCCCAATCCACTGAGCAGTTGCCCCATTGACATGAATGAGGTGCTCAGGGATCTGCACCGAGATGCTGAACATGTATTTTGGTTCTGCCTAAAAATAAGAACCATCTGAATGACAGTCGTTTGAGAAATGGAGGAGGGTTACAGGGTATATATTCTGCCGATTTTAAATTTTTACTTGGATTTTTAAATAAATATTGTACGACTAAACTCAAGCAGGGGACGCGGGTGGCGCTGTGGGTTAAACCACAGAGCCTAGGACTTGCCGATCGTCAGGTCGGCGGTTCGAATCCCCGCGGCGGGGTGCGCTCCCGTTGCTCGGTCCCAGCGCCTGCCAACCTAGCAGTTCGAAAGCACCCCCGGGTGCAAGTAGATAAATAGGGACCACTTACTAGCGGGAAGGTAAACGGTGTTTCTGTGTGCTGCGCTGGCTCGCCAGATGCAGCTTGTCACACTGGCCAAGTGACCCGGAAGTGTCTGCGGACAAGCGCTGGCTCCCGGCCTATAGAGTGAGATGAGCGCACAACCCTAGAGTCTGTCAAGACTGGCCCGTACGGGCAGGGGTACCTTTACCTTTACCTTTTTAAACTCAAGCAGAACGAAAACAAGACAGAAAACTAAATTCTGCTCCCCTGGTTAACCAAAAACAAAAAAAAACCAGACATCACTGCTTTACTATATCTGTGTACAAAAGCATACAGACAATGCAAGTAAGTTGTCTGGAGGTGAAAAGTAGGAGCACAGTCGACTTAAGACTATGTACAGCTAACACACACATACACACACACACACACACACATTATTGGACCATTTCTGTTTTTCTCCCTTTTGCGTGCATAGAGATCTCATCTCTGGCCATTAGCCATGCTGGCTGGAGCTGATGAGAGCTATAGCCCACAATATCTGGAAGAGACCATGTTGGCTACCCATGGAGCAGGCAAAATTATAGTAGATGAACCAGCGATCTGATCTGAGATGAGGTAGCTTTCTGGTGGCTTGGAGGTTCAGAGGTTTAGTCTAGAAGTCTCAGAGGTCCATGCATGGCTACTAGCCATGACAGCAATGCTCTACCTCTACTATCAGAGGCTTCTGAATGCTGGTTGTTGGGAATTGCAGGTGGGCGAATCACAGGTGTTTCCCCATCTCCAGCTTGCAGGCTTCCCAGGGGCATCTAGCTGGCATTTGGTGAAAACACGGTGATGGACTAGATGGGCCTTTGGTCTCATCCAGCAGAGCTCTTGTGTTTTTAGGGTAAGGGAGGAAAAATAGGGTAGCATATGCTTTTGACAGCAACTGTGTTCCACTACATTACCAAAGTTAATAAACAGAAACCAAACTGATTCAAAAGTGTCCTTTTCTGCCTACAGGCCACCCTCAACTTTGACATTATTCCCCGCCCCACGCCCCCCAAAACAGCAGCTTGCGCTATTCTCTGATGCTATGGATCTTATGCCACCCTATGAAAATCCTTCCAGTGCTCCCTGTGAAGAGCGATGGAGCATATTTCCTAGACCACTCTCACCCCAAATGTTGGTACACAAGAGCATTCCCACCACATATGTACCAATAAGTTGGCACCCCCTCCAAAAAAGAAGAAAATGTTCTAAGACACATAAAGAACAGTTTCCTCAGGGTGGTGTTGTATCACTTGTGCAATAGCTTTAAAGTTAGCTCCCTGACATTGGTAGATACAGTTTTATGGGAATGCCTATTCCATATTTAGTTTCAAGCATCCTCCTGTGTAATTAACCCATTAGCTTTCCTATTTGTTGTTAAGGATTTGTTCTTATTGTAAGACTGGTTTCACATTTATTAACATGGTAATTAGTTATAACAGGGGGGAGGATCCAGTCCCCCCCAACAGCTGGGGCATGGGAGGTTGTTCAAATTATAAAGCTGACAAATTTAATCAGAGAAAAGGAAGACAACATAATAAAAACATTTAAAAATGGAATATCTTTATTATGTACTAGTGGAACAAAATACAAGACGTTGAACCAAATAGTCTATTAGGAATTTTGTAGAGATAGTATTATAATAAGTTTGCAAATTAATTATTAGTAATTACTCAATGTTTATTTTTTTTGTTCATAAGCACTGATTGTGAATTTAAACAATAGATTGTATTATTATTATATCCCTTCTTTATATATGTATGTATATATATATATATATATATATATATATATATTATTAGAAGTTGTTAATAAAAACAATTTCAAAAATGAAAGTGGAGAGGTTTGGATTCTAAAAAATATTAAATGGTTTATAAATGCTTTTAACTACATATGAATAAATAGAGGTTGAAAAAGCACCACTGTTGTGTGCTATGCATGTTTACTTAGACGTGAGTCCCGTGGCGTTCAATGGGATTTACTCCCATGTAAGTGTGTGTAGAATTGCAGACTTGGCCTCTTAGATTCCACTATGCAGTAATTTTCCACCCTGTCCATTCTTAACTTGAAAGATTATAAATTACCAACTCTAGATCCACAAAGCTGCAACTTCAGACACACCCAAATATTATTTACAGAGACAATCTTTCCACACCCAATATCCTGAGGGCTTTAGAAACATATCCCTTAATTTCATTTTATCTTCACAACAGCCCTGTGAGGGTGGTCTAGCCCAGAAACGGACTTTCCCCCAAAGGCCACCCACTGAGTTGCATAACTATGAGGATCTGAATGTGAGTTTCCCACTTCTGAATCCAATACAGTTCTATAGCATCGGGGCTTAAACTGATAATAACACAGTACTGTACTGAATCCAGGAACTCCAGTTTAATTCCCCCCCCCTTCTGCAAAAGTTCAAGGTGCTTCTGTACCTGTGCCTCTGACAATGGGAGGAGGATATACCTGGGCAGGTGGGCTGCGTGGCTTTATGGTGACCCAGCTGTGGGGGTGACCCAGCAAAATGTGGGGGGTTTTTTGCTGCAAAACGCTTGCAAAACTCTGGCACAGGTTTAGAGCAGATCCCAGATTTAGGGGTTCGTAGTTAATGGGTGCCCCAAGGCTGCCTCAGATGGGCTAGAGTGGGACTTCCTGGCCTCCATGTCAACCATGGGGCTCTCTCAGTACATCAGTGGTCCAACAAACCTAGCTGGGCATATCCTTAACCCTTGAGTGGAATGGTAATACTCTGCTGATCAGGAGGCTCCTGTGAGTCTGTTGCCGTTCCCTGTTGAGGACATTTGTCCTGAATGTAGCTACTCCAATTCTGCAAGGACAGGGGACCCATTGACTGATGGAACCTGATGGACTCCTGAATGCTCCGGGGGATTTTCCGGCAGACATAGCTGGCACTCCTGCCGAGGCACTTGTGTCACTGTCGAATGAATGGTGAGCTGTGAGCCATCGATGCAGATCACCTTGGTGTTCCAGTAACCTGCCGTGTGATGAAACAGGGTCAGCGGCTAGAGCACAGGTTGCATGACTCAGGGCCCATCTACGCTTCCATTTGTCATAGAATCATAGAATTGTAGAGTTGGAAGGGACCCTGAGGGTCATCTAGTCCAACCCTCTGCAATGCAGGAATCTTTCGCCCAACGTGGGGCTCAAACCGACAACTCTGAGATTAAGACTCTCATGCTCTACCAACTGAGCTACCCCAGCGTGATTTCAAGTCATGGGTCTGAGAGGGTTATTTTTTTGGTCCCACCGCTTTCCCCAGGAAAACCCGCTGTTTACTGCAGTTTTCTGCAGATTGGCATTTGTTCCAATTCAGCAGTAAACAACGGGTTTTCCTGGCAAAAGCAGTGGGGAAAAACAAACAAAAAATCCCCAAACCCTCTAGGACAGACCTGTAACTTGACATCACGTGAAATCATAGGAGAAGTGGAAGTGTGGAAGGGCCCATGGTCTGAACCTGACTTAACATGGGTGAGGCTGCGTCATTGTACAGTGGTACCTCAGGTTAAGTACTTAATTCGTTCTGGAGGTCCGTTCTTAACCTGAAACTGTTCTTAGCCTGAAGCACCACTTTAGCTAATGGGGCCTCCTGCTGCTGCCACGCTGCTGGAGCACAATTTCTGTTCTCAACCTGAAGCAAAGTTCTTAACCCGAGGTACTATTTCTGGGTTAGCGGAGTCTGTAACCTGAAGCGCCTGTAACCTGAAGCGTATGTAACCCAAGGTACCACTGTATCTGCTTTTGGGATTTCAGAGCTCTCTTTCTTTCCTGGACAGGCAGTAGGTGTCTGGTGCAGGGCACCTGTGTTAAGGGAACAATTAGAAAGAGCAGTATCAGGGATGTCATCTACCCAGAATAGTGCATTCTGATCGGACTCCGAATTTCATGTTTGTGGGAGTTCATAGAATTGTAGAGTTGGATGGGACCGCGAGGGTTCAACCCCCTACAATGCAGGAATCTTTTGCCGAACGTGGAGCTCAAACCAATAACCCAGGATGTGATTACTTGGGGGTGTGCCACGCTTTTTCAAGGATCTGGTTTTGGTTGTTACTGCTTAACATATCACAGCCCCTGAGCATGTGCAGAGGAACTTTGACTACAGCTGAAGAAGGCAACTTAAAACCCCAGGAAAGCAGGAAAATAAATACCTCCTCTTGAATTTCCATGCTGCTGGTATTTCTACAGGACACACAGGAAGCTACATAGCTCAGGATTTTCCACTCTTTCTGGCTGCAGCTATCCAGGATCACAGAGACGGGTCTTTCCCATCACAGGCTGCTTGATAATTTTCTATATGAGATTCCTGAGATTGAATTTGGGTTTTTCTGCAACCAAAAAGCCCCTGCCGTCAGCGCTGAACTATCGCCCTTTCCCCTGGAGGAAAGTCTGGGATTGTAAGTAGCCTTTCTTCGGCTGCAGCGAAAATCAAAGTTCCTCTGCACACGCTCAGGGGCTCTTGGGTCACAACAAGCCCAGGGGTTTCGCTTCCTTAAAAGACTGTTGCAATATGCAATTTAAAAAAGAAAAAAGCAGAAAAGCGACGAGGGGAGGAGTCTGAGAGAAGGGCGGGGCTTGCGGCTCAGAGCAGCCGCCTTGGATTGGCTGGTGGCCTCGGGGAGGCGGGGCTTTGTGGTGGGTGGCAATTGCAGGCTAGTGGAGCTCGCTCTTTCTTTGCTCGTCAGTTGCCGCAGGAAAGGGAGCAGCCGGCGCCGCCCAGCTGCGAGCCCGGGGTGAGTAAACGGCTTCGCATTGGGAGAGGAGAACGAGGAAACTGCCTTCAAAAATACGGAGTGTTGAGGGTGGAAGGGAGACCTGGTTAAAAGCTGCGTCCCTGACCCGCAAGATCTTTTAGGGGGGCTCTGTATTTATTGTGGGGATCCAGATCATTGTGGGCTCTTGGGTAGGGATCCATCCCATTGACAACGCCCTGAAGAGATGCCGGGGTTCAGGGTTTGCCCGACTTATGCTGCTGGTGTTGTAGGGAGAGGGGGATTTGCAGTGTTTGGGGAAGGCACTCTGCACATGTTCAGAGGCTCAAGGGTTGCAGTTCCTACCCGGTAAAAATCTAACCGGGGGATCTCTCTTTTCCTTCTACCCGACTCTGTTCACCCCCGACCCTTCTTCCGCGTTGATCGTTCCACATTCTACAGCACAGACCCAGTCGCGAAGTATGAACACCGTTTTTTAAAAGATATATACTGGGCGGGGTGGAAAGTTTTTTGGGGGTGGGGGTGCTGTTTTGGGTTAGCTGCTCCTGAGTCGTTAGAGGTGCCTTCAACTTCCCTGCTTCTTACCCCTTGGAGATGTCAAGAGTTGGCGGGTTTGAGATCATTCTAGATTAATTAGAACGGGGTGTGTGTGTGTGTGTGTGTTTTGCGGCGGGCGCTGCGCGCAATGGTTAGGGAGCCACGCGGCGGGGCGGGCGCGGGGTGTCTAAGGAGGTTACAGAGCTTGGCTCCGGGTTCTCCCAGCTTCCCCTCCGGGGATCCAACATTCAGCGTGTGCCATAAAAACGAGAGTTTACTGGAAGGAGTGCGGAGAGCGGCTGGTGGGGTTTGCTTACTTCCTAGCCCCTCCCTGAGCAACCGGGGGGGGGGTGCGAGGCAGAGAACTTCACTTCGCATCCGGCAACTTTTTGCCAACAACCTTTACCAGCCTTTGCTCCTGTGTCTATAGCCGCAGCAGCAGAAGCAACTGGATCTAAGGAGGGTCACAGAAAACTTGCAAAAAGGTCCACTAGTGATACAATCCTGTACATATCTATCCGGAAGGAAGACCCGTTGAGTCCAGTGGGCCTTATTTTTACGTGAGGACGACCCCAGTCTTATTTCTGACAGATGCTGCTCAGATCTCCCTGGTAATCCTGATAACAGGGTGCAAATTCAACAGCCCTTTCCCGCTTTATTTATTTTTTGCTAGTTCTCTTTTAGCAGACGGGGAGGTTCTGTTTAACAATCCTGACTTATAGCCTCTGATAACACCCCCCCAACCCGGAATTTATTGCCTCTTCCCCACACCCCAGCCATTTTGGGCAGTGGTCCCTGCCATTGCAACATCTTGTGGCCGGAGTTTCTACTAAGTTAAACATGCTGTGCAAAGAAGTGTCTCATTCTCAATGTGCTGCCTGTCAAACTTTATTAGGTGACCCAAGATATATCTCTCCCTCTCCCCTCTTCCTGTTGTCTCTTTCTAAGCTACAGAGCACTAAATTGAGGGTGGAGGCAACCTGAGGGCCACATTTGGCCCTCGGTCTAATTTCATGCAGGTGGCAGTGGGGGAAAATTGGATGGATGGGGTGGTAAAAGGGAGAGAGGAAAAGAGATGGTGGAAAAAGAGAGAAAGGGGTATCCTTCCCATTTTTCTTGGTGCCAACTCCACCCTCATGTGCCCCTGTCAAGTTTTCTCCTTGCCCAGAACGTTGCCCTCATTAGAAAAAAAGTTTCTCTGCCTCTGTCAAAAATGCTTTAGTCCAACCTTTGTCAACTGTGTGCCCTCCAGATGTTTTTTACTGGTCCAAACCATCTGGGTGGCATCAGGCTGACAAAAGCTGCTTTAGCTGTTCCTTGTATCCCTAGTGTGCCAACCCCATTTTATTCATTTTGTTCACCCATACCTGCACTTAGATGCTCATCCAGCTCATGTGAACAATTTCCCCTCCTCATTTCTTCCTATCCTTGACTGCTTGCTTTCTTTTATTGTTTTTTTACAATAGCGTACTGTTTTTAATATTGGGTTGTGTTCAACTAAGGTCTTCCCAGAGAATCGAATGGGCCTAAGTTACTCATCCCCATTAACTTCAGTGGGTCTCCTCTGAGTAGGAATAGCATTGGATGCAGCCCATTGCCTTGTTTGCAAGTAGCCCAGGGGATATTTATTCTGGGATGGCCTTGGAAGCAAATGAAGTAAGTAGAAGGCATAAGAACAGCTCAGGCTGGGCTTTGCTGGGTACGTTGGAAACCCTGGCACTTTGCATTTTAGAAAGGAACACTTGATCATGTAATGTCAGCTGTTTTGTTTTAACTGTGATAATTCTGGAATAATACAGGGGCAGAAGACAGATCTCTTTTTAAAAAAGAAAAGAAAAGAAAAGTGAAAAACAACAACCAATCTCTCTCTCTCTCTCTTAAATATAAATTAAAAACTGGCCAGATGGCAAGCAGACATGTCTGTTCCCATCTGTCTTGGCCCGGCTTTCCACACCTCTCTGTATTTAAGGAATGGAACCTGGCAGCTACATTTGTGTGTGTGTGTCTGTGTGTGAAATAAATCTTGGACCTTTTACAACAGGGGTGTGGTGGTCAGGAGGGCGTCTCTGAGCTTCCAGGCCTGGCAGAGTAACTATAAACTCTCGGGTTTAGAAGCTGGCGTCATTGTAGTGCTTTCTCTCTCTCTCTCCCCACCACCAGACCCCCCAGAGATTCATCTTCTGGGCTATATAAAGCCCTCTGCAAGTGTCCACCCTTCTTTCACCCCCCCTCCCCAAATTGCCCCCAATATATAGCCCTTTCCCTTGCTGCCCAGCTATTAAAGACCCATCCGAATTGAATGGCATTGATTTCACAGAACAGGTGAGCACACGTGAAACTTGCATCAGGATCTTAGATCGGACAATACCTTGGCGGAGGGCGGGGAGCTGCTTTGTAACTTTAGAAACCCGCTCCCCTCTGCTGGAGCTATCTTTGGATGCTACTTGGGCTGTGGGAAGTCTGAAATGGATACAGAGGGGTAGGTGGGTGGGCTAACTGGGCACGGCACATAAATGACATCGTGCCGGGGGAGGGGGGCAGAGGAAGCTGGATGGAAGCCTTCTCTTCGTAAGCGTTTTCAGTCGCTAGGCAAATGTCTGGGAACAATTCTCGTTGGTTTTGTGAGGTGTTAGCCCGCTCTCTTCATTCAGTGTTTTGCTCTACCTGCATCCTTGCCAGGGGAAAATTCCCATGGGTTCCCATGCTTCTCTCCCTGTGCATATGTCTTTATGTACTCATATGGGAGTCCTCCTGTGCTTCGAATGCGGACAGTGGTAAAAGCAGGAAACATGGGTGGTTGGCATGTTTGGACCTGTGGGCACATTTGGAGGCAGTGCGCCCTGCTCTCCCCATCTCCTTACCTGTTGACAGACAACACCCCCACCCCCGTCACTTTCCCAAGGGAGCTGGATAAACATCAGGTGTGGTAAAATGAAAACGGAGTCTCTAGAATTTTTACATGGGATCTCCTAAAAAAACAAAGTTTTTACTGCACAGTAAAAATCACAGATCAGGTTGGTTTAAGGTGCTGGTCCTCATGAAACTTCAGGGTTGTTTTTTTCATGGGGGGAAGAAAAACAAATTGCAGGAGAACACACCTGTGTAAATGGAGGTGAGCTGTGATTTGATGGTGGTTTTTAACATTGGTGTTCTGCTTGCAAGTGTTCAGACTGCTTTAGCCACCCTCTGTTGTTCATCTCCCTAACACCTGGGTTCTTGGAGATGGACTGCATCTGAGTATGGAGGTTCTCTTTGATAATTCCTATTGGAATAGGTCACCCAATTCTCTTAGATGTCCAGTATCCTGTTTCTAACCCCTGGTTGGCCAAATGCCTCCAGGAAATCCATCTAAGCAGAGCATGGAGACAGTAGCCTTCTGCCGTTCATGTGTCCCTCATCCTCTGTTGGTCAGCAGTATAAAGCCTCTGACCATGTGGGGGTTTATTTAGCTGTCATGAGTGCTAGCAAGCGGAAAGGCGGCTTGGATCAGAAAGAAACAGTCTGCAGGGAAGGAGTTGAGCACATTTTGCTGCAGTTTCACAGCCTCCCAATATTGCTTTTCACAGACAGCAGCATCCAAGTGAAAATACCTGGGTGCCAGGATGGCGCCTGATGTCTTCACCATCATGCTTGGGGATCCTTGGTTCTTGCCTGTTTTCACACACTAACAACACAACCTGTAAAATTCTATCAGTGATATTTTATCGGAGCGAATTTCAGAAATCAAAAAGTCGTATTAAAAAATATGACTTTTGAGCTGTCTGGTCCCAAAATGGCAACTAGACATTCCGTTTTGGTGGCTGTAGCCTTAAACCCTGGTTTAAGGAGCCATGTATCTGAGTTTCTAACACTGATTCACAGGACCCTAAAGTTGAAGGAGGCCTCATACAGCCCATTCCGCTGCTTGAGGCAGGAAATCCAGGCGAAGGTCACCCCATGAGAGCATGGTCAAGCCTCTGCTGGAAGACTTCCACTGACATAGCACGCAGAAAGTAGATATGGATTTCCTGGCAGATTTCTAGGCAGTTAGTGGTAGGACTAGGAAGCTACCATATTATTATTATTATTACTATTATTTATTTGTCAGTGGCTTTTTACCTTCAAAAAAACCTAATAATAATTTTATTATTTATACCCTGCCCATCTGGCTGGGTTTCCCCAGCCACTCTAGGAAGTTTACAGCACATATAAAAACATAGTAAAGTGTCAAACATTAAAAACTTCCCGATACAGGGCTGCCTTTAGATGTCTTCTAGAAGCTGTGTAGTTCTTTATCTCCTTGACATCTGATACAGCAAATGAAAAAACTAAAACCAGATTTTTCAAAAAAAATACTGCATAATTAAAAATATCTAAAATGCTAATCCAATAACATAGTAATAAAGGATCAGTAATAAAGAGTATTCTGACCGCCCTTTATGAGTGCATTGTGCAACATTTCATTGATGCAATGATAGTGGATTTATACAGGCCACATCATTCCACTGTTGTCTGCAAGGGCGCACTTTGAGCTATAGTGCAACAAGGGGCTCATCCACACTGCCTCTCGCCCTGCTGTTTTCATCCTGGGGGAAAGTGCTCTTTAGTGCTCAATCAGAGCAAACAGCAATTCGAGTTTGCTCTGGTTTAGCACTGAAGAGCAGGTTTTCCCTAAGGAGTGGGGCAGGGGGAAAACCATTCAGACCTATGACTAGAAAGGGTGGGTCAAGCATGAAACAGCTTGGACTTGTGCTTTTTAGTCACGGACCGAGCGGAAGTGTGGACCAGCCCCAGAGCGGGACAATGGGCCCCCTCCCCTCTGGTACATTTGCGGTACTAAAAGTTACAGAATTTCAGCAGGAAGTTATGGGACATTCCCCAATTGGAAAGCTGCTCTGCAACTTTGGCGGGTGCAAATTGTCCTGAAAGTGAAATCGCAGGTAACTTCCATCATGAGTGCAAACAATCACTAATGCACAGTAAAAAGCAGAGCTCTGCCCCCAAAGTTCAACCAAAATCTCCTTTCTAACTTCAGTCCATTTTAAATCTAGTCCTGCTGCACCCTGGGGAAGAAGTCTTTGCCTTCTTTTTATATGGCAGCTTTTCTGGTCTTTGAAGAACGTCAGGCTGCCATTTCTCCAGGCTAAAACAACCCTGTAGCAAGTGTCTGCCCATCTCATTCTTGTTCTCCCTCTGTGCAGCTGCTCTGACACCTCGAGGTGCATCTTCAAACTGCTCGAAAAGTGCTTTCATGATCACTTGCAAGCCTTTGTTGCTGCTGCTGTTGCCACCTGCTCTCGCTTCCTTTGTACTGCATTTATTCAGCACCATTAATTGGTGCACAGCTCACTGTAACATAAGCAGCAAAGGCTGGGTCCCTGCCCTGAGCTGTTTCCAATCCATAGGAGCTGACTCCTAGGGCTTGAGGTCCCTTCGCCCTCCCCATAAGTTGATGAGTGTTGCCATTAAAAAGGTGTCTGTGCACTGCGTCATGCGATTGATTATGGAGCGTGCAGTTTACCTCCTCCCCCCATATTTTATTCAATTTGGCACCCGTTCCAATATTATTATTTTTTGTAATAAATTTTTATTAGTTTTCAATTACAGTCCAATAATAGCCTCATTATAACAATACCAATTTATACTACAATCATTAATACCAATCATTCAATTAGCGAATTATATAATTTAGTTAGAGTGAGGGCCCCCACATTCTAGATTTGATGGTTTTCTTTATTTCTGCGTTCCAAAATCTTATTAGATTTCATTACATTCCGGTCATAATAATAATCCCTTCTTCAACCACTGCAATATTAATAACTTCTATTCGTGTCAACACATTAAATGATTTATAAAACTTCAAGTGAGGAACTCAAACTATATCCTTGTTCTTCTTGTGGGTGGCAATTATATTGTCCTTGGTATTTCTTCCTGTCCTTGCAAGATGTTACGTCTTTCTTTCCCCTGATTGTTGTTGTTATCTGTTGTGCCTTGGCCGGAGGTGATACCCCATGGGCAATTTTAGATTGGCTGATATCACAATCTAAAATTCATTGATGGGGAGAGAACCAAAGGAGGGAAGGATGGGGGAGGCAAGAGGTTACAAGGGATGAAAGTGCGTGTCCTTTTTGGTGAAAATGTGGAACGTTCATCCCAATCTGTTTGCAGGGAGGTTATATGGCGTGCGACCTGTTTCCTGAGCATTCGTTCAGATTTTTGGGGAGTTTAGATGACGTTTCATCAAGCAAGGGTTGATGCATTTTCTCTGCAAAAAGTTGGATTTCTGTGGCATGGGGATGGACAGTGTGTTGGTTGTGCAAGAGCTCCAAATCGACTTGTGCAACCTGAATTTGGCGGTATACGATTGAAAGCCACCTGGAAGCAGCACCCTTGGTGAGTGCAGTGCCCAAGTAGCTTGGAATGGGAAGCCACGACTGCACCACTGTCTTAATAACGGTTCAGTGTCCCGGTCTTGTGCATGTCTAATCAGAAGTTAGTCTTTGGTCAGAGAACTGCAACTTGATAGGGATTCAGTTTGCACAGAGAATCTTAGGAAGCAGTGCCAGCTAAGCTGATTGCAAACCAGTGTGGCCTAGGGGTTAGAGTGTGTCTGAATAGGATTTGGAAGACCCAGGTTCAAATTGACCTGTCTCTTTCATCCTCACCTATGGTTGTTGCAAAGATAAGAGGCAGATAAGTTAGCCAGTACCCTGCCCTGATATCTTTGGAGACGAGGGTGGGATATAGGTGTACTCGGTGCTTGGGATGAATTAGTTTGGTCTAACGAAGTTTGCTGATTTTTAAAAAAAAAATCTCTGAAATACACCTGAAAGTTCCCACAATTGCCAGGTGAACTAAACATGAATTAAGTTCTTCTTTTTGCAGTAGAACTTGGGACAATTTCTAGTTCAAGTTCATTCTCTTAATGTGTTTTTTCAGGTTTTAGTCTCTTCAGCCTTTAAGCTGAAAGGGCATAACTGCTGGCAATAAATATAAATAAAATAAGTGAAACGATTCACATTTCCGCTACACGGACGTTTCCTTAGTCTTCAGTCCTTTTTACACTTTAGCTCAGCAACTTGTAGCATTATGAATGCCATGGAGAAAATTGCCGAGGATGATTGGGACGAACTTGAATTGAACTGTAAACCTGAAATGGTCCATTTTCTAAAGGGACAAATGTGAACTGGAATTTGTTCCTTGTCTCATGGTCTATGTTCCCATCTGCCCTAGACAACATGGGCAAAGATCAAGGAAGTTGGAAGCCCAACAGTATCGGGAAAGCCACAGGTTCCTTATCTCTGGTTTAAAGAATTGGTTGGTGGTTTGTGGTTGCTCTTCAGAGGAGCCAGAGTTGCTCCTTTGAGAAATGTGACTTACCTGGACTTACACAGCCACCTAGTGGAATCTTGGAAGAACGTGGGGTCGGTTGCACAGGCAGGGAACCCATTAGAAATGTCTTGCAAATTCCCCATACACTCTTTTTGTGGGTTTGCAAAATTTAAATCGGGTGGGGGGCAGGAGGGGGTGGGGGCAGGATAAATGGGAAACCTTGTTAGTCCCTGGATATTTTTGGCTTTTTAAAGGTGGATGTTCACATCCTCTGCCTGACCTAGGCCCCATCTGCACTATACATTTAAGGATGAATCATGGCGTCCCCCCCCAAAAAACCAGCCAGGACTTTCCCCTCAGAGAATCCTGGGAGTTGCAGTTTGTCAAGGGAGCTGCCATATGAGGCCTCCTATTCCCCTCACAGAGCTACAATTCCTAGAGTGGTTTAACAATTAATCCCTCTTCACAGGGGACTCTGGGAATTATAGCTCTGTGAGGGGAGTGTCCTACCAACTCTCGGCATCTTCAAGAAACTACAGTTCCCAAGGTTCTTTGGCAGAAGCCATGGCTGTTTCAAGTGGTATCGTACACTTTAAATCTATGGTGCAGATGAAGCCCTAGGTATGTAGAAAATCGCTTGATACCAAGCCCTGCACTGGCCTTTCCCAACCTGGTGCTCCTCAGATGCTGTTGGTCTACATCTCCCATCATTCTTGACAGTTGCTGATTGGGGCTGATAGGCCTTGTAGTCCAAAGCGCCCGGTGGGCATCTGGTTGGAGAAGCCTGGTCCACGCCAACTGCCAGCAGCTCTCCTGGATTTGAGTCGGGACTGCTCCTGCCAACCTAGCAGTTCGAAAGCACGTCAAAGTGCAATTAGATAAATAGGTACCGCTCTGGCGGGAAGGTAAACGGGGTTTCCGTGCGCTGCTCTGGTTCGCCAGAAGCGGCTTAGTCATGCTGGCCACATGACCCAGAAGCTGTACGCCGGCTCCCTCGGCCAATAAAGCGAGATGAGCGCCGCAACCCCAGAGTCAGCCACAACTGGACCTAATAGTCAGGGGTCCCTTTACCTTTACCTTACCTGGAGATACCAGGAATTGAACCCGATACCTTCTGCCTGCAAAGCAGGTGCTCTAACCAATGAACTCTGACCCGTCTAACCTCTTTGGAGGAAGTCTGGAGGAAAACCTCAAATCTGCCGCTGCTGTTGCTTCAAGTTGTGCTGCTTTTTCTGGGTTGGTGACCTCGGCGGAGGTGCTTTTGAGCCCAGAGGCATGGCTGTTTGTGTGTGGCATTTGGCGGGGCAAGAGAACAAGTGGCGATTGTCCAAAGCAGCGCATCGGAGCTGTGGGCCCAGCTTCTTTCAGCCGCTGGTGTATTGTTCTCTGTTGTGTACCCTCCGCTTGCAAAGAGAGAGAGAGAGAGAGAGAGAGAGAGAGAGAGAGAGAAAGCTGCCTGGATTGCTTTTCTGCGGTTGTTGCAAATGAGGCCCGTTTCCCCTTTTAAATCCTTCCCTTCCTGGCTCGTCCGTTAAACAGTTGCTCGTGATAACCTGCTCTGTCAGCAGTGCGCCGAGCCAATGCTCTTGAGGCTTTGGTGTGCACCAGCGCCCTGCCAGGCGCTCAGACAAAAGGCCGCTTTATCCATCAGCCCACCCCTGACAGAGCAACCACCTGTTTCGAGTCGGCCGCAGAACGCTCTCGCTTGTTGAGACCCGGCCAGGCCACATGGACTGGGGTGTCCTTGCTTTTTAATGCCTCAGGGAGCAGAGCCCCTGCCAAATGGCGCTGGGATCAGCCGTTTTGGTTGTTATTTATTTCAAAAACAGGTACAGTGGTACCTCAGGTTACATACGCTTCAGGTTACAGACTCCACTAACCCAGAAATAGTGCTTCAGGTTAAGAACTTTGCTTCAGGATGAGAACAGAAATCTTGCTTCAGCGGCGCGGCGGCAGCAGGAGGCCCCATTAGCTAAAGTGGTGCTTCAAGTTAAGAACAGTTTCAGGTTAAGAACGGACCTCCGGAACGAATTAAGTACTTAACCCGAGGTACCACTGTATGCTGCTTAATTGCCACCTCTGCCTCTAAGTGGTGCTCGAAAAACTGAACAAACACAGTGAAGAGAAAATCTGTTTTAAAATGAGCAGCAAAAGTATTGCTCTGAATATCAGTTACTGGGAATTCAAAACTGGGAGAGCGCTGTTGGCCCTCAGGTCCTGTGTAGTGGGGCTCCCAATGGGCAGCTGGCTGGCCACTGTAAGAATGGGATGATGGACCCCCTTCCATCAAACATCTAAAAGGGGTATAATGTGTTAATCAGGCAAAGGCCTGGTGCCTAATGGTGTATATTATTATTATTGTTGTTGTTGCTGGCCTTTGGTCTGATCCAGCAGCCAGGCTCTTCATGGGGACATTGCTGCTCCCTTTCCTCACTCTATGCCTGGGGAGGGGGTCAGATGAATAGGAAGTGTCTCCTGCCTGGTCACGCCAGCCCTTCCTGAAGGCATTCTGGGAAGGAGAGGGAGATGACTTGGACGGGCCCAAGGCAGCAAGAAGTGCTTCCAATCCCAAACAACACAGGTTTCAGATTTGGCCCTTATGAGGTGAGCAAAGAGAGCTCTTAGTTCAGGGATGAGGAACCACAGGCCTAGAGAATGGATGTGGCCCTCCAAGCCTCCCTATGTGGTCCTCGGGACTCTCCCCCGGCCATGCTCCTCACCAGCCGTGTTTTTGCTTGGGCTGAGTGTAGTCTGATAATGCTTGCCTGGAGGGAGGATAGAGAGGGTTTGAGTGTAGAATATGTGGGGGGAACCTTCAGCCCTACAGAAACTCCTAAACTACAACTCCCATCATCCTTGGCCATTGGCCATGCTTGCGATGGCTGATGGGAATAGTAGCTCAGCAATACCTGGAGGGCCAAAGATTCCCAACACCTGGTGTAGAAACTAGCCTGCTGCACAAAGGTAAAATGTGTGCTCATTGCTCTGCCCACTTTTGCTTCTGGCCCCGCCCACCACAGAAATAGGGTTCTCAGAAGGAAATGTGGTCCTCTGGGTGAATAGGATTCCCCATCAGGGATTGAACCTGGGACCTTCTGCATGCAAAGCAGATGCTCTACCCTTGAGCTGTAGTCCTTCCCTCTATGGTTGGGCTGAAATTCCAATTGGACGATTGTTAAAACAGAATTCTTAACTTAATCATTCTTTTCTTCTTCCTTAGCAGAACTGCAGACAGATTCTGGTTATGAAGGAAGGAATTTATCCAGCCTGAGGTGGCTCTGGGGTTTCCCTCTTGTACTGACTTCTTGAAGTTCTGTTGGAATCTCCCGTGGTTCTGCATTGGCGAATTTCTCAGGTGCACGGCTGCCGGGGAATCCTTCGTTAGATCACGTCCTACCAGCAGAATCAACTTACCTCTAGGTAATTTGTTAGTGGCTCATGCCCAACTGAAAGCCGATCCCATTGTGGCTGATAACCTCCTGTCTTGCAAGGACTCTTCACCTTTTAACCAGCCTGGTTTTGACTTGACGATGATTGTTTTGAATCTGAAGCGCCAGCACTGAACGGCCCTTCTTCTTCCCCCCTCCCCTCCTTTACAGCAGTCGACAAAGATGTCCACCACCAAAGTGCCCATCTACCTGAAAAGAGGAAGCAGGAGGGGCAAGAAGGAGAAACTGCGAGACATCCTCTCTTCAGACATGATCAGCCCACCGCTAGGGGACTTCCGGCACACGATTCATATCGGCAGCGGTGGGGAGAACGACATGTTTGGTGACATCTCATTTCTCCAAGGGAAGTTCCACCTCCTGCCCAGGACAGAGGGCAACGTGAGTCCAGGTGGCACCAGCCAGTACATGGTGCCCTTCGAGTTCTCGAGGACCGCTACCATCTCCGGTTATGAGCCGCCGCCTTTGGACATCCCCTCCCCTCTCCTCAAAAACGCCATCTCCCTGCCGGTCATCGGTGGCTTGCAGGCGCTGACCTTGCCTTCTGCTCAAGCCCCACCCAAACCGCCGCGCCTGCACCTCGACGACAAAGCCCAAGCCGCTCCCCAGACGAATGACCTTGCCCTGAGTCCTCCCTGCACTGTGTCTGCTAGGACTTCGGAACCCCTTGGCACCGCCAACGGCAAGTGCCCGGCCTCTGTGAATGGGTTCTCAGGGGAAGAAAACAAAGACAAGGCTTTCATGTCCCACGCGGGCTCCCTGCTCTCCCTTCACGTGGACTTGGGGCCGTCGATTTTGGACGACGTCCTGCAGGTGATGGAGAAGCACCAGACGGCAGATGTGGGTGCACCGTTGCAGGATTCTGGCAGACAGGAAATCCTGACGTAATGAGAAAGGCGGCCGGCGGAGGGGGACCTGTGACTTTGAAAGCGCAGCCTTTTTGTACATAAGAGAGTGTTTTGCTGTTAAATTGGGTGACTGGGGGTGCGTGTGCAGGCATGGATGTGCGTGCACACCTGTGTGAGATCCTTTGGTGCAGCTTCACTAGTAATATAATTCCTCCCAGCTTTCAAAGAGCATCTTGCAGAATGCAGGCTTTCCTCCTTACTATGCAGCACTCCGTTTCGACAAAAGCTGAGATGGGTCCCTGTCTTGTGTGCTCTTGGCAGGCTCTACACACAAAAAACACACCCTTCTACTGAAACTTGTATTGGAAGCAAAGCAATAAATTAATAAGCATCTGTTAAGTTACCCTCGTGAACAAATGTTATGGGTGTGGATCCTGAAAAGCTGATGGTTAATTGATGGGTTGGGGAAGAAAACCTCAACAGTGAAGAGGTGTGTGTTGTTGTACATTCTTTGTAGCTGGAGTGGCGGGGGCGATGTTGCGCTGCTCATTGATGGGAAGGGCGGCACGGCGCTCTGAGCAGTTGTCAGAGATTGTCCCGTGCTGGAGGGAGGAGGAAGCCGTGTTTCTAGCCTTGGAATGTAAACGAGTCAGGATATCTCATTAAGTTCTTAAGCTGGTAATATGGTCATGTTAATGAATAGGGAGGCATTCCTGTGCTGGAATTTCATGGGAAAAGATTCTGAGTCATACAGGTTGGCTGTGGCTGATGCAGTTTAGGGAGCTGCCTTATAACACATCACACTATTTATTTATCTAGATCAGGATCATCTGCTCTGACTGATGGCAGGGTCCTAAGCAGAGAAGGTGCCTTTCCCATCACTTGCTACCTGATCCTTTTAACTAGAAACGCCAAGATCTGAACCTTAGTCCATAGTTAATACTATTTCCATTTCCCCTGTGTGTGTTTCTCCTTCTCTGATGGAAGAAAGATGGGATGTTAAATTGGTTTATTTACCGGCCAACACTCCTCATTGGTGACCTAGCAGCCAATAGCATAGAGAGGACTGTGGTTTAGCTGTGGAGCACCTGTTTTGCATGCAGAAGTCCCAGGTTCAACACCTGGCATCTCCAGGTAGGCATGGGAAGGACCTCTGTTTGAAACTGCCGGGAGCCACTGCCCATCAGTGAGCTAGTTAAACCCATGTTTTGATTTAGGAGAAGACAGCTCCCTGTGTCCCTTTTGGAATCCACTCTTTATTCAGAACCATGAGGACTGGAATCTTACTTTCTTTTTAGCAGAAGGGCTGCAGGTCAGTGGCAGAGCACATACTCTGCAAGCAAAAGATCCTTGGTTCAATCAATCCCTGGCATCTCCAGGTAGTACAGGAGAGAGACCATTGCCTGAATTTCAAGAAAGTTACTGCTTGTCAATGTGGATAATAGTGAGATGGACCAATGGTATAAGGCAGCTTCCTGAATTCCTGTTACAGTATATGGTTATATTGTTCAGAAGAGAGGGTTGCCTCGTGGCTGCGGCTCTCCTCTTTTGGCCGTTCCTGTGCTTGGTTTTTCCTGCACCATCCTGGCCGCATCTGTAGTCGGCTGTCCAGCATAGCAGACAAAGCCCCATTTCAGCATCTTCAGGGGAAGAATAAATAGAGGCTTGTTAAACTAACAAACCGTGGCCTGGCATTGTCCCCAGGCAACTGGCTGTTTGGCAGCCGTTTCTCATCCGGCCCATCTGTCGCTGCAAAGGCCGCTTCGCAAGGGGACCCCATCAGGATGCTAGGATGCTGTCAGTCCCACGGCACATGACAAAAGGTGACTCTCGAATAGGGGCAGGCTTCATCAAGAAAGCCATTTTCAGCGTCCCAAGCGACTTTTGGGCAGAGACGGCTGCTGCAGCTTCTTTGGAGCATCTTTGGCCTTAAGCCAAGTTTAAAAATCTCTCCTTGATAGCATGGCTTCCTCGAGGACTGACTCCTTGCCAGATGCGTACTGGGTTTGTTCCAAGAATTGGATACTCCAATCTGTGGTGTTTCACTGTGGGTTCTCCAAAATTCACTAGAAAGCTATGTTGGATTTAGACAAATTCAAAAGGGGTCCTGAATTCGAATATTGTGAATCTTTATTTTTATGTCCCCCCCTCAAGCTATTTATGATACAGCACCAGCAACTTATATCAGGGAGGGGTGGGGAGCCTTGGGCCCAGGGGCCAAATGGTGGCCCTCAGAGTTCTCTGTCTGGCCCTCAGGGCCTTCCCAGGACTGGTGCTGCTTCGCACATTTCCTCTGTTTTTGCTTGACTGAAGTGTGTCTTCGAACACTGATGATGCTTCCTGCTTGCCTAGCCAGAGAACGTGGTGTAGAAACTGCAAAGGTAACATTTCAATGAGTTGCTCTGGCCACTTTTGCTTCTGGCCCTGCACACCTCACGCACGTGGCCCCTGGAAGGCTGCCCAGAAGGGAATTTGGCCCTCAGGCTGAAATAAGTTTCCCCATCTGTGCTGTGTATGAACTGTTAAAAAGAAGGAAGCACGTGGATGTTGGTGGTGGGGAGACAAACAGCATGAAAGGAGGAGGGAATCCTAGAACTGTAGAGCTGGAAGGGACCACAAGGGTCATCCAGACCAACCCCTTGCAATCTTTCACCCAATGTGGAGCTTGAACCCATGACCCTGATTTTACCGATGACAACTGAGCTATCCACAAGGGAGAGGCAAGGCTGATGGGCAAGCACATGTGTGCTTAGTGGCTACTTTCCAATGAATATTGGAGGATTCAGGACAGACAAAAGATGGTACTTCTTTATGCAGTGCATAGTTAAACTATGGAACTCACTCCCACAGGAGACAGTGATGGTGACCATCACGAGTAACTTAGGAGGACTGGACCAATTCATCATGAGATCAATGGCTTCTAGCCACAATGGCTGTGTTCTGCCTCCACTGTTAGAGGCAGTGTGCTTCTGAATTTCTAGTTGTCGGGAACTGGGCAAAAGATTCTTGCATAGCAGGTGGTTGGACTAGATGACCCCTGTGGTCCCTTCCAACTCTACAATTCTATGAATCACAGGTAGGGAGAGTGCTACTGCACTCGGGTCCTGTTTGGCAGCTTCCCACCAGTATCTGGCTGGCTTCTGTGAGAGCAGGATGCTGGACTAGATGGGCCTTTGGCCCGATCCAAAAGGCTGCTCTTATGCTTTAGGATGTGCTATGGGAGATCCAGGTTGTTTTTGTTTGTTTTTTTAGTTTTACAGTGGGAGGGAGAAACCCTTTGGAAGCACAATTCTGGGGTTTGGGGAGCTTCAATTTCCCATTGCAAATGGCTCTCCTGAAGTAGCTCTTTGCAGCTTTAATGAAAAAGCATAGGTACCCATATGTGGGAGAAAATTGCCACAGGGATGAGAGTTAACGCCTCCTCTGCCATCACTGCAGTCCTGATCATATTTGGGCTCCCCTGCAACAGATATTAAACTTATTTAAAAATAACATGAAAGCCCATTGTGGATTATTTGACACTCTCTTTCTCTCTCTCTCTCTCTCTCTCTCTCTCTGTGTGTGTGTGTGTGTGTGTGTGTTGAGGGGGTGGGGTTCACAGAAAAATTGGGCCTTGAAGAAGTGAAGCAATGTGTATGCCTTGGTGGTGATGGAAACATTGCAAACATGGCTTGTTTGCCAAATATAACCCAAGTGTAGTGTTTTGTTTTCTACCCTGAAAGCAGAACATTCTCTAACTGGGGGAGACTGGAGACAGCAGTTCTTTGCAGCTTTGATTCTATTCATTATATCCAAACCCCTCTCTCCAGCTCCCAGAGTGAAGCCCCCACCTTTTCTCTTTTTGCAAAATTACTGCCTCTCACGCTTTCCAATTCCCTTTTTGCAAGCTTTTTGTTTGCCCCCCCCCCCAACGGCCTGCAAGCCGATTGTTCGCGAAAACAAATGGGAGGTAAATTTCTGGAACCAGCAAGACTGGCTTGTGTGCAAAAGCCAGCCTGTTACAACCAGGCAGCATCTGTTGCTTTCTCCCTCTCTTCCTTTCCGTAACCCTTCTATGGTCTCCGTGGCCATGGAGATGGCAAAGCAGTCATGACGGACCAGTGCCTTCGTTGCCATGGGTTTCCCCCTCACCAAAGTCAAGCGCACAAATGGATTTGAACCCGAGGTGAACCCCGGACCTGCCATTCTCCTCGCCTCCTCCAGTTTCTCAGTATATTCTCTGAATGCAGTAAATTGAGGGTTTTTGCAGTAGCAGGAGAGTGGGCACAGACAGGGGACTCTTTAGCACTGATGATGAAGGAATATGGCAGAGAAATTTGGTTCATTTTGCTTTTGATGGTCGATCTACCTAACTTGGTCAGAAATGAAGCCATCCTTCAAAATTTGCACAGTTCTGAATTTTGCAATGCGATTCTCCAGCCCCAGTAACGTGTGCACAAATGCATATCCTAAAGTGTGCACATAAATGCATATCTCAGTGAAAACGGCATAATAATGTATTGTGCGTGGGGAAATTGCTTTGCAAAAATGTGTTTATTGCTCAAAATTGCAAACAAAAATTCATGTAAGCAGAAATTTGTGCAACAGTGCTGATGAAATTTCATGACGACTTGGGGGGGGAATCGCAAATGGATGTGGAGAACTAAAGTTAAGGTTGGAAAAATGAGAAACAAAGAGCAACTGAAATTGATAGGTTTGCCCATCCCTAATGGTGAATGAAGTTTCTTGAAAGGCCCCTTTTGTCTCTAATATCCTGAAGAGCGAGGGACGCGGGTGGCACTGTGGGTAAAACCTCGGCGCCTAGGACTTGCCGATCGCATGGTCGGCGGTTCGAATCCCTGCGGCGGGGTGCGCTCCCGTCGTTCGGTCCCAGCGCCTGCCAACCTAGCAGTTCGAAAGCACCCCCGGGTGCAAGTAGATAAATAGGGACCGCTTACCAGCGGGAAGGTAAACGGCGTTCCGTGTGCTGCGCTGGCTCGCCAGATGCAGCTTGTCACGCTGGCCACGTGACCCAGAAGCGTCTGCGGACAGCGCTGGCTCCTGGCCTATAGAGTGAGATGAGCGCACAACCCTAGAGTCTGTCAAGACTGGCCCATACGGGCAGGGGTACCTTTACCTTTACCTTATCCTGAAGAGCAACTAGGGCAGCCAAACACTGGATTGCAATGGACCAATTGTTCAACCTAGTCTAAAACAGCAGCTTGTGTTCATCTTCTACCACTTCCCTAGTAGATCAGTGGATCACTGTGGCAGAACACCTACCTTGCATGCAGAAGGCCCCAACTTCAATCCCAGGAATAAGACCATTAGAAAAGCCCAGCTAGTCCAAGCCAACAGTCCATGTGGTCCAGCATCTTGCTCTCACAGCTGTCAGCCAGATGCTTGTTAAGCATCCTGAGTTAAGCAAGAATCAGGTAGACAAGGCAGTACAGTAGGTGGGAATGTGGTCCTCCAGATATCTCTATCCAGACCTCAGGACTATCCAAGCCACACACCCCTCACCAGCTCTAACCTGCCTGGGATAGAAACGTAAGAGTTGGAAGGGACCCTGAGGATCTCCTAAGTCCAACCCCCTGCAATGCAGGAAATATGCAGCTGTCCCATACAGGGATCAAACCTAGAACCCTGGCATTAACAGCATCACACTCTAACCAACTGCGCTATCCAGGCTGACATGTTCTTGAAGTGTACTGATATCTCTTGCTTGCCTGCATGGGTTGGGGGCGGGGCATGTCAGGCCACACCCACCACTGGCACATGAGCTGAAAAACATCTCTCCACCTCACACAATACAGGGCTAGGTGGACAAATCATTTGCCCTAATCTAAGGCAGAGGCAAAGTAGAGACATCACCTTGCCTACAAAGGTCCGTGTAGTAAAAGCTATGGTTTTCCCAGTAGTGATGTATGGAAGTGAGAGCTGGACCATAAAGAAGGCTGATCGCTGAAGAATTGATGCTTTTGAATTATGGTGCTGGAGGAGACTCTTGAGAGTCCCATGGACTGCAAGAAGATCAAACCTCTACATTCTTAAGGAAATCAGCCCTGAGTGCACACTGGAAGGACAGATCGTGAAGCTGAGGCTCCAATACTTTGGCCACCTCATGAGAAGAGAAGACTCCCTGGAAAAGACCCTGATGTTGGGAAAGATGGAGGGCACAAGGAGAAGGGGACGACAGAGGACAAGATGGTTGGACAGTGTTCTCAAAGCTACCAGCATGAGTTTGACCAAACTGCGGGAGGCAGTGGAAGACAGAAGTGCCTGGCGTGCTCTGGTCCATGGGGTCACGAAGAGTCGGACACGACTAAACGACTAAACAACAACAACAACAACAAGGCAGAGGCAAATGGGGGTGGAGCAACAAATGTACCTATTTTACCTTTTGTATGGTAGGCTAGTTTTTACATGCCCCTCACTATCTTCCATACAGACAGGGGTGCCAACTTGAAAAACAATATTGGGTGGCAGGTAAGCCCCGCCCCACACAATCGATCACTTGATGTGGTGCACACACACTATTTGAATGGCAATGCCCATTAATTTTGCCCCCCCCCGGCCCCCTGAAATACTTTATTTTGGGGGTGCAAAGGGACCTCACCCCCCTAGGAGATTTCTCCTATGCATACAGGCAAGCTTGGGGCACCGCATCCAGCTCCCAAGCCTTAGGTTCCCCACCCTTGCTCTTCAACACTGCACCCAAGGGTGCCCCCGAGTTATTTGCAATATGCAAAGTGTTCCCCTCCCCAGACACATATATGTGTATATGGTCCCATCTGGGAAAGGGAAAGTCCTTGTGGAAAGGGTTCTGCTCCAAGATGGAAAGACTTGGGTTGAAGCCGTCCTCCTGAGCCTTTCAGTACTAGAAGAATCTCCTTTGGAAGAAGTCCAGTTTGCAAGTGACTCTTCTTTCCCTTACATCTTCTCACCCTCTTCCTTCCTCTTTCCCCACTGTCCAGGGGCAGGAGTGACTCATTGGCAGAGTTGTGGACCAGGCCCTTGTCCCGGGTTCAGATGTTCTCCCAGCAGCTTGCTAGGGCTTCCTTTGTTTGGTTCTGACTCCTTGGCAACCCCATGGCCGTCTCAGAGCCCCTCCCTTCCGGCCCTTACTCCTCTCTCTCTCTCTCTGCATTCCCTTGCAAAATCAGCAGTGTCTGCCTGCGGTGTCCTTAAACTTTCTCAAAATGCAAAAGCACGATTTCCAACCCTCCAAGCTGTTGCGAAAGAAGGAACTGTGTCCATACACACGCAGTGGGGGTGGGGGTGAGAGACATTGCTTCATGGGGTGGAGCAAGGGTCAGCAGCAACGGGTGAGTTGTGGGGGACGACAGAAAGTTGGAAGGGAGGTCATCCAGTCCAGGGCCGTGGAAACTTTTACAGCCCATGGGGTTGGAACAACTAATACGTTTTCTCCTGGGTCAGAATAGGTAGCAATCAGGGATGATGGGAGTTGGAGTCTGACCACATCTGGAGGGACAGAAATCAGGTTCCCCATTCCTATTCTAGGCCATATCCTGAGATGTCACTCCTTTTCCTTAAGACCCTGATGCTAAAATCCTGAAACTTCAGATTAAGCTGTGAGACCTGTCAAACCTCTCTTGGGATCACTTGGGAGCGATGTGACTTTATCCAGTAAGCTCCAGAGCAGCATTCGCCAGCCAGGCTCCCTCCTGATGTTGTTGGACTACAACTCCCATCAGCTGGGGTCTAGTCCCTTTTGAATCTTCTCCCTCGCATTTTGGCCCGCTAAAGTTTTGCAAGAATTATTGCTGGAAAGGGGCAGTTACAAGGAGAGTTCCACAGCCGAGAAGTCCCAGCTGCATCTGTTTCATCACTGGCAACTTCCTTGGTTTTTCACTCATCTCTAGATGTTTGTTTTTCTACAGCTTGATCCCAGATGTGTCTGCTCAAGACGAAAGTGCCAGACCACTGTGCCTATCAAGACCTTTTACTTGCTGGCAACTGGGCTCATGTGCATTAATTGAAAATGCATATTGGAAGCATATGGGGGAAGTTTTCTTTTTCAGTCTTGAGGACTGCATTTCTTTCCGGGCAACTTCCTGGCAGCCACATGCTGGCAAAAGAGGGCAGAGCAATGAGTGTTAACGTCCACCTTAGTGCAGTAGGCTAGTTTCTACACCCACACACCCCTCTCTGTCCTCTATCCAGTCAAGCAAGAAGCATTATCAGAGCCCAAGGGCTCATTCCAGCCATCAAAAACAATAAATAAGGGTGTTGGGCAGGGCCCAACTCTGGGGAGAGTTTTGAGAACCAGATATAGAGACCTGGACAGTCACATTTGGCCCCCAGGCCTGAGATTCACCACCCATATAGATAAATTAATAGTAGATTTGGCAGCAATGATTGATCCTAATAGCTGAATGCAACCTCCAGTTCAGAACCAGTCTACCTCCAAATTTGAACTGGAGACAAGGGATTGGGACTATCAGGGGTCTGCAACCTTTAAGACAAAAAGAGCCACTTGGACCCATTTCCGAAGGAAAAAAACCTGGGAACCGCAAAACCGGGAAGGTGACGTCGGGACGGTGCGTGACTAACGCACGCACCGCCCCCATGCGACGTCACAGCCAGTACAGCGCCCACCACAGTGGGGAGTGTCGGGGCGCACAATGCGCCTCCTCCCCTCGCTAGTATCTGCCCCAGAGCCACGGCAAAGGTGTAAAAGAGCCACATGTGGCTCTGGAGCCGCGGGTTGCAGACCCCTGGACTAGATGAAGCTTTCCTAGCAGGGCTCTTAAGTTATTTGCAGTGACAACGGCTTGATTATGTCTAAAGGAAGTTTATAAGAAAAACAAAGCAGAATGTCAGAGGAGGGGGGAATGTTGATTTCTCATTCTTTTCCTATGAAATATGCCAAGAAAGTGTCTAGATGCAGCTGGCCAGCAGAAAGCCCATGGCACGAAATATATCCCTACTGGAGGAATCCACTCGTACCAAAAGAATGTTGTTTTTACCCAACAGACATGTCTCAGGAAACATTAAGTGCTAGATTATGCACTTTGTTTCCTTTCTGAGTGCTTAGGCCTTTCCTTTAGTTAGCAGATAAACAATATTATTTATTAATTTATTATTATTATTATTAGTTGCTTGTTACATTAAAGGGATTGTATCCTTTTGAAATTAAGGGGCATGACTAACTGAAATCCCTTGATTGCCGTGGATCTACTCCAAGTATGACTAACATTGAATACAACCCAAGATCTCTCAGAGACTTGCAACATATTTAACAGCAGAAGTATACGTAAAAATGCATCATAATAAAATCACATTTACACAAAAACACATGCCGTTCATAAAAACTGCAACCCCCAATAACAGCAGCAAAAAGCGTCTGTTTTCATCCTAGTCATTCCAAAGCCTGGGAAAAGGGTAAACATTCCAAAATATCAAGACAACTTACAGCTATCTAAAATACATTCATTAAAATCAATGCAGTAAAATGGGGGGTAGCCGACATGGTGCTCCCAAATATTGATGGACAACAGCTCCCACCATCCCTGACCACCATCCATGGTTGCTGGGGTTCTGGGAGGTGTAGTCCAAAAATATATGGAGGGCACCATGTTGGCTATCCCTGAAGTAAACTAATAATGCAACTAAACATGCAACAATGGGTACTAATAGGCCTCAAAGGCCTTCATGACTAAAAAGGTTTTCAGCAAGCGGAGGAAGCACATCACCATTGGCACTTGCCTGTTTTCAGTGAGGTGATTCCATAGCATGGGTGCCATCACCAAAAAGACCCTTCCCTCTAGTTTCTGCAAAGAAGGCTTCTGCAAGCTGTGGTAGGATTGCCTCACATATTGCAATGTTGCAGGCACATTCAAAGCCCCTAGTTTCCTCTAAAAAATATGGGAACCATAGTTTCCCCTTCATAGAACCACACTTCCCAGTCCCTTAGCAGCTTCAAGTTCCTGGGGTCCTTTGTAATAAGCCCTGTATTGTGTGGATGTGAACTTGAGCTTGATCCAACCCATTTTTTTTGCTGTTTTGTTATGTATTTATGATGTTGTAGGGGACTGTTTTGCAGACTGAAATATTATTAAATAAATACCTTATTAATAAAGGAATCCTGGTCAACATGTCTCTCTCTCTTTTAAAATATTATTAACAAGTGTTAATGCATCAACACATAATTTTAACAAATTGACCCTTACGCCAAGGTGGGGTTTATTGTTTTCGTTTGTTGCTATGTTATGCATTTATGAGTTTATATATTTTAAATATATCACACTGTAATCCTCTGATGAAAGGCTGTAAAGAAATTTGATAAATACGATATGAACAAATCATTAAATATAATTGTACAGATTAATATCTGGCCCAAGACACCTACTATCTTGAATTTTAGTTGAATTGTTTATTTTAGTTCCCTCATCAACCAACATGGTTTTCCCGCCAAATATTTCCAGATTCACGCATGCGTCCTCGGCGGCTGACTCTTTGACCGCGAAATTTATTTCCCCTATGAGGGAGGATTTTCCCGTTGCGCCTGCGCAATATAGATAAATAGTCACCGTTGGTGGCGTCACTAGCAAGTCTTTCTTGTCTTCTCTACGCGTGCGCCTTCATGATATTTGACAGCAGGGCCGGCGGGAAGAGCGTGGGAGGATTCAGGTTTTTTTTAAATTACGCATGCGCTAAAGATGGTGGTAGCGGGGCGCATGCGCCATGCCGTGGAACTGAGTGAGATGCTTATGGAAGTCGCCCTGGTGAGCTCGAACGGCCGGTGGTGCATGCGCACTTAAGTACTCCGCGGCCCCAGGCGGCAGAGGGGAAGATGGCGGCTGTGGTACAGAATGTGGTGAAGCTGTGAGTGCAACTCTCGTTCTTCCCCCCCCTTCCCCTCCCCTGGTTGGTTCTAATGGTACAGCCCGAATCTCCGAGAAATGCTCGCAGGAGGGTCGTAGGAGAGACCATTCTGTTATCGGGGTGGACTTGGGGGCGGAATAGGAGGCGAGGGGGCAGCTGTTGGCTCTTTTTATTGTTCAGGGCTGAAGTTTTTATAAATAAAAAATTAAACTCCCTTTCTATGGGTGGAGGCCGGATGAGGAGAGGGGAGAGTGCCTTCGTCTTAGAGTTTTAAAAGTGGATGGAAAAGAGGACATCTCGCCTTGAAATATCCCAAATTTTGAGATGGGGGATTGGAATGAGAAAAATAAAAGGCTGCTCAAAAAATAAAAAAACAGAGGGCGGCGAAGTAGAGCCCCCAGGGGGGAGGAGAAAAGAACAGGACCCCCCACCCACTTTCCATAAAGTCCCAAAAGAAAATGGGGAATGATGAGAAAAATGGTCCTTCTACCTCATGCCCCCCCGTGGAGCTCTGAAAGAGGCCGGGAGGAAGACAGCCTCCTTCCCTTGAAACAGTAATTGTGAAAGATAAACGGGGTGTGGGGAAAGGGGGGAAATACCCATTCAGGGAAACAGAGATACAATTTGTGTCTTGAGAGGGGAATACACCAGGTGGTCCCTCCAAAAAGTGTGTGTAGGGTGGAGGTGGAGTGGATTTTTAAGAGGAGTGTGTGTCAAAAGAGACTATCTCATACCCTTAAAAAAAAGTCTTTTAAATGGAGCGGGGGGGGGGAGCAGGAAAAAAAATCACTCTTGAAAAGTAGGATTCCAGTCATAGGGGTAAGAATGAGTTTCTCCCCACTTTCTATCAGAACCCAGAAGAAAATTGAGGTGGGGGAGTGAAATGGATTTAAGACGAGAACATAATATATAGATCTACCACCCACTCAATTCAGATCTCCAGAAAAAAAATGTGATGGAGGCACAGTTAAAACAACACAGCCACCTTCTCTTCCTCTTCTTTATATGGGAGATGAAGGGTGGCAAGAGATTCTGGCTAGCAAAGAGGTAGGGTGGCTAGAGAAGCTAGGGCAGGGATGGGCAACCTGTGACCCTGATGGACTACGACTCCCATCATCCCTGACCATGCTTGGCTGGGGCTGATGTGTCCAATAACATATGGAGGGCAAAAGGTACCTCGTCCTTGTGCTAGAGAAAAACAGCAATGTCAGGGGCAAGTTCCAGGGGTTGGAATAACAAGTGAAGAGATGAAAGTTGCTTGCCCAGTAGGAGGAGAGGCTGGAGTGACGAGCACGAAGACTCACCTTCTTGCAAGAGTTTAAAATAAGTTTTCAGGTAGGGGAGAGAATGATTTGAATTCCTGCCCCAAAGAGGCAGGATGGAAAGAGGAACCATGACCCATAATGGTCAGGACTCCTAATGGGAGGTAGGCAGAAGTGCAAATCGGTGGATCATTGCTCCATTGCTCTCGAATGGAGAAAAAGTGATGGGCCTGCTTTCCACATAAGAAAAGCTAAGCTTCTGAGCTGGTGTAGAATTTTAAGATGGCAACTTTGGCTATACAGTACGTGGCTGGTATTGGATATCAAGAAGTAATGGATGTAGGGTGGACCCAGGTTCCAGGTCTGGTGCCTTCTGGATGTTGCTCTGGACTCCAGCTCTCATCAGCCCCAGCCAGCATAGCCAATGGTCAGGGATGGTAGGAATTGTCCCCAGAGGGGCACCATGTTGGCAACCTCTGGCATACTATATGTTGGTACCTGAAGGTCCTATATGATACATTCTTGCAATTATGTTGTTGTTGGCATCCATCTATCTTGAGAGACAAAGGAGTGCGCCTCTGAGAGTAAAGTCAGACTGCTGCATTGGCAGCACCAAAGTTACCTCTCTCGGCACTATCCTGGGCAGTGTGTATGGAGGTCCTGGGCTGCCCAGATGGCAATCCTCCCTCCTCCTTGGCCTCACTGATGTGGTCCAAAGGAAAGCAGAGCATTTTTTTTGGCACCAGCTTGGCTGCAGGAGCTGCTGGGAGGAGGCATAGAAAGTGCCCTCCAACAGTCTTAGGGACTCCACTCTGGATTTGTGTAGGGTTTACTCCTTAGCCTTTTCTTCTCCTGAAGATATCCCGCAAGGCAGCGGAGGTTTAGGATCAGAGTTGTCCTTCTCCTAGGTGGGCTACCTTTCCAAGTTGATGAGCAACAACTGCTCCTCACTTACCTCTACAGCTCCTGCAGAAACCACCTTCTTGACCATTGGGCCCACTATTGGTCTTGTTGACTCAATCCGCCAGAGCCTGTCTTCGCATGCAGGGGACGTTCCCATCGGCTACCCTCACATAGTTCAGCTGGTCAGTCGAAGCTGTTTCCCGGGTTGTGGCAATTTTCTATCCTGATTTGCATCCTCTAAATTTCACATAGCTGCTTCAACTGATGATAGAGCGCCAAGAGGATTATAAAACATTGTAAACAAGGTGGACTTGCAATTTAATTACCTAATTTTCTCTTTCATTCCTCCACTCCCCCCAACAAGCTTTTTTTCCTCCGACAGCAAAGATATTAAATTCTTTTCCCCCAAAGCAAGCTGATGCCCACCAGTTTCTATTCCCTTCCCTCAGCTACTTTATGTGGCGAGATTGAAACACTAAAATTACTGTAATTATAGGCTGCTCAATTAAGGAAACTTCATTGCTGCCACACCACAGATTTTTAAAGAACAAGAATATAAATGCAAGCGATGTATTTTTTTCCTCCCTTTCCGCTTCGCTCTGAGAACTCTCCATCTGAGTCTTCACTAATGGGATTATTGAATAGAATTGGGCATTTTCCTTCTTCTGTGATTGTAATAGATTGAAAATGAGATGTGGTAATATAAAAAGCTAGCTCCACAGATGCCTCTCTTTTTTGTTCCAAGAAGGGAAGCTTAAAACCAGCTTTGTAATCAGAATTTTGATCCTGACACCTTAAAATTAAAGTACAGTGGTACCTCGGGTTACATATGCTTCAGGTTACAGACTCCGCAAACCCAGAAATAGTACCTCGGGTTAAGAACTTTGCTTCAGGATGAGAACAGAAATCGCACGGTGGCGGCGGGAGGCCCCATTAGCTAAAGTGGTGCTTCAGGTTAAGAACAGTTTCAGGTTAAGAACGGACCTCTGAAATGAATTAAGTTCTTAACCCGAGGTACCACTGTACTTTCTGCATCCCAGTTCAACATTGTTGCAATTATTAGCTGCGGGAAGGTCCAGCTTTCTAGATTTCTATTTGTGTGATGTAGTCAATCAGTTGGTAGAGCATGAGACTCTTAATCTCAGGGTTGTGGGTCCAAGCCCCACCTTGGGCAAAAGATTCCTGCATTGCAAGGGGCTGGGCTAGATGACCCCTGGGGTCGCTTCCAATTCTACAATTCTATAGTTCTGTGAACCTAGACTCTTGGTGAACTATCTACTGTAGTTGGGAAAAACTTCTTCTAATACAGGAGTAGGCAGAAGGTATAGTTTGATGCACTGGTAGATCTTGAGGTGATCTGCACTGGTAGATCTTGAGGCAAGTGTTTCTGACGCCCAATGATTTAGCAATAGCAATGCAAAAAAGTTCCCCCACAATTAGATTGAGGACATGAAGAAAGCTTGAGTGAAAACCATAACGACATAAAAGTAACTTGGATGCTGGATCACACTAAAGGCCCATCTAGTCCAGCATCGTGTTCTCACAGCAGCAAACCAGATGCATATGGGAAGCCTGCAAGCTGAGTATTCAGAGGTAGAACGCCTCTGACAGTGGAAGAAGAACATAGCCATCATGGTTAGTTACTGCTGATAGCCTTATATTCCATAAATTGGTCTAATTTTGTAAAGTCATCCATATTAGTAGCAGTCACTAGCTGCTGTGGGAGCAAATTCCATAGGTTAGCTAAGTGCTGTGCAAAGAAGTACTGCCTTGCATCTGTCTTGAGTCTTACCACATTCAGCTTCATTGGAAAACAGTGTTTTTACTTATGTTCCTCTCATCAGTTTTATCCTCTTAAATTCGCCCAGGAGTGGATCAGTTCTGGTCCTGAAAGCAAATTTATGGGCTGAGCATATTATGTTCAAGAGGCACCTTGCTTCTTAATTGCAAATGGCTGGTTTGTGCATCCTGAGGTCCTTTAAGAGCAAAGTGGATTTATCAAGCCTGAAGTTGACACACCTATGTTCTAACGCATGATTGCTTTTGCCTCCCACCAGCCTTGGCGAACAATATTATAAGGACGCGATGGAGCAGTGCCACAACTACAATGCCCGACTGTGTGCTGAGAGAAGTGTCCGATTGCCATTTCTGGACTCGCAGACTGGAGTGGCGCAGAGTAACTGCTACATCTGGATGGAGAAGCGGCACAGGGGACCAGGTTGGATACACATAGGATGTTGTGAAAACTTGAAGTTTAGGGGCACTGTGGTTTTCTTATTTGGGCTGTAGTTTGTAACACTTTGGGGTCTGGCAGCAGATTTGCTTGTTTTTGATAAGGCACTGCACCTGTTCTTTGACAGCTCACCTGAGAAGTGGGTGGGTGAGGAGAGGTAGGTCTCTTCTTTTTCCTTCATGGAAATTTCTTTACTCATTTCAGGGAGCCTATCTGCATACACTGCATTTATTGTCCTTTATTTATTGGTCCATATCAACTGTGCGGATTAGTGGCAAATTAGGGTGGACGTGGGTGGCGCTGTGGGCTAAACCACAGAGCCTAGGGCTTGCTGATCAGAAGGTCAGCGGTTTGAATCCCCGCGACGGGGTGAGCTCCAGTTGCTCAGTCCCTACTCCTGCCAACCTAGCAGTTCGAAAGCACGTCAAAGTGCAAGTAGATAAATAGGTACCACTCCAGCGGGAAGATAAATGGCGTTTCTGTGCGCTGCTCTGGTTCGCTAGAAGCGGCTTAGTCATGCTAGCCACATGACCCGGAAGCTGTACACCGGCTCCTTCGGCCAATAAAACGAGATGAGCGTCGCAACCCCAGAGTCGTCCGCGACTAGACCTAAAGGTCAGGGGTCCCTTTACCTAGGATGGATTGTAAGGAGTGGATGTGTTAATTCCTGAAGTGAGGGTTGTTGGGGAAGTGCTCAAGGCTAGAGCTCTGAAAAGGCTGCATTGACCTGATAATCTTACTCTTTTTCTTCCTTTTCTGTCCTGGTTTGCTTTTTTTATTGGAAGGTTTGGCATCTGGCCAGCTCTATTCCTACCCGGCTCGGCGCTGGCGGAAAAAACGTCGCGCTCACCCTCCTGAGGATCCAAGGCTTTCCTTCCCTTCCATTAAACCAGGTACATATTTTCCTTTCTCTCTGAGCTGCTGCTGGGACTTCACTTGGGATCAAATTAGTTTTTCCTAGGGATTGGGGATGGGTTTGTACATCATAGCAAATTGATTAGAGAGGACCTCTTCTGCCAGGGTGAGTTGCATCACCGACACAACTGTGCTTTCAGGAGCATCATTATCAGCATCTCTAACCTTCCAGGTAAATTCCTGTTTTGATTTTAGTAACCCTTGGAAGTCTTTGAGCCCTATATTATTCAAAGGCTACCCCTTTCCCCATTTATCCCATCACATCTCTAATGCAGGGGTGGCTAACGAGTGGCCCACCAGAGCTTGTGGAACTAAACCTTTCATCAGCCCCAGTCAGCATGGCCAGTGGCCACAGATGATGGAAGCTGTAGTTCAGTGACATCTGGAGGACCACAGGGTACCCACCACTGTTCTATTACCACATGAGAACTTATTAAAGCCTTGATATACTAGATTGATGAACTGTTTGACTTGCATTCTGTTGTTGGACTCCAACATTTCTCAGCTGCATTCAGCATAGCCAGTGGTCAGGGGTGATGGGAATTACAGTTCAGGAACACCTAAAGGGCCACAAGTTCCACATCCCAAATCAAGGCAAACCTTAAAGTTTTTTTAACGGGTCAGAAATAAGAATTGCAATTACACTCCTGACATGCTGACTTTTCATGAGATTCACACGTTGTAGCACATTTACATTGGATTTTAGGTTTCTCCAGGAATGCTTACATTTTGGCAAAACACAGGGGAAGAGGAATTTTTCCTAAGCTGGAAGGCAGAGCAATGGAGCCCCTCCAGCTTGGGAATTTTTTCCCTTCCCTTTCTTCTGCTGTGGCTGGTTCCAAGATTCCACATCTGGAGGGCCACAGGTGATAACAGTTGTTTGTATTGGCTGTTAAGGGTTCTGCTTGGGCTAAGTATCTTGTAGCCAGGGACAGATGGAATAGGAGGGCCTTTACATGCATGAATCATGGTTTTTGTCTGGCCTTGCTGGCCGAGCCAGAAATTGTAGTTGCTGCTACCCCTGCCCACCCCACCAAAAGCTGGTCTGAGGTTGTTGGGGATGGGATGAGAGACTGAGCATTTGGCGGCCACTTTTCAAAAGTGCACAGAGTGCCTCTGAGCAGCAGAGCCCAACACTCCACACCCTGCCCCAATGGGATCACTTGGTAACAACCTTAATACTATACCCTTTGATCTTTCTGAAAAAGACACACCAATCACATAGCCTGATTCTATGTGAGCCATCCACATAGTGAGTTGTGTCCTCTCATTTGCCTAAGGGGTGGTGATAGCAACGGCATGTGACTATATTGTTCGCTGTAGCATCCTCCCTTTTGATTTCTCTTTCAGTTTCAGGCCCTGCCTTCACCCAAATGTGTTCTTTCATCTCTCTGCCTTTTGCTTGTTATTCTTTCTCTTAGTTGCCTTAAAAAACCCCTCTGTATCCACTTTCTCCCTGCCATGCATAATTTTATATTTTTCTACCATGTTGCTTCTTATTCACCTTGTTGGTCAACTAAAGAGCCGGAAATGTTGCAACCGTTCCTCACAGGGGAGGTGTTTAAAAGGCTTTGTTCCGCAATGGGCTCTGCTTCCTTAACTGAGGTTCACAATCCTTCCTCCAGTGCGTTCTTTCCTTCCACCATGTATTGGAGCCTCCAGTCCTTCTCCTTTGGTGATGTGGGTGGCAGTTTTAGCAACGGCCAGCAGAGGCCCTTGGTTGGCTCTTGGTTTGGAGAATTCCCTACCTGGTGAGATCGAGAGTGTCTGACTTCCCGGAGAAATTTAAAGTCGTTCCTGTTTACCCAAGCATTTGATGGCTGACAGATACTGACCATGGCAACCTTGAAATTAGTGACTGTGAGCATATGTGATTGCTTTAAAATGTTTTTAGATGTTTTAAAATTGTTTTAAACATGTTCTTTTATTTTAAATAGTATAGTTTAAACATTTGGTGTTTATCACCCTGGGCTTTTCTGGGAGGAGGGGCAGGATACAAATTTAAGTACATAACCAAAAGATTACACAGCCAACCCTCTGGATGTTACTTCTGTAGACACTGAGCAGACCCTAAAGAAAGAGGGTTTGATCTCTCAGGATGGCAGCAGCCTGGAGGCCCTTTTGAGGACGGACTCTCTTGAGAAGCGCAGTCTGCCCGATCCTCGTACTGACGAAGACAGCCTCGGCGAGTTTCCTGTTGCCAATAGTCGCGCGCGGAAGGTAATGGCAGACAGAGGGTAGCATTGACTCTGTTTCAAAAGGGGGCTCCATGGTAACATATGAATGGCTCCTCGCAGCTTCTTCCTACCTCTCTTCTGCTGTCCTTGCCTTTAACTACAGAATGGATAGAAATCTTGCACCACGGAGACCTAGTTTTTGTACCCACAAAAACAGAAGTTTGCTACATGAATAAATTGTTCAGATTTTTAACAAGTGCACAAACGGTTGCTGAGGTTTGAGCACTTAAATCCACTTTACACCAGAATAAGGAGCTGTGTGGAGCTTTAGGCTCCTAGCCCATGACTTCTGGAAGTACTGCTGATCCCACCACCCCTTGCTGCTTCACCAGCTTCTCCCCTCAGACATAAGGGCTCAAAACCTGCTTCAAATGCAGAAGAGGGAGAGAGCTGAGAGCCTCTTTTTTGCATCTGTGTAGTAGCTGAGGAGTGCACAGCCGCACCCCTGCTGGTAGTGTCCTTTCAGCTTGTCAGACTGCTTCTGTCTCAAAGATCCTCATTGCCAGAAAAATCATTTCATGGACCAGTGTTTTGTTCCACTGTGGTGCTAGGCATGCTTCTCTCAGCCCAGCCCAAGGTCTCTTCTGTGGTTCCCCTGCTCCAGTTTCTTTAGCTTTATTTGTTCCCAATTCCACCCTTTTACTACAAACTATTGGTTTGGATTGCAAGAGCTTCCTTTAATTTTTTTTTTTTTTTAAATGAACCAGAGTGGAATTTAGTGTGAAATGAAAGCCAGTCTTATTTTGCAAAAGCCATGCTGGGATGGGGGTGGGGGTGAAGCGAACAGGGAGGAGGTGGTGGTGCAATGACACTTTCTGGTTTTCATCAAGTTTTTTGGCTTGGTGAGATACTGAATGTCATAATACACACTGGCTGCTTCCCAGGATCAACTCTAATAGCCTAGTAAGGCAGCCGAAGATGGAATGCTGTAGCTTGTCTTCCAGCATCCAGGAAGACAGGATGTGTGTGTGAGAGAGAGCAATAGAGAAAAGAGAGAAAGAGCACTTGCTGATTTTGAAATGTGGGCATGAAATGCGCTTTTTTGAGCCCATGCGTTTTCATAGAATCAAAGAACTGTAGAATTGGAAGGGACCCCCAAGGATCATCTAGTCCAACCCCATGCAGTGCAGGAATCACAGCTAAAGAATCTCTGATAGAGAGGTAGGATATAAATGTAGCGACAAATAAAATTATATATGACGTGAAGAAAGCATGAAATTATATATGACGTGAAGATATAGAAGACTTTCTCTTGTTAATACCATGACCCAGGGTCATCTGATAAAGCTTAAAGGTAGAATTGTAGAGTTGGAAGGGACCCTGATGGATCATCTAGTCCAACCCCCTGCAGTGCAGGAGTATACAGCAGCTGCATATGGGGATCGAACCTGCAATCTTGGTGTTATCAGCTCCATGCTCTAACCAACTGGAAGATTCAGGACAGAGAGCAGGAAGTATTTCTTTACAGAAAGCCTATGAAATCTGCCTCTGCAAGATGCGTAGGTGGCCCTAAATGGATAGTTTAGGCGATTCAACAAATTACTAAAAGATGAGGCTGTCAGTAACTACTTGTCACGATGGTGGTATGTCTAGATGATGAAGGGAGAACCTGTGGCCCTACAGCTGTTGTTGGACTATAGCTCCCATAATCCTTCTTGTTCGAGGCTCATCTGAGTTGGAGTCCAGTGACATTTGAAGGACCACAGGTTTTCAGTCACTGGTTAGGCTCAGAGGTACCATGCCTCTTGAGTATCGTGTGCTGGGGAACAACAGTAAGAGTCCATGCCCAGCTTCTCAGTTCCCCATAGGTATCTGGTTGAAACAATGTGCTGGACTACATAGGGCACAGGTGAACCTTTGGCCCTCCAGATGTTGCTGAAATCGCGGGGATGATGAGAGCTGTAGTTCAGCAACATCTGGAGGGCCAGAGGATCCCCACATCTGGGAATAGGCTTTTGCTCTGATCCAACAGGGCTTCTCTTATGTCCTTACGACAGTTTTTAATGTTACCTGAAAGCTCTGCAGTGAAAATGAAACTATTAGGTGGTCATTGCCATTGGTCTAACTAGAATGCATTTGAGGGGGTGCTTCTTAGCCAGACTTCCAAGTCTTCTGTCCTCCCCCTTGTCTTTTTGAATCTGTTTGTTTTCTCTACAGTAGTCTTGCTTCTCTGTTCTAGCGGATCCTGGAACCTGACGATTTCTTGGATGATCTAGATGATGAGGACTATGAAGAAGACACGCCAAAACGCCGAGGCAAAGGCAAGGCCAAGGTATAGCTCACATATTGGGGCTCAGTAATGCTTGCTCAGTCTTGAGTCAGTGTGCGCTTTGAGTCCTCATGGAGTGGAAAGGAGCACTGGGGCAGGCAAGGAAATTCTATGGATGTCCCAAAATATGTTGGGTGCTGGAAAGGAATGAACACTCTATGGTTGTAGAGACTAGTGAGAATGGGATGGGGAAAACATGTGGTCTTCCAGTTGTCTTTGTACTATGGTATCCATCATCCCATCCTTTCTGTGGCTGATGGGAACTGAAATCCAGCAACATCTGGGAGGCCACAGCTTCTCCATCCCTGTCCAAGTATTTCTCAGTCTGCCTTTCTGTATTTTTAAAAACCTTGTTGTCCCTGGGGAAAACATGCATGGACACTCTCTCCTGCCCCCATGCCCCAAGGCTAAAAGGTTGAAATTGATTTAACACCATAAACACAAGGTAATTGTAAGTACTAAAGGAAAGGGATTATTTATCCTTGCGGGGGAAGGGGGGATTCTGGGGCTATAATTGCTTGGCACAATATTGGTTGTCATATGAATAATAATGAAATGGAAGAAGAAATTTGAAAAAAACCATTCAAAGCATGTGCCACTGTGGGGCAGTAGTGGATTGCCTTTTAAAATATTGCTAGCTGAACTCATCGACTCTGCAGCACTTCATTAGTATGACTCCCTCTGCTTGGCTTTTGATTTACTGAAGTAACTGTCCTACCCTATTCTAGTGGTGAAAACATACTGAAAGACAAACAGTTTTAAAAGTTAAGACTTCAGCCCTGAAAATGACAATTGCAACTGTTCCCTTAAAGCATCTTGGTGATGGCTGTGTTACTTGAGAAAGAGAATACGTGTGATTTTTTTCTCCTCTGAAGGTCATTATATGTAAATAATGGTGCATCACATAAATGCATGGTGCACATCATGGCTGCAATCTAGAGAAAACATTTAGCCGTCGTGGTGGGAACCACATAAGTTTTCCTTATGACGGATCTAACAGTTGCGCTGTTGGGGGTGGGGGAAGAGTTCAGTGTGGCACCTGTGATTATCTCCTGTCTCATAGATCTAAATAATGGTGGAGTCACTGTCTTCAGATCACACTATAATACTGTTCTTAGCCATGGATAAATCAGCTAATTTAATAGTCTCATAAAGGGCTTGAAAGTGTTTTTGAATTCCTTGGACCCACAAGAACTGTCCAGCAGGAGTATTAGTAGTTGTTATTATTCCTTGCTAGATTATATGTTCATTGGTCTTCCTGCAGCGTGGTGCCCTCCAGATATTCTGGTCTATATTTTTTATCACACCCAGCATTCCCCCAACGTACACTCTCTAGATGTTGTAGACTACAACTCCCAACACCCATTGGGAGTTTCAGTCCAGGATATGTGGTCTGAAGGGTGCTAGGTTGGGAAAGTCTGGCATAGACCACCTAGCCTGTATCATGTCTCCCAGTGTGGCCAGGCATCTCTCTCTCTCTCTCTCTCTCTCTCTCTCTCCTCCAACCCCCAGCAACTGGCATTACTCAGATCCTTTTATGAATAACAGCTCATTTGCCATGAATTTGTTTATTCCCCTTGCCTCACCCTGTGGCACTGAATCTGCTTAACTTTCCTGCAGGCCTCCTTAACAGCTACTTTATTTGTTTCAGCTCCCACTTTATGTCACCTCAAGGTTCTCTCGGTGAGGGGTTGTTGGGTGAGGCATTTTTTCCCTTGCTCATGACATCCTCCTCTCTGGCCTCCTAGGGCAAAGGAGTTGGGAGCGCCCGGAAAAAGCTGGATGCAGCCATTTTGGAAGACCGAGACAAACCGTATGCCTGTGACAGTGAGTAAGAAGGCGAGCCGTGCTGTGGGACACAGCTGTCGTGAGCAGAACACCTTTGCTTTTCCTAGATAGGAGGACGGTGTGGTGGGGAGGGTGGGGGAATGGAGGATGCAGAGGTCAAAACTTCTTTGAAAGAGGGGCTGCGTGAGCTACTTGTCCTTGGTCCCTTGCTTTTTTAATTGAGCTTCTTGGAGGCTATAACATTACTTGTCTAGTTTGGGAGCATTGGAGGTCTGGCACTATCTGGAGTCTCCTGTGGGTATGGGCAGTTGCTTCGATGAGATCTTAGGCTGATAAAATGGTGCCTTTTATTTGCCCGGTGTGCAAATTTTCCTGTTTCACAGAGCCGTTTATTCTGGCTGGTGAAGAGTTCTGTGAAAGTGCATAAAATTACATACTTCTGCACCAGCTCAAGTCGGCCCAATAGGAGATAACTTTACTAATGTTCTCATCTCCTTTGGGACAGACTTGGCAGACTAACCCAGTCTTGTCCATGCAGGGTCTTAGCCCTGCCACCATTGGTCCTCTAAAATGGAGACATTGGGGATTGAGCCAGGGCTTCATGGATGCAAAGCAGGTGCTCAGCCACAGTGCTCCAGCCCTGCCTTCCTCTGGCAGATCCCAAGACGTGTATAGACCTTGATATCGCTTTACCAGTCCATTGGGGGCTGTGTTTGTGTGCAGACACCCAAGCTATGTGACCAGCCCTGCTGCGTGTGGCTGCCTTTGCCAGTTCCATATTGCATGACTTTTCTGTTCTTTAGAGCTGCTCCCTGTGTGCCAATCTGGAAATGAATGCCCATGCAAACCTGGTTATTAACGTAAAAGGTGGGGGGCAATTGGCCAGAATTTTCAAAATTGCAAACAATGAGTTTTTGAAATTACTTTTCTTTCTCTTCTCCTTTTACTGTCCTGTAAGAATTTTATACTCCCCCTTTTTACTTTAAAATAACACCAGTAAGCATTTTTCTTTTCTCCCTTTTAATCGTTGTATATAGCTTTACTGTGTGCATGTTATGTGTGTGACCTATAGAGTGTTTTCACCTTTTCTCTCATTATTCTCTTTCTGTATTTCAGATAGTTACAAACAAAAGCATACCTCGAAACCTCCTGACCGAGGTAGTCCATTCTCTCTGTCTTGCTATTTATTTCCTCCTGACTTTGTTCTTCTGAAATGTTAGTTTTAAAAACTCTTCTTTTTTAAAAAGCAGGTCTTTTGATGCAGGGCACAAAAAAACCCTTCCCTCATATGATAATGCAGTTCAGGTTTTTATTTAGTGTGTGTGGCCTAATGGGGTTAGCACCCAGCTTTTTAGCCCAATTCTCTCCAAGTTGCTGTGGGAAAGGTGATAAATTTTTGTCTGGAAATTTGGATAAATACATATCTCCCTCAGTGGCTCCTAGCAATTAAAATTCAATAAGCATTGTTATTGTAAGGTGCTGAGCATTGAGTTGGGAAGAAAGTACATCAGGATGTTTTGCCGTAGATTGGCAAGGGATTCTGACTCCCTATTGTCTAGCAGTAACAAATGAAAAAGCTTTCCCCTCCCCTCCAGCCCCAAATTAGGTTGCTGAAAAAGAAATGGGGAGCCGATTTTTATATCAATGATCTTGTGAGCTTTGCTGTGCTACTGACCACACATTCCTGGACTCATCATGTGCTCATAAGCGGCACCCTGTTCTTTAAATCTTGAGAGTGTGTCTGCCCAGCTACTGTGCAGGTACTCTGATCGGTGGACCTAGTAAAACCACCACCACCATCACCAAGTATATTCCTCAAGCCTGTCTGCTCACCCCTGGCATACATGAACAAAAATAAACCTGTCTTTGCAGTCAGGCTTATTTAATAGCACAATCCTATCTATGTCCACTTAGAAGCAAGACCAGTTGAATTCATTACGACTTCCTCTTAGAGAAGTAGGGCTAGGATTGTACCTGAAAGGACAAGAGACACAGGGGGAAATGGGTAGAAGGGAAATGGATTTGCCTGACCCAGAAAGAAGTGGTGAGTTGCTACCAGGCATTTAAATTTTTGTGGGACTGGGATGATGATCCCTGCCTGGTATTTTTACTGAAAAGGAAGTGATGCAGTTATCTAGTAGCCCTTAGGCTGGTGATGGGCCAGGATGTCCTTCGTCTTTGCCCTTGTAGTCATTCCAGATGTTTGGAGGAGGGAAGCAAGTGTCTTGAAACTGCTTCTTCTCTGGTGGATCTTCTTTTTGTCTGATCCCCTTGGAAAAGTGGGGGGAGACTTCCACATGGCCTTGATCTCTGGCTAGTGACAGAGGCTAGAGTGGCCTCCTCTTCACTCCTGCAGTCACAGAAATTTGTCCTTTGGTTCTGACCCACTGAGGTCAGAAAGAGAGGTGTGTCCCCCCCCCGCACTTTGATTATGTGACTTTGAGTGCTTGCTTCCTGTTACTCCCAGGGCAACAGGATCTGCCACACCAGGAGTATAGCCTTAAAGGCCACAAAAATTAGTAGCTCACAAATACTTCCACATGCCCACACATGCCCATGGCTGTTATTTCTGGCCTGAAAGGGTAGGTGGGTAGAAATAAGAGCCTTTTTTGTAAACTTGGCATGTTCTGATTTGCCCTGGGTGACCAGGCTATTTACAACTTTGCACTGCAGGATGTTGAGTGCTGCAGAGTTGTGTCTAATATCTAGTTTCCTTGAGAAGATGCTGGATTTTGCTTGGGGGAATGGATGGTAGCTAGTGAAACTGTTGTGTATTTTTGCTTTCTCCTGTGACTTCTGGTTTGACTCGCTTGCATGAGTCACCTGGTGATTTTGGAACTGCAGACCACCTTTTTGTGGTCTTTGCTTGCAGCACTCTTTGGTTGATCTGCAAGGGCTTTGGTGTATAGCAGGGATGAGGAACCTCTGGTCCTCAATATGTGCTGGACTCCAGCTCCCATCTGCCCCAGCCAGCATGGTCAGTGGTCAGGGATGATGGGAGTTGGAGTCCAGCAACATCTGGAGGCCCTGTCAGGTTCCCCTATCCCTGGCACATAGGCTGAATTCTTCCCATCCTGGATAGCTGTTGAATATTATCCCCCACCCTACCTAACTAGATGTGCTAGGCAGCCAAGTTGTTCCTTCCAGAGCTAGATAATGTATTAACACAGTCCCAGGGTCCAAAAGGCCTTGGAATTTTATAAGCTCTGTTAATGATAGGCTAAGCCCTGAGTCTTCAGTTTTCTCTGCCCTTTGGACTCTTGCTCCTTCTTATAGCCACCTGAACCAAGGGCCAATGCCACCTTTGGCCACAACCTCAACCAGTTATGTTTCAGTTTAATGTTTCATTCTGGTTTTAAAAGTATTTAAGCATCATGGAGAAAGGTACCTCAAGTATTGTTGCAGGCTTCTGAGAATGAATTTATATTTATATTTTGCCTTGATTTATTGCTTTTTTAACTCCCAAAATAAATCTAGAGTAATTTTTGTGGTATTAAAGAAGCCTGTACCCAATAATCAGCTTCATACCATCATTTTTCCTCTAGTTGTATTTTGACACAGTGCAAATACACAAAAACTTGCATGATCTTCTATGTCATTCTTCTTCAGCTTTGGGTCTCCAGGTGTTGTTTGACTATTACTCCTTCCATTCCTGTGATCCTTAGATTAAGGGCAGTATAGAAATCATCATCATCATCATCATTATTAATAATAATAATAATACTGGGACGTGTAACTGTTCTCATAGAATTGTAGAGTGGGAAGGGACCCCAAGGGGTTTTTACCACCTTCCAAGGGAGTCTGTTCCCCTCTCAAACAGCTTTTATTGCCAGAAAGTTCTTCCTAATGTTTAGTCAGAATCTCCTTGTCATTTAAATCCATTGGTTTGATGTTCCTGAACTACGCCCCCCCCCAATCATCCATGGTCATTGGTCATCCTTGCTGGGGCAGGCTCTTACATTTGCTTGCCTTTGATTTGTCAAGCAGAGCAGCCTGATTTTACCCCTCCCATCCTGTGGAATTAGCCAACTAGAGGAGGAAAGGGCGCTGGGCAAAGGCAGGGCGGCAGCTCAAACTGCTAACCTCAGGCACAGCCCTCATGTGGCAAAGCCTTCTGAGCTTGCTGAAGAAGTTGTGGAATGGCAGGATTGTGCTATTCTGGGAATGTTTGCTCACAACTCTGAGCAGAAAAGAAACCCACAAGGGTAACCCCTGTCCTCTGGCAATCCTGCCCAGCCCTTCATTTGAATCCTATAGAGAGACATTTCTTTTTCTTAAAGTGCTGAAACTCAGGAGCATCCAATGAAGCCTAATATTTGAAGTTTAAGGCCAGAGAAAGGAAGTCCTTCACACACATAGTTGAACTACAGAATTTGCTCCCACCAGAGGCAGTGAGGGCCACCAACTTACATGACTTTATAAGAGGATTAGAGAAATTCATGGAAGGTCAGACTACTAGTGGCTATTAGCCACAATGAATTGTCAGCATCCTTCGGGGGTCGAGATGCAAGCTGGCTAGCCCCTAGCTGGATCATGCCCTTCCAGCCGTGACGACCCCCTGATCTCTGGTGTGACGTAAATCAGCGACTCAGACTTCAAAAGCCTGAGCACGCTATATTAGCAGAGCATACTGTGCAACCAGAACAGGCGTGAGGCTTTTGGAAACATACTAACAGCTAAAGATTTATTAAGCATAAATCAGGACAAAGAAAACATGTCGTCTCCCTTTCTTCTCCTCAGAGAGACAGTGAAAAGCAAAAGCTATACACAAATGGAAGTTCCCAGCATACTGTGCTGGAATGTAAACAGACATGTGACACGTAACAATCCCGTGTCTGCTCCTTAAGGTGGAATGGAAATTCTCAACATGAATATGTTATCCCTCCTCTGTTAGAGGCAGTGTATGCCTTTAAATCCCATTTGCTGGGAATCGCAAGGAAAACACAGGTGCAGTCAGGCCCTGCTTAAAGGCTTCCCCTAGGGATCTGGCTGGTCCCTGTTGGCCTGAATGGGCCTTTGGCCTGTCGCCAGGTTCTTACCTTCTTACATCTATGCAAGTCTGAAGAACTAATTTATTTTAATTTTATTGTTTTTATTAACGAAAACCGGGAGTTGGTTCTGCAAAGGAAAACATTGGAATGAAGCAAATTTGCAGAGTATATTCAGCCTTGCCTCCATTTTCTGGTGCCATGAGCAAGTGGGCTGCAGGAATGAACATAGGACTTATTTATTTTTAACTGAGAATTGTTGGCTATCTCAAGTATCCCGACCCTTAATCCCAGATACGTGGCTCTGGACTGTTGGTGAGAGAAAAGCGCTCTTCTTCTGCCCAGAAGCACGCAATGGATTCTATCCATCTAAGTTCTCCTTGGAGTAGACGCAATTGGAAATTAATGGCTCAGCTACTGTTGAGCATGACTGATACTGGATACAACTCAGTATTTCATGAACAAGGTCCCATTGCACACTGTGTGTGTGTGTGTGTGTGAGAGAGAGAGAGGGGGGGGGAGAGCTACTTTGGAACCACAGCCCAAGGAAAGAGGACAGAGGTTGTTTTTTCTCCTCCTGCATCTGCTCCAAAGTGGGCTTTTTTTTTTTGGTAAGCTATGTTGAGCCTCCTTGGAAGCAGCATGTAGCAACCACTGCCTCTTTGGAGGGAGCCTGCCAGCATAGGCTCCCTACTTAATCAGCTGTGTTTACACAGCCCTTAAGAGAGCCATTACTTTTCCCCTGCAAATTGGCTTTCCAGTCGCTGTGCAAAAGACTTGCTGGACTTAATGTGCTTTAGAAAACATTTGTCTCCCTCCCCGAAATCAGAACTTCATTAGACCTGGAGTGTTTATGGGAGATTGTGTGTTTGTGTATGTTCTCCAGCCCCAGCGGGGTTTTTTTCCCAAGCAGTGTTCCTCGCTAGATATGGCTCACTTCCTTGTTTCTGTGTCTTAGCTACTTCCAAATCTGGAGCACGCTGTTTTGGTGGTTCAGCCTAGGCCTGTTGAGCTGCGGGTATTAATCCCTGCTCTCCTTTAGATATCCATAATGCAATTCTGAATCAGAGCCAGATCTTCAAACAAATTGCTCTTTTCTCTTTGCCAAGGACTTGAGGATGGAAGGTAGAGGAATGGTGGGGTGGCAATTGGGGAAGAGTGGACTTGCAGCAAGGCTGAAGAGCTGTGCAGGGCAACTAAAAGCTGGCCACTAGAAATCTGCTCTTAGCTTTTCCCTTTCTGAAACCAGACAAACAAGGTTTCAGGTCGTTCTTTCATGAGGGCCAGAAACATGTGCTGTGCGTGTTAAGAGTCTTCGATTACTTGGAGTGCCAGACATACACAATTGTGTACTATCCCCTTTGTTCATTACTGTTTGGTTGGGTGTGTGTGTGTGTGGAGATGCTTTGAGAGCATTCTGAGTGCAGGTCGCAAAGGGTGCTACGATATGAACTTACCACTGTGTTTAGAAATCTGGTTCTGGTGCTGAGCAACAGGAAATATTTTCCCCACCCTTGTTTTGAGATTTGTGCAGTTTCTGTTTCTATAACAGGTTGACACAGTAGCACATTGAGGGGATGGGCAGTGTGTGCTTTTTGGAGTGGGGGGAGAAGGGGATAAAGATTGGCTGAGAATGGGATAATTTCATTGCGAAGGGAAGGGGGAGGAAAGCAGCTCCTCTGGGGATGGGAAGCTCAAACCTGTGTCTTGTCTGCCTTAAAATTTTCTTCCTGTTCAGTCTGTGGGAAGCGTTACAAGAACCGTCCTGGGCTGAGTTACCACTATGCGCACTCCCACCTGGCTGAGGAAGAGGGGGAAGACAAGGAAGACTCGCAGCCCCCCACGCCTGTATCACAGAGATCTGAGGAGCAGAAATGTAAGTGTCTTCCTCCTCCTCCTGGGGCTTTTCCAAACTTTAAGATCTCTTTATGTAAGTTCTCCTCTACCCCAGCTTAAATTGGATCTCAAGATTTGCCCTGGAAAAAGGGATAGACCTAGTGTGAGTCCCACACTTAAATGTCGTGTTGTGATGTTGGGATTTATATGAGCCAATTGAAGGACTAAGGGAGTCAATTTCAGCAAGAATGGTGGCATGTGCTAGCAAGTGACCAAGCCTGTCTTGCTTTGAGCAGCTGCATGTGGAACCATCACAACCAGGACTGAAGGGCTGGACCAGGGGTCAGCAACCTTTTTCAGTCGTGGTCCGGTCCACCATCCCTCAGATCATGTGGTGGGCCGGACAATATTTTGAAGAAAAAAATGAACAAATTCCTATGCCCCACAAATAACCCAGAGATGCATTTTAAATAAAAGCACACATTCTACTCATGTAAAAACATGCTGATTCCCGGATGCGGGCTGGATTGAGAAGGTGATTGGGCCGCATCTGGCCCACGGGCCTTCGGTTGCCTACCCCTGGGCTGGACCTACGTATGTCCGAGCCATAGGTAAGAGCCAGCTGTTCTCTTTAAGTAGGCTGTGAATACAGGGTGAGCATAAAATGATCAGTAGGATGAGATGCTATAGCCAGTATCCTGTAGTGGCAATGGGACAGTGCTGCTGAGAATGCACACAATAAGCTTTTCTTTTGTGGTCACCCCTTCCCTTTGAGAGAAGCTCGGCTGCAGTTTAAAAATAATAAACTCCCCCTAGGTCTGGGTGGAGTATGTGGGGTGGGATGAGGCTCTGTTTTGACTCTGTCTTGTCATTGATTAAAACACCTTTTTCCAATAGCCAAGAAAGGTCCGGATGGCTTGGCCTTGCCCAACAATTACTGCGACTTCTGCCTTGGAGACTCCAAGATCAATAAGAAAACAGGGCAACCTGAAGAGCTGGTTTCATGTTCTGACTGTGGACGATCAGGTATATGAACTGTGGGGAGCAGTGGGGCAGGATCCTACCAAGAGCTTGGGTATCCTACATAAGTTTTATGGGTTTTCTTGGCATCCCACTCCTGATCCTTCCCACCTGCACCTTCCCATGCTTGTTGGTTTTGGTCCCAAGAACAACCTTTTTCAAAAAGAATCTAAACAAGAGAAATGAAGTAGGCTCAGGAGGCATGTTCTTACAGCTGCCTCCTGAAGCTGCAATATTTTTTTGAAAAAAACAAAACAATTTAATTTTTTTTTATGGTACAGAAGATACATTTTGAGAAAACAGTTGTTGCAACAGTAAACAAACAACTTGGCCAGATAAAATTACAGACTTTTGTCATGCTATGTAATGAAGTTTCATTTGATTACTCTAAAGCTCAAACCACATTTCCCCATGAGTGTTGGAACTGATTCCTGCTGCAATCTAAACAGTTTATGTATTCAATGAACATTTGCCATACGTTATAAAATAAACAGGGATTGTGTTTGCCCTTTGGCATGTTAATTTCTCAGCCAACGCTATTGACCACATTGGTGTACCAATGGTGTACCAATCAATGTTAAGCCTAACACCAGTTTCTGAAGCTTCAAGACTGGCATCTTTGTGAAGGAGCTTGTGCGTTTCCCATGTGTCAGTGCCCCCACAGAGGCCTGTGGTGGTAGAAGCTGGCTTTGGCTGCCCCTCGTTGGCTCATTTGGCCCCCTTCTGCTGCTAGGGGGAGTACATCTTCCTCATGGATTAAGACAGCTACCAAGGGTTGTATCCATCTAAGTCCTATGCAGGGTAGAGCCCTTGGAATCAATGATCATGAGTTATGACTAAAAGTAATCATTTCCATGGGTTAACTCTTGAGTTGCACACAGATATATAAGACTAACATAGACTGAAGTGTTGGAAGCTTGGCTTAGCCACTCCAGAATCCCCTTGTTAAAAGGGGGTTGGGCACAGTCATGACGCTGGAGAGACCTGCCAGTGGCCATTAGCCTTTTTGTGTTGGACCAAAACCAGAACTACAGTATTTTTCCATGTATTGGATGAAGTTTTTTTGTCTCAAAAATCACGTTAAAAAATGGGGGTTGTCCAATACACGGATAGTGGCATGGGGGTGGGATATTCTGTTGGTTTTTGGGTTTTTTTTATAATAATTTTTTTTACTGATTTTCCACATTTTTTTAACATCTTTACAATAATCATTTTTCATCTCTATTTATTAGGTTCTTTTGACCTCTCTGACTTCCCTCAATGGGTTCTCTCCTTGTCCCATAATTAACTGCATCTTTTATGTTTTCCAAATAATTACATAAATCACAAGTAAAATGCAGTAAAATTTCACATTAAAGTATCTTCACATTCCTGTCAGTGACTTTAAAATTTTACAGTGTTCTTTTAAATAAAGTAAGAATTTATTCCAGTCCTTTTCAAATACTTGTTCTTCCTGGTTTTGGATCTTTCCTGTCAATTTCGCCATCTCCACATAGTCCATCAGTTTCGCCTGCCATTCCGGCACTTCCTTTTGCTTCCATTTCTGGGCTAGTAGTACTCTCACTGCTGTTGTTGCATACAGAAATAATCACTTATCTTCTCTCAGTATCTCTTTACCCATAATACCTAATAAAAAGGCTTCTGGTTGTTATTTTTTAAAAAAATTCTTAAATATTTTCTTTAACTCATTGTAAATCATATCCCAGAAGTCTTTTACTTTATCACATAACCACCACATATGGTAAAAAGTACCCTCTATTCCCTTACATTTCCAACATAAATTTGAGCTAGTTTTATACATTTTTGCAATTTTACTTGGCGTCAAATACCAGCGATACGTCATTTTCATAATATTTTCTTTCAACAAGTAGCATGCAGTAAATTTAATTTCTTCCTTCCATAATTTTTCCCAATATGACATTTGAATATTATATCCAAAGTCTCTAGCCCAGTGTATCATAATAACTGCCTTAACCTCTTCATCCTTTGTATGCCATTCCAAAAGTAATTACAATATTCTGTTGTTTGGTCTTATGTGAACATTGTGAGAATAAAATTCAGTAGCGCTTTCCCTCTTCCTGTCAAAACACTTGCCAACCTGGTTTTCCTTGGAGAAAAGATGAGCAGCAAATGTGATGAAGAGGTGCAACGTCTTTGTTTGTTTATCCGCTTGCTGAGGTGCCCACACAACCTTCCTGTCTTAATGCCTGCCCCACTGTCTCTCCCCACCAGGGCACCCTTCATGCCTGCAGTTCACACCAGTTATGATGGCGGCGGTGAAGACCTACCGCTGGCAGTGTATTGAGTGCAAGTGCTGTAACATCTGTGGCACCTCTGAGAACGATGTGAGTACCCTTTCTCTCCCCTGTCCCTGCCCTTTGCATGACTGAATCCCTTCTCCCTGTGTCCTTTCATCATGAATGTCCCTCTTTATATTATATGCCTAAAAGGTCTCAACAATTTGCATCTGGAAATTTAAATGCATTACACCAATTCATGCAAAACTAACATTCTCATAGACACCTCCCACTGTCCCCAGTTACAGCCTCAGGAAGCACACTTCCAGCAGAACAAAATCCACTCATTAAAAGCCTGGTGGCAGGCGGGGTCATAGGCCAAAGTGGTTGGAGCAAACAATGTAAATTTCAACCCATTTTTTTTTTACAATAGACCGCTTTCCTCACGCACCCCTCATTCCATCCTCCTTCTAGGCAAGTGACAAGTGTTTATCAGAGGTCAAGGCTACCTCCCAGCCAGGAAAAAGATCGCAAGGATAGTGCAAAGCAAAGTCAATTACGGGGGAGTTCTGAGGGCCAGATAGTACGATCTGGAGGGCCACATCCATTCCCCAGGCCTATAGTTCCCCATCTCTAGTTCCCAATGGTTTTCATGAGGCTGAAGGGTGGCAGCAGCTTGCATTCCTCTCTAAGCTCCTTGAAGCAAAGGTGGGATATAAATTGGATAGATTAAACTGCAACACCTTGATTTTTAGGGGTGGCAGAGGACAGATTTTCTCCCTTTCTGAAAAGAAGTGGAATAATTTGCATTCTCCTTTGTTCTGGCTTTTCCTCCCTCCCCATCCTGCTTAGGACCAGCTGCTCTTCTGTGACGATTGTGACCGTGGCTACCATATGTACTGCCTCACTCCACCCATGTCAGAACCACCGGAAGGTGAGTACTTCTCTGCTTCCCCATTTGCATCTTCCCACCTTTGTGCGATTTTGGGTTTCTCCTGGTTTTTGCATAGGGAATTCCGGAAGCCATAGTTCAGTGATAAAGAGTGACTGCTTTGTAGACAAAAAGCCCTGGTTCAATTTCTGGTGTCTCCAGGTAGGGCTGGGAGAGAGAGACCCCTGCCTGAAACCCTGGAAAGCTGCTGCCGATCAGTGTAGACATTGCTGAGCTCGGTGGACCAAGGTTCCGACTCTGTATAAGGCAGCATCCTATTTGGGGGCATAGACTAAAAGGCTGCTCTGCACAGCTTGCTCACCTGTTTTGTAATTAACTGGCCTGCAATTTAAATTGAGTAAAAGAAGAAGAAAAGAAGTTCCTTCTGGGCCTCATTCTACTTAACAAATCAAATAGGATTTTTCTTTTTCTTTTATAAATGCTTTGGGATTTTAAACCTGCCTTAGCGTGCCAATTATATAAAAGAAGAAAGTTTGCATGTAGCATGACATGGCAAAACGCTGGTGACTTGTAGCAGGCAGTTTGCCGACTCATTTCCTGAGCAGGCGCTGACTTGGTATTTTGAAAAGACGCTTCCAGCAACAGGCCCACAGCCAAAGGTAGCCTTTGTTAATCTTAAATCACCTGTTTAATCTTTACACCACTTCTTTTGAGTCGCAGGTCACAGCTCAGGCTTTTCCGAGGCCTAGTTGGAAAGGGCTTCCAGTCAAGGCCCACAGACTGCCTGTCTACTGTAAGACCAGTAGAAGGGGCTGTAGGTTTGGGACGGAGCAAACATTTCACACATGGTAGATTCTGGTTCTCATCCCTGACACCCCTGCTGTGGCGTCAAGTTCTGCTGGTGTACAGTGTGTGTCTAGTGTAGCTATAATGCATCCCACACACTCCATAGAGGACGAGTCACATACCTGTAAACAAGGAGGTGGACAAAATGACACTCTGTGTGCACCGCTGTCTGCTGTGCTTAAATTTAGTTTGCTTATAAGTTGCTTTTCCACTTTGACCTTGGTGGCTCACAATAAACATTAACTTATTATCAGAACATGCAACATTTGAAACAACTTTGTGTTTCAGAACATACCATTAAATTCAAAAAGGACAAAACCAGCAATTCAGTAAGCATAGAATAAATTCGATATTACGCTAAAATAACCAAGTACTTAATGGAGACCCTTTCTCAGTATGTCCCGTAGTTTACGATCAGGGAGAGGGGCCCTTCTCAGAGTATCATTGAGTGAACTTTTGAAGAAAGGGTATCACTTTTGGAGTGAACAAGACTTGCTTGTGCAGCATCCCTCACCCAAATTTAACAGCAGCTCAAAGATGGGAAACCTGGCACCTCCCAGATGTTGCTGGGCTACAACTGCAGTTCATCATAATTATTGGCCATGCTGGTTGGGGTTGTTGGGAGTTCATGTCCAACGTCCCCCAGAGAGCCACTGGTTCTCCCACTGCTGCAATAGGTGTCTTATCCCTCCCCCTGCCCTCTTTTCTGTTACAGGAAGCTGGAGCTGTCACCTGTGTCTGGATTTGCTGAAGGAGAAAGCCTCCATCTATCAGAACCAGAACTCCTCCTGATGGGCGCTGGGGCAGCAGAGAAGAAAGGGAGCTTGAAAGAGGAACTGCCAGTTGTCCACTACCTTGCAGGGCTCTTTTTCCCTTTCTTGGTTTAGTCTTTTTCCTATGCTGCCTCCCACTCTTGGTCAGTGTCTCCTTCACCAGTCGGATCCAGCCCCTGCCAGCTCTCTCCATTGTCCTCTGCGCAGCGGTTTTTGGGTTTAGAACTTCTTCTTTCTCTCTCTCCCTGCTCTCCTGGGAGGGAGGATTCTCCATGCCCTTTCCTCACTTGCCTCCAGGCTGGCTGAGAAGCACCAAACAGATCATCATATCTACGGCCTTAATACTCAAGGACAAATATATATATATATAGAAATATATTCCGACCGAACTGGGCTTGCTGGGAGGAGGCGACTCCTTCTCATCTTACTAACATTGTGCTATTGAATCAACAGCTGATCTGCAGGCTTCTATGTCTCCAAAAGCAGAGCCAGCAATTTTAAAAACTTTTTTTTAAAACACAAAACCACCACGAGCACTCTTGATACTACCCACAGGGCTTATAGGCTCCCTTCCAGCCCTTGGCCACCTGTTCCTCCCTCTCCATAAGAAAGTGGTTTTGTCCCTTATATAATTACAAATGGATCTGGAGCAGTCTCCTAGACCCGAGAGAACTCTGGGAAGGCATTGTCCAGTGGAAAACCTACCTTTGGCCTTCAACAGTGTGGACCAGGACTTGGCTTAGGCAGGTGTGAAAACAAAGTGACTTCGTTTACCTCAGTCAGGGAAGATCTTTTGAGGCTTCCCCTTGTCCTGATGGAGGCTGGATCCTGACCCAAAGAACCCTCCCGTTGTTAACACAAAGCACCATTGCCTCCTTCCTTGTTTTCACACACACAAGGCTATATATATACTTTTAACGGGGGGTTGTGTTGGGGTGGGGGATTGGGGGAGCAGAGAGAGGGTTCCAGCACTTTCCCCCACCTCTCTTTAGCAAGCCCTTAACACATGGGGTGTTGACTACAGCCCCCCCCAAGCAGCATTTCTGTCCCACGGTGGGTTTTAATATGTTTTTAATTCTCGAGGGAATGTTTCCAGTCCTGGCACCATTTTACATTTCTCCTCGTATCATCCTCCCACCATATGGGCCTCTACAGGAATATGCGAGTTGCTCGGAGGTGGATGAATGGAGGGCCGGCAGCTCTTTCTTCCCTGGAGCAGGGCTTGTTGGCAGGAGTTGACCCTGGTCTCCCCGCTGTGCTGCGTGCCTCTCTGGGGACGTTGGCCACAGATCTCTGGGGTTGCCTGTGCGGGCCACTTCTTTATTTCTTTCCCTAGCCTCACTTGATGCCTATTTGCTGAGTCCTGATTTCCCACATTCTCTGTGTGCGTGTCTGCAGGTGGAGGGCGAGCCCTTATACCTCTGGGCTGCTCTCCAAGGAGAACAAGCTGGCATGCAGGAGCCTCCTCCCTTTCCAAGAACGGAAGCTCTCTTCTGCATCCATCCTGCCTTCCCCCTTGGTTGCCTTCTTCACCTCCCCACCCCCACTCTCTGGAGGAACCGGTCCTTAATAAGAAGTGACATTTTGAAAACCTTCCTTGGAAACTTCCACCTGTCTTCCCCCTAACCCCCTTTGTATGGCACCCCATTTGGGGAGGAGAGGTGTTTTTCTCTGGAATAGGGTTCTGTGTAATATACTAATGATGTGCCTGTTTTTTCTAAAAATTGACTTCATACCTACCTCCAAAGCCCCTTGCCCCAGTCATACATCCTCTTGCACTCCCCCAAAATGCATCCAGCCCTTCTCTGCCCACATCTTTGCAGAGGCAATACATGAAGACTCAGGGGGACTGGCAAAGCAGAGGGGGCTGGTTCTTTTTAGAATAGCTTGCCTCACCGAGTTAACATCCATCCTGTGACTGGGCACTGCAGCCTCTTGCCTCACCTTTCCCTAAGGCAGGGGTGGGGAACTGATCCCCCAAAAAAGATATTGTTGGGCTATGGCACCCATCATCATCTCTTGACCCGCTGGCCTTGCTGGCTGCCGGAGCTGCTGGGAGTCGGACTCCACACTCCCAGCCAAACCGCAGGAAGGGTGCCATCCTTGCCTTTGTTCTCACTACCCCGCTAGCTAAGGTGGGTCTTAGTGGGGCTGTATTTGGAAGGGGAAAGAGGCACTTTGGGAACCAAAACGGAAGCTTTCACCCACCCACCCCTGCCCTCATTCGCTATGCTCTGTGGACTAGAGGCTTTCAGGATTAAAAAGGTCCACAGACTCCCCATTGAGTCTATAAGGGATGTCAAGAGAGGTGGAGTCATTGTGCACTTACAGCCCTGGATCCCCTTGGGGGCCGCAACCCCACACAGGGAAGCCATTTTGGTTTCTTTAACCTTGCACTTGATTTCTCTCCCATAGCTGGTTGGGATTGGGTAGGAGGGAACAGGTAGAGGCGGCCTGTTGATGAAGGGGGGTGGGGTGGGCAAACCTTGCGTTGGGGGAGTTGCTGTCCCAACCCCAGATGGGGGCATGTCCTCGTTCAAAGCATCACACCCGTGTCTTAAAACTCACAACCCGAATAAACACCAAAATGGCTTGTTTGGACTAATTATTTTATTGCAGTCTTTTATCTGTTGGGGTGGGTTGAAAGTAGCTTTTTTGCGGGGGATTTTTTTTTTAAAGCAGTGTTGCATTATGGAGATTTTATGCTCAGGTTAGATCTGTTGGTTTGAGGGAAGGGGAATTGGGAAGGGTATATAAGAACATGGTCCATGTTCTTTTTTTAAAGTGGGCTTTGCTTCAGTGCTCTCTTCATCTTGGGGAGGGGTGGGCCTTGGGTTTTCAAACCCACATCCCTTCCATTCCTTGAGCACTCAGAAGCTGATCAGAATACCTCATCTCCCCCCCCCCCTTTTGCCACAAGTTGATTCTGCAGCTCCTTGCACCTGAACGCCCTCCTGCCCAGCATTACCAGTTTTACAATGAATTGGTGGCTATGTTTCTCCCTCTCCCCAGGCAATTAATTATGCAGATAATTTTATTTTTTAGGTTTGGAATTGGTTATGGTATGCCGAGGCTCTTCACCGCCCCCCACATTTATTTTTTTTAATTGCAGCTGAAGCTAAAGTGTGTTTTACCTTTTTTGTTTTATTTTAAGGTATTGTAATAAGTATTAGCGAATAAATCATTTTTACACAGAAAGCACTCTCCGGTTTCTCTGTCCAACAATCATCTGGCGCTCTGGGATTTTTCTGGGTTTTGATGCGATTAGGGAAGTGGCGAGGTGTTAAGTTTCAGGAAGCAAAAGGGTAGGAATAAATGAGCAGTTCTCCAAATGGAGAGAAGTATTGAATCGGAATTGTAGAGTTGAAAAGGACCAGAAAGTGGAGTCCCCCAAGGATTAGTATTGGGCCCTGTCCTTTTTTAAACTTGTTCATAAACGATCTAAAGTTAGGAGTGAGGTGGTCAACTTTGCTAATGACACTAACTTGTTCAGAGTTGTTAAAGAGATTTCAGAGCTCCAAAAGGACTTCCTCACACTGAGTGAATGAGTGGTAAAATGACAAATGCAGTTCAGTGTAAACAAGGGTAAAGTGATGAATTTTGGGGCACCCCTCCTGAAATTCACATATACTTCCATGGGGTCTGAACTGGCAGTGACAGACCAGGAATGAGACCTAGGTGCATAATACCTCAATGAAGGTGTCGACCCAGTGTTTGGCAGCCATGAAAAAGGCAAATTCTATGCTAGGGATCCTTAGGAAAGGAGTTGAAAATAAAACTCTTGACATCATAATGCCATTATACGAATCAGTGGTGCAGCCTCATTTGGAATGCTGTGCTCAGTTCTGGTTGCCTCACCAGTTGAGAAAGTTTCAGAAAAGGGCAACCAAAATGATCGTGGGGATGGAGCAACTATGTTGTGAAGACTGCAGTTACCACCATCCCTGACCACCGGTCCTGCTGGCTAGGGATGATGGGAGTTGTAGTTCCAAAGCAGCTGGAGACGCAAGTTTGGGAAACACTGATCTAGAGGTTCCCACAAATGTGGGTGAAAATCTGTCCAGGAATTGAACCTGGGACTTTTAGCTTGCAGGCAGCAACACTACAGCCCTTTCCATTTGCCACGGGTGCGTGTGCTATTTCAGCTTTAAAAATAGAAACCTCAAGGGAAGGGGAACCTGTGCTGATGTGCCTTGCAGGGAAAATGAGCAGAGCCTACAGCTTGGGGTTCCCCTCTGCAAAATCCTGTGTTTCCTAAATGTTGCAAGGCTTTCCTTCAGCCACCAAGGGGCAGTGTAAGCCTTTTCCCCACACTGTTCAAATGCTGTCTCTCCTTAATCCAGGAGTAGCTAAACTGCCCTTCTCCAGCTTTGCCAGAGTTGGACCATCAACTAAAAAAGGCATCCCGGATTAATTTGGCAGGACCATCTTTAACGAAAACTATGTTTTATTTTTAATATTAAACGGGGTAAAGGGGACCCCTTACAATTAAGTCCAATCGCGAACGACTCTGGGGTTGCAGCGCTCATCTCGCTTTACAGGCCGAGGGAACCGGCGTTTGTCTGCTTCCGCAGACAGTTTTCCCAGGTCATGTGGCCAGCATGACTAAGCCACTTCTGGCAAAACCAGAGCAGTGCATGGAAACTCTGTTTACCTTCCTGCTGGAGCGGTATCTATCTACTTGCACTGCGTGCTTTCGAACTGCTAGGTTGGCAGGAGCTGGGACAGAGCAACAGGAGCTCACCCCGTTGTGGGGATTCGAACCGCCGACCTTTCTATTGGCAAGCCCAAGCGGCACAGTGGTTTAACCCACAGCCTAAATACAGCGCAGAAGGCAGACACCATAATAAAGCAGGCCTTCCCCATCATGCTGGCACAGGAGGGAAGGTATTTTCTAGGACAGTGTGTGTTACAAAATGTACATGCATAATCTCAAAGCTTGCCAACACTTTTAGGCCCATGGGCACATTTGGATTTTTCAGGGAGTGCCATGGTCCATTCTCTCCCTGCTTCCTTGATCAGCCCATTCCTGAGACACAGAAGGAAAGAGTGCGCCACACATCTTATATTTCCCAGTCATCTGGGTGAAGGTTAGACACAATAGAATTAATCTGAGCCTTGAAAAGTACATAGAGCTGAAAGAGGAAGTGGGAACGAATGTCGCTTTTCCAACTTCCTCCTTCAGCTCTATGTACTTTCCATGGGAGCTTCTCCACCTCTTGACTAAGGGGATGCTGGGAGGGGGAGAGGGCAGAGGCACCCCAAGCATCAGGGGAAGACCTCAAAGTTATCCTTGCACCCACGGGTGCCACGTTGGAAATCCCTGCGTTATCTGAAGCCCAAGAAGTTCGCGTTCCCTTAAAAATTGTACATTTATGCAGGTTTGATGGATGCTCAGTGGATTAAGTAACTCACACTTCTTTCATTGGGCCACAGCCTTATTTGTAATCATGGGCGACATTAAGATTGCATGCTTTTTTGGTTTTGTTTTGAAAAGGTGAAGCAAGTTCATAGAATTGTTAAAAGCTGGAAATGGCGTTAGATGTTTATCCAGCCCAACTGCCTGCTCTGAGCAGGATCTATAACTTACTTATTTCATTACATTATATTTATACCCCACCTTTCCTTCATGGAGCTCAAAGCGGCATACACGATCCCACTCCCCACCCCCCATTTTAATCCTCACAACAACCCTGTGAGGTAGGTTAGGCTGAAAGTGAGTACCTGGTCCAAGATCAACCAGTGCACTGAAATAAATGAGTGGGGATTTGCACCCTGGTCTCTCAGGTCTTAGTCCAGCACCCTAACCACTATACTACACTGTTGTTGGATGTAGCTAAAACACCCCCTGAAATATAACTCTCCAGGCTCTGCTCAGATGTCCTCAGCAAAGCAGAACATGCCATCTTCCTGGGCAGCCTGCTCTGTACCTCTTTCCATTACCAAGTTTCTCCTAATCTTTAGTCCAAAACAGCTTCCCTGCAATTTCCACCCATTGCTCCCAGTGCTGCCTTCTGGAGAGGCAAACAACGGTAAGTCTGTTCCATCTTCTGCACAACATGGACTTGCTGAAGACTATTGTGTCTCCCCTTCTCTTTTCCAGGCTAAATACACCCAACAACTTCCACCGTTCTGCACAGGATTTGTAAAGTACTCGTTTTTATTGTCCTTGTAACAACAGAAATCGTGAGCAAGGCAAACATGAATCATGTGCATAGGGTTGTAGCTAGTGTTAGTGTAGCTCAGATCCATTAACTCCAATGGGTCTGATCTGAGAACTTAGTTGGATACACCTATGGTTTTCTCTCTCTGTCTCATAAAGTCTCTGCTAATAAGCCTATAAATTCCGAAATCTGAATAACGAAGGGATACTGATTCAATCTGCACTTTCCCTACAACTTACTCTGCTTCCTTTATTCCTTTTGCAAAGAATTTGTGGTGGCCTAGAAGTTGGCAGAGGAACACTTTATTTTCTGGAACGAATTTTTTCACAGGCAGTCTACTTCTGAATACCAGATTCTGGGGGTCTAGGTGGTTGAAGCCTTTATGTCCCGGTCTAAGATGGAGTGTCTTATGTTATGGAGTGGTTCTTATGTTCTTAGGAGCAAAATGTCTTCTGAGCTTAAAAGTATATATATATTTAAGCATCCATTAAGGGGGAGACCACCTCTGTGCCTCTGCAGTGCTGAATTCTGTAAACATACCCAGGCATATCATAGTTATCCTTCCAAAATATAAATACCTAGCCCTAAAATTGGGAAGGATCTCCGTTCCATCCCCCTCTCCATTTGCCCTTCCTTATTTTATGCACCACGTCGGGGTCTTTGTGCCCCCTGCTCAATAGACCGGTGACACCTGGGAGTTGCTCCCTTCTCCCTCTAGCATCGCCGACCCCCACGACACTGCAGCAGCATCCGGAAGGTGGTCCGGAACGACCTATTGCAGAGGGCGTAGCACATGGGATTGATGGTGCTGTTGACATAGCAAAGCCAGTACCCCAGTTTCCAAAGGCCTTTGGGGATGCATCCCTGGCAGAAAGTCGACACCAGCACCATGATGTTGTAGGGAGTCCAGGTGATGATGAAAGCCAAAAGGATGGCGCTGAGTGTCCGGGCTGCTTTCTTCTCCTTCATCAGAGAGAGCGTTTTCCTTTTGGAGACACGATTCTTCCTCCTCTTCCTCCTGAAGGCTTGGCTCTTGGCCGCTGCTGGAGTCTTCTCCATCAGTGGAGGCATTGCTGCTTTCTTGAGCTTGTTCTCCATGACCGGAGGTTGCCTTGGGATCCCGACGAGGACCTTTCCGCCCGCCCAGTTCCTACCGGACGCTGCCTTGGGATCTTGGCACTGACCTGGCTGCGGTGGCTGCAGGACGGTGCTGATCATGGGCAGGCGGATGACTGCTGAGCAGATGGTGTGGACTTCGAAGGGCTGTTCCTCACCCTCGGATGATGTCAAGGAGTCGGCAGAGGCCTCCTCCAGTTCCTCATCCTCCGTGTTGTTCCAGCTGCCATTGCTGCTTTGGTCTACAAACAGGCCCTCGGCCCTCTGCCCAGCAGGAAAGCAGCATGTCTGCAGAGGAAGGACAACCACGGCAGAGGAAGCTGCAACAGCGTGGGATGGCTCCGAGCTGCTACTGCTGCTGCCCCCGCTGCCACTGTTTGGGGGTATTCTGGAGGCAGCTTGGGGTTTGTTCCCAAACTCTGAGCCCTGTAGTCCAGACAGTTCCTTGGCTCTCTTCTGGATCTCCTGGAAGATCTTCCAGTAGAGAGCCACCATTATGATGACGGGGAGGTAGAAGGCCGCAATGGCCGTTCCGAAGGTGATGATCGGCACAGAGAAGAACTGGATGTAGCAGTCATCCTCAGGGACTGTCCGCTTGCCGACAAAGTTCTGCCAGAACAAGATGGCGGGTGCCCACAGGATAATGGAGATCAGCCAAGCCAAGGCTATCATAACAGCGGCCCTCTTGGGTGTCCGCTTGGCTCTGTAGGTGAGCGGGCGGGTGATGGAGAAGTAGCGGTCGAAGCTGATGACCAACAGGTTCATGACAGACGCGTTGCTGGCAACGTAGTCCAGGGCCAGCCACAAATCGCAGGCCACACTGCCCATCGCCCAACGCCCCATGACAATGTAGGTGGTGTACAAGTTCATGGAGATGGCTCCAATGATGAGGTCGGCACCAGCTAAGCTGAGCAAGAAGTAATTGTTGACGGTCTTCAGCTCCCGGTTGACCTTGAAAGAGACCATCACCAAAAGGTTCCCCACCACAGTGACAAAGGAGATGATCCCCGTCGTCAAAATGATCAAGACCACCTCCCAAAGAGAGTGCCCACCTTCTGACGAAGGCTTGGTGGGTTCCAGGGTGTCGTTTGGAGCTAGTGGGTTGCTTGAGATGTTCATGGTGTCACTGTGAAGTCTCTCCTGCCCACCATCTAGGAAAGGGTTCCAGGAAGACAGCCACATGGGTATGTGGAACAAGGTCCTTTTTTACTTCTGACGGCCACCTCAGATTAAAAGGAAGTGGCAGTTGCAGACTTTCCTTCAGCCCAAGGACTTCACCTGGAAGGAGAGGAATGGAGACAGAAGTAAGTAACATAGCCTGATGCCTGCAAAGCCTACATTGGTGGTCCCAGATAGATCCCCACTCCAACTCTGAGCCTTAAAAAAAAAAAAAAAGTCTCTAGTCCTCTTGGGAAAACAGTTGCGAAGCAAAATGTGCAGGTATCCTCATAAGTGAAATCTGTGAAATGAGACAACCTGCCTGTTCCACTTGTCAGACATTTTAGCCAATGAGTGAAGTCCGAACTATGCTTGATGCACTTCCTGTTTGGACACCAGGCAATATAAATCCCTGAACTCCTAAAGAGCTCCTGTTTCAACCTCCCCCTTCAATGCACTTTTCTGGCTTCTGGCTTCTTTTCTAAGTGGAAGCTCAACAGGTTAAGCCTTTTCTCATACAATTATGGGAAAAGCTTCACCGTGGTAGCTCAATCAGTAGAGCATGAGGCTCTTGACCTGGGGGGAGGGAGCACATTTTTCAGGGGGAAATCACACTGCGGAATTGTGCGAGATCGCAGCATCCAAAATGGCCACTATTCTCTCGTGATTAAAAAAGGATGTCCCGGTTTTTCCGGGACACTTGTGGGGTATGCATTTGTCTCAATTTGCCTGCACGGTGCTTACATGGAGGTTAGGCAATGCCCTGTCTTTACTGAACATTTGAAAGAACGTAAGAAGAGCCTGGCTGCTGGATCAGGCCAAAGCCCCATCTTGTCCAGCATCCTGTTCTCAGTTTCCAACCAGATGACTCTGGGAAGCTCACAAGCAGGACCTGAGCATAACAGAGAAATCTCCACTTGTGATTACGAGCAACTGGCACACAGCCTCCAATAACAGAGGTAGTGTATAGCCATTGTGGCTAATAGCCATTCATTCTGTTTGGCTTGTGACATGGATCATTCTTCTTGATTTGCTTGCAGGGCGTTTACACATCTTTCCGATCATTCGCTCATCCATCCATCCATCTCCCCATCACATTTCCAACTGCAAAAAGTCTGGTGTGTGTGTGTGTGTTTTAAGTAGGTTTGTTGCATCAAAGCACTTAAATGTACTTTAATTGTGCAAACCTTAAATTCCTCCTGCAAAACATTTATTAATTTTTACTTTCATAACAGTAAAAAGGCAGCATTACAATATCTAAGAATAAAACCTACAAGAAGCATCCACTGTTAAATGCCGATGAGATAAAAAGGAGAAAATTCATTTTGCAAAGGAGGCCTGCGTTGAAAAGGGTGCCGTTTCAGACCCTCCAAGTGTCCCTATTTTCCAGGAACAGTCCTGGATTTACAGAAGCTGTCCTGGTTTCTGATTTGATCCTGGAATGTCCCACTTTTCCTTGGGCATCCCTATTTTCATCAGGTAAATGTTGGAGAGTATGGAGTTATTGGACCCCCGAACCCAGGAGATAAGTAACTATACAGTACAACCTTTAGAAGACATCTGAAGCAACCCAGTCAGATGGGTGGGGTATAAATAATAAAATTGTTGTTGAATAGGATGTCCCTATTTTCATCAGAGAAATGTTGGAGGGTGTGCCATTCTCAGAAGGCATCTGAAGGAAGAAAGAGATGGTTTCTGCCAAATCGTCTACTGGCAGTGAGTTCCACAGGGCAAGGCTCACCACCCTAAGGCTCTGGACCCTTGCAAAGGTGAGCTGAACCTCAGGGGTATGGGGAAACCCCTAGAAATGCCCCAACTGAGGATCTCAAGGCTTGTGGTGGAGCATAAGGAATCAGGAAGGATTTTTAAGGTCTTTTGAGCCCCAGTTGTTTAGGCTTTGTGAATTAACCCAAGTACCTTGACCCATAGCAAATGGCGACCGTCTGCAGGTAATCTAAGAAAATAAATCTCGCATACCTGAAGGCCTGCCATGTGGGAGAAACAGCTGCTTTGGTCTACAGTGTCCTCAACTCAACCTTCTGTCCCTCCCTGGGCAGCTTGGAAGGTCTCCTTTGGTCTTTCTTCTCCTTCCTTTCTCCTTTCTCTTTCTCTCCCTCCTGCCCACCAAGGGGCAGCTGAGGGAGACGGCGGCAGTGGGGGGTTTCTTAAGCAGAAAGAGCCGGCCGTTGTTCTTTTCAAAACTGCTCCTTGTGGGGCTTCCCCCACTTCTTCTCTGTCTTCCCCTTGTGTCAATATTCCATAGTCACGAGTTCAAACAGAACCTCCTGGCACCACAGAGGCACCTTGGGAGAGAAGGAAGCTGAGGCCTGATTAAAAATAGGGAGGCTTGTGGCTCAGGGGCAGGACCTGCTGGGTAGGGAGGAGGTTCCAAGTTCAAGTTAAAAAAGAACTCGGGTAAGTGATAGAACAGGGGACGCGGGTGGCGCTGTGGGTTAAACCACAGAGCCTAGGACTTGCTGATCAGAAGGTTGGCGGTTCGAATCCCCACGACGGGGTGAGCTCCCGTTGCTCGGTCCCAGCTCCTGCCAACCTAGCAGTTCGAAAGCACGTCAAAGTGCAAGTAGATAAATAGGTACCGCTCCGGCGGGAAGGTAAACAGCGTTTCCGTGCGCTGCTCTGGTTCGCCAGAAGCGGCTTAGTCACACTGGCCACATGATCCGGAAGCTCCTTCGGCCAATAAAGCGAGATGAGCGCCGCAACCCCAGAGTCGTCCATGACTGGACTTAATGGTCAGGGGTCCCTTTACCTTTTTAAGTGATAGAACAGACTCTTCTGCCATTGAGATCTTGGTGGAACTGCTGCCATGCAATAGAACAGGAACAGGAAACCCTCAAGAATGGGGGGTAGCCCTCCACCCCTCTCCATCTGGTCCTAAGGATTCTCCCCAGGCTGCAGTCTCACTGGTCTTGCTTTGAACCCCCAGTGTTTGTGCCTGGCTGGAATGTGCCCTTAAAGATAATGCTTCTTGCTTGCATGGATGGAAGATGGAGAGAGGGGTGCAAGTGTGTGGAAACTAGCTTACTGCACAGAGGTAAAATGCAGATGTACTGCTCCACCCAGTTTTGCTTTGACACCCTGCACCCACCCTGCTGTGGTCCTAATCTGGATTACCCCAAGCATGCAGTGGAAAGTGTTGTTGCTGTTGTTACATTTTTATTCCATCTTTCCTCGAAGGAGCTCAAGGTGATGTACATGTTATCCTCACAACAACCTTGTGAGGAAGGTTAGGTGGAGAGAGAGGCAGTGACTGGCCCACAGTCACCCAGGCAGCAGGGTTACATGCCACCCCAATCTCCAAGCCGTGTGAAATCCCAGGGCTCACTCAGGGTTTGTCCCTTCCTCTCCAGGGTCCCCCCCCCCCATGAAATCTGAGACAGCGCCTGTGCGAAGCTAATTCCTCCTCTGCTCTCTTCATACCTTTCCTGGTTCTGGGAGACCAGCAGGGATGGGAGCTTGTCGCAGCAGGAGGGAGAGACTCCCGCGACTTCCCCAGCCTGACTCATCCCTGCCTCTTGGCTTCCCTCCTTGCTCTCGCCTGCTTCAGTTTCTGCTTCTGTTTCTTCTTCAGCTTCAGGCTCCTCCCTCTTCTCCCTCTGACCTCCCCTTGCCGTCCCACCAGCACTCCCCAGGCCCTGAGCCTTCTTCCCTTGAGGGTTCCCCAGCTGGTTCCCCTCCCACCATTCCTCTGCACCCAAGCAGTCCATGAGACATCCACATTTTTGCCATTTCCCCTAATATAACACACCGTTCTATGTCACCTTCACCAATGCATGCATTTCTGTGCCCATTGCTCTCCAATACAGTGGTACCTTGGGTTACATACGCTTCAGGTTACATACGCTTCAGGTTACAGACTCAGCTAACCCAGAAATAGTGCTTCAGGTTAAGAACTTTGCTTCAGGATGAGAACAGAAATAGTGCTCCGGCGGCGCGGCGGCAGCAGGAGGCCCCATTAGCTAAAGTGGTGCTTCAGGTTAAGAACAGTTTCAGGTTAAGAACGGACCTCTGTAACGAATTCAGTACTTAACCCGAGGTACCACTGTCATGCATTTTTGGTACACATTTTTTGCTTGCAGAACTGCATCACCAAATTTGAAGCAGTGCTGTCTTTGAAGGATTGCATGCCTTGTTTTGGGAAGGGCAAAGCAGGGAGGCTTCCTTTTCAACATGAACCAGACTGAAACCACCCCCCCGCCCCCAATTCTCTAGACCCAGGTGCCAGGCTTACGGCACCAGCCTGCTCCACCCTCGTATTTTTGGGCCGTGATTTTTCTTGCCTGTTCCACATGGTTTCTAGACCTCTACCAAGGCAGGGAGGAGAGGGGCTTGCCAAGTGAGGAGGCCAGGTGCGCGTGTCTTGCGGATCGGGCCAAGAGCGGAGCGTGGTCGAGAACGCTGCCTCTCTTAGGCATCCGTCCGTTGGCGGAAAATATTTACATTAGCTTTTGATGAATGGAGCTCTGGATGTCATCATGGAGGTGCTGATGGGGAAAGAGCTGCTCTTGCCACCCTCCTCCTCGGTCTGTACATCTCTGGGCGGCGAGGCTCAAGAGTGCGAGGCCATCTGGAATATCCTGTGCCTATGTAGGTGCTCCAAGCCAGAGGAGGCCTGCCTTCTATTTGTCAACAAGAGGCAATCTCTCGGGTGCCAGAATTGGGAGACGGAGGAACTTGACCCAGGGAGAGGGGGTAAAACATCAGCGTGTTCTCCTGCCCTCCTGCCCAAACATTAGTTCTCTGGGACATTAGAAGGACAAAATTAACCCTGACAAACAGGATCGATGCTCCAGGAAGTTTGGGAATTGTAGTACGACGCAGGCAGCGGAAACCTGCCCTAAGCTGCGACTGCTGTTGCAACTGGGAAAAGGAAACAGAAAGGCTGGAGAAGGGAAGACAGAGTTGAAAGGAGAATCAGGGGGCCTTTCCTGTGACTTGCCCAGCCAGGGCATAGCGTGGGTTGCCGGTGCCCAGGGCGGGGCAAGTGTTGTGCCTTTGTGATGAATTGGGCAGCAGCTCGTCCCCTTGCTGGCCATTGTCTAATTAAGGGAGTCTCTCCTTGCAAACTGGCCCCAGCCTGGGAGTAGAGATAATGCAGAGAAACACAGAGCCAGGAACATTTTTGTCCCCATCTTCCGGAGTTCTACATAATGGGCTCATCCACACTTGTCCCACAGTATCTAGGCATGGGTATGAGACGTTTTTCTTTTGCCCCGTGGCTCTCCCTCTGGGAAAGTCACTGTTTTCGTTTGTTTGTTTGTTTTTAATTTAGTTTTTATTAAAGACTTTTTTGTGATACAAAACAAACAAATAAACAAGGAAAAGTACATGTAGCGTCTCCACTTTCAGTTCATAGAATCTTTTCTCACAGTTCATTTACATTCGGTGTGAGACACTGGACTCAGCTACACAGCTGCAAATAAAACGTTTTAAGTTTGTTGTAAAGTACATTATACCAATGTGCCACTAGATGGCAATGGTAAGCTATGGCAAATTCAATATATATTTCAAAACTTTTATTAAAAAAGCATTTTCACAACTTTTTAATATGTGTCTAGATTCTGCCACTATTATCATAGACTTTTGGGGGCAGAAGAGGGGGCGAGGGAGGGAGGGGGAGGCAGGGAGGGAGGGCATTGTGGGGGGTGTTGATGACATTTTCATTCTATTGCATAGTGTTTGTGGCAGGGTTTTTGTGTCTACCACCCAGAGTGGCTGGGGAAACCCAGTCAGGTGGGCAGGGTACAAATAATAAAGTTCTTCTCATCATTATTACCGCTGAATTGGAACGACGCGAATCCGTAACAAACCTGATTGACTTTTGTTCCGATTCAGTGGTAAACAATGGGATTTCCTGGGGAAAGCTGTGGGACAAAAGGAAAAACCTCTTGGACCCATGCCTAGGAATCATGGAATCATGGATGAGCCTTGTGACTAAAGAACCAGCGGCATAGCTAGCCACTCGGGTGCCCAGTGTGGCGCACGCATCCTGCAGCCGGGGGTGGGGTGCGCTGCGTGGAGCCTCTCTGCCGCCTCCCCCTCAGCTGTAGGGCGGCTGAGAGAGAGGCGGTGGGCAAACACAAGCTCCACACTGCCGTTTCAGGCAGCGCCAAGCCTGCAGTCGCTCAAGCCACCACGTCACTCCCAGGAGAGACGCGTGGCTCGGGCATGCTGCAGGCCCCGTGGTAAGTGCCAGTCCCTGCGGTGTGGCGCCCAGTGCCAGCCGCATTTCATTGCATTTCTTGTCTGAACTTAAAAGTTCCGTGAGCCCATTTTATTATTATTATTTTTAAAAACTCATATTTTTGTCATTTTGTCACACCCCCCTCAGTGATGACACCTGGGGCGGCCCACACCCACTACACCCCCTTCCTCCGCCACTGTAGAGAACAAGAAGCTGAGAGAGAGTGCTACCCCCAGGATGGGTTGTAAGTTCAAAAGCGGGCAGGTAGGTGGCTGGGTGGGGGCTGGCTAAGGGTAGAGGGAGGTTTGTTGGGCAGCGAGCGCCCCTTTCGCCCTAATACAACAGCCTCAACTGGTGTGTGACTCACAATATCGGCGTGCATTTGTGGGAACGTTTTGCGTCTCACTTTCTTGAACCCTCTGGAATCTGCCAAAGCGTGTTCTTACTCACACTGTGTTTATGGAATAAAATCGCAGAGTGACACCTCTGCGCTGCCTGCCTTCCTCTCTTTCTCTGCCGCTGCTGTAAGTCAGCGTGCTGTTCTATTTTGGGGTTTGGTGCATGGAAAGGGCGGTGCGTTGCATGGATGCTCATGGGAGAGCGGGGAATGTGGCACCCGATTGGCTGTGGCCAGAGGTGGTGGCATTCCACAGCTCCACGGGCAGGGCGCTAATCATTACTTTCAGTGTCACAAAGGTTCGTAATGTACATGGAAGCTGTGTGAAGTATTGCTCCAGGACAGTTCCAACAGTTTCTATTTTCAGGTGCGATTCAGTCACAAATTCCAGTTAGCGCAGGTTGTGCAATGATTCAAGTTGGCTTGGAGGTCTTGCGCAACAAACCAGCATGCCCTCCAACATTTCTCTGGTGAAAATCGGGACGTCCTAAGGAAAACATTCTGGAATCAAATCAGAAACCAGGATGGCTTCTGTAAATTCGGGACTGTTGCTGGAAAATAGGGAGGGTCTGAGCTACATCCCATTGGACATTTTGTGATAAGGGGAATGTATACCCTCCAACATCTCTCTGATGAAAATAGGGATGTCCTATTCAATGATGATGATGATGATGATGATGATGATGATGATGCTCATGCTCCACACAGCCACTCTGGGCAGCTTCCAACATATATAAAAACATAATAAAACAGTAAACTTTTTTTTAAAAATCCCTATATAGGACTACCCTCAGATGTCTTATATAGGTTGCATAGTTACTTATCTCCTTGGCTCAGGAGTTGCATAACTCCATACCCTCCAACATTTATCTGATGAAAATAGGGTTGCCCTAAGGAAAATGGGGACATTCCAGGATCAACTCAGAAACCGGGACACTTGGAGGGTCTGGAATGGCACTGTTTTCAACTTAGGCCTCCTTTGCAATATGAATTTTCTTTTTTTAGCTCATCGGCATTTAACAACGCTTTGTGGATGCTTCTCGCTGGTTTTATTCTTAGACATTGTAATGCTGCCTTGAAATGTTTTTACGAAAGTAAAAATTAATAAATGTTTTTGCAGGAGGAATTTAAGGTTTGTACAATTAAAGTACATCAAAGCGTCAGGAATACACACGGGAAAGTGTGGGATAAATGATGGCTTGATGCAACCTCACCTGACCTCTCTGCAAAAATGCTCAGTAAATAGCCGATGATGTCTAGCCACCCCACAGGCATTGCCTGCAAACAAATTAGGAGGAATGCTCAATAAACAGGTCACCTGACGTGACCTACGTCTGAGCACGAGCAGAAAGGCTTTGCCGTAAAGAGGAGTGGAGAAATTTGGTTCGTCTTTATTTTTGCAGGTGGATGACATAAATTGCTCCCTCCGGCACCAAGTAACAAAAAGCTCCATGTCGAGACACAGTGTGGTGTAGTGGTTAGAGGGTTGGACTATGACCTGGGAGACTCAGATTCAAACACCTGCTTTGCCATGAAGCTCACTAGGTCAAGCACCTGTCTCTCAGCTTCACCTTAGTTGTAAGGATAAATGGGGAAGGGGGGAGAATAATCTCTGCCATATTGAGCTCCTTGGGGGAATGGTGGGATGCAAATAAACCCTTAAAAAGGTAAAGGTAAAGGACCCCTGACAGTTAAGTCCAGTCACAGACGACTCTGGGGTTGCGGTGCTCATCTCGCTTTACAGGCCAAAGGAGCCGGCAGGTTTTCCAGGTCATGTGGCCAGCAGGACTAAGCCGCTTCTGGCGCAATGGAACACTGAAACCAGAGCAGCGCATGGACATGCCGTTTACCTTCTTGCCAGAGCGGTACCTATTTATCTACTTGCACTTTTGGGTGTGCTTTCGAACTGCTAAGTTGGCAGGAGCTGGGACCGAGCAACAGGAGCTCACCCTGTTGTGGGGATTCGACCCACCGACCTTCTGATCGGCAAACCCAAGAGGCTCAGTGGTTTAGACCACAGCGCCACCCGCATCCCTTAGCGTGACCTTAACTCCCGTCCTGTTCTTGCAGTGGATGAATGAACTTGAACTGTTTGTTTGCGTTTTGTAATTTTGACTATAGTATCAATAAACACGATCTGTTCTGTGCACATTGATGTTCAAAGGTTGTTGCTGTCTCAGCCTAACGTACCTTGCAGGGTCGTTGTGAGGGTAGGATGTGAAGGGGGAGAACCATGTCTGCCACTTTGGAGGAAAGGTGGGCTTATCAAGTACAAATGTCCAGTTTCATAGCCTGCATCTGACTTTCCAAAAGCACCAGCCTGGCTGCAGTTAGAAACGAGATAGATCTAGGATCTGATGCATTACATAATGGTGTCTTTTATATCTGCAGACGCATCCATTCTCAATTGATGCCCAGAGTCGGGGACCGTCTGCCTGCTTACCCTTATTTAATTTCTCTCCTTCTAAAAGCCTTAATTTGAAACAGAAGGCAGTTGTTTACAACCTTGCCAGGGGTCCAGCAAGGCCCCTGAAGGGAATCTAACACAGGGACATAGGGAGAGCCTGGCTGCTTCTGCTGGACCACACCAAAGGCCCGTCTAGTTCAGCATCCTTTCCTCACTGTGTGGCCAAGCAGACGCTCCAACGGGAAGCTGGGAAGCAAAGCCAGTGGTCAAGGGTAGGGTAGGAGCAATGACAAACCTAGAGAGCATCTTAAAAAGTGGAGACATCACCTTGCCAACAAAGGTCTGTATATTAAAAGCTATGGTTTTCCCAGTAGTGATGTATGGAAGTGAAAGCTGGACCATAAAGAAGGCTGATTGCCAAAGAATTGATGCTTTTGAATTATGGTGCTGGAGGAGACTCTTGAGAGTCCCATGGACTACAAGAAGATCAAACCTCTCCATTCTTAAGGAAATCAGCCCTGAGTGCTCACTGGAAGGACAGATCGTGAAGCTGAGGCTCCAATACTTTGGCCACCTCATGAGAAGAGAAGACTCCCTGGAAAAGACCCTGATGTTGGGAAAGATCACAAGGAGAAGGGGACGACAGAGGATGAGATGGCTGGATAGTGTACTCGAAGCTACAAACATGAGTCTCACCAAACTGCGGGAGGCAGTGGAAGACAGAAGTGTCTGGCGTGCTCTGGTCCATGGGGTCATGAAGAGTCGGACACGACTAAATGACTAAACAACAACAACAAGGGTAGGAGTGCCTTGTTTCTAGAAGGAAAATTCAGGACACAAAAGTTGTTAAGCTTTTTTTGGGGGGGGGGGAATGAAAAATCGCACTAAAATGCTGATGGAATTTCATGAAGACTTAAAAACAAAAGATCAGAAACTGATGTAAAATAGTGGAGAAGTGAAATTAAGGCTGGAAAATTGAGAACCAGGAAAATCAAGTTGGACAGATTCACCTGCCCCTTGCGTGGGGTGGGGTGTCTTGACTTTTCCCACTTTTTTTTGCTGTGGGAAAGAGAAACCAGATCTTCCAAAAGCTATGTGAAGAGAATAAAACGTAGCACATGTGCATTGCAAAGCTTGCAGGAAACTATTGAGGCTGCCTTTGCTGGCAGGTGGTTAATGTTACTGCTGGGGGCGGGGGGTGGACTGGGGAAGTGAGCCCCCACTCAGCTCTCTCCAGAGAAGTGGAACATTTGTCTCATATCTTCCCCATATAAGCTCTCCCCGTCTGCTTAAGCCACGTGCTTGCAATTCCACAGAACTTGCGAGAGCTTCTAAACACTGAAGTGTTTAGAACTTTTCATTTGAGCGTGCAGGATTGAACCCCTGAACCTCTTTCCAGTGCCATGGCTTGGCCCAGAAAGACATTTGATTTGACTGATTATCTGTACACTGCTCCCCCAACAACAACACCACGCTCAAAGCAGCTCCAGATAATTACAAAGCACTGAAAATTAGCAAGCAACATTTCTATTACAGTAACTGTACTGAGCACAATAGCACAGAATTAAAGTGATGAGGGTGGCGCTGTGGTCTAAACCACTGAGCCTCTTGGGCTTGCCGATTGGAAGGTTGGTGGTTCGAATTCCTGTGACAGGGTGAGCTCTCTTTGCTCAGTCCCAGCTCCTGCCAACCTAGCAATTCGAAAGCACACCAGTGCAAGTAGATAAATAGGTACTGCTCCGGTAGGAAGGTAAACGGCGTGTCCGTGCGCTGCTCTGGTTTCGCCAGAAGCAGCTTAGTCATGCTGGTCACATGACCTGGAAAAACTGTCTGTGGACAAACGTCGGCTCCCTCGGCCAATAAAGTGAGATGAGCGCTGCAACCCCAGAGTCATTTGCGACTGGACTTAACTGTCAGGGGTCCTTTACCTTTACCTTTTAAAGTGTTTCAGTTAACATGGTTATATGCATTTTCAGAAAATGAAAACTCAATGCTCTCTCGCAAGCAGCAGCACATCGTTACAGAAAGTAATGGTGACAGTGCCTCTGAGCATATAGTCACCTTGCTCTGGGGAGAGGGGGGATCCCATGCTTCTCTGTTCTGAGAATCCTTTACATTATAATGACAGTTGCACCCCACTTTTCCTTCTTGGACCGCAAGGGGGCACACATGGTTCTCTTCCCCTCTCCCAATTTTATCCTCACAACAGACCTGAAAGGTAGGCTTAGGCTGAGAGATACTGGCAGGTCCAAGGTCCCCCGTGGTCTCCCAGGTCTCAGGCCAGGGATGCTGAGTTGCGCCCAACATTGGAGGGGCCCGTTGCGCATGCATGACGCCACACATACGATGTCCCCCAACCCTTCTTGAGCAGGGGGCGGTGGTTCCCCTTAACCTGGAAAAGGTGAGGCACACATAAAACAGTCTCTCGGTACTAATTCTGGCTTCTCTGTTCAAATGAGAACAGCACTGCTTTCTCGTTCCAAGCAAAACCAATTTGTTTGGAAGTAAATTCTTCTGAAATAAATTGGAAATGCTTGTGAGTTAGCACGGTTAACAAACAGGCTTTCTCTTGCCCGTGGTAGCCCACAACTGTTTCTTTTCTGCCATCTGACCTACGCTTGGGATGCAAACCTTCCCCTTACAACCTCCAAGGGCACAGGATGGGCAGGAAGCATTTGTGTGTGTCTGTTGAGGAAATTCTTTCTGTTATTAAACGGCAAGCAAAATTCTTTCCCACAATTTTCCATTTGATGGGTGAATGTCTCAGTTTTGGTTTCCCTCCACATTTCCACGGCGGTTTGTGAATGTTGTTTTCAAAGGGCTTGTGAAAATTCAATTTAGGATGAATTTCTCCTGCTATGCACATTTTTTTTGGTATATGCAATTTTGCCCATTGTACACATTTTTCACAAAGCAATTTCCTCTAATATAGTGCAATTTTTCTGCATGCTAATTTTTGGCTTGCATAGACACACATTTTACCCCAGCGCCTCTATTTTGGTACATGTCACTTGGCCCGAGAACTGCATTGCCATATTCTGAGAACCGTCAAAGTTCGCTGGGTTTGGGTTCATGAAAGTGTGACTGAGGTAGGCTTGCCTTCAAATGCGAACAGAATCAAATTTGTCTTTCATTTCTAGGTGAAATGTGTTTATTTCTAATGAGCATCTAGTCTATATTAAATCTAACGCTACGTTCTAGAGAGGCAGCTGTGCTAGCCTATTCAGACAAACAAACACAGAAAGGGCCTTGTGGCACTATAAAACTAGACTTTTTATTGCGGCCGAAAGCTTTATGCCACAAAATAACTGTGGATGTTTAGGTCTACAATCCACCGACCATCAGTGATTTGACACAGACAGATAATATCAAAAGAACTCAAAGGGTAATGAGGCTGGTTTTTAGGCCTGAGAGTCACTGTCCTGGGTCAATTCGCCAGGATTTGTCCCCTTACATTGAACAAAAGCATTTCCCAGGCGGTCAACAGTTTTGGTAGGATTCAGCCACATGCTAGCAAATTCAGGTTGCGCAATTCAGGCTGATTTGGAGCATTTGCACAACAAACTCCCCGCCCCCCCCCCCCCGCAACTCCCCCCAGACTTCTTTTTATAAGGAAAACGATAGGCAATGCACAATAAATTGTGGGATAGCCGTTGCTTTGATGCTACGCCATCTAACATGCCCACAAACAAATCAGAACAAGTGCTAGATAAATTGCCACGGTTGTCTTAGCCTCCCCGCAAACTTTGTGCAAACAAGGCAGGATAAATGCTCATGAAAACAGATTGTCTGGAAATGGCTTCAGCTGTGCCTTAGATCGTGTCGATCTCTAAAGGCTACAAGGCAGTTGACATGAATGCCTCACTTACCTTCCTGAGTCCTGACTCAGATTCTCGGATCATAGCCCATCCAGGTGAGATGCCTGCTGGCCTCTCTAGTTCCTTTGAGACCCACTGAAGACTTGCCTGGTCTCTAGCCGAGGGCTTTTGCTCTTTCTGGGAAGTCTGGTAGTGGGAGCAAACAGCAGACTGGAAGAAGAAGGGAAAAACACCCACCCAGCACTCCAATAAACCATCCTCCTCTCCTTCGCTCCCTCTGCTGGATACGAGACCAAGAGTGAGACTCCTGGCTTTGTGGGAGGATTTTAGAAGGTTGTTATGGAATTGACAAATACGAAATGGATTAGTAGCATAGGAAGTTGCCTTCAGCTGAGTCAGCCCATCTAGCTCCATATTGTCTGCACTGACTGGCAGCAGATCTCATCAGGGTTTCAGGCAGAGAAGCTGATCCTAACCCTACCTGGAGATGCTGGGGTTGAACCTGGGGCATCCAGCATTTAAGCACCACTGCTGGCCTATGGCACTTCCCAGCTTTTTTTAAAAAATCCTTACTGTAAAAAAACAGAAAACCACAAATATACCTCTGCTTTGGTAACTGGAAGCAGAAATGCTGACTTTTGTTTAGAAGGCTGGGTGTGAGAAGGGTTGTAGCCATGGGCTTAGTGTATTTTTATTTATTTACTTTATTTGGGGGGCAGCTGCCCCCCTGCCCCTGGCTACACCCATGGTTGCAGCCTTGCGGTTGAGCATCAGTCGGAACTGGGACGTGGGTGGCGCTGTGGGTTAAACCACAGAGCCCAGGGCTTGCCGATCAGAAGGTTGGCGGTTCGAATCCCCACGACGGGGTGAGCTCCTGTTGCTCGGTCCCAGCTCCTGCCCACCTAGCAGTTCGAAAGCACGTCCAAGTGCAAGTAGATAAATAGGTACTGCTCCGGCAGGAAGGTAAATGGGGTTTCCATGCACTGCTCTGGTTCGCCAGTAGTGGCTTAGTCCTGCTGGCCACATGACCCGGAAGCTGTATGCCGGCTCCCTCGGCCAAGAAAGCGAGATGAGCCGCAACCCCAGAGCCGGCCACGACTGGACCTAATGATCAGGGGTCCCTTTACCTTTATCAGTCGGAACTGACACCGATGCTAACTTGAAGAACTAGACCTTGAAGAAATTGTGCTTGAGCTTGCTTTTCATAGAATCATAGAATTGTAGAGTTGGAAGGGACCCTGACAATTGTCTATAATAATAATTTATTTATACCCCGCCCCAGCCACTCTGGGCGGCTTCCAACAGAACACTAAAATACAATCTAGTCCAACCCTGAGCAATGCACAAATATGCAGCTGTCCCATACTGGGATCGAACCTGCAACCCTGGTGTCATGAGCACCACACTCTAACCAGCCCATTCCTTTCCCTTCAAGTGCCATGTTTATTTTTAGCTGTGAACAGTCTTAATGCTATCCCCCCGCCCCGCAAGCCTCTCTGAGAGCCTTTGGCTAAAGGGGCTATTGATTTAAATAAATTAAATAAATATGGTTAGGCCTTAGTAGGAATCATTACAGTCAAACCTCGGTTGTTGAATGCAATCCGTTCTGGAAGACTTTAGACTTCCGAAATGTTCGACACCCGAGGCACGGCTTCTGATTGGTTGCAAAAGCTTCTTGCACTCAAGCGGAAGCTCGGATGTTCAGCTTCTGAAAAACGTTCAGAATCCGGAGCATTTACTTCTGGGTTTTCCGTGTTCGGGAACTGAAACGTTCCGTGTTCGGGAACTGAAACGTATGATAATGGAGGCGTTTGGGAACCGAGGTATCAGATTGCTTCATCTTATTAATAGGAGGTGTTTGTTCAGTCTAGTGATATTTGTCTGGCTATTTACTTTTTGCTACGTTTTGTAACTGCTGGCGTGTTATCCTGGAATGTTGCTGCCTGACATTTTATGGTGCAGAATTTATCTGATGTTGTGAGCTGCTTTGAGCATAGCTTGCCACGGAGAAGCAGCATTCAATTAAAATGATGCTTCTGGTGAATTCCTTGTAAACTAATATGCCTGCCTTGGTCTAAGCTAGTCTTCCCCCTATGTCATACCTTCCAGTTGTACTGGGCCTGATGGGAATTGTAGTCCAAAATATCTGGAGAGCACCAGGTCAGCACAAGCCAGGATATGCTGAACAGGTGCAACAGAATATGTGACTTGTCCATTCTTTAACAGTTGTGTCAGTGGAAATTTCAGCCCATGTTAGTTGCACTTCCTAAAACAGTACACAAACCAAAACTCTGCAGGTTTCATGATGCAGTTCTCCATCCAAAGACTGTGTACAAAAATATTTAGTTTTGTTTTTAAAGAAATGCTATTAAAGAAACAAATACAGGTAAGGCTGGAACAATGGGAAACTGAGAGAAACCAAAATTGGCAGACATCAGTAATGTGCCGAATTGAACTAAAAACTGGGAAAATAAGAAACTGAGTGAAACTGAAATGGACATATCTGTCTATTCCTGAGGACAAATAGATCTGGCTTCAGCTTCTTTGGGGAAGACCTTAGCTTGGCAAAGCAAACCATGGTGCCCTGTGCATCTCTAATCTTCCAAATCATGGTTAGCTTAAGCGTACGGTGAGGTGTAGCATCGGTGACACTGAGACAGAGAATCAACAATAAAAAGTTAGGTGAGTGGATCTGCAGGCCAGAAGCCCATTTCCATAGTCACTGTACAAAGCAGAGCAGACAGGAAACAGCTGTGAGATTTAAAATATCTCTCCTTTGTACAGAGTAGTGCTGTATGTGGGAACTCGCTGGAACACGGGCCTAGATTAATGGGGTGAGCTTGCCATAGAACACAGCTGGGCCTTTCATGGGGAGAAAAAGGTCTTAGCCGTAGAGAAGGGCTGCAGAAAACAGCGGAGATGAGAGTGTTTTATTTTCTCCTACATTTCTTTGCTCATTTCCCATTGGCAGGGCCTGTGTGCTCTATTCATATCCAGGAGCCTGGCTGGATGGAACCCCCAATTTGGCAGGCAGAAAAGCTCCGCTTTCTTTTATTTTCACCAAAGCAATTTTTCCTGGCCTTTCTGCCTTTGTAGAAAGTTATTGGTGGAAGAGAGAAGGGAGTTTTAAGGTTTGATTTCTCATGGTTAGGAATGGGGGGCGGGGGGGCGCGGCAGCAGCTTGATTTTGCTTGCATTTTAATGAGGAACTATGCAATTCACACATTTCTGACCTGAAAGCACAACTATACTTCAAATTCCACACGTCTCTGATTTTTGCAACACACTTAAGAGCCAGCGTGGTGTAGTGGTTAAGAGCAGTGGACTCGTAATCTGGTGAACCGGGTACGCTTCCCTGCTCCTCCACATGCAGCTGCTGGGTGACCTTGGGCTAGTCACACTTCTCTGAAGTCTCTCAGCCCCACTCACCTCACAGAGTGTTTGTTGTGGGGGAGGAAGGGAAAGGAGAATGTTAGCCGCTTTGAGACTCCTCAAAGGGAGTGAAAGGCGGGATATCAAATCCAAACTCTCTCTCTTTCTCCAACCCAACCATGTGTGCAAAAATGCACATATTAGGGGGACTGTGTGCATTAAAAAATGCACACAAGGGTGAAAAATCACACCCAAAAAGGTATTACGTTAGGAGAAGATTGCTTGGGATAGAAGTGCATATTAGTCAAAACTTCACACAGAAACATTATCGGGAGAAATTTGCACCAAAATACTGACGAATCTTCATGAGCATTAAAAACAAAAATTGCAAATCACTGCAGCAATGTGAAGAACAGAATGTGAGATGGGGGGGACGGGGAATGAGATACTGAGAAAAACTGAAATTGATTGATCCATCCATTCCCTACTCATGGTCCAGAGTAAAATATCTGAATGTTGCAGCACTTCCAGGCTCCTCTGTGGCTGAGAGATTTAGCCAATGGTTGGTGGAGACGTTTGAGAATGTAGTTTGGTCTTCATTTTTCAGCAAACCAGCCTGATTATTGGGCTACTAGATTGGACTAGCCCAGTAGTCCAATAGTAGTCTTCAGCTCCCTCCAGCCCCAGCATTGCCAGTGTGGTGTAGTGGTTTAGAGCGGTGGACTCGTAATCTGGTGAACTGGGTTCGCTTCCCCGCTCTTCCATATGCAGCTGCTGGGTGACCTTGGGCCAGTCACACTTCTCTGAAGTCTCTTAGCTTCACTCACCTCATAGAGTATTTGTTGTTGGGGAGGAAGGGAAAGGAGAATGTTAGCCGCTTTGAGACTCCTTAAGGGGAGTGAAAGGCGGGATATCAAATCCAAACTCCTCCTCCTCCTCCTCTTCTTCTTCTTCTTCTTCTTCTTCTTCTTGCCAATGTTCAGGGGTGATGGGAGTTGTAGAGTCTTAGAATTGTAGATTTGGGAGAGACCCAAAGGATCAGCTGGTTCAACCCCCTGCAATGCAGAAATCACTGCTAGCCCTGAATCTCCCAACATTCAGTGGCACCAAATGATCCAGCTGTGGTTTAGTATTATCAGGATGTGAGGAAACTGGTGGTTGTAGTCCAACAACAAGTGGAGGTCACAGGTTAAGAAGGTAAGCATAGCCCACAACTGTTTCTGTTCATTGCCACTTAGGAATTAGTAACGAATGTCCACTGTGGGGAGCTGGATGCTGACGGCCTGGCAGTTTTTATGCATCTGTGTTCCCTGGTAGGAAGGATGGTGGCAGAGGTCCCGAGTGGCACTGCCCAACCCCCTCTGGGTCCTGAGATATGCCCAACCCTGCCCACTGCTGGTGCCAGCTTTGAGATTAAAAAAAAATGTTTTAAAGTGGCTGCCCAGTTAAACTGCATGCCCTTTTAATCTCTGAACAGGTTTCCTTTGGTTCTGCTCATTAATTGACTCAAATTTACAGCTCTGGAAATTAAGGTCTTGCCCCTACACCGCAAGCTTCAATCCCTTGCCTTCCCCCTTCAAGCTTGCAGGTTTGTTGAGACAGCTTAGAGTTTTCTGTTCACTGACCTTGACCACCTTTGCAGGACTACAAGTCAGCAAAGTTTGTGATGTTGTCATGACCATCACCTGTTTGACCAGCCCCTGTACGCAACAGAGCAGGTGGAAGCCCTGATCCCTCAAACTGTGCATGGAGGTGGCATGCCTTCACAGAGAAATGACAAAAAAGGACACCAAATAACATCTCTGTTTCCCCTGGGTCACTTTTGTGAGCACCAAGCATTGGCCCCAGGTACTTGAACTCCCTGCCTTCATAGCGGGGCTAGGAACTTGCTGCTTTTCTGTTTAAAACAAAAGCCAAGAGCCCATGGGCGTCTTTGAACCTACTACAAAAAAAGGCTCTGCTCATCTGTCTTGCTCAGCCATGCACAACTTGTACTATAGAGCAGTCATTCAGTACCTTGCGGAGAGTAAAGACCCAGCTAAGGTCATTGATGGCAGGGGAGATGTGCTTTCTGAGCATGCACAGAAAAACTGCATTGGAAAAAAGGAATTTCAGAAGGAAGTGCTGAAAAGGTTTTCAGCAAATCCAAGAAAACTTGTTCTAGTTTAATTAAACAAACAAACAAAAGATGAAAAAAGGCATGTTCTTTGTAATTTTCCAAAATATACTTGACAACAACATGAAAGCTACTCCCTGATGTTAATTTTTTTATTTAGCTTCCCAGTTTTCAAATGACTGAATATTTTTACAGATTTTTTTCTGAGCACTTGGGGTGAAAATAAAGAAATTTAAAACAACTGTTGTTGAGACGTTTCATTCCGAATCTGCTAGACAGAGCCAGAGAGGGTGATGACAGGTGGGTGTCCTGACCCCCTAACATAAATGCTGGCTGTGCCCATGCAAGAACACCTGGAATTTTGCACCCCAAATGCCGGTTTCTGCATCGTTTTGCCACAAGCAAAAAGGCTCGGCCTGATCTTCTGCCTGTGCCCAGAGAGAGATGTGCTGCAATTGATTCTTTGTTTTATTTGGTCCATTCGTGTCAATTTCTGATGCTCCCTCGTCCCTCCTCCCTCCCTCCAGAGGATGCTCAAGGCATGGCGATTCCCAGCAGATGGCCAGCGGCTTCCTCTGCCCCCGTCTTAGCACAGTCCAGGTTCCTGGGGCATCTCCTGGCCCACCTTCTGCAGCAAAACCTGCTCATGGTCCTTGGTAGGGAGATGTTGCTCTGGCACCTGTCTGTTGGGGGATAAAAAGGCAAGACATTGTCAGAGCATCTCAAGGTAGCTGCAGACTGCAGGGGCCATAGATTTGGACCAGGATCTCCTGCTCCTCCCCACCCCCTCCCTTTCAACTCAATTTTATTTTTGTTTTACTTTCCTTACATGGCAGCTTTCCCTCTGAAAGTCAGCCTTCATTTGCATCATTCCACATAAATGAGCAAATGTGAATTTTCTGCAAAGTTGTGTCAAATGGGTCTGAAGCCAGAATCAAACGGGCTGTGTTTGCCCTTTTTCATGCCGCTTCCGGGTATGTGGCGATGCGTGCTGTCATGGTCACACATGCCTTGACCATGCATAAATGGGGAGTTGCCTGTGTTAGTTTGCATTTCTTAGTGCAGAAAGTATTGATCTGATGCGTGGAGATCTTTCCTATTCTGGTTAATACAAGAGGATTCTAGAAGCTACTAGAAGCTTCTCTGTGTGAGAGAAACAGGCAGAAGGGTCATGATTGTTTGGGTTATACCTTCTGGGAAGCTGGTTTGAACTGGTTCTCTTATGTCTTTCAATTAAGGTCATGCTGACTATAAATACAGGCCAGAAGGAGCCTGGGCTTTACTTTATCTTTCTCTCTTCCTTCTGGTGTGGTGTTCTGTACATAGTATGCTTAGTGTTAAGTTTCAGTTGTGTTATAAGTTTTTGTAAGTGCTGCAACTGAGTTTCTTGTTGACAGTGCCAATCCTGAATGTACTGGATTAGTGACCATTACACTGCCTTCAGTAGCAGTAAAGCTCTGCTGGATGAAATACAATTGCCGCTGATCTATTTTTTTGAATCTCTGCAATGTGTGAAGGTTTTCCTCCACACGTATGACAGCCTGTGCATGGCATGGTTTATTCCCTTCTGTAAGCCGCTTGGAGGCGTATAAAGAAATTTCTTTAACAAAATTCAAATGTATTAGGAAATGTCCAATTTGGAAGAAAGTATACATTTAGAAATGCATAAAATTTTGTGAGGAAACAGGCTCAAAAACATGCATTTATAAATACAAATTGTGCTTTTCATTATTATTATTTTTAAATGGCAGAGAAATGCGAAGATGGGATGTGCTGTGGACTCATGAATGGAGACTTGCGAAAGTTTCCTGACCCCTGGCCATGCCTTTCCAGGAGGCCACAAACAGGGACTCACCCACTCTCAACTTCTTCGATGGTATCTGAGAGCGGCCTGTTGCGTGTCTCTGGCAGGAAGAAAGCGGCAATCCCAGACAGAATTGGGGCTGTCCCGTATATGAGAGGTGGGAGGTATGGAAAATATTCCCCGGTCATTTTTACCATCGGCGCCACTATGCCCCCCACACGTGCCAGGGTGCTTCCTAGCCCCATCCCGGTCTGTCTGCAAGTGTAGAAAACAACCTTTAAAGGAGAAACCATAAAATGGTAAAAAACAAAAGGTTGCTTTATCTTGGTTCTTTAAACAAGTAAACAAATCAGAAAAAGGGAACCAAGATCTGGGTGTCTTTTTTTTTGGGGGGGGGGATATTTTTTGTGGGACTTGATTATTCAGAGAAGCTGCTTTGGGGACTGAGCCACAAGTTGCTTGGCACTGCTTCTTTGGGCTGAATGTCTGAACAGGCACCAATGAGCATTAAAGGCTGTAATTTAGCAGAAGAACATCTGCTTTGTATGCCAAAGGTCTCAGGTTCAATCCTTGACATCTCCAAGGAGCGTTAGGAAAGAGAGAGAGAGACCCCTACCTGAGCAGCTTTTCTCAACCTGTGGGTCCCCAGCATAGCTGTCAACTTTTCCCTTTTCTTGTGAGGAATCCTATTAGGAATAAGGGAATTTCCCTTTAAAAAAGGGAAAAGTTAACAGCTATGATCCCCAGATGTTGTTGAACTACAACTCCCATCACCCCTGGCTAGCAAAGCCAGAGCTCAAGGGATGATGGGAGTTGTAGTCCAACAACATCTGGGGACCCACAGGTTGAGAACCGCTGCCCTAGAGAGATATTTCTGGTCAGCATAAGGTGATACTGAGCTAGCTGGACCAATAGGCAGCGGCGTAGCATGGGGGGCACAGGGGGCGGTTGCCCCAGGCACAAAATTGTTAGGGGTGTAAAATGTCAACACCCGGTGCTGCCTCAAAAAAGCTGCATGCTGCGGTTGCTGGGCTTTGTTGAAAACAGCTTCTCCATGCAAACCAGGAGGTGACCTCTCCAGACAATGGAGCAACTCTTCTTTTCTTTTCTTGGCAGCTATGATCCCCTGGGTGATGTGGATCGCAAGCATAGTTCATCTGTTTCCCTCCCTTCCATCCACCCCTTTGGTGTGGCCCTGATCGCTGGCAACCCACGCTACACCACTGCCAATAAGTTGTGCCATTTTAGGGGGTGTGAAGCTTAATTTTTGGAAATTTCTTCAGTGAGGGGCCTTAGAAATATGTTTTTGGGTGTGAAGAAGTCAAATCTGCTATGATTTTTGTGGTTGGACATTTAGTCCCTATGGGACTAACTCACTGTAAGACAGCCTTCTGTGCTCCTAAGTCATATGAGACAGCATTAAGTGAATGTTTGTGGTCTTTGATATCTCTGATCTCTCTTTTTCACATGCAAATAGGGGCATCCAAGTAACAAGCATAATCTTAATGAGCTTTGCTACTGACCAGGCAATTATTTCTGTGACATGTTGGGTAAAAGAGATATCATACTCTAGCGATAAGAAGCCCACCGGCTCCAATTTTTCTCAAATGTTGCCAGTTGTTCCATATAATCTAAAGGGGAGGTGACAGTCCGAGGTGCAGACTTACCTGATCACGGTTGGGTAGAGCTCGCCTGTGTAGAGATAGAGGCAATTAAAGGATGAAGCTAAGCATCCTTTTCCAAGCACTGCCAGGGAGGTCCTCAAGGTGTATAGATCTTGTGTGGAAAAGAGAGTCAGGAGACACATATGGGGTTATGGTGAGTTTTCCATCCCTTACACCTTGATGGTTATTTTATTTTTCCTAGCCACCAACAAGTCCAGGGAACTGCGGGAGGATCTGCAGCTAAATCACAGAAAGCATGGTGGCTAGATAGTCACCAACAGGGGACTCTACAATGTCATAGCCTCTAGACATTTGTTGTGGGAAGGAGAACAACAGAAAATGCAATTTATACTTCTTCCTGTCACTACACATTCTTTTTCTACTCTCAGATAATTCTATATTGGTTTGCAGCCTTAGGCTGAGATCCCGGGCTCACTTATCTGGGAATAAGTCCCATTGAATATAGTGGGAATTTTGAGTAAACATGCATAGGACTGCGCTGTGAATTCTGCTGATTTGAAATTATTTCTGAGTTGCTGAAACTCTCTAGATTAACACCCATTCTTTCATTGTACAGTGGTACCTCGGGTTACATACGCTTCAGGTTACACACTCCGCTAACCCAGAAATAGTGCTTCAGGTTAAGAACTTTGCTTCAGGATAAGAACAGAAATCGGGCTCCAGCGGCGCACCAGCAGCAGGAGGCCCCATTAGCTAAAGTGGTGCTTCAGGTTAAGAACAGTTTCAGGTTAAGAACGGACCTCCGGAATGAATTAAGTACTTAACCCAAGGTACCACTGTATACTGTGTTAGTTTTATGATGTTAGCCGCCCTGAGCCCGGCTCCGGCCAGGGTGGGCGGGGTACAAATAAAGATTTATTTATTATTTATTATTTTTCCTACCTGCAATGTGGGAAGACATTTCTTTGCTGTCCTCCAGAGAGCAATCTCCATTTTGAACTGGACTATTGACATTTTTAACATTTAAGGATTATTGCCTGCCTATTTTTTATCATGGCATCTCTTGAATCCTGCCAAGACTTCAATGTGAGTAAACCTCACATTTTAAGTATTCCAGAAAGCTCTCCCATCCAATTGTTCCCATCAAGGAAGCACCTACCAGAGTCATTCTGATGGATTAACCAACAAGCAACCCTAACAAAGGAAAGCTATCCGGTGACTGTAGCAATATAAAAGAGGAGAGGGGATTTACCAACTAAGTGCCATCGGCCGCCAAACCACCTCATGGGACTGATTTTCAGAGCAACGGGTGCAAGTGGTGGCTATGCACAGAGCCAAGCAGCGATGACTTTCACCACTTCTGCCTGACATCAGCTTACCTTGGGGCACAAATATATTGGCCAGGATGGCTAAGCCAGCCAGGATGACAGAAGAGGCCTGTGTGGTTCTCCGTCCGATGTAGCTCATACCGATGGCGGCCCCCAGCTTGGCCGGGATGTCGATGCAGCCAAATGCCACCTGGATCAGGTAGATGCTGAAGCCAAAGTTCTGGAGGTCCATGACGAGGCCGTAGTAAGCGAAACTAGTGGCAAACCTGGAAACGGTGTGTAGAAAGGAGATGGCACAGAAAGAAAGGCAAGGGATGTGCAGGTTCTGGTTGTGGTGGGTAGCAAAATCCACACATCTCTCAGCTCCAAAAGCCATTACTTCTGACACAAAGTAATGGCTTTTGGAGCTGAGAACTGTGTGGATTTTGCTTGTTACCAATTTGACAGAATGCAACGAGATTCCAGCAGGACGTAATCTTGCATCACTCACACTGTTCATCACTCCATAGCCCTAAGATACAACCTGCCCTGGAAAAGATGCTACAAACACCAAATACAGTGGTACCTTGGTTGTTGAACTTAATTCGTTCCAGGAGCCCATTTGACTCCCGAAACGGTTCGAAAACCAAAGCACGGCTTCCGATTGGCTGCAGGAGCTTCCTGCACTCAATCAGAAGCAGCGGAAGCTGCGATGGATGTTTGGCTTCTGAAAAACATTTGCAAACCTTAACACTCACTTCTGGGTTTGCGCCGTTCAGGAGCCAAAACGTCCGAGTACCAAGGCATTTGACAACCAAGGTATGACTGTACCTTCTTTCTAAACTCTTCTTTTTTATATATGTGGCACAAATATATCATCTGATTTGGGGATAAACTTGTCTTCTAAAGAATCGAAGTATTGGTTTAACTCTATGAGCCGTAACATTTAATCCATTTAATCTACATAATTTTTCATAGGACTAAAGCAACTGTTCTGGAGCGGGGTCGGGGGGAGGAGGAGATCATTTGTTTTGGTTTTAGACAATGTGCACTTATCTCACATTGGATATGAAACTGGAGAGAAAGTTTTGATATATAATGCAGTAGAAAAAGGGGTTGAACAAAAACACTCTGGAGGTGGGGGTGGGAAGTCAATACATGAAACAATGTAACTATTCAATTTGAAAACTTTTTTGGGGGGGAATTGGAAATTAAATTAAAAAATTATATTGGAAAAAGGAAACTGGAGAGAAAGTGTGTGACAGCCATAGCTTTGTAAGCAGTTAGGTTAAAAATAATGTACTACTACTACTATGGGGACACGGATGGCGCTGTGGGTTAAACCACAGAGCCTAGGACTTGCCGATCAGAAGGTCGGCGGTTTGAATCCCCGTGATGGGGTGAGCTCCCGTTGCTCGGTCCCTGCTACTGCCAACCTAGAAGTTCGAAAGCATGTCAATGTGCAAGTAGATAAATAGGTACCGCTCCGGCGGGAAGGTAAACAGTGTTTCTGTGTGCTGCTCTGGTTCGCCATAAGCAGCTTAGTCATGCTGGCCACATGACTCAGAAGCTGTCTGTGGACAAACGCCGGCTCCCACGGCCAGTAAAGCAAGATGAGCGCCGCAACCCCAGAGTCGGTCAGGGGTCCCTTTACCTTTAAAGCATTGGAGTCCTAAAATTTAGTAATTAGGAATTCAGCCTCTTGATGATTTTAGTGTTGCATTTTGAAAAGAATCTTAAAACCAAGTTTCTAGCCCTGGTGAGAGTATTCGAATTTTAGGAGCGGAGGTATGAAAAGTAACGGTCAAAGCGTACCAGACACTGGAAATACAACAGGAGATCCGGCGCACGGTGGGTGTACGAACTAAGCTGACGGCTGTGTAGGATGATCGTGTCAGAGACAATTCTTTCTGCATGCTAGCTTTTAAGACCTACAGGAAGAAAAGGAGAACAAATGGTTGATCTTACTCGTCACTGATGCAGAAGCTTTCCTGGACTGCCCCGATTTAAGGAAAGAATGAAAGCAAAGGCTGGCAGAGGCACTGGCAGCAGAGCCTAAAGGACCTCAGGAAGTCTGCCATTGGCCTTGGGTGACTGACAACCTTCACCAGTCCTATCTCTTGAGTTTCTGAAGAGTCACCAAACCTGCTTGGGATTGTCCGTGTGTCACATAGTGCAATACAGTGGTGCCCCGCAAGACGAATGCCTCGCAAGACAAAAAACTCGCTAGACGAAAGGGTTTTGCGTTTTTTGAGCTGCTTCGCAAGACGAATTTCCCTATGGGCTTGCTTCGCAAGACGAAAAACGAAAATGTCTTGCAAGTTTGTTTCCTTTTTCTTAACACCGTTAATACAGTTGCGACTTGACTTCGAGGAGCATCTCATAGAACGTGGTGTGGTAGCCTTTTTGAGGTTTTTGAAGACTTGGTGATTTTTGAAGCTTTTCCAAAACTTCTTTTAAACTTTTAAAACTTTTTTGGGGGTTTTTGGATTTTGCGTTGGGGTGTTTGGAATTCAAGGACTTGGTGTTGGGGAGGGGTTTGCAAGAATCTGGAAGCTTGTGTGTTTTTTTCTGCATTTTTATGATTTTCTGTGACCATTGGGCCACTCTGCTGTTTTTTAAAAAAAAATTCTGGATTTGAATTTCTGTGTGGTGGGTGGCTGGGGGAACAGTTGAGGAGGGGGTTCTTCAGCAAGAAGCAAAGAGTGGAAGAGGAACCTTCTTCGAGTTGTCCCCCAGAGTCTTAGAAAATGTACTGTACACTTTGTTGATTTTTAAATGTTTTTCTGTCATGTTTAGAAACTTAATTTATTGTTCCTTCAATTTTTGAAATGCTCTTTACAGTATGTGTGACTTTAAAGAGCACTTAATAAACTCTTGTTGTACCAAATTTGGCTTTGTTTGGACTTTTTTTGACCATAGGAACGCATTAATTGAATTTCAATGCATTCCTATGGGATTTCGTGCTTCGCAAGACGAAAAATTCGCTAGACGAGAAAACTCGCGGAACGAATTAATTTCGTCTTGCGAGGCACCACTGTACTCCCTAAGAAGCGGCACGTAACCGCCAAACTCTAGGAGTACAGGGAATGACTCCCACTTGCAAAGATGGATAATGTTGGGTTCACAGTTTTTAAAATATGTGCACTCCAGTAAATACACATGTACTCAGCTGAAAAGGAGAGAAAGATTAGAGTTTAGAACATGCCCAGAAATCCTGTGCTGGAGGCGTTTAAGTAGAATGTTGCCTATCTGTTAGGGTTGTTGCAAAGCTTCGGGTGGGGGGCAGGCAGGAATGGGTGGACCACTTTGAGCAGTGGGCCAAGCTGTGCACCCATCTGTCACCTGGCATCATATGATATCAGGTTCCCACCTTGAACTGCAAAGGAACACTCCTTCCCTTTTTAAATTGGCACCTTTCCTTGCTGAATTTAAGTTGCAGCTGCAAAGGAATGCTCCATTGCCTTTGCAGCATGCATTTGGTGCTATTTGAAACTGTTGCTTTACCTGTCCTGTGCGTGTCATCATGCAATGTCAGGTGATGGACAGGTGAGTTTGTAAGCTCAGTGGCAGATGCCCTGCATGCAAAGTGTCCCAGGTTCCTTCCCTGGCATTTCCAGAAAGGACTGTGAGAAACCTCGTCTCTGAAACCCTGGAGGGAGGCTGCCAGTCAGTGTAAACAATATTGGCCTAGCTAGACCACTGAGCGTTTTCTATTGTTTGTTTAATTTCTTTCTGGTTCTAACTTGCTTTTATTTGTTTTATTTCATTTTGTCAGGTCACTTCGAGACTTTATCTCTTGTATAAAGTGACAGATAGATGTAATATATAAATAATGCTGATACTAATGTTGGCAAGGAAGTGTTTTCATATGGTGTGTCCCCCCCCCCAATATGTTAATACATTCGTACCTTGGAAGTGAAATGGAATCCGTTCCGGAAGTCTGTTCGACTTCTAAAACATTTGGAAACCAAAGCGTGGCTTCCGATTGGCTGCAGGAAGCTCCTGAAGTGAATGGGAAGCCGCAGAAGCCCTGTCAGACTTTTGGCTTCCAAAAGAACATTCGAAAACCAGAACACTCACTTCCGGGTTTCGATTGTTCGGGGGCTGATTTGTTCTAGAGCCAAGGCGTTTGAGATCCAAGGTACGACTGTATTGTGTTTTTCCTAAAGGTGCCCTCCAAATTGAGCCACATTCGAATATTTCAAAATTCAAAGATTCACATTAAAAAACAACAACAAATCCAGCCAACATAACAGACACGGATTCACAGAATGTGTGCATCCCTTGCTTGTGAATTTGGTTGCATCAACAACCTCAATTCATCTTTGTACCTCTGTGCTGAGTTTCTCTCCCTCTTCCATTTTCCTGTTGATCTGCGCTACCCTCTTAAGAACTTTCACAGCCTGTTCCAGTCGGTTCGAGAGTATTAACCACCGTGCGGATTCTGCAAACCACCTAGGCAGGGTTAAAAAAAAAGTCAAATCTCAAACTGTTGGAGACACACTCACAGTAGGACCAGTGCCCCGGGCAACTTCTGCTTTCTGCCTTAAGCATATCCAGCGCTGTGGTGTAAATATCTCTCTGGTCCCCCCCACCCCGTTTCCCAGAGTTGTTGACCTTTCTTAAGGGGGGGACTTCGGTCTGGCTCGTTTACATCGTGTGGTCCAATGCGTGCTCGGCGCTGCATGTAGGTAAGAGATACCCGGATCGCAGCCCAGATGGCCTCCCACGCTGCCTCCCTCTAAGCGCCCGGTGCCCCTTACCTGCCCCCATCTGGGGAAGTCCGCACAACAGGAGGGCCAGCAAGCAGGTCAGGTGGCTTGCCGGCTGCCCCATTCTCTCTTGGTGCCAGGATTGCACAGGGCGCTTCCCTGCTCTGCTCACAGACTCCCCAGGGAGGCGCGCAGGCAGTGACGAGGCCAGAGAGGGGTGGGAGAGACATGCCTGCCCTGCACCCACCCCCGATTGCACCTGCCAGGCACCTAGGCAGCCCCGGCGGGAGGGGATGCAAAGAGGCTTCCCTGAGTCGGAAGCAGTGCGTTCTGATGGGTGGCTGAGAGGAGAGGAGTGGGCTGCCCCAGAGCTGGGAAGGGAGCAAGCCCTGACTCTCCGCCTGTGGTGCCCTCCAAAATCTGGCGCCCTGGTGCCCCGCGCCACTAACGTCTGTGGGCAAGATGCCCCTGGGTGGACCAGCCCTGCTTGTAGCAGGACTGCCGTGCAAATGAGCCATTTGGCCAAATGCTCGCATAGCAGCAATTCATGGCAAAAGTCACAGGAGCTGTTGGGTGAGACCCTGGCTGCTCTCTAGGGTTTAAGGGTTTAATTAAGGGTGTTTTCTGCAAAGGGATGATGTGTGCTCACCAGGAGTAGACAAAGAAGGCGAGAAAGGGCACTGAAACAGCGAACTGGAGCCAACGCCAGTCTGGGAGGGCGTAGGCCAGTCCAGGAAGGATGATTTGCCCGGTGGTTGCAGAATATCCCACCACAGTCCCAGCAATCGTTCGCACTTTGGTTGGTACCCACTCGAGGACTAAAGGAAACACAGAGAGAGCGAAGATCAATCATTATATAGCAACAGGGGCTGCATCTACACACCTATAAAAAAACGCTCTGCAAACGATCTGGAAAAAACGTTTTACAGCTCACAATGTAAAAATTCATTCAGTTCTAACTTTAGCTCTACAGCGCCCTCTGGTGTCACAGTGTTACAACACACATATATATTCCACTGGGATTCATACATCTCAGCGCTGTCTACACTGAGTGGCAGAGTCTGCCCAGGGTTTCAGACAAGGAGCCTCTCCTACCTCTATCTGGAGATGCCATCGGCGAATGAACCTGGGGCCTTCTGCAGAGATGCTCTGCTACGGAGCTAGGGTCCTTTTCATAAAAATAAAGTAAGATTCTAGTCTTTGTGTTTCTGGATAAAGGGCTGATCTAACTAGGAAGATAGGAATCATAGAATTATATGATTATTCTTTGCAGAAGTGCATGTTTATTAAAGTAGGGGTGCAGCAAGGGTTGCCAACTCTATTCCTGCCCTCTGCTCCTCTGCTTTTAACAGGGACTGGTTCTGCAGATATTACAAGCTGAGAATGCTGCTTTTTCTTCATCCCATAAAAAACCTTCTCTGCTCCCTTCTGCACCTTGTCAAGCTGATGTTAAGGAGCAGAAGAGCAGGCCAGGTTGTGTGTTTTTCGGGTCAGTTGGCAAATCTAGCACAGGGCAGATCAAATGAGATATTGTTTTGCATTAATTATTCCCATATGACCAAACAAGCCTGGCATTTCTCTCCCCCCACAACCCGTCTCCAATGTTTCCACATCATGTGACCCACCCACCCTTTGCGCCTCTCCTCTCTGCGTGTGATAAAGCACATGAGAGCCAGGTATGCCAAACCAGGGGGATAAATATTTGTACAGCTCAGCAACATGCTGAGGGCAAAACACAGCTAATGGAGTCAGGAATGCAAGAAAATGCAAACACGAAAACACTCTTCCACATGCCACCATGCAAAAGCAAGCTTTCCCCTGCACCTCCCGCAGCTGTTTGGCAGGCAGAAATCCAGCAGGTCTAGCTTCAGCCACTGCTCCATTTCCACACTGGAGTAAAAGCTGCACCCGTTACATAGCGACCTGTCTTGCAGGTGTTAAAAACACCAGCCTCTAAGTCTGTGAGCGGAAATGTTTGGAATTACAGAGCAAGGGGCAGTGTGATTCAGTGGGTAGAGACAACCATGAGGCTCAATGGGTGAGCCTGATTCAGTCTCCCCTCTCTCTAACCTATCCCCCCGGGTTTTTGTGGGGGTGGGGGAAACAGGGAGAAGGATCTTCACATTTGGGCTTAGGGTAGAAATGGAACAATGTTTTCCAGGATAGTCATTGCTGAAATTCTTTGACAACTTTTCAAATGGTTAATTCTCTTACAAGAGAGCCAGCAGTGGTTAGACAAGTGTAGAAACAGGACCAGGGAGTTCTAGGTTCAAATCCCCACTCACCACTGAAGCTTACCAGGTGACACCCAGTTAGTCACCATCTCTTAGACTTGTTCACAGGGTTGTTGTGGGGATAAAATGGGGGAAAACCATGTATACCAATACGGGGAAGGCTCAGAATTGTGGAACCGACTTTGTTCATTGTTTAGCTACAACCCCAAGCCAGGAGCCAGGTACAAAGCAGTATCTCAGTCATGCAGAATAAAGGAACAGGGTGTTTTTTTGAACGCAGGCTAAGTTCAGAACCAAGCTTCCCAGTCGTTTTACATAAAAATCCACTCCTGGTTTTCCTCCAAGCATACTCTTTCAGCAAACTAATTCTGGAGAAAAACATCTGCTGCTCTTTGTTCGAACAGCTGGGAATCAGAACCGCTGGTCCACCCACTGCAAACCACCCAGAGGCCTATTAATCGATCCCAATCTATCTTCTGCCCATCCCTGAATTGTGCACCAACTTGAGCACCTCAGAGGAAAGGCGGGCAGGGGCAGTGCTGAGGGGAAGAAAGAGCCAAGGTGATGGACACCAAAGCTCTATTTATGGGACCGCCTCTCCTGGTATGCCCCACAGAGGACCTTAAGGTCCATGAATAATCATAGTTTAGAGGTCCCGGGCCCGAAGGAAGTCAGATTATCCTCCACCAGGGTCTTCTCAGTGATGGCTCCGACCTGGTGGAATGCTCTGTCCCATGAGACCAGTGCCCTGCAAGATTTAACCTCCTTCCGCAGGGCCTGTAAGACAGAGCTATTCCGCCTGGCTTTCAATTTTAATTTAGCCTGATCTTTTATTCCCCTTCCTTCCCTCCCCCTCCCCTTTTTATGAAGATTACCCGCTCTGGGATCCCACAGCTAATTCTTCCCTGGCCTCCTTGCTGGCCCAAATAGGACTAATTTAGCCAGCTAGCCCTGGTGATCACCTAATGTTTATTGGATAGATTTCCCCCTAAATTGGTTTTAGAACTTTGAATTTATTGTTATTCACACTTTTATACAGTTTTTTGTTGTATCACAATTAAGTGTTTTAAATTTGTTGTTAGCCGCCCTGAGCCCGGTTTTCTGAACCGGGAAGGGCGGGGTATAAATAAAAATTCATTATTATTTATTATTATTATTTCTCATTGGTGTCTTAATCAAGTGAAGCCATTGGCCCAGTGGCTGGATTTTAGTGGTGGGATGGGTGAGGGCCAATGAGCTGAGACTGAATGCTTACAAGATGGAGGCCCTGTGGGTGAGTCGTGCCCAAGACCAGGAATTAGATAAGAGGCCTGTTCTGGATGGCATTGAGCTACCCTTGAAGGCGCAGCCTCATAGTCTGGGGGTGGGGTGTGCTCCTGGTTTCAACATTGTCACTGGAGGACCAGTGGCTTTGATGGCTAGGAGTCCTAGGACCACCATTCATGAGCTTTGCTGGATTTGCCATCTACGGCTGTTCCTGAACAGTCTGGCCACAGTGATAAGATAGACTACTGTAATGCATTCTGTGTGGACCCTCCCTTGAAGACACCCAGAAGCTGCAGATTTTGCAAAATGCAGAAGCTCGATTACTAGCCCTTAGAGACATATAACACTAGCTGCAATAACAGCTAGTTTGTTCCAGATTCAAGGTTCTTCCCAAACACAGCCAGGTGATTCTAAGGAAGTTTGCAGAGTTCCCTGATTCTCCTTCCTAGTGGCTTGGGTGAGGGTCTAAGCAGGTGTGGGAAACCTTTGGCCCTCCAGAGCTGCTGAACTACAACTCCCATCAGCCCCTGCAAGTATGGCAAGTGGCTGAGGATGATGGCAGTTTCTCTCAGTTCCTCATGTTTCCACGTTCATACTCGGTTCTCCACATTTCCACTTCAGTTTGTGTGAGTGTTTGCATTTTAAGCCCTCATAAATATTCATCAGCGTTTCAGTATGAATTTCTCTTAACATACACGGTTTTGTACACACTTTTGACTGATACACATAGCTTTTAGGGTCCATTGTTGTGCACGTCGGTTGGAGAACTGGACCACAAAATTCGGAAGAGTGCTTGTTTAGAAGGATACTTTGGTTTATGTATTAGATTTTTTAAAATGAGGATTTGGTAGCTTTTTTCATAATTAAATAATAATTAGAAACAAAATTGAATTTCTCCTCTTCTGTAATTGTGACCCATAGTGACACCTCAGTGAGTCTATGATTCAGTGATTAAAGCTAATAGCATAGTGGGCTGGGGAATTTTAAGCCTGGGGCCAAATGTGGCCCTCCAGGCCTCTCTATCTTACCCTCAGTCCTCTAGGCCACACCCCCTCTCCAGGCCACACCCCTCACTGTTCCTGCTTTGCACCCTGCTTGAATGCTTTTGCCTGGCTGAATTGTGCCCTTGAACTCTGATAATGCCTCTTTGCTTGCCTGGGTGAAGGATAGGGAGAGGGATGTTTGTGTGTAGAAACCTCTGGTTTTTGTGTGGCTGGAATGCTGGAATGCAGTCTGTTGTGCAAAGGTAAGAGACTCACCTGTTGCTTCACTGGTCCTCTCGTCCCTATCCCACACTGGCAGACAGCCCCTGGTAGGTGGCTCATGGAAGAACGAGACCCTCGGGCAGAATTAGGTTCCCTACCTCTGGTGTGGAGGAATTGAATTTACCTAGCTGATGCTGAACATCATAGCCTTAAAATCATGAAACAAGATTGAAAGGGCCCGATCCAACGATGTTGCTGCACTAGTGGAAACCTCTGCAACTGGACTCCCCTCCCCAAATCTGCTCGGGAGGATCAGGAGAACCCCAAGATCAGCACATTGGCAGAACAGGGTCGAGATTGTTCCACCTGGCAAACAGAAATGCTTCCTTGATGGAACTAGCACAAAGTTGAATTCCATCCAAAGTGGCCTTAAAGTTGCATTTAAAAATGGAGGGTTGCATTCAATGGAAGTCCTACTCAGAGTTCACCCACTGAAATGAATAGACATGACTAACTTAGGACCATTAATAGTAACGTGTCTACTCTGAATAAAGCTTAATTGGCATCAACCCACAAATTTGAACAAAATTCGCAAGGTCCACAATCAAATTCTGAAAGCTTATGAAATTTCTAATTTGTACCATTCCATCTACCCTGTCCCAGCTAGGGAATGGATGAATTTGGCTGTTTCCATTCTCTGTGAGTTTGCATACATGCAATCACTTCCACTCTAGGTTTGTGTGCGTGTTTTAATAAATTTCTTTTCTTTTTGGCGCATTTCCTGTAAAATGCGCATTTTTTAGAACCAAAAATCCCTTTGCAAAATTTGGAAAGGTGCATCATCGAATTGATAGATGCTTTCTAATCCAGGCACCCAAGAATTGGGATGGCTTGCTTCAAAATGCAGGCCGAACCAGTTTCTCCGCCATCGCTGGGACTCTGAGCTAATGGTGTTCAACTGGCCTCATCGGACTGGGCCTTGCGACACTTACCTAAGGACATGCAGTTCAGGATAATCCCAGAGTACGACATGCCGACCAGGAAGCGGAAGACGCAGTAGGCTGTGAGATTCGGGGAGAAAGCGGTGCACAGTCCTGCAACGGCCATCTGCAGGTAGGACCAGCTTAAAACTGGCTTGCGCCCAAATCTGCAACACAGGACGCTGCATGAATATATTGCCATTGCTACAGTACCAACAATCTGAATACTAACAGCAGGACTGGTCCCAGATTCTTTTTTTATGGGGGGGGGCAGAGTCTAGGAAGGTGCCTCTTAAGCTGCAGGTTTCCCTGATGCTAGCAACTGATTTGGGAAATGGCCTGTCTACGGCCATACTACCCTGAACACACCCGATCTTGTCTGATCTCGGAAGCTAAGCAGGGTCAGGCCTGGTTAGTACTTGGATGGGAAACGGCCTGCCAGTCTGATTTCCCACAATGCCCCTTTGCGGGAACAGTGCTGCTGAGGCCAGCGTTTCGTCAAGCCTAATTGAGGCAGCAGTTCACGTCTTCATCTGTTCCTCTCCTCCACCTGAGTTTCTCCACCCCTGAGCAGATATATTGAACAACCACAGATACCCACCTGTCAGCTAAGCTCCCAAACACGAGAGCGCCCACCAGAACTCCCCCCATGTAAATGGACTGTGCCATCTGTCTCCGGGTCCGCAGGTTACACACCAAATCCCACTGCATGGATGGAATGGAAGAGGGTTAAAATGCAGGCAAAGCAGCCCTTTCGCACAAGAAGAGGAATCACAATCCACCTGTGTCAGTCGGTTAAATGCTGTAGGTATAACATCCCACCACTAGGGGGAGGTGTGGTTCAGTGTGTCGCCCCCTAGAGGAGAACTGGGTGGTGGGAGGTCTAAAGCAGGTCTGGGGAATCTGATGCCATCTCTCATATTGTTGAATTCCCAACTCCCATCAGCCCCAGCCAGCATGGTCAGTGGTCAGGGATTATGGGAACTGTAGTCCAACAATACCCAGAAGGCCTGACAAGCTTCCCACACCTGATCTAAGCTACTACACAACTTTTAGAAGACATCTGATGGCAGCCCTGTAACTGGAGGTTTTTAATGTTTGGTGATATGTTTTTATGTGTTGGAAGCCGCCCAGAGTGTGGAGGCATGCCTCAGCACACACCCCGCTGCCCATCTGGATGTGGTCTGTGTGAGCACAAAAGAATGTGATGTGAATATTGTCAAATGGAGAGCTAGCAGTGACAGTGCCAATCATCTGGGGGGGGGCAGGTGGGGCTGATGCTGAGGCCCCCCTCCCAGCAGCTGGTCAGACCTCATAGTGCTGAGATTCTGTTTGAAAGGAGAGAGCCTCACAGAGTTGTGTGCTTGCAGGATTCTGCTGTACAGTGGTACCTCGGGTTAAGAACTTAATTCGTTCTGGAGATCCGGTCTTAACCTGAAACTGTTCTTAACCTAAAGCACCACTTTAGCTAATGGGGCCTCCTGCTGCTGCTGCGTCCGCCGGAGCACAGTTTCTGTTCTCATCCTGAAGCAAAGTTCTTAACCCGAGGTATTATTTCTGGGTTAGCGGAGTCTGTAACCTGAAGCGTATGTAACCCGAGGTACCACTGTAGTTGATGATCTCTGGGTCTGCAGCAGGGGGTGCCAACTTGGCACTTGTGGGCACTATAGCACCTCTGAGGTCTTCTCTCTGGAGAAGACCCCACCCCGCCTCTGCGGTGATGAGGTGGTGAGGACCACTATCCATTTCTCTGTCGAAAAGCACAGAGAGCTAAAGGAGGAAGTTGAAAGAGTGACGCTCTTTCTCACTTCCGCTTTCAGCTCTATGTGTTTTTCAAAGCTCTGGTCAATTCTGCTGGATGGGACTTTTGCCCTGATCCTTTGGAAAAGCAAAGTAGGCAGGTGCTGATTTGGTGGAGTGGGGGGGAAGCAGTGATGAGAGCAACCGATGCCCGTGGCACTTTCTCAAAAATCCAAATGTGCCCAAAGGCCTAAAAAGGTTGTCAACCTCTGACCTCCCATGCTTCCCCCTCCTCAGTGGAATTTTCTGCATGTTACCTGATATCACACCCCCTTCCTCTTGCTCGTTGAATTAAGCTGTGAGAAAAATGGTTAACTGAAACACAGGGTTGCTGCTGCTTTAGTACATTTTACCTTTTTGCCACGTTAACCTTTTATATATATATAGAATTACTACATGAAAAACAGGCAGATGGCATGCACAGAAAACATCAGTGTGCATCAAATCATTTGAAACATTAACCTTCCTACGCTTTGGCAGTCAATGTGGCTGTTCCCTGCAGCATGAAAGCAAGTGTCCTGCTGAAAGACAGCAGTAATATACATCTGGCCTAGTAACCTACTTCCAACGCTGGACAGCCAAAGTGCCTATGGAAAGTCCACAAGCCAAACATGCACGCAATAGCCCTCTTCCACTGTTATTCCCTGGCCTCTGGTGATCAGAGGTAGACTGCTGCTGACTGTGGCAGTTTCACTTTGCTCTTGTAGTTAGCAACTGATGGTGGCAGGATTTCAGTAGCCAAGCAAAATAAGATATAAAGCATGATGGTGATTGTATTTGCTACCTATACTGAATACGCCCCTCCCCCTTTTAAAAGCAGCCTAGCCCCCAGCCCTCCAATCTTAAGTACAGTTCTCCGTATTTCCATGCCAGGTTGCAATTTTTTAAAAAATAGTCCTCCTGAATATTCATCAGCAATTTGGTGCGAATTTCTCCCAATACAGTGATACCTTCGGTTACAGACACTTCAGGTTACAGACGCTTTAGGTTACAGACTCCGCTAACCCAGAAATAATACCTTGGGTTAAGAACTTTGCTTCAGGATGAGAACAGAAATTGTGCAGCAGCGGCGCGGCGGCAGTGGGAGGCCCCATTAGCTAAAGTGGTGCTTCAGGTTAAGAACAGTTTCAGGTTAAAAACGGACCTCCAGGACGAATTAAGTTCTTAACCTGAGGTACCACTGTATTATTGATTCACATATACAAATCTTTCTGTGAAGTTTTGCCTAGTATACACGTTTTTGCAAAACAACGTTCCCTACATTTTTACATACAATCTTCACAAGTATATATAATTTTATATGCAACTTACTCCAGTATATATGTATTTGTGTACAGGTTGCATGTCTGGAGAATTTCACTGTAAAATTCAGAGACGCGCGCCGTTCAAAGGATGGTGGCTGTGATTCAGTTTGCACTTTGCTCTGGGACGTGCAAAGTTGGCAGGCTCAATTATAAATACGAACAGAATCGGCTTTCTCCCCCGTGCCTTCACTGGGGTCCCTGATTAGGAGCCTGTGAGGGCCAGCTGTTCCTCCAAGCCTTGCCACGCCCTGTCTGCTTGGGCCCAGGCTGATGAGGAACAGGCTTGCAGCCTTGAACCAGGCAAGAGAGAAGAGAGGTCTGTTCTGAGGTTTGGCACACTCCCCAAAAAGGCCACTAGCCACTTTCAGCGCCCAAATTTTCCTTGCCAGCACAATGGGCTAGGACATGGGTATGCAAACTAAGGCCCAGGGGCCAGATCCGGCCCATTCACCTTCTAAATCTGGCCCACGGACGGTCTGGGAATCAACATGTTTTTACATTAGTAGAATGTGTCCTTTTATTTAAAATGCATCTCTGGGTTATTTTTGGGGCATAGGAATTCATTCATCACCCCCCTTTTTTCTTTTCAAAATATAGTCAGCCCCCCACAAGGTCTGAGGGACAGTGGACTGGCCCCCTGCTGAAAAAGTTTGCTGACCCCTGGGCTAGGAGATAGTTAAATTCTCCCTGCCACGGATCCTGAAAATTAGCAGCTAGTTCTAGCGGGAGAAAAGACCTGCCCATTGAATGCAAAGACACATTCAACGCCATGTCCGCCTTGGCCCTCGGATGTCTCCAATTAGCAGAGACTGAGCTGGGGGGGGGGGCTGTGGCCCTCAGGACTACAATCCCCACCAGTCCCAGACACCATGGGGCTGCAGGAGGATGTGGTGCAAGTCATTTATTAAATGCTTGCCTTGAAAAGCTATCCCCTATGAAACATCACTGCACGTGGAACCCATGTGGAATGCCGTGGCAGCCTGACCCCCACCCGACCTGCCGCCCAGGCCCTCTCACCTCCATGATGATAGTGTTGACAAAAACGCTGTTGTCATATATCCACCCATCATAGCACGGTTCCGTGTCCACCTGTGTCACATTGTGGCTGTCATCGGCGCTGGAATTGAGGAGGTGCCAGCGGGGTGTAACAAACCGGCGACACTTCTCCGGCTTCCCGGCCACGTCTTTGGGGATGTAGATCCACAGGAGGTCCTCCTCCACCCCTGGCTTTTGAGTAGTTCTGTTTGCATGGCCAGGGTTGGTGGCGTTGCCGGTCAGCCGGATCCGGCAGTGGTGGTCCGGGATGGCGGCGGAGAAGTTCTGCAGCAGGTTGTGGCTGGCGACCAGCAAGACAGGAGTGACCAGCAAGGCCACCTGCAGGACCTGGAAGCGGCCCATGCCCCCGATCTTCTCAAGTAGGTCGGCAAACGCCATGGTGGAAGAGGGAGGAACGTTTGGAGGGGGACGACTGAGTGGCTGGGCTCAGGAGCGATCTTTTGTGGCCGGGATCTCCGGAACGCATGCCAGCCCCAGGCAAACCCTTCCCACCCTCGCTGGAAGAAGTTTCCTCTCGCTAATTCAGGGTCAGGATCTTTCTCAAGGCAAAGCTGTGACGGCCCCCATCTTGGCCGCAGCTGAAAACATCGCAGGCCGGCCTGGCGGGGGAAATAAAAAACACATTTTCAGCAACCTGTTTTGTGAACTCAAGTCATCCCTGCAAGACTGTTCCTCACACAGGCTGTAAACTGCATGGGGTGTTTATGAGTCCCGTTTTCCCCGTGTGTGTGTGTGTGTGTGTGTGTGTGTGTGTGTGTGCCATAGCCTTGAGGGGGGAACCAATGGGGCTAGGTTTCAGAAAAGGGGGGTTGTTCTCTTCTCCATGGGATTATGCAAGCCCTAATCACTTTACTTGGGTCAAAGTTCTAATGAGGCTTTGAAGGATTAGTCCAAAAGGGATAGGAAGGAGGAGAAAATGAAGGCATTCAGTAAATGTGGGGCAGGGTGTTGCATGGAACAAGTATTAGGTTTTTTTTGGGGGGGAGGCGTGTGGAGAAAGGAAAGAGGGGGAGCTGGCTGTGTTCTCTTGGCTACAGGAAGCATCGTTTTTTGTTTCTTGTTCCGTGCTCATAATCTTAAAAAGCGGACCGCTGGAGATCGCCTGCCCTGGAATGACAAAGGCAGGAGATGGCACAGCACTGGAGAGAATGATTGTTCTCATCAGGCAGTGGGAAGTGGCTCTGTGGTTGAGCATCTCTGTTGCAGCAGGCAGAAGGTCCGGAGTTCGATCCCCAGCACCTCTGGGTAGCACTGGGGGAGATTCCCTGTCCAAAAACCTGGAGGGCTGCTGCCAGTCAGTATGGACAGTAGGGAGCTCCATGGACCATTGGCTCTGACTCAGCAGAAGGACATTTCCTATATTCCCCCATCAGGCTCTGATTGGTGTGTGTGCAAGCTTTCGAGCTACACAGAGCGCTTTATGATTTTGCCCCTTTCTGCCTGGGAAAGAGCTGTGCGAGGATGGAAAGCTGCCAAGAGGCAGCCCAGGTGAGGCAGCTGCTTGCACCAGTGTCACAAAGGGCCCACGTGGGGAACAGTGCCAAATTCTTATCACGCGTGACTCAGTGAAATAAACGGGAGCTGCACAAATAAGGGAAGTTTATGAGCATGTGAGGCCTTCAAATTTGGTGTGGCCGTATCAATTTAAGGGGAGTGTGTGTATGTGTAGATATCAGCCAGAAACTAGCCCAGGGGGTAATGTAGCCCCCAGGCTAAAAATGCTCCTGCAACCTTGATTTATTCCCTATCTTTTTATTTGCTGGCTGAAGGCACTGTACAAAGAACAGAGGTGTGATTATTAACAACCTGTCTGCTTTTTTGAAGGGGGAAAAACGGTTTCCAGCTTTTGTGGCTGAGATGCTAATGTGTGAAAAATGTGACTGCCGTGTTCTTGACAGACGCAAGTCAAAGCAGCCAAATAGTGTAGTAAAATTATGCAGCAGGGCAGTGTGCTTCATAATTTCTGCCTTCGGGGAGCACCAGCCGCTTTGACTTCACCCCAAGTGTTGAAGCGTGGTGTTCCACTGTGTGTGTGGCAAAGGATTCTGGGACGTGTTCTGGGGTGTGCACTCAACACAAAGGGTACCTTGCCCAGGCCGGTTGAAGTTACCTGCTGACTCAAGTGAGTGAAGAACAAATCCCCCCAGTAGATTTAATGCTGCCTTGCAATGTGTGCTGCAGGGCAAGATTGACCTGTCCAATGAACCTTGTTCACCATTTCCAGTCATCGTCTAGAGCAGGGCCAGCGGTGGAGCAAGCCGATTGGGCACCTGGGGCAGCCGCATGCCCTGCACCCATGGGCGGGGCAAGCTGGGGCAGGACGCTCTGCCCTACAGCTGAGGGGGAAGCAGTGGGCAGACCGTTTGGGGCAGCGGGGAGCCGGTGGGCCCCCAAGCCACCGCGTCACTCCCAGGAGAGACGCGTGGCTCAGGCGCACTGCAGGCCCCACGGCGAGTGCCACCCAGCATTTTGACACCTCCCTCAGTGGTGACACGTGCTGCAGCCCGCCCCCACCGCACCCCCCTTCCTCCAACCCTGAGCAGGGCTGTGGGCCGAGGCCAGAGGTCAAATGTGGCCCCCAGGAGTTCTCTGCCCAGCCCTTGGGACTCCTCCCAGGCCACACCCTCTCGCAGGCCCTCCTTCAGGGCTTTTGCTTGCCAGGATGTGTCCTTCAAGTCTGACTGTGTGTCTGCTTGCCTGGATGGGGAAAGGAGAGGGGTCTGCACAACCTCCTGGTTTCTGCCAGGCTGGGGAAGTTGCCCATTGTAACATATTGTTTTTGCCTCCCTTATATGCCTGTTGCAATTATAAAAAGGAACCCCCCCCCATTTATTTCACCTCGAGCTCCTTGGAGGAGAGTTGAATCACAGAATTGTAGAGTTGGAGGGGGCCACCATGGTTCATCTAGTCTGACCCCCTGCAATGCAGGAATCTTTTGCCCAGTGTGGGGCTCGAACTCACAACCCTGAGATTAAGAGTCTGATGCTCTGCCGAATGAGCAATCCATCAGGATGTGGGCTGAGTCTGAAAGTTTGTCAATCTTTTAAGCCATCTTTTTAAGCCATCTTGCCGGGTGCGGGGTGCCTCTCCTTTTTGACAATTTATTAACATTTTGGGGGAACTGGGTCGTGTTTTTTGTTGTTGTCACTGTCTTCGCTTGCCATTGCCCTCACTCGCTCTCAGTGATGGCATTATCAAGTCAGATTTGACAGCCTGCACAGAGTGGTGATGCCATTCTAAGCTAGGGTTGCCATATTTCAAAAAGTGTAAATACGGACACAAAAGTTGTTGAAGCCATCACGAGGAGCTCTGCGCGCCCTTTCCCCACGCCCCTCCTTTCCGTTCTTCCCTCACGCCCTTCACGCCCACCGCTGAAGCCTCTCTCTGAAGCTTTCTGCCAAATGTGTCCGGAGAAACGGAGGAGGCGATTGTTAGGCTGGAACCGGGAGCTGCCTCCACGGCCGACCAAACCTCAGCAGAGCCAATAGCTGCATTATGGGCAAGAGAAGCCCCATGAGGAAGCTGAGGCCACAGTAGGGTGAGAATAGTGGTGGGGCGGAAAGATGGTGTGTGCTTTTTGAGATATTTTATGGGAAATTGGCAAAAATGACACTGCCAATATGGGCTGCCATATCTCCTGATTTTCCGGGACATTTTCTTGCCGAATTCTACCTGGACGCTGCTTCTGACCGCAGTATTACGGGCATGTCTGGGAAATTCCAGGTGTATGGCAACCCTATCTAAGCAGTACGCAAGTAAGGGGACCTTGAAGGGGTGAGGTGCTTCAGTTGGAGCTGGCACTGGAGGCTGGTCCATTGGGGCAAATGGGGCACTGCTCTGAGTCTGCCCTCTGCCAGCCCCCACCTGCCTGCCTTTTTTACTTACAAGCAGTCAAAGGGGTGGCCATCTTGCAGAGCTCAGAAGGCAGGCAGAGGAGGAGGATGGGGACAAGGGATGGAAGGATTCCAGTTCTCCCAGTTTCTCATTCTAAAATCCAGTTCCTCACATTTTGCAACGATTTGGAATTTATTGATTAAACAAAATTCCCTGTGAAAATTCACCAGCATTTTTAATACGAATTTCTCCTAATAAACACATTTTCATATGCAGTTTTGGTGAACGTACACATTTTTGCAAGCAATTTCCCCTAATGCAATGCATTTTTGTGTCTTTTTTTTACAATTTTTTTTAAATGCATGCTTTCCCTTAAAATGTGCATTTTAAAAAATGGTTGGAAAACTGTAACCCGAAATTGGGAAAAGTGTGAATTTTGAAGGATAGCTCTGTTTCGGTTCACACGTGGTTTCAGAAAGGGCAAGTTGGATAGATTTGGCTTTGAATGCATACTGAATTGAATTCGTCCTCTGTCCCTAATGGGGCAGAAACAAGAGCTCCTTAGCTCTGCCTGCCATTGGCTGTGGCTCCAGCTGTCATTGACTCTGGCTCCGCCTACTTTGCCCTCCCTGCTTTCTGCTCCACCCAATGGGCACCAGCTGCCACTGGGAGCAGGCATGGGGAACCAATGGCACTCCACAAGACTGTGAATATGTTTGTATAGTTCAAGTATTTCCCGGCAGAAATGAGCACCCTGCTGAAAGTCTTTGTTTGACCCCAAAGTAAAAACTGGACACTATTCCACACTAACCTGACAATAATTGAGAGTTGGCGCTCTGTGTGCTGTTGCATTTCTTTGATGGCTTCCAAACAAGTCCTGTTGTTTTGCTGAGCCTCACCTCCCAAGAAAACCCACATGATAAGGCAGGGATGGTGAACGGCCCACTGGATCTGGCCATGGCTGGTTTTTCCCTCTGGCCTTATTTGCTCCCCTCTTTCCCTTGCTCCTCCTCTCCTGTTGGCTTCCTCTGCCCAAGTAGGGAGAGCTCATTGCTTTGAAAATGTTGATCTGATGGCACCTGCAACCTCCACTTGCATCTTAATTTGAACCAACCTCATCTGTACATTCTGAAACAATATGCAACCCAAAGCACAGGGTACCTCCCCTCCCCCAAAATGCATATACCTAGGAAAATCATGCCTTAAAATGCATGTATTTGTGTCCCTAGTATAACATCAACAGTGCGTTCTATTAGGGGATATTGCATTAGGATTGGGGAGAAATTAGATTCAGTTCTCATCTGAAGCTGACTCTATCAAATCCGCACTGTCCGAAACCCATGCGTGAACCAAAGCACAGCTGTCTGTTAAAATTCACCCTCATACGAAATTTGCCTTGCAGTTTTCCAAGTAAACAATGGTAAAAAAAAAGCATATGTAGAACCAAGATTGACAGCTCTTTCCATCTTTATTTAGGAGTGGACACACACAAAAAAATGCTGTTGAATTTTCAGGAGGATTTTAAGAAAAACACCAAAATGTTGTAGACATGCTAGGAACTGAACTGGTAAACTGGAAAAACGAGATTTGGTGGGTCCCTGCAGCAGAGACTAGCCTAAGCCCCTTCCACCTTAAAGTGTCCTTGCAGGGTGGAGGGCATGGCTGGCCAGATCCTCAAACACAAGAAGCCCTTTAAGGAGATGAGGATTGGCCCCCCCCACTTTTTTGCAGGTCCCCAGCTGTGAGTTTTTCACACTTGGACATGTCAGCCAGGCTAGAATGGTGTCCTAGCCTATTACGATTAACAGAATGTCTCGACTTTGCTATGCTGGTGGAAGAAGGCACTTTACGGTTTTTTTTAATTGTTGAAGGTGGTACATTGCAGGCAGTGGAGGCCCTGCTGCGCCCGGGGCCACACCTTTGAGGCTCAGCTACTTTTGGCTGGGTCGGCGGCTGCCCCATCTCCTTTTCCTGTGTTTTCAAGCGGCCTGGGATCTTTAAACATTCTCATGTCCAGGAAAATGTCGTCCTGATGGGAAGGGGTTCCTTTGCAGCCCTCGTCGCCTTTCTGCTGCTCCAAGTTCCTAGAAGAAGACAAATAATGAAGCTGGATGGGGGTGGGGAGAGAGAGAGACGATTGGGGGAATATTATGGGTTCCTGCAAATCCTTCTGCTTAGGTCCAGGTAATCTTACAAACTGACTCCTCCCTAGCTCAGCTCAATAAGAAAATGAGGGGCTGGGGATGGAGGGTGAAGAAAACTCGCCAAGCCAGCTAATGTTTCACTGCTGCTGCTCAGGACACCGAAGATTCATGGGGCTTAGCCTGTACCACCTGTACCACAACTGAAGGCGGTCCTGTTTAGGGAAGTTTTTAATGTCTGACACACTATTGTTTTTAATATTCAGTTGGAAGCCGCCCAGAGTGGCTGGGGAAACCCAGCCAGATGGGCGGGGTATAAATAAATTATTATTATTATTATTATTATTATTATTATTATTATTATCTGCGTGCCTCTGCAGAGGGGAGGCTGGCCGGCTGGCCCTTGGCGAGGAGACTTGGGACACAGCAGCAAGGCTAGGCTCGAGGGTCCAGAGTCCTCTGGCGGCAGGCAGGGTGGGGAGCCCTGCATGGGGGTGCCTGCCTCGTACCCCTTCAAAACCATGTGCCTGGGGCTACGCCCCCCCCGGCCCTCCCCCTGGATTAGAAGGCCCGGATAGGTCTTTAGAGCAGGTGTGCCTTAGCTAGTTTAACCTTTGTTTCCCCACATAGTCCTACTGGATTTGATACTAAAGGCCTCTGAACTTCAGGCTTGCGTTTCCGTTTTTAAAAAAAAGTATTTTGGAAGGCAGGAGATGTTTTAAGAGGCACACGGGACCCTCTTGTCCGTGTAATCCAAGCTGACTTCAGCTGGAGTTGCTGTTTGCTCAAGGGAGGTTGTTCTGCCATAAGAATGTAAGAAGATTCCTGCAGTATCAGGCCAAAGGCCCATTAGTCTCACAGTGGTCACTCAGATGCCCCCGTGGAAAGCCCCCAAGCAGTACAGCAGCACTCCCCCCCCATGGGATTTCCATGAACGTGCCAGGCGATGTGTTGAAAAGCTTTCCTTGATTGACTTCCATCGCTTACACTGCACTTCCTATATACATTTTAAGGAAGATTGTATCTGTCATTCCATATTATTCCCATACAATCTCACACAAATCAGTCAATGAAATTTTATTAATATTTTCATATTGAGATATTTGTAGAATAAATTTGGAAGAAATTCTTCCAACTTTTCTTCTTTTCTCTCTCTATTTTTTCTTCTTTTTCCCCTCTTTTGTTCTTTTTTTATATATGTGTGCTTCTCTGAAATATGTATGTATGTATGTATGTATGTATGTATGTATTTGCAAGATTTTGTAATAATTATGTTAAATAAATTAATAAAAAAGAAAAAGAAAAGCTTTCCTTGAGTTCTGTACTGATCTGGGGTATTTTTTTGATTAAGGGGTATGTGCAGCCGGCAACTGGACTGCTTCCCCTCACTAGTCTTTCAGCTAGCAGAGGAGCTGGCGACTGCTCTGCCACACTCTTGGATTCAAATGTCAAGATGCTGATCAGCAAAGAGAAAGCAAGTATCACTTCTCTCTCAGGAATATGCAGCCATTCCCCCAAATTTGCAGGAGGAAATTTCCGTGGGGTCCAAGGTTATTCCGTTTTTAGGCACCTTGAGTTAATCATTTGTCCCTGCAAATTAACGGAGGTAATCCAGGGCCTGAATGCAGACTTTACCTTCACACCAAATTGCTCAAAGCAATTTTAAACAGAAGATAAGAGTCACGGTGGGGTTGGATTAGATGACCTCCCCGTAGCGTTGGGCAGAAATTCGATTCTGTTTGCACTTAAAGGGGAATTTACCTTTCGAAAAACAAGATGCAAATCAACCCACAGCCATCTTCCGAAATGCACGCTTTTCTGAATTTTGCAATGCTGTTCCTCTGCTAAGCAAAGTGTACTGAAATGCATATACCAGTACTTCTGTACAGCATGCATATAAATTTGTATCTTAATGGAAATAACATGCAAAACTGCATGGTAAAAAGATGTTTTAGAGCAAACAAACCCGATTTATCTGATTGCCAAATCTGGTGCTAAGGGCAGCAGCTCTTGGTCCCTAAACTGTGGGAACCTATCCCTGGGCCTTTTCGTGGGAGTTTAATATCATGTCTACCATGTGACAATGGCAACAGCAAATTCAGCTTCTTTGCGTCATAAGCCAGTCTCATCTGTGTAAGTTGATTATCTGCACACTTTGTGGGTAATCTGCATGATATAGGCAGATAATTTATGCAGTTATGGTTGGCATACATTGACAAGCCAAATGATGCCCATTCCATGTTTTGAATTAAGAGAGGGGGTAGCCGAAATGATGACAATTCCTGTGTATGAATCATGACATGAAAAGGCACAATCTCTTCTGTTTGTATTATAATAGCTCTATAAGCGTTGCTAGCATAAGTACCTTCATGTGTCCTTTGACTATTTTAGGTAAAATGCTGGAATGTTGTGTTTTCCTTGATGCAAGTCACTTCTCCGCCACTGATGGCTTACTAAATGGAAGGAAGGCAGTGTGGTGCAGTGGTTAGAGTGTCCAACTAGGACCTGGGAGACCAGGGCCATGAAGCTCATTGGGTGACCTTGTGCCAATCACTCTTAGCCTAGCCTACCTGATAGGGTTGTTGTGTGAATAAAATTGTGGGGGACCAGTTATGCCAACTTGACGTCCTTGGATAGAAGCTCTTGGATACATGTGATGAATACATCTACTTTATGTTGGCTACATATTTGAACACCTTAAGAGTATCATGAGCAATGACCAGGTTTCTGTCTATGTTTGGATACATGGAATAAGAGCCTAAGAAGAACCTTTTGCATTAGGCCAAGGATTCATCTAGTCCAGCAACCTGTTCTCAGAGTGGCCAACCAGATGCCCCCCAGAGGATAAGAATTCAAACTCAACTCCTGGGGCTTTCTGTGTGCAAGCCCTGCACTTTGGAAGACAGGCTCACAGCCATTTTTTCTTTGTTGATTATATAGAATGAATATGTCCCCTTACCAATTCCCATCACTTTTCTGAACCTTTTCCAATACCCTTTGTGTATTGTTGTGGGGGTTTTTTGGTCTCTCAGAATTCCCAAACAATGCCAGGTACCAAGGGTTGGTGCTGATAAGCAAACAAATGTGGTTAAGGAATGAGGAGGGGAAAAGGCCGATCTACTTACTGGTTCTCCACATCTTCGATGGTATCAGGTAGTGGCATGTTCAGGGTCTCTGGAAGGAAGCAGGCGGCAATGCCAGAGATGATGGGAGCTGCCCCATAGATCAGAAGGGGGAGAGATGGGGAATACTCGCCAGTCATCCTCACCAAGGGAGCCACAATCCCGCCGACACGAGCCATGGTGTTCCCAAACCCCATCCCGGTCTGCCTGCCATGCAATGGACAGAAAGTTGACAAAGGGGAAAAGCCTTAAGCCTGGGAAACCTGTGCTGCCCCAACAGATGACCCCAGACTTCAACTCCCATCAGACCCAGCCAGCATGGCTAATGACCCAGGATGATGGGAGCTGCAGTCTAGCAATGTCTGTAGGGCCACAGGCTCCCTATTGCTGGCCTAAATAGATTGGTGCCTGGTGCTCATTGGGACTGGTAGGGCAAAAGGCAGGGAGCCCAACACTAGGGGGAGCCAGAGCCAACGACAGGCAGAGACGACTCATTCTGGTTTTGCTCTCCTCTTCCTCCCTGCTGAGTTCTACATGGAGCAACACTGAGATTGAGGAGGAGGAGGAAGCTGCCAGGCAGTGCCAATCCCTGGGGTGGCTGGGAATATGAAGACTGGTGGAAGGCGGCTGGCGTATGGCAGACTGAGACTGGTGGGGCAGCACCCCATTCACCCAAATGGGCCAGCCTCCACAGCAGCCAGGTTACTTGAAGGATGGCTCCACCTGGCTGTTTTAAAAGATGGGCCTGCCTTAAATAGCTTGGGTCTAGGGGGCTTCCGCAGCTGTGTGTGCTCAGGCCACAAAGGCCACTTTAGAAAGTAAAAGTAATAGCAGTGGGCAGCATTGTATACCCATCAACTGCCCTGGAAAAGCTGGGACATCTCATTTCCCCACATCCCAGAAGAGTGCGGCAGCCATTTTGGGTGCCTCACATGACTTCGGGCTGATATCTTGCGCCGAAAACAGCATTTATTTCCGGGTACGCAAGACGGTTCTGACGGTATTCCAGGATAACCGCCCATATAAAATGGCCCACAGTTAAGAGCTTCCACTAAGTCTGAGGTACCTGATCACCGTGGGGTAAAGCTCTCCCGTGTATAAGAAGACACAGTTGAAAGAGGCTGCCAAGCACCCTTTCCCAAAGACAGCAAAGACAGTGCGCAGGATCTGCATATCTGGGGAGAAGATCAACTCAAATGATTTTGCAAACAACTATTGTTCAGAGCCCTTCAGCCCCCCAACAAATTCTGTTACCGTTTTGACCTTTGGTTTCTTGCCATTATTTGACTTCCTGTTCCACTTTGCATTTGGCATACATTTCCTGCCCCCACCACCTCAGTCTTAAGATAAGGTTTTCTCCCTCTGTCACCAGCCAAATGACCTTTCGCAGTTTGTCAGTGTTGTGTCACCAGCAGTCTTCGTCTCAGAACTATTAGAGCATTTGTGAACATTCTGTGTCTCACCTGCAGCTCAGCCAATAACAAGGGTGGCAGCCTGAAGGTGGCAGGCAACAGCCACATTTTAAGCCTTATTATATAAGTTTTTGGCAACCTTTGGTGAACACTGGCATTGACACTGTGAATGTTGATGCTCCCATCACCAGCAGGAGTGAAGTCAAGGCACTTTCCTTGAGTGAAACGACGCATTATGTTAAATAAGAAATTGCATTTAAAATGTCTGCTTGTGGTTTTAAAATAACAGCTGTTGGGATGGGGCTGGGAGCTGATCAGGGCTGGCGCTGTGGTTTAATCCTTTCCCACTATGCTGTGATTTCAACAAAAAGTTCCTCCCTCACCTTCTTGTTTTCTGTTTTATGGTTTTCCACTTTTACCTGTAAATCACTCAGAAAACTTTAGCTGTTGGGTATTATGCACAAATGTAAAATAAGCAAATGAATTAATGAATTAAAATTTGCCTGGAGGAAGGAAGCTGTTAGTAAGAAAAATGCACCCTGCATATGCTCAGGGGCTCTTTCACCTATTCTTCCACGTGCTTTTGAGCCAGAAGCATGAACCTGTAGTCTCAGTCACAAGGTCTTATGCCACACAGTTCTAGGACTTAATCCCATTTCACACTGAAAACAAACAGCCTTTCCTCCTCCACAGGAAACCCTGTTGGGAGCCTATAACCCTAGGAATCTGCTTTCAGCACCCTCACCAGACTACAGTTCCCAAGAGATCTTTGGAGGGCACCCAAACACCTCAAGCAGTAGAAAAACAGACTGTTCTCTATTTTGTGGGAGGAACTCTAGCACATACCAGGAAACATAGGTTTGCAGAAGCATGTTTTGTTTTATTTTGAATTGTATTGTTTTGCTGCTTGGTGGTTTGCCACCCTGGGCTCCTTTAGGAAGAAGAAGGGCAGAGTGGACGTTGAATAAATCAATAGGTGGATAAATAAATAAAGTGGATGGAATCATTCTGTATCCCTAGTGCAGCATACTTATGTCTTTATATATGTTGGAAGCTGTCCAGAGTGGCTGGGTCAGCCCAGTCAGATGGGTGGGGTACAAATAATAAAATTATTATTATTATTATTATTATTATTATTACCCACTTGAAAAAATAAGATGCCCTGGGATTTTCTTGGAGGAAGAGCCATGGGATATAAATTTAATGCATAGAGCAAATAAATAAGAAACAAACTGTTTGCAGTTTGGAAAGTGATGGGGACGTACCATACATTGAAAAGTATGGGGTGGAATAGTGACTAACAGGAAGATGCACACCTTGCAAACAAATCAAGATGAACATTTGTTGTCAACGTATAACCTCCCAGGAAACGAATTGGAGCAAGTGCTCAATAAATCCAACTTCCGCATAAGCTTTGTGCAAGCAAATCAGAACGAACGCTCAATGGTCTGGAGGAGCCCCTAAACTGCGGTTTATCTGGAGTCTCACCTTGGGGGACAAAGATGTTTCCGGCAATGGACAGGCCTGCTAGAATGAGAGTCAATGCCTGGGTGATCCTGCGGCCAAAGTAGCAAATCACAACAAAGGCAATGAGTTTCGCTGGGATATCGACAGCCCCAAAGATCACCTGGATGAGGTAGACGCTGACCCCAAAGTTCTGCAGGTCCATAGCCAACCCATAGTAGGCGAAGCTGGTGGAGAACCTGGTGGCGGATACAGGGAAAACACACAAATAAGCCGAGGGTTGTGGCTCAGGGGCAGAACATTTGCTCTGCGTAAAGAAAGTCCCAGGTTCAGTCTCCAGCATTTCCAGGTAGAACGGAGGGACATCCCTGTCAGAAACCAGGTGAATCCGCTTCCTGTCAGCGTAGATACTGAGTTAGCTCAGTGCTCTTCAACATTTGACCCCCCAGATGTTTTTGGACTCTGTTTTCCATCATTATTCTTTATGCACCATTATTTATTAAATTTGTTAGTCGCCTCCAACCCAAAGTGACTTACAACCAACCACCTATCGTTCCATTTACAGTGGTACCTCCATTTTTGAGTGTCTCAGAAGCCGAACGTTTCGGTTTTCGAACGCCGAAAACCCAGAAGTAAATCCTTCCGTTTTTGAATGCACCTCGGAAGTCAAATGGCTTCCGCTGCATGTTTTTCAATTTTCTCCATTGAAATTGGAATTCTCCCTTTGCGCCTCAGTTTTTGAATGTTTCGGAAGCTGAACGGTCTTCTGGAAGGGATTACATTTGAAAACCAAGGTACCACTGTATATCCCAACATTTTCTCCACAGAGCTCAAGGTGGCACCTGTGGCTTCTGCCCTCATTTAGTCCCTCACAACAACCCTGTGAGGTAGGTTAGTCCGAGAAGGAGTCTGGGGGGGGCTGGTCGTGCCCCCTCTCAAAAAAGCACAGCCCCCCAGCCCCCCACACTACACCCCTGCTCTAACCGAGCCAAGAAAACGATCTTTAAAGCGATCTGGCTTTTCTTCTTCCGCTTCTTTCATTCCCTCTCTTGTCTTTCCCACCAGCTGCTTCCACCTCAAACTTACCAGACGAAGCAAAGGCAGCACGTTACCCGTCGCACAACAGGCGATCGCACCAAGTCAGCTGCTGTGAAGTTGGACTTGGCGGAGGGTGCCTCTTTCTGTAGGCTGGCTTTCAAGACCTGCAAGAAAAAGACAAACAAGGGGTTGCCTGCTGCCTGCTGTGGTCTCTGGCCAAATTCCGCACATTTAGGGATGGAATGACAAGACGCCTGGAAACTTACTTAATGTTTAAGGGGAAGGACCATAGTTCCACGTTCAAGTGCATGCTTTGGATAAAGAAGGTTCCACATTCAATTCTCAACCTTTTTCGGTAGAGGTAGGGGGAAAGCCCCATTGGAAACCTTACAGATCAGCAGGCTAGTGAGGGTGGAGGCCAAACAGGCGAATCCACAACTTGCACCCCGATTGCAGAATTAGCGTATCCTGACTGCGGAATCAAGACTGTCGCAAAATACGCACAGCCATTTTTTGGATGGCTGGTCCACCTCATCTTCTTCCTAAGGTTGCTACCATTCCCCACCTGCACTCCCAGGCAGGCTCCTGTTCCCTGTAGATGTTTGGCAGGCAGATATTCAAATGGTGCTGTTTTTTGGTTTTTTTAACAGCAGAGAGGTGCATTTTTGTGTGTGTATGTTTTTTGGGGGGAGCTGGCACTGCTGAATCACTACGTGTTGTGCAGATGCTAAAGGCTTAGAAGTGTAAACCAGGAAGAAAAGGAAGGAACGTTTCTTTCTCTCGCTACCTCAAGGCTGAGCTTCTGCCCTTGCTCCTTCTGCCCATTTATCCGTGCTACTTTTTGCAGCTCCTTGAGTGCCTGGTCCAGTTTGCCAGCTGTGGCATACCACCGGGCAGACTCTGTAAACCACCTGGGCAAGAGAAAAACAGAGAGGCAGCAAGGTGGGGGAACAGGGACACGGTGAGGTGAAAGCAGGTATATACAACCCCTAGGTAATGCCCATCCTGCTCTACAGAAGGAGCCCTTGGGTATTTGTTTAACAGCTCTGCCCTGCACCCCAACATCTCCTTCTCCAACAAGCCCCTCCCTAGGTTCAGCTAGCTTTCCCCCCTCTTAGGGCTTATACTTCTGTGCCTCCAATGGCTGTAAGCAGGGGTGCTGACTCCTAGAGGCTGAACCCCCACCCCAATATTTGTTAGCGGGGGACAGAGTTCCCACAATGTTTGTCCGGGATATGGCGGCTCCTCCCCCCTCCCCCCTCCATGGTGGGGGAGCAGCTCCCGGCTCATGGCATTGGCAGGAGGCGGCGGCAGAGGAGCCTCCCAGACACCCAGACATTGTGCACGATGGCGTTGTGTCTTGGTGTCGTGTCCGACGTCTGGGCATCGCATGCAGCATCACAACATCGCGCATGATGCCCGGATGCAACTCGTGACACCACGGCATCACACGCGATGTCAGCTGCGTCAATCACCCTCCTGAGTCAGCATGCTTGGCTGTAGGAAAGGCAGGAAACCAACAGTTGAAGCTTCCCTCTGAAAATGTGCTGGGGAAGCTTTTACTGTTGCACTGCTGTTTGTCAATGATGCAAACACAGGACCTGCTCTTTAAAGCTGAATCGGAGCAAATGGCAGTCCAGGTTTTCTGCAGATTGCTCTTTGCTCCGATTCAGCTTTAAAGAGTTGTTTTTTTGTGGGAGAAGCTTTGGAGAGAAAGAAAGAGGGTGCCCGGACACAGAGCTTTAAAGCGTGGGTTGTTCCTGGAAAGCGTGGATAAGCCCTATATCTTTATCTTTAAAGTGGCATGCTTAAATGGGGACTGCGAGAGAGGAGAAGAGACAACCCTTTTTTTCCTCCTTGCTTATCCAGTCTCCCCTTCCAGAAGCTTCCTTGTGACACTCCCCCCGCTCCTCAAATGACCGGTGTCTGCCTTTGCAGTGCCCTCAAGGCACTCCTTCCTCCCCAGCTCCTTCCCCACAACCTCAGCTTTCCTCGCCTTCACCCACCAGTCTCCAGCCTCCCCACACAATTAATGTCAGTGTTTTGGGGTAGGGACTCCCACCACTGCCGCTCACAGCAGACAAGAGAGCAGGGCCACAGCGCCACCTACCAGCCGTACAGGAAGAAGGCGAAATAAGGGAAGGAGACGGCCAGCTGGAGCCAGCGCCAGTCGCGGATGGCATAAGCTATGCCGGCAAGGATGAACTGCCCGACGCTGTAGCTGTATCCAGTCACCATGCTGATGGTGGCCCGGGAATGCATTGGGGTCCACTCTACCGCTGGAAGAGGAAAACCCCATGTTGCCGTCTAGCAATGTTCAAAGGAGTGAACACCCACCTAACTGATCCTGGGGTTTCTAACAAGAACTTTGACCTAAACTCTGTGTCAAACAGAAAATATAAAACCAGTACTTTCTTCCTGGAAGCACTCAAGGTTACACAGTACTGGCACCTTCTGCCCCCCTCCCCATGTTAAAAGTGTGGTATTTACTGTAACAATTTCATGGTGAGTACCTCCCCCCCCTTTCTATATAAAAAAACACCGTATAAAACATATGGGACAGATTGAACTTCTCCAGTTCCTCTGGGACATAAATGTACATCAAAAGGAACACCCGAAAACCTTATTTGCAGCAGTGGAGAAGTTAAAACACAAACCTAGCTAACGGTAAGGCACTGCTATATTTAGGTAGATTTATCACTTCTAAATATTTTGGCAGTTTAATCCCATGATTTGAATTCACACATGTAAATAATGAAGAACAGGTTTTGTTAGTCCAATATCGTATGCTCTAAATGAGTGGAGATTTAAACCCAGATATCCCTTATTCTGTGCAACACTCACTACGACACAACATAGTGCCTTGGGGTGTGTGTGTGTGCACAAATCAGACTTGAACCCAGATCACAAGGCAGGGAAGTAGTCATCACTCATTTTACCCCATTGGTGCATAGGGATGAGTGAATCCGTCAATGATGATTGGCGTTTCTCTCAGGTTCTCATTTTACCAATATTAGTCCTCCTTGTTTCCACATCAGTTTGCAAGTTTCTTTTATATATATAAAAAAGTCCTCATGACAATTCACCAGCATTTTTGTGTGAAGTTTTCCTAATATACAAATGTTTGTATGTAATTTTGCCTAATATGCACATTTTTGCAAAGTGATGTCTCCTGATACAATGCATTTTCCCATTTATTTTTCATGAATATATGTGTATTTGTGTGCTTTTTTGTACCCAGGTTTTAGAGGTGTGAATGAGAAAGGATGCCTCTGTTTCAGTTGTTTTATTATGTGTGCAGATTAGATGGTCACGAGGCACCAGAATTCACATCGGAGGCCCCGTGGGGTGGGTGCTTGGGCCCCCAGGGTCCCCTATAGTTGGTGTCAGTGGCATACTCAACCTACAGGTGAAAACAGCCCTTTGATTTTCCAAGAGAACTGTGTAAAAGTCAGATCTAGCAGAATTAATCAGAGGCTTGAAAAATAGAGCTGAACAAGGAAACGACAGCACATTTCCAACTTCCTTCATTGTCTCCAGGTACCTTTCAAAGGAGAAAGGGGCAACTACCTTCTCCAGCAGGGGGCAGTACCTGCGTGGTGGTGGTGGGGCTCAGAGGCTTTGTGAGCTCCAGGGGAAGTCCTCAAAGGTGCCTGGGTGCCCAAGGGCATCATGTTGGTGACGCCTGATTTAATATTGTAAGAAAAGGCAGTGTGCGTAGGCGGCCATTTTCTCAGTAAAACAACAACTGAAAAAAGAGATTCCAAGACTCAAATTCAAACTCTCTCTCATCTGTAACTGGTTGTCTTTGGTGGATATGACTGCCTGTGATTAATGGGAGAACAATGCCCTTTGCACATGCCCAGAGGCCTCAGGGCAGATTTGCAGCATGCTTGGCTAACGTTTTAAGTCTTGGAACCAGCCACTAGAGGAAACTTACTTACACAGCGACACGCAGTTCAGCCCAATGCCTGAGAGAGCCATTCCTGACAGGAAGCGGAAGATGCAGTAAGCTGTGAAGCTGGGGGCAAAGGCAGCGCAGGACCCCGAAACAGCCATTTGGAGACAGGACCAGATCAACAAAGCTTTCCGGCCAAACCTAAACCGGGGAGGAACGAGTCTTGTTATAGACAGGGTGGTGGTCTCTGTGTGGGTGAAATCTGGAAGCGGCAGGAATGGAAGAATGATCTGGAAAAGGAGTGGGGGAGCTTTTACAGCCTGAGGGCCACGTTCCCTTCTGCGCAACCTACCAGGGGCCACATGCCTGTGGTGGGCAGGACCAGAGGCAAAAGTGGGAGGAGCAAGGAATGCAAATATTATATTTGTACGGCGGGCCGGTTTCTGCACACACCTCTCTCTCCTTGACCCAGACAAGCAAGAGGCAGTATCAGAGTTTGAGGGTGCACTCCAGCCAGGCATAAACACTCAAGGAGGGTCTGGCTGGGGAGGCTCCTGAGGGCCAAAAAGAGAGTCATGGAGGGCAGAATTTGTCCCCCGGGGCTGAGGCTTCCCACCCCAGAGCTACTGTAGAAGCACCAAGGCGATAATGGCTGGAGAATGTAAAGAGAACACACCATAGCTGCCAGCATCCTGGGCGGGCAAATCAGGACATGACCTCCCCCCGCATGTTGCCGCCAGCCGCCCTTACATGTCGCTGCCACTCATCGCCTTGGGATAAAACTAAAACCTGTGAGGATCATGGGACGAATTGAAGAAATTACGGGGCAAATGAAAATGTAGATGAGCCCAGAGTCGGATACTTTCACTGGCCCTGAGCCCACAGTCTGTACCTCAGGTTACAGACACTTCAGGTTACAGACTCCGCTAACCCCGAAGTAGTACCTCGGGTTAAGAACTTTACCTCAGGATGAGAACAGAAGTCGCGCAGCGGCATCAGCGGGAGGCCCCATTAGCTAAAGTGGTACCTCAGGTTAAGAACAGTTTCAGGTTAAGAATGGACCTTCGGAACGAATTAAGTTCTTAACCCAAGGTACCACTGTAATCCGGATAAGACTCTGGGACTGGGGGAAAGTCAGTTTCTGCCTAGGAAAAAAGTGGTCCTCTTCCCTGCACACACACACACTGAGTTGACCCCAACATGGGGGGGGCATGGCGTGACATCACACATGCGCCGCCCTCCCAACCCGGCCAGGCCGACTTGGCCCATCATGCCCCCCCCACCCCAAACAGCCAGATTAATAATAATAATAAGAATAAATTTTATTTATATCCCGCCCTCCCCAGCCGAAGCTGGGCTCAGGGCGGCTAACGACAATAAAACAATACAAAAGTACAGTATAAACAACACTCTAAAATCATTCATTATAAAATTAATTAATTCAAGCCACTGGCAACCATTGGGCCAGACCTCCGCGAAGATTGCTGAGGGAGGGAGTCAGGCTGTGCCCTGGCCAAAGGCTTCATGATTAGCTTCATGAAAGGGATGCGCCAAGGCAAAGACTATTCATCCTGGCTCATCCTTTTGAGGATTGTCACGAAATTCCCTTGAAAATATGGGGCCCCCCAGCCCCCCCTTTGATGGCGCCCCTGTCCCCACAACCCGCCATTTGCCATTTTGCTTCTACTAATCTAGTATGATTTTTAAAAACAAACAAACAAAGGATTCCTTGGCCCAGCTAGAACCAACCGCTTTGACGCGCATTCGCGACGTGCTTTCAAAGCGCGAAACGCCTTACTTGTCTGAGAGGCCGCCGAATGCGACCGCACCCACCAGCACCCCCGCCATGTAGATTGACTGGGCCATCTGCTGCAGCGTCCGAAAGTCGCACACCAGGTCCCACTGCGGGAGGGAGGGGGGGAGGGCGGTTAACACAGAAGCATCACCATCGCTTGGCTTTTCCGAAAAGCGAAGCAGAAAAGTTGACTTTGGGATATGTATCTATAAAGCTCCATTTCCTTTTCCAACTTTCCATCTCACACAGAAGATGGTGTGCGCTCAAGCTCCGCAGCTCCAAAAGGCATTCCTAGAACCATAGGTGGCCAAGGCAGTTTTTACTGCAAAAACTTTAATCCTTAAATCCCGTTGGCAAGAACAGTGGTACCTCGGGTTACAGACACTTCAGGTTACAGATGCTTCCACTAACCCAGAAATAGTACCTCAGGTTAAGAACTTTGCTTCAGGATGAGAACAGAAATTGCGTGGTGGCGGCGCGGCGGCAGTGGGAGTCCCCATTAGCTAAAGTGGTACCTCAGGTTAAAAACAGTTTCAGGTTAAGAACAGACCTCCAGAACAAATTAAATTCTTAACCCAAGGTACCACTGTATTGTGGCAATTGTGTTGAGTAGGAAATTGCTGAATTTAGACAAATGCAGGAGACCCCAGATATAGAACCTGGGATTTTCCTCCTGCAAAGCTGGTCCTCAACTTCTGAAGAATAGACGCCCCCCCAGCCCCCCATATTTATATGGAGACTCTTCGCATGAGCTTACGTGAATGATGGATTAGGAGAGGGTGGGGGGTTTTTTGCAGGAGGGGGGAGGATTATTTAAATCACTAAACTTTTGCAAATAGATAATCACAATTTAGCTACTCAACATTGCTCCCTTAAAATCAATCTTGGGCATAGTCATATTTCATATTGAATGTGGACATGTGGCCTATCTCCCCCCCCTTTATTTGTGAAAAATTTTGTTACAGGAAGTCATCTGCATCATTGTTGGGGACCCTCCAGATTATTTAATTATTATTTGTATCCTGCCTTTCCACCAAGGAGCTCAAGGGGCCAAACATGCGTATCCCCCCCCTCTGCTTTCTCCACACAACAACCTTGGGAGGTAGGCCAGTCTAAGAGAGAGTGACTGGCTGAAGGTCACCCAGCTGTGTGGGGATTTGTACCCTGGTTTCCCAGGTCCTCTTCCCACACACTTAACTTCTGCACTGACTGCGATTCCCATCACCCCAGACCAGGGACTGTAGTCTAGCAGCAAGTTCCCCCCGATCTACACAAATCCAGCATCCAGAATCCCACTTCAGTACCAATCCAATCCCAAAAAATGTGGTGAGGCATTGCTGATCCTCACCTAAGGCCTTCCTACCTCTGTCACAATGGTCGACGTGAAGACTTGGCCATCGTAGGTCCAGCCGTCAAGGCAAGGCTCCAACTCTGCCTCTGTTCTCTCCAGCTCCGTGGAATTGGGCTCAAGGAAGTGCCACTGGGTGGTGACGAAGCGACGGCACTTCTGCAGCAAATGGTTGCCATCTGTCGGGATGAAGGCTCTCAGAGGATCCCGACAGTCTGCGCCTTCGGTGACGTTGCTGCCACCGCATGTGCTGTTAATGCCAGTGCGGCAGCGGTGCCCGGGGACGGCTGCTGTAAAATTCTGCAAGAGGTTGTGGGCTGCCATGAGGACCATCGGGAAGCAAAGCAGCAGCACGTTGAGGACCTGGAAACGGCCCATGCCGCCAACCTGATCCAAAAGTTGGGCAAAAGTCATCGCGGCCCAAAGATGCAGGACGGGCCCGGCTGAATCGGACGAGGCACGTTGGCCGATGTAGATGCAATGGCAGCAGGGGAAGGAGAAAATATATACCGGTATATATACTTGCAAACGTTAGGTGTTTGCTTGGCGATCTGGAGGTGCAAATCACAAATGGACTTGCTAAAACGTAGAGATGGAAACCTCCAAGAACCGGCCCGGTGGAGGCTGTCAAAATGATTCCACGGCTGATTTCCTTTGCAGTGGTTGGAGCTGTGCTGAAGGAATGAAACAGTTAAGAAGGACACTTCCCATGCCTCCCGCTGATGGGCAAACAGACGGGACCTCTGCCCTCCTGCGTGTGCATTTCATATTTGAGCCTGCTCCAAGGTCACCCAGAAATGCGCTGCCGCTTATGTGCAGTTCCTACGAAGGAACCAGTAGGGCACCTTTCCCTCTCCCCCCTCTGCCTGCAGGAACGAAAGGTAGAATGAGGCTGAAAAGGCCAGAGCAAGACAAAAAGGCTCTGGAGAGGGGCTTGTTTTTCTGTGCTTCTGATTAAGCTCCTGCTGAGTTTCAGACGGCTTAGTCGGTTCCATTAGACCCACATCTCCTAAGAATGGAGGTATTAGTGAAAAGGGAGGGGTGCACATTCACTTCCAGCGAACTTGGGCGAGATGGTGGTAACAGGCAGAGGAATGAGCTGAGTCAGGCCTGGAATATGAACTTTTCCCCTTGAAGTCATTTGCATTCCTGGTATCAAAGAAAACATCACAACGATAAGCTTTATTTATGGGGGCTTTGCAGATCCGGGGGGGGGGGGTCGTTTGCTGCTCTGGGTGTTTGGTAAGACTTTTTCCACCCTTCTCTTGGTCTGGGATGCTTCCCGCTGAGGTCGCGTCATGAATCCCCAATGAATGTATCAGTCTGCATGGTGAACCCTTCTGCCTTTGACACATCCACATGTCACGAAAAATGGGGCTCTCTCAAGGGAGACCCTGCAATGTCCGCTATTGGTCAGTGGAAGGAAACAGAGTCACAGCCAGCTAAAATGAAAGGAAACTACCCAGCCCTGTCAGAAAGACCACCCAAAATGTAATGAAAACATCAAAAAGAAAGAGGAGGTGTTTAGTGACACTGGAGCACACATGAGTACATAGTTTTGGGACTTGTCAATCACAATACTTTGTGAATTGCCTGTCTTGAACCGCCGTTCAAATTCAGACACATTTTATTCCCCTCTCCAGGCATCTAAACACCCACTCTCCTTCTCCCTCCCAGATCTATTCTTCTTGCTCTTACCCACATCCCCCTCTTTGATCAGCAAATGACAGTTCCCTCTTCTGTGGACAAGCAACCCTCTCCAACTGGTAAGACATTCGCAGCTAGTTGAGGGGTTTCCTAGTTTCCTGGCTGTGTGACTTCAGAGGTGGCTGCTGGGGTGAGGTGTGGGCCAAACACTGCTCACTTTTGGGTTTACTATATCATTTGACATGAGTTTCATTCATAAGCAAGGTTTTCCATTCATAAAAAAACCTATTACTTCAGAGGAAAAGGTTATGAATTTATCCTTTCTGGGTGGTGCATGTGGGGTGGTACATGCCCTCAATTTACAGCGCAACCAATAATTTCCAGCGCTTGATGGGAGGCGCTGATGGGCATTAATTACACAGCTCTGCAAAAGTGATCACAACTGCAAGGAACAGGTCTCATATATAAATTAAATGTTCAGAAATGTACAAGGCAAACATATGCATAAGTATATAAACCACGTGTCTGAAATAGTACAGGAGAGCAATCCTGAAGCCATTTTGATTCTCCCAAATTGACCTCAAATATTTCTCTGCAAGAAGGAAGGAAATGGAAAAGCCTCCCCATTGTCTTTTGCTTACAAATCCTGCCTTAAGGGTGTATTTGTGTATGAATAGGGTGAGCCTGTGACCTCAGTTCAGGAACTAAAGTATTAGCCATCAAAAAAGAATGGCCAGACTGCCCAGGTAATGCAACCAGTGACCATTATCAGGTATCCTGGCAGACAGGATTTCTGCTGTAGGTTTCAATTATATGCAATTTCACTGATGCGCACGGTGCCTTGGAACATAACCCCCACATAAACAGGGGTGGGGGGAGACTGCTTGTACTGCTGAAGATGATGTTACCTGTGTTGTTTCTGCTGTAGCATTGGAGAATGCATGAGCAAAGTATTTAAACTTGCTAACGTTTATGGTCTATTCACTCCAAAAGGGGTGGAGGAGAATTTTAATTGCTTAATACTGGCACATTTTATAACATGACAAATGTTTATTGAATACATAAATTGTTCAGACCGTGGCAGGAATCCACCCAGCACTCTTGGGGAAATGTGGCGTGATCTCTTGGAGTAATCAAATGAAACTTTAACATATGGCATGATAAAATTCTATAATTTTATCAGGACAAGTTACTTGTTGCTTACTGTTGTAACAATTGTTTTCTCAAAATTTATCTTCTGAACCATGAAAATAAATAAAAACAGTATTATTATTTTTTAAAAATAGTGGCATATTTAAAGCTCTAACAACATATATTTCCTATGCTTTGCAAATGATCTGTGTTTTCAACTCTGCTAGGGACTATTTTTCCTAAAGAGTGAGTCAAGCCTCGCACCCCTTTTCCCCAGCCATTTTTTCTTTGTAGTTCCCCACACACATGGGACTTCAGGATTAACTGGTATTCCCCAGTGATTTCCAACCAAAACAACAGTCCACCAGTTTGGCGGCAGCCCTCCATATCAAGTACCTTTCTATGTTTCTGTCTAGATCAGCCCTTTATCCAAAGCACCAAGGGCTGCTGCCATGGATTGAGCCAAGAGTCCAGTGACATCTTAACGGATTTATTATCACAGTTTCCAGAGGAGTAGCCGTACAAATCGAAAATGCTGTCTGCTGACTGCAGCTACTACTATGGCATAAGATCCACTGTCCTGTAATATCACATATGAGCTTTAACTTTTGATGAAGCCCAGGACAGCGAAACCAGGCCAATATTCCGGAAATCCTTGTCTTTGTGAGAGGATTTTGTGGAACTGTAACAACCTTTCATGTGGATGGTTTGGACTTTATGAACAGACAGGTGGAATAGACACCATTACATGGATGGACCTTATGCATGAACTGACTAGAGAATGATCTGATCCACTGGGTCTTCTGCTTCGTTTGTTTGTTGAACTTTATGAGTTACTTCTGTTGAAATTTATAATTTGGTACAATGAATAGTATACCTTATTTATCTAAGAACACAGCCGGTTACGTCTTGTGTGTTTATTGAGCATGCTTTATGTGACCATAGGTTTGTTCGTTGTTGTTCTGTTGAAGCAAAGCAATGCAAAATGAAATAAAGAGCCTTGTGGCACTTTAAAGGCTAACACATTTATTATGGCATCATATGCATGAAAAAGCCTCTCATGGCCGACACACACACATATATATAGGTATAGAGAAAACTGTAAACAGTGGGGCCCAAAGGCCACAGGATGCAGAAAGTACAGTCTGACATTTCTTCGCAAATCTCAGATGTATACAATACAATAAGCACAGTAACCATTTTCATCAGTAGCAACTGGCAATCTTCCAAACTTTGTTCCGTTAATTACACACTAGGTACGAGAGGAAACCCTGGTTCCAATTGAGCCCCAGACACACAGAATCAAACTTGCCACAGAAATTCTAGTTCAGTCAGAGGCTGCCTAGTGTGGAGTCAAGTCAAGTTGCAGAGTGTATCCCTGAACAGCTTTGGCAGGAGAGAAGCCTGTGGTCCTCCAGATGTTACTGAACTACAACTCCCATCATCTCTGATAAGGGATGGGGAAGGAAACTGAATCAGTTTGTATCTAAAGACAAACTCTAATTCACACTTTTCAAAACAGTACATGAATCATAACACAGCCACCTTTTGAAATTCACACTTCTCCAAATTTTGCCGTGCAGTTCTCCAGCGAAGTGATGTGTACAAAAATACATATACTTGGACAAAGCTTGCATAAAAATGCATATATTAGTGAAAGTAGTGCACAAAAACACATTATACTGGAGAAAATTGCTTTGCAAAAACTATCTATTTTGCCAAACTTGAATTAAAAAATGTGTATATCAGGGTAAATTCACAATAAAATGCTGATGGGTTTTCAAGCAGGCTTTGGAAAAATAAATAAATTGCACACCTATGCAGAAATGTGGAGAACCAAATTTAAGACTGGAAAGAGGGTGCTGACATTTTTGCGTCCACGCGAGCACATTAAATTTACATGCCTGTACCGTAGGTGTATGCATATCCCACCGCTTCCATCAATTCCCTCCCCACTGAGATTTAACTTTTAGAGGACCTGGGGAGGGGTCTGAAGACTGAAGACTGGGGTGGGCAGGTGAGGGTGGAGTGAAATAGCCCCTGTGTCTTTTGTCTTCTTAGCTACCATCTTTAATGGGATCAGACTTGGTGGAGGCAAGAAGAACCTTCATTTGTTGTTCATCCTCTCGGAGGGGTCTTGACCTTAAAAGTAAAAGCAATTGTACAGAAATAAGCAATACAGGAGGTAGCAAGGACAGTGATCATGCCCTATGCGGAAATGGCAGAAGGAGATGGGCATGTTTATCTAACCGTCTTAGAGACTCCACTCTGGATTTGTGTAGGGTTTACTCCTTTGCCTTTTCTTCTCCCAAAGATATCCCACAAGGCATTTACTGTTCACTAAATGTGTATAGGCTCCTGCCAACCGAGCAGTTCGAAAGCACATCAAGTGCAAGTAGATAAGTAGGTACCACTACAGCGGGAAAGTAAACGGCATTTCCGTGCGCTGCTCTGGTTCGCCAGAAGCAGCTTAGTCATGCTGGCCACATGACTCTACGCCGGCTCCCTCGGCCAAGAAAGCAAGATGAGCGTCGCAACCCCAGAGTCGGCCACAACTGGACCTAATGGTTAGGGGTCCCTTTATCTTTAAATGTGTATAGGATTCCAGCCTAAAAGTCTTATAAATTCATCAGTTAAAGAAGGGAGGGGGTGCTTTTTTTTTTTTAAGTGTCTCTGAGTAGTATATAGAATTCTTTTTTCTTTCTTAAAGAACCCCTGACAGTAAAGGACCCCTGACAGTTAAGTCCAGTCATGGCCGACTCTGGGGTTGCGACACTCATCTTGCTTTACTGGGTGAGGGAGCCAACATTTGTCCACAAACAGTTCTTCCGGGTCATGTGGCTAGCATGACTAAGCTGCTTCTGGCGAAACCAGAGCAGCCCACGGAAATACCATTTACCTTCCTGCTAGAGCGGTACCTAGTTATCTACTTGCACTTTGACGTGCTTTCGAACTGCTAGGTTGGCAGGAGCTGGGACTGAGCAACAGGAGCTCCCGCATCCCTGTTTTTGTCCTTAGCCAGCCCAATTTGAGGGCAGGGCCACCAGGGCAGAAACCTCCCCAAAGCGTTAGATATATTTTGAAACTCACCGTCTCTCCACTTCCTCAATTGTCTCTGCAAGTGGGACATTCCGGGTCTCTGGTAGAAAACAGGCAGCAATGCCAGAGATAATGGGGGCCGTTCCATAGATTATCAGCGGCAACGGTGCGAATATTTCCCCAGTCATCTTCACCAGAGGGGCTATCATGCTACCCACACGGGCCATGGTACCCCCCAGGCCCATCCCCGATTGCCTGTGGCAGGAAAGGAAACTGATGTGAAGATCTGCAGTTTTCAGCTCTTTCTAGAGCTTCTGGTTTGAATGTGGATTGCATGACCGTCAGTTTGCTTAGAGTTTTCTAGGGCAGCATCACAAGATACAAAATAAAAATGCAGGGCTCTTCCAGATGACCTGTTTGTTGAGCAGTCATCTTGATTTGCTCACACAAAGCTTAAGGGGCAGCTAGACAGCTTTACTGAACTTTTCATTCTGATTTGTTGGCAGGGAGACTATACAACAATGCATTCGCCATGACTTGCTTGTGAGGCGTTTGTACGTCTTCCTCTTAATGATTAATTAATTCCACACTTTTCAATGGGGATGAAGGAGAAGTTCCGTTTTCATTTAAAGGCAAATCTACCTTAAACACACTTTTCAAAACAATACACAAACCAAAACACAGCTAGCCTTCACAGTTATCTGAATTTTGCATTGTAGGTTTCCAGGACTCCCTTTGACCCACCTGACCACAGTTGGGAAAAGCTCTCCGGAGAAGATGTAGGCGCAGTTGAAGGAGGCTGCAAGGGAGCCTTTGCCGATCACAGCAAAAACCATTCGCAGATTGCTCAGATCTAAGAATTAAGAGAGAATTGTCAGTTGGAAGCAAAAATTCACAGAGGATAAGGCTACCAATGGCATGTAGCCACAATGGCTATGCTGAAGCTCTGCTCTTGAAGGAAATATGCATCTGAACACCAATAGCTGGAAACTAGAGGTAGGGAGAGTTGCTCAGGTTTTGCTTTTGGGCTTCCCATTGGAACATCTGGCTGGCTGCTGTGAGAACAGGATGCTGGACTGGGTGAACCATTGACCTGTTCCACCAGGACTCTTCTTATGCCTGGGATTGAGGCCAGTGGGGAGGGGAGACACTATATCTTTGCACAATTTCTGTGCCGCGCTCATAACAAGATCCTCACCTGAAGGCACAAAGATGTTGGCCAGGATGCAAAGCCCTGCCAGGATAAGTGACGAAGCCTGGGAGAATCGGCGGCCCACAAACGTGATGGTCAACACTGAGGCCAGCTTGGCTGGGAAGTCAACAGCGCCAAAGACCAGCTGGGTTAGGTAGATGTTGAAGCCAAAGTTCTGCAGGTCCATGGCCAGCCCATAATAGGCAAAGGCGGTGGAGAACCTGGGGTGACAGATCACAAGTCAGGATGCTCAACCAACATGCCCCCAACTTCCTTGCTTGCCAACAATGTCCTGTCTTGTCTTCCTGTCTTGTCTGAAATGGATTCCAATAATCTGTTGGTTTCAGTTTCTGACAGTTCTTTCTCTCCAATCTTAAATTCCGTTCTCCACATTTCCATATCAGTTTGCAGTTTTTATTTTATTTTTAAGCAATCTTGCGAAAATTCACCAGCCATTTAGTGTGGATTTCTCCAAAGAGTCACATTTGTATGTGATTTTGCACATATTCGTAAAGCAATTTCCCCCTGGAGAATACAGTGTTGTATGTGATTTTTACTAATATAGGCATTTTAGTGCACACTTTGCCCTAGTATATGCGTGTGTGTACACATTACCCGGCTGGAGAACTGCCTTTCAAAATTCAGAGATGCGTGAATGATGGTGCCTGGCACCATCCCTAGGGAAAGCATTGCTCAAACAGGGAGCCAACACTGAAAAGGCCCATTCCTCAGACTTCCTTCTTGAGAAAGATAGTTCAGGTATCCACCCTCCACCTGCCACTGTGAAGACAGATGCAAATAATTCATTCAGCCCCTCTGCATTCTCCTTATTCCAACACCCCCCCCCTTTTGCACCCCCTATTTGTTTGCTTGCATGTCAGGGCTGGGTCATTGGCCAGTTAGAACAGAGACTCAAAGTAAAGCTGGCTTTTGATTCAAGAAAATAGCATACAAGCAGGGAGCACACAGGCATGGCTGCTCTCAGTGGCAACGTTGCCAGGACTAGCTCTTGGCTCCTCCTCCTTCCCCCTAAATCTTCTCCTCTGGATGTCTCCCAAACTGGTTCAAACTCTGGCAGGCCCTTGACCTTTCTGAGCTTTCTGTTCGGCTATATGTAAAGCCCTGCATGGCTTTGGAGTCAAAACGGGAGGGACGCTCAACACAGAGGGACCGGGCAGCTGCTGCAAAGCTGGTGCAGCTTTTGTCCTTTCCACCTTCTCTCTTTCAGGTCCAGGGCCTGATTTCTCTCTCTCTCTGTACCCATATATCTGTACCAGTATACCTGAAGAAGCGTCTCCACCCCCATCATTCTACCTGGACACTGTCCAGCCCCGAGGGCCTTTTGGCAGTTCCCTCACTGTGAGAAGCCAAGTTACAGGGAACCAGGCAGAGGGCCTTCTCGGTAGTGGCGCCCGCCCTGTGGAACGCCCTCCCACCAGATGTCAAAGAGAACAACAACTACCAGACTTTTAGAAGACATCTGAAGGCAGCCCTGTTTAGGGAAGCTTTTAATGTTTGATGTATTACGGTATTTTAATATTTTGTTGGAAGCTGCCCAGAGTGGCTGGGGAAGCCCAGCCAGATGGGTGGGGAATAAATAATAAATTATTATTATTATTACTCTGTCTTGCTCTCAAAGGGCTTTCTGCCTCAGGCTCTTCTCTTTCCCTCGAGCCTGTTGCTCCTTGCGCCTCCCAGCCTCCCTCCATCTCTGACCTGTCTCCAGAGTCCCACCACCACAATCTTGGCTGTGAGCCTTCCTCCTCTGCTGTTTTCCTGGGGGAGTTCTTCGGTTGGAACCTCCTAGTGCTCCTCTTTATCCAGCCAGTCCCCGACATTGCATGGGGGGGGGGGCAAAGTTTGTGTTCCTTTTTTTTTGCCCCAGCAAGAAGAAGAAAAGAAGGCACTTGCCAGACAAGGGAGATCCCGCAGGAGATTCTGCGAATGGCAGGTGTCCACACCAGGTCGGCCATGCCGTGGCTGGCTTTGGTGGCGGAAGAGAGCTCCTTTTGCATGCTGGATTTCAAAACCTGAGCAGGAAGAGAGCAAAGTTGGGATAAACCAAGCAGGGGACAGAAGGTCACCAACACAGCCCTGCAGCTGGATCAGGCCCAAGGCCCATCCAAGCCAGCATTCTGTTCTCCCAGTGGCCAATCAGTCGCCTCTTCTGGAAAGCCTCTAAACAGGACCTGAGCACAGCCACAACTCCACCTGCGATTCCCACCAACTGGCATTCAGAGACATGCTGCCTCTGACTGTGGAAGCAGAACATAGCCATCTTGGCCTATAGCCACAGATAGCCTAATCCACCGACACTTCGTCTCCCAAGACTTGTTGCAGAATGAGAAAACAGGGTCATGAAATGCTTTACAGCTCCCGACACAAGTTGGCTGACAATGAACCTGAGCTGTGCAGCAAAGCGTTTTGCTTTGGAAATCAAATCTTAATCTAGCAAGCTCATGCATAGCTTATATAAAAAGGTGGTACACAAATTAAAAGTGGAATGAAATAGTTGAAAGGCATCAAAATATGTTGGCAAATGAGGGACTCGCCCAAGCTGGATTCATAATGGCCAAACGATCTCATGGTTAGCTAAATATGAGTTTATTTGGCAACATTCATGAATGAAAAATGAATAACTAAGTGAAGTGAACTGAAATGGCTGAGCCCTAGGGATATATGAAATAATACTTCTGAGCATGCTCAGAGTACCTTTCCATCACAGCCAACTGCAGCCAGTCCTCAGGTGTCTCAGGATGGGAGGCCTGAATTTGAACTCTACTGATGAGTTTGCTAGGGCCGTTGCACACATGGCTGCTTCCTAATTTTGTGCCTGTGCAAAAAGTTGCATTTCTTCCTTGTCCTGCATCCCCAGCGTGATGTACCTCCACACTAAGTTTGTCTCCTTCATTCTTCTTCCCGTTTATTTGGGCGGCTCTCTTGAGGCCTTTCACTGCCTGCTCGTGTTTTCCTGAAATTGCCAGCCATCGTGCCGACTCCACATACAGCCTGCAGACCAAACACAAGGAAAGGGGAATCTTTCAGTAGCTCTCTGAGGGAAGGAAGGAATGGCTAGAGCAGGGAGCAGTTAACTCTTTATCTGAAGAAATGCCTGCTCAGGGGAGCCAGGCCTAATGAGCACAGCAACACTTTTCTGTTGGTCTTGCCTTTATGAGGCAGTTGTGGAGGCTGAATGTCTCTGCCTTCCCACAGCTGCTTACGTCCCCTCCTCTCCCAGATCCTTCCCAGACAATCTGAGACTACACCAATGTGCCTCTCTCTGCTCTTCCCTCTTCATACCTCTTCTGGTCCTGGGAGACCATGGGGGAGGGGAGCTTGGTGCAGCAGGAGAGAGAGAGAGACACCCTGGGTTCCTCACCAGCCTGATTCATCTCTGCCTTTTGGGCTCCCTCCACTGCTGCTTCCAATTCTGGACTTCTCTCTGCCACCGAATCTCCCTGCTCACTAAACCCTGTTACCTCTTCTGCTTCCGACACCTCCTCCTCCTTGTCTGCTCCCTCTGTCCACCTGTTATCATCCCACCACTACTCCTCAGGCTCTGAGCCTTCTTCCCCTGGGGGTTCCCTTGGGGATTCCCCAGCTTGTGCCTCCCACCATTCCTCTGCATCCCACCACTCCTTGACTGCTTCTGCCTTCTAGTATTTGTCTGTTGCTTGCCTGGATGGAGAAGTCTGATTTTGGCGTGGCTGAAATATAGCCTCCTGGAGAAAGGTAAGATTCACACCTGCTGCCGTGCCCTCTTTTCCCTTTGGCCCTGCCCACCACTGTCTTGTGGCCCCAGGGAAGTCATTCGCAAGGAATGTGGCCCTTGGACTGAAATGTTTTCCCACTCTTGTTGGAAGGATATACTGGGACCGATTTAAAAATGCAGAGTAACCCACAGTGAGCTTGGAGCACCTTCCACTCTCCGTGTCTGGGATTGGGACCTGCGGCGAGCAGGACCCAGCCATGTGTATTACTTCACTTGCTGCAAAATGTGTCAAGCCAGCCCTGATGTACGGGGCGGCCTGATCCCTCCTGCTCCTGCTGCTGTGCTTTGGGCTTCTCTGCCCCAAAGTCCTGCCCTGGTGGCGCCACTGCCAGCAGACCACACTGACCTACCAGGAGTAGAGGAAGAATACAAAGAAAGGCAGGGAGACTGTCAGCTGCAGCCAGCGCCAGCCAGGGATGGCGTACGCCAGTCCAGCCAGGATGAACTGCCCAGAGGTGTAGCCATAACCGTTGATGGTGCCAACAATGGCACGGTACTTGGTCGGAATCCACTCCATGCCTGGGGAAGGAGAAAAGGATACATTTTTTTTTTAAAAGCTGCTTTTTTCAGGTTGGCAACCGATGTCAGAGGAGCAGGGTGAGTAAAAACGATAAAAGTGCGCAGGTAACAATTATGGGTACCACTTTCTTGCCGCAATTGCTGTTCAGGGTAGGAGTCGTACATTAGTTGCCTAGCTAAGATATCGTTTTCTTTTCCCCATGATGCACCTTTGAACCTGAGCTGTTGACTCAAATTCAAGTTGATTAAGTGCCATGGGAGTTGATTGAGTGGACAGGGCACCGAAACACAGAGCTGTTATAGTCACGTAGATTAAAAAGGCGTAGGTTTTTCTTTTCAAATTGGGAGCAATGTTTCAATATACAAAAATAAAGTGTGTAGAAGTGCTGGCTTAGTACAGTTAAAATATAAACTTTTCCCCTTGTAAAGTAGGCTTGTTTCTAAATACACACACACCCTCTCCATTTTCCATCCAGACAGTCATAGAATTATAGAGTTGGAAGGCACCACAAGAGATTCACAGAAGATTGGAAGAAATATACGAACTATTTGAAGAGCAAATTACGCTAGTAGGACTACAAGAAGTTTTGTAAGGAGGAATATATGAAATATTGCAAAGAAGATAAAGAGGAGAGACATTACTTATGATACTTAAATGTAATAGTGAAAGTAAGAAATGTAAATTAAGTGGAAAAGATTGGAAAATTTTCAGATGTGATTGATGGAAGTCAAAAAAATTGTATAAGATATAAAAGTATGTTTAATAACTGTGGAAAATGATGCTATATATATATATATATATATATATATATATATATATATATATATAATTTAGAGAGTTGGAAGGCACCACAAGGGTCATCTAGCCCAACCCCCTTTTTGCCCCATGTGGGGCTCGAACCCACAACCCTGAAATGAAGAGTCTCATGCTCCACCAAATATCCACAAGCAAGAGGCATTGTCAGAGTGCAAGGGCACGTTCCCTCCAGACAAAAACCCCTCAGGGCCAGCGAAAGGTATTGCCTAGGGAAAGGGGGGGGTGTCTGAGGAGAGTCACGGCGGCCAGTTAGACAGGCCTTGGGGGCTACCCTTGGCCCTGGGACCTGAGGTTCCCCATCCCCGGTTTGTAGGATGAAATGGAAGTGGGCCTGTTCTTCTCAGGTGGCTTGTGAAGGGCTGCTTGAGGACTTGGCCAGCGAGAGAGGAGCGTCGAAGTACTCACACAGGGAGACGGAGTTAATCGCTACCCCCGACATGGCCATTCCACACAGGAAGCGGAAAACGCAGTAAGCCGTGTAGTTTGGCGAGAAGGCAGTGGAGGTGCCCGCCACCCCCATCAGCAGGTAGCTCCAGACGATGAGGGCTTTCCGGCCAAACCTAAATGATGGAGTTGAACATGTCTTAATGTGAAGCTAAGAGGAGCCTAAAAAAACTCCCTTATATACCACATCAGGCCATTGGTCTATCTAGCTCACTGTTGTCTCCATGGACTGGCTTTGACTCTCCAGGGTTTCAGGCAGGGGAGCTTCCCAACCCCACCTGAACACACCTGGGATGAAACTGGGAACTCAGGTGTGCAAAGCAGATACGCTTCCATTTGGCTATGGCCCGTCTCCCTTCTTCACTGCAGAGATGGGACCCTTCTGATGTTGTTGCCAGTTTGCATTTCTTAGTGCAGAAAGTATTGACCTGATGTCTAGAGATCTTTCTTAGTCTAATTAATTCAAGAGGGTTCTGGAAGCTTCTCTGTGTGAAAGAAGCAAGCAGAAGGTTCATGATGTTTGGGTTATTCCTTCAGAGAAGCTGAGTACAGCTGGTTTAAATGGGTTCTCTTATCTCTTCTGTCAAGGTCATGCTGACTATAAAAGAAAGGTCAGAAGGAGGCTAGGTTTCACTTTCTCTTTCTATCTCTGGTGTGGTGTTCTGTATACAGTGGTACCTTGGTTCTCAAATGCCTTGGTACTCAAACAACTTGGAACCCAAACACTCCAAACCCAGAAGTAAGTGTTCCAGTTTGTGAACTTTTTCGGAAGCCGAACGTGCTCTGTTTGGAGTGTTACACTTCCGTTTTGAGTGCCACACTTTTGTTTTGAGTGTTATGCTGAGGTCTGTCTGTTTTTGCAATTTATTTTGCGTTTTTGTTTTTGCGGCTCTTTTTATTTTGTTTTTGTGAGTGTATGGAACCCAGTTCAGCTACTGATTGATTGATTGTGTGACTGCAGTACATTGTTTGTTGCTTATATTTTATGGATCAATGGTCTCGTTAGATAGTAAAATTCATTTGAAATTGCTGTTTCAGGGGTTTTTTTAAAAGTCTAGAACAGATTAATCCATTTTGCATTACTTTCTGTGGGAAAGCATGCTTTGGTTTTGGAACGCTTTGGTTTTGGAACGGACTTCCGGAATGGATTAAGTTTGAGAACCAAGGTACCACTGTATAGTGTTAAGGTTTAGTCTTATTATAAGTTATTGCAAGTTTAAGTTAAGTCTGTTGCAACTGGATTTCTTGTGGAAGGGCCAATCCTGAATGTATTGGATTTGTGACCATTATGCTCATTTGCCTTCAATAGCAGTAAAGCTCTGCTGGATGAAATATTAATTACCTCTGGACTATTTTTGGGGGGCAATCCTGCAACGTGGTTAAGTTTTTACTCCGCTAACTATACATTGGAATCTGCTCTGGATCAATACTGAGTACAATTCTATGACAGTTTTTGGGCTACCATCGTCCCTGCCCACAGTAGCTCTTTAGGATTCCTAGAGGTATTTGGACTTGCAAAGAGTTTAAACTTTCAGCTGGAGCCTGATAGGTCCACTGGCTTCACAATAATACCTGTTTTAGGCTCCACCCCTCGATCCAGGTGGCCACGCAACAGGCCACGCCCACATCCCTCACCCACAGCCCCAACCACATTGATTTCAAGAGCTGTTATTATACCCCAGAGGAAGGGGACAACCAACCCCCACAAATTGAACTGGGGAATGGGGGGGGATCCATCCGGCTTTGTTGTTTGTAGCCATGGCAACCGGCCTTGGACCTCACCTGTCCGAGAGGTTGCCAAACAGCACCGATCCGATCAGCACTCCGGCCATGTAGATGGACTGGGCCATCTGCCTCAGGGTCCGGGAATCGCACACCAAATCCCACTAAAAATTGAGGTGGGGGGGAGCAGAGACTGTGTGAGAACAAAGGTGGACATAACATTTGAGGCAGCCCCACAGCGGGGCTTAATTTCTGAGCCTGGAAACCTATTTTCAGCGCGGAATCTGTTTCCAGTGTCCCAGAGGAAAAATTATGTGACTGGTGAACTTCAGGCGAAGGCAATGAAAACAATGACTCATTACAAAGGTGCTGAAAACAATGACTCATAACAATCCTTAAATACCCCCCTTTAGATAATATAACTGTGAACAAGGTAGAGTGCTGAAAGGGGATAAGGAGTAACTTAGGGAAGTCATCATTTAAAGAAGCTGCTTATTTGTTTGTACATTTACAAATAGGTGCAAACGTTTTATGTCCATGTTTCTGATGCTACCGATTCATCCTACCTACTAATAGTAACCTCGCTCTCTCACGCATCCAAAATCCATGCACAAGGAGGAAGGAATCTAGCTCAGAGGAACACCCCCCCCCAGTCCAATTTGCACTTAGCATGCTAGCTGGTAGATTGGGGGGAAATAAAAATAAAAATAAAAATAAAAAATTTATTTATACCCTGTCCATCTGGCTGGGTTTCCCCAGCATTAAACATTAAAAACTTCCCTAAACAGGGCTGCCTTCAGATGTCTTCTAAAAGTCAGATAGTTGTTTATTTCTTTGACATCTGATGGGAGGGCGTTCCACAGGGTGGGCACCACTACCGAGAAGGTCCTCTGCCTGGTTCCCTGTAACCTCACTTCTCGCAGTGAGGGAACCACCAGAAGGCCCTTAGAGTTGGACCCCAATATCCAGGCTGAACGATGGGGGTGGAGACGCTCCTTCAGGTATACTGGACTGAGGCCGTTTAGGGCTTTAAAGGTCAGCACCAACAGTTTGAATTGTGCTCGGAAATGCACTGGGAGCCAATGCAGAATGGATGGGATCTCTGAGGAAAGGCATGGCTGGCAGGAAGCTTGGACATTTTGCTACAGATCCCACTTGTAGACACTGAAATACAGATTCTTAGGCTTGAAAAACGCCATATCATTATGTGCCAGATGTGAAGAAATCCCTCCCTTTTGCTGTTACATTTTGACTCCACACACTCTGAACCTCTGGCTGTTATAGCTGACATCCCTGACAGATCTGCTGCTATAAGGTGCTTTGGGTCTACAAAATTTAATGAGGTGTACAAAAACTGATTTGCTTGCACAAGGTTTATGCCAGAAATATAAAATGTTCAGTCTTGCTTGAGCATCTGTTCTGATTTCTTTTGTCTTTTAAAGCGGCTCTTTAGAATTCAGCATTTTGGTGTGACTCTCTCTTCTAATATACATATTTATGCATGCAATTTTGCCTAATGTACATATTTTTGCAAGCAATTTCCTCATATAATGCAATATTGCATGCTCTTTCTTCCCCCGAGTCACATATTTTTGTTCACGTTATTTGGCAAGTGAATAGCACCCAAAACTCTGGAGAAGTGCGAATTTTGAAGGACAGATGCTTAGGGGTTTGCATATTGTTTCGGGAGGTGTAAATTAGGGAGCTTTGCGTGAAAGGGTGAATGCAAACCTAATATCTCCTCCAGCCCTATGACTCTTTTCAGCTCTATGAAAAACTGTTGCCTCATTTGTCCATGGCAGGACAGGAACATGCCTTACTTACACCAAGTTACACCATTGGTCTATTTGGCTCAATATAGTCTACACAAGGGTTTCCCAAACTTGGGTCTCCAGCTGTTTTTGGACTACAGTTCCCACCATCCCTGACCATTGGTCCTGCTAGCTAGGAATGATGGGAGTTGTAGTCCAACAACAGCTGGAGACCCAGGTTTGGGAAACTCTGGCTGCACTGACTGGCAAGGGTTTTCCAGGTGCCATTAGGAATTGAAGCAGGGACCTTCTGTATGTAAATAATATATGCTCCTTTCCCTTTTTAAAAAAGTTAAGATTCTAGACCTCATGGTTCTTAACTAAGGAGCTTGGGAAGCTGCCTTCTACTGAATCAGACCACTGGTCCATGTAGTGGACTTGCAGTGGCTCTTCAGGGTTTCAGGCAGGGGACACTCCAAGCAGGTGCTCTACCACTGCACGATGGACCTCCCAGCCACTTATCCTCAACCCCACTCTCTCAAGGATGGTCCAGATAGAGAGGGCTGCTCTCTCTCACCTCACTGATGATGGTGTTGGTGAACATGCTCCTGTCGTAGATCCACCCATCAACACATGGCTCAGTGTCCACCACGGCGTTGCTGGGGAGGGTAGCGTTTGGATCCAGGAGCCGCCACTGGGTGGTGACGAAGCGGCGGCACTTCTCTACCTGCTTGTTCTCATCCATCGGGATGGAAATCCGGAGGGAGCTCTCGGCTCCCAGCTGCTGGGTGAGGTTGCTGGCATGGCGGGTGTGGTTGGCCGTGATGCGGGGCCGGCAGTGGTGCTCGGGGATCCCTGCCGTGAAATTCTGCAGGAGGTTGTGGTTGGCCAGAAACATCAGAGGGATGGCCAGGAAGGCGACGGACATCCTTTGGAAGCGGCCCATGCCTCCCAGGTTGTCCAGGATATCTGCAAAAGTCATGGTGGCGTTGGTGGTCAGCCGAGTAGAGTTCCCTGGAGGAGAGGGGCTCCCAGGAGACCCTGATGGGATTCAAGCCTCTGCACACTGGTTGGAGTTTATAGAGAACTGGCCTCTTGTGTTTCAGAAGGCAGAAACGTGGCAATCCACAGTTCCCAGATGGCGTGGCCTGAAATCACCAAAAGCCCGCTGTCGCCCCTTCACCTATCAATAATATTGCTCTTCTCTCCAGCTCTCCTTTATGCCCAAGAAAATTTAAGAACAGGGCCTCTACGTGTTGATGCTGAGAAGATGCCTTCAGTATATAAGACCCTCCTGGCCAATCCACATGCTTTGAAAAGCCAGCACTTTGTATAAAAGCTTCGGGCCGGTTAATTTTTTACCTCTGAGAGCAGTTTCCAAGGGGGCGGTGGCAGCTTAAATGGAAGATGCTCCATCTATTGGGAAAGGGGGAAGTGGACCGGAGCAGTGGACCTTGGCATGTTACATCACACGGGTGACATAACAAGAGCTATCGCGCTAAGTCATTCTCAGAGAAGACCCACAGAGATGAATGGGATTCAGTTATTCCCATTAATCTCAGTGGGTTTGCTTTGAGGACGACTAGTGGTGGCTACAAAGCAGAGAGATGGAGCTAGGGATTAGATCTAGGGCTTTGCATCCAGTCTGGATGAATCCTGGGTCCTGAAGCTACCAGGGGCTGGTCCATGGATGGTTTGAAACAGCCTTTGATCACCCCCATTGAGTCAGATCCACCCAGAGTGATCTGGAGCTGTCAAAATGGAGGAGGATATTGGGCACTTAGGGTGCAGGAGAGACCCTTTGTGGCATTCTTCCCTCTCTCCTGACTCTCCTCACCACTGAACCCTGAGGTTTGCCACCCATGACCTAGAGTGTGTCTCCTTCCAGCCTTGGGTCTCTGAGGTCAGGGGCTGAAACTGGGGGCATCAGTTTCAGCTGAGATGCTTTGCAAAGCTTTGCACCTGAAATTCAGGAAGAACGACACTGCTCTCTTGGCCAGGCTTCCAGTATTTATAACATGCCTGGCCAATGCTAAGGCTTCGTGCTGCCAGCCAATCACAGGATCTGGTGTTGCCCATATTCCCTTGCATGCTTGAGCAGAGCTCCAGAAGGTGAACACATCGTGTGCCAGGTAGCACACTAGGTTAGCCATAAGATTCCTCATTCTAGATGCCAGAGGGTTCAATGTACACAGGCCACACTCACCTCTCCATCCTCCAGCAAGAGGCATTGTCAGAGTTCAAGATCTGGTTCTCAAAGGTTCTGTGGAACCAACTCAATAATGCCCAGGCTTCCCAAATGGCAATACCACAAAGACTGCCTCTCCCCATATGAACCAGCCTGGACCCTACAACCATCACCTGAGGTCCTTCTTCCTGTTCCTCCTCCTCCATGAGAGGTTCGGAGGGCGGCAACAGGAGAACAGGCCTTTTCTGTGGTGGCTCCCCGTTTGTGCCATGCTCTCTCCAGGGAAGCCTTCATTGTACACTTTTAGGTACCAGGCGAAAACGTTCCTCTTCAACCAGGCCTTTGGCTGTGTCCTTTTAGATGTGTTTGTGGGACGGAGGGTTCTTGTTTTGTTCATATTCTTGTTTTTATTATGTATTTTGTATTTTTATTTTGTATTTTTATTCTATGAACCTCCCTGAGATCTTTGGATGAAGGGCAGTTATACACATTTAATAAATGCATCATAAATACGGCATGCAAGTTTATTCACATATCCAGAGAGAAGCAGGTGCAAACATAACGCACCATGAGGAAATGAGCTTGTCTGTTGAAATGCCTTTCACCTGTGCTGGCAAGCTGTTCCTTAATCTTACAGGGACGTCATACCACACACCTCCCTTTCTTAAAAACAGGAATAGGTATAAGAATAAAATTAACATAAATATCAAAGGGAAAATCAGAGCACCAAAATCAATGCCTACAATGGGGCCAGAGGTCACCAGTACGTAGCCCACCATAGAAAGTGGTCTTTATTACCACCGTTCCTCAAGGAATGTACTATATCTTACTAGTAAGAAGTCTTGAGATGTTACATTCATCAGAAGTCTTTCTTTCGCAGACATAAACACACCTCTCATGAGGTGCAACTTTGACTACATTGGTGCCTTCAGTGTCACTTGCAGACACTACAGTGATACCTCGGGTTACAAACACCTCTGGTTACAAACACTTCAGGTTACAGGCTCCGCTAACCCAGAAGTCGTACCTCAGGTTAAGAACTTTACCTCAGGATGAGAACAGAAATTGTGCAGCAATGATGCGGCGGCAGCGGGAGGCCCCATTAGCTAAAGTGGTACCTCAGGCTAAGAACAGACCTTCAGAGTGAATTAAGTTCGTAACCAGAGGTACCACTATAGTAACATGCTCTCTAGGTGGATAAAATTGCCCTGCCCTCAACACACACTGCCAAACTCTTCATGGGCCCAACTGTAAAACCTTAAATGGCACTTGTTGCACCAGCACTTGTAACTACCTGGAGTCCTCGTTTGATATGAACGAGGCTGCCCACATTTCACGGTGACAGCAGCAGAGAGCCAGCTTTCATTAGAAGCATAGAGTTGGAAGGGACCATGAGGATCACCTAAACCGGTGATGGCCAAACTTGGCCCTCCAGCTGTTTTGGGACTACAACTTCCATCATCCCTAGCTAACAGGACCAGTGGTCAGGGATGATGGGAATTGTAGTCCCAAAACAGCTGGAGGGCCAAGTATGGCCATCACTGACCTAAACCAACACTGTGCGGTGCAGGAATCTTTTTGCCCAATGTGGGGCTTGAACCCACAACCCTGAGATTTGAGAGCCAGTGTGGTGTAGTGGTTAAGAGCGGTAATCTCGTAATCTGGGGAACCGGGTTCGCTTCCCTGCTCCTCCACATGCAGCTGCTGGGTGACCTTGGGCCAGTCACACTTCTTTGAAGTCTCTCAGCCCCACTCACCTCACAGAATGTTTGTTGTGTGGGAGGAAGGGAAAGGAGATTGTTAGCCGCTTTGAGACTCCTTAAAGGGAGTGAAAGGCGGAATATCAAATCCAAACTCTTCTTCTTCTTCTTCATGCTCTACCAACTGAGCTATCTTTAGAATCTATCCACAACCCAGTGTTTCCCAAACTTGGGTCTCCAGCTGATTTTGGACTACAATTCCCATTGTCCCCCTGACCACTGGTCTTGCTAGCTAGGGATGATGGGAGTTGTAGTCCAAAAACAAAACAAAACCTGGAAACCCAAGTTTGGGAAACACTGTTCTAGGGCCTTGGAGGACTTTGCTGTAGGATTGTAAAAAGTGCTTCTGCAGGAGAACATGGGGCAGGGCCAGTGAGGGGTGAATTCTGGGAAGGTGTGTGGCCCTTGAAGAGTCCTGGGGGCCAAATAAAGATCAGGCATCAGAGCTGCATTCATCCCGTGCACCTGACGTTTCCTACCCCTGACCTAAATCAATAATCTATCAGGAAACCAAGCTAGTGGACCTGACCCATAAGCGAAGTCAGTGATAAATAAAATCTGTTAAATACCTGGAGTCCAACTTTTATAACTTGGCTACAGTCCCTAAGAAAGGAAGTTGGGTTGATCATTTCCCTCCTGGAGACTGCGGGCAAAGTTCAGTTACCCAATCATCGAGCTCAACAAGATGGCGGCCTTTAGCCAGGAATGTTTGCTGGAATGCATGGCACGGGTTCAAGGAGCAGCTCATCTGCACTCATCTGTTCATGCGCAGCGAGCTGTGCTTGTGCTCTGCGGATCAGTGGTTTGGGCATGGAGTGGAAAATCAGGAATCAACCATTTCTTCCACCAAGTTTGGGTGCAATGTGACACTCAGTGCATGGAAGGGGCAGGTGGGATGAGCACCCACTGCTTAGTTCCTACAACAGCAACGATGGGGGACCAATGGCCCTTTAGGTTCTGGTGGACTCCCATTCATTTCAGCCTCACTCTGCATGGCCAGACGTCTGGGATGGTGGGAGCTGCTGTCCAAAAGCATCTCAGGGGCCAAAGATTCCCCATCCTTGTACAGCAGGGTACTCAATCTGTTTGGAAGGCCAGCCATCACCTCTCAGCTCACAGGCCGGTTATGATTACCGATGGAGGGTAAGGCAAAGTCATTCTCAGAATGGAATCATAGAATTTCACGAAGGGACCTCCAGCTAGTCTAACCATCTACTCCAGCCTTTCTCAACCTGTGGGTCCCCAGATGTTGTTGGACTACAACTCCCATCACCCCTAGCTAGCAAGGCCAGAACTCAGGGATGATGGGAGTTGTAGTCCAACAACATCTGGGGCCCACATGTTGAGAACCGCCGCTCTACTCAGTGCAGAATCTGCAATGGAGAATGCAACTGTAGCTAGGGGTATAGGGCAGGGCTTGCTGATGGTCTTGGGAGCATTTTTCTGAGCGACACTGCACATTTGGCTCCTCACATCACCCTGCCAGCCCTGCGCTGTTTTGCAAGGCTGGGATCTGATGTGAATGGTTCGCCGGGAGAATCCTGTGCTTCCTTTTCTTATGACCCAAGCAGAGGAGGCAACAGCGGTGGCCCATGGGGTGGAGGCCAAAGGCAGTGGCAGCCTCTTGGCGACAACACTATGCTCATCATAAGAAGGATGGAGTGGGGAGTTGTGGGGTGGCAGCAGCCCCACATGGGCATACACACCTGTGGGGCTCCCAGTGCCAACCCAGAGTAAGCATGGGGGGAGAAATTAGATCTAGTTGGTGCATCATCCTGCACAACGGCTATGCTGACTGGTGCTGATGGTGCATATTGGGGAGGCCAGGTAAGCCCTGTCCCACATGATCAATCGCAAAAGGCGGCACATGTGCACCATTTGAATGGCAATGTCTAGCAACTTTGGGAGGCGTCCAGCCCCCTCCAATATTTTATTGGAGGGGGCCAAAGGGACCTCAGCCCCTAGGAATTGGCTCCTATGCTTAGAAGCTACTTCTGCCAGTTGGAGATATCTGAGAACCAAAGTAGATGCGACAGTAAATGTATCTTCATATTTCACATGCAGGTTTTTTTCAGCAGCTGGAGGGGCTGATAATGATCCGGATCTGGCAGAAGGGGAGGGAGAATTTAATCCTTTCCTAGCCCGCTGCAGTGGCAAGGAAAATCTGGGATCTGAAAGTGCTTAGAGGCCTTTTCCAAGAGTGTGAACCTCAGAGCAGACCTCTCTCGCCTGATTCAAGGCTGCAAGCCTGTTCCTTTTCAGCCTGGGGACCTGGGCCCCTCGTGGCAAAGGCTTGGAAAAGCCACTGGCCCCCATAGGCTCCTAATCGGGAATCCCAGTGTCGGGGGGGGGGGGTGGGGAGAGAGAGAAAGGTGATTCCATTTCTTTTCACTTCCCAAAGAAACATGCAAACTGACTCACAGCCGGCATCCCTTGAAACGTACACTTATCTGAATTTGGCAATGACGCTCTCTTGCCAAGTAATGTGTACAAAAAGAATTATGCATATGTAGTGCATACAGTGGTACCTGGGATTAAGAACTTAATTCATTCTGGAGGTCCGTACTTAACCTGAAACTGTTCTTAACCTGAAGCACCACTTTAGCTAATGGGGCCTCCTGCTGCCGCCGCACTGCCACCACACGATTTCTGTTCTCATCCTGAAGCAAAGTTCTTAATCCAAGGTACTATTTCTGAGTTAGCGGAGTCTGTAACCTGAAGCGCCTGTAACCCGAGGCACCACTGTATATATTAGTGAAAGTAACATACCAAAAGGCATTGTATTAGGGGAAATTGCTTGGCAAAGATTTGTATATGAGGAAAAGATTGCACTGCAATGTTGATGAACTGTTTAGGAGGACTTTAAAAAAATAATTCACAAACTGTTTAGAAATGTTGAGAACCGAGCTTAAGAGTGGGGGGGGGGGGAGAAACTGGGAGAAATTGAAATTGGCAGATGGAATTTTCCACCCCACTGATCTCATTTGCCCCTGCATCGCATTCCCACCATGCAAAGATGCCACCGCCTCCGCCCCTTCTCATGAGCAGTGACTGGGCAGCACGGGCTTCAGATAAGAGATGGGGGAGCCTGAGCATCTCACTTTTGGATCTCTTAAAGTTGGTTGGTAAGCAAGCAAGCAATGGAGTCCCCACTGAGACACTCGCAGCCTCAGTCACATGGCTGTGTAAGAGAGCCCTGCTGTTCCATAACGCAAGAGCGCAAGAAAACAAAAGGAAGGCAGAGGGGGGAGGAAGGAAGGGTGTTAACCGATCTGTGTGAAGTGCCTTGGAGCCTTTAGAAAAAAACCCCACTGAGCCTTTTTTCCCCTTGCATTGCATTTCCGTCTCTGTAGTCTCCAAACCACCGGCCAAGAGCAACAGGGCCAGAGACTAAGCTGAACTGTGTTCTTATTTGTTCCAGGGCTTCATGAAGGACAAGCAGATCCTGGGAGGGAAGAACATGAATGTGGAGGTGGCTGCCTAGGAAGCAACTTCCAGGTGGGGGCAGAGGAGAGGCCCAGGTGGAAAGAGGTGGAAGGCAGGATTGGGCTCATTGTTTCGGAGGACGGATTCAAGAGCATACTGGACGAGTCTAGGTTTGCACAGTTGAAGCACAACAAATCCATTGACAGCAACAAGAAGAAAACAATGAGACTTTTTACAGTGAGGAAAGCAATGGGGAAATGTGCTGGAACATGTGGGATGGACTGAATGATGAACAGGAAGACGTATGAATGCAAATCAAAACAGGACGAATGTTCAATGAAGAAAGACAATAGGAAAAAATAAGCACCCTTAGATGTACTGCTGGGTAAATGTTTCGTGGTTATTGTGTTTGTATTTGTTTAAAAACCAATAAAAATTGTGTTGGGATTTGTTGTTGTTGTTGCTTTTTAAAAAAAGACTGGACAATGGGGTTCCTTCAGACAATATGTTTATTCAGGATTTATCCCGACTTGCCTGCACAAAGCTTAAGCAGAGCTTAGATTATTGCAGATCTTTATTGCACATTCGTTATTATTTGTCCGCAGGGAGGTTATACAAGGTCCTGCATTCATCCCAATTTGCTCGCATGGCAGTTATATGTCTTCCATTAAATCATCTGTTCGTCCCACACTTTGCATTTCCCTGGCCACTGAATACACTACAGCCACCATCTCATTAAAATGCAAACGATATTCATTTCCTCTGCTCGCTCTCTTCAGCATTTCCTGTTAAGGTTGAGGGTGGGAGGAAGCCCCGTAGCTCTACTGTTCTTCAGCGTAGGTCAGCCTTCACCAGCCTGGGTCACCCCCCCCCGAATGTTTTGGACTCTGAATCACCCATTGCCCCTGGTCATTAGCTGTGCTGATGGGAGTTGGAGTCCCAAACATCTGGAGGTGTCCAGTTTGGCAAAGGCTGGTGTAGACAATACTGACCTAGTAGGATCTGGCTTGGTAAGAAGCAGCTTCCTATATTCCACCTCACATTTTAGAAATGAAGTTTCATCAGCCTGGAGGAAAGCAGGTCAAGAATGCAATCAAAACAGCATCAGAGTCGAAATACCATCAAGTCCACCCATTACAGGAAGTCCAGATTTTTTGCCCCCTTGAGTGATGCCATCCAGTCTGTCTTTCTGAACACAGAGCACGGAGCATGCCAGACTTTTTCCAAAGGGTAAGATTAACCTCAAGCAGCAAGAACTGAACACCCCCCAAAGTCAGTCCACAAGCCATTCTCTCCTCTCCTTAAACAGCATCCTTTGTGGTTTCAGGCTTGGTGGCGTTGAGAAGGGCCTCCATTTGCTGTTGCTGCTTTGGGTCCTTCTGGCCCTGAGATCTGAACAAGACAGAAGGTCCATGAAATACAGTTTGCTACTCCCCCCAATACTGATATAATGTATGCCTGTGCAACTGACGGCACTTTGTAGATCAAACCCATTTGTTTCCCCTGTTCACATAAGTAAGGGGTGCTGTGTGTGTGTGTAAGGTCCACAGCTCAGTGGTAGAGCATCTAGTGGGATAAGAGAGCTGAAAATAATGCCAATGCATTTCACAACTGGCAACCCATGCACCCCTTTGTGAAACAAAAATGCTTGTTTACAAAGCTATTGCACTACCAACCTTACTGTATGCTTGTGAAACATGGGCTACTTATAAACACCATCTCCAACTCCTTGAAAGATTTCATCAACGGTGTCTCCAAAAAAATTTACATATCACTTGGAAAGACAGGAGAACTAATACCAGTGTACTGGAAGAGGCAAGCATCACCAGTATCGAAGCAATTCTTCAGCATCAACTTCTTGGACTGGTTATATTGTTCAGATGCCTGATTATTGTCTTCCAAAGCAACTACTCTATTCCAAACTTAAAAACGGAAAGTGTAATGTTGATGGTCAACAAAAGAGGTTTAAAGGCTCTCTCAAGGCCAATCTAAAAAAATGTAGTATAAACACAGACAATTGGGAAACACTGGCCTGTGAGCGCTCCAGCTGGAGACCAGCCTTTACCAAAGGTGCCGTGGACTTGGAAGATGCTTGAACTCAGCACAAAAGGGAGAAATGTGCTAAGAGGAAGGCATGTTTGGCAAACCTTCACCGTGATCAACTCCCACCCAGAAACCTATGTCCCCACTGTGGAACGATGTGTGGGTCCAGAATTGGCCTCCAAAGTCACCTATGGACACACCATTAAGACCATGTTCATGGAAGACAATCTTACTCAGCTATGAGTGATCGCCAAAGAAGAAGATAAGGCAGCTTCCCTTCCTCCTATGAGGAATGTTGGGAAGTGTCCTGATAGCTTCAATGCTCACCTGTTCTCAACTTGCTCGATTGTTTCTGGCAGCGAGGCATTGCGGGTTTCTGGCAGGAAGATGGCAGCAATCCCAGACACCACGGGGGCAGTACCATAGATCAGGTGCGGCAGGTAAGGGAGGTACTCACCGGATATCTTCACCAGGGGGGCTGATATGCCACCCAAGCGAGACAAGGTGTTGCCTAGACCCATGCCAGTCTGCCTGCAAGTCAAGAAGCAAAAGTATTATCCACACAGCTTAGTGGACCCATCCGGCATCCGCAAAGGAGGCACAGTAAATGCAGCCCCACTCCCTGTAACAGGAACTGGAAAACCCACACCCTTCAAGGTACACAGCAGAATAAAGGCTCAGTCATCCCTCCCCCTCGACAGGGGGTAGTTATCAGCCTTTTTTTAACCTTCAGAGCAGGTGTGATGTTGTCATCTGCCCGAACGCAGTGATAATGAGGCCTTCAACTTTGCTTATTACAGTTTAGCCATAGAGGAAGTCAGCAAATGAAGCAAGGAACCAAACAGAGGCTGGCTGCCCCTTTCTTTGATGGGGTTCCTGATTCATGCTAGCAGTTGAAATGGTGGTGCTTCTCTGCAAGATTACTGTACTTGCATTTCTACTTAAAAGCTAAAGGCTGCACTTCCGCTGGTTGTCGATCTTTGGTGAAAGCTCCTTGTATTTCAAAGCATGCAGTCAGAATAAAGTACTATTGAGGTTAGTGGAGCTTGCACCTGCAAAACTAGGCATAGGATTGTGGCCATCACTGATCCTAACAAATTGGGTAACTGCTGCTGTTTGGTGTGTGCATAATAATAACAGACGGAATTTTTGGACTCTTGTGAAGTGTTTGGCTACAGTGAGCTCTTGCACCTCAAAACCTCCCATTCTAGTTTAGTGCAAGGGTGGGGGGCTTCTGCCCCAGAGGCTAATTGTGACCATCTCCACAGACCACCCCTCTCACTGGCCTGGCTTCACATCCTGAGTGCCTTTGCCTGGCTGGAATGTGTCCTTGGACTCTGTTAATGTCCCTGGCTTGCCTGGCAGAGAAAGTTGTGTGTGTAGAAGTTCACCTACCATGCAAAGGGGGGGGGGAATCACATTCATTGCTCTGCCCACTTTTACCTCTGGCTCCACCCACCACTGGCATGTGGCCCCCAGAAGATTTTCCAGAAGGGAATGTGGCCCCTGGTCTGAAAAAGCTTCCTCACCCCTAGAGGAAAAGGGTAGCACTGAAGAGGAGGAGGTGAGCAAGGGATGTGAAAGGGCCACACCCCCAGGCCACAGGTGTCCCCTGCTTTTTGAGGCCAATCTATTCTTCAGCAGCCCCCTAGAAGACGTGTCTCTCTCACACACCTATTCTCCTCACTTACCGGAGCACCGTTGGATAAAGTTCTCCAGTGTACAAATAGATGCAGTTGAATGCGGCAGCCAAACACCCCTTCCCGAAGACAGCCAAGGAAGCCCGTGTGGTGGGCATATCTGGGGGAAAGGAAGGAAAAGCTTGGTGATACATTAAGGGTTCTCCACTGGCCCATTTCCTGGAATGAAGCCTTGCACTCTTCTCTGTGACTGACAGAAGCTGCGCTGGGAGGCAGCAGCTCTTCGTGCAGTCTTCCCTGGACCTATGCGGAGATGCGAGAGATTGAGCCTGTGACTGGGATCATGGGTGGTTATCAACTAATTTTTATGCAGAGCAGACTCAGTGAAATCCATGGGCCTACTCTGGGTGAAGAATTAGTTGCCTACCACCTAATGTCTCCTGTTTACCTGGTTGTTAGACATGTGTATGTGTGGAAACTCCCAGCTTCTGTGTGGCTGGAATGCCACCTATTGTGAAATGGTAAGGGTCAGATCTGTTGCTCTGCCTCCACTTTGGGGCTGCAGCTCAGTGGTAGAGCATCTGCCTTGCATGTAGAAGGTCCCAGGTTCAATCCCTAATGGCATCCCCAGGTAGGACTGGGAAAGGTTGAAACCTTGAAGAGCCACTGTTGCTCAGTGTAGTCAGTGTTGACATAGATGGAGCAATGATCTGACTTGGTGTAAGGTAGCTTCCTGTTGCTTCTGACCCACTTTTGTCTCTGGCTCTGCAAATGTGGCCCCCGGAATGCTGCCCAGAGAAGAATGCGGCCTTCCGGGTGAATAGGCTCCAGATCCTTGCTGGAGCTACATGCTGGGCTACCTCAATTCCTTTTCTGTATCCGTTCTAAATCTACCCTTCTCCACGGGGAACTGTCTGAGGTCCTGAAGATGAACACAATGTGCAACTTCAAGCCCAGAAGAGACCCCCGTTGTTCCATCTCCAAGATAAGACAGCACTTCTCCATTCCACACCATCCATTGCCAATTGGCTTGATGTGGTGTGCTCAGATAATTCTTAGCACCACCCACACCTCTAGGCAGAAGAAGAACCTCCTCTCTGACCTTGTGGAACAAAGATGTTAGCCAGGATGGTCAGCCCTGCAAGGACGAGTGTGGCAGCTTGGGTGAACCGGCGCCCAATGTAACTGATGGTGAGGACAGAGATAAACTTGGCTGGGAAGTCAACCGCCCCAAAAACCAGCTGGATCAAGTAGATGTTGATGCCGAAGTGCTGGAGGTCCATGACCAGCCCATAATAGGCAAAACTGGTGGAGAACCTGGGGGTGGAAGAATGAGAGAGTTGGAAGGGAACTCAAGGGTCATTTAGTCCAACCCCACGTCAAATGGCTCAGGACTGCAATACCTCAAGGGCTGCCTCTCTCCATATGAACCTGCCCGGAACCTGAGATCATCTTCCGAGGCCCTTCTTTGTGTGCCTCCTCCACGAGAGGTCTGGGAGCGGCAACACAAGAACAGACCTTTTTTGCAGTGGCTCCCCCTTTGTGAAATGCTCCCCCAGGGAGGTTCAGCTGGCACCTTCATTATACACCATTAGGTGCCTGGCGAAAACGTTCCTCTTTAACCAGGCCTTTAGCTGATTGACATCCAATGCTCTTTTAAAATGTGTGTGGTGTGTGTGTGTGTGTGTTATTTGGTTGTTTTTGTTATGTATTTTGTGTTTTTATATTGCGATTTTATGTTGTAACCACCCTGAGACCTGTGGTTATAGGGTGGTATACAAATTTAAGAATTCATAATCACTATTCTCATCCTAATGATCCTTGTTGTCGTTGGCTATGCTAGCTAGAAGCCTGGTGGAAGCTGGAGTCTAACAACACTTAGAGGGTGAAATTTTGGCTACCGCTCTGGTAACGTACAGAAGGACATGGCTAGCTGGAATGATGAGCCAAGAATGCTCCACCCTCCAGCATTTTCTTTCAAGTCCCACTTTGCCTATATCTGCAACTGTTAACTAATAACCACATTTCATGGTACTGACAGTGGGTGGGTGCAGGTTTTGAGAATTCTACCCCTGCCACTGCCATTCAATGTAATTTCATGATTTGAGGGCTGGAGCCTTTCAGTGTGGTTTTACACTACTAGAAACTGCACAGCAAAGGGAGACTCCACTAATTGTGGAATTGCACGGCCCATGGACACCTCTCCTGTCAGAACTCACCACACAAAGCAGAGGCAGCAAGAGATCCTGCGCATGGTTGGAGTCCGCACCAAGTCCACAAAGGTGTAGCTGGATTTCAGGGATGCCATTTCTTCCTTCATGTTGGATCTCAAGAGCTGGCAGGGAGGAAAAAAGAATTCTCTGGCTACTGGGCACAAGCAGGAAATATCTGGAAGGGGAACTGAGGTTTTGCTTCTCCCCACTCCCAGTTTTTATAAGTATCAAAGCTGGAAGGTTTGAAGGTATAGCAAGAAGATAGAAACCACTATGGGCTCTTGAATCTTTGCCAGAATCAAATAGTTGGCCATTTCCTCTCTTTGCCTGCACTAAGAGTACTGTTAGCCAAATCTATTTTGCAGATAAGAACACTTACATTTGATTCCGTTCTCATTTAAAGGCAAATCTACCTGATTCACATTTTCTGAAACAATATGTGAGCAAAAACATTGCCTTCCTTTGAATTTCACACCTCCAAATATTGCAATTCGCTTCTCCAGACAAGTAATTTGTACAAAAAATGCATAAGGTGTCCATAGAAATGCACACATTAGTGAAAATAGTTTACAAAAAAGCATTATTTAATGGGAAATTTATTTGCAAACAGTGCAAATCAGGTCAGTTCCAATCAAAATGCAAACCCAGCCAAATTTCTTCCCCATCCTTATCTCAGACTGGTCTACCACTCAAGGTTATTGTGGGGATAGAATTTTGGAGAGAATTGTGTACACAGCCTTGGTTTCCTTAGAGGAAAGGTCAGCTACAAATGTAATACATGAACAAGTTAGTTGGTGTGTGTCCGTCCTCCCAATTTCACCTCGACATTTAGCTTGTCACTGGCTTCAGGCTTCCCGTTCATCCTGGCTGCCCTCTTCAGTTCCTTCACAGCCTGCTCTGGCTTCCCGGCCAACACCAGCCAGCGGGCTGATTCAGAAAACCACCTGTTGGGTTGGGTGCAAGACAGTGAAGTAAGGAAAATAAAGATGAGGTACACATTCCAGAGTCAACAAGGGCCCCTCCAGACTGAGGGACATTTAGGCGAGGCGTCATGGCTATGGGAAAATGTGCCTTTTAGGTATCAGAGAAATCAGTTAGATTGGAGATATGGACTCTGTCCTAGTTCGAAAATGAGAAGGAGGGTGAAGCTGACAGCTAGCTATAAAAAAAAGTGTGAAATTCCTGCTTTCACCTGTGACCACAAACTGCCAGAACAGAAAAGTGCTGCCATATAGACGGTTTATTTTTGTGAACTTTTCCGTGTACCTTCTGCTTCATTTTGAGGAAGTGAACATTATATTTCATATGATGGGACTATGCATTAAAAATCTTTTGAATTCTGCGTGTCGGCAGAGGACTCTGTGGCTCTCGTAAGGTCAGAGACTTCTCTTTCTCAGGTACCCAAATAAAGAGCTAAGAGGAATCTGTGCATGGTTGTCTGTTTTTTTAATCAAGATAGGCATATTTGTATATAATTTTGCCTATGTCAGGAGAAATTCACACTAAAATGCTGCAGAATCTTTATTGTAGAGATTGCAGACGGATGTGAACCAAAGACTGGGAGGGGGGGGAGGACAATGAGAAACTGAGAGGAACCCAACTTGACAGGTTTGCTCCTTCCCTTCTCCACCCTAAAACCACAGCTACGCAAAGACATTACCAGGAATAGATGAAGAAGAGGAAATAGGGCAAGGAGACAGTCAGCTGCAGCCAGCGCCACTCTGGGATGAGGTAGGCCAACCCTGCCAGGATCATCTGTCCAATCGTGTAGGCCAAGCCGTTGTAGGTTGACAGCAAGGGCCGGGTCCTCGTGGGCGTCCATTCCACACCTGGTGGGGGGAGCAGGGAGAGAAACGGAAGCTGTGGGAGGCAGTCTGCCCCCTCCAGGTGACACCTTACTGGATTGTGGTGTTGCTATTCACTTCATGTACCTCAAGGAAAGAGAATCTCAGTCCCCAGGGGCCAAATGTGGCCCTCCAGGCCCCTCTACCTAGCCTTTGGGACTCACCTCAGACTATTACCTCTGCAGCCACACTCATTTATCCTGAGTCAGTCCCCCACCCCACTTTTTGGCATGAGGGTCATGTTTCCATACCCTCCAATATGACGTGGCCAAAATCTAGACACCATCTTTTGGGTCATGTGATGGGGGGGGAAATGCTTTTTTCGGGGTGAGATCTTGGCTCACAAGAGAGCAAGCTGCTGCTGCTGCTGCTTCTTCTTCTTCTTCTTCTTCTTCTTCTTCTTCTTCTTCTTCTTCTTCTTCTTCTTCTTAATTTTATTTGAATTTATATACCACCCTATACCTGGAGGTCTCAGGACAGCTCACATAATAAAATGGCTGCCATGCTCTCACAGGAAAAAACCCCAGGATGTCCCAGTTTTTCCAGGGCAGTTGACAGGTATGCATTTCCTTCTGGGCAACCTTTCCTATTCTGTGAACCATCCTGAGATCTTTTGACAAAGGGCGGTATATAAATTTAATAAATTGAAAATGATAAATAATAACCTCCTGGGGCCCACATGCCAGTGGTGAGTGGGGCCAGAAGCAAAAGCAGACACAGCCAGAAAAAGGCAAATCTTACCTTTCTACAGCAGCCTAGTTTCTACACACATGATTTACTCGCTCACACCCCTCTCTATCCAGGCAAGCAATAAGCCTTATCAGAGTTCGAGGACATGTTCCAGACAGGCCAAAACATTTACAGGGGGTGGGGGGCAGGCAGGATCAGTGAGGAGCATAGCCTGGGGAGAGTCCTGCGGGCCAGGCAGAGAGAACTGAAGGGCCACATTTCTGGCTTAAAGTGAGGAGTGGGTGTAAACGGGAAGGGGAGGGGAATCCAACTCACACAGAGAGAAGATATTGAGGACAGTGCCAGAGTAGGCCATCCCTGTCAGGAAGCGAAGGGTGCAGTAGGCACTGAAGGTGGGGGAGAAGGCGGAGGCCGTCCCTGTGACAGCCAGTTGCAGGCAGGACCAGATGAGAATCAGCCGCCGTCCAAACCTGCGAGGTAGCAGAGGAAGGGAGAAGAGAGGAAGAAAGAGAGAGAGTTTTGAGAAGCAACTCCTGGTAGGGACATTGGAAGGTCCCTTAAAGGTAAAGGGCCCCCTGACCGTTTGGCCCAGTCACGGATGACTCTGGGGTTGTGACGCTCATCTCACTTTATTGGCCAAGGGAGCTGACGTACAGCTTCCGGGTCATGTGGCCAGCATGACTAAGCCGCTTCTGGTGAACCAGAGCAGTGCCCGGAAATGCTGTTTACCTCTCCGCCAAAGCAGTACCTATTTATCTACTTGCACTGTGTGCTTTTGAACTGCTAGGTTGGCAGGAGCTGGGACTGAGCAACGGGAGCTCACCCCGTCGCGGGGATTCGAACCGCCAACCTTCTGATCGGCAAGCCCTAGGCTCTGTGGTTTAACCCACAGCGCCACCCAAGTCCCTGGAAGGTCCCTTAGACAGCATCAAAGGCTATGTCTGTCTAGCCCTTTTTTGGCTGGAGGGCCACATTTTCCCCAAGGCAACCATCCAGGGGCAACTTGTCATTTGGTGTGTGTGACCAGAGGCAAAACCGGGAGCAATAATGGATGCACAGTTGACCTTGGTACTTGTAGGCTCACATGCACACACATGTTTCTCTAGACTCTGTCTAGGCAAGCAAAGAGTCGTTATCAGAGTTCAGGCACACATGCCAGCCATCTCACTGAGAGCCAGTGTGGTGTAGTGGTTAAGAGCGGTAGTCTCGTAATCTGGGGAACCGGGTTCGCTTCCCCACTCCTCCACATGCAGCTGCTGGGTGACCTTGGGCCAGTCACACTTCTCTGAAGTGTCTCAGCCCCACTCACCTCACAGAGTGTTTGTTGTGGGGGAGGAAGGGAAAGGAGAATGTTAGCCACTTTGAGACTCCTTAGGGCAGTGATAAAGCAGGATATCAAATCCAAACTCTTCTTCTTCTTCTTCTCATACCACAAACACTCCATTTTATTTATTTATTTTATTTGTCCCGCTTTTTTGTGCTATAGCATAAAAGTTCGCCTCCAGACAGCAACAGTGTGGCGACTATTGGGGAAGGTGGTAGAGGGGCAGACGAAGGATGAGGATGAGGAATTTGCAGAAAAAGAGAAATTGATATTAATTAGAGAAAATCTGTGCAGCGTGTAAAAGTGGATGAATTGGAATATATCTGAGAGAGTGGGAAACCAGTTTTTTTGGGGGGGGGAATGTATTAAATTAATATTAAATTGGTTTTGATGTGTTATAAATTAATCAGCAAAAAATTTTTTAAGCTGATGAGTGGACAGTCACCGCTAATGTGTTGCTATTGGGTCAATTACATCTCACAGAGCACACCCTCCAAAGAAAACTCAACAATCTTCTGTATCTGCAGCTGGAGGACATGGTGCCTGGTGCTGTCCAAGGTTCTGCCTTTGCCTTGATTTCGCCTGTGGGCCTCAAGCTCCCCCAGAACTGGGCACATGTAGAGCAAATGCTCCACCTCTGACCTCCCTCACAGCAGGACAGGCTGCTTCTCTGTCTGGCCTGGTGTTGTCTGCTCTGGTTGGCAGTAGCTATCCTGGTTCTCTGGGAACTCAGGCAGGAAAGGGTCTTTCCCACTGCCTACTATTTGAGGACAGTTGCTGCCTGTCAGTGTATACAGTACTGAGCTAGATGGATCAATGGCTTCCTATATTTTCCTTGAACTGTGGGTGCCCAGCATTGAACCTGGAAGCTTCAGCAATGGAATGCATGTGTCCTTCCACAGAGCCCTTAAATTGTGTGTGTGTAAAATGGGATTTGTATGCATTAAATAAAATATACATTATCAATAAAATTCGGAGTTTAAAACAAGATAACTTTTAAAAAAAAAGTTTAAAAACACAATAATTAATTTGATACATGTTAAAATACATGTCAACTTTGTGCTATCTGGATAGGCTTGTCTAAGCAAAAACAATTTCTAGGAGGCATCAAAAGCACTATGGAATCCTGCAATTTAAGCATCCTTCACAGGTGAGTTTCGAAAACCATCACCAACAGTGGCTGAAATTCTAAAAGTTGGCTTTGAAAATGCTGCCACATTTCAGATGTGTGCAAAATTTAATTATGTGATGATAATGATGATGATTTTACAAAATGTTGAGACCACTAAACATCAAAGGCTGTACCTACTCAGAGTAGGCCCATTGAAAGCAACAGCCCTACATTAGGCATACCCTTTAATTTCTGTGAGTCTACTCTGAGCAGCACTAACATTGGATACAACCTTAGGATACCCTAGAAGTGCAAAAAAAGAGAGAAATGCATAATATAAAGCCAATAAAACACCATAAAAACAAAATAAAACAAATAGCAGGCATATCTTCAATGCAATACTAGTGTAGCTCTGTGAAGGCATTTATTTATAGTCTTTTAAACAATTTATATACTCTCTCTGCATACTACTGCAGTCGCCTCTAAAGTATGTTGTTAACAAGCAAGCTAAGGCTGCTCTGTCAATTGCAGAACAGCACTTTGTACATGCTCCATAGACATTTCTCAGCATCTCAGAATCTCTAGAGAATTCCAGTAGGCCCAGAATATGGCCTAAGGGCACATCAGGCCATCACTCTGCTGAAGCTGAGCTGGTCTGGATCTGGTGTGTTTGCTTGGACGAACACCTGGGAAACTTAAACACATCGCCTTGGCTTCCATGTTGGAAGGAAGGTGGGATAACCATTGAAATAACATAAATGAATGAAAACAAACAATTTGCTGGCTCTCCTCACCTGTCTGAGAGGCCTCCATAGACAATTCCTCCCACCAGCACGCCAGCCATGTAGAGGGACTGAGCCATCTGCTTCAAAGTTCGCGCAGAGCACACCAGGTCCCACTGCAACAGGGCGGGAGGGGGCGGCAGAGAAGAGAAAACAAAACGATTCATAAAGCACTGGGTGGTGTTGAATCTCTTCCCTCCTTAGTTAGACCACAAAGGCTAGTGACTTCAAGCCCTGCTTCTGGGTTTCCTCCAGGAGTCTGATTGGCCACCGTGAGAAGAAAGATGCCAGACTAGATGTGTCTTTCAACTGATCTAGTGCGCTCCTTTGACGCTCTGATGTTGTGGCATCTATCAACAACATTGAACTAGGGAAGATGGAGCAAGCTCGTTTTCTCCTGCTCTGGAGGGTAAGGATCTGAACCAATGGATTCAAGTTATAAGAAAGGAGGTTCCGACTCAACATCAGGAGGAGCTTTCTGACAATAAGAGCAGTTTGACAGCAGAACAGACACCCTCAGGAGGTGGTGGGCTCTCCTTCCATGCAAGGTTTTTAAGCAGAGGTTGGGTGGCCATCTCTCAGAGATTCTTTAGCTGCAATTCCTGCATTGCAGGGGGTTGGACTAGATGGCTCTCAGGGTCCTTTCTAACTCTATGGTTCTATGATTATAGGGCAGCTAAATGGAGTCCCCATGAACAAGAGGTGTCTACCATTAATTACCAAATGTGCAGGGAGGGATCAAGTATTTACCCCAGCAAATTATTTGTCAAAATTACAAATACCTAAATGCAGACAGTCATTTACCCTCGCTAGATTCAACGTGCTGCCATCTGCCTTATTGCAGGGCAGATTTGAGGGTAAATCATACGTGGAACGAGTCTGCCCCTGTGGCTTGATATAGGTAGAAACTGTCTCTCATGCCTTGTTACACTGCCATTTCTATGGGGATATACACTCAGTATTTATTACCCCTGCTATGCAAAAATACCCAAATGATTCTGAACTTCAATGTCTGAAATCCCTGGTAGAGGACAAGGATCCTGAGATTACATTAAGGGTAGCCAAATTCTGTGTGATTGCCATAAAACTTAGGGAACAAGCTGTCCTATCATAATGATTAAGGTTTTAAATGATAATTTTAGGTTATATGTTAATGACCAAGTTTTAATTTATATATTTTTTAACTGTTGCTATATCTGTATTGTCCCTGTTATACCTAATTGCAAATTCAAATGTATCCCTATCGTTTTTTATGACTTCCTTGATATTGTATGTGGACTGGAACTGGTCTGTGACCGAAATAATAAATTCATTCATTCAAAAAGGGAAGGGCTTTTGTCCTCATGCTGCGCTGGAAGCCTCCCAGAGTGGCTGGGGAAACCCAGCCAGATGGTGGGGTATAAATTTATTATTATTATTATTATTATTATTATTATTATTATTATTATTTCCTTCTGAAGCCTGCTCCGATCCAGTAGGGTTCTCCTTAGACTTTGTGACTATACAACATGAGGTGCTTCTAGTTTGCCTACCACAGGCATGGTGGGTAGACATATGCCTGCCAATTGAGATCTCAAGAAAGCTAAATTCTGCACCTACCTGGGACCCTACTCTGTGCTGGTGTGTGATGCAAACTTCAGCAGTCCACGATACACGCAAGCCCTGACCTCAAAATGCCTCTTGGTGTGCTTAGTAAAGGAACAGGCAACCTGCCTAAATTCCTGCAGCCCTTGATCTAAGAACGTAAGAGCACAATAGGAGCTTGAGCTGCTGGATCAGGCCAAAGGGGTCCCATCTAATCCAGTTCTCACAGTGGCTAACTAGCTGCCTCTGGGAAGCCCTGAGAGCAACAGCAACACCCTCTGCTCTTGCAATTTCCGGCAACTGGTAGAATAATAGAATTGTAGAGTTGGAAGGAACCACAAGTGTCATCTTGTCCAAACCCCTGCAATGCAAGAGTCTTTTGCCCAACGTGGGGCTCAAACCCATGACCCTGAGATTATGAGCCCAACGCTCTACCAGCTGAGCTATCCAGGAGAAGCATACCACCTCTGAGTATGGAGGCAGAGCATAGCCATCATAGTTGCTAGCCCCTGACAGCTGTTACCTCCATGAATTTGTCTAAGCCTCTTTTCAATCCGTCCAAGTTGGTGGCCATCACCAATTCTTGTGGGGGGCGGGGCGGATTCCATAGTTCCAACTATGCACTGTGCGAAGAAGGACTTTCTTTTGTCAGTCCTGAATCTTAAGTGCCAAAAGCCCTCTCTGTGGCTGATTGGAAAGATGGCAAGCACAATCTGTCCCTCTCAGGGCATCCTGCTGGATGGGAGGAAGATACAAAGAGAAGAGGACTTCAGAAAGGGAAAGACAGAAGAGGGGGCCACAGAAAGAGCAGGATGGTAGGAAAAGAGAAGAGGGGATAGAATCCTAGAACTGTAGAGTAGGAAGGGACCACAAGCAAGGCTGGGCGATATCTGGTTTTCAACATTGTGTCATATCACCAGCTAAACATCGTGATATACCGATAGATCACGATGTCTGAAGTAAGCATGGAGCTATGGAGAGGCATTGGCTGGATTCATGTTTTTTCCTGAATCGTGCTTTTGCCAGCGCCTGCCCTTGTGACTCTCTGCCCCCTGGCAGGAGGCAGGGGAGAGCTGAGCCGGCACAGATAACAGGGGCTGCAGGAATCGAGAAAAGCACTGGCTGACTTCACAGTTTCCCCCACATTGTGATTTTTGCAGGGCACAAACACACATGACATGATATGCGATAAACTGCCGGGTCAAAAATTATGAAGCCGATATCACTTCACATTGGTTTTGGATGATATAGCGATATATCTCCCAGCCCTAACCACAAGAGTTATCTAGTCCAATCTCCTGCAATGCAGGAATCTTTTGCCCAAGGTGGGAATCGAACCCACAACCTTGAGATTAAGAATCTCATGCTCTACCAAATGAGCTGCAGCCTGGTAGCCCCTCCCACTTCTGAATCTGGCCCCACCTCTTTCGGTGGCCTTGCCCATTACCACCATGCGGCCCCAAAGGGATTGCCTCAAAGGAAGCGTGGCCCTTGGATGGAGAAAAGGCTGCTCACCCCTGACTTAGAACAACACCCACCAACTCAGCAGCCTGGCCCTGAGCAACGCTGGTCCTCACCTCGGTGACGATGGTGCTTGGGAAGACCGTCTTGTCGTACACCCACCCATCCTTGCATGTCTCCGTGTCCATCTCGGTCCAGTTCGCTATGGTGGCATTCAGGAGCTGCCCCTGGTGGTGGATGAAGCGGCGACATTGCTCGGGCTGCCCTTTCTCATCTACGGGGATGGAGACCTTGAGGAGATCCTCTGCTTCCAGGCTTTGGTTCCCAGAAGTGCCATTGGGGTGGTGGACCAAGCAGTGGTGGCCTGGGGTACCTGCGGTGAAGTTCTGCAGGATCATGTGACTGGCCATCATGAAAATGGGGAGGGACAACAAGACCACATGGATGATCTGGAAGCGTCCCATGCTGCCAACGTGTTCCAGGAGCTCGGCAAAACCCATTGCGCCTGGCTGGAGAGCACGATGCTCTGGTTTAAGATGCAGTTATCAGTTTATGACCAATCACTACCAATCACCGGCAACCAAAACTGGATGCCTGGCAATCAACACAGCAATGGGACTAGACACCCATTGGCCACTAAGATGGCTCTTGGAGGTTGCCATAAAACCTTGCCAAGACCGGAGGTTCCTGGCCTCCTTCGGAGGTGCGTTGGAATTTATCTCCTTGGATCACGAGATAAACATCTTTCCGACTCAGGGCGGTGTGGTACATCCCATGGGAGAAGCCTTCTTGATGGTGGCAACCTTTGCTGAGAGCCTCTCAAAGGGGCTGGGCTTTATTTCTGCCCCGTGAGTCTCAACCTCCAACAAACCGGCTGGGGAGGAAGCATCACTTGGGGGCGATATTTAAAGTCCATCATCAATGCCCTGGTTAAAGGATGACAGCGGTTTGGTGGTGGTGGAGGGGGTCAGAGAGTGCTAAAAGGGGGAGAGTTGAGAGGAAACATCTGGGTTGTATTCTAGCACAAAGTGCGCCTGGGGCTCTTTCTGACCCTGATTTCACGAGGCTGAGTGTATGATTCACACGTCAGTGTTAGGGATTAACTTTAACTGGGACCGATCCAGGCTGTCCTGAGAGCCACCCCTCAACTTGCCATTCCGGGGTGTGGGCTGAAGTGACCCACAGACTTTGCAGCCCTGTAGCGATTAGGTGGCTGCTCTGGAAGTCATACCGTATCTTCAATACCCTCCCCACCAAGGCTCCCTCATTACATGACTCATTACACAACTCTCTCGTTTTGACAGACATTCCAGGCTTTTAATGAGTCATAGAATCACAGAATTGTAGAGTTGGAAATGTTCCCGAGGGTCATCTAGTCCAACCCCCTGCAATGCAGGAATCTCAGCTAAAGCATCCATGACAGATGGCCATCCAACCTCTTCTTTAAAACATCCAAGGAAGGAGAGTCCAGCACCTTCCAAGGGAGTCCATTCCACTGCCACTTACCATCAGAAAGTTCTTCCTAACATTTAGTCGGACTCTCCTTTCTTGTAACTTGAATCCTTTTTTTTTTTTAAATGCTTTTTATTAAGTTTTCTATAACTTGAATCCAATGGTTTGAGTCCTACCCTCCAGAGCAGCAAAAAACAAGCTTTCTTCATCTTCCATGTATTACAAGCATAGGTATTGTGCCACTAGGCTGCATCTTTTCAACTCCTACTCAGAGTAGACCCACTGGCATCAACAGACATGGAGGATTTTAATTTTCAGTTCAGTTCAGATTTAAATATAAATCTGCTTAAGAAACCAGCTAAACTGCATATAAATAGGTCCAGGGACTTTTGTTCTAGGCACCTTTCAAGTTGATTCAGGTGTGTGCGAAACTAAAAGGGAATACACTTGCCAGGTATGTTTTCTTCCAGTTACAAGCTTCACCTATCAGTTGCAGCAGAGCTCCCCCTCCTGATCCTGGTGGTTTCCTTAGGCTTAAGACATAAATTTCTATTTTGAAAAGCTGTTCCCTCTCCCCCCGCCACTCTCTTTTTTTCCTTACAAGTTAAGCTAAGAGACTTAATTTCACTTTTAGCAGATGCTTGTCTGCATCATTTTTTTATTACTGGCTCACCGCGATGCCACAAAGGGGCTTCAGAAGCTCCCTCTTTCAACTCGTGCCGCTTCGTACATATCTATTTTCTCTTCATACACACTACAAATCCCTCTGATTTCCCCCTGGCATGGGGATTAAGTGAAGCACTTCACCTGTTGGGTTTCTGCCTGTCAAGCATCTGTGGAGGGCACAGGAGCCCTGCCAGGGAGATGAAGGGCCCTTGCAGCTTTATGACTCCACTTTCCCCATCTACTCCCCCCCTCATTTTGCTTCCTCAGCTTTCCTGAGGGGCTATTGTTTTATTGCTCTTGTCCCTCTCTCCTTTTCCAGAGAGGCAAATTGCTAGACCTCAATCAGAAAAAACTGACCGAGTTGGGGCTGGAGGGAAAAGATGTGGGGAAATGCAGGTGGGGCAAGCTGACCTCCGCCTTGTGATTCTTGACAAATGCCCACTGACTCGCTTCTCATATGCTCCCCTCTCCCTCTTCTCTTTCCTTGCACTTCATAGACAACATGAGAGGAAACTAAGGCAGGCCCAGGCCCACCCCTCCCCTGACAGACATAAAATGGCCGTCTTATCCATTGCTATGGAGATGGGAAATGTAATGGCCCTCAGGGAAAGGAGGTTGCAGTTGGGAAGGAGACTCGAGAACTGGATCCAAATTTTGGAAAAGAGAAACAAGCATTTACTCTGTGTGGGTTTATTATTATTATTACTATTGCAATCCAACCCAGCAGTCCTGTTATCCTTCCTTCCTTCCATCCTTCCTTTAGCCACACAGGTGGCGTTGGACACAGGCCTTCAGAGCCGGCCTTTACAGTGCTTTATGTCAGAAAGGAGAAACAAGCTGGACAGTGTGTGCTTTTTAAAAAACAACAGCACTTCCTTTAAGGAAAAAGATTCCTGCTTTCTGCCAGTATTAACAGAAGCAAAGATCTTGGCCAGGCAGTATTTCTTACCCACCAACATTTCTCAGATTAAAATAGGGATGTGCTTGTAAAAAAGAAAACAAAAACTCTTATCTTAACTCAGGATTTATTTCTATGGTGCTGCAAGGCCACAGAAGGGGCCTGATTATTGCCACCTACTGGCCAGAATGCTATTTCTCCTGAGTTATAATTGTTTCTAAAGCCTGGTCTCTCGCAAAAACTTCCAAAAGATCTCTAGCACTGGATAAAGGTTTTGGTCTGGGAAGCACATTGCAAAGTACGGGATGAACAAATGGTTAACAGGAAGACATGTAAACACCCTGCAAGCAAGTTAGGGTGAACACAGGACAAATGCTTATTGTTGCATTACTGCCCTGCAAACAAGTCAGAACAAATGCTCACTAAAGACCAGTCTAAGGGCCCCTTCAGACATCCTTTTTATTCTGCATTCATGATCATTTGTGCTCATGATGGTATATCAGGGCAGTTAGACATGTCCAATAGTTTTGCGGTAGACAAACAGCTTCATCTCCAATCAGTGCATGTCCTGTACCTTCCAGCTGAAATCCTGTAACTTTGTATAACATAAATGCCTAGGCCACTGGTGGGATGTTCCCCACTTTTGTTGTGCTGTCGTGCAGAAGTGCCCCTCCGGATAGCAGTAACACAATTTCTTGGAATGAAGGTGAGCAGAGACTGTGGTGTCTTTAGGCTATATGGTTTCATTTGCACATAACCTGAGCATTAGATGGAGGGGCTCACAGTATCCCCGCAAATATTCCTTCTCCCTTAGTCTCAGCTTTGGATTCCATCACGCATCTCTCTTTCTACTAGGCAGTGCTTTGTCCTGGATCTTTTTAAAAAAGCTCAACAATTTTGGGGTGTCCTGGTTTTTACTTATTGAAATATGGCAACCCTAGCTCAACAGATGACATTAAACTTCTGGCAGTCAAACAATGTATTTTGTGGTGTTATGTCCACCTGCTCTTCTGATGGCAGGGTGTGATCCTGCTTCGGGCTGAGTTTGGATGTTCACCCAAACTCAACAGGATCCCTCTTTCTTTGTGTCAGCTTGTGTGAAGGGGGATCGATCCTGCTTAGCGCTAGGTCCTCGCTTTGTGCGGTGCTGTTGGTCAGGCTCTTTGGGAGCCACACAAAGCAGCACTGGGCTAGCCCCACCCTTTCGGTCAAGCTCTGCTGTTACTTATGGCTTGCCCCAAATTTCCTCATGGGCCAAATGAGGAAGCCTGGTGGGCCAAGGCTGGCCCATGGGTTGGAGGTTCCCCACTCCTGATCTAGGGATACAAAAATTCACCTCATGAGCTGAAGGCCTCTTGCCTTGCCTCAGGCAACAATACAACTTCAGTAAAGGTTAAAGGCAGGTCTGAACACAAAGTGTGAATGAGTTTTAACATAATATTTCAACAAACACCACTAACACAAAGAATAATGTCCTGATGGGAAATGTAATTGTGCTGAAATAAAATGCAGAAGCAGGAACAGTTGCAGAAGTACTTGTGTCAGTTGGCAGCTTTGTTATTGTTGAATGTGAGACTAGGAAATTGGAAAGAAAGCAGTTAGCCAATATGATATTCATTAGTATGAAATCTTTTTAAAGATGGGGACTTCTGTGACATTTGTCTTCCCTGCAAATGATAAAAATTGGGTGGAAAACAGACAAATCACATGGGTATTGCCATAGCTAAGTGTAAATTGCCACAGGCATTGAAACTTCCCACATGATCTTGATGTTGATCTGCAACTTGTTGAATGCATAGTAAAATGTCACACGCACAGGGTCTTGCTTTGGAGGCATTTATTTGTGGGTGTCTGTCAATGAATTTTCACATGTTATATTGGCCACGTTACATTGCTCACAAGTTATTTGCCAGAAAAGCTCCCCCCACACACATTTCCCAATTTCCAATATTACCATAAGTTTGACACTTGCCCATGAAACATTAGCTCATTATGTATATTTCCACAGGTGGAAAAAAGTTTATTTATACCAGAGCTTTCTAAACTGTGTGTTGAGACATGTTAGCGTGTTGGCTGCAGTGTGCAGTTGTGTCACGCGAAGGCTCCCCGTGTTCCTCCTGGGAATGGAAAGGGGTTAGTTTAACCTCCAGTTTGCTAGTAAAACTGAAATACTGTGTTGGGAAACAATGCATGTCTAAAAAGTGTGCCACCAGCATGAAAAGTATGGAAAGCTCTGATTATACTTTTTGAGAAAACACTTATCCAAGTTACAGATAAGATTCTCAAGGATGCAAAAGTTTTGCATGGGTCACATCTTTCAAAACATAATAAAAAGAAAGCATTGAAACTACCTGTGGCATGTTTCTTGAGTATTACTGTAGGGAAGGTGAAGATAGTTAAGAGTTTAATGTTAATTGGAATTAAATAATATAAGCTAAAACACAAAATATGGTATAAAGAAGCTTACAAATGTTACATAGGTCACCACAGAATTCTCCAACTTCTCGAAAGATTCCATCAATGGTGTCTCCGAAAATTTTTACACATCACTTTGGAAGACAGGCGAACTAATATCAGTGTACTGGAAGAAGCAAAGATCAGCAGTGCTGAAGCAATGATTCTTCAACATCAATTTTGTTGGACTAGTCATGTTGTATGGATGGCTGATCATCTTCCAAAGCAACTACTCTATTCCGAACTTAAAAATGGAAAGCGTAATGCTGGTGGGTCAACAAAAGAGGTTTAAAGACTGTCTCAAGGCAAATCTAAAAATATGTAGTATAAACACTGACAACTGGGAAACACAGGCCTGTGAGCGCTCCAGTTGGAGAACAGCCTTTACCAAAGGTGTCATGGGTTTTGAAGACACTCAAACTCAGGGAGAAACGTGCTAAAAGAAAGGCATGCTTGGCAAATCCACACCGTGATCAACTCTCACCCGGAAACCAATGGAGTCCAGTCAACCCCTCTTCACAGCGAACTCTGGGAATTGTAGCTCTGTGAGGGGAAATAGGGATCTCCTACAACTTTCAACACCCTTAAAAATACTGGAATTCTTTGGGGAAAGCCATGGCATCATAGTGCCTTTAATCTATGGTATGAATGTGGCCCTAGAAGGAGCAATGGTAGTTTGTTTCGTTTCTAGGTATGAGATAGGTGTAGGTTGGGACTGCTTTCTAAAATGATAAGTGGGCCCCTTAGAATGAGGAAATGCACTCTGCACGTGTTCAGAGGCACCTTCATCTTTATTGTTATTGCACTGAGTCCTCCCAGCAACTGAAAATGGGAGAGTCCTATTCCCTTTCCCCCCCTGGGGTATAAAAGGAAAAAGTAAAGATCAAATTATAAGACGCTATCTCTCTCTCTCTCTAGCTCTCTTTTTAAAAGTTTCTTTAAAAATGCCCAGAATCTTCCCACACCTTCACAGTTTCCCCCTTCATAAAGCATTCCCCGGGATTAGCTCAAAACAAGCAATCAGCAAAGTATCGTGAAGACTTCTTTTCCCAGAATCAAGCATCAGGGAAACATGAAAGGTCGGAGGCCTCTGGATCAGCAAGCCTCTTTGAACAGGGCCTTGTCTGGGCTCTGGAGCAAAATCTTCTCCTGGGCTATTTCTTCCACTGTCTTCTTTCTGGACCTTTGAGGGGGGAAAGAAAGAAAGATCAGCAATGGGGCTCAGTATCTGGGACACCCAATCATGTTTAGAGCACAGAAATAAATTTGGAAGGTTCCCCTCTATGTTCAAATATACGTAAACATTGCTATAAGGCAGGTCTGGAGAATCCCCAGATATTGGTGGCCTCTGGGTCCTCCAGACCTCCTGTTCATTCAGAATTAATCTTGATTTGCTTGAGCAGTCACTTGATTTGCTTCCAGGCAGTCGCTGTTATCGGTGTGGTTACGGAAATTACCGGGGGGGCCACATCTTTAAAGTTCTTAAATGTTACAAATATTATGCATAAATGTATGTGTGATGGGATTATGAGCTGCTTGTGCGTAAAATCGTATTCCCTCAGAGTTTGTTCAAGTCCACAAACCTCTGTCTGTGACTGAGCCCCTCTGACATGGCTCCTCTAGTCACTAGAAGATTCCGACAGTGGTTGCTTTCGTAATCGCTTCCAACATAAAAGCTCCTTAACGGAAACACGTCTTCTGGACTCTCTGCGTGACAGTTTCCGGCGAGGAGTGGGTGTCGCTACAGGAGGTCCGGAAACCTCACCACTGTTTTCGCTGGAAGTATCTCTGAGCCATCCCCCCAGCTCCCTTTCCCTCAGTTCAGCTTCTCTCCCACTGCTGGTTTCCTCTTCAGCTGCTGAGTCTCTTCCAACCTGTCTGAGCCCTTTCACCTCCCTCAGTTCAGCTTCTCTCCCCATGCTGTTTCCCACTTCCGCTGCTGAGTCTCTTCCAACCTGTCTGCGTCCTTTCACCTCCCTTCCTTCCGATGGCAGTTACCTGACATCCACCTCCCTTCCAGGGCCCCCTTCGCCCCCTCTCGCCCCCTCCTCTACGGGCGGTGCGGAGGCAAACCCCCGGAATGAACTTCCTTCATCTTCCGATGTCTCGAACACTTCTCTCCACCTGTTGCGGTTCCTGGTCTCGAAGCACTCCTCCTCCTCCGAGTCCATCTCCCCTTCCCCTTCCGATTCTGGGAATCCTTCCAACTCCTCCTCCTCCTCAGTGGTCCCAAAGTATTCCCTCCGGAACCTCTCCACAGGCTGAGGTTTCCGCGGGAACCTTTGATGGAACATTTCTATCAATACCTCGTCATTGATATCTTTGGCCATTACCCACGTGTTTTCTGACTCCGGCTCTCCTTCCCACGCTACCAAATACTCCACCTGATTCCCCTTCCACCTGGCATCAAGGATTTCTGCCACATGACTGCTGCATTCTCTTTCTTCTATGACCGGTCCCCGAGTGGCCATCCCTTCTCGTCCCCCCTCGTACGGTGACAGTAACGACCTGTGAAATACTGGGTGCAGTTTCATGTGGTTGGGTAACCGGAGCCTGAAAGCCACTGGGTTGACCTGTTGAATGACCTCAAAGGGACCCAACCTCCTGGGTCTTAATTTCTTACAACCTCCTTTGAACGGCACCCCTCGGGTTGACAGCCACACCCTATCTCCAACCCTTATGGTTTCACCTTCCCTTCGGTTCTTGTCTGCCTGCCTCTTGTATTCTTCCTTCGCCCTTTCTAAGTTGAGTTGGAGCTGACGGTGGATTGCTTCCATTTCTTCTACAAAATGCTCGGCTGCCGGTACGCTCCATCTCTCCCCTTCTCCCCTGGGAAAGCCCTGGGATGACACCCATAATTAGCCAAGAAGGGGCTCATCCCTGTGGACACATTCTCGGCATTGTTGTAGGCAAATTCCGCCAGCGCCAACTTTTCTACCCAGTCATTCTCTCTGTCATTGACATAACACCTCAGGTATTGCTGGAGGACACCGTTTACTCTTTCCGCCTGCCCGTTGGTTTCAGGGTGCCGGGCAGTCGAAAAGTTGACCTCCACCTGCAGTAAGCTCATGAGCTTCCTCCAGAACCTGGAAGTAAATTGTTTTCCTCGGTCTGAGACCACCCTCAATGGCACCCCGTGCAACCTAAAAATGTGTTCTACAAATAACTTCGCTGTCTCTTCCGCCGTGACTGCATGCGAGCAAGCTACAAAGTGGCACATCTTTGTTAGTAGGTCTACCACCACCATGATGGCTGTTTTCCCTTTGGACTTCGGCAGATCAGTCATAAAATCTATCGACACTGCCTCCCAAGGTCGTTCTGGTGTTGGTAAGGGTTCTAATAGCCCCGCCGGCGCCCGCCTTTCCCCTTTGGCTCGCTGGCACTGCTCGCACCCTCTTACATACTCACGTACATCCTCCCTCACCTTAGGCCACCAAAATTCCCTGGTGACCAACCACATGGTTTTGTGTTGCCCAAAATGCCCCGCCGTGGGGCTGTCATGCAACTGCTTGAGTACCCTCCCCCTGAAGTCACCTTCAGGGATATACAGTGCCCCTTTGTAATACAAAGCTCCATTTCTTTCCTCGAAACCCCTTGATTCCTCTCCCTCATCCCTAAGACCTCTAAGCTTATTCTGGGCGTATTCATCATTCTCTGTTTCTTCTACCAGTTCTCTTTGTCCCACCAATGCCGCCCCACACACCCAGCGGTCCTCTGGAATGACATGTCTCTCTTCGGGTGCTCCCTCCCCTTCCAAATATTCAGGTTTGCGTGAGAGAGCGTCCGCCCTAATGTTCTCTGGGCCTGGCACGTAACAAATCTCAAAGTTAAATTTGGAGAATTCCTGGGCCCATCTCACTTGCCGTTGGTTGAGCACTCGTGCCGTCCTCCAATACTCTAGGTTCTTGTGGTCAGTGCACACTTGCACCTTATGTTGTGCGCCAATTAGCAGGTGCCTCCATCTCCGGAACGCCTCATGAATGGCTAGTAGTTCTCGGTCATACACCGTGTAGTTCCTCTCGGATTTGTTCAGCTTTCGCGAAAAAAGCACACGGTCTCCACTCTGACTCCTCCTTCCCTGGCTGGAGAAGCACCGCCCCAACCGCTCTGTCTGATGCGTCAGTTTCCACTCTCATCGGTTTTTGTAAATCCACATGCAGGAGCTGTTGTTCCGAGGCGAAGGCCCTTTTAGTTCCTCAAATGCTTGCTCCGCCTCCTCCGTCCAAACGAACTTCTTCTTACTGCTGAGACAGTCCGTAATGGGCGCCGTCAGGTGGGCAAAGTTTGGGATGAACTTACGATAGAAGTTCCCAAACCCCAAAAACCTCTGCACATCCTTCCTTGTTTTGGGTGTTTTCCATTCCAGTACCGCCTGGACCTTGCCGGGATCCATGGCCAACCCCTTGTCAGACAGGCGATACCCCAGGAATTCCACCTCCTTGGTATGAAACTGACACTTCTCCAGTTTCACCCACAGCTGGTTGGCTTGCAGCCTGCTCAACACTTCTCTGACGTCTCTCACATGCTGCTCCTCATTCTCAGAATACACCAACACGTCGTCTAAGAAGGCCACACAATTCTTGTAAAGCAACGGCCCCAGGACGTGGTTCATAAACGATTGAAATGTTGCGGAGCCTGCTTGGAGACCGAAGGGCATAACTAAGTATTCAAATGCCCCTAAAGGGGTGAACATGGTGGTTTTCCATTCATCCCCCTTCCTTATTCGTATCAGGTTGTACGCCCCCCTTAGATCCAGCTTGGTGAAAATCTTTCCCTTCCGCACCCTTGTCAAAATGTCGTCAATCCTGGGCATCGGGAAGGCCACTGGTTCTGACACTGCATTTAAGGCCCTGAAGTCACACACCAGTCTCGGCTTGTTCGTGTTTTTGTCCACAAAAACACTGGGCTGCCCCCACCGCCCTGGACTCTCTGATGAACCCTCTCTTCAGGTTCTTGTCAATGAACTCTCTTAGCTCCTGCATCTCTCTGTCTGACATGGCGTACAGCTTGCCCACAGGGAGCTGTGCCCCAGGGAGCAAATTGATTTGACAGTCAAAGGCTCTATGCGGTGGTAGTTGGTCAGCTTCCCTTTCGCTGAAGACGTCGCGGAGATCTGCGTATTGTCGTGGTACCTTCACGTTCTCCGTCACTTCAGTCCCTGCTAGGGTGGCTTGGGCCCCTGCCAAAACCTTTCCCTCTTTGCAATGTTCTAAGCAATGTGCTGACCCAAAGAAACCACTCTTTGATGCCAGCCCACCAGCGGATCATGTAACGCTAGCCAGCTCATCCCCAATATAATGGGAGCTCCTCCCAAGGTGGCCACATTAAATGCTATTAGTTCGGTGTGTCTTGCCACCTTCATTATCATTGGGACGGTCTGCAAGCTGACTTCTCCTCCCAACAGCTCCCTGCCATCGATCGTGGTTACCTGCAGGGGTTGCTTAAAGGGAGCGTCTGTATCTGGTGTTCAGCTGCAAACTCTTTGCTCATGAAATTGCAGGAGCTGCCTGAGTCCAACAGCGCCTTTATCTTTAGAGGGTGTCCGTTTGGCAGCTCTAGTGTCACTTCTATCACTAGGGCGGGTTTAGGAGGTTCTGGAGTGGGCACTTTCACTGCTCTTTGGCCTGGCTGCTGTGCCCCGACAATGGCAGCCAGGCGTTGGCTTTTAGTTGCTCCGGTAATTTTTCCTCTCTTCCCTCCACAGCTCCCACCATCCCTTGCCATTCCTTCCTCTGGGGGCAGACTCTGGCAAAGTGCCCTGGCTGTTGGCAGAGATAGCATTTCCGGGCGCCTTTTCCATCCTTCTTTCCCCCCTCACTGGGCTTTGAAACTGCGCGCGCGGCGCTGTTCCGATTTCCATCGGCTCTGCCGGCGGGACAGTTGGCTCTGGAATGTCTGGAATGCGGAACTCCTTCCAACGTTCCCCTTTCCCTTCCCGCCTCTCCAATGCTCTCGCCTCCTGGCGCGCTCCTATGGCCAGCGCTGATTTGGTCAGCTGGTCCATAGACTCCGCCCTGGGCGCCCGGGAAAGTTCGTCTTTCACAGCCGAAGAAAGCCCTTCTTCAAAGAGCATTTGAATGGGTTCCGCCGATAAGTCCCACCCCAATCTGTGTATCAGCATGGTGAACTCAGTCCAGTACTCACGTACAGATCGGCTCCCCTGTTTGCAAGCCATTAACTGTCTGCGCACCACTCCCTTTTCAATATCGCTGGAAAACATCAGATCCATGGCGCGAAAGAACTTCATCGTGTCCTTTAGGACGTCACTATGCGCTGCCATCAGGGGTCTAACCCAGTCTCTCGCCCCCTTTTCAAGATGCCCAATCACAAAAGCCACTCGTGATTCCTCATCAGGGAATCATCAAACTGCAGATTGAGGGCATATTGCATTTCTGTCCGAAAGCTATGATAGTCCTTGGGCTCCCCCCCAAATTTCTGCACCAATCCTGGTACCTTTCTGGCGAGCTGGGTGGCTTTCTCCCTTTTGTCTGCATCTTGAGCCCTCCTCTCCTCCAGCCTCGCCGTCTGCAGCGCCAGCTGGACCTCCAACACCCGGTACCTTTCTTCCAGGCTTGGACCCGCTCCAGCCCCTGCTTCTCCGGTTCCTGCTGGGTTGCTCATTATGCCTTCTCCTGCACAAGCTGCGTTCAAAGACTGTCGGAATGCTGTGATGGGATTATGAGCTGCTTGTGCGTAAAATCGTATTCCCTCAGAGTTTGTTCAAGTCCACAAACCTCTGTCTGTGACTGAGCCCCTCTGACATGGCTCCTCTAGTCACTAGAAGATTCCGACAGTGGTTGCTTTCGTAATCGCTTCCAACATAAAAGCTCCTTAACGGAAACACGTCTTCTGGACTCTCTGCGTGACAGTTTCCGGCGAGGAGTGGGTGTCGCTACAGGAGGTCCGGAAACCTCACCACTGTTTTCGCTGGAAGTATCTCTGAGCCATCCCCCAGCTCCCTTTCCCTCAGTTCAGCTTCTCTCCCCTGCTGGTTTCCTCTTCAGCTGCTGAGTCTCTTCCAACCTGTCTGAGCCCTTTCACCTCCCTCAGTTCAGCTTCTCTCCCCTTGCTGGTTCCCTCTTCCGCTGCTGAGTCTCTTCCAACCTGTCTGAGTCCTTTCACCTCCCTTCCTTCCGATGGCAGTTCCCTGACAGTATGCTTTTGACTTGACAGCTCAGGGAAGCTTTAACAATCATATAAAATCAACTCCTTTGACAGTTTCCTCCATTTCAACACTATTTCGCCTTTGGAAAAACGACTCCTTTGCCTGCCATAATCCCTCAAGCGTGAGGACACGATACACACACCCCACCCAGGGAAGTGCCCAGGGGTAACAGTTGCTGAGCAGATAGTTTCCAAAAGCCCATCATGGGACTTGCCCCAGGTTATGGATGTGCAAAGAGAACTCTATTGTCCTTTGATGATGGGTACTTGAGAGGTGCCTGGACATGTTTTGCCTATGCTAACCTTGTACTAAGGACTTGTCTGGACATTATTTGCCAAGGGTGAACTGGTGTAACCCCTGTCTACCCCTCCCCTTTTGTGACATGTCAGTGATGTAGCAATGATGTATCAGTGATGCTGTACGAACTGGGATATGGTGGGAAACATTTAAAAGTCCTTGTCACCCCATCCTCGGGGTTCAAAATTCCTCTTTGAACCTGTTGCGCAATAAACTTTGGTCTACAGCTGTTTGCTCCGGTTGGTGGCTGGACACCTTCCTTTATTCCGCAGGGACCCGCGGGCTCTGCCCGACGAGCTGGGTGACTGAGCAGCCTCACACCTAGATTTTTCCATAACACTGTGAAATTCAGTCACATAATCTGCAAATTCAGGTTGTACAATTATAGTCGATTTGGAGCTCTTCAGAAGGAAGCCCTGCTGCCCCTAAGATCAGACTTTTTGCAAGAAGGGAAATGACAGGGCCATAAAGCAGAAAGTGTGGGATGAGAATTTCAGTTTCTCTCCATTTATCATTTTTCTAATCTTACTTTCTGTCCTCCACATTTCCACACCAGTGGGTGGGTGGTTTTTGCTGCCCTCGTGACAATTCATCAGCATCTCGGTGCAAATTTCTCCTAATATTCTCACTTTTGCATGCAATTACAGTGGTGCCCCGCAAGACAAATGCCTCGCAAGGCGAAAAACCCGCTAGACGAAAGGGTTTTCCGTTTTTCGATGCGCTTCGCAAGACGAATTTCCCTATGGGCTTGCTTCGCAAGACGAAAACGTCTTGCGAGTCTTGCGATTTTTTTCGCTCCCCCCCCCTTTTTCTAAGCCGCTAAGCCGCTAAGCCTTTAATAGCCGCTAAACCGCTAAACTGCTAATAGCGCTAATCCGCTAAGCCGCTAATAGGGTTGCTTCGCAAGACGAAAAAACCGCTAGACGAAGAGACTCACCGAACGGATTATTTTCGTCTTGCGAGGCACCACTGTATACACCTTTCTGCAAAGCAATTTTTTTAATGCATCAGTGCATTTTGCACTGATATATGAATTTTTATGCACACTTTACCCTAACATGGGGGTTGGACTAGATGACCCTCGGGATCCCTTCCAACTCTAAAATTCTATGATGCTATGTGCATTTTTGCTCACATTGCTTGGCTGGAGACCTGCACAGCAAGAGCCAAGGAAGTGTGAATTCCAAAGGACGACTGTGCTTCAATTCTTACAGTCTTCTGGAATGTGTGAATTAGGTAAGCTCACCTTTAAATGTGAACCGAATCTGAGTTCTCCCTAACTTCAAACCCTCTGCTCCTATGATTTCAAGCCCAAGCATGAAAACTGAGCTCTGGAGTTCAGCTCCACCTTCTCTCCTCCCAGAAGGGCCAGTGTTTTGAAATGAAAAGTTGATGATTCAACACTTCCCCCTAAACCACAAAATGCCATGCTTTTTCTTCCCTCTGTTCCACATGCTCCACAAAAATTCCTTTTGCAATGGATGCAGCAGGTCTGAAGGGCATTTGATTAATACGTCATCTGAAATGATGAACAGTGGGAATTGGCCACAAAAATGCTAAGTTAACGCACTGTTTGAGAAGTAGATAGATGGGTAAATGTTATTTCTTATTATAACAGGAAGAGATAGTTGCCTGATACAGGCTATGGACTGACATTGCTTTGACACATTCAGATGACTTGTGGAACCATTATGGTAAAGTTATAAAAGAATATGAAACAATGTGATCCATCAGGATGCATGAGATAGAACACTTCGTTGTATCGAGGCGTCTATGATATAAAATGCTCTTGTCCTGTTCTGTTGAGCTGCTTGAGGTTTATGGATTACTTCGAAACCACTGAGTGGGGTCATCCAGAGTTTTGGAGTATGTTATCAGCAATCCTAGAGCTGGAAGGGATCCTGAGGGTCATTTAATACAACCCCCTGCAATGCAGGAATATGTAAGTCGTTCATACAGCCTTTGAAACCCACAACCTTGGCATTATCAGCACCATGCTCTAACCAACTGAGGTACCTGGTATGCTAATGGCACACAGCTCTGCTTCTCTTTTACATCTGCAGGTGAGGCAGTGAATGTACTGGACTGATGTATTGCCTTATAATGGATGAGAGCCAACAAACTTAAGCTCAGTCCAGATAAGACTGAGGGAATGTTAGTGGGCAGACTTGATCTCCTTCCACAGGGCCTGTAAAACAGAGCTATTCTGCCTGGCCTTCAATTTGAATTAGCCTGATCCTCTATTCCCTTTTCCCTTTCCTCTTCTATGAAGAAACCCTTTCTGGGACCCCACATTTAAATTCTTCCCTGGTCTCCTTGCTGGCCCTAGTAGGACCAACTTGACCAGTTAGCCCTGGTGATCATTTGATGTCTACTGACTGTTTTTTGTTTTGTTTTGTTTTTCCCAAAATGACCCCTGAATTTTTGAATTTTATTGATATTGATGCTGCATTTTATGTTGTATTTTATGCTGTTTTATGCTGTTTTTAAGTCGTATTTTAATCAATGTTTTATATTTGCTGTTAGCCGCCCTGAGCCCGGTTTTTAAACCGGGAAGGGCAGGGTATAAATAAAAATTTATTATGATGATTATTATTATTAGACCAGATGGATGGGACGCTGCCTGCTCTTGATAGGGTTACGCCACCTCTGAAGGGTTAGGGTTAGGGTCGCTTCAGGCTCAGGTGGCGTGGAGCATTCCACCAGCTTGGGCTGGTGGCCCAGCTGTGCCCGTATTTGGACAGGGATAGCCTAAGCACCACAACCCCAGAGTCGTTCGTGACAGGACTTAACTGTCAGGGGTCCTTTACCTTTACCTTTATGCTATGATAACCTCTAGGTTACATTACTACAATATGTTATACATGGAGCTGCCTCTGAAGATGGTATAGAAAATTCAGCTGGTGCAGAATTCAGCGGCCAGGTTGCTCACTGGGAACATATTACACTGATCCTGGCCCAACTGCACTGGCTGCCAATTGGTTTCCAGACTCAATTCAGAGTGCTAGTTTTGACCTTTAAAGCCTTAAACACTTCAAGGACCATGTTTCCCCTATTAACCAACCCGGACCCTGCAATCACCATCCGAGGCCTTTCTTCATGTGCCCCCTTCACAAGAAATCGGGAGGGTGGCAACACGAGAACGGGCCTTTTCTGTGGTGGCTCCCCATTTATGGAATACTCTACCCAGGGAGGCCTGCCTGGCACCTTCATTGCATATCTTTAGGCGCCAGGCCAAAATGTTTCTCTACAACCAGGCATTTGGCTGATTAAAGAATATACAGCCTTTTAAAAGTGTGTGGGAGGGGAGGTTATTGCTCTTGGGGTTTTTTGTACATATTTTGTATTTTTATGTTGTAAACCACCCACAACATTCAGACAAAGGGCAGTATAGAAATGTAATTAAAAATAAATACTTTGCAACAAATAATATCTGTGTGAATATAGTACAATGAAATAAATAAAAGTGTATTTGCCACAAATAACAGAGTCACTTACCTGTTCTCTACTTCTTCAATGGTATCTGGAAGGGGGACATTAAGGGTTTCGGGCAGAAAGCAAGCGATGATGCCAGAAAGGATGGGAGCTGCTCCGTACATGATTGGCGGCAGGGCAGCAGAGTAGTCCTCCATCATCTTGGCCAACGGGGCGATGATGCCTCCCACCCGGGCCATGGTGCTGCCAAAACCGAGCCCCGTCTGCCTAGGATGGGGGTGGGGGGCAGGGTAAGAAAAGCAGGCAAGAGATACGGCTGGGTCAAGGGATCTCTGGCAAACCTCAAGAAAAGGGCACCTGCCATGCGATCGCCGCCAACGGATGCACAGCAGCAGCGACACACCTCCAAGCCGTCTAGAGTCTGCCATCGTGCGGCAACCACCTACCCATGCCCCATGGACAGGCCAGCTCTGGTGAGGGGGCACGTTCCTTCTAGGAAGAGAAAACCCAGCCTCTTGTGCATTCAGGCTTTTTGTCAGTTTGCATTTCTTAGTGCAGAAAGCATTGAGCTGATATGTAGAGATCTTTCCTATTCTACTAAATTCAAGAGGGTTCTGGAAGCTTCTCTGTGTGAAAGAAAAAAGCAGAAGGTTACTGATGTTTGGGTTATTCCTTCTGAGAAGCTGAGTACAGCTGGCTCAAACTGGTTCAGTTATCTCTTCTGTCAAGGTCATGCTGACTATAATAGTGAGGCCGGGAGGAGCCTGGGTCTCCTTCTCTCTCTTTCTGTCTCTCTTTCTTGCTGGTGTGATGTTCTGTATATAGTGTTACGGTTTTAGTCTTATTGTAAGTTATTGTAAGTTTAAGTTAAGTCTGCCGCAACTGGATTTCTTATGGACAGGGCCAATCCTGAATGTATTGGATTTGTGACCATTATGCTTGTTTGCCTTCAGTATCACTAAAGCTCTGCTGGATGAAATGCCTCTGGTCTATTTTTTTGGAATCCTGCAACGTTTTTACTCTGCTAACTATACATTGCAATCTGCACTGGATCAATACTGAGTAGAATTTCAATGACAGGTATTTATTGAGATTGTTCAAGGGCACCCTAGGAGGTAGCGAGGGGCTCACCTTAGTGCCCACAGGTCCCAGGTTGGAGACCCCTGCTTTAAAGCTACCTCCATTTCCACAGGAGCCCCAGAAGCGGGTAAACAAGGGAGAAATGGTGTTGAAAAGCAGCTCCTCACCTGACAGGCGTGGGGTAGAGTTCCGTCGTGAAGAGGAAGGTGCAGTTGAAGGCCGCTGCCAAGCACCCCTTGCCAATGACGGCCAGCGTTGTCCGGATCGTCTGCAAATCTTTGGGGGAAAGGTGGGATGGGTCAGAGAGAGTGTGGCATGAACAAAGTGCGCAGCTGAGGGACTCCCTCCCCCTCCCGCTTTCTATAGGGTTGATGTGCAGATTTGTCAAGAATAATTAACAGACTAACACATTGGTTTCTCATTTTTTCCCACTTAAACTTGGCTCTCCACATTTCTGCAGCAATTTGCAATTTTAATTTCTATTCTCACATTTTAGTGCTGATTTCTCCTAATGAATTGGCCCGCCCACCCGTGTCCTCCACACATGCAAGTAAGAAGCATTATCAGAGTTCAAGGACACATTTCCAGCCAAAACACTCAGGAAGATATGGCTGGGGAGGAACTGTAGCCCAGAAAGAGTTCCAGAGGGCCAGATAGGGAGGTCTTGAGGGCCGCATTCAGCTCCTTGGCCTGAGGTTCCTTATACCTGCTGGAAAGGTTGTGCTTTGGGTTTATAAACTTGCTGTGGCTGTAATATTGATGCAGAGGCACCGCCACTCAATGGCTGCAGTGCTGATAATAAATTGGAATCACAGAATTATAGAGTTGGAAGGGACCACAAGAGTTATCTTGTGCTTTGTGAGAGTGACAAAAACATTTAGCTTTGTGGAGATCTCGGAAATGAAGGAGATCAGAGGCTCAGCATATCTGTGGGAGGTGGTGCTCTTTGGGCCTTCAGCCTGTGCCAAAATGTCTCCAGCTGGACATCTTGCAGTGTATCTAAAAGTGAAAGGTGAGGCCTGGCGGAAAGTGAGCCAACACTCACCTGAGGGCACAAAGATGTTGATGATGATGATGATGCCAGACAGGATGAGGAAGGACGCGAGGCTGATCCTCCTCCCAATGTAGCTCATGGTAATGGTCACGATCACCTTGGCTGGGAAGTCAACGGCCCCGAAGATGACCTGGATGAGGTAGATGCTGACACCAAAATTCTGGAGGTCCATGGCCAGCCCGTAGTAGGAGAAGCTGACTGAGAACCTGACATGAAGATAGAGACAAGGCAAGATTCAAGAAGGTGTGAGAAGAGGCTCATCCTGCTCTAACTGTCACCTGACAGCAGCCATTTCCTCAGGCTGCAGCAGAAGGGGAGATGCAAAGCAGGGCTACTTCATCAACTCTTGAGTGACCAGCTCCACTGAGTTCCTCTCCCTGGACTGTTTCATTCGTGTGAGTCATTACGTTATGCAACTTTAGGAACTGGAGCCCGAACTTACTTGCCTTCCCTTTCCCTCCTCATCACTTTTTTGCTTTTGTCATGTCTCTTAGACTGTAAGCCTACAGGCAGCAAAGGCCTTATTTTTACTGAGCGTACGTAAGCCACTCTTGGGACCTCCTTGGCTGAATAAATAAATAAATAAATTGATAATTTATGGGATGCTTTTGGAAAAGTCTTCCTAACAGACACCATTAACGAGTCTTTGACAAATCAATCTCTAAACTGTAGCTTCCCATTTATGGTGCCTGCCCTGTGGAACAAACAATTACATAATTTTCCAAAGACATCTGAAGGCAGCCCTGTATCGGGAAGTTTTTAATGTTTTGTGTCTCATGGTGTTTTTATATTCTGTTGGTAGCCACCCAGAATGGCCAGGGCAACCCAGTTGGATGGGTGGGGTTTAAGTAATAAATTAATAATACTAATATTAACACTACTAATAATAAATTAAATGAAAGGGGAGCATTTAGTCCAGAAAATCTTGATTTTCTGTCTCTTAAATAATCAGACAAATTCCGTAACCTTTGACATTTCCATGAACCTTCACGTTTTCCTTCCACGAAGGAGAAAGGGGTCTGTGCTCCTTTTCCCCAACCAGTGGGGACTAGCTTCAGTGAACCAATGAACCAACTAGCTTCAGTGACTATACTCCAAAGTAGCTCCTTGTTTTGCAAATCTTAGACCTTCAGCTGGCCTTTCAAGACCTGAGCTGCTAGTTTAAAGGAGGAATCTTTATAAGGCTTGTCCTGAGCAATTTTAATGCACATAAAGATTGCTTAGTCAGAGCTATTACACAGCTCAGATCTAAGGTACTGCAAGTGGATTTTGCTGGAGATGTAATAGTTCAGAGCTTTATGAACAAGAGTTGAACCAAACAATATAGTTTTCTGTTAGGATGTCCCAAAGCATGCTGTATGAAAGCTGCAGTTTGATAGTTTTAAAGCAGGAGTGGAGAATGTTTTTCAAACCAAGGGCTGTGAACCGCCCTGAGACCTGTGGTATACATAGAGAAGTATATATAGGGCAGTATACTAATAATAATAATAATAATAATAATAATAATAATAATAATAGCTTTCCAGACAACTTTCTGGAGTCCATGTACCAGTGATGCATGAGGTCATAGGCAAAGGTGGGCAGAGAAATGAAGGTAAATGTTGCCTTTGTGTAGTAGACTAGTTTCTGCACGTTATGTACTAAGCTTGGATCCTAGAACAATAGGCAAGTAGGATCCTAGAATGCAACAACTGATTGGCCTGCAGTAGCAGCCCAATCAGGCTCCAGGAGAGAAGCAGAATCAGCCAATCAGATGGGACTCGTTGTGTAAAGAATGTATATAAAAGCCTGAGGTTGTTTTTTTTTGGGGGGGGGGGGTTCATCACTGTTTTACAAGCTGCAATAAAGAGCATGAAATCACTGCAGGACTCCGAGTATATTTCACTGCACGTGCTCAATCATACTGCCGCATCCTCCATCCAGGCAACCAAGAAGCAAGGGCATGTTTCCAAGCCAGGCCAAACAACTCTTAAGAGGGTGCAAAACCAGGCTGGTAAGAGGTGTGGTTCAGGAGGGAGACTCTTAAGGGCCAGATAGAAAGATTTGTAGGGTCACATTTGACCCTGGGGCTTGATGTCCACCATCCCTATTTTACAGCAATAAATATTGGTGCCTATGCTTTGATAATGGGTCACATTGTCAGGCAGTGCCTAAACCTCCCTCTCCTCAGGTTCCCGAAGTTGGAATGGACCTCCCTCCTTCCTGAGTCTGCTCAGATGGAACAAGTTCTCTCACCACACTATGGAGAGGCAGCAGAAAATGCGCCGGATGGCTGGTGTGCGCACCAGGTCAGAGATGGTGTAAGAGGCCTTGGCTGTGGACAGTTCTTTCTCCATGTTGGAAAGCAGAACCTGTGGGGAGAGGAGAGGCAGGAGGTGGGTGTGTAAAAACAGGTGGGTGAGCTCCAGTGATGTCCTTAAGCACGGGCGTAGCCAGGATTTATTTTAGGGGGGGGCAGGCATTAGGTTGGGAGAGCAGAACAGACATAAATGGTGATGTAATTGGTCAGTTAGTTAAGTATTTTTAATTATTTGCTTGATTTAGGGGGGACAGCAGCTGCCTCTCTGGCCCCCAGCTACGCCCATGTCCTTAAGCAGCCTTTCTGAGCCTGAGACCTTGAGACATCATTGGACTACAACTCCAATGAGCCTCTGCCAGTCAGGGATGATGGGAGTTGTAGTCCAACAACATGAGGAGGGCACAAGGCTGGGGAAGGCTGACCTTCAGCATCAGCCGCTGCTCTTCCTCCTAAAAAGCACAATCAATGCACAGCACAAAACTAGATTTTGGTGAGAATTGATCGTGTGATTTACCCCAGGGAAATTTGGGTTAACATTAGCAAACAGGAAGTTCTAGGGCCTGTTTTACACAGGCAGCTTCCCTTCAGTGAAAGCGAGAATTTCCAGATGACCTGTGTTAAGTTGTGGGCGAACATATCAGACGACACAGCAATTCTTCCAAAGCAGCTCTTTATTTGTAAGCTGGAACAGAACTGAACTGAGGAGCTCAGTCAGCCTGCTTATATAGAGCTCCACTAGAATGCAACAGTAACCATTTTCTGTAACTAGCCAATCACTGAACGTCACTTTCGATCCTTCATTTGCATAACTATCTACAGTATCCCCCTGCTGGCCCAGGGTGAGAACTTCAGTACATAACAACCTGTTTATTGAACATTTATCCCAGTTCCCCCCCACCCACAAAGTTTGGCTGTTTATTGAGAATTTACACTGATTTGCCTGCAGGGAACGTGGTTGCTATTATGTCAAGCAAATGTGATCCCACACCTTCCATTGTGCATTTCCTCACTGTATTCCTCATATCTCAAATAAAGTCCAAATTTGGGAGGGAAGTGAGTTACAGGATTTCAGCAGTTACTTACAGGTCAGTATGACTTGCCCCAAAAGTTTTGCAGGAGCAAATCAACGCGGGACCACACATAACTGCCGCAATTCTACCAACAGGACCAAAACATCATGGATGCACAATAAAAAGGATGTCTAGAGGAGCCCATAATCTAACTTCTGTGTAAGCTTTGTGCAAGCAAATCAGTGTAAATCCTGCATATCAAGTTCACCAGGAGGCTCCCTGATTCTAGCAGGCCTTGCTCTCCAGAAGCTCCCAAGACTTCTATTTTCTACATAGATTCATCTGGATTTACAGCCAACTGGATATGGAGAGCCACCTCCCTCCACCGGCTTCATACCTCTGTGGTGATGCTGGCTCCAGCTTTCTCCTTGCCATTGACCCGGGCAACCCTCTGGAGGACCTTGACAGCTGTGCTCGCCTTTCCCGAAAGGAGCAGCCAGCGAGCTGACTCTGCAAACCACCTGTGCCAAAGAAGCCAAGACTCGTCATCTCGGCCAACAGTAAAATCCATCCACAAACCTTCAGGTGGTAAAACGGAACTGAATCCTTTTGTTGTTGTTTTCTCAAGGAGGGATAATTCAATTAAAGAAAATGAAGAAAAGAAAAGAATCCTAACTTGAATTTGCTTGCAAACATTTGAATTGACCCTGTTTTCTCATTCTAATCCAGTTCTCTGTCGTGGTCTTTTTAAAAAAATGTTTTTATTCATTTTTCATGGTACAGAAAACATCTTTTGCGGAAACAATTGTTACAAAAGTAAACAACAAATGACTTGTCCCAATAAAATTACAGACTTTTGTCATGCTATGTAATAATATTTTGTTTGATCGCTTTAAAAGATGACGCCACATTTTCTCCATGATCGCTGGGTGTATTCCTGCCACGGTCCGAACAATTTATGTATTCAGTAAACATTTGTCATATGTTATAAAAGGAATAGGGATCCTGCTTGCCCTTTGCCGCTCTGACTTGACATGTCAATTTCTCAGCCAGTTCTATTGACCATACACTGGTGTACCACAAATCGATATTAAGCCCAGTGCCAGTTTTTCCAGCATCTGGCTATCTCCATATGGGCGGCTGTCAATAGAAAGACCAAGAGGTCATCATTGGGGTAATCTTGAGCAGGTGAGAGCATAAGGCCAAGCGCAGGATACATTTCAATTGTTTTGTTATATATATCAAGCTTATTTATTTGAAAACAGCATTCCAGCATTTCTTTGTACCCCAACACAGCACCCCGAGGAGGAGGAGGGGTCTGATCTGAGCAGAAGAAGAAGAAGAAGAGTTTGGATTTGATATCCCGCTTTATCACTACCCAAAGGAGTCTCAAAGCAGCTAACATTCTCCTTTTTCTTCCTCCCCCACAACAAACACTCTGTGAGGTGAGTGAGGCTGAGAGACTTCAGAGAAGTGTGACTAGCCCAAGGTCACCCAGCAGCTGCACGTGGAGGAGCGGGGAAGCGAACCCAGTTCCCCAGATTACGAGTCTATCACTCTTAACCACTACACTACACTGGCAGCACAACATACCAAGAGTAGAGGAGAAAAACAAAGAAGGGCACCGAGAGAGTCAGCTGCAGCCACTGCCAGTCTGGGATGCCGTAGGCCAAGCCAGCCAGCAGGATCTGGCCCAGCGTGTACACGAAGCCAGTGACCGCAATGGTGATGGTGCGGTACTTGGTGGGAATCCACTCCACAACTGCAAGGAAAAGGAAAACACTTTCAGGTTTTTGCCTTGCCACTCACACCCGACAGATCATCCGGCTGGGCCTTCCGGTATGAAATTTAGACCCTGCATCGGGAGTTGCCGGCCTTTCTCAGGCAAGTGGTAGATTTGGAATTCTGAGAAAGTGCCGTGGGTGCCTTTGACAAAATAGCTGCCATGAGGCCAGGCATGGAGAACAAACCAAGTCAGTGCAAACTGAGAAGCAGCAGGAAGAGAAAGCAGTCTCTGCAAACTGCAGGTTTTAAAAAGGATATTAATTGAGATATTTCATGGGCAAGATAGGAGGTAATAATAATAATAATAATAATAATAATAATAATAATAATAATAATTTTTATTAATACCCCGCCCTCCCCAGCCAAGGCTGGGCTCAGGGCGGCTAACAAGCAATAATAAAAACAAGTTGAATGAATACAACTGAAAAACAAGATTAAAATACAACAATTAAAATATTGAAACATTAAAATGTTAAAATGCAGCCTCATCACAGGAGGAGAAAGGAAAAAGAAAAAAGAAAGAGGGCGGAAAAGGTACTGGTGGGCACACTGGTGCCCATGGTCACCAGGCTGGCAACCCCTGTAATACTTGCCACCCATTTTGTACTGAACTTTTCCCACTACTGCATCAGAAGATTGGCTCATCTAGCTCAACATTGCCATAAGGGCATAGGAAGAGAGGAGAGTCCATGAGCTTCCGATGTAGTCCGTTCCAGTGTTGAACAGCTCTTGCCGTCAGGAAGTTCTCCCTAATGTTTAATTTCAAACACAGTTGCACCATGTATTTGTCTAACTGCATTATGATAGTCACAGGTTGGTTTTCAGTTCCTTCCCTAATGATCCCTAGCATGAGATTTGCCTTTATCACAGCGGCCACACACTGGGTCAACAACTTCACTGAGCTATCCACTAGGACCCCCATGGTTCTAGTCCTGGTCAGTCACTGCCAGTTCAGACCCCATAAGAATATATGTGAAATTAATATTTTTTTTACCTTGACATGCAACACTTTACACTTGTATACACTGAATTGCATTTGCCATTTTATTGCACATTCACTCAACTTGGGGCGGTTCTTTCGGAACTCTTCACAATCTCTCTTTCTTTTAATGACCCTGAATAATATCATCTCACCAGCAAGCCAGACCACCTCACTGTTCCCCCCCTCACTATATATCATTTATGTACAAGTAAAAAAGCACAGGTTCCAATAATGAGCCTTGGGAGACCCCACTTTCTGTAATTCTCTATCCATTTGGAGAACTTTCCATTTATTCCTACTTTCAGCTTCCTGGTACTTAACCTCTTCCTGATCCACAAAAGGGCCTCTCCTTTTATTCCATGCTGCTATGCTTTCTCAGGAGTTTTTGGTGCGGTACCTTGTCAAAAGCTTTTTGAAAGTCTAAGGACACTGTGTCAACTGGATCACATCTATCGATATGCTTGTTGACACTCTCAAAGAGTGCCAGGGAGACAGGACTTGTCCTTGCAGAAGCCATGCTGACTCTGCTTCAGCAAGGCTTGTTCCTCTGTATGTTTGGGTATTGTACCTTTAACCAAAATTTCCACCAGTTATCCTAGGACCAACATTAAGTGAACAGGCCCATCATTTCCAGGTTCCCTCCTGAATCCTTTTATAAAAATTGGTTTTGCCTTGGCTACTTCTCAAATCCTCTGGTGGATCTGAGGCACCAGTTACATATTTCTGTTAAAAAATCAGCAATCTCACATTTGAGTTCTTTGAGAACTGTTGGGTGGGTGCCATCCAAACCTAGCAATTTGTTAGTTTTCATTTTGCGTATTAGGGCTAGAGCTTCAGCTATTGTCACCGCTATCTGCCTCAGTTCCACCAAATCTGTAGTCCAAGGTAGCCAACAAGATATCATCTAGGCCAGGCTTCCTCAAACTTGGCCCTCCAGATGTTTTGAGACTACAATTCCCATCATCCCTAACCACTGGTCCTGCTAGCTAGGGATCATGGGAGTTGTAGGCCAAAAACATCTGGAGGGCCGAGTTTGAGGAAGCCTGATTTAGGCCAAATGAAGAGTGTCCTGTGGCCAAACTCCTCTGTTTACTGTGGTACCTCAGGTCAAGTACTTAATTCGTTCCGGAGGTCCGTAATTAACCTGAAACTGTTCTTAACCTGAAGCACCACTTAGCTAATGGGGCCTCCTGCTGCCGCCGCGCCGCCAGAGCACGATTTCTGTTCTCATCCTGAAGCAAAGTTCTTAACCTGAAGCACTATTTCTGGGTTAGCGGAGTCTGTAACCTGAAGCGTATGTAACCTGAGGTACCACTGTACTTTGAGAAGTGTCCACACAACTGGCTGGCCTTGGTCTAGGCTGCTTTGTTACTAATTATTGACAGACATATCCTCCATTGATGAATCAAATATAGAATGTTCAGATAAATCCCTACATTGCGCAAAAGTTCCCAGCCAGCACCACTAGCTCTGCTCTTACCCAAACAGGCGATGCTGAGGCCAAATCCAGAGAGCGCCATGCCGCTCAGGAACCGGAAGATGCAGTAGGAGATAAAGTTGGGCGAAAAGGCCACACAGGTCCCCATCACTGCCATTTGCATAAAGGACCAAATGAGGAGAGGCTTGCGGCCGTACCTGCAGACACAGAGAAGCGAAAACAGCTGGAATACCAAGGCATTGGTGGTGTTGGGGTGGGTGTGGCCACAGGGGGAAGTGGGTGGAGCAAAGAACGTTATCTTTGTAGAGTAGGCTGATTTCTACACACACTTGCAGACACCCCTCTCCATTCTCCCTCCAGGACAACTGAATTGAATTGACCCCCCATCTCTGCCTCCTATTCAAGGGGGTGAGTTTTTAATGAGGTTGCCCGATGGCTTCCTTGGATCATGCCGGTTTTTAGACTGTTTCGAGTGGTACTTGCTGTGCTGATTCAAAACTGTTGACATTGTATGGGGGAGAAGGTGGCTGCTGTACATTTTATGCCATCTCACCCTGGTAAGACGGTTTGAGCATATTACACAAACCCTGACCCAATTGCACTGGCTACCCATTAATTTCTGGGCCCAATTCAAACTGCTGGTTTTGACCTATAAATTCGTAAATGACTCAGGACCATAGTACCTCAAAGACTGCCTCTCCCCATATAAACCAACCTGGACTCTGTGGTCATCACCTGAGGCCCTTCATCTTGTGCCTCCTCTGCAAGAGGTCCTAAGGGCGGCAACATGAGAACAGGCCTTTTTTGTGGTGGCTCCCCATTTGTGGAATGCTCTCCCCATGGAGGCTCGCCTGGCACCTTCATTATATATCTTCTCCCAGGCCTTTGGCATTTAACTATCTTTGGCCTTTTAGAAATGAGCAAGATGTTTTTAATGTATTTTTTTTCTTCCCCCCTTGGTTTTAATGTATCCATGTGGGTTTTGTTTTGTTTTTTGTGTGTGTGTGTGGCTGGTTGGTTGGTTGTAAGTCACTTTGGGTTGCCTGGGGCAAGATAAAGCAACCACCAGATTGACTAAATAAATAAAATGAACATCTTTTTAAACTGTAAACTGCTTGAGGGCAGGGACTGCCTTATTACCAGTCATTTAAGCAGCTCCTTTTCTTAGTTAAAGAGTGGAATAAAAATTGCTCCTCATAAGATATGCAAACATTATTTGATTAAATGACTAAAATTCCTTGGGACAATCCTAAAGCTAATTAATAATGTAATTGATATCATTTGGATTCCCCAGAACTCCATCTTGTCTCCAGCTTCCTCTCCCAACAGTGCCAACCCACAAGCAGGCCATACCACCCAACTTGTTAGTATTGTATTGTATTTGCCTTATATTGTATTATATTTCACAAAGAATAAGTGGTATCGGGGAAATGAGGTGGCAGTTGGCAGTTGGCTGGTTATTCTTTGACTGAGACTGTGGGAATGTGGTGACTTCAAGCTGATACCTGGGTGTTGTGACCTGGGACCCAGGTGAATGTTGTGGCCCAGGAAGTATGCCAGAACCCACAGCACACGCAAACCTATGCTTATATCCTCTGTCTCTCTTCCCTCGTTTAACTGTCCGCTTGCTAATTAAAACCTTGAAACTAAAACCAGATGCGGGTGTGTTAGTTAGTTAGGAAACATTTATATATCTGTTTTCCACACTAATGCAACGAGTGTTCATTTTAAGAATTGAAAAATCCATTTTCTTGTGTCCTTGCACCCCCAGTTAGTGAGCAGAAGACGCATTTCTGCTATGCAAAGCAGCGCCCTTTCACTCCTTACCTGGCAGGAAGTTGTAGACCTTCCAAAGCAGAAACTTCCATGCCAAGAGGACAATAAATTCTCCTGAGCTGGACAAGTCTTCATGTAGCAGGTAGCAGAAAAGCAACATTTTGTATGAGGCAGAAGGGTAGTGAATTGATAAACTCTGTTCAGAACTATTGGTTGCCCTGGTGCGGTTAGTAGATAGGAGCATGCTTTTTGTAAACCAATTAGAAGTGAACATACGGTAAGTTTTGAAAGAAAAAGGACTAAACCCTCTCTTGGGCTCAAGGGCAGTTCAACCGTTGGCAAGATTTATTTATCTCTAACCGTTGCCAAGATTTCTTTACCTTCAAATCTTGTTTAAGGCGTCTGTTTTATCACAAAAAGCGAATTCAGCTTACCTATCGGAGAACCCCCCAAGGACCACTGCTCCAACCAGCACGCCAGCCATGTAGATCGATTGGGCCATATCCCGAAGCTTCCGTCGCTCACAGACTAGATCCCACTGTTGTAGGAGAAGGAGACTGGGTCAGGGGACAGAAGCTTGAGGGGAGCATCCTGGGCCACAGAGCCATGGGTTTGGGAGGGGCTAAGGTTGCAATTGCACCCAGGATTGTTGCAGTTGCACCCTCGACAGGCAATGGGACCCTTTGCTTCTTCTTCTTTTTCTCTTTTTTTTATTAAAGATTTTCTCGATTTACGAAAGTGTTTGCAATATCTCTCGTATTTTTTTCCCCATGTAACATTTTTACAAATCAGTTTCATTTGTTGAGACATCAGGAAGAAAAGGGAGAAAGAGGTGGAGGGGGGGAAGATGGGTCGGGGTGGGGTCAGGTGGCGATGTTTCTATTTTACTTATTATATGTAGGGTTTGGTGTCAGCGTTGCTTGTGCAGGTTCTTTGCTGTTCGCTTGTGTTCCTTTGGGGTGAGAGAGGTTGGGGTTGGCCGAGGGTGTGGTTATTCATTTGTGGTTGGCTGTGGTGGTCTTTGTTTTCATGTGTGAGTGGTGTGTGTGTGTGTTTTGGATCAGGTTAGCCATATTGATTTGTATGCTGGTGGATTTTTGTCGTTGTCTTGTTGGGCTGTGTATGTGATAAAGGGACCCTTTGCTTCTGTCCACACCTAGTGCTCAGCTCTCAAACTTGAGAAGCTAGCCTTTTGCACGTGTGTTTCTGAGCATGTGCAGAGGGCCTTTCCCTAGTTACCAAATGACAGCAGTGATTTCTGTACAGAACAAACTTTGGTGTGCAAAGCTACCCAGATACAAGGCTGAATGAATGCTGAGTCTGGCTGGATTGCTTGCACATCTATCTGTTTTTATAAGAAGGCCTGGCAGAGCACAGAATCGCCTCCAGCACCCACCTTCCCACCCCTGTGGCTTGTTATAACACGACAAGGGTGAAGGGGGAGCTGAAGGACTAGAATGTAGGACAAAAATTTTTGCTGTCTCCTGAAAAACCAGCTGCTCCCTTGGCTCAAGATCACTGCCAGCAGCAGTGCCTGCTGGCTTTGAATTATTCTCTTCCCAGCAGGGCTGTCAATTACCACCCTGTTTATCCACCAGACGCAAACACCCCATGCGGATCCTGTTGCTGAACCCCTTGTTTGCTGGAAAGTCCCAAAGGCTCACTTTCCCTCTCTCTCCCACCTTCTCCCTCTTTCTTGCGGGGCAGTAGTGGGGTATCAGTGGCCCTCCAGATGTTGCTAAGCTCCCATCGTCCCTGATCATTGGCCATGCCGGCTGGGGCTTATGGGATTTGTAGTCCAATTGGAGGGATACAGGTACCCCCCCCACACACCTGGAGGGCTCTGCAACAATTGTTCTTCTACGCTCTGGGCTGAAGGAAGCTGAAGCCCACAAAACCCTGTAAGGCACACACACACAGATTTCTCATCCACTTGCAGAAATGCATGGAGATGGACAATTACTGATTATTATTATTCAAGATAGAACAGAGCCTCCATGTAGAGGGACAGTGTACCACCGAGTACTGCCTGCCCTGCTTGAGGGCTTTCCAAATGATCGAGAACACAGGTTGATGGACTAGATTTCATCAGATCCAGCAGTGGAGGCTCTCGGCTATCGCCTGCTCCGGAGTGGTGCAGTAGTGAGAGATATGGGCTGGGGCTTGGGAGACCAGGGTTCGAATCCTCACTCAGACATGAATGGCTTTAGGCCAGGTGCATGACTTTCAGCCCAGCTGTCCTCACAGGGTTGATGTGCGGATAAAAAGGGGGAGGGGGGAGAACCAGGACCACCACCTTGAGCTCCTTGGAAGACGGGATATAAATGGAGCAATGAATAAAGTAACATTTGGTTCTCTGGACAGAATATACTGGGCTTGGCTCCAGATTTAAATCCCATCATTCTCATTTCTGATGCACAAATCTATCTACCTATCTATTCCCACCTCACCCCCTCTTTCTTCCCCATCTCAGTTTTCTATTTGTAAAATGAGAACAACTTCTTTCTTAATTACATTTACATCCCATCATTCCTCCAAGGAGCTCAAGGCACCCCATTTTAACCTTGCAACAACTTTGTGAGGTAAGTCGGGCTGACAGACGGCAACCGGCCCAAGGTCACCCAGTGAACATTGGCGCTGACTGAGAGAAGGGTCGGAGCATGTGCAGACTGCCCCAAATTCAGTCTCCAGCATGCGTGGAAAAGACCACTCCAGCCCCAATCCCACACTGGCTCCTGTTTAGCCCTTAAACGAGATGAGACGGGACCACCCGAAAAGTTTACATCAAGAGGAGAGGAGGGGAATAGCAAAGTTATGACCTTGGGAGGAGTTGGACAATGGTTAAAGCAAAGCTACACAGAGACAAGTGAGGAAACAGCGAGGCTTTCAAAAGGCATTTAAAAATAATGTGATGTACTTTATGGACGGTCTCAAACCTAGAAGGCCTCTCCAAAGGAGCTCAGCGATTGACACAGAGGTGGGCTTCCAGACTACTCCTCTAGACTACAACACCCATCATTCCTGACCATTGGCCATTCTGAAGAACCATGAAGAACTTACCCTTTTCTTTAAAAAAAGGGGGGGAAGCGCTGTAGCTCAGTGGTAAAGCATCTGCTTTACATGCAAAAGGTTCTGGGTTCAAATAATGTCTCTGGGGAAAGCTTGGGAAGTTCCCTGCCTGAAACCCTGGAGAGCCACAGCCAATCAGTGTGGCCCAACTGTGCATAAGACACCTACATTGCTATGCTGTTATTATTGCTTTCCAAACTCCAACTAAGGATGTAAGGAGGCAGACATTTCCGTCCCATTCCATGTTCCTCACAATCAGCAGCGTTTCTGTCCTGCTGCAGCTCGGCTTCTGCTGAAACCAGTGCTATTTGTCTCACTATCTGCTGTGGCCGAAACCAACATAATTAATTGCGTAAATGGCTATATAACGAACTTCCATGCATTTCAGCGGAAGGGGGATGTCAGAAACAATGCAGAAAACAATGTAATTATTTATGTAACATTTGTGGACCGAATAAACCCAACAGTAGCAATTTGCTTGCATGATTTCCCTTCCTGACCTCAAGTGCACATGCGAAGGGTGGTGATTTCTGCTCCCGTTCCCATTTCTGGTGGAGTTATCTGAAATCCTCAGGTGCAACACTGGAAACCACTCCCAGAACTGCTCAGACTAAATCCCTGCATCAGTGTTTCGCAAACTTAGGTCTGTAGCTGTTGTTGGACTACAGCTCCCATCATTCCTGACCACTGGTTCTGCTAGCTAAGGGTGATGGGAGTTGTAGTCCAACAACAGCTGAGGAACCCAAGTTTGAGCAACATTGCCCTCCATCAATATGCATTCATTTGGCATATACCGTATTTTTCGCTCTATAAGACGCACCAGACCACAAGACGCACCTAGTTTTTGGAGGAGGGAAGCAAGAAAAAAAAAAATTCTGAATCTCAGAAGCCAGAACAAGAGGGATTGCTGTGTAGCGAAAGCAGCAATCCCTCTTGCTGTTCTGGCTTCTGGGATAGCTGCGCAGCCTGCATTCACTCCATAAGACGCACACACATTTCCCCTTACTTTTTAGGAGGGAAAAAGTGAGTCTTATAAAGCAAAAAATACGGTAATATGCTCCCTTACGTCCCTGCTCCCTTTCAGACTTTTCCATTCCTCCAAGCTAGCCTTTCCCCTCTTCCCCTCTCACCTTGCTGACAATGGTGGAAGTGTATGTGGTCGTATCATACACCCATCCATCAGCACACAGCTCGGTTTCCGCCTCAGTCTGGTTTGCCTTGGTGGAATTGGCATCAAGGAGATGCCACTGGGGATGGACAAAACGCCAACACTTTTCCGGCTCCTCTTTGCTGTTCGTGGGGATACCAACTCTGAGCAGGTCGCTGGCTTCCAGAGGCCAAGTGGTGTTGGGGTACCCACTGCTGTTGGTGGAGATGTGGATCTGGCAGTGATGTCCTGGGATGGCAGCGGTGAAGTTCTGGAGAAGGTTGTGACCTGCCATCAGCACAAGGGGAATGGACAGAAGCATGGTGTGGATAAACTGGAAGCGGCCCATGCCTCCGACTTGGTCCAAGAACTCCGCGAAAGTCATGGTGTTCCGAGAGATTCCTTGCTTTGGGGAGTTGCAGGCGGCTTGTGTAGATCGATGGAGCGATGGACAGGCAGATAGACCTTGCGAGCCCAAAAAGCAAATTCTCTCGGCGTTAAGGCAAGATTCAAAACCCTGTGGTGGGAAAATTAAGGCAGATCAGCTTAGCAAATCCGCCGCAGCTGGAAAGATTTGGTTTAATATGAGCCTGGTTGTGACTGCAGGACCTTTGGAGGCGATGGCTCTCTCGCTTGTGGAGGAGACAAACAAAAACGTCTCGCTAAAGGGAGTGTCTTAATTTACCTAACAAACAGCTTTCAACAGGACGGTGGGATCGTTTTGGATAAAAAATGGCTCAAATTATCTCTCTGGGAAGCTGTGGGTCTTCTGCCAGTCTGGGAATGGAGCCACACACTTGCTAGAAGTCTGTGTGTCTTCTCTTCCACACTCACCATGTGCTACTCAGGCTTCTTCTGGAGGATATATATATATATAATCTCCCTGGTGTTTATTCTTCAATCCTGCAAGAGGAATCCACTCTTTGGTGAAGGAGGAAAACTTCAGAAGCAGCCACAGGTCAAATAATGTTCTCTCCTCACTTTTGCCAGGGAATCTTACTGGCTCTCCCCTTTACCAGGTCTTTGAGTGGATTATTTATGTAAAACAGTAAGCAGCTCACTCCGTTAAAGTTTTACTCTTGTTTTAAGGGATTAACTAAAAGTTTTAGAAAGCAAGTGGAGAGCCAGAGAGATGTGGAAGAAAGTGCAGCAACAGCCGGCAGAGATTTGTAACTGTTCTCATTTAGGGTTAGGAATGTGTCAATCATGTGCCACGACCACCCCTCATTCTCCGCCCCGCCCCCCAAAAGCTTGCTGGTCACTGGTCACCCAAACAGTGTAGATTGAAGATTTGCCTAACCAGGGTCTTCTTTAGCGGAACAGTTGATGCTCCGCAGTGCAGTGGATCTGGTGGTTGTGTGGCACGAAAGTTCAAAGTTGTAAGTGCCGTACTATTGCTTATGTGGTACAACGATACATAGAAGGGGTCGGGGTGCATGCAAGTTTCTGGAGGACAAGTGAGTCAGCAGAAAAGAAAGAGCAAGAGAGGGCCCAGGTATGCATAACTTCCCCATATGTTCATAGATATGCATGGATTTAAATGAAGGGTGAGGAACCTCAGGCCAGGGGGAGGGTGCAGCCCCCCTCCCCAGGCCTCTTGATATGGCCCTCTATCAGACCCTCCAAGTGTCCCTATTTTCCAGGGACAGTCCCAGATTTACAGAAGCTGTTCCCATTTCTGATTTGATCCTGGAATGTCCTGCTTTTCCTTAGGACATCCCTATTTTCATCGGAGAAATATTGGAGGGCATGGAGTTGCGCAAACACTGAGATAAGTAACTATGCAACCTTTAGAAGACACCTGAAGGCAGCCCTGCATAGGGAAGTTTTTAAACATTTACAGTGGTACCTCTGGATGCGAATGGGATCCATTCCGGAGCCCCGTTCGCATCCTGAAGTGAACGCAACCTGCTTCGGCGTGTGCGCGGGTCACGATTCGCTGCTTCTGCACATGTGCGTGACGTCATTTTAAGCATCTGCACATGCGCGAGCGGCGAAACCCGGAAGTAACGCGTTCCGTTACTTCCGGGTCGCCGCGGAGCGCAACCATAAAAGGCTCAACCTGAAGCGTATTCAACCCGAGTGTGATGAGATGATGAGCTGCTTGTGCGTAAAATCGTATCCCCTCAGAGTTTGTTCAAGTCCACAAACCTCTGTCTGTGACGGAGCCCCTCAGACATGGCTCCTCTAGTCACTAGCAGATTCCGACAGTGGTTGCTTTCGTAATCGCTTCCAACATAAAAGCTCCTTAACGGAAACACGTCTTCTGGACTCTCTGCGTGACAGTTTCCGGCGAGGAGTGGGTGTTCTTACAGGAGGTCCTGAAACCTCCCCACTGTTTTCGCTGGAAGTGTCTCTGAGCCATCCCTCCAGCTCAGCTCCTCTCCCCTGCTGGTTCCCTCTTCAGCTGCTGCGTCTCTCCCAACCTGTGTGAGCCCTTTCACCTCCCTGCTGGTTCCCTCTTCAGCTGCTGCGTCTCTCCCAACCTGTGTGAGCCCTTTCACCTCCCTGCTGGTTCCCTCTTCAGCTGCTGCGTCTCTCCCAACCTGTGTGAGCCCTTTCACCTCCCTTCCGTCCGATGGCAGTTCCCTGACATCCACCTCCCCTCCAGGGCCCCCTTCACCCCTCTCGCCCCCTCCTCTACGGGCGGTGAGGAGGCAAACCCCGGAATGAACTTCCTTCATCTTCCGATGTCTCGAACACTTCTCTCAACCTGTTGCGGTTCCTGGTCTCGAAGTACACCTCCTCCTCAGAGTCCATCTCCCCTTCCCTTTCCGAGTCCGGGAATCCTTCCAACTCCTCCCCCTCATCAGTGGTCCCAAAGTATTCCCTCCGGAACCTCTCCACAGGCTGAGGTTTCCTTGGGAACCTTTGATGGAACGTTTCTATCAATACCTCGTCATTGATATCTTCGGCCATTACCCAAGTGTTTTCTGACTCCGGTTCTCCTTCCCACGCTACCAAATACTCCACCTGCAGTAAGCTCATGAGCTTCCTCCAGAACCTGGAAGTAAATTGTTTTCCTCGGTCTGAGACCACCCTCAATGGCACCCCGTGCAACCTAAAAATGTGTTCTACAAATAACTTCGCTGTCTCTTCCGCCGTGACTGCATGCGAGCAAGCTACAAAGTGGCACATCTTTGTTAGTAGGTCTACCACCACCATGATGGCTGTTTTCCCTTTGGACTTCGGCAGATCAGTCATAAAATCTATCGACACTGCCTCCCAAGGTCGTTCTGGGGTTGGTAAGGGTTCTAATAGCCCCGCCGGCGCCCGCCTTTCCCCTTTGGCTCTCTGGCATTGCTCGCACCCTCTTACATACTCACGTACATCTTCCCTCACCTTAGGCCACCAAAATTCCCTGGTGACCAACCACATGGTTTTGTGTTGTCCAAAATGCCCCGCCGTAGGGCTGTCGTGCAACTGCTTGAGTACCCCCCCCTTAACTCTCCTTCAGGGATATACAGTGCCCCTTTGTAATACAAAGCTCCATTTCTTTCCTCGAAACCCCTGGTTCCTCTCCCTCACTCCTAAGACCTCTGAGCTTATTCTGGGCGTATTCATCATTCTCTGTTTCCTCTACCAGTTCTCTTTGTCCCACCAATGCCGCCCCACACACCCAGCGGTCCTCTGGAATGACATGTCTCTCTTCGGGTGCCCCTCCCCTCCAAATATTCTGGTTTGCGTGAGAGAGCGTCCGCCCTAATGTTCTCTGGGCCTGGCACGTAATTAATCTCAAAGTTAAATTTGGAGAACTCCTGGGCCCATCTCACTTGCCGTTGGTTGAGCACTCGTGCCGTCCTCCAATACTCTAAGTTCTTGTGGTCAGTGCACACTTGCACCTTATGTTGTGCGCCAATTAGCAGGTGCCTCCATCTCCGGAACGCCTCATGAATGGCTAGTAGTTCTCGGTCATACACCGTGTAGTTCCTCTCGGATTTGTTCAGCTTTCGCGAAAAAAGGCACACGGTCTCCACTCTGACCCCTTCTTCCCTGGCTGCAGAAGCACCGCCCCAATCGCTCTGTCTGATGCGTCAGTTTCCACTCTCATCGGTTTTTGTAAATCCACATGCAGGAGTTGTTGTTCCGAGGCGAAGGCCCTTTTTAGTTCCTCAAATGCTCGCTCCGCCTCCTCAGTCCACACGAACTTCTTCTTACTGCTGAGACAGTCCGTAATGGGCGCCGTCAGGTGGGCAAAGTTTCGGATGAACTTACGATAGAAGTTCCCAAATCCTAGGAACCTCTGCACATCCTTCTTTGTTTTGGGTGTTTTCCATTCCAGCACCGCCTGGACCTTGCCGGGATCCATGGCCAATCCCTTGTCAGACAGGCGATACCCCAGGAATTCCACCTCCTTGGTATGAAACTGACACTTCTCCAGTTTCACCCACAGCTGGTTGGCTTGCAGCCTGCTCAACACTTCTCTGACGTCTCTCACATGCTGCTCCTCATTCTCAGAATACACCAACACGTCGTCTAAAAAGGCCACACAATTCTTGTAAAGCAAAGGCCCCAGGACGTGGTTCATAAACGATTGAAATGTTGCGGAGCCTGCTTGTAGGCCGAAGGGCATAACCAAATATTCAAATGCCCCTAAAGGGGTGAACATAGTGGTTTTCCATTCATCCCCCTTCCTTATTCGTACCAGGTTGTACGCCCCCCTTAGGTCCAGCTTTGTGAAAATCTTTCCCTTCCGCACCCTTGTCAAAATGTCGTCAATCCTGGGCATAGGGAAGGCTACTGGTTCTGACACTGCATTTAAGGCCCTGAAGTCACACACCAGCCTCGGCTTGTTCGTGTTTTTCTTATCCACAAAAACACTGGGCTGCCCCCACCGCCCTGGACTCTCTGATGAACCCTCTCTTCAGGTTCTTGTCAATGAACTCTCTTAACTCCTGCATCTCTCTGTCTGACATGGCGTACAGCTTGCCTACAGGGAGCTGTGCTCCAGGGAGTAAATTGATTTGACAGTCAAAGGGTCTATGCGGGGGTAGTTGGTCAGCTTCCCTTTCGCTGAAGACGTCACGGAGATCTGCATATTGTCGTGGTACCTTCACGTTCTCTGTTACTTCAGTCCCTGCTAGGGTGGCTTGGACCCCTGCCAAACCCTTTCCCTCTTTGCAGTGTTCTAAGCAATGTGCTGAACCAAAAGAAACCACTCTCTGATGCCAGCCCACCAGCGGATCATGTAACGCTAGCCAGCTCATCCCCAATATAATGGGAGCTCCTCCCAAGGTGGCCACATTAAAAGCTATCAGTTCGGTGTGCCTTGCTACCTTCATTATCATTGGGACGGTCTGCAAGCTGACTTCTCCCCCCAACAGCTCCCTGCCATCGATCGTGGTCACCTGCAGGGGGCTGCTTAAAGGGATTGTCTGTATCTGG